TAGATCATTCTCTTCGAACTCATAGGTGAAATTTTTTTGGAAAGTGATGACTCAAGAAAACTAACAAAAAACGTAAAATTTGGGGACTTTAAGTCGCAAATGTTTTGACAAAAGGAATTCCAATTAAGTTTCTTTAAGTATTAAACACGAATATAAGAACCAAAATGCGTTAGCATAAAACTGACCGATGCATGAAAGACTTCTGTGCCTCACTCTCCAAATCTGCGATTTTATCAAGTAAAAGCTTGGCTGTACCTTTTCCATCACCATAATCCTTCCAAATGGAAAAAATAAAAAATTTAGTATCCAGATGACGATAGGATGCAATTGAAAGTGCTTTTCAGAAGACCAAGAAGGAAGACGAACCTTCTGAACATGTTTTTCTTCTTTAGCAAAGTCCACATAAAAGTCACTGTCATTATTTTTAATCCATCTTTCACCAGCATTGAGCACAAACGGCATGCCCTTGTAACTGTCGCCTTCTATTTCCAGCTCGAAAGTTTGAACCTACATTTTTAGTTAACATGAGTCCCCTGACATACATTCTCTGGTTCCAAATGCTGTTAGGCTTATAGGAAATAACAGAATCGACTAGTCATACCGGACTAGGAAGATCTTCTGAAACAATGGTCAGTTGTGTATCAACAGCGCCACGTACTGGCAAAGAGTTTGGTGGCAGTATATCTGAAGGTGGGTCCTGCAGCGTCAAAGACACATAAACTCAGACCAGAAGAGACCAAAGTAGAAATGCGATTAATCTCAAAAGTATGCTTTTGTTTGAGAAAAAAAAAAAAAAAATCTTACCAACCACTCTCCACCCTTTTGAGACAAAGCCCAGTGAAGGGTAATCGGCTCTTTGAAATCAGTTGCCAGGTGAATTTTCGTCTTTCCGGAAAGTTTAGTGACAAGAACCTAAATAGAGGGAACAATAACTTGCCATTAGAAGATACTTATCAAATGGATATCTAAATCCAACCCGGATAAATATAGAAAAGAGAGCAAGATGGATACTCCCAACTGACCAAAACCCCGGTGCCTTCAAGTTTGAATGTTTTTTTGCTAAAGATTGGAGTAGTTTCTTGTTCCTCATTTGCTTTGGCGAATTTCTCGAGACTTGTCAAGGCCCGTGGTTCAGTTGAGGATTTCGATTTTGGCTCAACATAATCAGCAACGTGCTTACATATAAGCTTATTCAGGTCCCTTTCCTGGCGCTGAATCTTCTCAGTGCTGAAATATTTGTTCTCCTTCGGTTGCTTGGAAACTTTTTTCTGTGCCTCTCGTCCACTGGATGAAGTCTCCTTAGATTTTGGAGAGTCGCTAGTGTTATCTTTCTTCAACAGCTTTGCTCGGAGATCTTCCACTGAAGCACCTCGCATCATTTCCTCCCGTAGCTCCGCACGGGCGGCTTCATACTCCTCCTATTGACCAGAGACTAATTACTCTTCTCAACTATAAAATAACCAGAATTTAAAGTATTTGATATAAATGCAACTGAGATTTATACAGGTCTATCGGATTCCCCTTTATATGAAACTCAACACAACATTAAAGGTGAAGAAATTAAAAAGATATCAAAGAAAAATGTCCTTGAAGACATGCTTGTATAGGTACAACGTCTTACCTTCTCTTTCTCAGGGCTGTAATTTTGTTTACCATTACGTTCCCATCTAAGATATGCTTGGATCTGTACAAGATCTTCAGGAACAGAAACATTGTGTTCCGCATTCCCTTCCATGGGTAAGTTTATATGAAAATTTTGACCATTATTTTTGTACCTGCATATCAAGGTTATGAGAAACGACAATAACGAAGCAAAACCAGGTAGCTCTATTTTCTGGTTTAAATAGTAAGAAGAAGAGAAAACAAGCTCACCATTTGTTCCGACTTTCGTCAAATATAAGAAACTCAATAGCGTGTATTGCATGATCATCAATCTCTAGTTTAAGGTTAGAATGGCCACCGGACTGTAACCAGAGCACCATTTGAAAATCTTTAAGTTACACTTGTATCAGCTGGAACTGCAAGGAATGAATATAAACTCACTTTAACAAATGGCGTTCTAAGCGCTCTGTTCTTGTAGTTTATAGTTCTATCCGGAGAGCGAGAAGGTAGAACCCATTTTCTGACACGGAAATTAAGAAAGAAAGTTAATGAAACCATGTGCCATAATAAGCTTGACGAAACCTATTAACTAGGAAATTTGAACATCACTTGGCAAGGAATTACTCTTTGTTGTCACGTATTGCACCCCAGTGTAGAAGCAACGAGTCACTTGTATGAGCTATCTGGATATTTACTTCTCTTACAGTTGTACAAGTGACTTCGACCTATTCAGTTACATGCATAAAACTTACCATCACATAAATATTATGGCTACAAAAATCCCAACAAGAAAATGCCCACTGTCTGAAAGGCAATACTTACCAGTAAGTCAATATTTCCGTCAAGATTAAATTTCTCGGCTACCTGTTCAAGGATGAAACTCAAATCACTATACGTTTCATGAAGGCAACATTTTCATTCAACACAGAACTGCATATCATTTAGATCCATGACACGTTTTTGGATATAAAAAACCTTAAGATACATTGAGTGTTGCAACCACATATCACATTTCAAAAAATACTTGTGAATATGATCTCCACAAGAACAGCAAATGTACCTGGGAAGCAGGATCCATGGCAAGCACAGCCCGTGGAACAAATGAGACAGGTCTTCCTGTTTCAGTGATCAGCCTCTGTCCTGTCTTTTTAAGACCTTTTCCGTATAATTTTGTACCAAGGTTTGATCTCCCGAAATTTCCCACTGCCGGGTTTACAGTGGCGGGTTGGTACACAGAAACAGCAGGAACGCAAGAGGAGTTGAGCTTGCTTTGATGTTCAAAATTCACAGGACGAATCAAACCCCGGTTAAGTATGTTATGCACTACGGAGTTACTCATGCTTTCTTGTCACACTTGTGCAAAGTATTGCCGGATCTGATAAGTAAAGTATTAATTTTATAAAACGATGGAATAACAAAAACAATGAAGCTTTGCATATATAGATGAATAAAGAAACAAGTTATGCTAACTGTCTCAAAAAGAAGAATCTGACAGACTTAGACAAGCCCAAAAACACTTTTCTTCTTTTTGATATTTTTCTTTTCCACATCAAAGACAATAGTTACTTCAGCTAATGGGAACAAGTGCAGTATACTCAGAAGAAAAGAATCGTCTCTCGTAATCAAACAAAGCCGAAAATTCTACACACAGATCACAAACACTTTTCAAAAACTTGTCATTTGAAATCTTCACTTTTATTACCTCCTCTGTTTGCTTTTTGCACTTTCTCTTGTTTTCTGGCGAAAATTTGTCATTTGAATCAAATTTTAGACTTTTTCTGTCAATCAAGCACGCAAATATATTGTACAAAGCAATCGCAATAGCAACAGCAATCAACAGATTCCAAGAACAGAAACACCAAATTCGAAATCTATCAACCTTAAACCGATTAAACTAGCAGAATCCATCGAAATGAAGGTAGATTCGAAAGCAATATACCTGTTGAGCAAACCGAAACTTCAGATTTTGCGAGCCGAACGAAGAATCTGAAAAAATTACAAACAAAGATCCCAGAAATTGGATGATCTTTGTAAGTGAGTGGGTTCTTCGCTCTTGGCTCTTCTTCACTCGCTCACTTCATAAACTCACGTGTAATCGAAGTAAAATGACACTTTATCCTGCGATGACGCCACGTGGCGCATCGTGAATCGAGCGCGTAGGAGGAACGGCACGGGGAAAGAGAGCCCAGTCTCGTGGGATTCTTCTCCGTTGAGAAATGATACGGTGATGGACGGTACCTGTGGACCCCACTTTTGTTTGATATTTTCATATTTTTTTAGAGAGATTCTTCTCACCGTTAATTTTTGCTTCTATTTTATTTATATTCTTCTCTGTTTTCCTGTTTTTGTCTTTTTGCTTTGATATTTTTATGCTTCCCCTTCTTTCTCTTGTATTTTTTCTTTGGTCGACATGTTTTTTTTTTCTTCATGTACTCTCACAAACCACGAATTACAGAAGATATTTTGTTTTTCTTTATCCTTCTGTAATAGTAGTACTGTCCAAACTCCAAAGCCCACTTGTTCAATCATGCACTTATATGGTGTTCCTACAAAATGCTTTACACATTTTCGAAAAATAAAGGGGAAATGTGTGTTTATATGATCCAAGCTTTTTCAGTCCAAATATAAAAGCGGTTCAAGCATAAGCTAAAAAAAGAAATAGAACCATAAACAAACGTGTTATCCAACCGAATTGGCTGGTCGCAGTAAATGTGGAAATACCAGCATGACTCATACATTTTTATCAAATGAGAAATTGAATGATTTTCACTCAAATCAAATCATAAAATACATATGACCTTCGGAAATTTAGAGTTAAATATAAAGTTTACGTACAATAAAACATTTTGAAATAGTGCGCCATTATTGATGAGCACATATACTTTTCTTTTTTTTGGGTCAACTTTTGAAATTAAACTTAAAAAGGTTTAAACGTGGCCCATGGGCCCAACAGAGAAATTGTAAACTTTGCTAAACCGTCTGCTACAGCATTTACAGAACCGTGAGGATGGTAAAACATATTACTTTCTAAATACGTGAGGATGATATTCATATATCACTGATGAATGTATAGGAGAAAAAATGTGTAAGGTGGCTCTGTAAAGCAGAAAAGAAAACAATCATATCGGCAAAAAAGTTCAAATTACCATAAGAAATAATCTAATAGCAATTAATTACACAAAACCAATATAATTAATTACACCCAGTGGCGTTTACACGATGCATGATAATCAACAAACGGCTCCCCCAAAACAAAAACAACATAAACAGAAGAAAATAAACTCCAAAGTTAAGATTTTTGTTCTTATACTTCTTCATTTTAGACGAAATTATTTGGTTTATTTTTTTTTTGCTTTTGTTTTGAGGAAAAATAATAACAAGTGTTGTTTTTGATCGGATCATCTAATCAAAGTAGACAACGTCAAGCAATTGCTGCTAATTTTCCTCAGGTCAACCGCTACATTCTGGACCGTATTAACCTGGTTTGTCTCAATAAACGCGTCGACACACGCGCCGTAATCAGACACAACCGCAGTTAGAAACGTGTTGATCCCCATCACATTGCGTTTCCTTATGCTCTTCCTCGCGCTCGCCAGATTGTAGACCGCGTCGCTCAGCGTCGCGTAACAAGTTGCGATCGCTTGGTTACCGCTCTTGAACCTAGCCGCTTCTGCTAGAGCCAGTTTCGTCTTAGCCTCCAAAGCCTGGATGGTTCGGTGCGTGGCTCGCCTTGGGCTCGTGACACGCTTCACCAAAGGTCGGCACAGAGATGGATACGAGGTGTGGGAGCAGAGGTTCATCATTCGCGACGCCTCCGCGACTTGGCATGAGACGAGGAAGATCAATACGGCGGCGGATGCCGCGACAGCCACGAATCGCAGCTGGAAAGTGTCGCGGCCCGCCATTTTATTTATTTACTTATTTGAATCTGCTTAGTTTATTTGAGAAGAAATTAGCCGAGGCAATTTTTCTGCTTGGACTCTTGTTGTCCATATATAGAGATTTTTTTTTCCTGCTTTTAAAATTGTTGGTGGTGCGCGTTTTGCGTTTATCCCGTTTTATTTTGGTGAATGTAATTTAATCTGAGGTTTGTCTTGTTTTTAGGAGAATATCATTTTTAAAAAAAATCATAGGATCATATTTCTTTGATACATATAAAAGGACTTCATAAATTGTATTTTTAATTTTTATTCATCTAGATCATAGGTAATTACTGTAGAGTCGTATAAGAGGAATGTGAATTATCTACGGTCTAATAAAATGCAACAAACATACTAACAAGAAAACTAAATTAAGAAATGTGTCCATAATTAATTGATTAAAAGACAACTGGGAAAAGTTTCGAAACGTTGTCGGAATCAGAGTCACAAGTTCATGACAATCACAATGAATCAGGAAACAAAAATTTCTCAAACAAGAAATGGTGAGCTAACAGAAATAGAATCAGAAATCAATGGCCGAAATATTGATTAACAGCAAAAAAAATATTTCATTCTATTTGAACAAGAGGCATATTCATGTACCGGAACTTGCAGATATCATCGCAGAAATCATCTGCACTGCTGTGGTTGCTCTTCATCTGAAGAACTCTAATCACCATTCGCTTCAGACCTTTCGCGTATTTCACAAGCGATTCAAGAGTGTTCATCTTCTGTTCTGCGTTCAGTGGAGATCTCACTGTGATAACAACTTCCTCCAGACACGGTATTGCAAATCCTGTCTCAAGCTGCAAAGAGAATGTACAACATTATTGCCAAGACTTTGAAACATAGGGAAGGTTTCTGATGAAGAAGAGATTATTTTTGTTCTTTTTACCTTCTTGAGACTGTTTTTCTGGCAAAGTGCAGCGAACATTGCTCCATGGATGTCGAATTTTTGAAGCTTGGGGTGGTTATTGAAGAACTCGACAAAATCAATCTCAGGGAAAGGTTGAAGGGTGTCATTGCCTGTGAATTCGACCTTCATAAAGAGATGCTTCACGTCTCTTGCTTGCTGCAGCATTATGGATAGTGCATCCCAACACCATTGTACGGCTCGAATTGACAGGGCCTCAAGCGATGAAAGGTTACGGAAATCTACCATGTAAACTCTCCCTGCAAACAATTAGAGACAAAGAAAGAAGACAAAACTAAGACTAATGACATCGACAGATGGTGATGGAACAAAACACAAGTTAAACTCAAGGACTAGTTTTAGTTTACCAGCAATGTTGGCGATGGATAAGCTCTTTAAGAATCTGGTTTCAGGGACACTGATCCAGCTACAGCCTTGTACATCAAGGGACACTATTCTCGGGCTCGTGAGGGAGAGCAAGCTGTTACCTTGTCCATAGAAATCCAGCTTACAGTGCTCCAAGTTCGGAAGCTTGATCGATATGGATTTAACTCCTTCACAAGCTAGCAGAAGCAAGTTACTCAGATTCGGGCATGCACGTAGAGCACTACACAACGTGGAATCGTCCAACCTTGCTCCCACTATTTCGAGGCTGCGAAGGTTTGGGAACGTATCCCACTTAGGAATGCTCAACATCAAAACACCCCAAAGCTTCAAAGTCTCCAAACTCTTGGCCAAGCCGACGCAATCAAGCTTCAAGGGCCCCTCTTTAATAGCCTCTTCGCTAGCGAGATTATCCATTCTTAGCTCCAGTAGCCTGAGAGATTGACTGACGTGCGACATCCAAGATGCTAGGCCTTTGCTAGAGAACGGGCTAAGGACCACAAGCTCCTCCAGACGGCGGAAAGACGAGACCATCTTCAGAACGATGGCGTCGGAATCATCAGTCTCCGGGATGCTTTCGAATGAGTTCCTGGGGAAGTTAACGCGCTTGACGGAGTCCGTTGACTCTTTCCACCGCTTGGAGACGCAGTTGCAGGCAGCCACATCCTTCGCTTCGGTCAGGTTGGAGAGAATGTACTGAAGGATCGCATCAGGAAGAGACTCCATATTGGCTGAGACATTTCATCGAACAGTTGGTGGGTCAGCTGATAAAATTAAAAATACAGATATCCTTCATAAATTGCAATAAATATTCATCCTATATATCTGGCATTACAAAATCCATGAAATATCAAAGTGGACAAAGCTTGCCTACAAGTTAAATTCCAAAAATTTCTCACCATATTTTCATAAATGCAACATGAATGCGGTATATGATACGGATCTTAATGACTGGATCTTAAGATATTAACATTCAATAAGTATAAATCCCTACAAGTTCACATTTTGAGATCTGAAATTACTTAACTTCGAGTATACGCACACATCAGACAAAATCAAGCAACGCTAAAATGACATTTCCCCAGGAAAATAGCTAAATTTTTATATAACGCATAGAAAATGAAAAGGAGACAAAACCCCACATTTACGAAATCTCTACAAGTGGATACGTATACAGAATCCCAAAAAATCAAGTTACAGATTAGATACCGAGAAAGGGGCATTTGAAGAGAATCATAAAGCAAAAAAGTAAACAGAGATTCATCTTCGTTTCCCATAAATTTTTTTGGGTCGACATGAAATTCAGCTACTGAATGCAACGAATCCACAAACGGTTGGAAGAAAATACAAAACCCAAAAGAGTGAGATTCGGAGAAAGCAATAGATTTTGGGTGAGAGAGTTGCTTACTGTATGAATCTCTAAATCTGGGTCGCATTAGAATTAAGCGGTAGAAAGAATGGAGAGAGATCTCTAACTCTCGGAGAAATCTGAATCTCGTAGAGGGAGATGGGGAGTGGGAGTGAGAGGGTTGGATTTGGGTATTTGTAAAGGGCGGAAAAAAAAAAAGAGTATTGAGAAGGTGGCGCGTGAGGAGACGGAAGGCGGAGTTTCAAATTTTGAAAAGAAAAAGAGATCTCTTTTCAAAAACAATTCGCCACTTTAAGTAATTTTTTCATTTTCTTAATATTTTTTTTTCAATTCAATCGGGAAATACAAATCTTCTTTTATACTACGGTCTCCCATTTTGATAAACCAAAAAAAAATCCAATCTCGAACCAAAACTATATAAATTAAATTGATATCCAATACAAGTTAAAATAAATAAAAAACAGATATTTTAACCACGAATGGAACATAAAATTAATTATTGTGTAAAGTGAAAAATGTGACATAAGTTTTCAGTGGGCTATTTGGCGGTAGATATGCCTTACCCTAGTTCTGTCGATTAGCCGTGGGGACGGAAACGGTTCTGGGCCCAAAGAGATTAGGCCAAGCGGCCCAAGCCCGAACTACCTCGAGTAAAAAAGAAAATGTAAATAAGTGAAAAAATAAAAGTCAAACAAAATTTTAGAAAAAACAGATACAATACTATTAAAAGAGAGGCTATAAAGAGAGGTAAGAGGAAGACTACAAAGTACAAGTTGGATTGGAATCCAACAACTTATTTCCATATTACTCTTTTTGTGATAGATTATTTCCAGGATTGCATTACTTTGAACCAAATAAGATTATATTATTATTACTTTGCATTAAAACCATGAAACTGAAATTAGAATATATTATATATAACTTTGAACCAAATAAGATTTACTTTGACTTTTTCTATACATAATAATACTACGTAGCTGGGAATATCCCCTTATTCTCATGTCTAGCATGAGTCATTTATCCAGTGTGATCTTTTGAAAATAAAAACACTATATTTAAGCATAAAATTTTAATAAATGATTATCTCCCAAATTGACTCTAATTTTTCACCAATATAAATAATAACATAAGAGATGATGTTTTAGCTCTCACACCACCATCACCATTAGTATAGTCCCTTTTTGCTAGTGCTCAACGTTGGTTGAGCCAACTCCTTCCGATTTCTTCTTCCTCAAGACAAATCACAAATCCTCTTCTCATTTCGAAAACTCTGGTTTCTCTCAACCCTAAAGATACTGAGATCATCAGCGAGTTTCAGATGCTCTTGCAATGGGAAAGCACTCAAATGAGAACGATCACGATCAAGTACAGCAGCAGAATCTCGACCCTGAGAACCCTCAATCTTCTGGATCCCCTTGTCGGAGATGTTTCTCTTCTCTGTCAGGCCTGTTTGGTCTGGGATGTGTCATCGTTTTGGTTCTTAGCTTTGCGACTCTTCTCTCTGCCATCTTCTGGTTATTCCCGCGTCGATCGCTGTCTCAGTGCCACGCCCCTGGGATAGTTAAACTCAATGGTAAGCGTCGTCATTATATTTTTTTTTGTTTCTTCAGTTTGACGAGATAGATTTGGTATGATTGATTTCTCAGTAACATACTAGGGCTCTAGAAATAATTACTGTTTTGGCAAATTTATACAGAAATTAAGAGAACCCTTGTTTTAATTACTTGCTTGCTGCTTAAAGGTGGATACTTTAAGTACATAGTCTCACCAGTCTTTGAATATTGATAGTTAATTAATTAGTTTTACATATATATAGTGTGCCAATTTTCATTTTTGATGGTTCTCATAATCATATCTTATGTGTCATGCTTTAAAATCCTCAATTTTTAGATTTTCTTCTTGATTGGTACGAGTCTCTTACCATTTTGTTCTTTCTCTTAAACCAGCATCAGTACAAGCATACTTTAAACTTCATAAACCAGCTTCTCACGTTATTTCCCATAAAGGAAGACTAGAGACTGATATCTTTCGGAGTTTAGATCTTAGGAACACCAAGGTATATATATATATATATATATTTTTTTTCTTTTGCTATACAAACTATATAGTGTTTTCATTTATAGTTTTACAGCTCTAATATCCATTTATTGGTGAACAGGTGGCTATTCTGTCTCTGCATCAATCAGGTAGGGCATCTAAGTACACAGACGTGAAGTTTGCGGTTCTGCCTGTCCCTACTGACTCTAAAATAAGAGAAGGCTCGTTAGTTTCACTGCGATCGTCTTTTGTGCAGCTGTTTGCTCAGAGATCGAATCTGAATCTGACCACATCAAGTTTTGGTCAGCCAACTTCTTTTCAGGTTTTGAAGTTTCCTGGGGGAATAACTTTAGATCCTCTGGGATCTAAACCCGTTTCTGGAGTAGCAGCGCTTACGCTTAGCTTTACTCTCGAAATTTCGTTATCCGAGATTCAAGATAAACTGGACAAGCTAAAGAACCAACTTGGGCTTGTGTTGTGTTTGGAGACATATGAGAAGATTCATGTCCTACTCTCGAATGAAGAAGGATCTACAATATCTCCCCCGGTCACTGTTGAGGCTTCTGTTTTCTCATCCATGACAATTATGGAAAACCATCCTAAGAAGAGATCGGAGAGTCTTGCTCAAGTCATTCAAACATCTCGTGCTTCAAATCTTGGTCTAGACAACTCAGTTTTTGGTAAAGTCAAGAGCATTACTTACTCAACGTACGTGGAGGGGAAAACTCTAGAGTCTGCTTCGGTATTGGCTCCAGCGCCATCTCCTTGCTTCCCTTCTCTCTGTTAAGCCAAACTGGGCAAAGCAGCTTCTCTTTTCCTCTTTCATGGACTTGATTTCTCTTGTGGCAAGGACGCAAACTTGTGTGTATGTTTCTTGTCTTACTCGTTAAGTAGCGGCAACAAAATGTATATCTCATTTCTAAGCCTTTCCTGACAGAATCTACTTAATTAGCTGTAGAATCAACGGTACCATGGAGGTTGTATGAAACAGAGTTTTTTATTCGAATAAGATGCAGCTTGAGTTTACTTATTTGATTTAGTTGGTTGAAACAATCTATTAATACAAACAGAGGAATCCTGATTCTGCTTATTGAGTTTATAATTTAGCCTCCCTATGGTTTGTTACATATATGGTATGTCGCCATTTTCTTTGAATCGATTTAGCTCTTCTTCCAGCTTCTTGATAACTTCATCTCTCGCTGCAAGAGTCTCTAGTAATGATCTGTTCTCTTTACTAAGAGCTTGAAACTGGCTGATGATTCCATCTATCTGCACTTGAATGGCTTCATCGCTAAGCTCAAAGGCAGTCTCCACAACCCTCAAAACCCGCCACAAGCTCACCACCACGATGAACCCGGCCCCTTTCCTGTCAAGAAGCACCTGGAGAACCAGAGCTATAATCGCAACCGCACCATCCATCACACAACCGGGTTGTCTGAAAAAGGACTTCCCCATAGCAACAGCTAGAGCCATGGATTTAACGGCGAGAATGCTCAGAATCGCGGTTCCTCCCCAACGGAACCATTCATCCTTGTTTTCGGTTTTGTTGGCTGATGTGCAGGAGAGAAGAGACGAAGATAGTTCGAGGGACATTAAGATAATGTCGAGAGAGAGCAAGAAGATGGTGAAAAGGTGAACTTGGTATGACTCTAGAAACTCTGACAGAGCGATTCTCCATTGCGGTTCGATGGAGATGAGTACTTGTTGTTGCTGTTGTTGTATTGAGGAGAAGATGAAGAGTTGTAGCCATTTTCGTCGTCTGCACCAACTCTTAATTAGGGTTTGGATCGAGAATTCGACATTTTCAACTGTTCCGGTTGTGTTGATGGAATTCATGGAAAGATGACAAGCTTTACAAGTTGTTGTTGGATGGATAGTGGGTACGAGCTTTGAAGGAAGGCAACCATTTTTAAAAGGGCTGAGAAAATCAGGTTTTTCTGAAAGTTGACTTGAAAGGAAAGTAAGCTTGAGATACAAGCTTTTATTTACCCTTTTTAGTGACGATCTATGATAGAAAAGGCGAGTTTTTATGTTGTTAAATTATATGAGAAATTAGAATTGCCAAATCTAAAACCCATTTCCAATGACTAGTTTCTTTTAAGAGAAAATGTTAAAAATAAATAGTTAGCATATTCTTACGAATAATACATTTTAAATTGTTGTTTTTTCTTATATCCTCCTCGAAATAATAACACTTATTTTTAACAGAAATCTCTCATTAGGACTGAAATTTCTGTAAACATTACAACTATGAAGTTATGAACAGAGAAAGGGACAAGACGTGTATGCATGTTGTATCACATCAAGTTTTAAACCATGAAGATCAAGAATATGTACACCTCGTGGATATTATTACCTCAACCATAATTTGTATTACACATAAGTGGCCTATAAAGACCCAAACTCAACTGTCATTATACTAATTTAAGCATCAACAAGATTACAGCAAAACGCTTTGGAGCTCCAACACCCTATGCCAGAACTCTACTATGAATTACAAGGAATCCTACGTTCGATTTATGGCCAAAGCGTTTTGTGCGGAACAAATAGTTTTACCTTGGCCTTCTAGGGACCGTAGTTCATTCTTCTCCGTCAAATTACTCGAGAGTACAAGGATTTTACCGATACCAGTTCTCGAATCTCTTGTTCTGGAACGCTGTCTGCAGTTGATAAACCATTGTGTTTCATTCTGTCATGTCCTTCAAGGAAACATCGTCACTTACCAGGTACTTTAGCAATTTTCTTTAGCATCGGTCAAAATCCGGTCTTCCTCCATCAACTTCTCGGCTCTTGCTTCAGGTGGATGCTTGGTGGAATGGTGTACGATAGTTGCTGTTACAAAAGAAAATACAACTTAACTTAACATCAAACCTGGGCAGCTTCCAAGGGACATGCTTAGTGATTAATAAACTAAAGGACGTTAATGGTTCCTGAGTTTTTCCTAAGTATATATATTTTTTTCGGCATAAACTTCAGTTCCTCAACCTATATGCAATGACAATATCTATGTTCAAGATTACGACAGTGTAGATTATATCAAACTCCTTAACACTTTTAGGGTCATGAAGCTCTGATTACTTGAGATCACACAAATAACTTATTTCAGGATTAGCTTCTTCTTTACATCGAGGGATTTTGACCCATTACGGCAAAATCTGTTACCTGTGGTGTACTCGACAACAGTCGGCTTGCAAGATCAACATTAATTGAAACGGGCAGAGCAGGCATCCGACTCATGATACCAGGCATCTCCTTCATGCTGCAGCAGAAAGTAAGATTTGAGCAATTATAGAAAGGAAAAAAAAGAAGACAGATGACATGTCTGAATTTTGAAAAATTGAATCTGCTGTTAGATCCACATACTCAGTCAGAATGGCGCTGATGTTATTTCTTGCCTGGTAAAAGAGACTGATGTTATCCTGCAGCTGTATGCAATAAGTTAGGATATCTGTGTGGTACACAATGTTCGATCTTACTTTTCTGATAATTTTAGTCTTGACAATCTCTATTCATGCAACTAGCCACCACGAACTGCAAGAATAAAATTACCTTGTACGCAGAGAGGTTGTAAGAAATTTGACTAAAAGCTTGAACGTTTTGCTGTAGAAGATCCATTACTGCGTCACTTAAACCTGAGAAGAAGAGTTCAACAAAGGTACCTTGCTGACAATACTGAACTTTTTTATCTTTTAAAGACCACACACAACCAGGAGAAGAGCAAAGAATGAAAAGAGCACTCAACCTTCAAGAGGCATGTGTGTAGAGTGGCACATATTGTTCATGACATATAAAGCATTTTGTTGTGGCACATTGGATAGCATGTTCAGTTCTGGGGATGTATCCACCACCTTACCATGACGAAGCGTGGTCTTTAGAACCAAGTTCAAAAGCATGATATGAAACACATACAACAACAAACAACATACATAACAGATGTATGTACCCCTTAAAAATATGTCACAGAAATCATACAAGAACTAACTACATATGTTCCCGTAAGAGAAACAACATACAACTAATTTTGTCAACAATAGTTCAGCTTCTGCGTTGAAAACTACTATCATTAGCTCAGATTAGCATGAAAACAAAATTCATATTTGTAGGCAAAATCTTTTTGTAAACGAGGCCACTTACTTCATCAGTTTATTGAATAGTAGTAAATAAGACACAACACGAAAGGTTTAGGTGGAAAAGTATACCTTTCTATTGCTACTGTTCTTCCCGGCACTATATTCTTCTCTTTTTCTCCGCTTTCGCTGTGAAAATAGATGCCCGTCTTAGCCAAGACAAACTTAAAGATAATGATATATACATATAGTGAAAGTTAAAATAAAGGCAAACAAGCACTGATGAAAAGAAAAAGGAGGAATTTTGGAACTTTCTGTTTGATTGCATCATATATCTGATTGAAGACTCACAGGAAAGAGACATGAAGGGAGATGTTAATATAATGATAATAATGTTTCATTAGATTGTTTTTTTCCCACTTTGCCATGCAAACATTCAACATCATGATGTAACCATATGTTGTGCGCAAAATAATCATCTAAAAAGAACTCCATTCACTAGGAGGTGATATAACTTTTTTTTATCAAAGATAATAACATGGCAACATGAATTTCTTAAACTGCAAAAAGTATAGGGATCTCTGCCATCACCCATAAAAGCATTACCTATTTCAGGATAGCTACAGAAATCATTTTAAAGAAAAACTTTAGGCTTATTTCCTTTTCCTACAATTCCCTCCACAATCATGGACTTCAAAGCTAAAATAAAGACAGGTCTAGCGTCAGCAATACTTGTCAATTCTCTTTTTTTGCTCATCCTTAACCACTCTTTTAGACATATCTTTACGACATGGCAGGGTGACTTTTCATCAATAAAACCTATCGCTTTTTTTTATAGGACTTTATCTTTATCACAAAGCACACGCACAAAGTTGCATCATCTTGCTGAATCCGTCATATTTAGCATATGCTTTAAACCAGTGATAGAAATATCCCTAGTATCACTACTTCCATAAACGATAGCCCACATACCATTTGAAAAATGAATGCTAAGTAATTCTCTAGCAGTAGAAATATCCTTGGTAAGAAGTCGAGAGTGGTAAATTTTCTTCTCATATAAGCAAAAAGCTCAAGGAAACTTAACCGAAACCAAAACAGCATTTACGAACTTACCGTCATCCATCTACACCTCAATGCTACATCCCTTACAGTTTTATCAGGTAGAGTTGCAGCGATCTTTACATACTTTGAAATTTTGGGTTCATCCTTTAATCTACAAACCAAAAAATTAAAGATGTCATGTCAATGCATGCAAACAAATAGAACAACAACCTACAGACTCTAAACCTGAACCTGCTCTAATGGTCCCAGTTTCCAGATGACAGGTATGCAGCCTATTTTACATTTCATGGAAAACACAAAGGCAAATACTTTTTATTCCAAGGAACAAAGGAACATACTTTAATAGTCCACCATGGAGAATATAATGTGCCCACTACTTGTTATAAAAAAACAATTCCCGACTTCAACTTTATTTTTGTTTTTGAGAAAATTTAGTTTTGTAGTATCAAAAGCTACGAATTAACAATAAACTTGAATCCGTACATGTAAAGAAAGAAGAAAAAAAAAATAGCAAATGGAAGGAAATATCCAAATAGCAAACGTTAAGCGGAAAAGAAGATACCTACTTTGCAAGGCCCTTCTCCAATACGTACTGCTCCTCAACGGACCAATCCATAACCAAAGCAGCTTCAGGTCTGACTCCACCAACCGAACCCGATGAATCCAAAGCGGCGGCGTTCATCGCATTTATACCGTAACTCGCCGGAAATACAAAACCGGCGGTGCTAGTGCTCGGCACACAGTGATTATCCATTGGAATCATCCCAGGAGAGCTGTTTTATTACTGATTTGAGCTACGAGGATACCCCCAAACATATCGAATTTAGGATTTTTTTGCAATTTAGAATCCAAAGTAAGCAAATTTAAAAACAAAGAGCAATTAAACGCAGGAAGGAAAAACAACACTGTGAGAGAGAGCATGAAATGAGCAATTCACCTCAGGTTTCGCATCAACAGACAAAATTAAACTCTTCGGAAGCTACAGATGTCCTCGCCCTAAACCCGCACCGGTGGTGTCGCAATTAGAGATGTAACCGACAAGAAGAACGCAGCAGATACGTCGGAAAACACTCCCGGAGATGCTCCGGCGAGCAGCGGTGCTGAAGATTAGAGGATGGCGATGTGCGAAGAAGATGAGAGAGTGGCGCAGCAGATTGCGAACTCCAATGGAATGGAAGAAAGTCGAGGAAGGAGAGAGAGAGAGAGAGAGAGAGAGGTTAGTGAAGTAGTAAGTGTTGGTTTTTGTTTGGTTCTTGTTTTTGCAGAAGCACTTTGTTGTATTCATATGCACTTTGCTTTTTGATTTGGCCGAGCTTTCCTATTTTATTTGGCTCCATTTTCTTTTTAGTTTATTTTTTTTCGTTTTAGAAACTTAAAATTAAACACTTGAGTTCTTTCTTTTCCAACAATAAAACACTTGAGTTCTTTCATTTTGATTATCTTTTGTTGTTTTCGAGTATTTTTTTAGTTTTATAAGTAAACAAAAAACAAAAGTTTTAGACCAATGATCGATCCTTTAGGGATATCTAGGCATCGAAATCTAGAAATCAATCTTTAGATTTGGATCGAGATCTTCACATATCACGTATCGGTTCATTATTCGAACATCAAAAGGTAAAATTTCTTCTATTAGTGGTGGTGGCCATCAGAATCCCCCATGACATCTGAGTGGCAATTATATTCAAAAACACTTTTTAGCTAATTATTCTAAACAGTACTTGTGTTAGTAACAAAAACAGTTTGTTTTTATAGCTACTGTAATAAAACATCCTCACTCTTGTGTTTGTGTTTATAGATTTTTATTTAATGAAGTAATTATACATCGTTACTCTTTTATGATCTTGCTATGAACATCGCAGGAAACCAAAAAAAGGACAGAGGATTCACCAATGGAGCCTAAAGCTTGCACCTTGCATTAGCGGGTGAGCAAAATAGGCCCCAACGGTTAACGCGGTGATTGCAAGATAAGGCAACCGAACAAATTCTTTGTAGTAATCCTCAGGCAAAACTTGGCGTCCTTCGAAAATGGCAGCAAAAGGAATCACACTTGTCCTCTTCTTGATGCTCTCAAAAGCCTCTCCATATCTTTTCGCTAGTCTCCTGTCTCCATTCCAAGCTCCAAACAAATGGTGTGCAATCAAACCGAGAGACGCTGATGCAGCTACTGTGCTTCCCATCCAGAGAGTGTGCGCCAAACACCAAACGATTTGTCCAACCATCTGGACAAGATTGGAGAAGAGATGTGCAAACAATCAAGTCTCGTTAACACATCCAGTAGAAGAAATCTTGGTTCTTGAAGACAAATAGAGAAGAGAACAAACCAAAACTAAAAGCTAGATATATAGTCTCTACATATTGTCTGCAGATATCGAGTGATTCTCATGATTCGGGTTTCATTAACAGAGCCACTAATAAACTTTGGTTCTCGTGAATATGGTACATAATGTTGAACATGAAGAAGAGATAACAAACCAAAGCTAAAAAACCCAACCTTTCTGTATATAGTCAAGTTTTTGAATTAGATTGTGCTGTGGAGTAGGTGAATGTTCAATACCTGAGGATGTCGAGTGATTCTCATGATGCCAGTCTCCCACAGATGCATCTTTGGTTTATCAACAGCTGCTACCTCCAGAAGATTGAAGGTTGAAGGGTAGAGAAAGAAGAAGGATACAAAATTAGCGACCCAAACAGCTTCGTGGACTCCGGGAACACCCTGAAGCTGCCATAGCTGTGACCCATCGTACCTATGGTTTATAAAGAAAACCTGAAAGAAGAATGACATTTTCATAGACCCCAAAGAAAATTACCAAAGCAATCCTGAAGAACTCAAACAGGTTTTGGGGAAATAAAATTTGGAGAGTAAGGAAGTACTCACAATGGTGCTCATAGCTAAAGGAAGAGAGACTCCAGCAAATAGAACACGAAATGCTCGTTCGCCTATGAGTTTCTCTCCTACATCTCTGAGACTAGCTAAACCACTATGTACAGTTGCAAATATGAGGATAAGCATCAACATAGCAACCTGCAAAGGAGTGCTTTTACAGTCAGTGTTAACGGAAGAATTGCCTCAAGCTGGTTCAGTAACTGTATACCTCAGGTGAGCCGGAGATGCTAGAGACGGCGTCGATGTATGATTTTCCGAAACCGGTGGAATTATCGATCCAGACTACGTTGAGGGTGAAGAGAACGACGCCAAGGACAAGGCCGAAATAAACCCAGGAAACAAGCTTCTGTTTTCCTAATTCAAAAGCAGCAGAATCCTCGCCGATCAGTATAGTGGGATTCTCGGCGTCCGAAGAGACGGGGTCTTCCCGGAGAGTGCCACGGACCAGAATTTTCCGAATTACCGGTGACGATGAAGAAAGCAAGTTGGCCGAGTTTCCGAGACGAGGGTGAATTGGGATACGGCGAGATAAGGTGAGGCTAGGGCGGCGAGGAGGATGAGGAAGAACAAGCGAAGGAGGACTCGAGAGAAGGAGATGATAAACCGCCATTTTTATTTTGCTGGTAAAGAATCTCTCGAGAAAAGAGAATCTATAAGACTACCGTTTTAATGCGATTCTCGCTGTATTCTCTTCGTTTTAAAAATAAATAAATTTGGTGTAAGATGGAGAATATGTATCTATTTTGGTGATGGAACAAATACTTATACAACTATCTATATTGTTTAGTGATTGGCTAATAAGAAGATTTCAATAAGAGTTTTATCGGACCACATTACGCAGAAGACTCAAAAACATGTTTTTTTCAGAAAGTACGTGTAGTTTTAAGTTATTTCACTACCAAAAATTAAAAACTTCCAGGAAAAAACAAATTTAGGATCCGTTCTACAACCAAATCTCTCACTTTCTCGATTCAAGAACAACTTGGGTAGTCTTGTAATCAGTTTTCGTGCAATGCTTTGGTGAGGTAAAGCCTGCTGAAGTTCTGCCCAGCAACTCTGCAATAGCAACGGGTCGACTCATTTTAAGTCTTTATCAAAGCAAGACATGATGAAAAAGGATATATAAAAGAGTTTTACACGACAACATACCCATTGATTTGGCCACAGAAGTTTGAGACTTGGTTTGTGATGAGGAAACTCTCTAGCCTTGATGGTTCAGGGATCGGCTTAAAGATTGCGTTCGAAGGGTCCTCCTCGGGCAATGGCTCTTCTCCAGCTGATTTACGAGCCATGTTCTCCGTCCTATAAACCAAAATCACTTGGTTAGTTTACATGTAAGATTAACAAGGGAGTGAAACAAATCGGACCAAAACCAGAACTAGAAGATTCTGCTGGAAATAGAGAGTGGACCTACCTTCTCTTCTGGAGCCAGGCTTGCTGTTGCGCTTGCTGACGAGACAGGTTCCGGTAGTAATATTGGAACTACACAAATAAAATAAGACATCGCATCAAGATAGCTCTCATTTCTGAAGCTGATAATTGAACAAGAGTGCAGAATAAGCCAAACCTTTTGCTGTTCCATAGACAAGTCATCCATGCATTTAATCAAAAACTCCATATTGTTCTCAAGGAAAGGAGTGGTTGATGAGTGCAGACGATCATAATCACCCTAGAAAAGAGAAACGCGAAACACGAGTCAAGCTCTGAAATAGTGGCAGAATGAGATAATATCTATACATATAAGAATATTGTACCTGTGAGACAGGTGTATCAGTCTCCAGCTCGGTCATGAAGGCACTGACAAGCGCGGAGTTTGAAACCTTAATCTGTCATAGGAAGAAATCAACATTTAAACAAAAACATTTTTTCAGAGGAAGCTAAAATTAGATATTAGTTCCAACATAAGTACTTTAGAGATAAAATTTTAAGACTTCAGCATAAAAGAGCAAAGCTCTAGAGACTTACAGGTATCTCCTCAAAAATATCCATCCAGGAGAAATTTTTCTCTCTCAACCTGAAAAAGAAATAGTGATTAGAACACTACATCTATCTCAAGCGGCTTATAAAACCTACATTTTTCATAGATCGGAATACATACTTCTCGCCTGTAAAGTTTCCACCCCGGTACAACTCCATAAAGGAATCCGAAAGCTTCAAAGCCTTCAAAGCTAGGACGCCTAGGTCAGCTTTAGAGGGATCATATATGATGCACACGCACCTCTTGATGTTCTCCTGCAAATGCACAAGATAGAATTCATAAAGTTCATTTCTTAATTTTCCATCACGACATACTTTTTTGTGGTCCAGTTTCCAATCAAAATTTTCACCCAAACAAATATCAATCTCCCTATCGACTATCGTACGCAGTAATCATACTATACATAGAGATAATTACAACTCTTAATTCTGGTATCAGAGAGAAATGAATGCAAAGTAAGGCGTTTCTCCATAAGAAAAATAAAAAGCAATCTGACTGAAAAGAATAGCATGTGAATAGGCCAAAACCAGGAGCATGTGAATAGGCCAAAACCAGGATCTAGAGTATCACAAACACATGGCAAACAGGATCATGGAAGGTACCTGGTAATTCATGAAGGTCTCAATCAGTTCTACAGTCTGATAGGACCCAAGAACTGTGGATTGATACCTGAGCAAAATTTAAGATGATGTTATTACAATCACTAAATAATCTTATAACGAGATATTGATCAAACTGATGAGTGATGACATGAAAACCTACCACCCAACAGTGTTGTTGTCAACATTAACCTCCCTAAGGCATCTCATCATTTCAAGCTGATAATTGGCACCATCGGCTTCAATTTCTTCATCGTCATCCCTGACCTGTGCTCGTTTAGGAAACAGACTGGAGTAAATCACAGGTACGTTGATCAGAGACAAGCGCTAAACAATGCGTGTAAAGTCTTCAAACTTACTGGGAAAGGGAAGCAATTGGTAACTTCAAGGACACTACCAACATCAAGTCCAAGAAGCTGTCCTGTGACAAGTGTCGGTGCAAATTCCTTGCAGTGTTTGATAATCTTAAGCACAGCCTATCACAAAGACATACACACTCATCAGCATGACTACTTAGAGAGTTTTCTACAGGCACAAAACGACTAGTAACAAGATCAATCACACCGTAGCGAACTCCAGGCAAACAGAAACAGAGGAGAAGCTCAAAATTCGTAAAACCAGAGAAAGGTATGAGGACGTTACCAATCCTTCGATCTGAACAACTCTGAGCGGAGGAGCTACCGCCTCGTCCTTCGATATCGCCTGCAAAAACGACCTAGCCACTGCCGAAACAAACCACAGAAGAAATTCAGCACAAACGAGACGGATTTCGTCAAACACAGATTCGAATAATCAAGCGAGCGTAAAATCTATGTGCACGTGAAGAACGGACAAGGAAGATGTACTGACTGGTTGCCATTGGAATAATCTCGAGTGGATGATGAAGCTTCTCAGGTGATAGGCTAAATTTATCCGCCGTGAAACCCTGACGATGTGGTATTTCTTTGCCGGCGGCGGAGATGAGCGAGAGAAAGAGCCTTATGCGTTTTGATAGGGCTTCTTCTCGTGGTTCCGATAGGAAACTCAAATTGCAAAACAGTCCTCGAAATATAGATTCTTACTGTAAATGACCCGATATGATATTATTACTTAGTAACGATGGAGCCAGCCCATGGACCTATAATGCTATTCTCTTGTAAAAGGCCAAGACCATATTATTCCTCAAAAAATATATTGAACATTTAATTCCATGGGCCATTGCATAAATCTATAATTTGAGTAACACCGTAACACTAACCATTAACCAGTCAACACGTTTTTTAAAAAAAATAGACCAAACAAAAAACAGTCGTGGAGTCAAGAAGAATCCAAAAACTCTAGAAGTTTTCCCTCCAAATTCCACCCGGTTTTAGGGTTTAATCGGAAAAGTCGAATTCAAAAGTCAATTAAGACATGGTCGTATAACCAGTCCGTCAGACAAGATCAGCAAGTATATAAGCGAAGTCCTAAATAAGTAAATAAAAATACTCTTTTTTAATTGTTGTTAAAAACGGGTGTAAAACGGATTTACCTTACCTGTCTCATTTTAAAAATGGATGCGCCAACTCGCTCAGTAGTTTACAGCAATAACTAATGAACATAAGTTTTGACCAAAAAAAAAAAAACTAATGAACATAAATTTACATTATTGATTTCAATTAAACAACGAAAAAGTTCATTGTAAATATATACCAGACGAAACCTTGTGTAATGTTAAAATTCTTAATTTGAATAATGATTTTTGAAATAAAATGAACAAGTAATTAAATGACAATATCTTAAAAAAAGTTAAGAATAGTTTGTTAAGTCTCCTGTATAAAAACTGATTTTTCTTTCGCTTCATTTTGAATAATTTGATACTAAAATATTACTTAAAATACTTCTATTGAATATGCTTTAACATATTAGCATTTTAATATCTAAAAGTTCTCTAATATTATTTCTTCTAATTTATTACTCTAAAGTCGAAACCTCATGATCGAAGTGAAGGTCAAAGACGGCAACAAGGTTGATGGCAATTAAATGACCGCAGTCTCTCTTGGAGGTTGGTGTTGGACTGCGTGATCGCAGATCGTTGGTTAATTTCTTGATCATCCTTTACGTGAACTCAATTCAAATTCTAATATTACATTACATTTTTCATCACGCCTAAGCTACGCAATTCATAAATTCTAGTTAATTAATTATACTACTATATCCTCGTTTCGGTCTTAATAAAGATTGAACACCAACCATGAATCGCAACCAAACTAAAACCAAAAGCATTTATGCTCTCTCTTCTTACTCACCCATATACCTTTTGACTAAAAAAAGTCAAGTACCTCGTTGTTCTAACCAGAGGTTTATAATGAAATATGAAAAAAAAAAAAAAAAACTGTATATAGTTTGCTTATTCTTTTACTAATAAATTATGCAAACATTCAACAAGAAAAAAGAGGTTGAAAAGGAAGGTCAATAATTGGACGAGGCAAGAGGAACCAGACACCAATTTAAATAATCGAAATACAATGTCTCTCTTTACTTTAAATTATCACTCAAATTAATATATTCCCACCACATTTCTTCTCCTCCATACCACACAAATCACCATAGATATCTCTCTCGCACTATCGCTTCTTCTCCCTCCAAAATTTTCCTAGCAGCAGTAACTCCTTGGCCCCAAACCCATCTGTCTGAATATTTGGAAAGTAATAACAACGATAACAATAAAGACAAAATAACGTGAATTATTCTTATTTTTCTCTTCTTTTTATTTTCTCCCATTCGTCGTCTCTCCTTCAGAAAACTACCATTATTAATGATTTAATGTGTGTGCAGATATATATAATACTAGTATTATTCATGAATGGCATTGAAGAAGGCACAGTAAGAGAGAGAGAGGAAAAAAAAAAGTTTTCACGTGACATCTTCCTCGACCAAGAACTTCGAGAAAAGATACTCTCAAAGTGAGAGAGAAAGTGCCGGGAAATTTTGACTTGTCCATTAATGCAGCTTCTCCTCCTCCCCCTCATGCTCACAACCAGACCATTTCCTTCCGCCATTATTAATGAGCTCCCACTTCTTTCTTCTTCTTCTTCCAATTTTAAAGTAAAGCTCCATTTTTTTTGTTTGGCTTCGACCGAGGTGCTTTAGCAAATGGGGCAGATCTGGAAAGTGACTAATAATGGAAAGTAATGGCAAAGATATTCATGCGAAGCTTTTTATGGAAACCCGATTCGACCAGTATATATTGTCTTTGATTCGACCAAGTACTAGAAAAGTTGCTCTCCGATTTGATTGACTTTTGGTCTCTTAATACATCGACAATGGTCTCTTCTTCTTCTTCTTCTCCGATTACATTGTTCGTAGTCTTTGCTGCTACAGTATTCTTCTGTTTGGTTTCTCCGGCGAGATCCGGCGACGTCGAAGCTCTACTGAGATTGAAATCCTTCATCGACCCATCCGGCTCGATTTCATGGCGAGGAACAGATCTCTGCAGCTGGGAAGGCGTCAGAGAATGTATGAACGGAAGAGTCTCCAAGCTTGTTCTCGAGTATTTGAATCTCACTGGCTCACTCGACGACAAGAGCTTGAACCAATTGGACCAGCTTAGGGTTCTAAGTTTCAAAGCAAACTCTCTCTCCGGCTCAGTCCCTAATCTCTCCGGCTTGCTCAATCTCAAATCCGTTTATCTCAACGACAACAACTTCTCCGGCGAGTTCCCGGAGTCTCTCACGTCACTTCACCGATTGAAAACCATCTTCCTCGCCGGAAATCGATTTTCCGGGAGGATCCCTAGCTCACTGCTCCGTCTCTCTCGTCTTTACACGCTCAATGTTCAGGACAATCTCTTCACCGGCTCCATCCCTCCTCTTAACCAGACGAGTCTCAGATACTTCAATGTTTCCAACAATCAGCTCTCCGGCCAAATCCCACCCACACGAGCTCTGAAGCAGTTCGACGAGTCTTCGTTTACCGGAAACGTCGCTCTTTGCGGCGATCAGATCCGAAGCCCATGCGGGGTCTCACCTGCGCCGTCGGCGAAGCCAACACCTTTACCTAAGTCGAAGAAGAACAAAGCGAAGCTGATCGGGATCATCGCCGGAAGCGTCGCCGGCGGAGTCCTAATCTTCATCCTTCTGCTGACGCTTATTATCTTCTGCTGGCGACGGAAGCGACGGAGCAAATCTCCGAGGGAAGATAGAAAAGGCAAAGGAATAGCGGAAGCAGAAGGAGCAACGTCTGCCGAGACAGAGAGAGACATTGAGAGGAAAGACAGAGGGTTCTCATGGGAAAGAGGCGAAGAAGGAGCAGTGGGAACTCTGGTTTTCCTAGGAACCGGCGATTCAGGCGAGACGGTGGTGAGATACACCATGGAAGATCTGCTCAAAGCTTCAGCAGAGACACTAGGAAGAGGAACGTTGGGGAGCACGTACAAGGCTGTGATGGAGTCTGGGTTCATCGTCACCGTGAAGAGGCTCAAGAACGCGAGGTATCCTCGCATGGAGGAATTCAAGAGACATGTTGAGATCCTTGGACAGCTCACACACCCAAACCTTGTGCCTCTAAGAGCTTACTTCCAGGCCAAAGAAGAACGCTTGCTAGTCTACGATTACTTCCCCAATGGCAGTCTCTTCACTCTAATCCACGGTATGTATCCAATTGCTGAACATCCACCATTGATAGCTTCTCTCAAGGCTCCTCTTTTATAGCAATGCGGAGATTTGATGGTTTGGATAGAAACTTGGATACATTCGCCAGCTTCAGTGTGTTTTGTGTGTGTGTGTTTGTTTGTAGGAACTAGAGCTTCTGGAAGTGGGAAGCCTCTTCACTGGACTTCATGCCTGAAAATTGCAGAGGACTTGGCTTCAGCTCTGCTCTACATTCATCAGAACCCTGGCTTAACTCATGGGAACTTGAAATCGTCCAATGTCTTGTTAGGTCCCGATTTCGAGTCCTGCCTCACGGATTACGGCCTAAGTACCCTCCATGATCCTGACTCGGCTGAAGAAACAAGCGCAGTGTCTCTCTTTTACAAAGCTCCAGAGTGCAGAGACCCACGTAAAGCCTCAACGCAGCCTGCAGATGTATATAGCTTCGGGGTCCTTCTTCTCGAGCTTCTAACAGGTAGAACACCATTCCAGGACCTTGTTCAAGAATACGGGTCAGATATCTCTAGATGGGTGCGTGCGGTGAGAGAAGAAGAGACTGAATCAGGCGAGGAACCGACTTCTTCAGGCAACGAAGCATCAGAGGAGAAACTTCAAGCACTTTTAAGTATCGCAACCGTTTGCGTCACCATTCAACCTGAAAACCGGCCTGTGATGAGAGAGGTGTTGAAGATGGTGAGGGATGCAAGAGCCGAAGCACCATTCTCGTCTAACAGCAGCGAACACTCGCCCGGGCGATGGTCGGACACTGTTCAGAGCTTGCCAAGGGAAGATCAAGTGAGCATATAGAGAACAACGGCTGGGCCTTTCTTCGTTACTTTCCTTTCCTAGAGCTGACTCTTGTGATTCATGAAGTAGGGTTCATAGTGTAAAGCTCTTTTTTCCTTTTTCTTTTTGGTAATGCCATTTTGATTCATCGACCTGTAGGGCTTGCATAAGATCTGTTCAATTGGTTAACTTTGAGATGTGGGCATTGAGAAATTGGAAGAAAGGAAGTATCTTTTTTCGTTATAACTCTTCCTTTAAGCTACACGATTAGATTCAATTGCCCATGTAAAACAACTTTAGAGAGGAAAATAAATCAAGCTGAGTATAGGATCAAGCCTCACTTGATATTAACATGGCAAGTAAAGTAACTAAGACCCCCTCAATGTTGAAGCAACTATTAGAGATCAAAAGAATTGATAAGAACACCACAAAAACAACAAAGTGAAATGTGATATCGAACAAGCTCTCTTGTGTTAGTAGCCTTTGTTTCCTCGAATCCTGGCTCTCATGTCTACCTAGAGAAAACACAAATGCGACCTCCAATTAGTCCAACAAACTCTAATCTATCCCAACATCAATTCAAGATTACATATTCTATATGCTTCACAATTGTCACTCTCAACACTTTCTCAAGTGTTCAACAAGCATGCTTAATCTCATTCTTTGGCGGTTAGCTTCCAATCTTTTAAACATCACGCATGATTCAAAATTACATTGGCGAACAAAAAAGGAGACTGTGAAGACAAAACATACCTGTCCTCTTTTACAATTGAAGTAGGTTTCCCTTAGGCCAACACACTCGCTCGGTATGCATGGGCTCTTTTCACCAGCGCAGTCCCTAATTGACCGTTTCTCGTCCTACACCAAACATATCCAAAATGAAGCATACCGATAATAATTAGTTCACAGGTGGGTGAATAAACTTAAGAGTCAGAGTCTCTCCATATATTCAGCCAGGTTTTGTATTTACCTTGACACACATCGATTCACTGAGACACTTGACAAGCTCTTCAGCAAGACCCTTACAAGACTTGGCCATTTCAACTGTTTCTTATGCAAAAAAAGGTAACCCATAATAATACATCAGAGCATGTTGCAAACAAATGAGTCTTCAGGATCTTGTGATGCTTAACCGCAGAGCCTAAAGGATTTATTGTGAAGATACAACAAGAAATGGCATAGCAAATCAAATGACAAAAAAGCATATCCTGCTTCGATCTAAATTCGAGAAATGGGGTAGAAGCATTGACATAAAATCTATGCTTCTTCCTCTGATGATCACGAAGAATCCATAGAACACTTCCAACTTATAAATCCTCTTTCTAAAGATCTCAAACTTATCATAAATACAACTCCGAAAATTAATCCGGTTCTCCTCGTGAAATATGTTAATCTAATCAGAGAAAGAAAAAAACCCATCTGATTCCTCTTTCTCTTTTTCCCCAACTGCTTTCCCCTCCGCAGAGAACTCAGAAGAGTATGAACAACGCATAGAGAAGAGATCAGTTACAGAGAAAGACAACACATAATCTAAAAAAAAAGAAAAAGAAGATTTAGGGTTACCGACTTACCGGCGACGGAGAGTAGCAGACGACGGATTTACGTCAACGAAGACAGAAAGAGGTTTTCGAAAGGGTTTGGTTTTCTTCAATTTGGCTTTGCGGGATAGCGGTGGCTACCTGCCCATCGGTCAACTCAATTTTGGTTCGGTTTAGCCGATTTTTTTTTTATTAGACCCGAAAATTTCTAATTTGGACCCGAATTTTTTATTTGGACCCGAACTACCCAATTAGACCCGACTAACTCTGACCCTTTTAACACTTGATAGCAAACGAATTGGACTCTTCAACAAATCCCCAAGGCCCAATTCGTTAGACTTAGCCCATTATCTAACTCCAAAAGCTATTTCTTGGTTAATACCAAACCGATTTCTAATTAAGCTAATTGAATCGTGAACCAGAACGACAGAGAAAAGAAAAAATCGTGACCCAGATTTTCACAGGTGAACCAAATTGTCCGTAAATCTTATCAGAAACCACAAAATTCGTCACATTCCTGGGAAAAGGCGGCTCCGGCAAGACCACTCTGTTCTTTGAGAGAGGGGAAAATCGGCGGATGAGGAAGATGAGGAGAAGCAAAACCAGCAACTCTATTTTTTGCGGAATTTTATTGACAGAGGAGAAGAAGAAAAACGAGGTGGATAAGAAAGAGAAGATGGAGAATCGAAGAAGGTTTTTGTTTTAAACTACCCTTATTCGGAGGAGATTGAGAAGAAGGAGTAGATGGAGAATCGAAGGAGGAGGAGGTGGGAGAATCGAAAGAGGAGGAGGTGGAGAATCGAAGAGGGTGGAGGCGGCGTTAATGGTTTTTATTTTTTACGTTTTTTTTCTAATTAGGTATTGAAGAAAAAAAAGGTATCAGTTTGTGGTTTTATTTGGTTTATTCGGGTAACCGAAGTAAAATTTGGCTGGAACCAATCGGTTTTTCTTCAATATCTGAAACCGAACCGAACCTCTTTTTCGGTTCGGGTCCATCGGGTCCGGGTTATATATGCCAAACGATTTGATTTTGTACACTGCATTTTTTTTTTAATAAAGAAAAGTTTAAAGAAAAGTTTCTTTGTGATAAATGAATTAACGGAGATTTCTCTTCTCCCGCCTTACTCTATAAAGTAACTTCTCTTCTTCCTCTACTCTCATTCTCTCTTCCTCGGCTCATTTTCTCTTACTCTGCAATTTTATTCTTTAGAAAACCAACCACCATGAGCTCTTCTCCTCCACTGAAGAAGCAGAAGACGTCGGAGTCAGAGGTCAGTGGATCTTTCTTAATTCATCGTAGATTTGTTAATTGCTCTGAGATCGATCGGTAGTTAATATGATCTATGTAGGGATTATGAGTTTCACTGGAATTAGAACTCCATACGACGATAAGAAGATTTAGATCTTGTGATAAGTTTCGCTTGAATTAGGAATCCCTCCGATGATTAGAAGATTTAGATATTGCGATGGTTAAGCTTTCCCTGTTCAATCGAAATTATTGCGCATGACGAATTGGATCTTATGATTGCGAATTCGCTCCGATGTTAGCGATGAAGGATAACGTCATGATTCTTCTGCAATTCAATTCCTCTTTGCCTAGATTTTCCAATACGTGAAGCCTGTTTTCTCACTCGCAGCAGATGGCTAATGAAGAATCACAGAAACAGCAAGAGAGCGATGATATACAGCAACAGATCCCTTCCCATGCTGGCTTAGAGGTATTCTTTAGTCAACGTTGTTGCATCGGGTGTATAGTTGGGTAGATTTCGCTAAGGATAACATAGTCCCGAATCAGATCACCGATGAGGAACCACAAAAACAGCAAGGGAGCAATGGCTTGGACGATTTTCTGTGTGACGACGAGGAGGTCTGTCATTGATTCAATGTTGTTTATCTGTCTTCCACATCGGTGGTTTAAGTAATGCTTGTCTGCCTCACTCTGGTTCTCTGAATTTCCAGGATCTGCAGAAGGATCTTGAGGGTCTCGATATCATTCAGGTGTTGATTCGTAATCAACTCCCAGCTCCATCTGTGACCAGCGTAGATAGAGATGTTAGAGCAACTATCATCGATACAATGATGAGCTCGGTCGATGGTGTTGCATATCCTCTGGCGATTCACCTAGCCGTACATGTCTTCGATCATTACTTTGCATCTGCTTCACATGCCTTAAACCCTCACACAGTGGCATCTAGTGCTCTATCACTAGCAGTGTAAGTTCCTACAAAAGCTTTGTGATTCCTTTGCAAAACAGAAAAAAAAACTTTCTAAACTTTTTGTTCCTGTAGGAAACACTTATATGGTGTTGATGTTGGTGCACAAATGAAAGATGTCGAGTTTCAAATACTCAACCCCATCCACTATAGACTAAACGCACCAACAACAAATAAGTTGTTAGATGCTGTTCTCTCCAAAGGGCCACATGATACCACCGTGATGGATAGAGATTGTTCACAGTTCCAGATCTCCGTTTTAGGAGCAGCGTGCCTGTTTTTGGGACCAATCTACTTAAACCCATGTGCTCCGGTAAGGGCTACCTGGGAGTGCGACGCTCAGCGCCTCAGAGATGCCGTCACTATCTTGCACGAGCTCTATGTTGGTAAGCGTCTACCTCAGTGCCGATATGTTCGTAACAAATACTCTAACTGTAGAGGTAATTAATTATGCAACTTTTGGGATTTTTAACTTTTAATTTAACCAATTAATTTCTTTTTTAACAAAAGCCCCAATTTGTGCAGCATGAGCTAGTTGCACTTCTGCGATGCCCAGCCGTGATCCCCGACAGATACTTCTAGTGTTACATCCGAACCAGCATCATTGGACACATATTGACCCGATCTTATACCTTTCGGCTTTTACATATTAGCTACAGTTTGTTGTTATGTCTTCCACTCTCATATTGAAAACAATTTTTCATGTATTCTTTTCACATATTAGATACAGTTTGAGAACACTTTGTCATGTATTCCTTTCACGTATTAGATACAATTTGTCATGTAGTACAATGCTCTCTTTGAAGAAATAGTTACACTCATACATATTTTTTTTCACTTTCATAACAAGTTTACACACATCTAGCATGTGGCACACTTTCTTATTTTGGAAAGACAAATATACTTTTCTCTTTATTACACTATCTTAGTAACTAATTATATTCTCCTTAGTACACTTTCTTATTTTTACGAACAAAATCCTAAGTTATTGCCATCGCTTCCAAAATTATTTCACCGTCGCCACCTACAAATCTATCACCACCGCAACTTTACACATAACTTCGATCCATACAATTTCAGCGAGATCCATTCAATTTCGGTAAGATTGATAGTAATTTTGGCGAGATCCATCTTTATCCACCAACAAAATTACAGCAGCAACAACAGTATCAAGAAAACTCTAATTAACCAAAACTTCAAATCATAGAAACTCCGCCAATTTGGATTCGCCAACAGATAGAGGCTCCAACATTTTGGTTGAGTTTAGTTTATATATTATTTTTAGGTTGAACTTGAATCAACCATAGTTACCGGTAAATCGAAGAAAATGACTCCAGGAGGTGGTTCTGATCTGATCATCGACGATGGTGGCAACAGTTGAAAATCCACCCGTACATCAACGTTAATATGTTCATGACCATTGGACATGGATTTTGACATTTACATGGACAATGGAACATGGTTGATTGGTTCCTGGACAAACAATTCTTGTATATTTAATTTATTTACAAAATTATTTATCCACATAGACAATAGATCATGTTCTGTTAATTTATGGATAAAGAATCATTTACCAAGTTTATATTATAAATACACAATACACTTGTTCAATGAAGTTTCGTCCATAATACATTAATCATGCTATCATAATTAATACTTATTTAATGGACAAGATTATATAAATATTTTGTAATGGATATAATCATATGAATATTTTGTAATATTTATCATTGATTATTAGTTATTACATGAGAGTTCATTCACATAACCGTACGATTGGACATTGATTGTATATGATAGATTTTGATTTAGACTTATGTGACTGAGGTCTAAAATTCAAATCATCAATTTCCATATGTTTTGTCTATCTTTTCAGCATCCATGCGTTTTGTGTCCATAGTAAATGTATCCATGTGTTTGTGTCCACGGTGAATAAATTTGTGTTCATGTAACGAGATTGTAATTGTTTTGTTCATTCATGTATTGTGTCCATGCGGATTGTTCATAAGCTCACTCTATGCATTCAGGTTACTCTCTTTTCACATTTTCAGATTCAACAAAACTAATATACATTTACCTCACTAAATCATTAATACCAACAAAATTGTTACATCTATTAGTATTCCACTTTTTACATAAAAGAAGCTAATTTAGATTGGTCAGGTTAGGATAGACTAGATAAACATGATGGTTACATCCTTTCTAAATTCTGTTTTCAGTCTAACTATCCATGTACTCCCATCCATACTTACAATATATTATCATGGATGCTTTCATCATCTTCTCTACTGGAGGTAGATCGAAACCATCAACCTTGTGACAGAATAACCAGAAGATACTAGATAGATCTACTTTGACAAGTTCATTGAAGCTTTGTATCAAATTCATCGAAGGTAACAAGGTCGGTAAAGTCACATGGACATAGTCCTATAGATTAGTCACTACTCCTGATGGATAGCCACTGCATGTCAAACTGATTATTGTACCACCATACAAGTCCGGATCTACCATAGTCACTTCATCATGGACAACTTTTCATAGAAACTAAATATATAGTCTCTATATAACATATTGATTAATAACTAGTATTTGCTTTGGCTGTTCTCATTCTTAAATAGAATCTGTGTAACACAACCGTCCATAACCATGAGTTTAAAAGTTTTACTTATGTGGACAAGGCATTGTGGATAACTAAACTCTTGCCCAAATTCTTCAATCGATAACTTGTATTTGCTTTAGCCGTTTTCATGTTTAAACATAAAATTTTATGGACAGAAGTCTGTGTAACACAAAACCATCCATAACCATGGGTTTAACGGTTTTGCTTATGTGGACAAGGCACTGTGAACAACTAAACATCCTTCTTTCCAAAATTCTTCAATCGTGTTCATCCTTTACTTATGGAAATAATTCACCGAAATTTGCCGCAGACGAGTTTTATGGTTTAACAGTGCCAAATTGACATGAACCCAAACAATTTTCCACCACAAGAACCATCTACTACGCGAGAGAAACAAATAAACATCAGTTGGGGAGTAGAACGACGCTAGAGAAATTCCGATCTCGACAACAACCTACATCCGCCACATCAAATTCAGATAAGTGTAAATAGATTGCAGATACACATACACCACAGACCAGGCCCGAGAAATTTTAATTTCCGTCAAAAATCAATCGTCGACATCCCCCACATAAACAAAAACAATGAGTTAAAAATTTGAAAATTATTACTAACTGATGGAAGGACAAATAAGGTATTTAGGTAAAATATAAGATTAAGTGTCCCAAATACAAAAGATGTCTAAAATGTAATCAAAAGCCCAATAAATGTCTATCTATGTAAACGACTCTTCTTTGAAACAATTATTTGGTATACCCTGATGATTGATTGCTATACACCAAAACTGAATCAGCCGAAACGCAAAAATGAAAAGTTACTAAAGCGGGAGAGAAAAACAGAGTTGGCTCACTTACATAGAAACAGAGAGTTGAGAACTGAAATATGACGAAAGAAGCTTTTAGTTTTAGGTCAGGACTTGGGACAGTCAAGGCGTAGAGCAACTCACGCCGAGGAATGCAAAGTGCAAATTTTTTTTAAAAAAAATTCTACAAATCCTTGATACATTGATCAGGAAAGGTAAAAGAAATCACCATGAAAAGTAAATATATCAAAAACAAAGTTTGAACAGGAGATAAGAACAAGTTGGATACGAGAACAATCCAAAGAAATTAAATTAAAATGCAGAAAAAATGTTTAATGGTTCATTGGAAGAAAGAAAAGAAGACAAGTTAATTTGCTGAAACAGATAATAAACTTTGGAAATAATAAAAGGCAGCTCCCCGTTTGGTAGGTTTCAAGAGTAAATCATAAGATTTGGTATGGAGATCATGTATCACCAAAGAATGAAAATGATCATGACCATGAAGCAATAACTTATTCTTGTCCAGAATTGCTATTGGTGACAGCGCAATGTCGGCTACCACACCAAACCAAGAAAAAGATTTGATGAGATCTATGGAACACATTTTCTTCCATGTCGAATCGAACGACCATATCACTTGGGTGGGCCAGTTTTTCTGGGACACGCACAAGCGGTTACCAAGGATACACATGGTGATGCTGTGAGGGTCACGTACATGAGCAAAGGGAGCTTTACAAAGGACTTGAAAAGTTTCGGCATGGAGATGGAAAGATAATACCTTGGGCTCTTCGCCCTCAGTGAACCAATAAAGTGACTCATCTAAATACACGGGTGTATGGTAAGCAAGAATCCGAAAAGGAGAAGCAGGGACAACGTACCTCCAAGCATTGGAGCTAAAATCGAATACTTCACAAGTGGTAACGTTGTCTAGGCCAAATCCTGATGAATTATACAACCAAACCGGCTTGTACGTGCCCCTGACTTTGTCTTTGCCGAATCCAAGCTTAGCAGCTGGGTAGATCATCTCTCTTGTACTAGTAAACTTGTCGATGATAAGCTGTTGATGGTTTGAAAGAGGAAAACTTCGATGACATCTAGTGGCGGGATTCACCACGACGCTGACACTCGGTCTGTGGAGTGAGTAGAAGCATACTAGACCGTCACAACTACCATGGCAGTACATGTTACACGAAGTAGGGAATCTGACCGTAGAAACCACTGACGACCCCACCACAATTCTTCGATCATCTGTGTCCACACCATCATCACGGAGGCACACGCAAATAACATCTGGACCTCGTGATTGCCTGCGACGGATCAACTGTCCTTCTTGGAAACGTCGGGACTCGATTGTCGATTTCCACTTCTTGGATACAGTCTTGAATCGTAGCAGCGACGCCACTGGAAGTCCCTCGAGGATGAGCTCTACCACATCGTGGGGTAAGAATTCCACACTCGAGCGATGTCTTCTCAACATTGTTTCCTCTCCAATTGATAAGACAGACCATCCAGGCTTTGAATATATATACACGACCTAGGAATTGGAAAAATTAAACTCAATTCAGTTGATTTCTATCAAGGAAAAGGAAATTCTAACACCTTTTCTCTCTTTCTCCAAACTCGATACTACAGAGTACAGATTTCATCAAATCAAATCATAATTACACTCACTCAGTACCTCAGGAATTCGAGAGTCAGATCTCACCCGAAACTCAGACCAAAGTTGGTTAACTTGCAACCGTATCTCTTATTTTATTTTTTCTCTTTTGGCCTTTGAACCCTAACACTTTTACTTCGTCAAATTGGAAAACGATAGAAATTTGTTATAAAATAATTTATTTATCTAAATTTTTTAAAATGCGGTAAAACAAAAATAATCTAAGATGGGGTTATTCAATTTAAGAGTTTAATAAAATTTGTAAGAATAAGACATTCTTTTCAATCCTGGTGTTATTTAATTATGAATTTTATGGATTCTTTTTAAAACATTTGTTATTTGGATTGATTATTTATATGGATTCTATTAAATTACTTTGAATTCTAGTGTTATTCAATTCATTAGTTTCTTAATTCTATTAAATATTACTGTTATTCAATTTTGTAATAGTTTTAATAATTTTATCAGTTGAAAGGAATTTAATAGAATTTTACCTAAAATTTGTAATGAACCATTTTCTACCATTTTCTACCATTTTTTGTCTGATTTTAATAGAATTAATTTAAATTCTAGCAAAACACTTTAAATTATTTAAAAATCAATTATTTTTGAATTCTTGTACACTCTTATCTAATTCAGTCATCCAATACCACCTCCTAAACTGTTAAAAAGTTTATGATTTCTTTTTTCTCTTTATATAAAAAATAATCAACTTGCCAACAAAATAATATCTTCCTGATGTAAATTTTCGTAAGGACAAAAAAGTAAAATCTTTATTTTACCCCATTGTTATGATGTTATCTTTAAAATCTTACACAGAAACATACACATAATTAAAAAAAATTAAAGCATCCCATAAACTTGTTCAGAATTGAATATTGATGTTTTCTATCTTCTTTCGTTTTCAAGTATGTAGTTAAATATGAAATTTACTGAAATTAATTAATTTCAATAAACGCAAATGCAAACGGAAAATGACATTTGAATTGAAACCACAAGAAAAGCACTAGTAACTTAAAAAAAAAAAAAAAAAAGCAGGAAGTTCATTACATTGTTGACAAAAAAAAACCTATAGCTGATGAAAACCATATCCTTATACATAGATAAAGGACTCAAAACGTTGTGTGAGCATGGCTTATCAGAATCTAGTGACTTGTACCACCACCGAAAAGGTGATTCTAATGCAGCTGTGCTTAGGCGCACTCAGCTAAGAGAAGAAAAAGCTCCTCATCGGTTATGGCTCCCATTTCCATTGCCCTTTCTAGCACGCTTAGCCCTCCATCGTCCTCTATCGATGGACGTGCTCCTCTGCGTTTACACAAACATTTCAAGAAAATAACCATTTTTTTTTTCTTTCCTTATCCCAAGACTACAATTCAAGAAAAATGCACCTTCTATCGATGTTTAAACGTACCTTCGCAGTAGAATCTTTGCAAACTTGTGGTTCCCGGATGATATGCAGTGATGTAACGGAGTCCTTCCGTGATAATCTCTCATGTTTAGATCAGCACCAAACTGTAACAATAGTTCAAGCAAGACAGAGTCACCGATGTTACAAGCCACGTGGAGCAAGGAACAGCCTTGAAGACAGTTTCCTGGTTCGTTGGAGTCTTTGATTCTCTGACACACAGCTGGGTCATGTCTTTTCTTTACTGCTTCCTCTGATGCATCAACATGGTGATACGCATCGATATCAGTTATGTCATCGAACTTGGTGTTGGTGATATTTACATCCCCCGAAGTTACTACGAGTCGATAGATTTCTCGTATGTTTCTGCTCTGAACAGCTTCCCATATTCTGTTTGCAGCACAAGGGTTTGCTTTGCCTTCATCTTTGATGACTAGCGCTTTCTCCAGGTACTGACCCAAGCATAAATCATCATATCAGGTTTAGTTTTACCTTTCACAAAGCATCTAATATAATTCACTATATGACATCGACCACGAAGATTATTTCAAGGACTTGGACATTAGAAACTAAGAAGTAAGAACTCATACAATACCTTCCCTAGAATGTATTTCTCCTTCACAGTAAATGGATCTTCTGGACATGGTTTTGAAATTGAAGCACGTGACGATGTTGATCCGTCTTCACTGCAAAAAGCCAACACTATTTATCATGATGCACCTCATCAGCTACATGCATGATTTGTGAAACAGGACACTGTTTGCAGATAATTCGTCTTCACTTAAAGTTTAAAACAACACTATGTATCCTTAGAAATCATACCAGTCATCGTCAAGGTGAAGTAACCCCTCCCACAGTGAGTTACAGTATAGATTGCCCAAATTTCGAAATAAGTCCAAGATCGTTGGCTCCCACACTTTCACATCTAACGTGAGGGACCTGACCTGCAATTTGTGGGGTACCAAATCTATTACATCAGCTGAAAGATCTAGCACTGAGGACATCCATAGAAAAATCTCCAAAAGCTACAACTACAGTGATGTTGACTTTTGCAAAAAAAAAAAGAAACCAAGGTAACTTCAAATTTCAAACTTCATCATACCTTGGATATATGAACCCCGAGGTTCCTGTGAACACCAGAGCATTGAATGCACAACAAAACTCCAAGATTTAACGAAGCCCAATCGGGCTCAGGAGCATTGCACTCTGCACATACATTATTCCCCGGAATTCCTCTGAGCATTGTGGAGACATCATCACCGATATTTCGTCTTGCATCATTGTGGAGACTTTGATCCAGGGAGACGGCACCTTTAGGAGGAGCAGAACCACTGTAGTCTTTATCCAAGTATTGCACTGGCGACTGCAGAAACGATCTGTATTAGCAGGAAACTTCACTATAAATGAAAGAGAAGCCTGAGAGTTATTGTGTGAACCTGTTGCAGAAAATGAGAATTCAGAAGCGTCCCTATAGCTGTTGCGATTTTATTTACCCAGTCCATCCTATCTGCTCCATTTTCAGCCTGGCAAGGTAGGGAAATACTCTCTCTGTTAGCATTCTGAGTACTATGCGAGGCCCATGACTTGCAACCTTAGGCCTTATAGTGGGTACCTGAAGCGTGTAAGTTTTTTTAGGAGATATAATTCTGAAACAGAGCCGAAGATCCATGTCTTCTGCATCCAATTTTATCAAACAAGTGCGGAGATCGATAGTATTATATCCTAAGATGCCCTCAGTGAGTGAAGCTGCTCGATTATGTCTTGCACGAAATCGACCAAAGACGCCAGTATTATGGTCAGATGAACCACTATACTGATGCTGAGATCCCTGAAAATTGGAATGACAGTAAAAATTCGACCGTTAAAAGCAAACACAAACTTTAAACAAAAAGGAAGATATAGTGAGAGACAATCGCTTAAAGTGTTAAAACAGGAGGTGAGTACTTGAAGCCCTACATATAAACAAAAACACTTAACTAAGAGCCAAATCAAAATCCATAAACTTTCAAGAGACTTTCTACCACAAGATATTAAAGTTAAGATTTCATGCTGAAACAGCAATCTCATCATTTTTCTGCTCATTATTGTCCCACAATTTCATAACAAAGCTATTATCCTTAACAGGGGAATGGAAGGATCCATCACACTATCAATGGTATTTAAGAAATGATCACATTTGGGATGTAGCACTATATCCAAATTCGAAAAACATTATCGACGTCTCTCATGGATTTGAGGCACAAAAAACAGGTCTGGGCACACGTACCATTGATTTATTGCCAGTGTTTCTGTAATAGTACATGGAGCCATGACTATCAAGGACAAAAAACTTCCTTTTCCAATCAGTTCTCAAACTTGATGATCGCTTTAATAAATACCCCTGTTTAATTACCTGCATACGTACAAAAAAAAACCTTGTAAGCGAAAGAATAAATTCAGCCTGTGCTGGAAAATGAAGTGTCAAATGATCACAGAACAAGTCTATATACTGCATAATTGCATTGGCCGCAGAAGCCATGATGCTAGGATTGATTTTTGTAAGGACTATCAAGAAATTGACACAATCTAACATGTATCATCATGTGAACGGTGAGTGGCTTAAGACAGTTGTGTTGCAGATAAAAAAATCGGTAGAACAAGCAAGATTCAAGTATCAAACTCCAGTATAAGAACTGTTCCTGCAGTGAGACTAAAAAACATTTATAACTTTCTTAACCAATTGATCACCACAAAAACACGACTTTTATGAGCACAAATTAAACTTACGAGAGCCACAAGAACCAAAAGATGGAAAATGTGAATTGCACTCGATTCTTGCAAGAATGAATTGGGAAACGCTTACTTCCTTGTCTGCAGTTAAAGTTTCAGTATTTTTATAAGGGATCATCCCAACAACGCGGTTTCCGTTAACACCAGAGGGTTCGGCGTCAGCGGCAAGCTGTTGGCTGTCTAATTCAGACTGGGTCCTGAATTCTTGAATGCGTCTTGCTAGTCTATCTTGTTCAATCTTAGACTGTTCTTTTGACTGTTGAGCATATGTTAATATCTGCAAGTACAAACACAAGTATCAGCGTCAGTGGACTAAATTAGCAGTCAGGAAAGCTTGGCTATCACACATCACATGTTTACAAGAGCAAAAAATTAAGTCTCAAAAGGGAGAGGCTTTGACCAGTGGGTTCTCTTTTCAAATCCAAGTAAACCACATTTTTCAGATTTAGAGATTTCTTTGAACAAGTTTCTAACGTAAAGATATCTTCCATAAGTTTGTACCTGATGGATAAATGGTTCCAGTTGACCCAACAAGTCGTATCCCTGAAAAACAAAGAGGCCAAATTAAGGATCACAAACATGACATAGATGTCAAACTTAGTTGGTCTTACATGGTAAGGATTCAAAATGTAAAATTAGAGACCATACAAGTTTAAAGTATCTCAGATGGGCATCCATAATTGCACTTATAGATTCCAAAAACTCATACTTTTTTTTAGCTTCAATAGTCATCAGTGAATTTACCTGCATTCTTCAACCAAACCAAAAAATTAACTGGAAGTAAAAATATTGAAAGTCAATAGTAATGGCTTATGTTAGTAGAGTAGCATACTAGATTGAAACGGCTCTTCTCAAATGTTGACTTTGAGTTCTCCAGATCCTGTTATTCAAATCAGCCAGCACAAGTAAGTTACCATGCCGAGTAAAAAAAGGCAGAGAACGTGCCAAATAATATTAGAAAGAACAGCATCTACTTCCTGGCTTGTCAAAATAAAGAATGGCTTCACTTCACTACTTTACTCTACAGTACATTCTTTCTAGAATACAAGTGTGCGCTATACTTGTAAACAGGTGAAACACAGACACATTCATCATGTACACATACACCTATAGAACGCACGGGCATATAATGTAGCCAAGAAGAGAAAGCAAACTAACAGATATACATAAGAAATAAATGTTCTACCTCTTCCAACTCTGCAACAACTTCTCCTCTTGTATTCTTCTTTAAAGACACAAACTTTTCGCGTGACTACAAGTAGATAAGAAAACTCATTACACCACTTCAGATCAAGAATATCAAGTACAACTGCATGCACAAGAAATCAAAGAAGCAATAGACTCTATAGCCAAGTACCTGATCATACGAATAAGCAGCTTTATCAAATCGATGGCGAGACTCCTGCAAAGGTAGAAACAACAGTGGATGATTGGAAATTGGCAGCTTGAGTTTTCGATCATAAGAAACACTTTATTTAGGCGCAGCGCAAGACATTAGAAACACTTGATTCTACTTAATTTGGTGACCTTCAAAGCCATATCAGTTATAAATTCATAACCAAATGACGGTAGAGTTTTCACACTACAATAAACGTAACGAATTTCGACAGTCTGGGATGGAAAAACCAAAAAAAATGAATTGAATACGAATACCTTAGCTTCTTGTAGATCAACATTAATAAAGTTCATCAACCTCTCAAGTAACACATGCTCCACCTGAACAAAATTGCCCCATAAAATACCAAAACTGTTACAAAGTGAGACATTGTTGAAGGCCTCTGCGCTAAAATAAACTGCAAATTCGACATTTGAAACCCAAACTATCTTATTTTTTCATTACTCCCCTTTCCACAATCAAGACGAGAAACACCGGATCAGCGAATAACACTATGCTTAGTTTTTTCAGAAATTTATTATAATTCACAAGATAATATGAGACCAGGAGCATACCTGTGAGCAAAGAAACTCCTTATAAGAGGCAAGCTCTCGAAGTGTATTTATGAATTTCGATATAACGGGGCCTGGTGTCACTCACAAGAACAACACTCGAATAGGTCAGACATGAGACGTTTAAGACTACCCCTCCTGTCTATCATAAATCAACAAATTAGCGACAGAAAATAGATGGATGTATATAAACAACCTCCAATTGAAAGACTGATGGGATCATCATGTCCAGCCCCAAATTCCTCCAGACAATCTGCAAACGCACTTTCTCCTTTGGATGCCTCTCCCAAAGCTCCCCTATACAGGAAAATAATTCAATTTCTATCAGGCATCGATCACATGCCTGGCCACGTAGATAATGACAAAAGTGGCACTAGCATCAAAATAATGTCATGGTTTTAACTTTGAACAGAATAACTGAGGAAAGGGTGAGATGCCAGAAAAAAATGAGAAAGCATAACGATATACATATTTACATGAGAATCGAAAAACAATCAACAAAGCTTTTAATGCTCGAAATAGTTTTCAGCGTTTGCTAATTAAGTTAAGAGAAGAGGCAATATGGTGCCAGGATTGCAACTTCCACTTACAGAAAATATGCCACAAATGGGTATTCTTATAGAATCTTATATATCCACAGAAAGATCAGACATTTAATTCAAGACTGTAAAAAGAAAGAAGATAGATCACTCATACATAAACTTCTTGACACCTTTGTATAGCTTCTGACAACGATCTTTCAGCTCTTCAGCTGTCCCCTCCAAGGAACAAACCTGATCCAATCAATCAAATCAGCCACAAGACAAGAAATTCACGATTTTTACAGCAGAAACCTGGAATTCAAATCCTCCAAACGGCAATCATGAACCAAAAGGTGAAATTTGTAACCTGTTTCTGAAACATTGGGGAATCCTCCAGATTGATAAAGGCCGCCATTGGTGAAACAAAAAGGAGAAGAAACTCAGACCAAACAGTGAAGATTCGACTAGACCGAGAAGCGAGCCGAATTTTGGCTTTCTTGTTTGGTTCGAAATGGATCTGGCGAGATCCAAAGGCGTTGTTAGTTGGTGATGATGACTGATGGTGATTGCTTCAGAAACAGCCCATATCCTTTTATTTTTCAAATATTACCTTTTTCTCTCATATTTTAAAATTAATTTTCGGGTCATTTAGTTAATTTTATGGGCTTTTTTTAACCTTTGAATGTGTAGAATTAATAAGATTTTATTTTTAGTCAAGCTATTTGTAAGATGACAAAAATCATGAATTTCATATATAGTAATTGTAATAAAATTGTAGGTTTTTGAAAAACATTATAATGTTCATTTGTTGTATCATGGAAGATTGATGAAAACATTTTTAGACGTTACAATGAAGCAATAATTAACTAGAGAATTTTGGTTCTCGTTCTTTGGTGTGAAATGGTTTCCAAAGCTCTCAGCTTTCTGTTGCGAATCATCTCCATCATCTTTATCATAGACTTCATCTCCTTCTCTGCCTTGTTTATCTTTCTCTCCTTCGACTCTATCTTCTTTCTTCTCCCTAAAACCATTTTCCTCTTTTCTTCACCTCGTGCCTCCATAGCCTACAGAAAGTGCCAAATCAGAATTCTCTAAACCGAATCAATTTCGGTTCAAATCCGGTAAAATGGAATTAATAAGAAAAACCAGTTAAACATACTTGAATCTGGTTGCGTAAGTCCTTGGTCGAAGGCAATGCATTCCATAAAGAAGCTTTAGGAGGAGCATTAACAAACACTTGATCTCTCTCCCATTCAAGTTCCCTTAGCTTTCTCTCAGATTCTTCTCCTTCGATTGTGCTTGTACTGTTATTATATTGTGGCCATTTCATCCAACTATATAACTTCCACACCTGTTCTAATCGATTAAAAATTGAATATACACAAATTACAACCATTACAACAACAAAAATGGTTAAAATAAAAAAAAGCCAACAAACCATGTAAATGGGTAAAATTGGGCGCTAGCGGATAAAATTAACTGATTCATATATACAAAAAAAAAAATTCTGAATTTTTAAACGTATATAATTTACAAATTACACTTAACTTGTTCTTCGGCTTGTTTAAGAGATAATCCAGAGTCGAGATCCATATTTGGATTCAGCAACTTGAGAAGACGTTTCTCACCATCCATGCTATGTGCCTCGTGTAACATCCGATGGTTTAGGTTCTGTAAGATAATTCGGGGAAAATAAAAAGAAAAATCAAATTTCGTTTGTATAACATTTTCAAGATGAATAAAAAAGGGTAATTAACAAATAAGGTTTCTAACATGAATGTTAATTTCTCGTTTCCCGGAGGAGAATGATATAACAGCTTTCTTGTCACGACATGCTTTATTAGCGAAAGTTAACTTGTCTAGCTCCATCTTCTTGGAACAACCTGATCGGAAACTCTGCGTATCGTCGACCAGTGTCCATTTTTCATTATAAACCCATCCGTAACGCAAGTTGTATTTTAGTCCTGAGATGGCTTTTTCATGATAAAGCTGTGCTTAAGAAAAACATTCACAAGTTAATTTGATCCACAATATATATACATATATAGAGACTTGGAGAAAGAGAGAGAGAGAAAGTGTGGTTTCTCATGAAACCAGAATGTACCTTTTTCTCCCTGAGTTTTCTTTCGATTAGAAGCATTTGTTGTTGCATCTCCTCCACCATCTTCTCGTTCTCTTTTATCGAGTTAGAAAAACTGCATTGATTTCTACTATTTTTCGTGACCTCCATAGCCTCGGTAAAAATTATGGTAGCTTCTTGTAAGCAAAGCAGAAGAAAAGCTTTTTAGACAAAGGGTTTACAACTGTATGAGTTATAAAAATAGAGAGGGTTGAGACTTTGATATAAACTCCCCAAGTCTACGTAGTTAAAAAATACATTTTCGAACTTGGTTTGCACGCCAAGAAAGTTGACCATTTTGCCACCTTTTTATTCTCTTAGTTTAAATTCAACCACACTACTGTCTATACTATATGAAAAACCCGAAAATTCATATAAATATGGTTTGGTAGATTCGAAGATATTATTTATTTAAATGAGTTTTTTAGTAAATAAATAAAATGAATAAATTTCTAAATTCCATACAAATAAGGAGCAAGCTTCATGAGAGGCTCGAGGGTGCTCACATGAAACTTCCTCGCGAAAAGAAAACACACATTCGTCACCTCCCCCTCGTAGCTACAGTTCGACCCAAACCGGATCCGATCCAAAAACTCGACCCGGATATCCTTCCTCACGAACCTCCCTGGATGGGACCCACCCCTCGACCAATCCACCCACGTCACGGTCCGGTTCGAATTCATCTCCGGGCAAATCTTGTTAACCAACGTCGGAAGATAATGCTCGTCGATGTAACACGGCGGCCGGCAGTGATCCTTGAAGACGGCGTAGTACCGGTGATCGGAGACTATCCCGGCGGCGACTCTCCGTGAGATCTCGAACCACTGGTTTCCTTTACGCCAATCGGAGAGCGACACGTGTGGGAGCATTTTGGGGCTGTAACGGCCTCGGCCCATGGGCCTTGGGTCGTCGAATGAGCCGAGGAAAGAGCGAGTGGAGCGCGTGAGGTAAGCGTAGACTGTGGTGAAGTTGAAGAGAGGGATGCAAGTCTCTGAGAGGAGTACGAAGCGAGCGTTGGAAGGCTCTTGAAGCGCGTGTGATAAAAGACGCCTCTCTGCGTCCATCATCGACGATCTTCCCCATTCAACGGTCTGCAAATTTTCACAATAATAAATATTTATGTCCATGAATTAATGTTGTACATTACGTATATCCAAATTCTTAAAACACCGAATGCATGAATGTTGTTGCTACAATACCCAGTTAATTAATGAATGCATGTATTATTTAAAATACCTTGCTTGGTATCTTTTTTTTGTAAAACACTGAAGATTCCGGCGGCTCGCCAGTGAACTCCGGCGAGGTATGAATGTAAATGGAATAAAACCCTTCATGGCCTTGGAAGAATGATTCCCAAAGAGGGGACAAAGGCAAATCCCACCTCGTCAGAAACATGAACGCAACCTTTGGACCAGCCTCATTCATTACCGCGCCACGTGGTGCCATCGATGCTCGCGTCATCAGCTCTTCGTCTGCCATGTCGCTACCGGAGCTGTGAGGAGGAGGAGAAGTGAGAGGATTAGGGGAGAGATCGTCGACGAGGAAGAGTGATGTTTGGAGGCGTTGGTTGAGGTAAAGAGCGAGGAGGATGACGAGAGATGAGACGGAGGAGAAGAAGACAACGGTGCCGAGGATGTGAATGTATCGGAGAGCGATCGGTTCTTTCATCATGCGTACGTTCAGTTCTTTAACAAAGGCTGTGACCTTTTGCTTCTTCATAATTTTATTGTACTGATTCTACTCTTAGTTCTTAATTCTTTAGCTTGCTCTGCGTACGTCATTCAAGTCCTATATTTTTGTTGTGAATATATATAGTGCACGAGAATATGTGCCTAGTATATTATTATAAACTAAGATTACCGTTTTAGCCACAAAATAATTCTTTAAAATTCTACAATAAAAAAATATGATAACGTAATTCCGTACTCGAGATTATTAATATCTTCATAAACCTAGACATGATCATGTATTCATGACAATGTTTTTATGTATGTATATGGAGGGACGCGCATAGTGTGAGGAAATGTGCATGAGAATTGTGGGTTTATGAAACGTGATTTAGTCAAGTGAAAAAGAAGAGAAGGGAAGAGAAGAAGAGCATGAAATTTGCGGGAGATGTTAAATAACGAAATTGTTGTAATGTTAAAAAAACGTTAAATAGAAGATTAACAAAAAGAAGCCATGCGTTATCTCTTATGGACTCTTCCGCTTTATAAAGGCTTAAAAGGCCTTATATCGTATTTCCCTATTATTTAAGCCCAAAAGGCTTCCATGTAACAAAGCTGCGTCCGAATCCATCGAATTTTGTTTCTGCGTAAATTTTAATTTTTTAGCTGTCTTCTTCTTCCTCTCACCGTGTTTGACTCTTGAGGCGATCCAACCATAGCAACAACGCGATTCTCGGGTAAGTCAGACGATTTCAGCTGATTTTCCAGCAAAATTGTATGCTTTGTTGCTATATTTCTTCCTATTTGGGGTTTTGTTATGCAGCAGCCTTGAAAATTGAAATACTGGGGAGATTAGTGTATCCGCAATCTGAATTTGCTGCTAGGTTACTGTTTTTTTTGTTATGCCGTATTATTTGTTTCCGTCGATTGTGACTTACGAAGCTCGTTCGTACCTATAGGCTCTTTCAATTGATATCCTGAGTTGTTGAATCTGGATTTTTGCAGAAAAAAAGTCCGTTACTTTCCCTGGAAGTTGAGAGATTTAACCTGAGCAAGGTTACTACTTCTGCGGAATTCAGAGATGCCTCGGGACTTGTCAAGATCGAGGTCACCGTCTCCATCACCTTCGTTACGTCGCAGAAAGCACTCGAGGTCTCCTGTAAGGCATAGGCATAGCAGGAGGAGTAGAAGAGACAGAAGCCGTTCTCCATACTCGTCTTATTCCCATAGCAGGTGATTTGATTCATCGTTATATCTCTGAGCTATTCGTTTATGATTGGTTTCTCCTGTAAGAAAGATTGCTTTTTGAATCTTTCTGGCTAGAAATGTAAACTAAAGTGTACATAGTTAATCTCTATGCATCTCTTATCTTTCTCAACTGCTTTACTAAATGTTCCTACTTATTTTGCCTATTCTTCTCCAATTCGGAGTGCTCCTCTATCTGAATGCTACAGATTTTATCGTTGTACTTTTTTTAAGTGATGATGGTCTTGTTGGAAACATATCTCAATTTGTTAGATTGTTGGAAACATATCTCAATTTGTTAGATTGTTGTAAGCAATTTTGTCTGGAATTTATATGTTTATTATGACCCGAGCTTCGCGTTTTAGGCAATGCGGAATTTTAGTTTCTCTCTGAATTTCTGGTGATGATGTCTAGATGGCGTGATTATTTGTTAAAATCCCTTTTTTATATTCCTGTTGATGGTTTGTCTTTGCGTGCTTTTGAGCAATCATTATGATGTTATTTTGAATTGGAGATTGTTAACAATAGAGAGACAAAACCACCAGATAGTAAGATGATATATTAAATATGCTGAGAACATGACTGAGAAATTAGGAAGAGGATGCATGCTCTTGCCATTATATTAAGAGCTCAATTTCTTCCCATTCTATGGGAGGGGAAGTGAGCAGGTGATGGATTGCTGTTGGGTGTTCTTTCATTGATCCTTCATTCCTTTGCACATTAGCTTCTTCATGTGATAAAAGTTGGAGGTGATAATACTTAACAGTGTATGAGGTAACTGTACATACTTTTTGTTTTATGTTATATGAAGTTGTGGGCTACCTGATGCCTAGTCTTCATGTGCGTGGTACTTCTTCAGATGCAGCTTTTGCTCAATGCTTTATTTTGGGTGTTGTACAGACGGAAAATTCGTTCTATTTCTCCTAGGCGCCATCGGAGTCGATCTGTTACTCCTAAGCGACGTTCTCCAACACCAAAACGTTACAAAAGACAAAAGAGTAGGAGCTCCTCTCCGTCTCCTGCAAAAAGATCTCCTGCCACAACCCTTGAGGCAGCTAAACAGAGGAATGTAGAAAAACTAATAAGAGAGGAGGAAGAGCGGAAAAGGTAAATCAACTAAAAAAATTTGATTGGAATGGATGTTATTTTCAAATTAAGGTTTTATGATCTCAAATGTTATTCTAGTGTGATGTGGAAATGCTTGATTATTAGTGTTAAAGTGCAACAGGTTTCATGGCCACTCACAGGCTTCGCTTAAGGAAGATAAGCTATAATTGGACTTGTTCATATTTGATCCTCTGGCACATATATTATATCGATTTGATGAGTTCTGAGAGTCATTTACATGGATCGCGATTGAGTTAGAGATATAGATGCACACGTATAGCTTAGTGAAGATTTGTTTGTGTCCATGGTGATGTAAAAATATCCTACAAGAAATTTACCATTGGCGTTGGGAAGAGGGAAAACGAAAACAGTCTCAACATTTTTCTCGGACTTGGAATAAAATTTAGGTTCTTTTTCTGTTCAAGATTGAAGACACCAAGATATGAGAAAGTCCAGGTGATATTTAAGGTTCTGAATCTGCTGTGAGCGTCCTCTAACTATTAACTATATCTGCTAGCAGGCGACAGCGGGAAGCGGAACTGAAGCTAATAGAGGAAGAAACTATGAAACGGGTTGAAGAAGCTATTAGAAAGAAGGTTGAAGAAAGCTTACAGTCAGAGAAAATCAAAATGGAAATTCTGACGCTGTTGGAGGAAGGACGGAAGAGACTAAATCAAGAAGTCGCTGCTCAACTTGAGAAGGAGAAGGAGGCTTCTCTTGTCGAGGCTAAAGACAAAGAGGTAATGATACCCAAAAAGATAATATATCTTCTCAATTGTATGATTTTTTTATCAGTTTTCTAGGTGGAAACTGTCTGGCTTCTTCACTTTACTAAAATTTTGATGCTCTTTCATTTGAGAAGAACCTTGCTCTTGGGGAATTTCAATAAATTCGAATTACTTATTAAATCGCTATTATGAATCTGCGTGTCATGGAACATTGTTGAAGAAAGAGCCTTTCTTTTTCAGGGCGTGAGGCGGTGTTTGTCGCAGGAAAGAGAGCAACAAGAGAGAGAAGAAATTGAGAGAATAGAGGAAGAGAAGCGTCAGAAAGTGGAAGAAGCTCAGAGAAAAGAAGCGATGGAGAGGCAAAGGAAGGAGGAGGAACGTTATAGGGAGCTCGAGGAGCTGCAACGACAGAAGGAAGAAGCGATGCGAAGGAAGAAAGCTGAAGAGGAAGAAGAACGTCTGAAACAGATGAAACTGTTGGGTAAAAACAAATCGCGCCCTAAGTTGTCTTTTGCCTTGAGCTCCAAGTGAACGGATGAAACAAATTGGAAATTATTTTGTTGTATTGATATGCATCTTCTTCCTCTCAAAGATGCTTTGCGATTATTGTTTATTAACAGTGCTTCTTCTTTGTGGAGTTTAAATGATATTTACCGAGTTTGATTCTTCTGAGTAGGGTATGTTTCAGAATCCGGTATAAAAAATCATGACCCAATAACATACATTCCGGTTTGTATCTACATCATCAAAACTACACAACTGGATTACATCAAATTTAATGAAACCGTAATTACGAAACTTTTACTATGAGGTTTTATAAAATGTTAATAATGTACATCAAGGATGTATAAAAGCACTGAGAAAACCAGAGATGATCTAAAAGGAAGACAAATGATTTTGTTGATCCTACCTTTCTTCTGGGAATACCTTATGTAGAAAATTCACAAAGCGTTTGGAGTAGGTCATTGGTTCGGTCACAGATATTGTCATCGGATCATACTGCAAAGACTTGCACTTATGCTCCACTTTCTTCTTGGTGTTGTATTCCTGCAGAATATCTATAATTCCCATGTACACAACCACATCGTACACTTCAAAGAGCTCAATAGTCGCTGACTCTTCCTTGTCCTCAATAAGCTTATGATGAGCTTGAGCCGGCATGTTCACTCCTAGCTGTACCCGCAGCCTAAAACAAGAGATGCAATGCCATTGTTCAGCTATAATAAGCACACGGCTCAAATGATGAGAGCAAGGTAGTAAATGAGTAACCTTGCAGTTCCGGGGAGAATAAGATCAACTTCCTGCTCGCCAACAGAAAATGCTCTGAGTGTGCTTCCTCTGATGTGAGGACCCGGTGCAGTATTCACGGAATTGGGTTCGTGGGTCACCAATAGCAATCCTTTTGGAGGAATAGAGAGTTCCTGAGCCAGACCAACTGAAAATAAATATATGAAACGGTTAAGTTATCCACAATCCATTGCTTCATCGCTCGGTTCTGTAACCATCTTTTTGTGCATCATCGAAAAGATATCCTCTTGAAACGCTGACACCTACCGTCTACAGAAGAAACGCTCTCTTGATCTGACATTACGTTAGGAGGCTCAAGGATATCATTAAGTTGCCCCGGAGCTCTAAAATGTAATCCCAGTAAAAGACTGTAGTCAATGATGTGCAGAGATTCCAAGAAAGAGCAGTCTAAGTAAATTTGCCTGCCATGTGAAAGAAACAAGAATTATCCACAAACAGTTAGAAAATGTTCACGCAAAATACTTAGGATTCATATACAGTATACTCACTTGAAGAGGGCCTCTCGTAAGAGCTTGTCCATATGAAATTCATAAGCTAGATCAAGATCTTTCAATGTTGTCTTCTCTTGGATTTTTATCTTTTCAGTAAATCTCCCTTGAGTTGAGCCCTTAAGATCATAACGACGATGAATTTTCAATTCTGTGCAAAACATATTCCCCATGACCACAAAGCGTACCTATCAAAAGAGCACAAAGCTCATGCTAAAATATGTGGAAACGCAAGGGAACTTAAGCTATGAAAGCTCCCAGAGAAGTTCTCTTTACCTTTTTCCCCCACTTGAGTGTTATTCTGTGAACTCCAAAGAATTTGGTTATAAGTGTGTTTTCATGGTCCCCTACATGTTCATAGTACCTAGGCAACATTCTGAGAAGAACCTGGCAAGCAAAATATCTGGACCATTAAAAATTAAAGAGAAAAAGGCCTTATAATATCACCCTAAGCCACAATTATGAGTAAAGACGAGCAATGATCAAATCACATCTTTGTTCAGTTAGTTCAAACCTTCAACTCGGATTTTTTCAATGTCTTGATGACAAATCTGTCGTCGTGAGAGAGGTAGAAGATACTGCCACTTTTCCCGGGGGAACAAATTTCTGTCAGGCCATCATCACCACATATAGACATCATGTACTCTGCAGCATCTAACTTGAACATCTCCCTCAAATTCCTGAAACATTTCATGAAACAGAGTATCAATCTACTGAACAAACAGAGCCAAGTTCATAATTTAGTGAAGTGTTTCGAAATTTATATCAGCCACACACACAATTATATAACAATTTGATAGATTATTTACTCTGAATCTAAACTTTTGGTATCTGCCTGAAGAAAACTGTAATACCTGAAAACCATAGGACAATAGTCTTTCCAAGAGAAGTCGATAGATTTGTGTGGAGGCGTTAAATTGGAGCCGTCTTTAGGAAAGAACATCACTGTTCTAGCCTTCTTACCGAAGTCAGAAGAACGTACTTCTCGCCTAGGCACTGGTGTAATTTTTCCAACTGTATACCTGTGAACTTGAAAAAGGTTGCTGTGTTAGAGGCATAACTAATTATACTGCGAACATAATAGACAAGCATAACAGGTTGTATCTTTTACTGTATCCGAATGTGACTCTGTTCTCAAGCCATACTGAAGAAAACAATACACATAATGTGTTTTAGGCTATAATGGAGCAGTTTCAAGAATCAAGAGAACAGAGAAATATAAAGAAGCTGGCCATAGGCTTAGGGTGCTGATTTAGTTTACCTGATACCAAGTTGGAGATTTAGCATTAGATAATAATTATGTTCCCCCTTAAGAAAGGTCATTAAACTCCTGGCCCTGCCTTCTTTAGGATGATTTGGAGGTCTAATCTTGTGTGACCTGTCAACAGAACTCGTAATAGTCTCTCTAATCAGAACTCCTTGCATGTACTCCCTCTCATAAACGACACGGTTCTTATCTTGTCCCTCGCTTCGTCCTGAGCCAGAAGACCTTGCAGACTTAGACGACGGTCCATGACATGAAAAGTCTCTTGGAGGATCAGAGGTACTCCAGTTTCCATCTTGAAACCTATCCGATATTCTACCCGAATTTCTCGTGGTTCCACTAGCCGAAGTCTTCACGGAGAGACTCTGCGTCACGGTGCTCAGATTCCTCAGCTCCTCAACGTTCACTGAGGAGCTACGGGAAAGCACAAACTTTCCAGTGTCATCATATTCAAGAGAGCTACACCACTTCTTCAGAGATGGATGTTTACTTCCAGCAGGATAAAACACTCCTTTACCATCTTTTAGGCCACGGGACCAGGTTCCGAAATATAAACATCCATCAGCAAACTTATAAACACCAGAGCCATGCCTAAACCCGTTCGACCAAAACCCGTCGAAAAGATCACCATTTGCCCATCTCATAACCCCTCTCCCACACATAATACCCCTTTTCCAGCTCCCAATGTACCTATTCCCGTTGGTCCAAGAGTAGCTTCCACGCCCGTCTTGTAGCCCTTCTCTCCACGAACCATCGTATAGATCTGAGTTACAATACTCTTTCCTCCCAAGCCCATGCCTCACATTCATTCTCCAGGCTCCACTGTATACAGATTCATCAAGTGAAGTCATGGTGCCAACACCATGAAGGTATCCACCAGAGAAGTCTCCTTCATATTTTGCTCCAGATGACCACAAAAGCTTGCCTTTACCAGAGATTTTGCCTCCATCCCAGTCCCCTTCGTAGATTGTTCCATCTGACCATGCATACTTTCCTTTCCCGTGAGGAAGTGATCCTTTTACTTCACCAGAATATAAATCTCCATTTGAGAATTCTCTATCTCCAGGCCTGAGGATACTACACAAAAGTAGGATATTTACAAGGAGATCAAAATACTGAAATGCAGGAATTGATTTGTTACCAACAAAACACACCTCGTATCCATCTCGGCTTTAGCTTCTGGTGATCCTACAACATTGTTTTTGCGCCTTTATGTATGATGTTCTTCCCGTTTTCTTGAGCACATGATCCGCTTTTCTGCACAAGCTAAAGAAAAACCAAGATCAGATATCGGAATCAGAGCGATTGTGAGCTTCAACTCAAGTCATTACAAAATCGTCTCTGCCTTTCTATTTAGCAAACACATCCAGATTCTGAATCAAAAATTTCAAGACCACTCATATTCCTCTAAAAGCCTCAAACTTTAGAAGTCACAGAGCAAACCCAGTACTCAGTATCATCAATTTGAGCGAGAACTAGTCATACAAATGAAATAGCTACTGCGCACCTCCATTTCCAATTCATTATACAAGCAGCAGACTGAAAACAGAGAAGTAATCTCTAATTGAGTAATAAATACAGAGAAGTGAGAATCTGGAGCTCGAATCTCAGAAGGTAACAATTCGGAGAATGAAATCAGAATTAAAGACAAGAGAACCCGAAGCCCGAAGCATACTCACCTTGTTATAATCTAAGAAGAGAGAAGAAGAAAACCCATGGATTGAGCAAGAGCTGATTTTGAGGTTCGTTGTTGGGATGAGAAGCTTAATTAAGCTTTGCCTCCTGAGAGAATTTATTCTTGTTTTGTAAAATACAATATTTCTGTTGCCCATGCACCAAGTTCCATTCAAACAGCTTTCTTTTTTAACGAATTTATGCGACATGTTTTTTTATTTTCTTATATAATTATTTTATTAACATATTGACTGGTTCATAAATAATAGAGAAATATGGGCACATATTTGAGGAAAAATGATTTTTTTCCTTCTCAATAAAATGATACGAACATCTAGCTTTTTTCATCTAGCTTTTTTTTGTCCATTGTTCCATTGTATGTGCCCTGAATGATAGATAAAAGGGGTTTTTTTTTTCATATTATGAAGATAATAGGTTTCGATTCTCCCAATTATAAAAGTCAATTTTCGAGTGATTTATAAATTTAAAGTTGAAAAAAAAAAAAATTATAAAAGTCAAATTTGTTATATGCTGGCTGTAAAAACTCTAATATAATCTGAGATCTCTAATATGTAAAACAACCATTTGATTACAAGTACCTTTCTTTCTTTTCTATAAGACTACATATCTCGTCTTCAGAATTATTTTCTTTTCTATAAGATTATATATCTTTTCTATAAGATAAGTTGTTTTTAATATCCAACGAATTCTTAATTTCCCGGTCATAATATTGTTAAAACGTGTAAGCCTAATCAATAATTAGTTCGCATAATCAAATGTTATCTTAGCTTATAAAATTGTCGGACTGTCAAATCATCCAGGCGTATCGAATCTACAATCCATCCATATTTTTTATTCCAACGTTAATAGTCCACCATATAATACAATTCTAGCTAATGGCCATTAGCTAATGTTATCCAAGAACGCATCTCACAAAAACATTAAAGGGAGTTTATAAAAGATAATTTTATCCAAAAAAGTATATAGAAGATAGAAGATAGTACAGTTCTAGCTAATATATAATATAATCCTAGCTAATATTATCCAAAAATATAATATAATTCTAGCTAATGTTATCCAAGAACGTATCTCACAAAATCATTAAAGGGAGTATATAAAAGATAATTTTATCCAAAAAAGTATATAGAAGATAGAAAATAGTACAGTTCTAGCTAATATATCATACAATCGTAGGTAATGTTATCCAAAAAATTATAATACAATTCTAGCTAATTTTATCCAAACATATATGATACAGTTCTAGCTTATTTTATCCAAAAAAGTATATAGAAGATAGAAACCTGTAATTTTATGATATGTATATTATATTCGTACGAGAAAACAAAATTCATCTATCCTTACAGTTTAGAGTAGTTATATAGAAGATAGAAAGCTGTAATTTTATGATATGTTATATGTATATAATATTATAGTTACATTGTTTTGTTCCATCCTAATGAGCGGCATTTAAAGTTTCGTCTGACCCACAAGTTGTGTGTGGCCAAACCTCTTGGTCGAATAAAAGCTTTTACTCCCTCGAGATAAAGGAAACTCAAAGTATATTTTATTATGTGTGTGGTTGCATTGAAGAAATGTGATCTGTGGAGTTATTTCGGTCATGGCTATATAGTAGTCTAGTCGCGCAGTTAATATTTTTGGATAGTTTTAAGGGATTTGTAAACAAAATTGAAAATGTTGAACCAAGTCTTTTTTTTTAGTCAAAGTTCAACCAAATCTTTTAAAAAATGTCAGAATAGTTGAACAATAATTATATTTCTCGATATAATATTAGTTCAACCAATGTGAGACAAAAAGAAAAAGCTCAAGCGATGACCCAAAAAAAAATGACAAAAGCAAAAGAAGTTCAACTAGTATGTCGAACATATTCACGTTGAAAATAATATATCATCGCATTCGGACGGACCTATAAACTAAAGTATTTGATATAGAATATTGTGAATGACAACGATTTATAAATAAAGAAAATTCCTTCCATTTATTATTATAATTTTTTTTGCCAACATTTATTATTATAATTACCATCAGCTTTTATTTCTAGTTGATAAAAGTGAGCTATTTTTGTTGATTTAATGAAATAGCGCTTAGAAAACCCTAACTTTTACTTTTTCTGTTTCATAATAAAGTGTCATTTTAGGTAAATGTATCTACATTATAACTGGATGTATCTAAATGTGTTTTGAGGTTAATACATCCAGTTATAATACAGATACATTTTCCCAAAATGACATTTATTATGAAACAGAGAAAGTAATACATTTTGTGTCATAGTAATACAGACCAGGCTGCAAAATTGATAAAAAAAAAAAAAATCAGAAAAGACATTGATTGCACCGTCCAGGATCGGATTTATATATTATCACTGGATTAATAATAAGCCCGACCAGATATATTTTTTCTGCTGAGGGTTTTTAAATAACTAAATTTGGAGATGGACGATGTTGACGTCGGAAGAAACGATGTTGTGTACTTTTAAAATCTCGATTCAAAGGGATTGCGACTTCGTGAATCGTGACAACACAACAGAAGAAGACAAACGGTGAAAGGGCCAATCAGATTGCTTGTTAGTTTTTGTTGCTTTTGCTTTAATGCTAATTTATGCTAATTAGTTTTTAATGAAAATAAGTTTTTAAACTTTTTCTCTTCAATACAAACGTTAACTTCGTATAACTCATATGATCGAAATGTTTTTTTAGGGCTGGGAGGAGAATAAGGTTCGAGTATGGTACAAAATCTTCCGACTATAGTATATATATCAAGTATCATCTTCTAATAATTTAATGATTTTCAACAGTTTGATGTCTTTAAGTTTTCTTGCATGCACATTTACAGTATTATACAGAATTAAACCACAATATTCCAGTGACCAGTATTTTATTAAGAGATACGATCACATTAATTACAAAAGATTCCAATTGACCGTTAATATATACAAAAATTACACGAGTTAAATTATTCACACAAGAATGATATTAATACACAAAATTACGACAGAATTCGAATACAATCTAGATACGTGATATGCAATACTTTTGCGAGGTACGGAGGAAAAAACTGCATATGGTTTTTACTGTCTTTTTATACATCAACTAGTGTATCAAATTTGCTTTCTAAAAAGCCCATAATTATTGGTAACAAGATTTTTTTTTTTTCCAAAATATAGCTTTATAGCCTTTATATTTACACTCTATCATATACTTTTAGTGACTGTATAAATTTGCAACAACATTGGATTTGAGTATGCTACAGTAATTAATTACAAAAAAATATTAATTGAACGAGTTAAAAAAGAAGCGTTAATAAAATGTGATTAAAGTGAGGAAAATGGTGAAGTGGGTGTCACGAAACGTATGAATAGAAGGGAAGTGGGGCTGTGCTGTTCCTTGTCGGTCTCCTGCCGTACAATTAGTTGCAAAGAATCTGATCTCTTTATTTTCCGGCCTCTTTTTGATATAGAAAAAATAAGTGTAATAATTGTTTCTATTGTTTTTTTTTTCGTTTCATTTGCAAAAGAGAAACAACACAAAAATGTTAGCAAACACTACTTTTTCAAAATGGCAAAAATACATTCTCCAGCACGATTAATCCATCTTTGTTGAAAAAACCGAGTAGAGCACTGTTTAATAAGATTATCGGTTTAAATTATGGGAAACTGTTGCGCGTCTTCAGCAATTTATGAAAACTTGCAACAGTTTTTTCTTCTTCTTAAGATCCAAGCAGAGATTTACTTGAACTCGCAGACGTCCAAATTCTTTTCAAGAAAAAATTAGGAAAATTAGGAAGTTAGTACAAGGCTTTTTTTATCCATCCCTCACAAATCAGATGCATGATGAAACAACAGTGCGTTCTGAATAATAAACAGTGAGGCCCATTGGACAATCGCTCTTTAGGTCAAATTAATGCCCAAAGCTAGCCCATTTGCAGAGCGAACACCACGTGGTAACGGTGGTTTCTTCATCCGTTGAGGATAGTTTCGGGATTTTATGTTTCGAATTAATTTTCGAAGATTATTATTATTACTCATCGCAGCCTTAGCTCGGTAGCTCGAGATAAAAATGGAGACGCCAGTTCTGGGATTTGAACTACGATGTCCTCATCTCTTCAACATCAGCTCTCGTCCCTCTTCGTCTCTCTCCCCTCCCACCGTCTCATTACGAATTCCTACGACGGCGGCGGCATCTACCGTCGTGGAATCACCGGCGACGGTAGCAGAGGCGCCTCGTTCGAAACGTCATTCGAATACCTACCTGACGAGAAAATCCGCCATTTCTGAAGTCGAACGGTCTCCGGACTTCCTCTCCTCTTTGCAGAGGTTTCCTATTTATCACAGCACAACTTTTCTCAATTCTTCTCTTAAGATTTATACTTCACCGAGATTCTGTGATAGTCTCTTGTTACCTACTCCTTTCAACCTTTATAAACTTTTTGCTCGCTTGTAAGGAAACTCTATCGTTGATTATGTTTATATTGTATTCGATACAGAACTCAACCAAATTCTCTAGAATGCCTAATTCCGACTGAAATGCAATGGTCTATAGGATGTTAATTTGATCAATTTTGTTCGAATTGAGGTAATTGACTTAACCACATCATAACTAGCCAAATAGAGATGCATAAAAATCGCTTATTTCCCAATATTCAGTTGATGAGCATGTCGTAATCTTCCCAAGGATCTAGCTGATGTTGTTTCTCTGCAGATTAGAAAGAGTTTTGAAGGTGCAAGACTTGAATGTGATTCTGCGTGACTTCGGAATCTCAGGACGATGGCAGGATCTTATACAGGTTTGTTAATTTTAACATTGATTCATATAAAAGTTTTCATGCGGAAGCGTTCAATAGTTCTAAGATTTGCATAATCAGTTTATTTTGTGTTTGCGATTTCCGCAGCTCTTTGATTGGATGCAACAACATGGAAATATTAGTGTTTCAACTTACAGCAGCTGCATAAAGTTTGTTGGCGCAAAAAGTGTCTCCAAGGCTCTAGAGATATACCAAAGCATCCCAGACGAGTCTGCCAAAACCAATGTCTATATTTGTAACTCCATTCTTAGTAGTCTGGTCAAGAATGGAAAGCTTGACAGCTGCATCAAGTTGTTTGATCAAATGAAGCGAGATGGTCTGAAACCAGATGTGGTTACGTACAATACGGTATGCCATCTGAAGTTTTCACTACAACAGTAAATGTCAAAATTGTTAGCATATTCTCTCACCTTGATCGATTCCCCCTTTCACATCTGAGTTAGATCCTTTAGATGATAGAGACGAACTGCATATGCAACATCTCGTTTTGTATAGCTTCTTTAATATATCTTGTCTTTGATGTCTTAGCTGCTTGGAGGTTTCATCAAGGTGAAAAATGGATACTCTAAGGCTATGGAACTCGTTGGAGAGCTGCCACATAATGGTATACAGATGGACGGGGTGATGTATGGGACTGTCTTGGCCATTTGTGCTTCAAGTGGTCGATGTGAAGAAGCTGAAAGCTACATCCAGCAGATGAAAGTTGAAGGTCATTCGCCCAACTTATATCATTACAGCTCCTTGCTCAATTCTTATTCTTGGAAAGGAGATTACAAGAAAGCTGACGAGCTGATGACTGAGATGAAATCAGTAGGATTAGAGCCAAACAAGGTTTGTTATTGTCAGTAATTTTCTTCTCATGCAATCATTGAAATATCTTGCGGTTTTGTCCCCTTTGACGGATGTATACCTGTGAATGACGTGATATGAACCATATGATTCATATTTCTTGTTATTATATGAGAAATTGGTTGTCTCGGTATTTTGATTCCTTCTCGTTTGTGTAACTCTGGCTGCAAATATTGGCAGGTGATGATGACAACTTTACTCAAGGTTTATATTAAAGGAGGGTTGTTTGAAAGATCAAGAGAATTACTTTCGGAACTTGAATCTGCAGGCTACACCGAGAACGAGGTAAGTAGACAATATTATTTTGCACTAGCTTGTTGGTGCTTCTATTTACCCTGCAATTATTTTATGGTAAAAACATTTGTTTTCTTCTCTAGATGCCATATTGCATGTTGATGGATGGTCTTTCAAAGGCGGGAAAGTTAGAAGAAGCAAAGTTAATATTTGATGACATGAAAGGGAAAGGCGTTAAATCTGGTATGTGTTTTTTTTCTGATGATTAGTTAGCTCTGTCAATATACATGGATGGAAAATCTTGTTAATCTTCTATGAGTTACGACTAGCAAATTTGGTTCCTATATCCGAATCACTGCAGGTTAGATTTGGAGGACAACTCCGCTCAAATCGTCTAGCTTCCTTGCCTGTTTTTCTAGATAATGATTTCAATTTCCCGTTTTCTTCAGATGGCTATGCAAACAGCATAATGATATCTGCTTTATGTCGAAGTAAGCGTTTCGAGGAGGCAAATCAACTGGCAAGGGACTCCGAAACCACTTATGAAAAATGCGACTTGGTGATGTTAAACACAATGCTCTGTGCCTATTGCAGAGCAGGAGAAATGGAAAGTGTTATGCGAATGATGAAGAAGATGGATGAGCAAGCCGTTAGTCCCGACTATAATACTTTCCACATCTTGATCAAATATTTCATCAAGGAGAAATTGCACCTACTCGCGTACCAAACCTTGCTTGACATGCACAGTAAAGGCCACCGGCTTGAGGAGGTAACTAGCAATCAAGTCATTGCTTGTTTTCAGTGTTATAATTACAAATCTTGCTTCTTAGCTCTTCTTTTCTTTGATTTTTTTTTTTTTTAATAATGAGAAATTTGCATAGCAGCCAAACTCTTATAATCAACATGTTGCCGTCTTTCACAACATTGTTGAAATCTGCAGGAACTTTGTTCGTCCTTGATTTACCATCTCGGTAAAATTAGAGCTCATTCAGAAGCATTCTCAGTCTACAGTATGCTGCGATATAGTAAAAGAACCATCTGCAAAGAGCTGCACGAGAAAATTCTTCACACTCTAATCCAAGGGAAACTTCTTAAAGACGCATACGTTGTAGTGAAGGTATGAAATCCCTCTCTTCTTAGGCAAATTCTAACATTTGGTCCACTGCGTGAACCGGGTCTAATTTGGTCAAAATGCTTGTATCAGGACAATGCAAAGATGATCTCACAGCCTACTTTGAAGAGATTTGGCAGAGCTTTTATGATGTCCGGGAATATTAATTTGGTGAACGATGTTCTCAAGGTATTGCATGGCTCAGGCCACAAAATCGACCAGGTAAAGAAACCAACGGGGAACAATGTGGAAGCTATCTATTACACGTTTTGCTTGGAAATAATGTTACATTACAGTTTGAGTTATCGTAGGAATCTCATGATTGTTATAATCCTCACTTTCGGTTCTTTTGTTTGCAGGTTCAGTTTGAGATTGCGATTTCACGATACATTGCGCAGGCAGATAAAAAGGAATTGCTGCTTCAACTTCTACAATGGATGCCTGGTCAAGGATACGTTGTTGACTCCTCCACGAGAAACCTCATCCTCAAAAACTCTAATTTGTTTGGTCGGCAACTCATCGCAGAGATCTTGTCTAAGCACCATGTAAGGCCGCTGGTAAAATCTCGATCCCAGCCTAAATTTAGATGTAAATAATAAGAATGTTAATTTTCCGAATGTAAACAAAATGTATGTGTTTTGTTTCACGAAATATATGATGATAGTCAAATTTGTAGATGCCCCCAATTTGCATCGAATTTTTCATAAATACATACAGTAATTTTCTCGAACACACCACCAAAAAAAAGAGAAAAAAATCCGCTGCCGGGCTTCGAACCCGGATTTCAATTTCATGTGAAATTAACCTGTGCGCTACAGCGAATCCGTTCTACTGCTATGACTTTGATTAATATTTATATAGCCCAATAATTTAAACAATACCAAAATGTTATTCCGCTGCCGGGCTTCGAACCCGGATTTTCATTTCATATGAGAAATTAACCTGTGTGCTACAGCGGATCTGTTGTGTAATTATGGCTTTGATTAATATTTATATTTTCATCTAATTTAAACAATACCAAAAAGACATCGCTACCGGGATTTCGTTCATTGAAACAAACCTACAGAATGGCCTTATTCTGCTGAGAAAAAACTATTACAAGAATACTTTGATTACCAATGGATCGACCTATTCGAGAGAAAAAAAAATCGAATAATCCGATCGAAAATCAATTCTTAGATTTTGGCTTCCTTGCAGATTGGTTAAATTGTACCGAACTTAGAAAGATCATCATAGAATTCAACATACTGTATATATAATTTCTGCAATCTAGTGATCATTATGGTACATGGAGGCCATAGAAGTTTACAAAAATTATTTACAATTAAAATGTTACAGTGGTCACACGACTTCACCAAGGTAGTACTCTTCCCTCCGGTCGTATCTCCGACCCATCTTCGTCTTCAAAATCAAAATCAAGCTTTTCCATGACCATACCTACTCCATCTCCAGCTACACATTCCCTTCCATTGCTTTTGTTTCTCACTGTTTTTTTGCAGGACTGGCTTGAGCTCTCTGCGAAATCATCATCACCGGCTACATTCGGACTAGTGTTCTCGTCTCTTCTCCTCTTCCCTGAGTCCGGACTCTCCTTACTAATGATGGAGTCTTTCTTCTTGGTTCCATAGTACTCGCTGACCGTTGACTCTATTGTTTCCAACAACCGATCACCGTACTTGCTTACTTTGGCCCTGAAAGAAAGTTTAAGTGATGCACACCATTATCTTTTGAGTGTTTTTTTCTTCATTGCTTTGGTAATGATTACGACAACAGGTGAAAGCTAAAATAACTTACTTTCCGAGGCCACTTATCTCGAGGAGTTCCTCTTTGGTTCTCGGAATTTTCTTGCTCATCTGCTGAAGCGTTGCATTGCTGCCACCACAAACACAAGGATTTTTGTGAATTAAATTGACCATGATCAAGTAAAGAACTTGGAAGATCATGGCAAATGAGAAGCGAAACCGGTTTTAGGGCTTACCCGAATATATGATATGCCATGACACCATCAGGGGCTTCTTTGACAAGAAGCGTACGAAGCTTCCTCAAGGCTGTGTACATGTTGACGGAGAGATTCTAAAAAAGAAGATCAATGAACCAACCTCTCAGAAATTCAAAAAGTGGTATATTAATCTCGACAGGCAAAAGGAGGTTAAAGTACAAAGTGATATACCACATCTTCTGGAGGAGCATCTGCTGATGTTAGCGGAGCTTTTGCTGGGGTTGCCACGGGTTTAGTCGGCTTTAATACTTTTACAGAGGAAGGGAATCTGCAACAGAATATGGATCTCTTAGATTAAGTTATCTTTAACTAGCCGGTAACATATAAACACAGCTAATTGCATTGCTTTGATTGAACCTAAAATTATGTGAACCTTAAAAGAAAGATATGTCTAAAGCACAAAGTCAAACCTCATCATTATAGTCTGGCTTCCAGAAAAGAGCGAGGCAGCCTTTGAATTATTCACCTAGATACAGATAGGTAAGTAGACGTTAGGTGTGTAACAGCTTCAAGAATGGATGTTATATGCACAGCAACAACCAAGGTTCCATTTTGCTTACTATAATCTATAGTCATCAATGAAAAGGAAAAGCGACGTGGAAAGTATTCACAACTAAGTACCTTGAGCAACGATGACACAGATCCATACACATCACTTTTCCTAACATCTTCCACGAGAATGTCCTCTGTGACGAGATAGTGCACGATGCGAGAGACTTCAATTTTCGATAAATGTTTTCCAGCTCCATGGAGCTGCAAAGTCTCATGTCTGTGTTTCTTGACCTAGATGCAGAGAAGAAAGTTATTATTTCAAGAGATCGCTGATTGGATTGCTGGGACTGAGAAGTCAAAGGCTTTCACTAACAATTAGTACAAGTAAAAAAAAGGGACCATTGGTTATGAGGCGTAATGTGTTTTAGGTTTTAGCAGAATCTGGAAATGAAATTATTCCTAAAGCTTGAACGAGATGATGATTATTATTATTCGTGCATACCATTTGGTTTAAGGAACCTCTGTAGACTTCAAGAATATGAGATGAAGAAAACCTTTCTCCCGTTTGCTTCACCAGTTCAACCTGTGTAAGTCACAGAAGATCAACCTCGATCAAATACACATCCAACAAGTGAGATATACATGATGAACTTTTAGAAATTCCATTACCAGTTGCCTTGTAATCAAGGTGACATCTTTGTCAACCAAACTCTGGCTACTGCAACAATTATCACACGTATTTTTGCAGTTTGTGGAGTCAAACTTTTCCCCAAAATGGACTAGTTGTAGGTAACGTCGGCAGTCCACCTCATTTTCACAGTATCTAAGCTGAAGCAATAAAATTTGGAGAAATATCTCAGCAAGTATAACCTCGAAAGCAAATGATGCAAATGATAGGAATATTCACGTTACGGACCATACGGAGAAGGTTTTCAGTATTCGTTTCAAGTATCCTCCCCGAACTTGCCACACGATTATAACCAGTTGCCATGGGGCTTTGGTCAACTCCTCCTTGGCTAATCATATGCTTCACTCGTATCTGAAATAATATTGGGTATCACAGACATGACCAAGAGAAGAGAGATGACGGATTAAAAAAGCGGAGACAAGAACCAAAGTACAATATGTTAGTATAAATGCAACTTACATAGTCGCCATAACCGTAATACAAAACACAAGATGATCGCTGGCCATCCCTGCCAGCACGACCGCATTCCTTGGAATTATAAAAATATAGCTTACGTGAGTTTCTAGAAGAAGCACCAGTATCTAGCTTTATGTGCAATCAGTCAAATAAAATTTTCATGATTGATTGCACAATTAAATACCTGATGATAGCCTTCTATAGACTTTGGGAGTGAGTGGTGAATAACAAAGCGAACATCAGGCTTGTTGATTCCTGGAATGTGAAATGTTAATGGGAAGCAACATTCTATCAACTACAACAACATTAGTAAAAACCCGTACCCATTCCAAAGGCCACAGTAGCACATATTATATTGATTTCATCCTTGCTCCATTGTTTCTGTACTAAGGCACGTTGAGCAGGCTCAATACTCCCATGGTAGAATGCTGCTTTGTGACCAAACTCCTGAAAATAGTATCCAATTCTACGCTTGAACATGATATTTGTGGGATGCACAGGAACTGATAAAGCTTCAACATACAATTGACCAACCTGCAGCCTTTGAGCGACTTTCTCGCAGTCCATTCTTGAAAGACAATATATAATTCCACATTCATCAAAATGGTTTTCCCTGATGAATTTGTCAATATCTTCCAGACATTTTTTTGTCTTGGGAACAACGGAATACCTGCAAACTACTTGGTAAGCAGCATTCTGGAATATATATAAGTATATGGTTTTAGGTAGTTTTACATTACCATAGATTTGGGCGATTAAAACTTTGCCGGAAGACAATACAGTTAACAAGGCCAAGGGCTTGTACAACGTCTTCTTTCACACTGGCTGTTGCAGTAGCTGTTAAAGCTAGCACGGGAATGTTGGGAAACTTCTGCTTCAGAATACCAAGACTCTGCATATTCCACAATATTTTTGGTGGGTTAAAAGGGAAGTTTATGTTTCTCTAAAAAGTAAGAGAGGTGCCTTGTTTGAAGCTTTTGATGGCCTAACCTGGTAGTCTGGTCGAAAGTCATGTCCCCACTGGCTCACACAATGAGCTTCATCAATAACAAATCGAGCAAGCAAAGCACGAGAGTTTAAGTTTTCTAGATGCCGCAAAAGAGAATCGCTTCTGTAGTCAAGAAAGAGATACTTCTTAGCTATGGGTTACCAATACTATCATTCAGTGTGGCGAGCCTTGGATAACTTGTCCACAACATGCTACTAACCAATCTAGAATTATAAGAAACCTCTAGTAGTACTGCATATATCATAGGATAGGCCACAATATATCTACCCGACGCTAGTAAAAGAGGAATTCAGAACCATTATATATATATATAAAAAAACAACTCACTGTGCCACTTTTTCGGGCGTGACATATAGTAATTTGTACTTAGAATGCTCAGAACTAAGCTCCTGAAAGATCTTCAGTTGTTCAGCCCATTCCATGCCGGCACTTAGGGAAGCAGCTGGTATATTGGCCTGTACCGTGGTTCAGAATTCTAAGTGTTAAATGGAAAGGAAGCTCTATGAGAATAATTTTTCAATGAAACAGGAATAGGTTGCTGAAGTGATCACCTGCAATAGGTTCATTATCTGGTCTTGAATAAGTGACACAAGTGGAGAAATGACTAATGTTATTCCTGGACAGATCAGAGCGGGGAGCTGCAAAAGAAAGATGTCAGAAAACAATTTGGAGGACACAACTTGAAAATTTCATCTCTTTTGCCTATGACGTATACAATATCTCAGTTAAAAACAAGAAATAGACTGAAGAAACAAAATTGAAAGTAAAAAAGTAATAATGACCTGATATGTCAAACTCTTCCCTCCTCCAGTTGGCATCAAAACAAAAACATCAGAGCCACTCATTGTAGCATTGATGATTTCTCTCTGGTTGGGTCGAAAAGAGTGATTTCCAAAAACTTTTTTGTTACTGACCTGAACGTTGCAAGGAAACACATGAGAACATAGAATGTAAGTGAACAAAGAAATTAATAAATCAGCTAATCACCTCCAATTTTCTTGTCCAAGGAAAATCACGACTGCTCCACCTTTTGTCATTTGAACCTTCAGTGTAGGTCACGTCTATAATCTTCGGAACATACTGTTCTCTTTCCGCAGGAGCAGATGAAAGACCATACCTATCTACAGAAAATGAAGAATCTCTTGGCATGTTCCAGCTATCACATGTATATCTGCCTTGCTCACTAAAACGTGCTCGAGAATCAGTTTGTGGATGATCCATTTTTAGATTTGTTGATTTAGGTGTTTCATACTGTGAAGAAGGAGTAGCTGTCGAAGACAAAGACTGAGATTTTTGCCTTTCTTTATCTTGGATATGGTTCTCGAGCTGCTGAATTTGCTTCTTAAGCTGTAACCTAGCAAGCGATACAAGTTATGATTCATTAGAAAACTGACCGAAATTCAAGGCATACTCACAGTTGTGATACCCTTAAATACTGACTCAAGAAACAGATGCGGCATCTATTATTTCTTCAGGCCTAACCCCTTTTTCGCTGTATCACTCCATGTAAATGTTTCTGAATAATATACTACAGCTAAATTATTACTCTAATACAAAAAGGCAAGTTTAACAGCCAAGAAAACGGTAACAAAATTAATTGGGATATAGACCTCTCTTGACGAAGCTGTTCAACACGATCAGGACTCAGATCAGTAGCATTGTCAATGAGTTCGTTTGATATTTCAATCAGCACGTTCTTCATTTGTTCCAAATGGGTTGAAGCTTCTGGACAAATCCCTAGCTGAGTAGATGCCAAAATCAAACAAAATGAGAAAACCAATAGGTTTCAAAACTGAAATAAAAAGAAAAGAGAGAAAGGCAGTAATCATACCTTTATTCCATGACTACAGTTGGAACATAATTCAGGAGGCAGACAACACTCTTCTTCTCTTCTGGAAGCACTTCTTTCCACAGGTGGAGTTCTCGATGGAAAATTAGATACTGATGGTTGAGGAGTACTTGTTGATTGGTAGTGTTCCATCAGAATTTGGTCGACATCAATATTCTGCATCACAAAGCGTTAACATGCTTGAGTTGACGTATTTTCACCACAAGCCCTTTAATGCGTAACCATCTATGAAATGACTTCCTTCCAGATCCGAACTGGATAACAGTTAAAACTACCAGGTAATCTATACGTAGTTTTGATCTTTGCTGTCATCGAAATACAGAGGCTACAGATACAAGATTGGAAACACCAGATTCTTCACATTGAGTGCTACTTTAACCGGTAACATTACCTGAAATATCTCATCGTCATCAATCTCATCAATACATGCCTCTCCAGTTTCTAACTGCTCAGCTGGGACTGCAGAATTCCTGAATGGTTTCTCCACACCATTTAAATGCGTGCAACTAGTTTCTGATTCTCTGACCTCATCATTTACCCGTGGAAAGTATCTTCCATTTCCTGAAACACTCATGTGACTTTGGTTTTGTTGACTGTTCGTATTAAAAGGTCCATTAGTATTAGATGTAACTTTCACAGCGGTTCTCTCTCTTGCAGAATATGAGCCATTGGTGCCACCATCATCAACGGGGGGAGTAATGCCAGGTCTTAAGTAGGCATTGTTTATTGAGAGACTTGAAAGAGCACGCCAAGCCTGCCAACACAGGATACCAATAACTAACACAGACTTGAAAGAGCACGCCAAGTCTATCAAAAAGGGGAAGGTCAACCAGAAACTAGGGAAATATAAATACTAGAATGAGATACTATTTATTCAAAGAAATGGAAACAGAAACAAGAAAAACATGTGATGAAGATCCTACTCGTGACGAGGGGAATGCATCAGTTAATAATTTCCCTTCGACAATATTACCTTTGCAATTTGCGGGTGCGCCAAAGTATGCACGTTCACAATGGGAAAGGCAACTGACCTAGACAGAGAGAGAACATAGCTTCTTAAATAAATGTGCATCAATTAGTTGCAAGCAGATTCATGAAGAAGACGAAGAAAACCTCACAAAATTTTCCACCGCTGACATATTTTTACTAGAGGCATCAAAGAGAAATATTATGCACATCACACTCAATACTATTTGCCGTAGTTTGGTAGTACGAGAGTCAACCCATACATAAGCTGAAAGCCTCTAATTTTGTTCAAAGCTATTAATAAGAAAACAAAGCACGCATTGGCACAAAGATCCAAATGATTCTGAATTTGGTGGAAAGGTATACTTGAATTCACTGAATTTGTTTGATATTTAATTTTCAATAGTTCTACTTCTAGTAATCCAAACAGCTGATAGTACAGGACCAAAGTAAAAGAAAATCAAGGAACAATAACAGAAGACAGAAGGAAATGATTGTTCTCGAAAGAACGAGCATATGGCCATAATACCTTGCAGTCATATCTCTGTTTCTTCTAGGCTTTTGACTTTCTAGAGCGTAAAGGAAATTGGAGCTCAGAAACTTAGTCACGGACGATGGACTCTCGAACGCCTTTGCGTGTTCTGACCAATTAGTTTGAGGACCTTGCTGAACTTCAGGGAGCTGACTCCTACTGCATTTTAACAGTTACGGTGAGCAAAAAAAGAAGAAGAAGAAACTGCCAGAAATATATTGGAATAAACCAGAGAGTACAAGGCAAAGATCATTCTTGCCTCATTTGATTCGAACTAATCATAGGTTTAACATGCTGATGAGGTTACTTCCAGTAGTTTTCTCTTCCCTTGACACCGAAATTTAGACACTTAATCGAACACATGAAAATAAATTGCATTCGGATTAGTGGGTGCAGGTGATAATGCAACAAAAGAACTGAAAGGAATTGCACAGTATCATCAGTGACTGACAATACACAAACACAATCATCAAAATCTAGTTTCATTTACAGAAAGCTACCAAATTTCGGCCGAGAATATAAAGCGAACACACAAAACCCGGTGAGACAAAGCGAATTTCACGCTTACAGTTAATATACGCTAGTTTTTGGCCACCAATTTCAGCACTTGAAAAAACGGTAAAATACTCCAAAAACAGGAAATCGAAGTGAATCAACCAGTCATGGCTCCAAAAGGATTCACTTTTCCCACAGACAACGAAAACCCTAATCGAAAACTAAACAGAAAGTCGTCGCATTTACAGGCTGAAGAAACGCATCGATGTGACAAGGAACGAAAACAGAAAAACCCTAGAAATCACTGCGAAAGGAAAGCCGAGGAAATACATTATAGAATCAGTGTGGAGTCTTTTGCATCCCAGCGGAGAAAGTCGACGAGGCGAAGTAGGAGATAAAAGGGTCGCCTGCGACTGAGCTTAAGGCCGCAAAGGATTATGCGGTTTCCGAATGGCGGGATTGCTTCCCTCTCATTTCTCGCAATTTGCAAACGCAAAATAAATTTATTTTTTGAATTTCATTTATTTTGAACATTTCCAAATTTTGTTTGTTTAGCTTCAGTTTTGGGAAAAAAAAGTTGGAGGAAACAAAGATAAAAAAAATAAGAAAATTAAGAAGGGAAAAACTGTCTAATTTAAGAAATCTAAAAATTAATATCATTGTTGAGACCAAAATATTGTAAAAAGCAAAACCAAAAACAGAGACTCCTTTTACACAAACAAAAACCAAAAACTCGAATGATTCACTTCTCCACCTGGCTGTACTTCATGATCTCTTCAGCAGCCTGGAGGGAGAAGCTCGAGCTCTTTCCTCAAATAAGCAGCTTGAGTTCCATTGGAACATTTTTCAGGAACCATGGGTGTTTTTTTATTTCTGCAATAGGAATCTGCAGCTTTGTATTATATAATTTAGCATTTCTAAAAACCAAAATGAAACGAAAAAAATAAAAATAAAAATCCAAGTTTCAAGTACGAAAAATCTAATTTACAAAATATTTATTCGAGGTCACAATGTTCATGGCAGCAAGGACTCATCATCAACCTCTCTTTGTTTTGTTATACTGCAAATTTTACAAATCTCCAAAACCAAAAACCAAAGCATTGTAAATGGCAAACACAAAACAGAAACTTTAAGTTTCAGCAAACCAACGACAACTTCTTTCTTACACAAACAAAAACCAAAAAAATCAACTGATTCTCACTTCTCCACTTGCGTGTACTTCCTTTACAGTCTTGTCGTATTCATCTTCCTCGTCTTCCTCTTCCTCCACCTCCTCCTCTTCCTCCACTTCCTCCTCCTCTTCCTCTTTCCCCTCTCCATCTCCCTTTTCTCCCCAGCCAAAACCTCCAATCGATCTGGAAACAGGTGGAGGCGTTTTGGCGTCATCCACTATCTTCATGATCTCTTCAGCAGTCTGGAGAGAGAAGGTGGGGTTCTCTTTCCTGAAATATGCAGCTTGAGCTGTCTCTGTGAGTTCTCTTGGCAAGTTCTTCAGGAACCATGGGTGTTTCTTGATTTCCGCAATGGTAATCCTCTGCAGAAAAGCTCAGTTGTCAAACAAGACCATCTTTTGAAAACAGAGTTGGCTCATTTGATTGATGTTATATACCTTAAGTGAATTGGCCACAAATATACGGGACAGGAGATGTTTGCAATCCTGTGAGATGTGGACGTAGTCCGGGATCTTGTACTGAACAGCCATGATTTTCTGTATAACAAGTTCACACATTGATGAATCGGATGTAGCATATTAGCGCGAGATATGCAGACACATTGGCTCAAGAGAAGAAACCTACTTGTATCGTTTTCCTGAAGTTTTTGGGGTCTTCCTGGTCTTCGAATGGGTATGCTCCAACCAGCATGACATAAAGAGTCACACCACAAGACCATACATCAGCCATCTGAAAGAGGAGCAAGATATTACATATCTTAGCGACTTCCACGAAGATAGTTTCCCCAATTCAGAAGACAAAAGAAGTAAAGAGCATGACAGTTTCACAGAAACCCATTGGGTTAAGTAGGGGTATATTGCTTTGTGTATGATGCCTGGTTACCTTGCCATCATATTCTCTCCGAGAAAGGACCTCAGGTGCAATATATGCTGGAGTTCCAACTGTTGATTTGGGCCTCGAGTGCAGCAGAGAGGACTACAAAAGAAGAATAACAAAACACTTGAAAATGCTTTTACGACAAAGTTGGAGAATACGAGGGATCTCATAGACAAGTGAAGAACTTTGATGTGTTTTTTAGTGCCAGACCTTGGAATAACCAAAATCACAGATCTTCAGACGTGGAGCAGGACTTCCATCCAGGAGTGTATTCTCGAGCTTCAGATCTCTATGGCATATTTGCTGCGACAAAATGGGTAAAAGTTGATCATATGATGAATCAACAAAACGGTCTTAAAAATCTAAGAGATTAGTAATCTTGCTTAAGTCAATAACTCGGGATTACCATAGCATGGCAATAGCTAACGCCGGATATAAGCTGCTGGAAGAAGTATCTCGCCTGAAGAAAACAAAAAAGGATTAGAAAGTAGGCCTGGATTGATTTCATCATCAAAGTAGCAGCTACAGATGATGTAACTAATAGGTCTCACATATCCCAATTGTTTCATTCCCGATAACAAATAAGAGAAGATTCAAATGTCTATCCAAATAACATACAGAGTTCCAAAATCCATCCTAGATAGTACTTGCATATTAGCAAAAGCACGCCATAATTTCAAATGACAAACTCACCTCATCCTCACTAAATCTTCCAGCACTGCATATACGCTCAAATAGTTCACCACCAGCAGCATATTCCATGGCAATAGCAAGATGGGTTGGAGTCAACACCACCTGTAAAACCCATGAACACCAGAGATGAAAGCTACAAGATTAGTAAATTACCAACTTCAGTAGAATCTTTTCATACATTCCGAGAACACATGCCAACGTCATCAAGCAGTAAGAAATTCACTAACCTCCTTAAACCGGATTATATTTGGATGGCGAAGTGATCTGTGATTTATGATCTCTCTTGCCACGTTCTCATCAATCTGTACCCAAAAACAACAAAGACAATGCTCAATCTACAATCTACAATCTTGCGAGGGAAATGATACAACCCTGAGATAACTAGCACAAACAGCTAAAGATTTAGCAAAACAAAATCAACTCGTTTCCTTAAAAGTAGGTACCGTACGACTAATGGTTTCTTATTTTGCTAATGAGAGATGATCAGAGCTCGTAAAGAAGATTGAAAAGGGACCAAAAGCAAGTGATTACAGAGAAGATATATACAATACCTTTGGACCACGCTCGATGTACTTCATGGCAACAAGTTCCTTGGAGTTTTTGACCTTCATGAGCCTGGCAACTCCGAAATTCCCAGCACCAATGTCTTTCACCAGCTCGTACTTCTCCATGTTCGCTCGACAACCCTAATTCCAAACAAACAAACAAACCACGCAAGAAAAACCCAAAAATCTCCAAATTCGCGTTAAACTTAGCTCCAGTTCAAGCCCTACCAGCTAAAAAACCACGAGAAATTATAACGTGGAATCCTAAACAAGACAAGAACCAATCAGTATCCCAAAATTAAGGATGCGATTCAAAGATCTCGCGGCTCGCGAAGAAAGTGAATAAGGAAAGGGATAACGATGGAAGGTGATTGAGATTTGGATTGGAGAGATTTGAAGGCAAAGCGAAGAATCGACTTTTTTTTTTTGTTTTGGAATTTTTGTTTTTTTTTTTGCGGTGAAAATCATAAGAGAAGGAAAGGAATTGTTTTTTCTTCAAAATAATAATGAGAATGAAGAATCTCGCTCTCGTGATGCTTCTTTCTTTAATTACATTAATTAGCTTAATAGGATTTTTATTAATTTAGGTTTTAAGAAAACGGGACCCCACAAGTTTCCATACGATCCAGACATGTTTCCCTTGCTGATTCGAGTGCCGTTGTACGGACACCAACACGCTACGTTTCCTTCACCTAATTACGGAATTTAAAATAGAGATATGATCATATGAGAGTTACTTAACCAACAAATGACTATAGTCACATCCCATTCTTCGTTTGTGTTTGTGCAGATACACAGGCATCTAAATTGCATTATCCAGATGTTATATCCGGATGTAATTCGTTTTTTAAATTCGATTTCTACGTTTATATGGAGTATTACAGTTGAATGCAGTTTTGCTCATTTAGATGTTGCAGAAAATAACATAATGATTAACAAGATGGAGAATTATCTTTGGCACTAATTTTTTTTTTCCTTTTGGCATTTTTAACACTATAAAGAGATTACATGGTTTTGGTACCATAACAAGTTTATGTAAATTTGGCCCTTTAATACAAGTTTATGTATATTTGTTAGTCTCAAACCAAAATTTCGCAAATTTTAGCATCAACACAAAATTCCAATATATTTTATTATTAAAATGTGTTTAGATGAGTTTGCCGTCACAAAGTATTTCCTGTCAACTTGTAAAAAACACAGTTTGAGAAACAATTTTACGGTTTAGCATCAGAATGTGATTCATCCAATAGATAATAAAAAAATACATTCTCGAATATTGAAATTACATGGTTATTTTTTCAAAAATACTCAAAATTACATAAGTTTTTTTCACAATTATCGAAGTACATAAGTTTAAGTGCTTTCAACACGACATTCAAAGTATTTCTTTACGAGTATAATTGGAATAGTTTATGTTAACAGGCACACTAGATTTATATGGGCCTTCAAAGTAATAAAGGTTTCATGTCTATAGGCCCAACTAACTGATTGAAATGAGCTCTGAGCTTTATCGTCTTTTTTTTTGTTTTATGACCCAAAATCTCTCTAAGTGATTCACTGAGAATCTCTGCCGAACGACACTGTGCTCTCTCTTCTTCTCTTTCGTTGGTCTCTCTCTCGCTCTCTCGATCGCTCGCTGCCGAGACACGAGAGAGCTGATACTGTATTGTCAAGATGCAATTTACGCCAACTTGAATCAGATCATCGAGTATAGTCATTGGTCTAACGCATTTCCTTCGTCGTCTCCGTCTTCCTCAGATCTGATCGTCCGCCAGTTTTCGCGATGCCGTCTTCCTCCTCCTCCGCGGCCGCCGTATTCCTTCTTCTGGTTTCCCTCCTAGCATCTTCTCTAGCCTCCGATTCAGATCACAAGGTTAGAGTCGGATCTCCGGTGCCTACCGTTTCGTTTTTGTACACAGCTCGAATCAAATACTCTCTCTGTAGATCTCGTGATTTGCATGGTGTTTGTGATTGACTTTTTTTTCTTTATTGGATCTATTCGTTTTCGGGTAGGTAGGGTCCTCGAGCTTCCAACTAATTGATTCGTCGTTGCAATTCTAAAAATATCTCTTCATCATTGTGATTTAGGCTTCTGCAGTCGCGGCTTTATGAATAGATTTTGATATGAGATTAAGATTCTCGTTTACTTGATACTCAGAAACCCAGTTACTGCACGTGGTAGTATTTTCCATGTACAAAACACGTGAATTAATACTGACTTATATACTTGGCTGGCTTTAAATGGTCATTTTCGTTTGGTCGTAGCTGGAGTGAATATTCTTTCGTGCATTCGGGAAATGTTAAGAGCCGTACAAGCGAGATATGAACTTACAGTTTCTTGTTGGGTATATAGCTTTTTTGAGAGGGGGGGGGGGGATACAGCATCTATGATATGTAGATCTTACTGTTCTTAGGGTCTGGAGAGATAAGTGAAGAAAAGTTTTTGAATTGCCATGCTGCTAGTTCTAAATTGTTCGGTTTCAACTAAATCTTCTCTGTTCGAAAAGATCATAGATATAGGCAGGTCATGTGTTGTTGTTAGTGCAACCTGTTGGCCTATCAAGAGATTAGGCAAGCCACCTATTCTCTGAAACCAAAATTATAGTGAAACGCTCTGTGATGATCCAAATATTTAAATGAGACAAACTCATTTATACATTTCTTTTCATATCTGTCAATTCAATACTTTTGCTTTCACTTTTTGCCAGTATCAAGCTGATGAGCAGGTTACCCTGTGGGTGAACAAAGTTGGCCCATATAACAATCCACAAGAAACATACAACTACTACAGTCTTCCATTTTGCCGCCGATCTAATAATGATCTTCACAAATGGGGTGGTCTCGGTGAAGTACTTGGTGGAAATGAGCTGATTGACAGCGAGATCGAGATAAAGTTCTTGAGTATGTTTTAATTCTTATCCTAGCATCTGTTTAATACTATTAGTATTACTAGTTATCTTACTTGTGCTCTAATTACAATACCTTTTTCCACAGAGAATGTTGACAGAAATGTTATCTGTCAGCTTGAACTCGATGAAGCTAAGGTCAAGCATTTTAAAGATGCAATCGAATCTAGCTACTGGTTTGAATTCTTTATGGGTATGTTCCACATTCTCTTGTACATATTTCCACTGAAGTAGCATGAAACAAAAAAAAAGTTTTACAAACATTTTTAGTCTGCTGAGTTTGCTTTTGGCTTTTTTTTTCTAATAATGCAAATCTAAAATAGCCGTAAATCTTCACAGCGTTACCAGTATCTTTATAAGTTGTAGTATAATTTTACTTATACTATTTCTCATATTAATAAGCCTGGAAAGGTAACTGTTTTAGGTCTTAACCTTTTTCTCACAATTTTTTTTTTTGTTTTTTTGTGGCATCTGATTTGCGTGGACTTTTATCTGGTGGTTCTAACTTCAGATGATCTGCCTTTGTGGGGTATGAGCTTTTGTATATTTACTTGAAATATCCAAAATTAATCATTTTAAAATTTTTAATTTTAGATAGTATTAATACTGTCTCATCGCTATTGTAGGCTTCGTGGGTGAGCTGCATCCTGACAAAAATGGTGAAAACGGCAAGCATGTCCTCTACACACATAAGAACATTATTGTCAAGTACAACAAAGACCAGGTCGGTTGTTGCTATGCCGATAAGCAATTCATGTTAATCTTATTTATTTTGAGCTACATACTGTGATCTTATTTATTTATTTTCATAGATCATTCATGTTAATCTCACTCAAGACAACCCAAGGCCACTGGAAACTGGGAGGACAGTGGATCTGACGTATTCTGTGCAATGGATTCCAACAAATGTAACCTTTGCTCGCCGTTTTGACGTATATCTGGATTATCCATTCTTTGAGCATCAGGTAAAGTTTGGCTTGTTATGTACCCTTCTTTTGTCTTTGAGTATGATTGCTTCACGGTTTCATAATGTATCATACTGAATGTCTCCTTTCCTACTTGTTTAGCAATTTTTTTATAACTTTCATCTCTTCAAGATGTTTGTTCAAGCTTTATAAGACTTCTTAGAGTTTTTTTTTATCGTTTTGCAGATCCATTGGTTCTCCATCTTTAACTCGTTCATGATGGTTATTTTTCTCACTGGTTTGGTCTCAATGATATTGATGAGGACTCTCAGAAATGATTATGCGAAGTATGCTCGTGAAGATGATGATCTCGAGAGCTTGGTGATGTTTCCTCACTTTTATATTTGATAGCTCCACAATTATTTTTGCTGTTCATAATCTCTCGGCAGTTTATTCAACACCACTTTCTTTATTTTTGAGGCTGTATTTCTGATATTGGTATTGATGAGCACAGGAACGGGATGTCAATGAAGAATCTGGTTGGAAACTTGTGCATGGGGATGTGTTCAGACCACCATATAGTCTAGTTCTCCTTTCAGCTGTTGTTGGCACGGGTGCGCAGTTGGCATTGCTTGTTCTTCTTGTCATATTAATGGCCATCGTAGGGACTCTCTATGTTGGGTATGTATTACACTCTTCTTTTCACTTGCAACCAACTTCTCGTGCTGTTATTTCCCCTCTATTCTTTGTAGTATCTTTGGTTTGCTTGTAACGTCTGGATTTTGCTCACCTCATATTCTGATTATTACAGGAGAGGAGCAATCGTCACAACATTCATAGTTTGCTATGCTTTGACTTCCTTTGTCTCTGGTTACGTTAGTGGGGGAATGTACTCAAGAAGCGGGGGTATGACTTAATCTTGTTGGAAAATCTTTCCAGTGTTACTCTCCCCTTTGATTTGTCAGTTTTATATTGAAGCCAAATTTGTTTAGGTAAACACTGGATCAAGTGCATGGTCCTCACGGCTTCTCTCTTCCCCTTTTTGTGCTTTGGAATTGGCTTTCTTCTAAACACAATTGCCATATTCTATGGATCCCTTGCGGCTATTCCTTTCGGGACAATGGTGGTTGTGTCTGTAATTTGGGGTTTTATCTCCTTCCCATTAGCCCTCCTCGGGACAGTGGTTGGAAGAAACTGGAGCGGTGCTCCAAACAACCCATGCCGTGTGAAGACCATTCCGCGTCCAATCCCTGAGAAGAAGTGGTACTTAACTCCATCTGTCGTCTCCCTGATGGGAGGTTTGCTACCATTTGGAAGCATCTTCATCGAGATGTACTTTGTGTTCACATCCTTCTGGAATTACAAGGTAAAAGTTATTACGTTGATAAGAATAAAGCATTCTGATACTTATTCCGATTGACCAAACCTGATTAATAAGAGACTAAAAATCCACCCGCATAATCTTATAATTCCAGCATTCACCAACTGCTCTCTAACCAACTCGCAACAGTTATAATCATACTACATGAAATACCTAAGGCTAGTTATAGCTTAAATATGAGCAGCTAAACTTCTTCAAGTAGAATTGATTGGCTATTTTTTTAAATCCTTTTTTTTTTGGTTTTGGGTTGACAGGTTTACTATGTGTATGGGTTCATGCTGCTGGTATTTGTGATTCTGGTCATTGTGACCGTCTGCGTGACAATTGTGGGAACTTATTTCCTGCTGAATGCAGAGAACTATCACTGGCAATGGACTTCGTTTTTCTCTGCTGCTTCAACGGCCGTCTACGTCTACTTATACTCAATCTATTACTACTACGTAAAGACGAAGATGTCTGGATTCTTCCAGACAAGCTTCTACTTTGGATACACCATGATGTTCTGTCTTGGACTTGGAATCCTTTGCGGTGAGCTCACCCACTCTCTTCATTCTCTTCAAACTAAGAAGTGGTGTTACTGATTTGACTGAATTTTATTTGTGCAGGAGCTGTTGGATTCTTGGGATCAAACCTGTTTGTAAGGAGGATCTACAGAAACATCAAGTGCGACTAGAGGAGAGAGGTAAACGAATTCTCGAAAAAAAGAGGAAAAAACATCCAATTTAGAAGGAAGCTTCTTATGGGGTCATATATTATATAAACACAGTAGAGAGCGGAGCGAGCGAGAGAGAGAGAGAGGGAGAGAGGAGGAAGTTGGAGCATATATATTATATTCTTCAATGGTGGGGCTTTGTACTTCGGAGCTTTTTTGTATTTTCTTCTTATTTTCTCTCTTTTTTGATAAGTGAACTGTTCTCTTTAGATTAGAATTGAGTGGCTGTAATATACTACTACTACTATATTACCTGTAATCTTTTTTTTTTCTAAATTTCATTTTCTGTTTCACTTCACTTAGATTGTTAAATATGGTGTCCTTTTGATGCAATTGGATTGAATCCAGTTTTTCGTTTGTGCATGTGCAGTAGATTAATTTATCAGATCATGTATTGGGAAATGTTGAATTTCACGGTGTGACTTTATTGAAACTGGATACTAGTTGTCTTGTCTTTTTGTTAGAAATCAAAAATTACATGCATAGGCTCAATCTGAAAACTTGGCAATGAAGCATATAAGCAAATTTCCCTTTGTAAATAGCCATATAGACCCAAGCAAGTCTAGAATCTTCGTGGTCCTATATTCTTGATGGTGTGACTTGTCGTAAGTCCAACCACATACTTGCTCTCACCAACAAAATAACGCACAGAATGCAAAAACACAGACGCACACAGACAATCACCAAGAAGATAACATAAGAGCCCACATATCACACGCCACGTGGCAGATAGCGTTTAAAAATCCCACCTCCTTTATAATCCTCTCCCTCACATCTTCTACGCCATTTCAACAAAGCCACACAGACACTCACAAGTCCATAACACAGAATCATCAATCTTTCTTTCAGCTATGGCTTCCACTGCTCTCTCCAGCGCCATCGTAAGCACCTCTTTTCTCCGCCGTCAACAGACTCCAATCAGCCTCAGATCTCTCCCGTTGGCCAACACACAGTCCCTCTTCGGCCTCAAATCCTCCACCGCACGCGGCGGCCGCGTCACCGCTATGGCCACCTACAAGGTCAAGTTCATCACGCCCGAGGGAGAGCAAGAAGTGGAGTGCGAGGACGACGTCTACGTCCTCGACGCGGCGGAGGAAGCCGGAATCGATTTGCCTTACTCATGCCGTGCCGGGTCTTGCTCGAGCTGCGCCGGGAAAGTCGTCGCTGGCACCATTGACCAGACGGACCAGAGCTTCTTAGACGATGACCAGATGAGCGAAGGGTATGTTCTCACCTGTGTCGCTTACCCGACCTCTGATGTCGTCATCGAAACCCACAAAGAAGAAGCCATTGTTTAAGATCTACACTAAGCTTTTAAAGCCTCATCAATGAATTTGATCAAATGGGAATAGCTTGATGTATAAGTCATCTCTCTGTCTCTCTTGTTACTTCGCTAATTTGGCTCACCCTTTTATAAAAGATCAATGGATCCCAAATTTTCAATATTTTTGTTTGTTTTTCTTAGCATCCATACAATCAATTCAACCTGTTCCTCTATATGCCATTATATGATTCAAAGCAACAAAAAGAGAAGAAGTTGCGATGGCGCTAGATTATTTGATTCTACACAGATGTAATAAGTGAATCAAAAAGCTAAGCCCAGATGGCGAGTGCGGACATAAGTCCAGCTCCAAGGAACAACATTACATAAGACACAACCTGGAGCCTCACATTACAACTCATCCTCTTGCTTAGAAAATCAGCTGCGATCAGGTCCACCAGAGCCATGTACACCAGTATCCCAGCCGAGAGCGAGTCAAGTATCCCTTCGGTGACCAAAGCTCCAGGGCTATGCGAGTTGAAAGACGACGCCACCGCGATTCCAACCCCGATCCCTACAGGAGTGGTCAGTGCGAAGAAGCAAGCCATTACGGTCGCTGACTTGTTCCTGAACTCTGCCTGAGAGATGCATCCTCCTAACGCAAATCCTTCAAAGAACTGGTGAAATGACAGAGCTGCAATCAGAGGCCTGATCGTGCATGGAGACTGCGATACCCCGAGGGATAAACCGATGATGATTGAGTGCGACACAATCCCAAGCTCCAATATCTGCAATATCAGTAAAAAACGACTTAATACAAAAAGCTGCCTTTCTGAGATTAAGTTTCCAAGCTCCAAAGGAGTAAGAGTTTATACTAAACCTGAGAAACAACAACATGCCTAGCTCCATTCTCAACATCATGATTCCCGTGCGCGTGTCCATGTGCATGTCCATCACATGTTCCATGGCCATTAGAGTGACTATGTCTATGGTGTGCGGCGTGAGCACGAATGCCAACAATGTGAATCCCGCCGCCGTCTTCTTCACCAAACACTTTACTATCGTTTACTCTTTCTCCAGCCACGGGAAGAACAACAGCAGTCTCCTCACGGCCGGGCTCAACAACGGCGGCTTCACTAGCAGCCTCGTTCCTCTGCTGCTTCCTCTCATAGTACTGTGTCCCCATGAAATCCACAAGCAGAGTTACCAAAGCAGCCACCATTGCAAAGAAACCCGGAAAAGGGAACTTTGACCATGGATAATCCGGTAAGCAAGGGTTGGTGAGAGCTTCGGTGCCGCCGGCGAGCATGTGGACAAAGCCAGTGGCGAGTATGACACCGGCTGCAAAGGCTTTAGCAGCTACAAAGAGGTTCCCCTCGGTTCGAAGGAAACGGCGGTTCTTGCCAATGAGAGGTATGGCTACACCCGCAGCTCCAGCTAGTAGAATCGATGCAATGGCTACGAATTTGAGTAGAAATGCAGCTGAGTCGTCTCGACAGAGCTCTGATTCGCCGGCATCACAGAGGATTTTAGTGAGAAGAGAAGAAGGAGAAGAAGCCATTGTCTCGGGAATTACCTGCAAAACGGACTCTTTTTTTTTTTGGTTTCCATGGTCCATAACAATTACATTTCACTAAATTAACTCTGATAAAATTCGATTGGGAGATGGAAGAAGCTAGATCATACGGAATTGAGTGGGGGAAAACAGAGTCTCACACTCAACAAATGAAAAAAAAAAGTGTTGGGTGAAATACCTGAAAGAGAATCGCTTCCTGATCCGAACAAGTATAGAGGAAACGATTTCCAAAGAATCTAAGACCAAGAGAAGCGAAAATGCAAAATCAGATTCCACAACCATTAAATAACAATTGGAGAGACGAATCGAATCCCAAGGGGAAGGGGGAATTTTGACTAACATCGGCGATGATCATGGGAACAAGAAGAGCGTCTTCTTCCTCGGGATCAAGGAGCAGAAAGCGAAACCTATACTATTAAATAGGAGAAATCGAAAAAGGAGGAAAAGAAAAGAAGGAAGAAAGTTGGAGAAAGAGCGAAAGAGTGTCGACATTGTCAGGACGCTGGAGTTGCGACTGCGAACAGAGGCTCGCTCCGTGGCAGTTTCGAGACTGACGCGATCACATACCGAGCTTCTCACTCTTGTCTATACTTGCTTCATATGTCGACATTTTCACGTTATTCGCTCTTTCTTTTTTTCTTTTTTTCTTCTCAAATACACACAAAAATAATGATTTTTGGAATTTCTTTTCTTTTCTAAAGTATTACTATTCTCTTTTTCTCTTCTTCACTAGTAAAACAAGAATACTAATATTACTATATCTGATCCATAATGTTGTGATGCCAAAATTTTGTTGTTAGATTGTAGATGGCTGAATTTGCCCAAAAAATAAAAAAAAATTGTAGATGGCTGATATAACATGAATACTAGTATTATTATATCTAATCTCAGCATTTTGTTTTCTAAGTTTCATTTTGCGGAGAAAGTTTAAACTTAAACAATAAGAAGAAAACAACAATACATTCCATATTTAGGTTATATTCAATTTTAATTTAGTGTTGCAATTATTATTATTGTTTGATTTTCTTTCTTAATAAGAAACTAATTGATCTAACATTAGTTGTGGATACAAATTAAATTTAGGCAATCTCTAACGACCAAATGATTTCAAATTGTTAAATATCATGTCTAGTTAGTTTCACAACTAATATAGATCTAATCGATTTTAAACTAATTTAGATTTAAATGCAAATGAATACAAAGTCTCTTGTTTCCTAAATTTTATTTTGTGGAGAAAGTTTTAACATGGAATAATACAAAAAAACAACACCAGATTTCATATTTGTGTTAGATTCAAATTTCATTTTAGTATTGCAATTATTATTATCATTTTCTTCCTTATAAAATTCAAATTGATTTGCATTAATTGTGAATACAAATTAAACATTGGCAATCTCTAACGACTAAATGAATTCAAATGACTAGATACCAATCATGTTAGTTTCACAACTAATGTAAATCTAATCGATTTTAAACTAACTTAAATTTTAATGCGAATGAGTAATAATAATAAAAAAAATAGAAGATATATCTTTATTTTTGAGCTTCCTTCTCATGATATCTCTTGCTTGTTAAATTTCATTTTGTAGAGAAAGTTTTACCCTGAAACAATTCAAAAAAAAAAACAACACCAAATTTCATATTAGTGTTAGATTCAAGTTTCATTTAGTATTACAATTATTATTATCATTTTCTTTCCTAATAAGATTATTCTGATGGATCTGTATTAGTTGTGAATACAAATTGAACATAGGCAATTTCTAACGACCAAATTAGCTCAAATGGCTGGATACCATGTCCGGTTAGTTTCACAACTAATGTAAATCTAATCAATTTTAAACTAACTAAAATTTAATGCGATTGAATAATAATAATAAAAAAGAATAAAAGACATATCTTTATTTTTGAGCTTCCTTCTCACGGTATCTCTTGCTTACTAAATTTCATTTTGTGGAGAAAGTTTTACCCTGAAACAATTCAAAAAAAAATAATACCAGATTTTATATTAGTGTTAGATTCAAGTTTCATTTAGTACTACAATTATTATTATTATTATTATCATTTTCTTTCCTAATAAGATTCCGATTGATCTGCATTAGTTATGAATAGAAATTGAACATAGGCAATCTCTAACGACCAAATGAGTACAAATGGCTGGATACCATGCCCGATTAGTTTCACAACTAATGTAAATATAGTCGGTTTTAAATTAATCTAAATTGTAATGCGAATGAATTAAAAAAAAGAACAGAAAACATATCTTTCTTTTTGAAGTTCCTTCTCACGATATTTTTTGCTTCCTGGGTTTTAATTTGTGGAGAAAGATTTAACCTGAAACAATACAAAAAAAAATCAACACCAGATTTGAATTAGATTCAAATTTTAATTATTGTTCCAAATAATAATATTATTATCATTTTTCTTAATAAAATACCGATTGATTTGCATTAGTTGTGAATACAAATTGAACATAGTAATCTCTAATGACCAAATGAATTCAAATGGCTGGATATCATGTTCGGTTAGTTTCACAACTAGTATAAATCTAATCGATATTAAACTAATTAAGATTTTAATGTGAATTTATAAAAAAATAATGAGAGAATAAAAACATATCTTTCTCTTTTCTTGACGTCTATTGCACACCAATGCAAGCAAGAGTGAACCATGCAGTTGAACATTCTGCAAGAAAATCACAGTTGATCAATAAGAGATCGTATCTGGAAATATATGAGAACTGGCTGGTGTTGGATTTTACTTACCTTGAGATGATATTTCTTCAGGAGTTCTTGGCGGAACAAGCCTGAAACGATTCCATACAATTATCTCAGAAACTCCATAGGCATTTTTATTCTCCTGATCCTCACTTTCAAAGAGAAAAGATAAATAACTTCAGAAAAATAGTTCCTTCTCCAATCTCACTGATTTCAAAATTTGTGTCTAGAAACAAAGAAACGAGAACTACAGAGAAGCACAGATGCTACATTCAACTCTATTTTGGTATTGCAATTAGTGCAATTCCTCAAGTCCATAACACTTAAAGAAAAGATTAAACTTTTGTTCATTTCCACAGATTAGTATAGGCAAGCTTAAGTGATCCGTGGTTTCAATTGGAACGATTTTCAACTCTGCTTGACAAATTGATACAAAGCTCGTTTGTTTATTAGCCCACTACAATCACACTATCCAAGAAAAAGACTTGAAAGGAATTGTTATGATGTGACACCATTATACTCCAAACACATAAGATTTGCATCCTAATCAGGTGTATACCCGAACAAAAAGACGCCTTGTACTCAAATTCAAAACTACAGGGGAGAGATAGTTACTTGATAGGAGAAGCCTCGTGAAGTAAAGACGATTCCGCAAATTAGCCATGGTGAAACTCTGGGAGGAGTAGGTTTTGCTAACTGGAAGAGATCCAACTCTGTAAGTGAAGCGACAAGTGAAGAGACCATACATTCTATTCACATCGTTATTACCTTTCTCTACATTGCTTCCTGGTAAAGACCTTGCGATAACAGACCATTTGGCCGGTCCATACTCTCTCACAGGTTCAGCCATTTTAATCTTCCTACAAAATCAGAAACCAAGGACAAGTTTTTGTTGGACTGCAAAGTGTGCTATCTGTGAAAAATTCAGCTGCAAAGTGAAATAACAATAAATCAAACAACACCGATGCTACTTTCTGTACAGGAAATAGATCCAAGAAAAGAAATTTACCTACTTTCTTCCACCTCTTGCCCTTATATTTGTCAACTGCTTGTCTCAGTGTCTCATCCTGCATAGTGATAGAACCAATTACAGGATATAGATTGAACGAGAGTGGTGTACGCATAAGCTTATCTATTACGAAACCGAGAATCAGGAAATAGAGAAAAAAAGCAACCACCTTTTGTTCTCTGACATCATATTCAGACGCAAAACTTGATATCCTCTTACATCCCATTCATCAGCCTCAGCAGAAACTTCACTTTCAGAACCATGTAAGCCATCACTCTGCTGCTTACTTGGCTTCATCAACATCTAAGTCCCACTCTCGTTGAAGTCTGCAAATCTTCATTGAATTGTAGCTTGTGTGAATCTCTAGCTACCACTTGGAGATGGATGCAAGTGGCAACAAATTATCCCTTGTGGTAACGTTTGTATCATAAGCACGGCTTAGCGGAATCCAGTGTAACCTTGTTGAATAATATCACCTTCCTTCACCTCAACACAAGCATCTGACTCGACTCTCTGATCCGTCCCGTGCACTAAATCCAAGTAATGAATCCAATTAATCAACCAGAAACGCATACACAGATATGGAAATCGATCCACTAGAAACAATCTATTTTTCGGATGAACAAAAGATTTCGCCTTAGAAATCGAAATTGGGGTAAGAGATGGTTTCGTACCAGAGGACAGATCCGTGGCGAAGAGGTAAAGAGCAGATTTGCTAACTCTAGGGAAATCGCGACTGTCGACGATAAAGATGTTCTTGTTCTTGAGAATCGTACCGCACTGTGAACGCATGAATCGTCTTTCCAAAAACGGAGATGAAGAAGACGATGCTTAAGAGAGCCCAAATCTATACACGTCTTCTACAACTCTTCGTGATTTTATCTCTCCTATCTCGAAGCCGTTGAAGAGTGCCAAAATCTATTTACTCCTAACGGCTAAATAATTAATTCCTTAACCGTACGGTTAAGGTTTCATAAGCAAGCAGAATTTCGATTCAATTCGAGGTTTTCAAAACCTTACCGAAAGGTCCAGACCGGTTTAAATAAACAAAAGTTATTGGAACGTTAAACCTGCAATTAGTCAATTACTGTTGACAAAATTAACCCACGCGCTCAATCCGCACGTGGACTACAGAATCCAACCTAAAGTCAACTATCTCACAAGCGCGTGCTTCACACGAAAAGAAAAAGTGTTTCTTTTGCATAATTACACAGTTATAGTAATTTATGGTTTTATCTTTTATGGATGTCAAAGTAGTTTACAAGCAAAGAAGCTCAAGTCCTCCTAAACAACTCAAAAAGTGTTTCTCCACCATCACCATTACTCTCTTCACTCCCACTCTCTCTCCTTCCATTATCTTCCTCACTTTCAATCTCAATCTCAATCTCATCACTCAAAGGCTGCATCGAGCCGATGTTGTTGTATGTTTCAGACAGATACTCTTCCACTCGCGAAGTGTACTCGTCTTGAGGACTACTCGATGAAGCTGCTGCTCCGAATATGGACTCTGCCTGGTCTGTGGAGTTTATGGTGATCTGATTCAGCGAAGTCATCGATGAGCTCCTCGACAATGTTCCCACTGTCATCTCATCTCTCTCGTCTATTGTTGCTGTGTCCAGTGAACACACAGATCTCGCGTGCTTCGACCTCTCTTTCACTCTCTTGCACCAGCTGTGGAGCGAGTCTCTTACATTCTCTGCTATCACAGCTTTCTTGCACCGAGATCCCATCTGTTCAGTTGATCAGGTAAAAATCCACAGAACTTTTGATGAACAATGTTTATTAGGCATTGGCTTTGGTACGCTTAAGATTATGGAGCTTGTAGTTATAGAGAAGAGATTTAGACTAACCTGAGTGACGATTACATTGAGAGGCACAGTGCCATAACTACACCAGAACTGAACAAGAACCCTGCATCCACCAGAAGAACAAAGGCCTTTAGAGATAGCAGATATATATATAGCTGTGAAATTATTGTGTGTTTGAAACGCACCCAGATATTAGACGGCTCGATATCATCACATGGTTCTTCATGAAACAAGATCTTTCCTTGATTCCCCACTGATACATGAAAATGAAACATCATTTCAGTTTACATAGCTGTGCTTGGGTATTAATGCAGGTATTGATAAGGGCGTTCTTACCAAGAACCAGATGAATGTTGCCATCTCAAATGCATTCTGCATTAGCAGGAAGTATATAAAGATTATATCTGTGAATAAACAAGAATCATGGCTTGTGGAATTGAGAAAGGAAAGGTTGTTTTTGTTTACCTGAAAAATGATAAACTGTATCAACCGTAATAGAATTTCTGGTTTCCCAAACCAGAAGAGTCCATCACGCGGTTTCACTTGAGCCCCAGCAGTTGTGCCTGTCTGCTGCTCCTTAACCTCGAGAGCTAGCTTTGAGACAACATGCTCAAGTTTCGTTCCAACCAACATGACAAGCTTATACAACAAAACAAATACAAACACATGCTTTGAATGTTACTCCCTTTAATAAATTTTCAAGCCTTTTCTACTTGCTTACTCTTGCTTTGTTCACTTACAATGGCAGGGATGAATGATAACCAAAAGTACATATTCAGGCCTGAAACAATGTCATTAGAATTAATTAGACAAAGCTTAAATGCAGAGATAGAAATGGAATTTACTCTGTATTTATATAACCATTAAGTTACCATGGACATTTATGCAGATACATACTATAGCGTAAACCCAAAGCGGCCAGCTGTTGATTCATCAATAAACATTCATCAGTTACATTCTGTAATGGCCTTATGAAATCTTCTGATTGTAGTTTGAATCAAAGAATCTAGATAAATTCTGCATTCTAATAAAAGCTTGCCTTATTCCAACAATGCCATGAAACTCATCTTCCATGCTCCGTACCATATACATATGAAAGTTGTATGTAAATGGCAAGTTATGTTTCTGAATATTCAAAATAATAAAACACTAATTCAGTACAATAATGCCATCTACCCGAACAGATGATAAATCTTGAAACCTTCACAATCTAAGGTCAAAATAAGTGTATTACATGAAAAGTTTGAAGGGAAGAAACAAACAAAAAGATACTCACAGTGAGGAAACCTAACCGAAGCGCAAAGTAGTCAGACTTGCGTATGGAGCCTCTAAACTGCCGCAGGAAACAAAGCTGCAACAAACAAACATATATATTCTATAAATTATGGAGAGAAAAGTAATTGTCTGTCTTCTTTCTTTTAACAATGTTCTTTGATATTCTGTAGTTCTCTAGTGGAAATATGAAACTATTGAAAAGGTAAAACCATGGAGAGTTACCATCCAGATGAGAAAACGATTGTTACTCCAAGGATGAGAGGCATGATGGAAGACAAATGTAGACTGCCGCATCATCACCTTCGCCTTCTTTGCTATTGAACAATATCAAACAGAAAGGATATATCAAGAATAATTTGAAGATCGTCAAAAAAGGTCTCTGGAATTGACTCTATAGCCAAGGAGAATAGATCAAATGCTGCATAGAAGCATCTCCACGGCTCAAGTGAGTTAATGAAATGCACAGCTTAAATAATCCTAGTTTCACACTGTTTCCAATCCTAAGACAACCACACTTCCTCATGTGCCTCAAGATGAGATTCATCAAAGAAACATACAAGCTTTTACTTGAAGGAGAAACAAAAAAGAAATCTGTCATTTACCATGGATATCTGCTTCAGCCATTATGATTGCTTGGGCTTCCCATTTTCTCCAACTGTATATCTGCGTCAAACGAAAAAAAAAGGAGACAAATTCTGTTTCTGATTGTATCGTGTTCTGTTCCTCTGCTTAAACTCAACTTTCAGATTGAAGTGGCATATTGTATACAGATATACTTAAATGCACAAAATATTTTGACCATAAGGATGAAGGTGATAGCAAGTACAGTATATGTCTTCCTTCTCCAGAAATATAGAAACACCCAAGAATGAAAACGTAGCACTCATTCATATGTATAAGATTCAGGACCTAGTATGTGTACCTTGCTCATGGCTAAACCAATGGCGATGCCACTGTACAGAACGTGAGTGATACCCAGGACGAATAAGAATCTCAGGAGTTGCTCGAGGCCCTCATACGACACAAATGGTTCCCGTCCCTGACATTGGACCCAAGTTTTCAGTTCAGCTATACATTACTAAAGGGTATATGGAAACGAGACCTCTTAGTCGATAGGATAACTAGAGATTTACATGACCACATTGATGAGAGGCTCCGTGATGTGGTAAGGAAGTGTTGCTTGTAGAAGAGGAGTGTTCCAGAAGAACTTTCTTATGGATTCCGTAGTCCTCTTCGGAGCAGATGTAGAATTTACTGTTGAAAAGGGATGAGTTTACGCAGATTTCTGAAATCCATCTCGCGCTTTGTGACAAGAGCAGTGATATAAGTCCCAGCAACATCAACTCTATACAAAGAAAGTTTAGCAAATCAAAATCATATAAAAAAGAAAGCATCTCTATTATCTCAGAAACTTCACAACCAGTCTATTTGACGCACCTTCTTTCATCTTCTCCAGCGAAGTAAAAAGTGCCTTCCGCCTAGTCTTCTTTAACCACTAAAACACACAAAAAGAAAAAATTAGCTTCTCATCTTCATCTAGGCTTGAAACACTCTGTAAAAGTGACTTCTCCTAGCGTGAGAGCATCAACACTGCTTCTCCTAACAATTTTAGCAATTATAAACACAAATCCCCAACGAAGAAACATACTTTCTAGTACCCAGTATCAGATTAACAAATAATCTCTTCACGAAACAAGGAGAGCAAGACTTTTAGCATCCAAGTTCCGAATCATTGATAATGCTCCTTCTCTCACACTCATTTTTTCGAGCTGAGCATTTCTACAAACACTTGCAGTAGAAAAATAAAACGAAAAAAAAAATAAAAATCTCACCTTTCCAAATCTGTAGATGGCGCGTTCTACGAGAAAGCAAACAAAGACCAAAACAGTGACAACCGAAGCAACAGAGTAAGTCGGCGTCTCTGCCAGAGACCTCCCTTCTTTCATCAGATGCTCCATTATCTCCGGTGGGGAATGTCGCAGCAAGCTTTCCTCCCGAGAATAATTGTGAAGGGATCTGCATCTGCGTGTGATTGCGAGAGAATAATAAAGTTTAGCCTTTTTTTTGCTTCACTTAATTTTCGAAATAAAATAAAAGTCAAGGAAGAGAAAGCTCATGGATTGATGCACCTAAGTAGAAACCGCCGCACATGGTTGCTTCCTCTTCTTCTTTCTCCAACGGTCTTCTCTTTCTTTATTCATTGCTTTCATTAATGCATCTCATGTGCTTCTGTCTAAAAGTCGTTTAATACATAAATAATGCAGAAATGCCGGACTTGACCGGCCGGTTTGATACACGATCATAACTCTGATATGATTACGACCGGCCGGATTTGATCCCTGAAATAAAACATAGTAAATATTGATGGTCCCCGTCCTACTAATAACTTTTTATAACTTCAACCATCAATGGGGTGGTGGCGCAGTTGGCTAGCGCGTAGGTCTCATAGCTACTGAGTGATCCTGAGGTCGAGAGTTCGAGCCTCTCTCACCCCATTTATTTTTTTCTTCCTTTTTCTTATCCCAAAGTAAAGATTAAAGAAGCTTTCTTCTTCCCTCTCGCATTGACCTTCTGCAGTTTTTGCCTCTCTACACTTCTGTCATCTTCTCACATCCTCGCACATATTTTTGCCGTCCGACCAAAAACTCAGAGACCCTAATTTGTTCAGATCGATTCGAATCATTCCTCGTTTGATCTCACAAATTGATTTCCATCTATAGATTTCTCTCTTTCGTTTTTTTTTCCTCTCTGTAATTTAGGGTTAGCTAAGGTTTGATTTTGATCAATGATGCAAGGTGAAGTACAATTGCAGCCACCGGAATCGCAGAAGTTGAGCGATTCCGCCCCCTTATTGGGAAATTCTCCGTCTTCTTCTTTTTCTTCTTCTTCGGCGTCTCCTCCTGCGACTGTGGTGGCAGGAAGTTCCGATGAGATAAATGCTGAAGATTTGGAGAGTGGTTCTGCTTCAGCTTGCTGTCGTATTTGCCTTGAGAACGATAGCGATTTGTTAGGCGATGAATTGATATCACCGTGTATGTGCAAAGGCACTCAGCAATTCGTGCATCGATCATGTCTCGATCACTGGCGATCCGTCAAGGAAGGCTTTGCTTTCTCTCACTGCACCACCTGCAAAGCACAGTTTCACCTCCGCGTCGAGCCCTTTGAAGATAACAACTCTTGGCGTCGGAAAGCCAAATTCAGACTCTTTGTCGCGAGGGATGTGCTTTTGGTATTCTTCGCCGTGCAGACTGTGAGTATTTCTCTCTCTCTCTCTCTCTCTCTCTCTCTCTCTCTCTCTCTCTCTCTCTCAGCTTCCTCCATGGTTCTTATAACTGCAGTTTCATGAGGGTGTTTAAGCATTTAATAAGAGTCTCCCGAAGATGATTTGTCATTTGACATACAAAGTGAAACACTTTCACATGCTGTTACAACTTGACAATGGGATTTGATGACTGCTAAATTGTTTATTTTGCTCAGTGTGATTGGTTTTCTTTTATCGACTTGCCATTGTTGAAGCCTGTTTTCCGGTAGAGATTGAAATCAGTAAGAATCTTACAGGATTGTCGACATTATATAGGTTATAGCTTCGATGGCCGGATTTGCATACATGATGGACAAGGACGGAGAGTTTCGCAACTCTTTCAACGATGATTGGGATCGTATATTGTCGAAGCATCCCATCCCGTTTTACTACTGCATCGGTAATCCTGAATCTTTACATCTCCTTTCCTTTTCATAACTAGAATGAATACAGCGGATCTTAGAAACATTTGGTGTGTCATGAATCTTCTTTAGGGGTTGTAACCTTCTTTGTGCTGATTGGGTTTCTTGGCCTCATTCTACACTGTTCTTCTCTCAACGGTAATGACCCGAGGATGGCTGGGTGCCAGAACTGCTGTTACGGTTGGGGCATCTTGGATTGTTTCCCTGCATCAATGGAAGCTTGTTTCGCTCTTGTTGTTGTCTTTGTCGTCATCTTCGCCATTCTTGGTTTGGCTTATGGGTTTCTTGCTGCAACTATGGCCATCCAGAGGATATGGCAGAGACATTACCATATTCTCACAAAGCGAGAGCTCACGAAAGAGTACATTGTGGAGGATCTTCACGGATGTTACACTCCCCCGAAGCTGGATGCAGAGCATGAAGGAAGACTGAAAATGCTGAAACTTATGTGACCGCTCTTTAATTGCAAATAAAGGTTGTATGGAGTCTGTGGGGGGACAAGCTTATGCTTCTTTTGTTCAAGGAGAATGTCTATATCTTCTTTTAAGTACCTGATGTTTACGTTTGTCTTATATATGAGGAGAAGCAAAGCTATTGCTTTTGTTAATGAATACTAAAGATATTGAGACCCAAATCTATGTTTCACTGTTACTCTTCCATGAATCTCTCTTATGAGACCCAAATCTATGTTTCACCGTTACTCTTCCATGAATCTCTCTTTAACCGATGATTTTTCATACACAGAAGATTAGTGTTACTTTTAATCACAGTTTCTGTTGACAGTGAGAGGATCATGTAATGTAATTATAATTATGATAAGTCATGGATGCAGCTTCAATTTCCTAGAAAAAAAAGTGAAAAGTCGAAATAACTAAAAAATAAAAAAGCGACCACAGTGGGAGTCGAACCCACGACCTTCTGATCCGAAGTCAGACGCGCTAATCCACTGCGCTATGCGGTCGTTGAATATTTTATTGCACCTTTTGAGATATAGTCCCGAAAGATGTTTTTATCCAGACGACAGAACTTTGTTTAAAATGTAGTTTGTTAGCCAAAAAGAATCAATTATGCCTTTGGCTTCACAAAACAATGAGGATAAACTATAGATGCAAAAGAAGTCAATTGTATCATTCACGGCAAGAATCGAATCATATAAAAACAGCCTACAAGAAAGAAAAACATAAGATATTAAATAAGCCTAAAGTGTCAACAAATCACAACTTGAAAGCCTCAATCCCTCAACTTATATACAACGAAGAATAAAGGAAAAGACATGAAGTGTAGTGGAATATGATGAACCCCATACAATAGTTATTATCAGCCTCTATGCCCAAGAACAATCTTTCAAAACCTCATAGGCCATTGATCTTTGCTCTTCGCTCAGCTCTTTGGGGAAATTCACTAAAAACGTGATTTTCAAATCTCCTCGTTTGCCTTCTTCTTTAGCATTTGGCAAACCTTGGCCTTTAATGGCCTTCTCAAATCCATGAAAGATCACTTCTCCTACAGATATCGACATGGACTCACCACTAAGTAGCGGCACCGAGAGTTTACATCCAGTCAAAGCCTTTAGAAGAGGAATCTCGACGGCGATCTCTATGTCATCCCCACGTCTTTTGAACAAAGGGTGTCTCTTTTCTTCAACCACGAATGTGATATCTTCTGGGAGATAGCCCGGTTTTTCGTTCCCTACTCCTTCGAATGTGATCTTCGTCCCTTTCTTCCATCCCGGTTTGATGTTCACTCTTAACGTTTCCTCTTGTTTCTTGATCAATCTGTGTTGTTCATAACGGAAAATATTGAATAATTCGTTGACTAAAAAAGAAGAGAATGCGCAGAAAAATAATACCAAACTAGACCGAACCAAATCAAACCGGAGGAAGTATTTAATTTTCATAACCAAATCTAAACCAAACTCTATTCATCGGGTAATAATACTAGCCAACCAGTCCAAAACTAAATTATATCGAACCGAACCAGTCCAGACTAGATATAAATTCCCGATCCAAACCAAGCCGAACATAGATCGAAAGTCAAAATCTAAACCGAATTTCAATCGAAATGCAAATTCCAATTTTTTTAAAAATGAGAGATCACATAAAGAGCGAAGAGACAAACCCTTCATCGGTGATGATGTCCCTAGTGATCTTGATGTTCTTGACCCCGCCATGGCAGAGTTCTTCCAACGTGCACTCGAGCTTTTTCTCCACGGCCGGCGGCTTTTTCGGCGGCGTTGACTGCGAGAAAACTATCGGCGTTGTGCTCCTCCGGCTTATGCTCTTCCCCATTGACCCAGCCGTATCCTTCTCCGGTTGTCTCGTGCTCTTGCTCTTCGAAAACGGCACAGACGTCGACGTGGCCGAGCCTCTCTCGTCTTTATCTCTCTTGCTAACGCTCTTCGAAATCGACGACGGAGAAGGCGCCTTCACGCCGTTTATCGGGCTAGAGGTTGGAGGAGAAGTTACTCCCGGTAGGGGGCCAAATAGATCACCCAAGGTTTGATCTTTCCCTGTCGGGCTTGTGAAAGGTGACGTCATCGGGCTCGTGTTGTTGGAGACCGGGCGTGATTTGAGACCGTGGCTTCTCCCCACGCCGCCGTGGCTGCTGCCTTCCTCTCTACGGCTGGTGCTTCTGGAGAAAGCGGAGCGGCGGTTGGAAGAGGCGGAGGAGGAGAGGTATGTCGGTCGAGCTTGCGGCGTGTGGCTGCGGCGGCTACTGGTGTTTGATAGCAGAGAAGATCGGCGTTTGAAGACGGTGCTATCGTCCATGCTCTGTAACCGGAGACCTCTCCGAGCGGCGATCAGATCATCCTCCTCCGCGAATTTCTCCTCCAGATATCTCTGGTGGATCGCCTGAAAATTTTACAAACGATTAATTTCATGGCATTCCGTTCGGATTCCTCAAGAAGAAGAAAATTCAATAGAGGATTGAAAAAAAAAAAAAAAAAAAAAATCAAAAAGCGTACGGAATCAACGTCGGATTGGGAATCGGATTTGCGATGAGAAGAAAGAGGGTGCAATTTGGTGACGAGGGACTTGTATGCTTTGCATGCTGTCTTGGAAATTCCGAAGAAATCTGTCGCCGGCGATCGAGGAGTCCCCATTGCATCGAGAGGAGGAAGATGATCGGGAAAATGGTGTGGAAACAGAAGAGACAAGAGAGAGAGATTAGGAAATCTGTCGTGCGTAGGATTTAGATTACCAGACGAAGAGCCGAGTTGTTTGGGGTGCTTTTATTAGGAAAATTCTGTTTCTCTCTTTCACATTATTAAGAGAAAATATTCTCTTTTTTTTTTTTCATTTCATGTGTGACTTTTATCAAAAAAGATTTAAATTCAATTTTTGAAATTATAAATTGAAAAACATTTAACTGAATTATAGTTTCGTTGTTGGACAAAAAAAAGAAACTAAACTTGATGGCAGAACATCAATAATCAATAATACAACAATAACATCAATGTTTCTTCTAGAGATGACACATCAGCATTTTGGAGCTTTCTGAAGATGATATTTCAGCAAAAAAATTTTACCAATCAAAATATTTTTATTAATACAACTCATCTACTTATTTTAATTTTTAAATTTAAATCCATTAAAAATCCAAATACTTTTTCTATTAATCTTTGTTTTATTTTTTACCAAACTCAAGCCCAAATAATTAATAACAATAAATAAAAAAATATTTATTTTATTTTTTGTCAAACTCAAACTCAAATAATAAATAAGAACAAATAAAAAAAATTAAATCTTTGTTTTTGATTAGCAACACAATTTTCTGTTATTGATGGATAATGCGATTTCTTGGTTTTCGCATGAAAATACAATTTTACAGTTTTTGCGGAAAAAATACAATTTAACGATTTGGCAGAAAAATACAATTTTTCAGTTTTGTTAGGAAAACACGCGAGAAAACAATTATTCTTGGCTATGGTGGGAATAGGGAATTTCTCTATTTTATACAAAATAGACGATTTCTTGGTTTCAGTAAAAAAATGTGATTTTCAGTTTTGGTAGCAAAACATAATTTCTCGGTTATGACAGAAAAAGCGAATTCTCGGATTTGGCGAGAAAATGTGAATTTTTGGTTTTGGTGAGAAAACAAAAAAAAAATTGATTTGACGGAAAAACAAAATATCTTAGTTTTGACGGGAAAATGATCGGTTTTGATGAGAAATGTAATTTTTCAATTTTGACAAAAATGCGATTTCTCAGTTTTAATAGGTAATGCAAATTTTGGCTTTTGACAGATAATGCGATTTTTTGGTTTTCGCACAAAAATGTGATTTATTAGTTTTTGCGAAAAATTGGAATTTGATGATTTTGGCGGGAAATGCAAATTCTCGGTTTGATGGGAAAAGAAAATTTCTCGATTTTGGCGGGAATAAGCAATTTCTTGGTTTAGATGGGAAATGCAATTTTTCAGATTTTGATGAATAATGTGATTTTTTTTTGTTTTTGCGGGAAAATGCAATTTCTTATGTTTCACGGGAAAACACAATTTCTCAAGAGATAATGCAATTTTTTATTTTCGCGAGAAATTGTAGTTTATTGTTTTGGTAGGAAAGCGTTATTTTTGGTTTGACGAGAAAATGAATTATTGGTTTTGGCGGGAATAGAAGACTTCTCGGTCTTTGCAGGAAAATATATTTTCGGTTTTGACGGGAAAATACAATTTTTTTTTGTTTTTGTATGAAGATTATATATTTTGGTTTTAGTGAAAAAGGTAATTTTTTCGGCTTTTGATGAGAAAATAGAGGTTGTCGCGGGAAAATAAAATTTTAGGTTTTATGTTTGACGAGAAAATGAATTTTTTGGTTTTGGTGGAAATATGCACTTTCTCAGTTTCATGGGAAAATTGAGTTTTCTAGTTTTGATGGAAAATGCGTTTTCTCTATTTTTTGTAAGAAGATGAAATTTCTCTATACTAAATTTCTAAGTTAAAATATGTTTACCGTAACCAAAATTTAATTATTTAACTTCAACTAAATATTTCAACTGTTCAAACAAAATTTTCTATTTAGATCTAAAGCAGTAGCAATGGTTTTGATATGAATGTTATTGATTATAGTTTAGTAGTTTTAGAAACATATGTTTATAATAAATATTTCGTAAATAAATAAATTTTATAATTCAAGATAATCATATTAATTAATAAATCTTTTTTTTAAAATGGTATTTTGCTTTATATAATTAAAAAGGAGGATCAAGTGACAATTTATTGGAGAAAATAGATTACATTTGCCATTAGCATGAAGGTACTAAAAATTATATTGTTTTATTCTTATATATATATAATTAGTTAGCTGAACAAATTTAATAGCAAATTATAATTTCAAAAAATAAAAAAATCAAAGATATTCAATGTTTATTCAAATTAAAAAAATATAAATACATAAATTAAGCTAATAAAAATATAATACTCATTTATATAATAAAAATAGATTTGTTATATTAAAAATATATACAAAATTTAGAAAAATATCCCGCAGCATAGCATAAGTAAATATTTAGTTAACAATAAACGAGAAATTATCTTTTAGCAGACATTCATGTTGTGACTTGTGGTAAATCTTCGAATATTGTCCTCATTTCATTATTCATCTTATGCTAAATCTAAAAGACTAGTTAGTTTATAAAATATCCTTTATGAGTGATGAAAGACTGAAAGTTTAACAACGCAACAAGAGGAAATGCAAAAGAGTTCCTTCAATAATAAACAAAAATATATAATCGGATGAAACAAACATGATTACAATTTCAAAGAAGCAGTTTGTCATTCGTGTATTAGAGAATTATAAAACTATCCCACAAGCCTATATAAGTTTCTACACACTCGATGCTCATCTCTAGAACACCTACTTGACAAGAGATCCATGGAATTTACGTGAACAATCTCACCCTTTGATCCTATAAGCTCGATGAAAGTAGAAACCATGTCTTCCTCGATCATATACCTCTCGACTTCTTCCACACCCACAAGAGATCTAGCGATCAACTCGCCACCATTTGTCAGGATGGATAGTATAAAGATAAAGTTATCGTATACGTTAAAGATGTTGTGTTTATAAGAGTAGTTTACTTTTAATAGTGAAATTTTTATCAACCGAAAAGACAATAAATATGCGACTAGCTTAAGACAAGAAAATCATTATTAAATTAAAATGCAGAAAATGTTAAATCACAATGTAGAGTGCATATTAAATTTGGTTAGACAGAGAATAAACTTTGGAAATAATAAACAGCACCTACGTGTTTGGTAGGTTTGAAGAGTAAATCATAGGATTTGGAATGGAGATCATGTATCACAAGTGGTTGCACGTATGTACTACCACGAAGTAATAACTTACTCTTCTCCAGAATTGCTACTGGTACGGGTGTCCATTCCCCGAACCAATGTCTAGTTTTGGTGAGATCTATGGAGCACATTTCTTTCCATGTCCCTGAAGAATCCAACGACCATATCTCTTGGGTGTAGTGCTCTCTATAGGATAGGCACAAGCGGTTATCGAGGATGCACATGATGATGTGATTGTAATGCACATGGGAATAGGGAGTTCTACAGATGACTTGGAAAGTTTCGGTGTGAAGATCCAACGATAAGACCTTGGTTTCTTTACACCCCGTTAACCAATAAAGTGACCCATCTAAATACACGGGCCTTGAGTAAGGATGAATCGGATAAGGAGAAGCAGGGACAACGTACCTCCAAGCATTGGTGCTAAAATCGAATACTTCACAAGTTGTGACGTTGTCTAGACCAAGCTCGGATGAATTATATAACCAAACCGGCTTGTACGTGCCCCTTACTTTGTCTTTACCGAATCCAAGCTCAGGACTTGGGTAAGTGTACTCCTTGCGGGTGAGCTGTTGATAGGTTGAAAGAGGAAAACTTCGATGACATCTAGTCGCGGGATTCACCACGACGCTGACACTCGGTGTGCACATTGAGAGTGTGTAGAGGCATACTAGACCGTCACAACTACCAAAGCAGACCCTGCTTCCCGAAGTAGGGAACCTGACCGTATAAACTTTTGATGGCCCCACCACAACTCTTTGAGCATCTGTGTCCAGACCACCATAATCATCATCATCATCATCACTAGAATAATCGAGGCACATGCGAAGGACATCTGGACCTCGTGATTGCCTGCGACAGATCCATTGTCTTTCTTGGTAACGTTGGGACTCGATTGTCGATTTCCAGTTCTTGGATACAGACTTGAATCGCAGCAGAGACTTCACGGGAAGGCTCTCGAGGATGAGCTCTACCACATTGTATCGTCTCTGTTTGAACAAGAGAGACGATCCACGCATATATATCACATGCACACGAGCAGCATCCGACTAGAGCTAGGAATCGGAAAAAAAAAGAGTAAAACTTGAAAGTCAGTTTCATTCCATTATGGAAAAGGAAATTCCAACACTTTTCTCTCTTTTAACAGTATATTTCTTGTTTTCTGAATAACTAAATGGAAAAACCCAAAAAGATATTACAGATTTCATCAATAATAAATAAATATGGACCATAACAAAAAAGATGAAGAAGAAAACACAGTGTGATTGAGCGCATCAAATCCTTTGGAAACGAATCTTATTCTTTATTGAGTATCGGTGTCGATGTAGATGCGGCTGTTACAGGCGGAGGAGAGGAACATGGATCGCATACGAACCTCAGTAGTTACTTGCATGTTGCAACCCTTACGTCTTCTTCTTTTTTCTCTGTTTTTTTTTTTTATTTATTTGGACTTGGATGCAGCATCTGGATGTACAAGCAAACATTATCATAATCGTTTCAGAGATATAATATATTTCTTCAAGTAAGAAATGTAGGAACAAAGATAACGGTAACCAATAATTTACAATCTGGATACATTTAGCAAGTTTGGAGGAAAAGTAAAAACGTGATTATTAAAGAATATCTTCATCGTCAGTGTTGGCAGTTGCAGGTGGGGACCAGAGCTTCCATGTTGCTTCCCAAGTCAACAGATCAAAGCAGCCTCTTTGACCAACCCCACAAAGACTCCCGACTTTTTGTTCCCATCTCCACTTTCATGGCCGCCAAATCAACCTCTCACTTTCTCAAACCTCCGATTCTCCATACCCACATAGCCGATTTCTCCGAAATCCAACAAAAGCATGGCGAGCCTCCGTTACCTTCTCTCTCTTCTTTCTCTCCTCTTCGCCCTGGTGGAGCTCTCAACCTGCGCTCCATCTCCGGCGCCGTCGCCGACTTGTCCTTTGGATTTCAGCCATGTCCTGAGAATCCCATGGAACACCACCGACTGTCGAAGCTACGACAGATCAATCGAGAGGAAGAACAGTTGCTGCCAATCGGTGTTGACTCTAATCGGCATCCCTCTCGCTCATCGTCTCAAGCAAACATCCAATTTCCGTCTCCCGAATCTCGCGACCTCCGTCTCCTGCGTCAACGACCTCCAGAGGAAGCTCGATTCCCTCTCTCTCCCTTCGACAATCACCTCCACCTGCTTCGATCCGAACCAATTCGTCATCAACAACGAGACCTGCGCCGGAATCCAAACAACCCAGGACTGGGTCTCCCGTCTCGGCCCCACGACGACGCTCGACTCCGCCTGCAGCAGTGGCCTCACGGATCTCACGCGCTGCGACGCTTGCGTGGCGGCTGGGTTTAGGGTTCAGAAACAGCTGATCAGCCTGGACGGTAATAGCTCTCACGGTATCTACTGCTACCATTTCGCCGTTCTTTACGCTGCTGGTATCGTCAATAAGAAAGGACCTGAGAGCGATGACGCTTTGTCTTGCCTCTTCTCCTTGAGCTTGAGATCTCCATTGGGCTCTAAGAAGAAAAGACACAAGGTGGCTCTCGTTTCAGGCGCAGCCGGAGCTGTTATCGCCGCCCTGGTTATCGCCGGTTTGATTGGTTTGTATTTCCGGTTCGGTCGAGCGGTTAAGGGAGGAGAAGCTGGTTGGGAGGATCAAGAGTCTAGACCGAAATGGAGACCAAACACCGGATCGATCTGGTTCAAAATCGAGGAACTCGAGAAGGCCACCAACAACTTCTCGCAGAAGAATTTCATCGGTCGAGGCGGGTTCGGTTTCGTTTACAAAGGGGTGTTACCGGATGGATCGGTTATCGCGGTTAAGAAGGTGATAGAATCCGAGTTTCAAGGGGATGCAGAGTTCCGCAACGAGGTTGAGATCATTAGCAACTTGAAACATAGGAACCTTGTCCCGCTTAGAGGCTGTAGCATGGTGGATGAAGATGGTGAGAGCCATAGGTATCTTGTATACGATTACATGTCGAACGGGAATCTCGACGATCACTTGTTCCCTCGTGCTGAGACTCCCAAGACTCCCTTGAGCTGGCCTCAGAGAAAGAGCATCATTTTGGACGTAGCCAAAGGGTTGGCTTATCTGCATTACGGCGTCAAACCCGCGATTTACCACCGTGACATTAAAGGCACAAACATACTGTTAGACGACGATATGAGAGCGAGGGTTGCGGATTTCGGTTTGGCGAAACAGAGCAGAGAAGGTGAGTCTCATCTCACTACGAGAGTGGCCGGGACACACGGTTATTTGGCTCCAGAGTACGCTCTCTACGGTCAGCTAACGGAGAAGAGCGATGTGTACAGCTTCGGTGTTGTGATATTGGAGATAATGTGCGGAAGGAAAGCACTTGATCTGTCTACTTCCGGGTCGCCGAACACGTTTCTGATAACGGATTGGGCTTGGTCGTTGGTGAAAGCCGGGAAAACAGAGGAGGCTCTTGCACAGTCTTTGGTGAGAGACGAAGGCTCGGGGATGTCGAATCCCAAAGGGATAATGGAGAGGTTCTTGCAGGTTGGGATCTTGTGCGCTCATGTTTTGGTTGCTTTAAGGCCAACGATATTAGATGCGTTGAGAATGCTCGAAGGTGACATCGAAGTTCCTCCGATTCCGGACCGACCAGTCCCGCTCGCGCACCCTTCGTACCGCATCGACGGGAACGGTTTCACTATATCCCCTGCGCTTAGCGGGCTACAGATACATTCCGGAGATATGCTCAGATGAATTTAGGAAAGGTAGTAGACTCGTGTATGGAGTTTTAGGTTTTATTTTTGTAAGTATTTTGGATGCAAATATCTCATCTTCTAATAAATAAAACATATAGTTTATTTTTTGTTGGACTGAAATACAAAAACATAAGTTGTTCGTATTAGAAAAAATATAGCCTAAAACTAAATTAGAGGCGGTGGCTGAGTAGCGGATGCGTGAGAACGACGGCGGCTGTTGAATGGAATACGTTGGGTAACGCAAGTGCAAAGGTGGTCGATGCAGTCGCATACGTCGGAGCAGCCATCGCACCATAATTGGCAGTGGTCCGTATTAATGCAGCGTCTACTCACTATTGGTCCTCTCGCTTCGGCTATCATGTAAAAATCTGCAACCGGTGTAATTTGCTTTTTTTATTCGTCCATTTTCAAATATTTATAAGTACATAAATTGATACACAAAATTAAAAGGGAAGTAATATCAGTACATTCGATCATTAAAAGTTATACTTCTCGATCATTGTACTATTATGCAAGTTTTATTTTATTTTAATAGGCAGACCAAAAAAAATTGTTTATAAACATCTTACGAGTTTATAATTTCTCTGATTCAACCAGAACAAAAAAAGAATAACAGAAGACTTTTGGGATGCAAATTACCCCCCCAAGAAATGGAACTTACGCGTTGCAGTGATAAAAAGAGAGGCGAAGAATACCAGCTTAAGCATTTTTGTCTCCATTGTTATATATTTTTTTGGTCTTCTGTAAAGTGGAAAATAATTCTTATTTTTAATTATGTGAATCTTGATGATGTTTATATAGAGAGGTGGATGCATTTGTAGGGAGAAAACAAAATCGTCCCAATTTAATGTTTTTCCCAACTTAAAATATATGCCATTTAAACAAAATTGTGTTCGTGAATCAATTATATACGTTGAATATAGCATAAATTTTGAACTTTCCGTCATTGCCATCAATCAAAATAAATTTTCAATTATAATTAATTATTACAGAAAACGTTCTTAAAAGATTAAACTGTTTTTTGGGTCAAATTTTTGTTTGAATAACTGCTCTTGGGTTTTCACAAGCCCAAATAACAACACTTTTCAGCCCACCCAATCAAACACAAACCATAACTCAACTCAACCAGTTAACCATTCTAAAATTCTAATGCCTGAAAACCAAACCATATGTCTGCACAATGTTACTTGAGAATTTCGTGCCATATTTGCGGATTACTAAAAAAAAAGAAGAACATCAAAATATTAACACACTGTACATCAAACAAATCAATTTGCTTTTTTTTTACGATTAAGACCCGTTAAACACACATTAAACCAAGCACAACTTGAAACCCTCCCGAATCAAACAACTTGCAAATTCTCAAAAATCGCTCTGTGAAACACACAGAAAATGTGTTTATATTATCATGCTTAATATTGGTTAACTTTTCAAAAAGTGTAATATCAACATTTTGTTGAAAATTTAAAACATAATGGTATTCAAAATGTTCATAAAACAACGGCCATTGCCTTTGCCACCACTCTCTTCTTCAGGCTTCAGCTAAAGAGATGTTACGAGCACTTTTTTTTTCTTTTATTCCCGAAATACCCTTCTTTTCATTTCTCACCTAAATTCACCCCCAAATTTGCAAATTCAACGACTCGTGAGGACGACCTCGGCGATGATGGAGCGAACGTACGGCCGCCGCAAGCCGGGCATGTCGAGGACCTTCTCCGACTCTCTAAACGACACCGTTTCGCAGGCGGAATATATCTCTTCCTCTTCGTCGCCGGACATCGAACCCCTTGATCACTCTCTTCTTCCTTTCTCCAGTCAAGAGTCGTCCTCTCTCCGGCATTCTTCTTCGAGGTCACTTTTCCAAGAGGGTTATTCACGGAACGGAAGCGTACGGAGGGCGAAAAGAGTGAGGAACGGCGACGCTTTCGCTTTTACTTCCACGTTGCTTGAGGCGCAGGAGTTCGGAGAGCTGATGGAGCACGAGGACGAGGTTTACTTTGCGCTTGGTGGGTTGAGGAAAGGAGAGCAGCTGAGGATCAGAAGGGCCAGCTTGTTGTCTCTACTGTCGATTTGCGAATCTCAACACCAGCGCCGCTCCTTGAGGGCTCAGGGGTACGCTTTCTCCTTTTTCTTAGGTTTTTCGATTTCCGCATTCGTTTTTTGGGCTTGGTTTTGTGCAATTTATTGGAAATTTTCCGATTTCGCATGTGGGTTTTGTGAAAAGGATTTGTTTGAGTTCTGGGTTTTCATTATTTCCGGTCTTCTGGATTAGGGCACGATTCTATACAAATTCACCGAAGTTGTTTTCTCTATTCTGTATTCTGGGTTTTGAATTTGGGTTAGCATTGCGCTTCTTGTGAATCAGATTTGCAATGGATTTGCTCTTTGGAAACTTCTGAAGGGGATTAAAGCATGAAAGTGTAGAGAAGTATGAACATTTATGGGTTTTAGTGAATTTGAATGGTATATTATAGGATAGGGTTCCTATCATGATGCACTCCAAGTAAGGTTTTGGGAATATGTAATGACTGGAAATTTTGTATCTGTCCCATCAATTAATTCATTGGTTGAGTATTATGAAATCTTACAAAAAGATTTCGCTAATTTCGTGAGAGCTTATTGTTTCAGGATTTCCCAATCCATAATTGATTCGATTATGAGTCTTAGCCTTGATGACATACCAAGCAATCTTGCCGCAGCCACCCTTTTCTTTGTGCTAACTGCTGAAGTAAGTGACTAGCAGATGCTGTTAAATATGTTTTTGATGTTGTTTCATCTTTGATTCACTGACACTTGCTTGTTGTTTACAATTTCACTCTCTCCCTTTTGTTTTTGTATATAACTCTACCAATTCATTTTCATGATTCCAGGGTCAAGACGAGTACTTTATGGAGTCACACAGGTGCATCAAGTTTCTGATAAAGTTGTTGAAACCTGTGATTGTCACTAGCACCCAAGGGAAGCCACACAACATAGGATTTAAGCTCATATCATTACTTAAGGATGTTGATCCAGCACGGGATACAGCGAAAATGAAAGATAAAAGCGCCAGTACTATACTTATGAGAGTCCAGAAACTTCTTGTTAGTTGCAAGGAAATGCGATCTACTGATAGCTATAAAACTGAAACAACGAGACCTGATCTAAGTACGAAATGGTTAGCTTTGTTGGCCATGGAGAGGGCGTGCTTTACCAAAATTTCTTTTGATGGTATTTGAAATTTCTTTGCCTCTTCTGTTGGAAATAATGACTAGCTAACTATTTTCAGAGATCATCTTAGAAATAACAAAGATAAGATAATAGATAAGGAAAAGTTCGTGTTATCTCCAGTAATTGATCTTGCTTCCCTAGATTTATTATACCATAGATTCTACTGTGATAATACTGTGACCCTATGTCTATAGCTAATAATATTTCATTTCCACCCATCCAGATGCTTCTGGCGCTGTGAAAAGGAGCTGTGGGAATTTCAAAGAGAAACTGCGAGAACTAGGAGGACTTGATGCAGTCCTTGAGGTTGCTATGGACTGTCACAGTGTTATGGAGGTGTGAGCCTGTATGTTTTTTTTTTCATCTGCACCAAGATGTGGTCTCTAACTGCCTAGGACGTTGATATCTAGCATCTTAGATTGGTACCTTTTGTAACGTGCATTAAGTGTCTTTGATTGCTGGAAATTGGCATATTAAGCTGTATTCAGCGAGATAATCTAATACAGATTCTATATGCAGCGCTGGGTGGAATACGACGCACTGTCCTTCCAGGATAAGAAAGATAACCTGCATAAGCAGAGTTTAATGTTGCTTCTAAAGTGTCTGCAAATCATGGAGAATGCTACGTTCCACAGCACAGACAACCAGGTATCTTTTATGTATATTGGTTGCTAAATTCATGACAGCATCCTGAAGATACAGCTGTTATCAAGTTGTATATACACAACTCAGTACCTGAAATAATACTAACTGTAACGCTAATTTTTTTTTTTGTCAGAATCATTTGCTCGGATTTAAGAAATGTTTGGGTTCTCGTGAATCTCGAATTTCTTTCACAGAGCTCACGTTAAGTACCATTAAGATGCTCTCAGGTTCGCAATTGATACCATGTCTGGATTTGCATTATTAAACATTATGACTTCTTCCCCTTCAATCATCTTTTATCCTGATAGCTGGTTGGACCGATGGCCAGGTCTTCGGCTACGTGGATGTATTTCAAGTCCTCTCAGGAACAATGTAAATCCTCACTGCTCAAATAGTGGTATCTTGGGAGCAGACTATAAAGGTATTTTATTCTTGTAGCCCCAAATGCGTCTCTGTATCGCTATCCCCACTGTGGTCGCTGTATTTTTCTCTGTTTAGCCATTTCTATCTTTTGCAGTTAACAATGAGGTCGTGACAATCAGTTCAGATACATGCTCAACCCTTGGCTCTATCTCCACGAGGAATGGGAGTGTATCACAGAGAAGTCAATCAATAATCGATTTAGATTTCTCGCCGACATCAATGTCGGGTTCTCAATCAAGTGTGTCAGGAAATGAGCCCACTACGTCACCAACAAGAGCCAGTTCCACCATCTCTGGTTCATTCGCAGGCAGATTGGCGTCATTGGGTAGTGGCATTGGCAGAAGTACTTCAAGGACTAGTCAAGTTGGAGAACCAAGTTGTAGAAGAAACGGAAATTTTTCTACCCTAGAGGAAACCCAAGATCCTTTTGCGTTTGTTTCGGAAGATTCTGAACCTTCCAAGTGGGCAGTGGTATCTGTAAAGCAAAAGAAATCTGGAGCTCAAAAGAAGAAAGGATGCTACAAACAAAGTAAAGATGAACGATTAAACCATAGGTTGAGTTCCCAGGAAGAATCAAGTGACAGAGGCTGCAGTATATCGCTGCAAGTATCTTCTTCTACAAATGACATTGATGAAGAATGTCTGTGTCTCTTATCTGATTGCCTTCTAACAGCCGTAAAGGTAATTTTCATACAGTCTTTGAACATCTGGTTGCGGGTCTTTAGCTCGGATAACGTCAATTTTGGTTCATGATTAACTATTTGCAGGTTTTGATGAACTTAACAAATGATAACGCCCTCGCTTGTCGCCAAGTTGGTGGGTGCGGAGGGCTGGAAAGCATGGCTGAATTAATTGCCAGACACTTTCCGTCTTTCACCAGATCTCCCCTTTTCAGTGAGATGGAGAAGACGGGATCCCATCAGAAGAAAGACAAACATCTTACAGATCAGGAGTTAGATTTTCTTGTTGCCATCTTGGGTTTGCTGGTAAATTTGGTTGAGAAAGACGGCGTGAACAGGTACAAGACTTCTCGAAGTCAGAAGTTAATACCATCTTGTGTTGAGTCAATACAAATTGAACTAGTCATACTTTTTTCATTTTTTAACCCATATACACAGTGGGCGTCGTCTCTCTTCTCTAATCAGGTAACTGTTTTTTTTTTTTTTTTTAAGATCACAGCTTGCTTCAGCGAGTTTTCCTATTACAAAGCCAGAAGGGTTGCCAGAGAGTGAAGAGGAGATGATTCCTTTATTATGTTCAATCTTTCTCACCAATCAAAGATCATCAGACACCAAAGAGGAACCAACTACATTCACCTTAGTGAGTAGTAGCATCTAATCATTTCTTACTTGTACTTAATGAATCCCAAGGTAAGGGTTTTATTTTATTTACTAAATCTGATTCTGTCTTTATTGGTATTCAGGACGACGAAGAAGCTGTTTTAGAAGGCGAAAAGGAAGCTGAAAAGATGATTGTGGAGGCATACTCTGCTCTACTGCTCGCCTTTCTTTCAACTGAAAGGTCCTTGCCGTTTTCAATCTTATTATACGTCATAATCCATCTAAACTTTCTCAAGACTCTAAATATGTTTTTGGATCCACTTGCAGTAGAAGTATACGCAACTCCATCAAAGACTATCTCCCGAAACGCAATCTTGCAATTCTTGTACCAGTCTTGGAGAGATTTGTGGTATGTGCCTCTTTAACACCGTCTGGCTACTCGATTTCAGGCTAGAGAAATCTCAAGATCCTTTAATGTAGCTGTGTTGTCTGTTTTGTTCAGGCATTTCACGCGACTCTGAACATGATCCCTCCGGAGACACATAAAGCAGTGATGGAAGTAATAGGATCTTGCAAATTACCGTAAAAAGGGATACAAAAAGTCTTCATTCTCCGTTTTTTTTTCTGTACAGCTTCTGCAAAAAAAACTTGGAATGCTCTGGGGGTGATCACTGACTCTGGTGATGAGAGACAATTATAATTCATAATGATCATGTTGATGTTTGTTATAAGGCTACAATTAGTATGTTAGATCTCTCTTTTTAGAGTTTATTTTACGTTTGTCTGTCTCGGCGTAGGGTTGTTTTAGTGGTCTTTCACTTAACACTCCATTCTTTTGTAGTTTTCTCCATACACTTATAATCATATATATACAAGTTTGCTTTCCAGACTCTTCTTTTTTAGTTTGCTACATTATAGCGTTATATGATCATATATGAACATCTACTTATATAAATGTCAATAGATATGATATCTCGAAGCATATTGGAGTTTTGCAAATTTGAAATCAATACTTGCGCCATCAATTTCTGAATTCTTCGAAATTGTGTCTGTTTCTTTTATAAAAGAACTTTCTTGAAGTTGTCATGGCCTTGAGAGCCTAATATAACTTTACTTTCTTATTTATAGGTTCAGTGAGAAGAAACATATCAGATTACAACAGCCTCTTGGTGATTAGATTACAACATTTTGTTAAATATTAAATCACTTCGGTGAAACAGACAACATTTTTTCCTTGCATTTTTCAGGTGAAACAGGAGTGGTGAAGTGATGAGTGTCATTTGGTTTCAGAGAATCCGTTTGATCTCATCACCCAACTCTCTGGTAAGCTGATCAGCTCGGTCGTCGTGTCCGCCAGCAAATGTATAAACTTTGTATGCAAACTGAAATGCCCTCCACAGCGATTTAGCAGATCCTGCAGCCTTATTCTTGGTCATGCTCGGCTTTGCATCCCGTGATTCTGCACTATGCGTTGCCATCTTTGCTTCTCTTTTTTCCTGTTGAGTTTTCAAACCCCGTTTAATAGGGTTTTTAAAAACATTGATCAGATGTTTGCAAAGTGTGTTGTAAAAGTTTGAAAGGTCTTGATCTTTGCAGTTAAGAGTCAGTCCTACCTTTAACGCCAGTTCCATGCAGCCTGATGAGACGTCAACCATTGATTCCTTGATGTGAACAAGGATACTGAAGTCGAAATGGATGTTATGGCTCTTGAACTTCTTCTCCTCTTCTACTTTGATCCGCTCTATAGCCTCTATCTCTGTTTTGATCTGTTTTAAACACTACTCTTTTCAGATCAACTCAGAAACCTGGAAGAGTACGAAGCTACTAGAGTAAAATCAGTGTTCCAGTGACTTGCCTTTTTAAAATTAAGTTCAGTCTTGTCGAAAAGTTTGTTCCCCGGAGACTCAATCTTCCAGTTCTTCAGCTCCTTGGCCATACCCTGCAGCTTCGAGTACATTGCAGCAGCCATTCTTATCGCTTCGAGTTTACTCTGCGGGAACTCATTGCATCTCTTTAGAACCTAAATCATAAGTTCAAAACGTTTTTGTGATCGTAAAAAGCATAACATGATGAATGTAGCAAGTTTGTGACATCGACCGATTCACTTTAAGAAGTTGTTGTTGTCGTCACTGACCTGTGTTTCATCTGTTAGATTCTTGAGCACTGATTCGACATACTGGTGGAAATTCTGAAGCTCGGTCATGTCCTTACTCTGGAAATTGTAAATCTCTGTTTTAAGCTGATCGATGGCTTTCATATACATTTGAACATCCGCTTCTATTTGCTGAAAATAAGCTGACCTGTGTGTATCCATAACAGCATAAACCAAGAATCAGTTTTTTTTTTACCGTTGTTATGTGATTCTGTTGCTCATAATAAGTGTAATGTGGTATGATTTACTTCTTTGTTATCTCAGCAAGAGCATCAGCCATTCCTTTTGATTCCTTTTCCCGGGCTGGAGCGCTTTCAGCCCCGCCTTTGCTTCCTCCGGCGAAGCCACGTGGTGTTTGTGGATCCTTCCCTTCGATTTTGTCCTTGAGTAAATTGTAGAGATCCCTTAATTGGGTGGATCTCTTGAGCTTACCAGCTGCTTTCTTGGCTCCCAAGCGAAATGGCGGTGGTGGTGGTGCACCCGATCCTCTTCCGGCAGCCACTGGAAGTGGTGGTGGTGGCGGTAGTACTGCATTCTTTGGTGGTGGAGGAGGCGGTGCAGACGGTCCTTTTACGGCTGGCTGTGGCGGCGGTACTGCTGCATTCCCTGGAGCCAAAGTTGCCGGAACAGTTTCAGATTTCTCTGGAACTTTTGAGTGATTTTTATCATCAGTCTCATTCTTCTCACTATCTTTAACCTCAAGGACAGCTTCTTTTGCTTTCTCCATTTTCTTTGTTTCACTCTTCTTCTCTTTGACACTCTCATTATCACCATCACCATCACCACCACCACTATTGCTCTGAGCTTCTTTCTGGCACATGTTTTGGATAGCGAGTCGCTTTACATCGATAGGACTCAGCTTGACAAGCGCTTGCATTCTCAAGTTTCTTGGAAGATTTGAAACAGAGATTGAAATGTCTCCAGGTGGAGTCAGCACCGTTCTTGGCGTGATCGGTTGCTTCGTGTCTGATTTTGGCGGCGACAAGGGTGCTTTACTCTGCGGAGGAGTAGTAACCTTTTCCTCCTTTTCCTCAGTGCCCTTCTCTGTAATATTGAGCCTCTCGTTCATCCCCTTTATAAGTCCATCTAACGCAGATAACACCTTCTCCACTGCAAGAAACCATATGTTTTAATAGAGATTGTGTTACAACAATGGAGCAAAAATTTGTATGAGAGGAATAATCATAAGGCTAATGCTTTACCAAGTCGATCCGATAGATTCTTCCTGAGGCTACTGTTCTTATACTTGGATTTAATGATCCATTCGTGGTCATCGATCCATGAATCTCCTATTGATTTCAAGGCGTCGTAAAAATGATCAAGCAACTGTTGCAAGAAGAGTTTTTGATCAGAAAGAAAAAAATAAAACCACAATTTAGTCAGAGGCTTAACTAAGTCCCACAGATATAATTTAGTAATGAGAATGAATTTGCATAAAACCTTATTGATATCTGTACGTCTTAAATCCAAGAGATTCGAGTTCTCAACGATCTCAGGACAAAGCTTATGGAGATCTTTCATCGTACGCATCACCATCTACCAATATAGCCACCCCAAAAGAAACAAGAAAGATCAATTATATATATATAACGATTGAAGCAAATTTATGTGGCGGTTTTTGTCAAAGCTGAGAATCAATTTTTCATTAGTTTTACCTATTTAGCCACTGCAAAGAAAAAAAGTTCACGACTAAAGAGAAAATTATTTTTCTTGTTTCTTTGTACTGTACACATACTTCTTCGAGTTTAGCTAGTGATAACTGCTCCACACTCTTAATTTATGTTAGTATCATCTTTTTGTTAATGTTAACTCATATTTCACCCCCAAAAAAAAGGAAAGCTTCCCATACTGGTTGCAGATTTTGTGTGTCGTCTGTGATACTATGAGTTTTAACAAGAAAACACGATTATTGTTAGTGATTAAAATGTTAAATATCTATTTGAATCGTCATATCTTTTGATTATTTCCTATTCATATCTAATCATATATGTAAATCATCATATTCTAATTTGTAAGATATACATCTAAATATTTATACAAATCCCAAAAAAATCGTAAACTCACATTGGTTAAGGAAAGATAACCGGTGAGAGGGGGAAGGTCAATGATGCCCCTAAATGCGATAATCTTCCTTCGAAGCTCGACCATGAGAATGAAATTTCCCGTCCATTTGCTCGAGTCGCTACTCGAACTCGAGATCTTTGTTACTTCTGTATGAGCAGCAGGCGAAGCAACACGTCTTGAAGTTTTTGGGCTCGCGAATGCAGATCTAGAGGCCTTGAGCGATGATGATGATGATGGAGAAACCAAAGAAGGCTTACCATCTTGTTTGGTTGTTGTGCTACTTCTAAGTGATGCTTCCCATTTCACAGGCTGTTACAAAGTTCATAACAACAACAAAGATAAGAAACCCCAATAGGGATGATCATCACACCAAAGCCTTCAGTAACAAACAATATTTAAGCGAAAAACGATAAAGTATGGCTTTACCTCAGCTTTACAGGTTTTCACAGTCATCAGCGGAGAAAGCGAGAGGATTAGAGGTTGATTGATGATACACTTGTATTGATTACAAAAGTAAAATAGAGTTAAGACGAGTGTTAAGAGATAAAACATGTGAAGCTTAGAGTCCTGCTCTTTACTAACGCTAACGCTCCACATATATCGATTCTATCACTTATCAAATTGTGCCACGTGGCATCTTGGAATAGATTTCTCGAAATAAGAAGTTACAAGCGTCAATGGAAACAAATATTTTATTTCTAAAGTATCCTAAAAGTAGAAGATGTGAATTTAGTGGAATAGGTAAAATGAGGAAAACTATCAAGGGAAATAAAAATGCCATTTTTATTATTCTTTTTTATTTGAAATTGAAAGTTAGGTGACGAATTCACTATATGGAGGAAAAAATATTAAAACTTGGACGAACGTGTAAGAATCAAAACTTGCATGCACTCCGTTCATGCGGCCTAAACTAGGCATTAGACAATTTCTTTTTATTTTTTTATTTATCTAATTCTATATATATGTATCCGTTGTTTTAATTTCACTTGAAATCCAAGTGTGTTATTAACAGAAAAGACGTGTGACACATTTTTTCTGGGATTCTTGCAAAAATGACCTAAAATTTGATTTGAATTCCAAATCTAATCCATAAAAATTACCTTCTCAACATTTGTCATTTTGTGTCCAAACAATCCTTCATAGTTTCAGTTATTCATTAAATTGCCATTATTTTTAATTAATTTCTTTTATTTTCGGAAATCCAAATGAACAACTAATCCTCATCTTCCTCACTTATTTACGAAAATGTTCCGAAAGTAGAATTTTCTTGGTCTGAATGAAGTCTACTAGTCAACGCCCATGTTAGTTTTGCAATTGACCGCATGAAAAAGTAGACTTTTTTTGGTCCGAATGAAGTCTACTCCATTTATTTTGATAACAAAAAAAATGGAATAGACTTCTCGAGTAGACTTCTTTAGAAGCAGGTCATTTTTGCAATTGACCAACCTTTAACTTTGTAGAGTAGACTTCTCTATGCAAAGTAGACTTCTCTTGGTCAATTGCAAAAATGACCTGCGAGAAGTCTACTTTCGTAAGTAGACTTCTCGCAGGTCATTTTTGCAATTGACCAAAAAGTCAAATATTTTACAATTGCAAAAATGACCTGCGAGAAGTCTACTTCGTAAGTAGACTTCTCGGAGAAGTCTATTTTTCATAGAAAAGTCTACTAATATTTTGGCAATTGCAAAAATAACCTGCGAGAAGTCTACTTTTATCCGAGAAGTCTACTTTTCTTATTTTTTTTAAAAAAATCATTTTTATACAATATATAACAAATTTTTAAGATTTTCGCGATCCTAAACTTCTGTTATTAAGTTTTCTTGCTTATGTATAAGTTTTGCATGTTTATATATTATAGGTATAGTCGAATGAGTTTTCATGTTTTATATGATACTTAGCTTATTAAGAGTAGACTAAGAAGTCTACTCTAGAAGTCTACTATGTAGACTTCATCCGACTTTCAGAGAAGTCTACTTATGCAACTTTGATGTCTAATGTGGTTTGGATTTTGTTCTTTTTCATAGAGAATGGCTCACATACCCGCTGTTTATGGAGAATGGGTTAAGAGTGAATCAGTGTGGTAGTTCGAGGTGGATAATAGCAAAGGAGGGCAAATGTTGCTCTTAAGAGGTGGTTGCACACATGGTGAGCTTCTTGGTGAATGTTGGCAAAGGAGGGCGAATAGCAAAGGAGGGCGAATGTTGTCACCTTTAAGTTATGTAAAATTAATGTCTTTAAGAAGTCTACTCGAGACAATGAGAAGTCTACTTCAGAAGTCTACTCGAGACAAGAGAAGTCTACTCGGTTGACAAGTTATATGATATAAATGAGAGAAATATCCTTCTGAATCACTTTTAAGTTATGTAAAATTAATGTCTTTTAGAAGTCTACTCGAGACATGAGAAGTCTACTCAAGACAAGAGAAGTCTACTCGGTTGACAAGTTATATGATATAAATGGGAGAAATGTCTCTCTGAATCACTTATAAGTTATGTAAAGTTAATGTCTTTAAGAAGACTACTCGAGACAGGAGAAGTCTATTTTGTAGAATAGATAAACATAGATAATTTAGGAATTTGATACAAAACATTCAATGCAATTCAACATTACATAGAAAATAACCCTCTAAACAAACAAACATTTAATGATCACTAGTTATAAATCTTAAAACTGGCATAAAAAATTACTAGTAAACTAAAATCTCTGAAAATTATGTATGCAACTGAAGTCTGCTTGAGAAATCTGCTCAAGATCGAGAAGTCTACTCGAGAAGTCTGCTCAAGATCGAGAAGTCTACTCGAGAAGTCCGCTCGAGATCGAGAAGTCTACTCGAAAAGTCTACATTCAGATCTGCAGAAAAAATCAACAAAATTCAGCTCTGTAACAATAGCGAAAAATTTAGATCTAGAACAAAATCTAATAAATTTATACAACAATAAACTCAGATCTACAAATATAAACTTAGATCTACAACAATAAGCTCAAATCTAAACTAATAAGCTCGGATCTATAATAATAATCTACTATATTTATAACATTCAGATCTGTACAAAAATCAACAAAACTCAGCTTTGCAATACTAACAAAAAATTAACAAAATCTACAAAATTTATACAACAATAAACTCATATCTACAAAAATAAACTTAGATCTACAACAATAAGCTCAAATCTATAATAATAAGCTCAGATTTGCAATATGAACACAAAGCAAACAAAAAGAGGAACATAAAAGCTCAGATTTGCTTACCACTACCATAACCTGCAAGTGAGAGGAGGTTGAATGCAAGATAGAGAGGATGGAGAGGATATTGATAGCAAGAGAGGAAGGAGAAGAAATTCATGGCCAGAGAGAAAGGAGAAGAGAGAGAGGCGGTTTTTTAGATAGAGAGAGACTTTATTATTAATACAATTAGGTTAAACTCTCCTTATATATGTAGAAAAAAATTCGTGTAAGTAGACTTCTCCACTCGAGAAGTCTACTCGAGAAACCGAGAAGTCTACTCGAGAAGTTTCTTAGTATTGATTTTTATCATAATTTATCTATGATGATTTAAATTGATTATTTTCTGTTAAATTTTATTTTTAATAGGTGTAAAAAAGTATATATTTGTTGTTATGTATCTAATTTTTTTTATCAAATTATCTTTTATGATTTTTAAAATTAATTGTAAATATATTATTAAAAAGTAGACTTCTTGGAGAAGTCTACTCGAGAAGTCTACTTAACTTCTCGAGTAGACTTCTCTGGGATAAAATAGTAATTGAGGTTGGCGTTTTTTTGTTTGGTCATAAGGGTTAAAATTGTAATTTCACTATCCTTGTGAGTTATTTTTGTCAAACATGCAATAGGGGGTCTAGTTTTGCATTTCAACTCAAATTTTGAGTCATATTCAGCAATTTCCCCTTTTTTTCTTTCACATATGAAATGTCTCCTAATAAATAAAAATATCAACCAATTTATAGTGGTCAAATGGTTAAAAATGTATCATTATATTTTAAAAAAAAAAAACTAAATCAAAAATTAACGTTCAAAAAAAAAACAATCCAAAAAGTTAATGCATGCTTACAGTAATCTTAGTTTACAAAACAAATTAACACTTTTACAATTTAAACCGTTTATAATAGTGAACTATAATTAAAACCATAATGAAATATAACTCCAAATATAGTTTTTATTTTTTTGTATATATCCTTCACCCAATGAACTACCATACAAATTATTCCTATTATGGTTTTTGGCCACTAAAAATAACAATTCTATCCATTTGTTTCCATGGATTCCATAGATTAGTTTGAGTTTTACTTTGAAAGCTCCATATTTAAAAACAAAAATATATCTTCTTTTTTTGTTGTTTGTTGGTGGTCAACAATAACAAGATAAACCTTAGAAGGTTTATGGAAATAAAGAGGCACACTCCTCTACTACTAACCTAGATATGTTTTAGCAAATTGTTATTAGAGTATCAGCAATACAGAGGCAGACAAAAAGCTCCAAACCTTTTTTATTATTAATTTTTATTTTATTTTTGAAAAAAATGATTTTACAAAAAAAAAATTAACGAATAACGTTGTGCCATGTCAGCGAAAAATTGTTTCTTCGGCCCCTGTGCAGAGAGACACCTCTCTCCTTAAGTCTCGCCACGTCATTAAAAAAAAATTTCTTTTTTTTTTCCTTAAAACTTCACTGAAATTCTGCATTGTAAATGCTCTTATTATATATATATGGGAAAATAATAATAAAAATACTATTATTAAAAAGTAAATGATAAATAAAGATAAAGTAGTGGTGTGTCACAATTAGATGATTTAACATTTATAATAGAGATGGAAACATTGTTTTTTTGTTGAAGAGGATGGAAACATTTAGAATAAACGGAATATAAAAGAGGTGCATGCATGTTCTAATCGTTACCCAATTAAAGAGAGATACATCATGTATATTGTATTTGTATCATGCATGTACATCTGTGTACATGCATGTATATGCCTATGATTTTGACCAATGATGGCAGTAATCGTTTAATGGCTAAGTAACAAAAATCTACGGTTAATAAAAACAAAATAGTGGTGTTATCATAAGTAAATTTTGACCCAAAAAAAAAAGGTTTACAACAAACAACAATTTCAGATTAATAGCATCTTTTAGCCGTTCAAATTTAAATGTTGAAAACTATTAGTTATAAAGTATAAAATGTGTGCTAACTTTCTGGTGATCTCTGTGATGACAAAAGCCGCCAAAAAAAATTCCCCATGGTACTCTTTTTTTTCCGACCGCATGTTTTTATGAGAAAAAGATTCGCATATTCACATGGTGCTTTCCTTATTGGTAGAGTGTTCCGAACAATAGATCTTCTGCAGCAATGACGTTATATTTAAATTTATATTTTTGAAATAACATTTTATATATATTCGATGTTCAACCACTTTAACAATTTGGATTTCATTTCAATATATCGCACCAGAACAAAAAAAAAAAAATGTTCTAACTGTTTCTTTCTCAATTGACCGTTATCTTAAAGTGTTCCATTGATCATTATAATCTTATTATATTGTTTGTACTCCAAACAGTTTTTTATTCTTTAGTGATTACACAATCGTAAAGTGGTGAAAGTTTTTCGTTGATCATTATGATCAAATACATAGAAAACAACTTCTCTCTTACAAGTTACAATCCCGTTTTTTCCCCTATCCCGTGTCTGACAAGTTAACGTAACAAAACCCCAAAATCTTTCGAACTTTCAGAAAACTTAAAGAGTCATTTAGATTTAGTAAATCATAGTTTTAATCGTTAACTTGCTTCTCTACCGTGACGGCGGCGGAGGAATTCCGGTGAGAAAGGCCGAGAAAAATGCAAGAGAACTGCTTGGTTTGAAACAAGGCACCGCATGTCCAGCTCCTCTGAACGTAGCAAACGTTAGACCTTCGTACTCTTGAAGCCACCCACTTACCTATTGTTTATTATAATTATAAATAAATAAACTTCATCAAGAACATAATCTGTCTAATCAGACTCAAATTACGAATCTAAATAACCGGATAATTATATCTATATGGGTCGTACCTGTTTCTCATGGTACCATGGCCTCCAAGCTGTTTTGATGGGTAATTCGAGTGCGCTTAAGCTATACCGAGTTGCGAGTACTGGAACTCTTCCGTCTGTATCACCACTGAGCCATCGCAGAAAACCAACGGTTTAGTGGAATCTTCTTAAAGGCATTGGAGAATATCAAAACTTTCTTTCATATGTAAATAAAGAAGTCAAATCGTATACATATGAAAATTTTAAGCTGACTGGTTTTTTGAGAAAATTTTAAATACGTTTATGAAAAAGCACCCAAAAAATTAAGTTTCACTAATCAAATACGTTTTAAGCTGACTTGTTTTTTGAGAAAATTTTAAATAGAGGTGAAATTAATCAGAAATTTAGTTGGGTGAACCATGGGTGTAATTTGTTTCTTTGACCTGGAGATCCCAAATAATAACTTAAGCAAATGATGTGACCTAAGTAAATCATGATGAATAAGACGATGACTAAAATATTATTTAGTGGTCATGATAACGCATTTTACCTGTAAACCCAAATTCTTAATCCTCCAGCGATAAGTTTCTCGTATATAGGCAAAACCGAGGGCTTTAAATAAGTCCAATTATGAAAGATCTCCATGCTGCAATAATACCAAATAATATTTCAGACAAGTTCCATCATATATTACACAACAACAAAAAAACAATATATAACACATGAAGAACAACAATGGGCAGACGATGTACTTGCAAATCTTCCAGTTCTTGAGATTAACTCCATCACTCGCATGAAGAGACTTCTGAACATCTGCTCTGTTGTAAAACGTTCTCGCGTAATCGTCTAAACACGGGTCATATCCACCCAAGCGCCTTGGCGGCACCTAAGGCAACAAAATAAATTTTGTTACTCTAAATTAAACCGGTTACTAAACAAACAAAAAAAGATTAATTAGTCTAACTTTCGGTTCATAAACCGGTTACTAAACAAAAAAAATAAGTTTCAAACACTTGTATAAATAAACACGTACCCTCTTGGAGCTAATGTGAGAATTTGTTTTGAATTTCGTTGAGTCCAAGTAAGAGGAACCCGCAGAAGAATCTCCTATACAAACAGAGGTATAGAGGCTATAGATATCGATCTCGTCGTACTGCTTTTGAACTTCTGCTACGGCACCAGAGCACTCTTCGTCGCTCCAAGTATTGTCGCTGCTGAAATTGCAAGTCCTGGTTATGGTCCTATGGGTCTCATCCGAAATCACCGCGTGGCTCCATGCGTAATCCACCCAACCTCTCCAATCATCGGCATCTGATGTCTCAGGATTCCCCAACTATATATATATATATAAAAACATAATTAAAAAAAGATGTCGGACGAATTGGATTTATTAGGTTTTAGAATATACTGTTCTATCGAATACGACGCTGTATATATATTAGTATTATTTGTTCACTAGGTTTTCTGCTAAATTTTAGAACCTCGCCATGCAAATGTTGCAAACTTGGTTTTAATGTGCCATTCACACGATAGTATTATTATTTTTTTATTTTGGTTATGAAGACTAGTTTTATTAATTAAGAGATTTAAACGTACCAAAATACCCTTAAGATTGATATTAAGCGATGAACCATTCTTCTTGTTATTGTTATCATACACGACCTCTGCCAGCTCAGGTACGTATTTTCCTGCAAATATACATACGATCACCCAAAAAATTATAAAAATGAATAATTAGATTTAAGAGATATTAACAGTAATTAAAATCAATATGAATCGTTAGTTAACCTGCGTAACTTTCGCCTGCGATGTAGAACGTATTTTCTTTGTGTTCCGGGAACCTCTCGAACCAGTTGCAAAGAAAAGCGTATGCGTCTCTTGCTGATGGTAGAAAAAAAGAAAGAAGAGAGAATGAAGCATATGACTTTTTTATCAAAGAAAGAAGGAAGCATATAGTTATGTTTATAGAGTACGTCCGTACTATATATTATATTCTTTCGTCTAAGGACAGAGACTTTCATATGATATATAAAATTTATTATAATGATAATGGACCTGCCTGTAAAGTCATCGTCAAGTTTTTGATAATCGCTAGTTGTGTTTGAATACGAAAAGCCAACACCGACCGGAGATTCCAAAAACAGCATGTTGGCCTCTGCATCAGCAAATCAACCTTTTTCATTATTTTATTCATTTTCATTTACTTATAGATAAGAAAATTATATGAAAAAAAAAAACAAAAAGGATTACCTTTATTCCATGCGTATGGATTAAATTTAAGTCCGTTTTCGTTGGTGTCCACGAGAAAAGGACCAATTTCTTGTGTTGCTCCATATCCCACAGAAGAACAACCTGGACCTATATATACAATATATAAATGATTAAATGCTAAATGTGTTCTCCCATGAGACAACATAAAAAATATATAACAGATATAAACACTAGGTTTTATCAATCAAGATGAAAATGTGAGCGTAAAAATTAAACAGTTTCTGATATATGCGTGCATGAATAATTCAAAAGATTGGATTACCTCCATTAAGCCAGAGAACTAGAGGTTTCTCTTTGGGAAGGTCCATGGCCTCAAAGAACCAATAAAACATAGCTCTTCCGTTGGATTCGTCGACAGGGACATAACCGGCGTAATGTTTAAAACTCACGTCAGGCTGTCCAGGCAAATCTGTCACGAGATCTCGCTCGTTGGCCAACAAGCTCCTATGTTTTGGGCTATCAAACCGGTGTTGTCTAGTGCATATAACCACGGGGAGTAATATCAAAAGAGTGGTAAAACACAAATAGATTAACAGATTTGATATGTTCTTGGTGTGATTATCCATTTGAGGTATAAGTTGTGAAGAAGATCAAGGAATTGTAATAAGGTAGTAAGAAATATCCAAGACTTAGGTGTCTATTTATAAGCTAAGATCATGAAATTTTTGCTTGTTTTTGATTTTTTTTTTTTATTAAAAAAGTTTAGTTAAGTGGATATGGTAGAATAGTCCTATGTGGCAATTGGTGGCTTTAATTTGTTCAGTTGGTCGAATAATTCCATCTTAAAAACTAAAATTTATAGAGACAAATTCGAGAGAATTCGTATACTTGACTTATATAGAGTGGATGAAGCACTTTCTCTTTGATGGGTTTGAAGCACGTCATGGCCAAAAGTAATATAATTTTAATTAATCTATATATTATTCCATTTAACCTAAGAATTTAAGCGGATTTAGCGACCCCCACAATGCCATAAGCTTAACTAGTGTGGAAATATACATAAAATGAGGAATTTGGAAAGACAAATAAAATATATGCCAGGAATGCTAGCCTAAGCAAGAAGATAACTAATACCTAGCAATAACTTTATCATTGATCAAACTTGTATACGTATGATTCATATATAATTCATAATTCACAAGTCAAAGTACGTAGAATATATGTAGAATTTGATTTCTTAAAAAAAAAGTTTGCAGTATAAACTAGCTTAGACTTGACATTAAACACTCCCCCGTTGTATTTATGTGACTTTATATATGAATGAACGCTATTTTTATGAATAGTGATTTCAGGTGACATATGCAACACCACTAACTCAAAAGTTTTCTTTAACAGAGAAAATGTTAAATACATAGAAAAATATAATTTTTGCTTACTCCTAGCTAAAGACATGATATAATTATCTGCGAAATCATGTTTCCCAAATAGATATTAACCCAAACAATATTTCACTATCTTTTGTGAAGGACGAAGTTGCATTTTTAATGGTGATCAACGGTGATTGACCTAAATAGAACAGAATATGACTTGTATCCATTAAATTTATGTAGACTTATATACAACATGTTTTCACTATTGATAAAATATATTATACGTATTGTTGATCCTGATCCACAATAAATATTATCAACTGATAATTATTTATTCAAAAGGTTGTGGATTTTTTCGATGGTTATTTTTGATATATATATTTTGGTTAGTGAAGCTCACTTGTACTACTACTTGTTACGCACATGGTGTGTTAAGTGTTTAATAATAATGTAACTCCCACTAAAACAGAAGTCAAATAGTATGCAAGTGCAGCTGTGTAGGTTTGTAATAAGTCCATATTTATTAGGATTTTAACGAATAACCTACAACCTTCGAGTAATATAGAAATTTCTTTCCTGATACATTTAAAAAATTAAATGAGTCGTTGGTATTATTTTTCTTTTCTTCGATTTTCGGTTTGGTTGCAGAAGTTTTATCATCTAAAATTTTTGTGAGTTAGATTTACTGCATTTAAAAATCATATGTTTTTCGACCCAAAAAAAAGATCATATGTCTATTAAAAGTTACGTTATAGACCCTACCAAAAAAAAAAAGTTACGTTATAGATTCATGATCTAAGCGAAATATTGTTGTGAGACAATTTCGGAATTAAATTTTAATTAAAAAATGCAGACCCATAAAAGAATATATGAATAAGATTAGAAGAATTTTGACCCAAAAAAAAAAAGATTAGAAGATCAAGTTTTACGAACCAGCATATATAATTATCAAAATATATGAAACCAACGAATAACTTCTCACAACTATCGCTAACGTCATAGACTCATAGGTTATATATGATGCGGATATTCCTTAAAAAAAAAGTTTATTTCATCAAAAAAGAAGAAGAAGAAAAGAGACATGTCACGTTGCAACGTCTTTGAGCCAGGATTGACTGTTGAGAAAGGCAAATGGGGGCATATATTCCAAATTGATGGTGCTCTTTAATTTAATTATTATATATATATATACATATAAAATTTTAAATAAATAAGAACCTCATCATTAGCAAAGTAGCAAAATGTAGTTTTGTGGCGAACCTTATGCGTTAGGATTCTTGAATTCAGTTTGATACTAATAGTTTTAAGATATCTAGTTAATTAATTGGTGAAGATCTAGTTCATATACAAAATTAGTCAAAATTTTTTTTTTTTTTATCACGACTAAAATAGTCCCACGAGAGGATTTAAACCACGGAGTCTCTAAGAGCTCTAGCACACAACCACTATGCCACACTACACATGGAACAATTTAAATAATTGTATATATTAAGTGCTTTAATCATGTTAGTCAAACCTAAAATAAAATTTTCAATTGATCCATACACTTGAACGTTATATAGTTCATTTGATAATCGTATATACGGATACATTTTAGCCTTGCGTAGTTTTTTTTTCTAAAGGGTCTTGCATAGTTTAAAACTTCAAATTGACAGTTGTTCGTATCGGTAATTGCTTAAATATAGACATTTAGAAAATTAGAGAAAGGAACAAAATGTGTTTTTATTGAATGGTAATGACATGGATTCCAACTTTCTCTGATGAGGAATGAGAGGGAAATCATGTCCGAATTATATATGTTACGTTTCATATTGAATTTACATTTTTTTCAATTAATTGTTCTTTTTGTCATTTTGTTGGGAAGGTACTGTCGGTATTATGTAAATAAAAGTATTAACAGAAGAATGTAAGAGCTGCATGCTCAATGAACTTTTAACTTATTTGCTTATATGTACTCAACATATATTCCATTGTCATAATCATATAAGTGATCGTTGTCTTTCTGGTTAAGGCCATACAACGATTTTATTTTGACATGGAATTTCTCGACTAATATTTTAATATTTTAAATATGGTTGAACAACATTTTTTTTGTCGACAATGTGGTTGAATTTTAAATCATTAATATTCTAATAACCATCATACTTGGATCCCTTGCATTGGTGAATGGCCACTAGCTTGTAACTTATAAGTTACAATATTGTACTACTATAATATGAGCTAATGATTTATCTAATCACCTTCAAATATTGTATTGCTATTCTAATTATTTTTACGTAATTAACAATATGTTTTTATATTTTGTCTAACGCAAATCGAAGATTAATAAAATGATATAGTTTGTGTTCAACATTGGGACCTCTTAATTAACTGTTAGACCAGACTCCATGAGTCCAAATTGGCCAATGGATGCCCACTTATATGATTCTGAGAACTATGGATATATTCCCACTTAACAATGGATATTATTAAAATGCGTGCAATTGTAATAACCGTATTGGACATTAGATAATTTGGGAGAAATGTTTCTAGATCATTTGTGAATATATCGGTCAATGAATTCTTAAATTATCTAGGACAAAGACATCCTATAACGAGACACGCGTTGATATCCTATTGATGGACCATTTGATAAAGAAAAATTAAGAGAACAATTACGGAATTCATCATATTTAACCATCGATCCTGATTGAGATTCCATAAGACCACAACCAAGTCTTCTACTATTTAATGACTTATAAGACAACCATTTTGTCTCATTGTTATCTAATCTCGCCTAAGTAAGATTGATTGATTCTTATGAGGGTGACTTCGTGGAGAAATTGTAACGAATGCTTTAGACATTTTTGTTTTTGTTAGGTGGGATGTTCATCATACAGTATCTTTGAATAAAAGATCAAATTTTTGTTGACGTTTTAAAGTACTATACAGTTTCCTTATCGGTTATGTTTTAATCTAATTATGTAATTTTAATGATTAATATATTTTAATAAGATTAATGTCATCTTATACATGACCAACGAAATTTATGTCTTGTAATTCATTAACTCGGACCATAAACTAGAACAAGTAAAAAATAAAATTTTGGCCGTCCAACTAACTAGAACGAGTAAATATTTTCCATTGCTAGAATTTGAACTCGCGATTCTGATACGCCTCTTAACTAAGTCAAACTCAACTAACTAAACCATCGATGTTGTGTAGCTATAATTTACAATTTTAAATGGTCAAAATGAATAATTAATTATACGTTAAAATATTTTTAACCTTATTGGAATTGTTTAAGCTACTATTAGTACTGTTCATCCCATAACTTGTGATCTTTTTTCAGCTTGTTTTTTTCGATCTATTAATATTCTCGATGGAAAGAAAATCAGCAAAGAGAAACGAGATTATGTAATAATTAATGCAAATTAATATCGTAGATAATGCGCACTAAAAGAGAGAAAAGATGAAATGTTTTTGATCGTCACTATTAAAGATAGAAGGTATAGGTTCCATCTTTTTCAATGAGTACTTGAAGGATTATATGAACATATGGAATCTAAACACAGTACTGCTAGTCTACGAGAGACACGCCTTATGATATACGAGAGAGTCTTGATCCTCAACAATTGGACCCATCTACTAGGTTTTATGCTACATTCCTTAGCCATTTCTATGACATAAACCATTCGTCGATATTTTTATTCGTATTCTCCTACTCATCACATCTATTCACCATAGATACACTGTTGTGTTTATTAGGTGTCACGTCGAATGCTATAAAACTGAAGATTGGTACCTGAAATTTTGCATCGGACCAAAATACTTAATTTGAAACTCTAGATCTTGTAACAACTTTTGGCCTAGTTCATGGCTTCATTTGCTTTGTGCTTTGGATCTGCCTTTAAGGAAACTCGTCAAGAAACTATAATGTGTGAGTCTCCATGCAGACAACCAACGATATCAACATAATACTTAGCATGTACTGAGAGATAAGTTTGCACGATAATAAGATGAGTTGTCATATAACAACACCATTGGATGGGACATGGTGATTAGTCGAATTCCAACTTCGTAAGAATGGTCAAAGTATTGCTAAAATCTCACTTTTTACCAGTGATTCTTATCCATCCAAAAGTTTGAAAGTGCGCATAACTTAAGTTCATTTCAAGGCTTTTTTGACTATATCCACTCTTCCACAAACAAACAAATAGATTTATAGGTTATGGAATCTTTTACTAATCACTTTTTTCATTTGAATATATAAAAAATTTGCTGGATAGTTATGCAAAAAAATATCTTAAAATGGATCTAAAAAAAATATTTATTAGAAAAGGGACAGTAAGTCTACTTACGTGTGCAGTGTGCTTGATCCGATTCTTGGTTTGATCTTTTATTGACTGAGAGGTTTTTTAGTTTTATTAATTCCTGAATCATATTATATTTGACATACTTTGGATTTGGTTTTTGGTTCGAAAATTTTCCATAAACTACGTTTTTCTTTTAATCAATAGAGAGACCAGAGGTAGAGAGATTAACAAAACACGAGTGGATTCTGTAATCGACAAGAGGTAGAGAACAGACCAATTCTAGTTTTGCATAAATTCCGAAATTAACCAAATCAATCAGGATATTTTATTAAATGGGCCTGACACCATACTTCCGCAGCCCAAAATCAAGCAGTCCGGGTCTGTTCGCTCGAAAGTAAAAACATTTGACTTTTCTAAACGCGGACGCAAATTCAGCGAAACTCAAAACGAAAACGCTAAAAGAGAAACGTTTGCTCAAAGCCACTCTATCAGTAGAAGTGTAGAACCACAAAATCTCAGGAAAAAAAAAGCAAATCTCTCTCTTTCTCTCTCTCGCGTCGATCAATGTCTGATCACCAGCCTGCGAAAGAGATCAACTTCTGGGGAGAGACTTCGGAGGAAGACTTCTTCAATCTCAAAGGCATCATCGGCTCCAAATCTTTCTTCACTTCCCCTCGAGGAATCAACCTCTTCACTCGTTCATGGCTTCCTCCCTCTTCCTCTCCGCCACGTGGCCTCATCTTCATGGTCCATGGCTACGGCAATGACGTCAGCTGGACTTTCCAAGCCACTCCCATCTTCCTCGCCCAGATGGGTTTCGCCTGCTTCGCTCTCGACATCGAAGGCCACGGCCGATCCGACGGCGTCCGCGCCTACGTTCCCTCCGTGGATCTCGTCGTCAATGACATCATCTCCTTCTTCGGTTCGATCAAGCAGAAACCAGAGTTTCAGGGGTTGCCTCGGTTTCTCTTCGGGGAATCAATGGGCGGCGCGATTTGTCTTCTGATCCATTTCGCAGATCCGTTAGGGTTCGACGGAGCGGTTCTTGTCGCTCCCATGTGTAAAATCTCCGACAAGGTGAGGCCTAAATGGCCGATCGATCAGTTTCTGATTATGATCTCCAGATTCCTACCTACGTGGGCGATTGTTCCGACGGAGGATCTGTTGGAGAAATCGATCAAAGTGGAAGAGAAGAAACCGATCGCCAAGAGGAACCCGATGAGGTACAGCGAGAAGCCGAGGCTGGGCACAGTGATGGAGCTACTTAGGGTTACGGATTACTTAGGGAAGAAGCTAAAAGACGTGAGCATTCCCTTCATTGTGTTGCACGGAAGTGCAGATGCTGTCACTGATCCTGAGGTGAGCAGAGAATTGCACGAAGACGCCAAGAGCAAAGACAAGACCTTGAAGATCTACGAAGGGATGATGCACTCGATGCTGTTCGGTGAACCCGATGACAACATTGAGATTGTTCGTAAGGATATTGTTAGCTGGTTGAATGATAGATGCGGTGGAGACAAAACCCATGTTTGATGAATTCATTGTCTGATTCTCTCTGTTTATTTGATGTAATGTTGTGTGCGTAGTCATATTTTATCAAGAAACAATGTATTTGGGTAAGTGGCTAGAGAAAATTGATTCACAGATCAATCACATTGTATGCAATCTTCAACTGTATCTTTTACTAGACTTCTTCACTGTGTATATTTTGATTGAGATGAAGTTTTTTTGGCTTTGCACTTATGATATAGTTGATTTGCTTAGTGGTGGAAATATTGGACCAAGTAAACAATAGATGAGTTGTGTTCTCAGTGTTGTTTACTAGATTGGCTTTTATTCTCCAACATAGCTACTGTGCCTAGAAAGCTACTTGTGAAGAGGCTATTGAATTAGTAATATTGAAGTTTGTTGGATGGTTTTGACCAAGGACCAAAAAAGTTGTTTCTTTGTCTACTTATTCTTCAATGTACTTCCTAAGCTCTGTTTTGCTTATCTATCTCTCACCTAAAAGGATAGCTGCAAAATTCTTTAGTCTCAAATATTTTGGCATTTTTTTAGAAATGTGGTAGGTGTGAGTAAATGGTGTGTTTCTCTTTCAAGTAATAGATTTGGATTCGGATGGAATAGATTATTCTATAAACATAAATTCAAATTTGAGGTGATTCAGAATACGAATCTTAACTAACTATAGAGTATCAGTTAGTCATATCCAACAAAATAAAAATCTAATTTTTGAATATGTTCACCATTTTTCCATCATTATTCGATTGACAATAGTCTTGCTAAAATCCCGTTTTAAGTTTTTATTATCAAAAATTCAAAAATGGTCAAGATTTGCTAAAATCCCGTATTAAATTGTTTAACGATTTACGATCTTTCCAACTTATCTATGTTTTGAACATTGGGACTTACACAAAGATTAGTATCCCAAAAATGAAGTTAAATAGTAACAATATTTCCTTGTTTTCATTATTGTCTGTTTTGTAAATTGTAAAACCCAAAACCCAAAAAAAATTCAATATGAAGACCCTTTAACAAAAAAAAAAAAATATTTCGTTGTTTTTCAAAGTGTTCAACAGGTAACTATGGTTTCTAGTTTCTCTACATTGGAATATCAAATGTTGCCAAAATAAATCGAGTTTTCAGAAGCTTGATTTGAATTTAGAAGAACCAGCGCTTTCGATCTTTTTGCAGTACATGGAATACAAAAGATTCAAGTTTCGAGAAAAACATCTTTCACTGACAGAAATAACAAGTTTGATGGGAAGACTGAAACAAATGTGAACTGCTTCAAAAACTGTAAACGAAAGAGATAGAGAGAGTCAAAATTTGACAGAAACAACGTAAATCAGAGTGATTTTGCAGTGTTTACTGTCGCCGGAAAATCTCTGAGGATTCTCTCCTCCGTCGTCGAAGTTCAAGGCGTAACTCCATGGATCATACTGAAACATAGTCTGCTTCTTCTTCGTCGTCTTCTTCTTCACCGCCGCCTTCACCCTCCGTAACATTTTCTTCCGGTACTGATTCACCGCCTCGAATCTATCCACCAGCCTCATTTTACTTAGCAAATTCAAATAAACCATTTCTGAATTTTTTTAAAGCTTTAGAGGGTCTTTTAAAGAAGAATGAAAGTGGGGGTTTTGGAGCAGAAGAAGAGAGGATAGAAGTAAAAAGTGTGCAGCTTTTTTTTATGGTTAGTTGAATACGTGCGTGGAATTTACATTGGGGGTCACGAGAAAGAGATATAACAGAGGAAGAGGAAGAAGAAGAAACTTCGGGCAGAGTGCCTAAAACATCATTTTCGGATACTCTGTTTTTTTATTGAACTGTTTGGTCTTTGTCTGCTACTATCTCAACGAATCAATAATTCTTTTTATCATTAAAAGTTTATCATTCTTTTCTGCTATTTAAAAAAAAAATATCCTGTGTAAAAATACTAAAAGAAATGTATTATTCATCGAGATTTTGAATAGAATGTATCTGAGAACATCAATATTTTGACAAATAAAGTCAGATATACTGAGATTTTGTTTGTTGTTGAGATTCTAGATTTTTACTATATCTAAGAAAACCAATATTTTAAAATTTTAAAATTTTAATTTGTTTAATTTTAAATTTTGGTGTAAAAATATGTTAGCCAACAGTCTTCCGCCAACCAAGCATTTAACAATTTTTTCCAACCTAGATGCCCTTAAAATCTATTTTTGTTTATAGATTAGTAATAAATAAAATTTCCTTAAAATTTAGTTCTGGATGTTATCAAAAAGTTTACATATATTCAACGTAGTCTAATAAATAAAATTCGTTTAGGTTAGATTTTAATATAATAGTGAAGCAATGAAACATTTAACTAGACATCTTCAATTTCTTATGACAACTATTTTATCCAGAAAATGTTTCATATAGATGATTGTAACAATAAACAAAAAAGGACTAAACAACACACAATAATACATTTTGTAGAAAAAACATGAATTAATTCAAGAATGTAGTTTTCCTATTCCTTATCCATTGTTGAACTCCTCCCTCCCATGCACGAAGGTTCACTTAATCACTTGTACTGGATTTTGTCAATGGTCCTTCGCATTTGACGTATATCTCATCGCTCAAGTTCTTTGTTACTTAGTTGAACAATTAGCAAAAATGTTATTTTATTTCTTATTATACTTTTTTACAATTAATGTTATTTGATCTCAATTAGGAAGAAACTATTGACTACTGTGTATTTTATTTGTAGTTGATACTTTAGAATTAACCAATAACGTTTACTATAAATAATCATCCTGAGTCACGCGTATCCCTTAATGGTAAGTGGTAACAAAGTATGTTCGTTGTGGCATAAAGTTAAAAGGTTTCTGCATTATATTAATGCTTTTTCCTTAATTATTTAGTTTAGTAAACAAAAATCACTATTCTCTTTGTAAGTTTTCGAGAAAAGGTAATGCAATAAAGGACAACATGTGTGTCCCCGAAAAGTTACAAGCTTTTTTTTTTTTTAATTTCTATTAAAATCCCAAAACTTTCACATTCTCACATATTAGCCCCACTTGCTCACTCTCTCTTCCTCTCTCTTCTCCTTCTTCATCTCCCTCCTCATCTCTTTCTCTCTGTTTCACCTTAATGAACTCCCAGAAACGAACAACACTAAAGCCAAACTAACTTTACTTCTCTTCAGTCTCAATCGAGAAATGAGAGAGCTTGAGAGCTTGAAGACGAGCATTAATCATCCATGGCCGCCGATTGGAGCTCCGATGAATCTCCGGCGAGAAGACCCGTTGAAATCTCGATTCGACGACTCAGTTAACGCCGTATCCTTTGGGTTCGTCGCTACAGCCATTCTCATCTCCATGTTCCTCGTCATGGCTATCTTCGAGAGACTCATTCGAACCACCACTACAACGAACAATCCAGATTCCTCTTCGGGTACGGATTCTCGGGTCGGATTCAACGCTGCAAATAAGCTCGGTTATCAATCTCCCAAGGTGACTATTTTTACTTTCTCCTCTTCAGAATAATTCAGAGAATAAAGTCGTAAACACGAATTTCATTAATTTTCACATTATTCTCTACTTACTGTTAAATGTTTGACACATTTCGACTACTCTAGAGATTCCTATTTTGTTTTCCTGCCAATTCTGATTTTGACACTTAGAGATGAACATTGGGTAAAACAGAAACTAAAGAAAAGCTTCAGTTTTTATGATGCTTTATTCATTAAATCTTCTGATTTTGTGTTTAATGATGCAAATTTTAGTGTAGACAGAAAAGATTTAGTATTTTGGTTAATTATTCCAAAAAGATCACATTTTTAATCCGGGGTTTATTTTTCATTTGATGTGAACACGTTCATATTAAAAAGTAGAAGAAGAAAACATCATAGGGTTTTGATTCTGTGTACTATTTGAGTATTGAAAGAGACACAACATTGCACATGCTTTTACATCATCAACATTAAAGATGTCTCATAAGCTTCCTCACTCACACATGCATACACTGTTGAGTATATATACATATATAAAGAGATGCATATATGGTATTTGCATTCATTGATTTCTTTCGTCATTCAGAATCTCCTGTTTTATTTTTCATCTCTCCATAATGGCGAAGGAGACAAGAAAGAAGTCTAATAAAGTTTTGTTTGTTGAAGATTGATTCGTTTGCAAGTATTATTGACGCGTATGGTACTTAACTATGCGTGTTGTAGATGGAAAATGAGGTCTAATGTCTAAGTCTAAGAACCATGTGTGACTGACATTTCCTAGGAACACTAATGGCCCCACCGGTTTTCTTGAAACCTAACATTGGTCCTATGCTAGAGAGTTTAATCATGTTTTTGGGAATTCAATAGTTTCAAGGAGATTTCATAGTCTTCTTGACTCTCATCTCATCTTAAGACTAAGACAACAAACTCGTTAAGCCCGATTTGTCTAGACTAATGAGATCTCCATCCATATGTGAACTTGAAGGGAGTTAGAGAAATGGGTAACACATTAAAGACTTTGTTCTTCATTGTCATGCTTTTGGGGTAATAGTTTCATGGAGAGGTCTTTCTACCTCATCTCTTTTGATACTAAAACAGTTGCTTAACTTTGGCCATCCCATGCAAGATATAATAAACTTGAAAGTGTTTTGGGAAATGGTTCTTAAACTTGGATTAGTTCTTATTCCCTGATGATCGTGGGTCCTCTTTCGATACCTTGTTTTCTTGTTAGAAGTAGACGTTTTTGATTAAGACTGATTGGCATTTACAGATTGATTTTACATGGTTATGGAACAAACCATGTGATCAAAGACTAGATAGAAGCATTCGAAAACATGGGAGGACCCATAAATGTAAACTTAAGACAAGTGTGTTTGCCCTTTTCTTCCTCTTAACTTGAGCTGTTGTTGGGGAACAATGACACATGTTTAGATCTGTCATAGTCTCCTCCCACCCAAAATCTCATTTGCTTATGTTTTGTTGGCTCGTGAAATATATTTTGTTATAAGAGTCTTTGCTTCTTCTTCTATCTGTTGGATGTTTGTTGTGTTGTTTTTTTCTGGTTTGTTTTTTCTGGAGCTATATGAATGACTGATTTCTCCGACATGCAGATGACTTTCTATGCGAATGGGGTATCGGTACTGATGCCCGGAGACGATATTCCGACATTCATAGGTCATCCAGCGCCCGTGCCTTGTCCTCCACAACACATGTCACAGTCTCAGCATCAACATAGCTCACCAAGAGATTCCTCCAACTCAAACTCCATTCAAGAATGTTGAGGACTGTTTTTTTAATCTCGTATCACCATTGGCTTCTTGAACATTCGGGCAACCAACCACATTGAGTTGAGTTGAGTTTGGCATCGGATGTTTTTGTTCTCATTTTATTTTTTCTCCCGATGATTTCGCTACAATGATTGGGTTTGGGGAGTTTATTTTATCCGTATTTTGTGTACATAGCCTTAGGATCGAAACTGGTTTATGCCCTAAGCATTATTATGCTTATATTCAAGATTTGACTTGGGTTTTTTTTAATGGGAACTCAGTTATTTACCTGTTTGCTAGATTCGTGAATGAGTAACAGGGAAGAGAAGAGAAGAGTGTGTAGTGTCTCTTTTTCTTTCTCTAAGATTTGGAACTTTGCACACACAAGTCACAGTTCCATCTTCTTCCCAACAACCCAATTTTCCATGGGATACTGAATCGTTGTTTTAGCCCTTCAGAGTAACATTTTTTTTTAGAGATCACAATTTAAATTAAAAACAAAATCCTGATAAAAATTAGAGAAATTTTGATAAATCCCCTAAAATTCGTAAGAAATTAATAAAATACACCGTATGTTTTGCAATTTGAAAAATACATCATTTTAAAGGTAAAAGTACTAAAATACTCTTTACTTATGATTTCGGATTTGGTTATTGTTACTTTTTTGTAAACTAAAAATCTTCATGTTAGTGAGTGAAGATTCTGAAATGTGTTGGATTTTGGAATACAGACACAAGTCTTTTTGTTGTTTAGTCTATGTGGAATCGACTGTTTTGTAATGGTACATATATTTTTTCCTCGTCTGGTCATTGTGAATGGTACTTATGTCATATGTTTGTACAATTGCTTTTCGGAAAAGTTGACTTATACAAGTCTTTGGCATGTGTGATTGTGTGAATGGTTAAGTTCTCGTATATTTGCGTCAAAATATGTTTTTTTCCTATTTATCAATGTTTTAAAGAGTTAAACGGATTGAATTAGACAGGCAAAATTAGGCGTACGACTTCCACTTCACACTCACGATTCACATTCATACTTTCACTGTTGAAACTGTACTTTTCGTCTAGTGTCATATGTACAACTACGTAAAATAGTCTTGTACTGTTTTACTCAGTAATAAAATAGTCTACGCAAGAAAAATCTTCTGTGATTTGCAGTTTGCATGGCGATACGTACGGTACATGTAATGGGAGAGCAAAGTTATTATTTTAATTTTTTGCATGATAAGTTTACTGCTATTTTGTTAATTTCATCCAGATAGTTGTGTATTAACGTAATACCATTACGGTAATGGCCACTCGCAATAATTTTTTTTTTTGTGTACTAACGTAATGCCATTAAACTAGCCTAGAGTTTTGTCTGGATTTTTAGGCTATTATACTTTGTTGGGTCATTAAAAAATTATTAGTTTCACTGTTATGAATAGATAAATATAAAACTTCAGTGAAAAATAAAAGTGAACTTCTCAATCACAAGGAGTAAATCCAGAATATTGCCAATAAATACCCAAAAATGTCTCGCTTCACACTCAGTCTGCTTCCATAACACAGCACAAAAAAAGAAAAAAGACACTTATACAACGCCGTTCTCTGTCATGGGTTGTTGCGTCAGCTCCGCCACGGCCAACCAGAAAGATGACCCCGTCTCCGGGAAGAACACAGCACCGCCTCCTTCCGTCGTCGAGGAAGAGACAGTAGTCAAAGAAGTCTTGTCTGAAACCACATTGATAACTTCCTCAAACGACAATTCGGCAATGGAGACGACGGCGACGAAGATCCCGGAAGACGAGGAGAAGAAACCCGGAGCTGTCGACGCTGCTCCAGACCCGGGTTTGACCGACCCCGGTTTGGTTGAACCGGAAAAAGGATCGGAGGTTTCAGAGGTTTGTAGTTTAAGCGAGAGCCTGCTCTCGATCGTGAATGGGTACGAAGATGAAGAAGTGAAACAGAGAAAATTACAGGGAGTGAGACAGAGATCTCCGGCGAAATCTCGGAACCGGGTCATGGCTAATTATCCAACTCAGAGAACCGATATGTCTCCCCGTAAGAGAAACATCGAAGGAGGAGGGGGAGCTGGCTCGGTGAGGCTGCTGCCGTCGGGTACGGGTAAGAGAGACCCGACTGAAAGATCTGAGAGGAGGAGGTCCAGGTCTCCGGCAATGAACAGGTCCGTCATGATGGGTCCAACTCGGAGTCATTATAGTACGGACAATGGTGGAGTAACGATGAAAAAAGGTCAGTCTCCGGGTCGGGTCAGACCTGATCCGAATAACAACGGCTCGGATCAAGACTGTCATCATCATCAGTGGCCGAGATGCGGTGCGCCTGGAGGAGATTACAATTCTACCCCTAACGACTCGTTTGAGAACCCTCTTGTTTCGTTAGAGTGTTTCATCTTTCTTTAATTATCTCTGAGGATTTAATCATCTCGAATTATCGCTGGAGAAAAAGGTTATTACCTTTGTATTGATTGTTCCAAGTTATTATTCATCCATCTATTCAGTATTCACAAATTTCGCAATTTCATCATTTAGTTGGCTGGTCTCGTCAAATATGTTTTCAGTTTATATATAGGGAAAATAAGAAAAGGTAGAGAAAATCAATTAATTTATACTATTATATGATGTTGTGAATTGGACGGCAAAAGATTTGCTTCTGTGACATCAATTATTATATTTTCTGACAAAAAAAACCCAGACGCAAGCAAGTAAGTTTGACCCCTCCCAAAAAGTTACCATACACCAGATTAATTTACCTTTTCTGGTCAAAAAATCAATACACCGCTGTAATGAAATCAGTTTACTTTCTCTTTCATAAAAACAGAGAACCTTTGGTAGTCCGAACCAACAAAAATTCAAATAATGCGTATGAATATCTGAGTTTTCAAATTTTAACATCAGAGACGACTAGACTTAAGTTTATACTTTATACTAGTATCTTTTTGTAATCATCTACATTTAACTACGATTTGAATATGTTGTGTGAGTTATAAATTAAACAAACACTTTTTTTTTGGTCAAGTAATTAAATAAACCTTAACAATAGAGTTCTTTAATTCAGCCAATCAAACTGTTGTTCATTTACATTGGTCTAAGACTTGTTTCATAGATCATCAAACTTTCCTAATATGTATAGAGAGTTCAATTTTAAAGTTTTTTCCATGCATATTTATATGACGAAAATATTGATATTTTCTGTTTTGGATTAGACAGTCGATACTCGATATTCGTCTATGATAGACAAGAATATAGTCATTTGTAATATGTTAAAATTTCGTGATAGATGTTCATGTAACAACAAATGACAAAAGCTAGTTTATCGAACATTGAATTCAAATTCGTTTTATATGTTCCGAGATTTATTCATTGCTTAAATTTTGTATACGAACTCTATCAAATTCTGTCAGCTTCGATCGTGTAAAAAAATATTCCATCAATTTGGTTATCAGGTAGTATGAAAGGTAAAAATCCCCTTTTTAGACTGCCTTTTTAAACTACAAAAAATTGATTTTGTTGTTTTTTGTCTGGTTAATCTTTCAAACGTTTTTCTTTTCCATAGCAATATTCTTTATTATTTAGGCTCATCTTTTGGAGAAAGCATTGTAAAGATTTTGCTTTTTTTTTCTAACGCTTTCTTTCTTGTCCTTTTGTGCCCCCCACATCACTAAAACTAAAATTTTGTATCAATGTTAAACAATGTCCGGCGAGAAAAAATGTTTTTTTTACCGTTATTTCACTAAAAAGTCTGGTCATATTATCCTTTTCATTTTTGTGGTCATGCATTTTATATATTAGAAAAATGAAAACAGGTTGAGACCATAAGTTCTTGTCAGTTTAATAATTTTTTTAAAACCATCGCATGCATCAAAGCAAAACTTTGAAATTTTAAGTTTGAACTGATCAAGCTTGATGCGTATCGAATTTTAGATGTTGGACACTCTGAGAGAAACCATAACACTATAAAACTTTGATATGCATCATTTTTGATAGCCCTCGGAGAAAGGCATTTTTTTTTCCATTTATATTTGGTTGCATTATGAGTTTTTAATCCTTTGAAAAGGCAAAAAAAAAATGAGTTTTGAAGATTTGATGTTTTATAACGGATAAGAAAATGGTAGGGCAGAAAGTGCAGAGAGGGACGATGTAAAACAAAAATTTGAAGTAAAAAGGAAACAAAGAGTGAATTTAAAACAAATGAACATTCGTTATGTGCCTTGGATCCTCTGATCTATCAGGTGACCAAAAAGTACCGTTTGCATTCTTTAAGTTTGTTTAGCTTTTTTGGGTAATGAGAGACCATGTTAAAAATTAAGGACAAAAATAAAGGCTAACTTTACAAGATCTATACATTTTGCCTAAACACTTTTTAAAGAGACTGTAGTTTGAATTCACGTTAATACATCTCCCAATCTCACAACTAATTCTTGTTTGTATATATTAGTGCTACAATCATTATTAGCATTAACGTAACGTTTAAATTGATGGTTGAACCAGTGGTTTATATATATAACACGGCTGTTGATTTTGTTTTTTTGGTTATTGAAGTACAAGAATCAAAGAAAATCCCAAACTAATCCTGTAGAGTGAGATATAATGTTCAAGTTTTACTACTACAATTTTCATAAATGTCTTAAATCTCGATTTATTTCATAACTCGTGATTTGAGTTTTGGTCTAGAAGCCTTTGGTTGTATTAAAAAAAAAAAGAAACTCAAATGTAGATAAGTAAAACAAAAATTTCTATTCGGTTTATAATCTCATATTGGTTCGGTTTATCCTGATTGACATCTTGTTTTCATCGTTATTGGGCCAACGAGCATAGGTAACCTGCAAGTGGGCTTTACAATCACATTACCGACCAATTTGTTGTGCCCATATCTTGTTTGTCTTAGCCCATGAGAATGTTGGTGTGCTCTTTTTTAGTCTCAAAACTCTCAACAAGCATTGTTGTTAAGAATAAGATTAGTGAAGGAAGTTAAGCAACTGGTTATCTTCTGGAGAACTAAAATGATTGATAAGTTCAGACCAATCAAAACTTGAACTCACCAACCATGTTTATTCTGTATTGATCATGTTGTTATTATTCGGGTCATAAAATAGTTCTTGTAAGTGGCAAGTATAAGTATTAATAACACATGTTAATCTTATCTCAAACTATAAAACGATGGCATGCCATACATTATTACTGTTAAATTGTTCACAACTCCTCCATCACATCAAGAAAACAATAAAATACAGATTAAATATATGTTCCTAAGAAATTGATAAACAATGATTGTAAGTTGTAACTGTAACCACAAAACCAGAATTCTTAATTTTTAGTTGTAACCATGATGCTTCTTTTTTTTTAAAAAAGGTTCTAGCACAAAATCCATAAATTGTTAGTTTTGTCATTTATAAAAAATTAGAGAATACCTGTAATACTTATAAGTTGTAGTATTGCAAGTGTTCTTCTACTTTCTAAGCAAGTTAACTACAACATGGTTAAGACATCAACTAATCTTTGTTGTTGTGGGCCTTGTGGCATTAGGATCTGTAGCTAAAAGAAGGACTAGCAGAAAAACAATCTCATCACAATCAAACATTTTTTACAAGCAGAAAGCATTAAATTTACAAAAGAGCAAAAAATGGGAGTGGGATGAAAAATGATGATATATTTGACCGCGTGGGGTCTCTCACTCTCTTCTCCCATAAAAACAATACTTTGCAGAGCTTTTCCACTTCACTGCTCTCATGGCCCATCTCACTGAATAGGGCTATAACTTCGTCAATTAATCAGCAGAAAATGATATAACTATATAACCTACTGTTTTGTATCGTTTTCCTTTGTTTTCTTATGAGTTGCATCAAGAAGATAATTCACTTCTACCTGATGGCATTAAAAAAAAACCCGTATTTCATGAAAATAAAATACACAAAGAAACTATAGTTAGATGAGCATTAGGGGACAAAAAGAAACATAAATTTCGGACAAGAGAGGGAGATAAGTCTTTGAAAGTTTTTTTCTGTTTCACACTTTGAGAAGAAACCTTGAACTGAGAGAACTAAGCCGTTGGCTTTTGTAAGCCGCTCGTTCTTCGAGACAAAACACATCTCTCTCTCTCTCTCACACACACTCACTCTCACTCTTCAACTATTTTCCTCTTTCTCTCTCTCCTTAAAATCCGACGAAATTATGTTTCACTTTCCCTTTTAATCAGGAAAATCCCTGTTTGTCCTTCTCCTTCCTGGGGGCTTCTTCCACATTACCTCCAAATCTTCGTGTTACTGAAGTTTTTCTTGGAAACAAACAATCTAATCCAGTTCAAGTCAAGGGTTTTCTCATCTTCAGTGAAGACAGCAGCTATGAGCTTTACAAGAAGACAAGTGTTCTCTGTTCTCTCTGTTTTAGCCTTGACAATGCCGTTCTCTGCTGGAGTCACCAATCTACGAGATGGTTATAATCTGTCTCTTACTCTCTTCAAATTTTGACTTTTTAAAGGTTTTGCTTTGACTGCTTATTTTAGTTCACTCAACACACTAGATTTTGAGTTCTGCCAAGTGAAAGTGAGTTGCATCAATTTAGGGTAAACTAGATAACGCATTAGCTTTGTCTACGAGGCTCCAGATTGGCAGATTCTATTGCTCTGAGGCTAGATTCAAAAACCCTAAAAAGTGTTAATTTTTGACTCATAAGCTCTTGTTAGGGTTTAGTTCAAAACCATGAAATTTGTTCTTGTCCTCAATTAGATTCAATTGTTTTAGAACATGTGGAAGATAAATGAATGATTTTGTTTGTTGTTGAACCTCTTGCAGTTTCAGCGATTAATAACTTGTACATTACCTTGGGAGCACCATCTCTATCTCGGTGGCTATCTTTTGGAGGAGACCCTTGTGGAGAAAAGTGGCAAGGTGTGGTCTGTGATTCCTCAAACATCACGGAAATGTATACTTCCTCTTCTGCTCTTTTTAACCCTTGTTGTGGTTTGCTTTAGAGCCACCAAAAGAAAGACACTTTATTCAGGTTCTGACCAGGTGCTTTATTGTTGTTGGATGCAGAAGGATACGCGGCATGAAGGTGGGTGGTGGCTTGAGTGATACTTTGGCTGATTTTTCATCTATCCAAGTGATGTAAGCAAAAAAGCTTCTTGTTTTGTTTTGTTTCACATTCCTGCTAAATAAAAGAACATACAAGATAATGCCTTTTGCTATAGTTTTATAATACTCTTTCTATCTTCCTTGACAGGGACTTCAGCGACAATCATATCTCAGGGACAATTCCGCAGGCTTTGCCTTCTACCATCCGAAACCTGTGCGTTTGAGAATTGACTCTTTTGTGTTAATGGCGCAACTTATGATTCAACAGTTTTAAACAGTTTGAAAGACACTCCACTTTTGGTTTCAGATCTCTCTCTGGGAATCGCTTCACTGGGAATATTCCCTTTACATTGTCCTTTTTATCTGAGTTGTCAGAACTGTAAGTCTTTGCTAAAGAAGATTCTGTCTCTTGCATCTGCGAATTTCTTTTGCCTCGGTTTTAAAAACAGACTCTTTACAATTCCCTTCAGGTCGTTGGGAAACAATCTTCTGTCGGGAGACATACCTGATTATTTTCAGCAGTTATCAAGACTGACAAAACTGTATGTTTTCTCCTTTTCTTAATCTCATTTACTTTCAGCAGCTTCACTAACGTCTTTAGTTTCTAATGCAGGGACTTATCGTCTAACATACTGACCGGGCGTTTGCCTCCTTCCATGGGAGACTTAGCGGCTCTCAAGATATTGTAAGTGCATCAGATATTTTGGAGTATAAATCCGTAAAAACGTATTGTTACCATTGGTTATATATCTAATAATGTGGTTGGACTGCAGGTACTTGCAGGACAACAAGCTCATTGGAAAACTTGATGTTATTGAGGATCTTTTCTTAACCGACTTGTAATACTTTTTTTCGCCTTGCATAGTTTTTGTTCTTGACTCTCCAACCATAAAAGCCAACTTCAGTAACTCACTATGGTTTTTGATATCTTTGGTTCAGGAATGTAGCAAACAACTTATTCTCTGGACCTATACCGCCAAATCTATTGAAAGTTCCCAATTTCAAGTACGTATATTTAAGTAAAATCTGTTTGTTTTTTTTCAATCTTGTTTTTCTGTAGCCATTCAAGATTTAACCTCGTTATAACTGCAGAAAAGATGGAACTCCGTTCAATACATCGATTATAACACCGCCTCCTCCTGCGGTTGATCCTCCTCCGGCTACTCACCGTGCTCCTCCTGTTACACGTGTTCCTCCTGTTTCCGGTGTCCCCCCTGCTCCATTTGCTCCTTTTGTTCCGCTGCAACAACCACCTCCACCATCACCACCTCTGGTTTGGTCACCGCCTTCTGATAATCAAGGAGGAGACCCCTGGAACTCGGCGTCGGGGCAACCTACCTTGCAGATATCACCTCCTTCAGGGTCAGGATCAGGAAAGTTCTGGTCCACGCAGAGGATCATCCTAGTCGTTTCTTCAGTGGCCATAATAGTTCTTGTATCTGGTTTGTGTGTTACACTTTGGAGATGCTGTAGAAGCAAGATATCTAACCGATATGGCGCTGATGCTCGTAAAGACTTTCAACGGCCATACTTCAATAAACCACCATCTCAACCAATACCCACCATGGGAAAAGGTACACTGATTCTTTTCTTTTCTTTTCAAGAAAAAAAAAATAGAAACTTTGAGTTGTGGCTCATTTGTGGGTGTTTTCTTTTGTTCTACAGTTTCCCGGGAGCCAATGGTTAAGCCTTACGATGGATATGGAGCCGGAGACAGGAAATACGGTTATCCTATGCCACAACGTGCTGAAGAAAACCGGAGAGCGATGCCTCCTACTTCATATTACAATAAAGATATTAATACGCCTCAAAAACCGCTGCAACAACCACCGAGGCATTTTCAGGCTAACGATGGTGCTTCAAAGAGAGCGGCTCATTTTCCTCCGGGCTTGAATTCTTCGTCTTCAGCTACCGTTTTCACCGTTGCTTCACTTCAGCAATACACAAATGGTTTCTCAGAAGAGCATATAATCGGGGAAGGGTCGCTTGGTAATGTCTATAGAGCCGTGTTTCCTCATGGAAAGGTGTGACACTTTCCCTCTTATCTACTATCTGTGGCCATTCTGCAATTTTTATTTTGACATCTTGACATCTTAGTGTGTTTTAAACTCTTTGTGATGTGTAGTATCTTGCGGTGAAGAAGCTTAGCAATACCATCAACAGAACGCAGAGTGACGGAGATTTCCTCAATTTAGTCTCCAATGTTTTGAAACTTAAACGTGGAAATATATTGGAGCTTCTTGGTTACTGTAACGAGTATGGTCAAAGGCTGCTTGTGTATGAGTACTGTCCTAATGGATCACTTCAAGATGCACTGCATCTGGATCGCAAACTGCACAAGAAGCTCACTTGGAATGTGCGTATGAATGTGGCGTTGGGAGCTTCCAGGGCATTGCAGTAAGTAAAAAGAAACCTCAAAAAATGTTATGCCAATTCTATGTTTGGAACATTGAGGAACTTAAGAGTTTGGTTTCAGGTTTCTTCACGAGGTTTGCCAACCGCCGGTTGTACACCAGAATTTCAAGTCTTCCAAGGTTCTCCTTGATGGAAAGCTCTCAGTACGTGTTGCAGACAGCGGTTTGGCTTATATGTTACCACCACGACCAACGAGTCAGGTAATAAAATCATCTTATGTCGTCTGATTTGAAGATCCCAAGTCCTGACAAAGGAGTGTGTAAGGGAAATGATGTTTGCTTATAAAATTGGTAGATGGCGGGTTATGCCGCTCCTGAGGTTGAGTATGGAAGCTACACATGTCAGAGCGATGTATATAGCCTTGGTGTTGTGATGTTAGAACTGCTCACTGGACGCAGACCATTTGACAGGTTAGCATAACTCTGAAGAGACAGTAGAAAAGAGAAGATGTTTCACTTATGTTTCTCATTTGCAAGATCACTATATACTATGGGTGCAGGACAAGGCCTAGAGGACATCAGACACTTGCTCAGTGGGCGATTCCTCGGCTTCATGACATCGATGCATTGACAAGAATGGTTGATCCGTCGTTACACGGAGCATATCCGATGAAATCGTTGTCACGTTTTGCAGATATCATTTCACGTTCCCTGCAGGTAAAGTTCACTTCATTCACCAGCCTTTTTGACTAGACAAGAAAGCAATGTAGTTTTTGACATCAGATAAATCAACTAAACCCTTTTGATTTGTCTGCCTGATGATTTTTTTTGTCTAGATGGAACCAGGGTTTCGACCGCCCATTTCAGAAATTGTCCAAGATCTTCAACATATGATCTAAAGACATATGCATCCTTAGACTACGACGCAGAAGCGATATACTATTGTCAGATTCTTCTTTGGGCGTGGACTGCATCCTTATGATGAATGAAATATGCACAACCTATTTCTTTTGTATTATAGTAACACTTGTGTTTGTTGGCTGGATGGAAATGAGCTATGGGAGCATCAAGTAACATATGATTAGCCCATCAAATCAATGGGTCAACAACATTATTCACAAATCTGGTCGTGTATGTTTAGAATATTTGTCATGTTTATTGTTCTCAATTGAAATCAAGCAGAAACATATGAAAACTGAAATTCAGAAAATTCTCGGTTCAATAACAAAAGTATCAAGCGGTAAGCGATAGAAAGGATGCAGTCCACGCCCAAAGAAGAATCTGACAATAGTATATAGCCTGCATTGGTGTAATATTCAGCAGAGTTAACTTAAGCACATATAATATGAACGAACAGATATATAATGTTATATACCTCTCCTTCGCGGATATTAATTACTTGCTCCTCTATATCACCCAAGTCCATGTTCCACTTCTTCAGTGAGCAAATGTTTGATGATAAGTTCATAGGTGTGATCGTAAGGTCGTCTGAGACCACAAAGGTTGTCCCTCTCTTTACAAACCCATTAGATTCAGCATTGGCGTCCCATCTATTACGTCTTGGATCCACAGGTTTAAAATGGCAGTATTGATGATTTATAGTCTTTGCCAGAACCCGATAATATTCGCTGTAACAAACATGAAGCAGAGGTTGCTGGCAACTATAATAATTAGGAAGAACACAATTGCCAGTCAATGTGGTACTTCCTTCTTGAGAGCTCAAGCTTTTGAAGCTTTCACAAAAGTTACCGATGCATCCAAACACGATATTGCTTCCAGATAGTTTCCAAGCAGAATTCAGAGGGAGAACCAGGAAAGTAAAAAGAAGATCAACAAAGTCTTTTCCACTTTCAACATACAGAATCTTCTGGTCCAGTTTCCTAGTGAACACACTGACAGAAATTACTTTACCTACGTTTCTTTCTTGCGAGGGTAGACTTTGCTTCTTTGTAATGAAACATGAGCTTCGTTTCCTTAAGAACACATCAGTCAAAGGAGTATTTGAAGAAAATAAGCAATGCAGCAGAGCTAGTACCTGGATTCGAATTAATAAAAAAAAAAGATTAAATAAGGTTTAGGATAAATGTGAGACATGCAAATTGGAAATACCATTGAAAATAGGTACCTTTTCGTGATCAACATCTACAAGTATCTCATGCAGCTGATCAAGATCAGCATAACCTAACCCCTGAAGTGTCTTCAAGGTGAGACCCATAGAAGTATATCCTACTACCATATCATCAGTAATGGTGAACAAGGTCTTGTCACTGGTAAATAGGTCTTGATATGTTGTAGAATCTTCAAATTCAAAAATCTTTTCCATCAGTGTTCCACAAGAACATCGTGAGGAGCAATAGTTACTATATGCAGCACGGCAAAATTCCTTGCTATCTGAATTTGGGCATATATAGTACTTGAGGACATCAGTGTCATCTATGTTAAGCTTAAGCTGTCTACGTTGATTCTCATGCACACTCCTCGGATACAAAAGAATATCCTTACAAGCTTCTGTGATGAAACTAGAGGTGCTTGCTTCAAGAACGCTTCTGTAGAGACTGTTGAAACTGCCGATTGTGGCGTCTTGAGACTTCTGATTCTGCTGATATTTCTCCAGCAATCTCACAATGGTCCCCATAGGCAGTGTCAAGAAGCTGAAGAGTACATTGACAAATTCCTTACCAGCCTCAGCCAAGACAACCTTGTTCTTCTTCTTGTCCACAAGAAGTTTCAGTGTCAACACTGGCTTCTCTGAACTTTCAGTTCCAGCCATAGATGATCGCTAAGCAGAAAAACACTAAAGATTTTGTAGAGTTCAAAGTTAAGAAATCACTGATGCCAGAGTAGAAGGGCGAATAGTTATTTAAAGACCCAGAATTTATATAGCCCTTTGAGCTTCCCCATGACTCTGCATCGCTTAACATTCCCTTGGAACAAGAAATTCGTTGGTTCTAAAAGTTATTGCACATACGACCTACGACTACGACTTTCATTTACGGCGAACTTGAGTTTTCTAGGTTGCAGTCGTCATGACCTTTTGACATTCCCAATGGCTGCTTGACGAGCACGCTTGGTAATCACAGAGAAGTAGTTAGGGTATATTCTAGATATTGATTACTCTGCTCCAGCAGTTAAAGATCAATCGGGAAAGAGTAAGACACATCAAAGATTCTTTAGAGTACCAGGTTCTGATGCTAGAAGCCATCATTTTGAAGGGTTTAAGATCTTGAAGAACGGCAGGATACTTAATTACTCAAACACAGACCCATGAGATCTTTTAAACCCTTTGAGCTTTCCTCATGACTCTGCACCTCTTGATGTTTCCTGGATTCAAATTCACAGGTCAAAATTTCTGTTTGGTAATCTCATAGACAGAGAAGGAAGAAGACGTAAGGGTTGCAGTTTCTGAGTACCTGTGAGATATCTGTCTCTCTCCTCCGCCTGTAATAGCGGCATCGACATCGACACCGACACCAATACTCAATAAAGAAGAATTGATGTCAAGGGAGGGATAGAGAGAAATCGCTTCCTGAGGATTGGTAAAGGCGGAGGAGGAAGGATTTGATGCGATCATCGCCTGAGGTACCCACTCTGTTTTCTTCTTCATCTTTTTTTGTTATTGTCATATTTATTATTGAAGAAATCTGTAAATATTGTATCTTGTTGAGTTTTTCCACTTCGTTATTCAGAAAACAAGAAATATATTGTTAAAGAGAGAAATTTGTTGAATTTCCTTTTCCATAATGGAATGAAACTGACTTGAAGTTTTCCTTCTTTTTATTTTCCGATTCCTAGCTCTTGTCGGATGCTCGTGCGTATATATATGCCTGGATCGTCTCTCTTGTTCAAATAGAGACGATACAATGTTAAAAAGACATGGCCCGATTGTGGAATTCTTACCTCACGATGTGGTAGAGCTCATCCTCGAGGGACTTCCCGTGGAGTCTCTGCTGCGATTCAAGTCTGTATCCAAGAAGTGGAAATCGACAATCGAGTCCCAAAGTTTCCAAGAAAGACAATGTATCCGTCGTAGGCAATCGCGAGGTCCAGATGTCCTTTGCGTGTACCTCATCGATGATAGTATTCCTATTGATGATGATGGTCTGGACACAGATGCTGAAAGAATTGTGGTGGGGTCGTCAATAGTTTCCACGATCAGGTTCCCTACTTCGGGTTCGGGCAGCATGTTCTGCCGTAATAGTTGTGACGGTCTAGTATGCCTCTACTCACTCTACAGACCGAGTGTCGTGGTGAATCCCACCACTAGATGCCATCGAAGGTTTCCTCTTTCAAGCTATCAGCACCTCGTCTTCAACAAGTTTAGATACCCAACTCCTGAGCTTGGATTCGGTAAAGACATAGTAAGGGGCACGTACAAGCCGGTGTGGTTGTATAATTCATCCGAGTTTGGTCTAGACGACGTTACAACTTGTGAGGTATTCGATTTTAGCACCAATGCTTGGAGGTACGTTGTCCCAGCTTCTCCTTATCGGATTCTTTCTCTCTCGAGGCCCGTGTATTTAGATGGGTCACTTTATTGGTTAACCGGGTGCGAAGAAACCAAGGTCTTGTCTTTGGATCTTCACACAGAAACTTTCCAAGTCATCTGTAAAGCTCCCTTTGCCCATGTGACTGACCCTTACCACGTCAACATGTGCATCCTCGATAACCGCTTGTGCGTATAGCAGAGAATGCCGTACACGCAAGAGATATGGTCGCTGGATTCCTCAGGCGGCAGCAAGACATGGAAGAAGATGTGTTCGATAGATTTCACCAAAACTTGTCATTGGTTCGGGGAAAGCGGCACGCTCTTACCAATAGCAATTCTTGAGAAGAATAAGTTATTACTTCATGGTCAGCGACGCTCACATCCACTTGTGATACATGATCTTCATGCCAAATCTTATGATTTACTCTTCAACCCTACCAAAATCATAGGTGCTGTTTCTTACTTCGAAAGTTTATTCTCTGTTTGAACAAATTAATCTGTACTGATGAACTATTGTAATTCAACATTGTAGTCTAAACGATGGTTCCTTGTGAGTTTTTTAATAAACGATGGTTATTGTAGGTAAAAAAAGTCTTATGATTTTATTTGACTATCTCTAGTATTATGATTTTAATTAACTTGTTCGAAAGTCTTATAAAATGACCAAAGTTTTCAAAACACAATCATACAAAAAAAAAAAGTAAAAGAGAAAGTGTATAAGACACATCAAAGATTCTGATGCTAGAAACCATCATTTTGAAGGGTTGAAGATCTTCAAGTCTAAACGGCAGGATACTTGATTACTCAAATACAGACCCATGAGATCTTATAACCCTTTGAGCTTTCCTCATGACTCTGTACCTCTTGATATTTCCTGGATTCAAATTCACAGGTCAAAATTTCTGTTTTTAAAAAGCTACTACAATCATCTTCCATAATTAAAGGCTTTAACTATTAGTACTGACATTGGAATATAAGCGCATCAGAGATTAAAGCCTCTCACCTTCCCAATGACGCACTAGGTAATCTCATAGACCTAATTAGGATTTTTACTGACTAAATAGTATGTTGATCGTTGTATGGATTCTAGGAAATGATTTCTTTGGGCTCATCATCTGGGGACTGGATTCATTTAGATCCTTGAGATAAAGTTGCGCTTTTGGATCCAAAGAGCAGAACTTCCATCGACGGTCTTGTAAGAAAAACCTCAAACTTTGGTGTCGGAAAATACGAGATTCGGTCGGCTTGTACTGATCTCTTACAATTGGCGGGAAAATTATTATTTAATTATTAATTACCAGAATGCCCACATTAATTTCGGTTCGGTTTTTAGATTGGTTTCTCGGCTTGATTGTAGGCATTTTGGTTCTGGCTGATTCGATTCCTTTTCATTGACACTGGTTTGCGGCCGGTTTCGGTTTTACGTCAATCCGTGGAAGTGACTATCAAACATTTCTTTATTGAAATAATTGATCTTGTATTGTCGCCCACGAAAGAAGGGTTGTTAATTAGGATGACCGTTTTAGTGCACGAAAATTCCAAGAACCAGACATGGCAAGCACTTATATATAGATCATGTTGTGCTCATGCCCCCCAAAAAAATTAACCAATTATAACAACCACTTAACCAGATTAATTACTCTCTCTGCCTTAAAAAATTCAAGTTAATATAAGCAACGATTACAGATCATACCAACCACGAATATTAGAGAAAACAAATCAAAAAATTTAACAGCAATTTATTTGCAATCGTCAACCTTGAAGTGAATGATTGATATGACCAGATAGTTTAAATTCAGTCTAATCCAACCTACAACCAAACTGAGTTAATTGTTTTTGTCTGAGAACAATGAACTAAAAAACGTATATACAAACCATAGTGGTAGATAATAAATCATTTGCTATAATCTAATTGTAGATTGTATCCTTGAATTGGTTATGGCTTATGAGAACAATTCAGTGTTTTGAGATGATCGATATGAGTATGACATTCAATCCAAGTTAAGGCCGTTGAGTTGGTTATACCTTTTTATATATTCAAGTTGAATTAGTTGACCGATTTTTTTTATAGTTTTAATCGAACGTCATTAAACAAAATCATAATTACGATTAGTAATGCGGCGAGTACGACAGAGGAAACTGGTTTCACGGTCCAATAATCTGAAGCTTTCAACGATTTTGAACATATCAGTGACCTAAATAAAATAAAAATACCAACTGGAAATTGTTTTTAAAAATAATTGAAAATGACAGAATCTGATGAAAAGCGGAAAGAAAAATTCTTCACTTTACCTTTTTATCTCTCGTCTCTGTTTTTTTTATTTCCTTCTGCTCGTTCGTGCCACTCTTTGAATCTCAACTTTTCTCGTTTCTCTCCAACTTCTTCCGTCTCCGGAGAGTCTAACTTGATAGAGTATTTAACGTCTGTCGTCTTGTGACATTTGAAGTTTCTAGTTTCTGAATCTCCGACAAATTTCCAACTCCGTCGTGTAGTGACATTTGAATTTTTCTTTTTGTCACCTAGCTCCGATTTCTAATTCTTCGCTTGATAAGCGAAGCTGGAGATTCTGTTTCAGCTTCGTGTTCCTATGCATTCGCATGAATTGACTGAAATCGAGTAGCAAAAATGGCGAAGCGTGGATATAAGCTGCGTATCCTTATACTATTCTCTGGTGATATTGTTTGAAACATAACCTGAATGCAAAGACCAAGAGTTTAGCTAGCTATTTGATTATTCTCACCCCATCCTTAGAGATTTGCGGTAAATCTATCACTGCAGCTTTAGGGTTTATCTGCATTTATTGGGGTTTTATGTTCATCTTGTTTGTTTGTTCTTTGGTAAACTGCCATTGACGAGCTCGAGCTTGAAATGTTCTTGAATTTTTCTTTTCTTCCTGGATATATGCTTTGTCTGTAAATATCTATATTGTTTTCTTCTTGACTCGTTTTGGAAAAAAAAGAGGAGTTTTTGGCACATTCCGCAAATGTGAATTGTCTGAGCATCGGAAAGAAGACATCACGGCTCCTTATAACCGGCGGAGATGATTATAAGGTCAACCTTTGGTCCATCGGCAAACCCACTTCTCCAATGGTCTGTCTCACATTTCTTCTCTCCTTTGTTGTTTGTCCTTTCTTGTTGGACTTTTTTTTTGTAATTATTTTATCAAAAGTTGTTCTAGTTTCCACATTTTTTCCATTTATAACCATAAATCTATAGTTAGTTCAACTAAAGCTACATCAGATGTTTGTGAAAATGGTCGGCATTACCGTTTTGGTGCCTCTTGAATTTGAAGAATGATGCAATTTTCTTTCCTTTGTTGTTGGCAGAGTCTTTGTGGGCATACAAGTCCGGTTGACTCAGTAGCTTTTAACTCGGAAGAGGTTTTGGTGCTCGCTGGAGCTTCTTCGGGTGTGATTAAGCTGTGGAATCTAGAAGAAGCAAAGAGTAAGCTGATTGATTCTCTTTTCTCATTTACCACTTTCCGTGATAAACTGTTAGTTTCAGATAGCGAGGTCTAATATTTTTAACTGTTGCTCTTGAAGTGTAGTGGTTCGAGCTTTTGTTGGACACAGATCCGATTGTTCTGCTGTTGAGTTTCACCCATTTGGTGGATATCTTGCATCCGGATCCAGTGACACGAATCTAAAGATTTGGGATATCAGAAAGAAGGGATGCATCCAAACATACAAGGGTCACACTCGTAGCATTAGCACTATCAGATTTAGTCCTGATGGTCGTTGGTTAGTGTCTGGAGGACTTGACAACGTTGTAAAGGTAAGAGAAGCAGTATCAATAAGTGGAGCTTGTGCATTGTTTGATCTTCTCTGTAAATGTTAATGTGTAATAGCGTACTCTCTATTGTACTCAACAGATTTGGGATATAACTGCTGGAAAGCTCTTGCATGAGTTTAAGTTTCATGAAGGACCTATCCGTTCCCTAAACTTCCACCCACTTGAGTTTCTCCTAGCAACAGGTGAGTTTTTGCCTATTTTTTGGTTACTTGATGAATTTTTGTTTTACATCCACAAGTTATGTTTCCGAGGTCACTATTCAGGTTCTGCTGACAGGACTGTAAAATTCTGGGATTTGGAAACGTTTGAACTGATTGGATCTACTAGACCAGAGGTACCCGAGCTTGTGTTTTGTTCTTAAATTAATCTGTCTTGTTTTGCTTTGGTACTGCTTTTTTTTCCCAATGTTTTTCACCTCTGTTGACTTATTACATGACCGGTTGTGGAGATATGATGTGATTCTCTTTCTCTCGAAAGAAAAACCTCATATATTAACAATATCAGAGATATCCTTCTTTAAGAAGACACAAGTGTCAATGATAATATAGTTCCTTTAAAGGGATATAGTACTAATGAAATTCAGTAGCATCTGATGAAGTATTAATTTAGCTTTTGGCTCACTATGTAATCTTGTAATAAAACTTATCTTCTTCCTGGCATGTGGTGTCCCTTGTTTCACAGGCTACTGGAGTTCGCTCAATCGCTTTCCATCCGGATGGGCGAACCCTTTTTTGTGGATTGGATGATGGCTTAAAGGTTTGATTTTTCTTTGTGATCAGCTATACAGCTTAAATGATGTGCAGACTCAAACGCTGATATCATAAGTACATACTCATAATGCAGGTTTATTCATGGGAACCAGTGGTATGCCGGGATGGTGTTGATATGGGATGGTCAACACTTGGTGACTTCTGCATCAACGAAGGAAAGTTCATTGGTTGTTCGTATTACCGCAACTCTGTCGGGGTTTGGGTATCAGATATATCGGTATGTCAGTTATTGTAATTGTTTTTTTTTTTTTTTTTTCTTGTTGTTGGTTTAACTGTTCATAAGTTCGCAAAATCATATGACAAAATGAATCATGAACTTTGTGAAAATGGTCAGTGTTTGTTTGCTTTTCATTTCGTTTTAACCAGAAACTTGAGCCATATGGAGCTGGATCCGCGGAAAAGAATGAATGCATGGTGAAAAGATTCAGCGTCTTGGAGGATCAGTCGTCTGAGAGAATGGGGACTTTCCCAAGGAGCAGTTCATCCCCAGATTATGAGACAAAAGAGATAAAGAACATATACGTCGACTGTGAGTAAATTTTGTTTTCATGCTCATGTCCTTTCGTGTGTGGTATGGCAGATCTATGGTAGTGCTTCATCTGTCAGTATAAATCGCATCTGATGAGTTGATGTATAATTCAAATAAATGCTGAAAAAAGTTATTTGACTCAAGTCAAAAGTGTTTGAATGTAGACCATTGCAACCGTAGTAGGAACTCTTGTGTGATCATCAACAGAAAAAGGTATCTAGACTTTAAGTTGTGTTGTAACAATATAAATGCCCTGAACTTTTGTTTTTATCCTTTAATCTTGTAGGCATTGAAACTGAATGAGTCTAAAATACGAATGACGATTTTCTTTACTGCATGATACAAAGTAGTCTTAAACATACCTGGGGAAGATCAACATAATTTTTGTGTCCTTCATTTTTGTGTGCTTGCTCTGATATGAACGTCTCTTCTTTTAAAAGCCGTAGGTGGACATCTGACTGTTGCGCAAAATCCAGCATCTCTGAAAGCGACATTTCCTTTGGAATCAGGAAGAATCGCTAATATGACGAGCGAGAAGCAGAATGCAACATGCTTTGGAGAAGTAGGGGATAGCTCTTCTAGAATGCATAGTCTTGTATCGCGGGACAGTGATAGTGGGGAAGAGCCTTCTCATTCAGGAAGGGAATCTATCACTTTCTCAAAAACTAAACCGGGTATGTTGCTAAGACCAGCTCATGTAAGCAATACGCTAGCAAAGTTTGAAGATTCAAACCAGTCAGTGGCTGTTCAGTCTGGAACTCGGAAGAAAAACGGATTGGATGTTGACGAGGAGCCACACTCTCAAAATGTGTTCTTTTCAGAACAGAGCGGTAGTAAACCATTTGATGCTGAAAATTCTACCATCAAGGGAATTACATACAAGTTTGAAAAGGCTTTGTCATCAGAGCCACCAACTGATCGTAGGTTCACTGTTCTCAGAGTTTAGTTTCATTAAAAACTTTAGCTTTCTGATAGTTAAATTTATCTTTTGAATATCTCTGCTATCTTGCCTCAGGGATGCTGCATAAACCACCTCGTGTACAGAGGTCATCATATAACGAGTACAATGAGTCGAGACGAGCAATGTCTGTTGATTCTGGTACCTTTGACGACAACAAAAGTGGGTTGGAGAACTCAAGAAAGTTATGCAAAGAGGATATCAGTAAGCAGAACATTTCCGCCAAAATTGAAAAAGCTCTTTCACCAGAAAAGCCTGGTGGTGAACAGAAAAGTAAGTTCTTGATTCAAAATCGGTAGAAAAGTCTTTAGCAGTAGCGTATAGGGTGTTACAATCTATTTTTTTTTTTCACACTGTTCTGTTCATCATCTATAGTCTGTTGTGGTTCACTTACTGGTTTTGAGGCAGCAACCATTTAGTTTTGTGGTTCACTTACTGGTCACTGTTTCCTTAACATTTCTATGTTTGCAGTAAACGTTGTCTCGGGGAGGACACGCTCCTTAGTTGAGAGGTTTGAGAGAGGAGAAAAAACTACTCATACAGAAACAGCAACTAGTACAACAATATCTCAGGATATTAATGCGGTGCAGGAAGATCCGCACAAGACATCAAGACAGACAGGTGAAACTCCTCTAACATCAACACGACGAGCTAGGAGTACTCCTGCCCGAGTGATGCCTATCGTACTCAATCGTGACAGTAACATGACAACTTATGAGCCTCCTTCAACACAACCAGCTAGGACTTCTTCGGTTCCAGTGATGCCTGTGGTACTCAATCAGGCCGCTCATGTCAAATATGATGAGCCTTCTTCTGTAACATTAACACAACAATCTAGAACTTCTCCTGCCCGGATATTGCCAACAAACATTGCATGTGATGCGGCTCCTGTTACGTCAAGAAGACCACGCAGGACTTCCTCAGCTCGAGTAAGGCCTATGTCAATCAGTCAAGCAATGGACATGACATCTCATGAGTGTCCTGTAACATCAACACGTCCAGATAGGACTTCTCCTGCTCGTGTAATGCCCGCGAAACTCAATCAGTCTGATAACATGGCATGTGATGCATCTCGTGTCGCATCCAGGCACCGAGTTAGTCCAACTCAAATGCTGCCTACACCCACTTTGATTGATCAGGTGGTCAATATGACACTGGATGAGACACATGTATCACAAACTCAGCCACCTTGCGATACCTTAACCCAGGTAGCTTTGGCAACTAGATACATTTTAAACTTTGGTCTCCATGTTTGAAATGCAGCTTGCTCTATATCTAATATGCACAAAAAAATCACTATGATGACAGTTTTTTCTTTTCTTGAAAGAGTGATGTATACGTGAGAAACGAATATGATTGTTTGGTTTGTGCAGAAGGAAGAGCCTCAAATATCTGGGAGAGAGAATGATACTGACATCACTGAAAAGCTAATGCAAACTCATGATGAGTTCTTAAGCACTCTTCAATCGAGGTTGACAAAATTACAGGTAAGCATTCTTGTTTCTGTTCTTTTCCCCTGGCTATATTTTTTGTGATAGTGTTAATTGTTGCAAGTGATTGATTTACTCACAAACATGCAGCTTGTTAGACATTTTTGGGAGCGTAGCGATGTTAAAGGCGCGATCGGGGCCTTAAGAAAGCTGACAGATCAGTCTGTGTGTATCTCAGATTCTTAGTTGATTACACTTTTTTTATTTGATGTTTGGATGTTTTAGATAAGCTAACTCATAGATGCTGGGACAGGTTCAAGCAGATGTGGTCAGTATTTTAACCGACAAGATAGAGATTTTCACACTGGATATGTTCTCTAAATTGGTCCCCGTCCTCACAAGTCTATTGAGTAGCAGGACAGAGAGGTGAAAAGATCATATTATATTTCGCTTTCGAGCTAGAACGATTCCACGATTTGGCATCTTAATGATTTTTAAACTGTTGTCTTGTTGAATTTGAGATTGTTACATGATTCTGTGCAGGCCGGTACATGTGTCCTTGGAAATGCTCTTGAAGCTTGTAGCAGTGTTCGGTACAGTTATACGCTCAACTGTCTCAGCTCCACGGATTGTTGGCGTTGATCTTCATGCGGATGATAGGTACTCTCTAGTTCTCACGCCTCTCTTAGAACCTCGATTACTTAAATACGTTTATTCTCATTTACCAAGATAAGTAAATGCAGGATACAAATATGCCAAATTTGTTCTGCGGGACTGCACAAGATTCAGAGGATTCTTCCACTTCTCGCAAGGTTAACATTACTAATAATGTTTGTGGATATTATAAATCGAATTCTTTGCTTATTTTTCTTGTTTTTGGCTCTCTTCTTCCTTCTGAATACAGAAGAGGCGGTCTAATAACAAGAAAGGCTCAAGAACTAAACCTAGTCCTTCAAGAACCATAGTCACAGGCAAAACCAACAATGATCATATAACTGCTCCGCAAGTAGTTCTTGTAAATGTACATTAATTGCAAAGAAGCATTTTGTGTCTCTTGCTGCGGGTTTCAAGCTATATGATCTCCCAGAGGAAATACTTGGAAGCTAATTTGGTATATGGTGGTTGTAAATCATTTTTGTTGGCCTGAGTAGCTTCAAATCTTGATTTGTTGTTGTGACTGTTACGTGGAACTGATGTAAGTCTGAGTTTAATTCCTAACTGATGTACTATAATGGGTTTGTGTAGTCTTTCTTATTTTGCCTACAATGTCATTTGTGATAGACTAAATACACACAAAGCAATTGCTTGCAGTATGCAAATTTATCAGTCAGAATATTGTTATGAACTAACACGAAACCAAAAACATGAGTATTTAAGTTAAAACTCACAATAAGCAGCCATAATGATATATATCTTTTACCAATCGCTACGCTACGTATAATGTCATTTTTCTTTATTCTTTTTGGTAAGCAAACGAGGAACACGTTGCGTTTATTACCCTAATTCCTTAACGGGGTAAAAGTATTCCACTTTTGGTTATTCGAAAATAGAAGTCTTAACCTTTTCACCGTTTTGGGGATTTATTTGATCTTTTTACGTAACTAAAGAAATTCCATATACGAAAATATTAACGTCCTGCAGTTACTTCTATTATCACTTGCCAACCATTGAGATAACTTGCAAACTTTGTTCTTGTATATATTTTCCTAATGAACTAAAACATATAAACTCTCCCCATTTGGTAATTAGTCTTTAACGTTTTACCGCTTTTGCCGTTTTGGGATTTCTTCAAACTTCTTACATTTTGTTTATGACATAACTAGATATATACATTTTCACTGGCTAAATGTTTGATGCTACTTTCTATGATGAAATTGTCATATGCTAACGTATAAACAATCGTGGAATAAATGTATAAAACAGACAATAATACGTCGAATAATTCAGACAAGAGTATACCATAGTTTATAAGAGTTTAAATGTATACAAAATTCTAGTGATTTAAACTCCTGACATACTATCTAAACTATATAGATTGTTAGGTTAAATTTGTTAATTTTCTTATGAAATGCGACGAAATATTAATGTAAACTAGTTATGCGTTTCGTGAGATGGAGCTATCAGCCTATCAATGTACTAATTATAAGTAGGATACGCGTAATTAAACTAGTGGTTGCTTATTTATCTTTTGTGAGTGGCTGATTATTTAAGTAAGCAACAATTTGTTCGTTTCGGGCCTTACGGTTTTAGCATTTCTCTACAACAATAAAAAAATTCAACGTAAAATATAAAGATAATAATAAGAATCAAATAAAGATAGTATAAGCTAGCGACAATGCATGTTAACAACATGCTGTTCGGATGTCCAATCACACAGTAGGCCTAAGAGATTAAATTCCACAAGTCAACATATCACAATATGATCGTATGTATTCTAGATACGAACGTAATTTAAGTTTTTGTTCAAAAAAAAAACGTAATTTAAGCAAGCAACAATTTATTTAAGTTTGGTTTATATTTTTTAAGAAATGGAAACCCCCAAAATCAATTGGAAAACCAAAACCTTTGCGTTGATACTGTTAAAAAAAATATAGGGTGAAAGTCATAATCATAATTATACTTCACATTAATAACAGAAGAGCTAATTTGCCGTTTTCGATTTTGTAAAATTAGACCAAACCGAGATCTTAACTATGATATTCCCCTCATTTTGTTTTTACTTATTTGCAAATTTTCATATTACTCTAATTTTATCTTCATTCGTTCCATGATCAAGAGCTAAGGGTATATTAATAGAGAATTAAGGGTTGTCAAAGATTAGGGTTTGCAAAATGTTGAACTTGCGCCGAGTAGCAGCAGGTGGCCTTCATCTGTGGAAGAGAGAGATGAAGATCGGTATGCCCACGAGAATGGCTGCTTCGTTTTCGACAGGCGAGGGAGAAGGTTGATGTTTTGGAGAAGCTGCAATCTTTTACCACTGAGAGCATATATTACATGGTGAGTGAGGAGAAGAAGAAGGGTGTTTCCGTCACCAAGGCCGGTTTCTTCACCTGCGCCAAGCGTCTTGAAGAGGACGGCAAATCCGAATACGCCCTCAAGGTATCCATCAAAGCTAGGGTTTTTTTTTTTCTGTTAAGATTTTTAAGAACGTTTCTCTTTTCTCTTTTTTTTTTTTGTGTAGATCTTTGAGTGGATGGATAAAAAGGAGATGAAATTTTCTCCCTCCCAGCTTGCATTATATGTGGATCTTGTTGGTAAGATTAAAGGCTACGGTTGTGCTAGAGAATGCTTCGAGAAAGCAGACCCAGACTTCGACAAGAACGACCTTCTTGCCAGGAATCGGCATGCTTTCGCCATTCTCTTGCATTGGATGCCAAAACAATCCAATCGAAGGCCCTTACCCAAACCAAGGCCATTACCCAAACCATGGCACGTACCCAGTCCAAGGCCATTACCCATTATTGTAAGGCCATCTGGAAGAATAATTTATGAGAGAATAATTTATGAAGGAACAAGTTATAGAAGAAGAATGGTGTAGGTAGCTAGACATAGTTCTCTCCAAAGAAGTTGCGTTAAAACAAAACACTTGGTGGTGTGTGTGTGTTTTAGTGGAATAACTATCTAAGTTTGGTGTGTTGCTTTCATATGTACTACTATACTCTTTGTTTGCTTCTTTTATTTATTTCTCTTGTCCAAAACATTTTCTTCATGTATTGCTTCTGCTCTAAGCTTCCGAATTCATCTTTTGGAATTTTTACCATCCTTGTCCCATTAATTATGATAAGCTCCTTACCCTACGGTTTTAGGAAACAGGCACTCAAAACCAAAAGACATTTAGAAGCCACACTGGTTGCACAAATGAAGAAGAAGAAGAACAAAAAAAAAACAGATGGTCACTTATATGGCACTCCTCTCTCAATGACGCACGCAATTCTAAAAATAATGGAAGAAAACGCAAAACATGGAAATGCATAATTAAAAATAAATCAATTCTCTTATATATACACTCTCGGTCGCAGAATCCAATTTTGTTTTTCAAATATGGACTTACTAATTTATTTCATTTATTTTTGTCAACCATCTAAAGTAGGATTTTAACATAGGAGTAGGACACGAGTCGCGCGCTAGCTTTTCTAAAGATATTTGTTTTTATATTAATTTATTACTGTTATTTTGTTTGTTTTCCCGATTCCCACTAAAATATCTGTTATTAGCTTTTTCTAAAGTCTAAAGATATTTGTTTTTATATTTATTTATTATTACTTTTATTTTGTTTGTTTTTCCCGATTTCACTAAATATCTGTTATTGAACCCAAAAAAAAAAAAAAGGTTTCGTTCCGTTTCGTTTCGTTTCAATCGATTATTAGAAATTTAATCGTGGGTGGGTTATATATAAATCCCCAGTTATTTGTTTTTGTCTTCCTTCCTCTCATGCAGAGCAAAGAAACTCTTCTTCTCTTCTGTCTCTCTCTCTCTCTCGAGCTGGCTTTTCTCTAAGGTCTCGTCTCTGATTCCTGATTTTCATTCGTTTTTCCCCGTAATTTCTTACAGGGTTCTCTCATATAATTGCTTCTGTAACTAAAGTTTCTAAATTTTTAATCACCACCGGCATTAATTTCATCATTGACCTCTGTCGATTCCATTCTCTCTCTTAAAAACAGAGAGAGAGGTTCGAATTTGAGGATTTCCTATTATGTGTGTGTGTTTTTTGTTCCTTTGCATGTCGATAAATTTGCAATCAACGAGAGCTTTTAAAAATCCTCGTTATTGATAAAACAGTGATTAATTACTCTTTCTTTTAGATCTATACAGTAAACAAAAAAATTCCCTTTTTTTCCTCTTCCTAATAATCTATTTCGTCCTTAATAAAAAAAATCCGTAGCCTTTTCACTTTCTTCGGGCCCAGATGATTCTAGGTGAGCTAAGTAAAACCTGAAAGAAGCCATCTGTTTTTGTTGCTGTTACAAATTTGCCGCTTCAATTTTTCATTGCTGTTTTCCGGGAATAAAAGACTCCACTTTCTTGGCGTTACACATGATGCAATCCATAAAGTTCCAATCTTTAAATAATTGGGTTATCTGGAGCCTCTGAATTTCATTTTCCCCTGTTAAGCTTTGTTTGCTACTCTCTCTCTCGTCTGTGCTTTGTTTAGCGTGAGTATTTTGTCTCTTTGTAACGTTGGTCCTTGTGGATAACTCAGACTGATGATATAAGCAACATGCATGGTCTTGAGATTTAGTGACCAGTAAAGAGTCTGGTTAAGGTGTCTTCTTGTTCTCTCTGTTCTTGGGAGAACACAAAGGCAGGTAAAAAGTCTGATTCTTGAAAAGATTTGAAATTTCTTGCAATCTTAAGTCTTTAGGTTGAATTGGGGTTTGTTTGTTTGTGTTGCAGAGTGATTATGGAACATGGTTTTCCGTCTATGAAGTCGATCAAATCATTGAAGTCACTTGTTAGGAAAAGAAACAATGCTCAAGATGTGGTAAAGCTTTGTTTTTTTCCTTTATAGAACCTCGATAATGTTCAGAGTTATTATGCTGTTTCGTTAACATAATGCTTTTGAGTCTTGCAGAGTAGTAAATCGGGGTGGAAAATGAAGCCCTTTTTGGCTCTCATGTGTGCAGCGCTTTTGATATTTTGGTACAAGACCACAAATATTCACTTCGAACAGACAGAGGTAATCTCTGAACCGATGCTATCGTTTTGATCTCTTTGGATTTGGTGTTTTGATTATTTGATAAGTAAGCTCCTTTTTTTCCCCTACCCTTCAGCTAGAAGATGCAGATTATGCCTTTGACATGGCAAAGGTAACATCTTGATACTATAAATTATCTTGTTTTCTTCATTTGTCAAGCATCACCAGTTTAATCTAAAGGATTGTATCCAGGAATCTGAACCAGTCGATGAGAAATTAGATGGCTTGCCACGTGGTATCATACAGCCTAGATCGGACCTCGAGTTAAAGCCTCTCTGGTCTAGTAGTAGTTTGAGGTCAAAGGTTAGAGCTTTTGCATCAAGAATCGTGGCTTGTATAAACGACTATCTTTCTGTAGCTTGTTGTGATGCTTCTTGTGATTGTTAACCACAGGGTGCCGATATGACTAACCGTAACTTGTTGGCAATACCCGTAGGGATTAGGCAAAAGGGTAACGTCGACGCTATTGTAAAGAAGGTATTGCAAATTTTGGCTGAGGTATTGAACAGAGAGGTTTCTTCTTAATGTAAAAATGAAAAAAAAAGCTCTTGTTTCTCTCAGTTTCTTCCAGCGAATTTCACGGTTGTTCTTTTCCACTACGATGGAAATATGGATAAGTGGTGGGATCTGGAGTGGAGTTCAAAGGCCATACATATAGTTGCACAGAACCAGACTAAATGGTTTTTCATCATTCTCATTCTCTATTTCCACTTGTTCTGCTTCAACTTTGGATAACAAGTTATAACTATGCTTTTTATTATTATATTACAAAGTTTTGTTTAAATGTTCACTTTTGTAACATCGGTTAATCTACTTCTCTCTCTTGGTTTTTTAGGTGGTTTGCGAAGCGATTTCTCCATCCGGATGTTGTATCCATTTATGATTATATATTTCTGTGGGATGAGGATCTTGGAGTAGAGAATTTCACACCAGAGAGGTAAAACACACAGTATTTGCTTTCTGATCTTCTTTACTCTGTTCTTCTACAAGAGATCATGAGCAGAAGTGAGTGTGAAACCATTTTACGCAGGTATTTGAACATAGTTAAATCAGAAGGACTGGAGATATCTCAACCGGCTTTGGACTCGAAGTCTCCTGAAATCCACCATAAAATCACACTCCGTTCTCGAACGAAGAAATTTCACAGGTTCAAACTCTTGACAAGCAGAGTTTTTCATTTGTTTGTGTTTGTTTTCAATGCATTTGGTACTTATTTACAACATGATGCCAAAAAAACACAGGAGAGTTATCATCAACAGAGGCACTAAAAAGTGTTCTAATGCGAGTGAAGATCCTCCTTGCACAGGGTAATCGTTTTGGTGTCCAATGAAGAAATTCTGAGAATTGTTTTGGTATTATAAATTTTGATTGATACATTCTGTTTTGTTGTTTTCTCTGATTTTGTAGGTTTGTTGAAGGAATGGCTCCGGTGTTTTCAAGAGCTGCTTGGTTTTGCACTTGGAATCTTATACAGGTAAACTTTCACTTGCGGTTAATATTCATCTATACAAGTTAAACTAATTGATCCTTTTGCGGTCATTTTTGTAGAATGATTTGGTTCATGGATGGGGAATGGATATGAAGCTCGGGTATTGTGCACAGGTGATCTTGTATATTCTTTATAAATTGGAGTTCTCATTCAAGATCTTTGTGCTACTTATTACCTTACTGAAATGAACAATCTAAGTCCATATTACCTCATCACACATAATTCAACTTTTGTCGATTGTATTGGATTTACGATCGTGGGGTTTAAACATTGTAGGGAGACAGGACGAAGAAGGTAGGAATAGTGGATAGCGAGTATATCTTTCATCAAGGCATTCAAACTTTAGGTGAAACTGTACATCCTGAGAAGAAGGTATACTCTTTTATAGCCGCCTGAGATATAAACAAGTCGTTTTGATTCAGATGAACGAACAATTTTCTGATATATAACTATATATAACCCATTCTTTTAGCCTCTTAACTAAAAGATTCTGACACCTTTATGATTTTGTACTCGGGTCGATATTTCAAGAGACATAGCCATACAACATTTGATTCGAGAACCTCGGTGAGTTAATGTATATCGAATTCCTTTTTTGGTATGTGGTCGATAGATGGAACAACTTTGGCATCATTGTGTTTGCATGGTTTTTGATGAAACAAGTAGATAAGGAGGCAATCGACATGGGAGCTTCAAACTTTTGAAGAAAGATGGAACAGAGCGGTCGAAGAAGACAAGAACTGGATCGATCCAGCGAGCTCGAAGGCGAGGAGTAAGAGTAACAGAAGATTAAGGCGTGGTACTAATACTCACCCTCACCGGGTAAAGCATAAGAGAGCTCAAGAGACTGCTACAGCATAACCCACACAAATAGCAAAATGAAGGATTTTTACACACACACAGGATATTTTCTTTTTGTAATTAGTTAGTATTTTTAAATTTGTTATTATGCTCTTCCTCGAATTAGTGTATGTTTCTCTGAATAAGAAAATCGGATTATTTTCTAAATTTAAAGGAAAGCTTATGTCTATTCTATATTTTCATCTCCTAAATTATTCTTATTGAACCGAAACAAGTGAATAAACCATGAATGAAGAAGATGTGATGCAGACTCAAAGTCAAAGGGGTCACTTTTTCAAACCTACGACTACTTCAATTTGAATTTCTCTATCTCTTTTCTTTAGCTTCTCTATTTGTGATGATGCCTTCACATTTGGAAACTTTGTCATTGTCATTGAGACCTAATTAAAAGCAATTTGATTTTATTTTCAGATATATGTGAAAATAGTAGATGATAATGTGAATTATCAAAAAAGATTTTAGTAATCTTTTTTTTCTAAATGTTGATGATATTGCTTTAAATAAGTTTTGTTTTTGGTCATATCGCTTTAAATAAGTTTAGAATCTCCTTCGGGTTGGATTGAATTAATATGTTTATTTAGTTTGATCAACTAATGAATGGGGAGGTAGAGAAGAAAAGCAATAAACAGTAATCCCATAAATAACAACATTAAAAGTAAAATAATTGAAAAATAAGAAATAGAAAATTTAATACGTTAAAAAAAGAAATTGAAAATTTAATATATATTATATTAATAATTGATTTATTAAAAATGCCTGATTAATAATTTAAAATGCAACAATGTGTTATATATTTAATGTTATTTGTTAATTTGTTCTCTCATCCTGCATTTTTTTTTGTATATACATTAATAAAAAAAAGTAAAGATAATAATCAGAAAATATACACTAGTAAAATAATTCCAAGGTGTTGAAAAATTAAATAAAAAATATTCCGAGATGACGCTGTAAATATGAAGAGTTCGTCTGTATGTGAAATGGATGTATATAAAATTTGTTGTCTCTATCTTTTTCTCCCTTTCAAAAGTTCCAATCCTCGGGGCCATTGTAAAGAACTTAAGATCTCAGATCGATTTCAAGTCTTCAATTGATTTTCTGATTCGAGGTAAGCTTTTTGGTAACCATGGCTGGTCGCTACGATCGGAACCCATTCGACGAAGGAGAAGAAGTCAATCCTTTTGCTGTAAGCGTCTTACTTTTTCTCCACTTTGATTTCACCAGTGAAACTCCGTCGTAATCACCCTATAACGTAGCTTCGTCGAACTGCGTTTTCGAACTTGGTGTATTCGGATCTTATCAGTCTCACTTTAAGCTTTTCGATATTGTTAAGGAACCGATAATCGAATAACCCACTTTTGAGAATGTACTCCAAAAATGTTATAAAAGTTGCAACTTCCTATTGCTGAAACTATGGATTACCGTAATTGAACGCTTCATGGGTTATATCGTGGATGTTAGATCGCTTTAGGGTTGTTCTCAGGTTCTTCATTATCCCTGTAGAGTGATTTCTGGCTATGTGTTCCTCGTTGATTCTGCAGACCATTGTGGTGCCTAATGATTGTTAATTTGTCTACATTCTTAGAATCCCGGGAGTGTACCCGCTGCTTCGAATTCCAGACTATCGCCTTTGCCTCCGGAACCTGCTGGCTTTGGCTATGGTCGCACCGTTGACATTCCTCTTGACAGACCGGGGTCTGGTGCACAGGTTCGATTCAAGATGGAGTATGTATTATACATTTTGTGATCAGGTGGGTATTTATTCTTTCATTGATGGAATACAACAGGATTTGAAGAAGAAAGAGAAGGAGCTCCAAGCCAAAGAAGCTGAGCTAAGACGGCGAGAGCAGGTATCATCAACTCACTAAGATTACTCAAAACTTAAACTCACATTTTGCTGAAGTGCATCTTTTGAAGATTAAGCCTTTGAAAGTATTTTTTTGTGTATCTTCCCCTTTTTTCAGTAGATGATTTATCTTGTTTCTCTGTAGGATCTTAAACGTAAAGAGGATGCTGCTGCACGAGGTACATGTCTTTTAACGTTTACGTGAAAAACTACCTCTTTTCAGCACCTGTTGCAATACTGTTGTAACCTAGAGAATTTGAATTTCTGTGTTAACTGTAATCTCTTATATGCGTCTCTATCGATTGATTTTATGTTCCTGTAGAAAGTCATCTAATTTGCTATTATATTACCTTTCTTTGTAGCCGGGATTGTTATCGAGGTGAAAAACTGGCCGCCCTTGTTCCCACTTATCCACCATGACATTGCAAATGAAATTCCGGTTCGTCTCCAAAGGCTACAGTATATTGCATTTGCAACATATTTGGGTACGTTAACAGAGCCTTGTTCGGAGAGTGGCGCTCTTATTATTGCTTAAAGTAAGAAAATTGCAAGTTGGTGAGATTTTTACTTGTGTGTGTCCATGTCCAACAGGGTTGGTTCTTGCACTTTTCTGGAATATCATCGCCGTTACTACAGCTTGGATCAAAGGAGAAGGTCCCTTCTTGTTCTCTCACTTTCCCTTTCCGCTGACCATTACTTCTGTAATGGGCCTTTCTTACAGCCTTGACTTTGTTTATTTTCTTCAGGAGTGACGATTTGGCTTCTCGCTCTTATTTACTTCATCTCGGGTGTCCCAGGAGGCTATGTGTTGTGGTATCGGCCTCTCTACCGTGCCTTCAGGTTCTTAATTCCCATTCCTAGTCATTAAAAAACGCAGTGTACTAATGCAGGAAACGTGTTCAATATATTAGATTGTCTGCATCCTCTTACTCACTTCTTCATTTGTGTTGGATTCCTGCAGAAATGATAGCGCATTGAGCTTTGGATGGTTTTTCTTGTTCTACATGGTGAATCCCTAAGTGTTTTTTATTTCCTGCTGGTTATAATGGCAGATCTTTTCTTGTTTTGCATACTTCTGACACCTTCCTCTCTGGCCACAGCTCCACATACTTTTCTGCGTCTTTGCTGCAGTTGCTCCTCCTGTTGTCTTCAAAGGAAAATCACTTGCGTAAGTTTCCTCCATCTAGGCTTAACACAGTTAGTAGTTTTGCGTATAGGCATATCCAGCCTGTTATCAGTTATTTGACTGGTCTTCAAATTTACAGGGGCATATTACCTGCAATAGATGTGTTGAGCGATCAGGCGTTGGTCGGAGTAAGCTCTTTGTATCCTTGATGAGCTCTTCTGATTGTGTCGTTTTTCATTTCCTCCAAAGTTTCTGCAACCAATAGATCTTTGTCTGATCATTGCTTTCTTGATTTGCCTTATCAACAGATCTTCTACTTCATCGGGTTTGCGTTTTTCTGCCTTGAATCAGTGGTCAGCATCTGGGTTATTCAGGTCTCTTTCCCAGTCTCTCTAATCTCTGTGTTGATACACTTGCCGAAGCAAAACTCCGTTTAACGTTTGAAATGGCCGATTCTATATGTGCAGCAAGTATACATGTACTTCCGAGGAAGCGGGAAAGCGGATGAGATGAAAAGAGATGCTGCAAGAGGAGCCATGAGAGCTGCCATATGATGCAATGTTTGACATCATCCGTTGTGATCTTCTTCAGTTGTCATCTTAGCTTCGCTGATAGATTTTGGCTTGAGCTTTTTTGTTTGTTTACATCAAGTGGTCTTTAAAGTAAGTCAAAACTAAAAAGTAAAAGCTCATGTATATTTTTGTGTTTGTTCAAATTGTCTTCTGATTTCTTACTCTCTCAGAAAGAATCTCTTTAGTCTGGTTGTAAAATCGCATTTTTCAGATGCAATGCTTTTTAAAAGAATGCCTAATCTTTTCGCAACTTTAAAAAAATAAAATAAAGTATAAGATATAGTTTCATACTACTGTTCCTAACGTTTGTACAACCATTAGATGGCTCATGACTATCTAGACTTACGTCCCTACTTATTTTCTCACCTGGATTTTGTTAATTCTGGTCTACAAATTATGATGAAGCATTTTATATATGTAACTTTCGGTGAATGCATCGAATAACGAAAAAAAATATTATTAAACATGTAAGCTTTCTTTGGTTTTAGGCACGTGAATTTAGTGCCAAAATGACATTTTAATCATTAAATCATAAAGACTGTCAGAATCTTGTTTTGTCCCTTTATTAGAATGACTAATCTACCCTTACTGATGGGTATAATTTTTTATTAGTCTTTTATCCTAGTGGGGGGTATAGGGAATGATAAGTTGGTGGCCACTTTAAAGTAAAGCTACATAATTTGTCATAGTTAATTATCAATTACAACAAGCTTATCGACATGCAATGTACCTGGATAGAGTCTATCCATTATTCCTTTTAGATTATAATTATAATTTACCCACTCACAAAGCAATCAAAATGCTAACCAAGCTTCGTTATAGCCACCGTATATATGAATAAAAACTAACCGATAATTAAATTTACTGTTATTTTACTTACACTTTGATGACATGAACCAAGAAATAGTTAAGAACACATATTTAGTTTATATATAAAAATTAAAGTGATACCCTGAAGTTTATCTGTAAAACATTATTTTTAGAATGTCTTCCTTCGTTAAAAATCTTAAGAACCATAAGTTGATCAAAATAAAAACCCCATTTAAATCAAAATCTAGTTTCGTTTGAATTTAATTAATAAAGTAACATTTGGGGGCAAAAGCGTCTAAGTTGATGACGAATAAAGAAATGGGTGGTGAAGCCTGTAATATTAGTCAAAAGCGAGGTTATATTGGAGGGCATTTTGAAAATTATATAAGACCTATGAGGTTGTAACTTGTAGCAAATCAAACACATTCTTGTTTTTTCAGTTTACTCTCCACTTCAGTTTCTCTACTTTCCCATTGAGATTTCTAATCTTTGATTGATTCCGATAAGCAGAAAATGGAAAGGGGACAAAAAGTCAGCATGATCAACGGTGCAGATGGAACTAGAAGAGGTGGTAGAGAACACAGTAGCCGTCCGATCCCGAAGAGAGGGCAGGTCAAAGTTGGGATCTTGTTGGGCTTTGCTAACTCTTTTGCTTCCATCTTTAACTCCACGAGAAACTTCCATGGACCCTAAATTCAATCTGCTGCTCCTCATTTCCCATATTTATTTTTCAGAATTATTTCAGTGGTTTTACAGTATTAGAGTTAGATTTCTTGTTTAAGAGTGGTTATCTTGTTTAGTCTCTAGGTTGTTGAGTTCGTTTTCATTTTACCTTTGTTTTTTTTTTTTCCATGTACAAATCCTATGTAGGTCCACTTGATAAATAGCTATATTTTCTACTTTTCCTTTCGATTTCTTATTTATTTTTATGAGTTTTGATATCTTGCAAGTTCGTCCCATTTGAAGATAAACTATCAACTTGGTTGTCTTGAAATACGAGTAAACGTTTTAATAGTTAATCCAAATTTTAAGAACCATAAATATATAAAATAAATAATATTACAGAAATCGCATACGATCTAATCCTAAGCACTTGTATTCAAATAATTAGTACGTCCGCAGGCATTATCTGTCAAATAGATATACTAACAAAAGAATGGTTCGATCAGTCTTATTGAATTTTGTGAATTAACGAAATAATCTCCTAAACAAATGCTTTGATGGTCCGGTCTGGTCTAGACGGGTTCAAGTGGCAGCAACATCAGCATGAGTATCACTAAAAATCCGGTTTAGTATCATGGCTAATCTCACTCCTCCCTGAACAATCCTCTTCATCACTATTGGCATCCTTGTATTGAAATACTCCTCTGCAACAATTATCAACGGAAAATCATAATTATTTACTTTTATTATTAAACTATATATTAGTCATATATCCCATACAAAAATGAGTGGCCATTGTTATTCAGATCAACAGACAAATCTTCCTAACCCATTGAATCATATCACATGTCTCTTAAATATCCCGGTTCAAAGATAAAAAAAACTTGAAAATCTGAATTTGGTTAATTCGGTTAGTTGGCTTTAATTAGTTCTTTTTAGATTACTTTTTATAGTAAAAACAAAACAAGCAAAAAAGAAGACTACTTTGTTTGCGTACAAGAAAGAGAAGAAGCAAACAATATGTACCTGATAAGGTTTCACCGGACTTCACGCCTTCGTAGCCCCATTTACAAGCTAACTGTATACTCTCCGACGCATATCTGCAAATACAATTTGTTTATTTTTCAATTTCTTTCTAGACCTTGTTTTTTTGTTAACTTGAACCGATTTTCAATCCAAATTATTCCAAACTTACTTGTGTGAACAAGCGATGAGATCGTTGCATTCTGTCCATGAAGATAGGTCGTCCTGCCATAATCCCTATAATATATGATAAACCATTATATATGTAACTCACCCGTAAAAAAGCGAAACAATATGTGAAAATTATAGTAACTTATAACTATATGAGTAAAAAATGTTTATTACATTGGTGATGTTCTTCTCAAGATCCTCTTGGAGAAGATCCACGTCCTTGTCGTAGTATTCTTTTAGAGCCGTGAGAATAATCTCTCTGTCCCATACCTTCACATTTTTATTTCATTAAGTAATCCGTTTTTTCGTTGTGAAATTCTTCGAAGTTGTTAGAGTAAAAAATCAAAAAAGCTTACATGATGTAAATTTGATTTGTGTTTGTACCAACGTAAATCTATCGTGTTTCCTCCTTCATCACTTGTGAATCCGACATGCATCGGCTTTTTTTAAGGAAAAAAATAATAATAATCATGTTACAAACAAACTAAAATCAGATATCTGACAGGAAAGTATAACTTTATTAATGTGGAATGATGATAAGGAATCAAACCTGATGAATATCTCCCATGAAATGCGACAAGAACAAAAGGGCTTCGGTCATGTTATCTACGAAATTAAAGAAGTGGAACGTGTTATTAAAATAACGCAATCTCCTCTATAGAGAGACTTAAGTAACAAACACATCAAGAACCAAATATGGAGTTAAAATTTGTATATCGTTATTATAGTAAATAAATAAAAAGGATCACGTACATCGACGATCAGATGTTCCTTCACCGTAATGCTGAAGCTGAGACGTGAAATTCTGGATTGCTCCATCTACACACATATCCTTTAACCCATGTTGATCATGACAGTCCCCTGTTTATTTATTATGTATTAACATTTTCACAAAAAAAATTCGTAAAAGGAAAAGATGGCGTATAAGATTGAATTATAGTTAACTACTTTTGAAAGCAATCCGGTTCTAGTTTTCGTTGACCTTGAGTTTTGGTTCACTCGATTCGGTTCAAGAGAAATAGAACCGAATTGTATGTAGTCAACTAAAATGTTTTGGGTTATGGACTTAGGACTTACTGGAGTATTGGTAAGAGCAGGCTTGGTCGGGAGTGTCGATGTAATGGAGAGAGCTGGTCCAACGGTACTTGTACCAATGTCGGATTTGGTCAGGCCACACACACAATGCCGATAAATCTCCTTTCACGTAATCCGGTAACAGATTCTCTACGACATGTGCCGGTCCTGCTTCTAAAAGACTCTGTTCACACCACAGAAACACACACACACACACAAGAGCTTTTGTGTTAGCAAAGTTAATATCTATGTCATTACCAGCTCTATTAAGTCCTATTATCCGCTCCAAATTGACTAACAAAAGACAATAACCAAAATACTTGATCCAAAAACAACTAGATCATCAACTTACTTGAGCAATCCGGCATGTAAGAATATGACCTTCTTTACTCCAACTTTGGACTGGAGAAACCGAACACAAAACCAATACACCAAATACAAGAATCAACCTCGTGGTTGATCTAAAAGCCGGTGCCATATCTTCAAACTTCAGTATTGAATGATCTCTTCTTGTGACCTCTTTTCTAACAACAACTTGATCTTGCAAACATAACATACAGATACTTATTATAAATATAAAGATAAGAATGGACTTACAAGTAACATATAGGATGTTAAGTTTGTGTGCAAGCAAGACATTGCGAGTCTCATACGTTCCTCTCATAAAGTTGACAATAGGAACACGAGATATTTCATTAAGATAAAGAGTCGTTTATTTTATTAGTTAAACCAACCATATACTAATATACATCATTTGTAACAGCATCTTTCCTGCGTGTCATATTTATGCAAAACGTTTGCGTCTTTTTTATTTCACTTTTATAGTTTTACTATAGAAAAGGAGTGTCAATATGTCATTTCATTTGTTTAATTGACAAAAAAAAAAAAAAAAAAAAAAAACCACTGAACATAATTATCAAATTACTAAGGTCAAGTTGGTATCGCAAACAAGTAACAACACCTTGTAATACTCTCACTATGGCCCTATTGTGTTTCTGTTTAATCTTTTAAAATCCAAACCGAAACCAAACCAAAATTTTAACGGAACAATAAAAGCAGTTGGAGCGTAAAATAAGAAGGGAAAAAATATTCTTAACCATAAATTCCTTTTTATCGGATTTCTTTTCTCCGGTCAGTGTCATGTAAAAACGACGAATGACTTTTTAACCGGTCAATGAAGAACAGCTTTTGGTCCCTTTTCTTAATCAACAAATGTTCACTATTGAAGAATCGTTCCATCACAATACGGTGAAGTTCGCTACTTGAATCGTCTTCTTCGATACTCACCCGCTTGTTTCAATCAGGTTTGTCCTTCTCTGCTTCTTCGTCTACGCTCATCTCTGCAAATTCAATGTCACAAAAAGATTCGATTTTGGTGACCCTGAATAGCTTCAGTGTAATGGGTTTCTGCGAATTTAACATAATCTCTGCGAATACCTACTCCTTTTAGCCTGGTTCAGTTGTGTGTCTTCGTTTGATTTGGAATCTCTTGGCTCGTTCATGAATGATTTGATTCTGGGTTTTCTATAGTATAAGATCCATGACCTAATTTTGATTCCTCCTTCTTCAACACTCTCTGCTATCTATATGAACTGTATGCCAAACCAATGAGCTTAATAGTTATTAGTTATTCACTTGGGTGTTCCCTAAATTTTCTATACAAGGGATCATGAAGTGATTGAGAACTAGTGAGTTTCTGATCAAGTATGGTGATCGTGCTAGCTGCTAATTCTCATTGGAATCATTCACGAGAAGTAGTCACTTAACTTGTTTCATTTGATGCAGAATGATAGACCTGTCCACTCTATCTCCTGCGGAGATCACGGTGATGGGATCCGTGTTCTGCGTCTTGCTCTCGATGCACTTCACGATGCAGCTCATATCCCAGCATCTGTTTTACTGGAAGAACCCTAAAGAGCAGAAAGCCATTTTAATCATTATACTCATGGCTCCTGTTTACGCTATCAACTCTTTTGTGGGCTTGCTAGATGCTAAAGGAAGCAAACCGTTCTTCATGTTTCTAGACGTCGTTAAGGATTGCTATGAGGCACTTGTAGGTTTCTAGATTCTCTCATTGACTCTCTTTCTCTTCTCTCTGGTTATTTCTTGATTTGTTTTGTTGCTCTGTTTGTTTCAGGTCATTGCTAAATTCTTGGCTTTGATGTATAGTTACCTGAACATATCGATGAGCGAACGGATTATCCCGGATGAGATCAAAGGGAGAGAAATCCACCATGCGTTTCCAATGACTCTGTTTGTGCCACGGACCACACATCTGGATCACCACACACTGAAACAGCTCAAGCAATGGACATGGCAGTTTTGTGTTATCCGCCCACTGTGTTCCGTCTTGATGATAACGCTACAGCTCCTCGGCATTTATCCTCCGTGGTTGAGCTGGATTTTCACCGCCGTTCTAAACGTTTCGGTATCCCTGGCTTTGTATTCTCTGGTGAAATTCTACCATGTGTTTGCCAAAGAGTTGGAACCTCATAAGCCGCTCACAAAGTTCATGTGCGTCAAAGGGATTGTCTTCTTCTGCTTTTGGCAGGTAAATACATCGTTTCTAAGTGTTTCTGATGAGAAAAGCAATCAAAATTGCTCTTCCTTCTGATGATGATAAAGACAATTTGGAAGAAAAGAGCTTTCTGGTTTGCATCTTATGGTAGGACATCAGTCAGAAATGGTGTAGCGAACCAAAACCATATTGAACTCGTTGATTGGTCGCTGTGACAAAGTCTCTCTCGTCTTTATTAGATACTTAGGAGCATCACTTGCATTTGGTCAAGTAATTGAACATTCTGAAAGTTTAAAGCGTTCATGTCTTCTGCGCATTGTTCCTTTTAGTAATCTTGGGAATAAACTGTATGTGTGTTGTGCAGGGCGTAGTGCTGGAGGTATTGGTGGGATTGGGAGTAATAAAGTCGCATCATTTCTGGTTGGAGGTGGAGCAGCTTGAAGAAGCTCTGCAAAACGTGCTTGTGTGTCTTGAGATGATCGTCTTCTCCGTTATGCAGCAATACGCTTTCCACGTTGCTCCTTACAGTGGAGAAACCGAAGCTAAGATGAGAATGAACAGGAGGGATTGATTCTGAGAGAGGAGTCTCTCTTTTTTTTTCTAAATTTAGACCAGAGAAGATCTTTGCTTTCTATTTTGGTTGTTACTTGTTAATGTGAATGTTATTGGCGTTCTGTTACGAATAGTCGAATACCATGGCCCATGGGAATAGAAATGTATCTTTTTATTTCTCATTCTGAGAAAGAAAGCGAATGATAATTAAGAAAATTATATTATTTTTGTAATGATTATTTTCAACATCCCGTTGATTTTTCATATATTTGTAAGTCCCTAATTATATAGAAAACTCTTAATTGCCGATAATGACAAAACACAACAATACAGAATTCTAACACGTTAAGAGGAAAATATCTACTCAACTACAGTATATATATATATGGGTGGAAAATATCTTCCACATATGTCATATCAATATGGAAACATTTTACTTTTTGTCATTATTGTAAAGGTGTGTGTTTTTATTACGATATAAATTTCAATTATCTTTCTGTGAATCATCTCAACATCAATTATGCCTAACATACTGTATTGTGTTTGTGTGTGATTTAACCAATTACACAAAAATATATAGAAAAATATCTATTTAATGACTTTACATCGTCAACGTAAATGAAATATGGAAGATACTACTACAACCACTAACCAGCCTTGCCCAATCAAATACCAATAGAGAGAATTTTGTTGATCTGTGACTTTCTACATTTGTCACTTCCTTCTTTTTGTTCGTTTGTAAAGAAAGAAAAATGTAATCAAAATTAGAAAGACAAAACAAAAACATACTCCATAATTACTAAAACGAAAGACCACGACGAGCCAGTACTTCTTTGTCCTGTCTCATGGACTCGAACCTCTCGTTGTTGCATTTGTTAATAAACGCTTCTGCTCTTCGATTCAGCTCATCTCGGCTCCGCGACACCGCCGGTGACAGGTAATAGTTGGTTCTGTCACCAAGCGTCTCCGATTTCTTCAAACCGCCTGATTGTTTTGTCTTGTTCGAATCGCCGACGCCGATTCCGAACGTGTCGGGTCTCCGGTAGTAGCTAGTCAACGGCTTCCCTTCCGTTATCATCTTCCACGTACTCTCCAGCGTCTCTTGCTTCTTTGGCTTCGCCACTCTCAACGCTCTCAAAGAATTTCGCTCTGAAAATTACGAATTTACCCTCCGTTAGTAACAGTGTTTGAAACATATCTAACTTGTATGACGTCACTTTCTTCCTAAATTTTTAAATAATTGTTTCTTAAAAAATACAAAAATATCTAACCTGCTGTGGTCTTGACCGCTTTACGTTGGCCGATCCTTGCCGAAACCAGAGGCTTCTCAACCGGAGTCAGATTTTCCGATTTGGCCACCACCGTTAAACACATCTTCTCCTCCTCTACCTTAGCCGCTGCTTCTGCTAGCCTTTCCGTTACTATCTCCGGTATTTCCTTCTCCTCAACGGTGATCTTCGACGGCGGAGTTGCGACGACGTAACTGAAATCTTCATCTTTCGTCTCCGACCGCCGTGGAGGAGATCGGTGGACGTTGTGCTCAGTCTGAAACTTGTAGTCACCTCCGTATGATAAAACCTCGTAGTCTTTGCCGTCGTTGCTGGCGATATTCCGGTAATACCTGGAAGACACCCCGATAACGACAATGATGGCGTTGGTGATGACGTAGAGATACGGCGGTTTCAGCCACGAGAGAAAAGAACTCAAAAGGATCGGACCTCTAGAGAAATCTACTGCTACAGCAGGAACAATGAGTTTTAGATGCATAGCCATGGCCACGAAGCCAGTGGAGATTAGAACCGGTTTTATCCACGACGCCATTTTTTTCCGACTCAGTCACTATCTCTCTCTCTCTCTCTTTGGATTTATTGAGTGTTGTATACTTGTATTGTTGTCACGCTCTTAGCTGAGATATTCCTTCGATTTATATAGGGAGGGGACTAATGGGATATAGCTAATATATACCGTTGGATCTAAGATTAGGTAGATGAACGGTCAGGATTGGTGGATATTAGGTGCATCCCTTATACAACAAAACAGTAGTAGAGAATAAACTTTTTTTTAATTGTTTCTGTCTTATTGATACGTAAACAGAACTTCACGTGTCCACACTCTTATCTCTAAATTTTCATCATTACAAGTTCGATTTTATTCTCTTATTTTTACGTCAAATAAAAATTCTCTTATTAGTCAACCTTGTATGAGTGTATGACCATCTCTAATTCCTTATTTTTGTTTCCAATCCTTGCGCCCACGCTTTGGCCACGTCTTTATAGCCGTAGATCGTCTATATGCTAACTGAAAAAACAAAACACATATTTGAAATTATGTATTGGTCGACAAAGAATAAGAACATGTAATTTTTTATAAGTTATTTTATTATTGAACTGAAGTTATATATTCTTATGTTCTATGATAAGTGAAAGTGATGATCTATTGGATGTACACAAAATATCTAATACAAATATATAATACTGTTCTTTTAATAAGTATTAGAAACTGATTGGTCAAAAAAAAAAAGTATTAGAAACAATAATATTTTTTGGTCGTTCTATGTATGGATCGCAAACAAATAAGGGGAACGAATAATATAATACCTTGGCATTGACAAAGTATTGGCTTAAACTTCACTTGATAATATTAAATTTAGAGGGTATATAACCTAATTTGGTTAACGGTAAGATTTTACAAAAAATGTCGTTCTTATCTTTATAGAATTTTATCCATTTCTTCTGTGTATTTGTCTAGAAATATTATTAATCATTAATATAATTAGTAACACCTACCACAAAACAACTTGGTTCTTAAATAATAACGCACGTACGTATCATTCCTTTTTTATTAGTATGATATATATTTATCCTTTTGGTAAAATTCATATGACACTGGATTAAAATGAAAAAGATTTCATAACGAAATCCTTGCATCGATTTCGTTATGACGTTATCCCGGAAGACTGAAACCCACTGAATATATTGTCTTCGTCTTAACCAGAATCACGAGATTCAAACACACAATCACACACAGTATATATGCTCCTCTGTCATTTGCATCAAAGGCAACAATACAGCCTTGAGGTAAGAGAACGCGAGTACTGTTTAATTAGCCAAAACGGATCTTTGATACTCATGCTCACTGTTGAATCTTAGCTACAAACTTCTTTGAAAGCCAGACCCTTAATTTGATTCCGTTTGTTGTTTATCCATTGTACTATCTATATGCATGTTGTGTTTAAGAATATTAGACGTGTGTGCTGCATGTATTGTAAACTAAAATGAATATGAATATATTATGAATGATGATACAGAATTTTTTTTAATGAATACATACAAAAAAAACGTAAAGATATATGTTATTATGTATATCTGAGTATGAATAAAAGAGTGATGTTTTATATATTAAAATACTATATCCTCAAAGAGTTTTTTTGTGGGTTGTCGACAGTATGTATCCTTAAGAGTTAAGCAGTAAGAACGAGCCAAGGTAAACGTCAATTCTCCAATTGTCACATATTTGACCTCGACTCGTCTCAAGTGGCTACCCACTCTTTTCTTTGTCGACCATTATATCAATTACGAAAATAAAACTCCTGCTCCCTCAAACCACATATTCCTAGTTTCTTTCATAAAATATCTAGAGAAGCTGTTTTCGTTAAATATTTTATGGATGAATTTTCAAAATAAATAGCATGAAAGTAGATTTGCTTTTCTACGATTTACAAACACTATCTGAAACATTTCGATGATGATATAAACGATGATATTCATTTTAACCGCACAACTAAATTTTGGTCAAACACGTTACAGTATATGAAAGCTCTTTTTATTGTTTCTGGTTTTACTCAAATGAATAAATCAATGATTAGTGGTTGAATGAAAATCGTTTCATTGATTTTATATATTAGTTTTGTGTATAGGTTATAAAGAAATTTTCCTGACAAGGAAAAAAATAATACATGTATAACATCCTCGAATAGTTCTAAATCTTTGGTTGGTGTGGATGTTTCTTCTTGGATCCTATTTGGATTTGACAACCTAAATTTTGAAATATCTAAACGAGACACTTTTCGTTAAATACTATCGCCAATTGGCCATTGTCACTTAGAGAAAACTATTCATCAAAATTATCATTGGCGTAGATATGGATTTATATTAATTATTTTGGGTTCATTCATTTGTAATAAGAATTTTTTATAGTTAATACCAAAAACCGAGATATTTTTGGATTATAACATAAAAAGAGTTTATTAGAGTTAATAATTAACCTTTTTGTGATGTTAGTGACGAATTATGACAATAAGAATTTTCAAAAGCGATTATTGACTATTAATCACAATAACATGTGCCCATAATTCTATTTGATTCACATCTCAACCAATACAAGAAGCAGTGAGAAGTTACGTTATTTGCTTATATTACCGACATAAAAAAGAAAAGGCAAATGAAACTTCGTCGAAATACAGAAAACGACACCCATTTCTAACTGCCCTGTGTAGCTGTGGTGTGTTGAGAGTGAGACGTGAGTTTGTATGACGTTCTTTCATCCGACCGTTAGATTTCACGGCGTTAAGAATCAAAGCTCTTATAGTCTTTTATAGGAGACCTGCCCATAGTTAAACGACCAATGCCACGTCTGATAAGAATGTTTCATTTATATACTTACTAAATTTTGGGTGCTTGTGCAACGTTTCCCTTTTTTTTTTTTTTTTTTTTGACCAATGGCTTTCTCGTATGCTTGTAACGTTTCCCTTTTTGCTTGCTCATCTCTAGCATTTTCGATATAATTCTCTCTAATTGGTGTTTTAAGCTGTAACAAAAAGGAAAAGCCATTCTTCTAGACTGCCTTGATTGTTTGTGTTTAGTGAATGTATTCGCCAATTTAATTCACGCCCTTATTAGAAAATTCAGCAAAATTTTGCTGCTCATTGTAAACGCAATCGTCAAATCGAGAGAGAAGGAAATCTCTACCGTTTGCATTTACAGTTTGCAAAATCTTTTATGAAAAAACGCAAAGGTTTGACCAAAAAAAAAGAAAAAACAAAAGCAAAGATGCTTAACATTTAACAAATGTTTTCTCCTGATCTTTTTTTCCTCTCAGATCAATCTAAACACAAACACAAAATTGTGTTCGAAGTAATCTAGGCTAGAAACACTACAAACTTGAATCATAATTGTTGTTGCCAATTAAATGAGACTTAAATATAGTAATTGTATGTTGTTATTTTTGTTTTTAGTGAACATTGTTTTCTATGTTGTTACCCGCAAAATCTGAATTGCCAACCAGAAGCTCAAAATGATCTTATTGGAAATTTATCGATGAGTACAATCAAAAAGGTATGGTTTTGGGGTCATCCTACAATTATATTATATATATATGTAAAGAAATGAGACTTAATAATAGTAACATTCTATGTTGCTATCCGCAAAATATGAATTAACTCTGCTTGAAGGATTTAGTTTTCCTCACAAGCACAAGATGATCTTATTGGAAATTTATCCACATCGTCAAGAAAATTAGACATTTCTTAATAATACACATCGTTATCATTTGTGACTTTTTCTTATTGCTCTTTTGATTCATTTCTTGCTGTGAATACCAAAAAAAAACAATGACAGTCAAAATAGTAAAAAAAAACTAAAAACGATTAATAATTAAGACAAATCTTTGTCCAATCTCATCGACTCGAGCCTCTCTTCCTTACACTTCTTAATAAACGCTTCTACTCTTCGATTCAGCTCATCCCGACTCGGCGACATCTCTTTCTTCATCTTCACCGGCGTCGTCACCGTCGGAGGCTTTTGGTAATTAGTCATGTCCCTAAACGTCACCGCTTTCCTCAATGCAGGTTGTGTCTCGCCGGCGCCGGCGCCAAGTACAAACGTGTCGGATCTCCGGTATTGGCTTGTCAACGACGTTGACTTTCCTTCATCCGTTATTATCTTCCACGTGTTCTCCAGCGTCGTCTCGTACCGCTTCGGTTTTGCCACTCTCAACGCCTTCCTTTTTTTACCGCCTGCAAAAAATATTATTAACCACGACTTGAAATTACAAACTTACCCTTCAGCAGAGTGTTTGAGATTCAAAATAATATCTAAAACTAGCCGTTACATTCAATGACGTCAGTTTTCTCTCCCTCAATTTAATATTCTAAAATTAAAATCTCAATAAGTGACGAGTCACTCTCCCCAGTACCTTTTGGACTCGCTTTGACCGGTTTCCGTTGGCCGGATCTATCAGTAACCGGAGGCTTCTCGGCCGGAGATAGATTCTCCGATTCTTCAATCACCGGCGGCGCTTGATGCAGCTCCGATGTCAACACCACAGACTCATCTCCACCGTTGATCAATCCTGAAATCTCATCCTCCTCCTCCTCCTCCTCTTTCTCTTCATAAACAACCTCCGATCTATCAACCTCCGCAACGACGATCGGCGGCGGGAATGTGGCCACGAAATCCGCATCCAGATCCACGTCCTTAACCTCCAGCCATCTTGGTGAACTCTCGTCGTCTTCGCCACCGTGATAACTGGAAGAAGCTACAATGATGGTAATTATGACGTTGATGACGACGAAGAGGTACGGTGGTTTCAGCCACGAGAGAAAGGAGCTCCAAAGGATCGGAGTGAGCGATAAGAAGAGATCTAATGCGATAGGAACAGAGGCTTTTAGAAACAGAGCCATGACAGTGATTCCCGTTGAGATCAGCACCGCCTTTATGGTCGACGATACCATTTTTTTTCCGATTTGGTCCTCTCGTGATCTATTGACTGTTGATTTATATAGCTGGAGGCTCCACCATGGAGCTGAATAGCTATGTGATGATTTCATATAAACCGTTGGATGTAAGAATAGGAAGATGGACGGTTGAGATTTATTAAGCCAACACGATTCACTAAGACGTGGCCTGCGTTACTGGCACGTGAGTTTTTGCGAACGTGTAGCCGCTGGTCCCAAAAAAGAAAGACACGTTCAAGTCTGTGTAATATCCAAAAAAGAAGTACTAATAATACTACATGAAAGAAAAAAAATCATTGTAAAAAAAAGCAATGCCTTATAATTTGGTTTGGTTTTTCAATAGGTTCACACTTCACACATTGTGTGACCACGTGGAAGTTTAACCTTATCTTACTCTCAACCAATATATCTCACTTTCAATCGTAAAGGAAAAACCGAAAGGTTGTTTTCCAATCCGAAAGATATGCAAACGTACGTACGTATCTGCTGCGATAAACAATAATTTATTTATATATAAAGTTTTTGTTTGTTTATCCCGACATCAACTGTTGTTATCAACACTGGACTAGCACCATATTCCGCATGACAGTCTAAAAACTATATCGTCGATTTTAATTACTTTCAAATTGTATTTTGTAATTTGGCGTGCGATGTTTTCAGCAAACAAGAGTTAACTCCCGCAACTTATCCTTGAGCGAGTAGCAATTCGCAAGTTTGATTAGGACGTCACCTTTTACGACGGTCGTTAGCGCTAACGGTTAAAGAGTCAGAGCTATTCGGTGGAAAATCAACGAATATCTAAAGAGGTTTTAACACATGTCCTGCTTGTGGTCGTGTGACAGCTGCAATATCGCGCCAGGATTAGCGATTTATCTGAATCTAAAGAAGTTTCGCTACTGAGCACCGTCTGTTCTCTGTCTCATGACTTCTGACTTACGAACCACAATAGACCACGAGGTCGCATAAATACGTGAACGTGGCAATTAGTTCCAAACGTGTTGACCTTCGATTATATGAATTAATTCGTAAGTAGGAGACAAGAAGATGATTAAAAATGTTGGTAACTGATCTTTGACTATTGTGTTACATCATACATGTAAAGAAGAGACAGAAAATAAAAACAAGAATGATTTTAATAACCGGTTAATTCGGTACAGCGCAATTCTAACTTCGATTAATGATATATTTTTCGAATTGCCAACCAAATAAGAAACTTTTGGAGAAAAAAAGATGCAGAAATAGAAGATTTTTTTACAAAAAAAAACACATTTGAAGACGTGAGGTAACTAATTTACTTCTAAACAAAATGTTTTTCTTTTTCACCAAAAAAAATCTTCTCCTTTCTAGTCTCTGAACATTACAAACTTGATTGATAGATGTGCTTCTTACTACAAGACTTTAACATATTCTGATTGTTACCCGCATCAAACGATCCAAATGCTTTGAGGATTCGAACCATCATAAGCTCCAAAAAGCATCTCCGCTTTCGCTATAGAGGACTCGACACAAGTCTCTATAACTACCGCGAAGTCTTGATTCCTCTTGCTTGTTTCTTCTTGTCTCTTTTCTTCATAATTTTTGTGCTTGACCTGTGCTTTCGGTTCTGCTTCGAGGGTTTGGCTTTCCTCACAGGCACAGGCTGTTTTGCGGAAGCTTTGGCCGTGGAACCAGATTCTGTTGATTGGCTCTTCTCCCTGCGAACAGGCTCGTCCTCTTCACGAGATATCTCGCTTGTTGTCACTGTTACTTTCAGCTCCCCTGTATCATACATTGTCGTCCCTTTCATCCACAACAAAACAAACACAGCAAATATCAGAACATGGCCAGGCAAAGCATAAAATCATGCCAAGGCAAACGCATTCAATGGAGAAAAAGACACTCAATAATGCTTATAATGCAACTTCTCAATTCCAATCAAATTCGTTCTCACGCTACGGCGACAAATTCTCAGCCATATGTGTGATGTAGTACTCTCTCTCTCTCTCTCTCACAGAAAATGTGAAATTTCTTCATAATCAAACTAGTGATATGATTAAGAAAAATTACCGGAAGTTGAAGCATCAGGCTCTGCTTCCTCATTCTCAGCATCCTCTTCAGCTTCCCCTTCTTCACTTTCCTCACCAAGACCCGCGACCATTCGCTCTTCCAATTTCCTCTGCAAATCTCAGATACAAGATTTCAGAACAATAAGAATAAGACGAGCTCGAAGCCAAGAATCAAAATCAACATATTACAAATGACTGAACATTAACAACCTCTCTGATATATATTATCCACTAACAATCACCATACAACACAGAAACTATCGAAGAACAATCAATAAGAGCTTTACGTTCTGAAAGATGTAAAAGTTGGACTAACAATTGCTGCAGTCAATAACAATTCCATCGAAATGAGATCAGAACAAGTTCATGGTACTAACAAGAGAAGACATTTAAGCTCTCTATAAATCAAAACGAATCAATAACGCATGGATTGGTGAATGGCACACATCAGAACGAAGATTTCAGTTAAAAATGCAACAGTTTCATCCTCACCTTCTTACGGGCCTCGATTCGCTTCCGCCGCATAGACTCCTCCTGCTGCTTCTGGGCTTCCTTTCTTCTTTTCTTCTTCCTCTTGTGAAAACCAGTCACAAAATCCCTAGCAACAACAACAGCAACAGGTAGCAGAAAGCCAACTAATTATGCAAGCAAACGGCGATGAAGATACACAGGTTGTATATACGAGTCTGACTCCGCTTATTGAAACAGCAGCAAATTTTTGAATTATCACGATACCTGAGATCTTTCTCGTCAAAAGAGACGGTGACGCTTTTGTTCTTACGAGCTCTCTTTCCAATGTGCCTAGCTCTAGATGGCGGAGCCAGCGAACCCTCCTCATCATCCAAGCCTGCCTGCATCGCCAGATACTTTTACCGATTGGAAACGAAGCGATTCAGGTGAACGAAATTAGGGTTTTGAGGTTTAATCAAATCAAGCCTCTGCATAAGAGGAAGAAGAAGAAGAAGCAGGAAGCAAAACATAGGTTGGACTTTTAATTGGGCTCTAGGCTCGGCCCATTACCGGGGTAGTAGCGTCTTTTGACAAAGTGAGCTAATTTGGTTAAGAGAAAGTTATGCCATTAACTAATTTTAGATAATTACCAAAAGTGCTTGTGACTCTCATTCTAACATAACAAAATAAACCTTCCAACAAAACCAAAGTTGTTCTTATTTTCACTCAAAATAAATAAAAAACCTTCTCGCATCTTCCTCGTACTCAGAGAGAGGACGACGGTGGTGATGATGATCATCAAAAGCTTTTGAACAAATTAAAAACACTATAAAAAAAACACAAAAAGAAAAAGAAAAAAATCTTTGTATATACTTAAAAAAGAACAGAGTAAAAAATGAACGACTTATTCTCAAATTCATTCAAGAAGAATCAGGCTCAGTTGGGCGATGTCGAGGCAGGTCAAGAAACGATGAATCTCGACAAATTCTTCGAGGATGTGGAGAATGTGAAGGATGACATGAAAGGAGTCGAGAGTCTTTACAAGAAGCTTCAAGACTCGAACGAAGAATGCAAGACGGTGCACAATGCCAAGAAGGTGAAGGAGCTACGAGCTAAGATGGATGGAGACGTAGCACAGGTCCTTAAGAGAGTCAAAATCATCAAGCAGAAGCTCGAAGCCTTAGAGAAAGCGAACGCTAATAGCCGTAATGTCCCGGGTTGTGGACCCGGTTCGTCTACGGACAGGACTCGGTCGTCTGTGGTTAGCGGTCTCGGGAAGAAACTCAAGGACTTGATGGATAGTTTCCAAGGTCTACGTGCTCGTATGAACGCTGAGTATAAGGAAACCGTAGAGCGCAGGTCTTTGTTTTTCTTTTAGGTTTCTTGCATTGCAAGGCTATTGCTACGTTTTTCTTCTTGGATTGCGACTTATACGACTCTGTCGGAACCGGTGCAGATATTTCACAGTAACAGGAGAAAAAGCGGACGAGCAAACAATCGATAACTTGATTGAGAGCGGTGAGAGCGAAAATTTTCTCCAAAAAGCGATTCAAGAGCAAGGAAGAGGTCAGATCATGGACACGATATCCGAGATCCAAGAAAGACACGACGCAGTGAAGGAGATTGAGAAGAATCTACTCGAGCTGCACCAAGTTTTCTTGGACATGGCAGCGCTAGTGGAAGCGCAAGGGCAACAGTTAAACAACATAGAGAGCCATGTGGCGAAGGCGAGCTCGTTTGTGAGAAGAGGGACGGATCAGCTTCAAGACGCAAGGGAGTACCAAAAGAGCTCGAGGAAATGGACTTGTTACGCCATCATTCTCTTCATCGTCATTTTTATCCTCCTTCTTATTCCCGCTCTGCCCCATATTATGCTTATGTTGAAGTGAGGTTGCTAGAGAGTTTGATCTTGATTCCCAAAATCATCCCTTTCGCTTATTCTTTCTTCTTCTTCTTTTTGCTTTATGGGATGGGATAGTTAGATTTCGGTGAAACCATGGAAAAGAATTTGTAGAAAAAGCTTTGAAACACCTGTTCGTTATTACTAATGTAAATCTTTTATGACATCCTGAGTTTTGGATCCATTATCTTCATTTTAGTGCTTAATGTGACAACGTTGTGTATATATGTTACAAAGAGGCATATGCATTGTAATTTTAATACCTGCCTTCCTTTATTAACATTATTTTAAAAAATCTTTGTTAATTTTCACTTTTGCATGCATCTCCACGTCTTATAAAAATATTAGTCCGTATTAACTTTGACCAGAAAATAATGTATGAAGACAGTATGCAGAAAATTTACAAAATTTATGGTTTGTATATATATATACACTTAAAGAAAACTGATAAAGTGTAAGCTTGAGAGTACTACTATTGGGATTTTTCTCTCACTAATAACTAGTACTCCAGTGTTTATTATGATATAGGGATTTTTTGTTAAACTATGTTCGTTTAAAGTTGACTTTTCAACAACTTTCTACTTCAGGAAATTCTTCTAACTCTTCATCTATTGTACAAGGCCCTGCATTGTATTATACCTCTTCATCTTCTTAATTCTCTTATGTTTTTCAATGGAAAATTAGTTATCTGGACCCAAAAAAATAAAAATTAGTTAGTTGCATTGGGTTCTTTCCTAAAAGTAAAGGCAACGAAATCCTCAATCATTATACTTTTTCCTGGTTTAAATCATTATACTTGTTTGTCCTTGCAGTGGATGGTCTATCTAGACAACTGGGTAATATAATGCTTTGTTGGCGGGAGTTCTTAGTTCGTACAGATATTCTTTAGTCTATGCTTTTCGAATCTTAGCTTTGTGACCAATGTAAAAGACTTATCCATAAATGGTACACTTTCTTCATTTTTGTAAATCTATCAGATTGCATAATTGTTTTGAACCAAGTATATAAACACAGTTGAATGGCTCAGTAACTATCTGTCTTAAATTTTATGACGAAGCACGTGCTGTGTTTTCACAGAACTTCAATTTATAAGAAAACGTCTTTTTGATGTATAAATTAAATGTACAAGAGTTGGGAGAAAAATATTACTACTAGTAAAAATCAAAAGTCGGTGATAAGAATTTAATATAGACAACACACGTGGTTCGGAGGAAAGAACACAAAACATGAAAACAGTGTCAGAGTGGTTTTGCTCTTTACTACATTCATGACTTCATGGAATCCGAGGAACCCAAAAGATCTGCCGTTTATGGATTAACCCAAGGAGATTGTCGCCACGTCAGCACATGCACCTCCCACTTTGGTTCCCTCTGCGAATCAATGCTCGCCACGTCATCTTCAACGGCTAGTTTCCTTCTGCCGTGTTCTTCCTTTTAACCGCCAAAGGATTTTTTTTTTACCACCCAAAAAGGAGGAGGTACAATTATTTTGTTTCAAATTAAAGAAAAGAAAGATAATTAAATAAGCAAAAAATATCTCAACTATATATATAAATAGTTCACTTTCTTTCTTCTCTGTTTCAAAAAGAAGATAAAAGAAAGATCACTCATTTTTCTTTGGCGCAACAACCATCGAGATTTTTGAGGAGGATAGATAGCTAACAAATCAACAGAAATTTTCGGATTTTTTTCTCAAAAAATCTCTCTCTTTCTCAGTCTCTCTCAGAGTTTATTTAAAAGGTATGTTTCTTGTTCCTATATTCACTTGGTATGTTTTCTTCTTCCCAACATCCACTGTTTTCTCATACACTTACCACTGTTTTTGGGTCCTTTGAATCTGGATTTCTACATATGAAATATCATATTTTTTGTTATATTTTTTTCTGATGCAGGAATCGTGGTTCTTTCGTAATTTGCGCGAAATGGCATTAGGGAAGAAGAACTTAGGTGCCGCGAAATCATCATCCAACTCTAGTCGAAACGTAGTGTGTGATGGAGTGTTAGGGTTAGAGTTTGTTAAGTACAAGAGAGGATTTAGGAGGAAGAGGGTTTTGATTTCCGGTGGAAAGATTCGGGGCAAAACTCGAGAGCTTGAAACTCTTCCTCAAGATATTCTGGTTCGTCTCCTTTAAAATTAATTGGAATCTCTGGAGATGTTGTTTCAGATTTAATGAGTGAGACTGAAGTTACTGAAAATTTTCATTGGTAATTTTGCAGGTAAGGATTATATGTGGAGTGGAGCATGAAGACTTGAAGAAATTGGTTAATGTGTCCAAGACCATAAGAGATGCTGTAAGTATATAGTACCATTAGTAGAGATCGAATGAAATCTTCATGTTTGAAGGAAACTGATTCTGATCATCTGTTTCCCGTCACAGACATTGATCGCAAAGAAATGGCATTTTGAATACAGCACACCGAGGAAAACTCTGTTTTTTCGAGGTGGGCTTGATTCGGTGATCGATTTGGGAGATGAGATCGAAGCTCCATTGCTTAAAAAGTACAGCTTTTCAAGAATAATCTGCAACAAGAAAGTTTCTAAGATCTCAATGGCTCTTTTCAAATGAATCTGACAAGTGACAGCCCCCACGTGTTGTTGCTGGAGACCTAGTGAGAAGATTCAACACTGGAGGCAATCACACGATCTGGATTCTTCAAGAGCTTTGGTTGAAGAACTGGTTTAAATTAGAGTCTTCTTTAGTTTTCTTTTGGGGGTTTTGTTTGATAGGTCTCTGTAAATCTTTGTTAGATAGAAAAAGGGATCACAGGTCCTTTGAAATGTTAAGCTTGGTCATTTTATGTATATGTAAATCTTTATTACACTTTTATGGTTTTGCGAAGAGAATTGACAATTAATAGAGAGAGATCTATTTAGCTCTATCTAGTAATTTGGAAGTGGTTTATGTGTTTATAAATAATGTCACAAAGGGCTCGTCTAAACCTAGGCCCGTACCCAAGTGGCCCATCTTTGATATGCTTTGTCATTTTCCGACTTATTTATCGATTTAAGAATATGGAAAATCAGAAGTTCTTTCCAAGGTTTTGTTTGATGTTTTTCCTTTAACTTTTTGTTCTAAGTAAGAAAATATGGATATTGAAGAAAATAAATTTGAAGAAACTTAACTGGACAGCGTCGTTACATGACAAGGGTGATGGTGAAAGGTATCAAGTATGACAGATCCGAGATCCAATGCTTTTATTATACATTGCATTTTTTTTGCTTCCAAAAATACCGTTTAAAAAATATGTTACAAAAGATTTTGTTTGTTAATAAGATCCAAGAAATTTGAAATGGTATAACTGTTTTCGTAATCAACAGAGATAAAAATAAAATAATCCTAATACTTCTTATGATGTTGGCGGGCTTGTAATGTCTACAAACAAATTTAACGTGCAATATGGAACATGCGGCAACTTAAGCAAATGTTTCTACAATATGAAGTCATGATTTACATTTCAAACGTAATGTAAAAACACTCCCAACGTCTACTCCATTAACATCAGTAACATTTCTACGCGTCAGAGATCTATAGTTCTAATAATCATAAATATAGTACTGTTGACCAAAAAAAATCATAAATATAGTACAACGTCTAGTTAACCATTACATCAATAATATTTCTACACCTCAGTGATCTATAATTTAAATTTGCGGTAATGATTGTAAAGTATACGTGCAACGAAAAATATACTAATGTACTAGGTATTTGTAAGATATACTTATTACTTTGTATCGAGCAATAACGTTGAGATGGAGACAAAAGAAGCCTATAACAAACTCACTTATTGTTATTCGTGTGTAGGTAGGTCAGAAAGTATATATCTAGAAATGTCATAATCACTACAAAAAAGTTCAACGTTGATTAGGGGAAAAGATTGGTTAAAGAGACGAATTTAATCTTTAATTATTTAGTTCGCAAGACTAGGTTCAGGTTGCCAATGTTGTCAAGGTATTACTTTAGATCATAACCTAAAAAAATAACAATTAGCTAAGAATGCCTAAAATAATGGATTGAAATTTTGATAAAACGTCATAACGAAGTTAAAATCATTAAAATCCAATGAGCACTGGAGAGCAAGGATGGCTTAACAAAGTACAATATTTAGTCCATAATATTAAAGCAAACAACTATATAGTCCATAATATTATTATTCAAGCCTATGATAAATTGATAATAATGTAAAATATTATTACTCAATCATTTCATGATAATTGATAAACTAATCTCTAATTGCTATCCATTGTAAAAGATCAGCATAATTATGTCAATATTATCGTGAATCATATCGGTACTTATCTTTTTCGTGAAAACTAAGGAATTGCTGTATAACATTATACAATTCCTTCTCAACTACTCAACGTCGATTTCAATCACTTACTTTGCTTTATTAATTTACATATCTATGAGTTATTTATTTAATTATTTGTTTTTGACACCGCCTTTGATTTCAATTCCTTACATAATGTAATTGTATTTGTAAACATCGTGTAAAAGTGAAAAGAGAATGAGTATATAAGATATTTAATTTGGTGTCACTGGATGTTCAAAGTAGTCCCCGACAAAAATACTTTAAAAAAAAAATAGACAAAGAATCTTGGAAGAAAATTAGTTAAGGACAGAAGACAGAGCTCCTATACATAAAGTTGTAAAAACTCAAAATACCAAAGAGTAAGATGCAATAACATACTATTTAAAAACATTTGATCGAGATTATTAAGCTTTTCTTCCAATTAGGGTACTAACTAATAAGGTTTAAGCCTTTAATCCCCGAGTTCTGACGGAGAAGTAATCGAAATGACCACTATGTCCCTTCATCTTCGTCGTCTTGTCACTGCTCCTAACCTACCAAGAAGGGCACTCCCGTAATATCGCCATAAATTCTCTGTGTTCCCCTCCCCTTTCCTTATGCTCACAAAAAGACGAACAAATTGAATAAAATCTCCCTTTCCTTCTCCTTTTGAATTCTTCTTCTTAAAAACAAAAACAAAGTCATCAGCTTCCGAGGAGAAAATCGTGATGGGTTCGCTTCTAAACCACTGAGTTCAAAGCTTTCCACGAAATGGGGGAAGAATCCGGAGAGAAATCGAGACCCGTCATCGAGAGAGCAATCGAATCGATATCTTCTTTAATCTCTCTCTCTCACTCGATCAAATCCTTCAGCGTGAAATGGCAGTTGATACGGAACAAACTCGACGAACTCTACTCGAGAATCTCTGCCGTCGAGAATCTAGATTCCGACGTCGACCCATCTCTCTCCAGCTTGGTTAAAGCCATTCTATGTTCTCTGAAGGAATGCCACTGCCTCGCGTCGCGATGCTTGAATGTCTCCTACAGCGGGAAGCTCCTGATGCAGAGCGACTTGGATGTCATCTCCGGGAAATTCGACCGGCATGTGAGAAATCTCTCCCTGATTTACTCCGCCGGGATTCTCAGCCACGGGTTCGCGATCGTTGTCTCGAAGCCCAGTTGTAGAGCTTGCAGAGACGACATTAGGTTTTACATTAGGGATTTGCTCACGAGGATGAAGATTGGCGATGTGGAGATGAAGAGGCAAGCTTTAATCAAGCTGAACGAATCCATGGAGGAAGATGGTAGGTATACGAAGATGGTTATCGAAATCAGCGACATGGTTAATATGCTTGTTGAGTTTCTGGATTCTGAGATGGGGATTCAAGAGGAAGCTTGTAAAGCTATGCTGTTGATCTCTGGGTTTGATTTGTACAAACCTGTTTTGATCCGATCTTGCGTGGTTGGTCCTCTGGTTAGGGTTCTTGAAAACGGAAACTGTGTTGGTAGAGAAGCGTCCGCAAGGTGTTTGATGAAATTAACCGAGAACTCAGAGAATGCTTGGTCGATCTCTGCTCATGGAGGAGTCGCGGCTCTGTTAAAGATCTGTACTTGCGGTGAATTCAGTGGCGAGTTGATCGCTAGCTCGTGTGGAGTGTTGAGAAATCTTGGGGGAGTTGAAGAAATCAAGAGGTATATGATCGAAGAAGACATGGTTTCTACTTTCATCAAGCTTATAGGATCAAAGGATGAGATTGTTCAGGTGAATTCCATTGATCTCTTGTCAAGTATGTGTTCTAGAGATGAGCAAAGCCGTGAGATTTTGGTCAGAGAAGGAGGAATCCAAGAGCTTGTGCTTGTGGCAGATCCCAATTCGTTGTCCTCTTCGAAAGCTAAAGAAATGGCATTGAGGGCAATTCACAACCTGTGTTTTGGGTCAGTGAGTTACTTGAATGCATTAATGAATAGCCAATTCTTAGTTCATCTGCAGTATTTATTGAGAAATGGGGAGGCTTCTGTTCAAGAATCAGCGTTAAAGGTCACATACAGGATGTGTAGTTTGCCAATGGAGGAGGTTAAGAGGATAATGGGCGATGCAGGTTTTATGCTCGAGCTAGTTAGATTCCTGGATGCTAAATCTTTAAACGTCAGGGAAATAGCGAGCGAAGCTCTGTATGGCTTACTCTCGGTCCCGAAGAACAGGAAGAAGTTCTTGCAGGATGACGGTAACATTAGCTACATTCTTGAGTTGTTAGATCAGGAGGAAATGAGGAATGAGAAGAGTGATTTGGGTGACACCAAGTTATTGATTTCGATATTGATGTCGTTAACAAGGTGCAACCGCGCGAGAAGAAAGATCTCGGCTTCAGGGTACTTGAAAAGCATAGAGAAACTAGCTGAAAGAAAAGATTCAGATGCTAAGAAACTTGTAAAAAAGCTTTCTAAAAATAGATTCCGCACCATACTTGGCAGTATTTGGCATTCCTAAAGAAAAACGTTCTCTTTTCTTTTATTTGATTTTTGAAAATATATTATTTTGTGTTTTGTGAAGTTTTCGAGTGTATATTTACGTAAGGTTCTCTTCTTGCCTCTGACGACTATCAGTTCTGTGTAATCTCCAAAAAATCCTCTTTAAGGGTATATATAGCTTCAAAACATATATGGGCTTCAAAATTCATTTTCCTTTTTCACACATTTACGTTGTATTGGGCTTGGTCAAAGACTCAAAACCTCCAAATTTGTGTTGGAGTAAAGATTTGGGGGCCATGTGCGTTGGATGCCCATATGAAAAAAAAGCATTGGCTTACATTTATATGGCTTAAGGACCGCTCTCCATAACTTAAGAAAAACGATAAGATTCAACTAGTTAATATCGATGTCCCTATAATATCAAGTAACTCATATACGATTTTTATAGATTTATTTACCGTTTTGTATGGCATTTTACTATTGTGATAATGGTAATAACTAATAACTATAGTTATTTTAACGAAATACAACAGTCTACAATACTTTTCTTTCTTTCTAACCTACTACTATATTGTACTATGCGTTTTTACATTCAAAAATATTCGAAAACTGGTACTTAATTACTTATTTTCAAAACAGTATGCAATCGATTTATTTTTGGTAATTATCTCTGGTTAAAAATTACATGCATGTGACAATTACAATTTGGGTCGGCTTAAAGAAAACCAAAACTATATAATAAACTCGTATATTCGCAACAACAACAAAAACAAACAGCAAAGTTTGCAGATTTATTTTCAAAGTAACGAAGTCTAATTATTTTGTCCTTAGCGGTTCATTATTGATTAATAGTTTAGTCTTCGTTAACACTAGGTTAGTTTTGAGAATGTTGTTTGATGAATTAATTACTCAATTATTTATTTGTGTATGAAGCTCAGATATTAGTAGTTTTCTGACAACAACTACTAATTAAGTAGTAACAAAATTTATAGTTTAGATATATATTTCCTCTCTCTCTATATGATATTATAAATGTACGCATTTCAAGATTTTATGTTCTCAATTAATTCGTAGAATTCTATAAAGTCAGAAGTCAGCGGAAATAGGAGACCAGCTAGGTCTTGGTATGAAATTGCTTTCATGTTTTTTTTTTTTTTTTTTTTTTTTTTTGCTGAATAGTTTTCATGTCTTGATCATTAGTTTCAGCCGTTCGGCACGCATGAACATGATTCGTCCGTCAACGCTCTTCTATTTAATTTCCATATAATGTTATAACTATTACACAAGCAATTACAAAGTCAAGTCACTTTCAATATATGTTGAATTATGTGTATGATATATATGGTTTGGTATTTACAGTATCACTAATGTGGAAAGTATAGGGCTATTATCTACACAAAAAAACATTTTCCAGTATTACATTCAGAAGTCTATCAATTCATCCCGATGGATGCATAAGATAGCTAAAAAAACAGGATTGATTCCTCCTCAAATCGGTATAGAAACAACATTTGCTCTCTCTTTTGTGTTGACATTTTTGCAATCATATATATATATAGCCGATCAAAGAATCTAATCACTTTAGGAAACTAAAAGATGTGAATGTTTCACATATATAGAACATTTTAAATCAATTTTGTTGAGTTGAAACTCCTATGGAGAGATATATATTTAAGTCCACATACTTTATTTTATCCATCAGATTTATTTTCGTCTGTATTTGTATAAAGACTGGCCCTTGATTTGGTGCAAGTGTAACGAGAGCTTCAAGGCATAATAAATCTAAATGAGAAAAAGTCATGCATGCGACACTTCATAGCTATAAAATTTTACGAGAAAAACGAAAGTATTGTTTATTTTTAAAAACAGAGAAAAATGTCACAATATGTGGGTAGGAATGACGAGTGGGCTTAGCTTAGTGGCTATATAAAGATTCGAATAAGGAGAGCGATATTTACTCATTGAAGAGCTTTTTTTGTGCAAATTATGTCATATTTCTTTGGTCTGATTTATAAGTGATACAATAACCGAAACCAAATGAATCTAAATGATTAACATGAGACATTGGTTTTATTTATCTTTACTTTGATTAGTTAAATCTTTGTTAAAACCGAACAAGCATATATGAGGTTCTAGCCAAACCAAGCCAATTTACTTCATAAATCGAACCAACCGAGTTAATTTAACACTTCTCCTCGTACTTTTACTTTTTTTCCTAAATTTGATTAACATTCTTGTCAATTGTGTGACTTAATACAATATATATAAATTACTAATCATTTCATAAATAAGGTAATCCTTTCTTTAAATCAAACGAATCAAACCTAAATTATAGCAGCTACCCAAATTCTACAAAAACCATCGTTAAACCAAAAAATCAACCATTTTTGAATGAGACCACAAGTCTTTGGAGTAAACATTATGCGGAAAGGACTTTCCAAACCAATCAAATACAATGGGCGCCACTCGCCAGTGACACCTTTCCTTTAGTTGACCTTGACTTCTTTTTTTATTTTTTATTTATTTATATATATTTATATAACTATTGTTAGTTGTCATAATTTCATTTTAAAATACTTTCTTTCTGAGTATTGTTTGTGTGTAAAATCATTGATATTTCGTTAAAGTTTCTTACTGACTAAATTTCTCCAAACATTTAATATAGATTTCATTAAACATAAGTAATTTTCAAATGAATATCCTAAAAATAACATAACATCCTGTCAGATATTAATTACTTATAGATAGATTCAAGTGTTTGAATCGTCCTTTTTGGAATATATTTATTAATGAATAGTTTCTTTATTATCTTGGTAAAATGTGACTGATTAGCCCAATAATTTTAAAATTTATCTTTTATTTTCCCTTGAGGAAAGAAAACCTAGGGGACCATCTTTTTCCCCCTCTTATTCTACAAAATTTTAGTTTCAATCCTTTGTTTTACTCGTACAAAAATATCCTACATACTGTCTTTATTAGCATCACTAAAACATTTAAATATTTTAAAATCCCCAGACACGTCAGAATTCTTGTAGCAGATATTATTCCCTATATTTACAACACAGATCCTTCAAGAAATTTGACGATAATGTAATTTGGAGGTTTTGCCGTGAGTTTGTGTTAAAATCCTGGGAGCTGTACAGCGACAATTTAGGAAATTTGGATGTATGATGATCATACGAGGATATCTTACTTCAGAACTCAGAAGTAAAAACTAGTGCCACGAATCTGGGAAAAGAACGAGCCCAACTTTTGTGAAATGCCTTTATTACCTGTTTTTTTCTTCTTTTCTCGGCATCTCCTTTACCTTTTTTATTTTATTTTTAAAACCAAATTCACTCTTCCTAATTTTGGCGTCAACCAACTTCCCTCTTTCCCTTTACTGTCTTTTGTTACTTTTGAGCTATTTCACCACGCTAAGGAAAAACACTATTTTACCGCTGGACTTGTGATTGATTACACTGAAAAAATCATGTAAACATGGGCAAGCATTTCGCAACAAGGAATAAAAAGTAAAAAATTAACAATAAGTCTATATATGCATGAAATTAGTAACATTTTGTCAGTAGATGGTCACATATATATGTATATTGCAGAAATAAATAAGTATTTTTGAATTTTCTTTTAAGAAAAGGTAGTATTGCTACGTATGAATCTATCCTCATAGCACGGAATAATAAATGTGAACGTTAGAAAAAACTCTCAACCTTGAAAAAAAAACATATGGATAAGCATTCCACGTATTTAGTAGTGCATCGTTATGTTGTTTCTAGAAAAAAAAAAAGGTTTTTGAGTGGTCTAAAACGATAAACTAATTGTGAAAAAAAAAAACTTTACATCTGTAAAGAACAATTTGGAAGTCACGCTATAAGAAAAACCATGCTGCATCCCATGAAACAAGTTAATTCGAAAAACATTATCCAACGCGAATTTAATGTTATCCAGATAGATAAAGAAAATTAGTTGGACCGTCGAATGAAATGCGATCCTTGCTGATTAGCATATGACGTGTACAATTAATTTTGCCACCAATCCACCGACCTCAAACTCTTTTTTGGGTAAAGTTTAATAGTATTATGATAACTTGTGACACACAGTTTATTAACGTTACGATTATCTGGTTTTGAAGTATCTGTGTATAAGAAGACAATTGATATTTAATGTACGAACTGATATTAGTCAAATTATGGTTACAAAGTATATAGTTTATACTTTAGCACAAATATATAGTTTATACTTTATACTATGTTGGACTTATTGAAAAAAACAGGACGTGAATGGATCAATTTTTTTTTGGTTCTTTTTGTTAAAAATGGTTCAATGTTATGCTTCTTCTGGATTATATATAATACTATAAATGTTTCGTTTAAGATATTAAAACAAATACAGAAAGGTTGTTCCATGTTATCTTTTACTCGCAATCAAAATATGTTTATATTTATCCACGTCTTCAAATACCCAATTAGGTCGTTGTCAAAAAAAAAAAATACCCGATTAGTAACTTTTTTGGGATGTAAAAAAACTTATTCGAGAAGAATCTTTAAAAAAACGAACAAAAATAATTAGGAAATTACTCGATGCGTGTTTGGAATTGGATAGAGCCGTTGAACTTGAACCATCAAGTGGGTATTTAAAAGTCAGCGAATTGTATATGATTTACTCTTTTTACAGATGCGTACATCAGCTACAATTTTAGTCACACATTCACATTACATAATTAGATGTGACCAATCCACTTTTGTTTTTCCAGATTGATTTGCCAGTTTTTGGTTGGGTTTAAATTTTTCGAACATTTTTTTACCTTTATTAAATTTAAAATTTACTGAAACCAAATTTGAAACGTTTCATGATTATTTTATTTCACTAATCTATTATCTTAACTGGATACTTAAGGAAGAGTGTTAAGAGAATGGTTTTGATTATCCATCATAATATGATTAATCATTACCTAACATTAGCAAATACGCATCAGCTCTAAATGTATTCCACTCTTCGTTATTTATCTGACAACCAGTTATCTCCAACAAATTTAATTTGTCTATAGATTAATATAGTTTCAAATTTAGTCTGATTTTCGTTTTATGCACAGTAGAAAAAGAGCATTAATAATGTTGTTCATATAACAAAACCTACTAGTAGTATTCTTCAGTAATATAAGAAAATTATCCTATCATAAATATGAGTACCAAGCTTAACACTAGCAAAAAGTCCACATGATCTTAAAGTCAATAAATACATCACGCAGAGTTATTAATAACATGTTCACATAACGGTCACCAAGTTGCTCAAAATCATGAAACAGCGACACATTATTCAATTATTCTATGATGTGGATAATTAGTAAAACATTATGTATGAGAAAATTAAATTATTATGGATTCACAGCTAAGAAAATACGAAAAGACAGCTCAACGCTTTTCCCCTTCTCTTCCCCACTGTCTATATAACTCTAATAAGTAATCTCTCATCTCTCCATCTAATTTCTTCTCAATCTCGCTTCAAAATAGAAACATCTTAGCAAAAGAGGGGTTAAGTAAAAGAAAGCTAAAATACTTTAGGGATCACTTCAAAAAATGCCTGCCGGTGGATTCGTCGTCGGAGATGGCCAAAAGGCTTATCCCGGCAAACTCACTCCCTTTGTTCTCTTCACTTGCGTCGTCGCTGCCATGGGTGGTCTCATCTTTGGATACGATATAGGAATTTCCGGTAAGTATTCACTCTTTCTCATATTTTACATTTCCACCCCACAACTATCTATCTAGATATCAAAACCCCCACGTTAGAAATTATTCCATAAAGAAACATTAACAAAATTGCCTCTTATGTTTTGATTCGTTCACAAAAAACCCATATGACTCAAAAATACAGAATCCCGACAGTATTATATAGGTTTTGCGAAATTTACAAAATCGCCCCATATGTTTCTATAGAGTCACGAAAACCGTGTCTGATCAGATTTTTGTTTTGGGAAATTCTGTAAACTAATTTTGAAATCACAGGTGGTGTGACGTCGATGCCGTCTTTCCTCCGGCGATTTTTCCCGTCGGTGTACCGGAAACAGCAAGAGGACGCGACAACGAATCAATACTGTCAATACGATAGCCCAACGCTTACGCTCTTCACTTCGTCGTTGTATCTGGCGGCGCTAATTTCGTCGCTGGTGGCTTCCACCGTGACGAGGAAGTTCGGACGGCGACTCTCGATGCTCTTCGGCGGCATACTCTTCTGCGCCGGAGCTCTCATCAATGGCTTCGCTAAACACGTTTGGATGCTTATCGTCGGTCGTATCTTGCTCGGTTTCGGTATCGGTTTCGCTAATCAGGTCCGTCACTAACAAGTAACAACCATATTTTTTCATTATGATGATTTAAATTATTACTTACCATAATAGTATATATATATAAAATTAGTTTCTGTTCATTTTTTCTTTTCTATTTGCATTTTCTCCGTTTCACATTTACTCACGAGCAAGAAAAATTCAAATTAAATAACTCTCCTACTAGTTTTTTTTAAAAGTAAAATTTAATGTGTTGAAATTTATATTTATTTCGCCATAAATGTACCTTGGTTTTGGAAAAAGTTGTGGACCAACCACTTTCATTGAACATAATCATCATATACTTAGGTGAAGTTGACGTTATTATTTTCTCTCTTGCTTTTACTATCAGTTTACAACGACTACCATTATTTTCCACATTATATTAGTATGTTATAGCAATTATTTGATTCGTCTTCGGCTGAATATCCACAATTCCACATGGTCTTGTTCTTCAACCCGTGATGTCTCTTTCTCTCCGTTTTCAATGGGATTTAATTAATTGATATACTATATTATTTTTGACGTCATCTTGTAACTTTTTTGATCACTCATTGATACGGGATCTTTCTTTAGTTAGAAAAAGGTCATATTCGGACCGTATCCTCTTGAAGTTAAATAGAATGACGTAATTGACCCTGTTTAAACCCCGTATTTGAAGTCTATGCCCCTGCTTGATTTCAAGGGATTCGAATCTCTACTTTAATAAAGTCAGATTCGGACCGTGTACATTTAAAAGCACTGATAATGACGTAACTAACCCTGTTAAATTTATCTATTTACAGGCTGTGCCACTATACCTCTCCGAGATGGCTCCATACAAATACAGAGGAGCTTTAAACATTGGTTTCCAGCTCTCAATCACAATCGGAATCCTCGTCGCCGAAGTTCTCAACTACTTCTTCGCCAAGATCAAAGGCGGCTGGGGATGGCGGCTCAGTCTCGGAGGCGCGGTGGTTCCCGCCCTGATCATAACCCTCGGCTCCCTCGTCCTCCCTGACACTCCCAATTCGATGATCGAGCGAGGCCAACACGAGGAGGCTAAAACCAAGCTCAGGCGAATCCGAGGCGTCGATGACGTAAGTCAAGAGTTTGACGATTTAGTCGCCGCTAGTAAAGAGTCGCAGTCGATAGAGCATCCGTGGAGAAACCTCCTCCGCCGCAAATACCGCCCTCATCTCACCATGGCGATTATGATTCCCTTCTTCCAGCAGCTAACAGGAATCAACGTGATTATGTTTTACGCTCCGGTTCTGTTCAACACCATCGGTTTCACGACCGATGCTTCTCTCATGTCCGCCGTGGTCACCGGCTCGGTCAACGTCGCTGCAACGCTCGTCTCGATCTACGGCGTTGACAGGTGGGGACGTCGGTTTCTCTTTCTTGAAGGCGGTACACAAATGCTCATATGCCAGGTAAGGAAACACATCTACTTTCTTAACTTATCGGATTTAATCACATTTGACTTATCATATGAAAGCTAATAAAGAATACGTCGTTCGTTTATTCTGGTGTGATTGTAGGCTGTGGTTGCTGCATGCATCGGGGCCAAGTTCGGGGTAGACGGGACCCCTGGTGAGCTACCAAAGTGGTATGCTATAGTGGTTGTAACTTTTATATGCATCTACGTGGCGGGTTTCGCGTGGTCATGGGGTCCGCTAGGGTGGTTAGTACCGAGTGAGATCTTCCCGTTGGAGATAAGGTCGGCCGCACAGAGTATCACGGTGTCGGTGAACATGATCTTCACGTTCATAATCGCGCAGATCTTCTTGACAATGCTTTGCCATTTGAAGTTTGGGTTATTCCTCGTATTTGCCTTCTTCGTGGTGGTGATGTCGATCTTCGTATACATTTTCCTTCCCGAGACGAAAGGGATTCCGATAGAGGAGATGGGTCAAGTGTGGAGGTCACATTGGTATTGGTCAAGGTTTGTGGAGGATGGTGAGTATGGGAATGGGCTCGAGATGGGCAAGAGCAGCAACCAAGGAACTAAACATGTTTGATTTTCATTTTTTTTTAATGTGAATGTTTTAAGAAAGAACAAAAGATTTGTATTATCGAATTTCGTAAAGAAAAAAAATGTATTAGTCTAGATATATTTATGTTTATATAATTCAGGATCACATGATAGCGAAATTATGCATATGATTCTTTTTATGTATTTTCGGAGTGTTTTATTTACAATTATTTTACTCTAGAATGTTTGAAATGTTAGATGAATAGTGAAATAATGGTGATATAACAAAATGCTCATTCGCTTTAGACCATTTATTCTATAAAAAATTAGTTAGTATGATTGTTGCGCTCATCAGTGATGAAAATTTTCTCGTTTTATCCTTTTTTTTGTTATATATCCTGATTTTTCAAATTGAAAGCTAATTTAATTGAAGAAAAAGGGTAAAAACTAGTAGACTTTTTGTTTTTGATCAACGACTTTTAGTTTTCTAACTTTAACTAGGTCATGTATTACCATGGATCTGTAAAAACCAAGTGCGTCCCGAGTGGAGGATGAATGATTTTGAAACATTTTTAATTAAGGTGAATCTGTTTCTTAGTTCAGTACAATTTGCGAACAAGTTTTTATCATACTAACACCTTATATTGTTTTTTGATTGGCAGCTTTATGGATCATTTGAAGTGGTGAAAAAGCGTTCATTGAATCCATTGACGAGCTGAGAAGAAATATTTTCAATGAATGAGTTTGAAACATTTTCAGTTGAGGTGAGTCTGTTACTTACTACAGTACAATATGTGCCGAACTGCCAATGCATTCATTCCATATCTACTGAACAAGTTTTGATCATACTAACACCTTATATTGTTTTTTGATTGGCAGCTTTATTGATCATTTGAAGTGGTGAAAAAAACGTTCATTGAATATTTAGGAACTAGCGGTGAAAAACTGTGTCATTTTGAACTTTGAACCTGTAAGGAAATATTCCAAATATTTTTAGGGACCATTTAAAGCGATGTAAAACTCTTATCATTTTGAACTTTGAACCTATAAGGAAATATTCCAAATATCGAAGTTTATGGTTTCTCTGGGTGACAATATGAACTTCGAAATGCATATCAAAGTTTTAAAGTGTTATGATTTCTCTCAGTGTCCAACATCTGAAATTCGATACGCATCAAAATTGATCAGTTCAAACTTAAATTTTAAACTTTATGCATATCAATTTGCTGTGCACTAGATAGTTTTTTAAGAAAATTAAAATTGGCAAGAACTTATGGTCTCAACCTGTTTTCATTTTTCTAATAAATGCATGACTACAAAAATAAAAAAGATAATATGACCGCAGAGTTTTTAGTGAAATAGTATAAAAAACCTTTTTCTATCGCTGGAACTTGTTTAACATTAATCCAAAATTTTAGTTTAGTGATGTGGGCACAAAAAGACAAGCAAGAAAGGGTTAGAAAATAAGCAAAATCTTTACAATGCTTTCTCCAAAAGATGAGCCTAATGTTAAAATCTTTACATTACTATGGAAAAGAAAAACGTTTGAAAGATTTTATCCGACCAAAAACAACAAAATCGATTTTTTGTAATTTAAAAAGGCAGTCTAAAAGGGGATTTTTACCTTCATAATACTACCGTAACCAAAGTGAAAGAATATTTTTTTACACGATGGAAGATCCAAACTAAGCTGACAGAATTTGATAGAGTTCGTATACAAAATTTATGTAGGCCTAGAATGTTCAAGTCGGAACGTATTAAACGAATTTGAAAACATGTTGTCATTTGTTACATGAATTCTGAAATTGCGAAATTTGTGAATACTGAATAGATAAATGAATAACTTCGAAATCTGTTAATCAAATACAAAGGCAATAAACCTTTTTTGACGGAACTCCAGCGATAATTCGAGATGAATTCTTGGAAAATTCATCTTCATAAGATATCTAGTGATTTTATGAAAATGGTCACATCAAATAAACACATCTTCATAAGTTAACACACTAAAATGAAAAGTAATATATTTTTTAGCGTATGCGTTTTTTTAATAATTCATTGATATTTCGGTTTCCATCCGTCTTGCACCGCTATGCGTTTTTTTAGCGTATGCGTTTTTTTTAGCGTATGTTTTGGGAACTATCTCATTCATTTAGACGTTTTTTTTAAGCTTTGTGAGAATCCATATTGATAGAAATGTTCTAAGATATTCACAGTATATTTGTTTTTAGAACTGTAAAAGTTAGTAACATCTCCAAAGAGTGACTGTTGTTGATTGAGTAGACGGTGAGATATATAAAATATATTGGAGTAATCAAGTTTTCAAATCAATTTTTTTAGTACTCCACCACTTATCAGGATCGAATAGTGTATAAAGATAAAGTCATTGTATAAGTTGTATGTTGTATTTATCAGAGTTGTTTCAAGTGGCATTTTTTAATCGAAAAGACAATAAATATGCGACTACCTTAGGAGAAGAAAATCATCGTTTAACAAAAATGCAGAAAATATTAAATTAAAATGGTTAGATAAAAATGCAGAATCAACATTAAAAGCTTTAGGAGAAGATAACCATCGTTTAAATTAAAATGCAGTACAAAGAAAAGTAGACAAATTAATATGTCAAAAATGAAGAAAAGGCAAATTAATCTGATTAGACAGAGAATAAACTTTGGAAATAATAAACAGCACCTACGTGTTTGGTAGGTTTGAAGAGTAAATCATAGGATTTGGAATGGAGATCATGTATCACAAGTGGTTGCAAGTATCCTCTACCATGAAGTAATAACTTATTCTTCTCCAGAATTGCTATTGGGAAGAGTGTGCAATCACGGAGCCAACGAAAAGTTTTGGTGAGATCTATGGAGCACATTTTTTTCCATGTCCCAGAAGAATTTAACGACCATATCACTTGGGAGTAGCCCTGTCTCCGGGATACGCACAAGCGGTTATCGAGGATGCACATGATGGCGCCGTAGGGGTCACGTGTAAAGAAAACACCGATAGTGTCAAGCACTAGCCCAAGACCGTAATATCCGAGAGATCCGAAAGAAACAAAAACCCTCTAAGTATGAATAATAAGATGAAAAAATACTTAGAGAAAACTTGAAGGAACTTTAGAGAGAATAAGAGAACTTATGAAGAACACTCTTTCTTTATTTGTTCAACTTCTCTTGTTTACAAATGATGGAGTAGTGGGCTATTTATAGACTCCATTTATTACAAAATATCTTACAAACATTCTCCTAATCTCTAGAATTTTCTACAATAATATCTAGAATTTTAACTACAACATCTAGAATTATCTATAGAATTATCTAGATATTTAACTAATAGAATTCTCTAGAACATTTAAGAAAGATGATGATTTTTAGTGATGTTTCTAGAGATTCTAGAACTTGAGCTTAATTTTGGGCCTAATCTAATAACTAATAATTATTTTATAAACCCAAAATTAAGCTTAACCCAAAATCAAGTTTAACTTCAATACTCCCCTTTAAACTTGATTTTGTCAGTCATCCCGAGCTTCGAGCGAAGTAACTCGAACTGACCTTTTGGTAATGACTTGGTGAAGATATCCGCAACGTTGTCCTCGCTTCGAACTTCCAAAGCTTCAATTGTCCCATCAAGCACCTTCTCTTTTATGAAGTGATGCTCTAACTCAATGTGTTTAGTCCTCCCATGGAACACCGGATTATTGGCCAGCTTGATCGCACTTTGATTTTCTCCATAAATTGCAATTGGCTTATTGATTGGCTCGAACAGATCTTCAAGGAGTCTCTGAAGCCAAATACACTCTTGAGCTGCTAGAGTTGACGCTTTATACTCTGCTTCAGTTGTAGATAACGACACCGTTGCTTGCTTCTTACTGCACCATGAGACACTTGTGTTCCCACATAGGAAAACATAGCCTGAAGTTGATTTCCGATCATCAAGATCTCCACCAAAGTCAGCATCCGTGAAGCCATAAAGAGAGACCTTGGCATTATACTTGTACACCAGACCCATGCCAAGAGTTGTCTTCACATACTTCAATATCTTCTTTGCCGCTTCTAGATGTGGCTTCCTTGGTGCCTGCATAAACCGACTTACAAGACCTACCGCGAAGGCAATGTCAGGTCTTGTAATGGTTAAGTATAAAAGACTTCCTACAAGAGAGCGATAAGGCCGAGGATCAGGTAGTAAGGACCCTTCATCGCGTTTAAGCTTTATGTTGACATCCATTGGAGTAGAGCGTGTCTTTCCTTCGTGTACTCCAAACTTCTCAACGATTCTTCTTGCATAGCTTTGTTGGCCGATGAATATTCCACCCTTTACCCTTTCCACCTCCAAACCGAGAAAGTTGTTGAGCTCTCCCAACTTCTTCATCTCAAACCTTATCGACATATCCTCTTGTAAACGAGTAATTTCTGCATCATCATTCCCGGTAATTATCATATCATCCACGTAAAGGAGAACTACCACGTGGACTCCTCCATTCTTCTTGAAGAATAGACTCGGATCAGAGTTTGATGCCACATAACCGCAGAACTGAAGAAACTGAGCAAGCTTTCCATACCAGGCTCGTGGAGCTTGTTTTAACCCATACAAGGCCTTCTTCAGCTTACACACATAATCAGGATGCTCTCGTGATATAAAACCAAGTGGCTGCTCCATCAGGATTTCCTTGTCAAGCTCTCCATATAGAAAAGCATTCTTCATGTCTAATTGCCATAACTTCCAACCAAAACTTGCAGCCAAAGATAAGAGAGAACGTACCGTAGTCATCTTGGCTACAGGGCTGAAGGTCTCATCATAGTCTTCTCCATACTTTTGAGAGAATCCCCGAGCAACCAACCTTGCTTTGAATCTATCAACGCTTCCATATGTTTTGCGCTTGATCCGGTACACCCATTTACAAGAAACAGGTTGGGCATTCTTGGGTTTTGGAACCAAATCCCAAGTTTCGTTCTTCATGAGAGCATTCATCTCCTCCTTCATTGCGTTTTCCCACTCGTCAACACCTTTTGCTTCATCATAAGATGTTGGCTCATCTTCATCTAATGGAGCTGCAAAGTAGCACGAGAAGGTAGTAACAAACTTTGGATCTCTGAACCGAGCAGGTTTAATGATGTCCCTTTTAGGCCTTTGACTAGCCGTGGAACCATGATGTTCCTCCTCATCCTCCTCTTGATCAGTGCTCCCCCTTTCACCTTGCATCTCTTCTTCAAGACCTTTTTCCTTACTCAGAACTGGTTTATCACTCTTGGAGGAACTCCCACCTTCTTGCTCAACTAAAACTTGAGGTGGCCCATAGAATGAGGAAACTTCATCAAAAACAACATCTCGAGACACTACGTACCTGTGTGTCTCTGGATCCATACACCTCCACCCTTTTCTTTGTTCGTCATAGCCAACGAAGATGCACTTCTTCGCCTTTGCCTCCAACTTGGTTCTTTGAGAATCAAACACATGGACGTAGCAGACTGATCCAAATATCCTGAGATGTTTCACTGACGGCTTCTTCCCATGAATCATCTCATACGGAGACTTCATGTTATTTGGGCTGAGTGGCATCCGATTTATGACGTACACTGCGCATCTCATGCCTTCCGCCCACAAGGCTTTAGGCAGATCCTTCCCATATAGCCAGCTTCTGCACGTCTCAGTTAGATGTCGAATCTTCCTTTCCGCTACTCCATTTTGTTGAGGTGTATACGGACAAGTAAACTCTCTCTTTATTCCATGCTTTTGACAAAAAGAGAGAAACTCCTTGGACATGAACTCCCCTCCATTATCTGTCCTTAAGGTCTTGATTCTCCGACCCAGCTCCCCTTCCACGGTAACCTTGAATTCTTGAAATTTGGAGAATACTTCTGATTTTTCCTTCACAAAGTATACCCAAGTGTGCCGTGAGAAGTCATCAATGAACAGCAACATGTACCGAAACCCGGAATATGAGGGTGTTCTTGTAGGACCCATCAAATCACTATGGATCCTCTCCAACAGAGCACTGCACCGTGAAGTAGAATTGTCAAATGGAAGTCTATGTGATTTTCCATATTGACAACCTTCACAAAGCTTTCCTTCATCTTGGATCTTCAGCTTCGGAAGCCCATTTACCAACTCCTTATTCACCATAACCTTTAGCTTAGTCATGTTTATATGACCAAGCCGAGCATGCCATATAGAGGCATTGTCGTTTGTACTCATCTTCTCCACGTATGAGTTGGACGCAGATAAGACATATAGATCCTTAACCCGCGATCCGGTGTGAACCACATCCACCTTTAACTCTTTAATATTCTTCAAGAATTTGACGTCTCTTGGGCCAAATAAAACGTAGTTACCTGAGTCTACTGCATTCACCACAGAGAGAAGATTCTTCCTTACTCCAGGGACATGGTATACATTCTTGAGGGTGATAGGGCTTCCATCTTCTCCTTCAATGACAACAGTCCCTTCCTTCTCGACCCGGTGAACTGAATTATCCGCGGTAATTATGGCTTCTTTTCCATCATGGCGCTGAAGACTAGAAAATAGCTTCTCGTCTCCGGTAATATGGTGGCTACAACCCGAATCCATAATCCAATCATTTTCAAGATTTTTAGTTGTGGATATACCTGAAGATGCAGCCTCCACCGTGAAGCATTTCCCCCATTCTTCATCTTCAATATGACCTTTTGATTCTGCCATATTTGTCTCTTTCAGCTTGACTCGACAATCCTTTTTGAAGTGCCCAAGCTTTCCACACCGGTAGCACTTGAATCGCTTCTTATCTCCAGTAGAAGATCCTTCCGGTCCATCGATGTTCTTTGCACCATCGTATTTGGATTTGGCTTTGAAGTTGTGTTGCTTCCGAGCTACAAAGGCGCTCCCCGAGTCATCATGGATTTTGACTCCTGCCATTTGTGTAGCTAATGACTCTTGCGAAGCTAGCAGGTTCTCGAACTCCTCCAAGGAAGGTTGTGTAGCCCATCCTTGAACCGAAGTCACAAACGGTGTATACTCAGGTCGTAGACCTCGAATAATATACCGTTTTAAACGTGCTTCGGAAATTGACTCCTCCGGATTTAGAATATTAATCTCTGAGCGAAGATTCTTTACCTTGATGAAAAACTCTGAGATTGAAGACTCCCCCTGCTTTGCATTCGCCAACTCGTTCTCTAACAGTTGTAGCCGAGCTTCATTCTTCTTGTTGAACAACTGATCTAACGCCTGCCAAATGGAACTAGCGGATGTGCAACTTGAGACATGCTCAAAGACTCCCGAGGATATTGACCTCTTCAATGCAAACTCCGCCTTGGCATTCTTCCGTGTCCACTCCTTTGTCGCTTCCGCTGTCGCAGCAGCTCCCCTTGGTGGTTTTGTGCTACTGCCGCCGACGACATCCCATAAGTCCTCACTCACCAAGTATGACTCTATGCATGACTTCCATAACCGGTAATTGGATTGGTTTAGAATCTCCATTCCCAACCCAACAACGCGACCCATTGACTCCATACTTAGAGTAAATCTGAGATCTCAATTAATCCGATCTTGAAAAAGAACCAGATCAGAATGGCTCTGATACCATGTAAAGAAAACACCGATAGTGCCAAGCACTAGCCCAAGACCGTAATACCCGAGAGATCCGAAAGAAACAAAAACCCTCTAAGTATGAATAATAAGATGAAAAAATACTTAGAGAAAACTTGAAGGAACTTTAGAGAGAATAAGAGAACTTATGAAGAACACTCTTTCTTTATTTGTTCAACTTCTCTTGTTTACAAATGATGGAGTAGTGGGCTATTTATAGACTCCATTTATTACAAAATATCTTACAAACATTCTCCTAATCTCTAGAATTTTCTACAATAATATCTAGAATTTTAACTACAACATCTAGAATTATCTATAGAATTATCTAGATATTTAACTAATAGAATTCTCTAGAACATTTAAGAAAGATGATGATTTTTAGTGATGTTTCTAGAGATTCTAGAACTTGAGCTTAATTTTGGGCCTAATCTAATAACTAATAATTATTTTATAAACCCAAAATTAAGCTTAACCCAAAATCAAGTTTAACTTCAATATCACGCACATGGGCAAAGGGAGCTCTACAGATGACTTGGAAAGTTTCGGTGTGAAGATCCAACGATAAGACCTTGGTTTCTTCACACCCCGTTAACCAATAAAGTGACCCATCTAAATACACGGGGGCCTCGAGTAAGGATGAATCCGAAAAGGAGAAGCAGGGACAACGTACCTCCAAGCATTGGTGCTAAAATCGAATACCTCACAAGTTGTAACGTTGTCTAGACCAAGCTCGGATGAATTATATAACCACACCGGCTTGTACGTTCCCCTTACTTTGTCTTTACCGAATCCAAGCTCAGGACTTGGGTATCTAAACTTCTTGCTGAGAAGCTGTTGATAGGTTGAAAGAGGAAAACTTCGATGACATCTAGTCGCGGGATTCACCACGACGCTGACACTCGGTGTGCACATTGAGAGTGTGTAGAGGCATACTAGACCGTCACAACTACCATAGCAAAACATGCTTCCTGAAGTAGGGAACCTTACCGTAGAAACTATTGATGACCCCACCACCACAGTTCTTTGAGCATCTGTGTCAGGACCATCATCACCATGATAACCAATTCTTGGAGCATCTGTGTCCAGATCAGCATCATCATCATCATCATCATCATCATCACTACTACTAGGATAATTGAGGCACATGCAAAGGAAATCTGGACCTCGTGATTGCCTGCGACGGATCCATTGTCCTTCTTGGAAACGTTGGGACTCGATTGTCGATTTCCACTTCTTGGACACAGACTTGAATCGTAGCAGAGACTCCACGGGAAGTCCCTCGAGGATGAGCTCTACCACATCGTGGGGTAACAATTCCACACAGGAGCGATGTCTTTTCAACATTGTATCGTCTCTAATTGATCAAGAGAGACGATCCAGACTTTAACAATGTATATCACACGAGCATCCGACTCGAGCTAGGAATCGGATAAAAAAAAGTAAAAGTTCAAGTCAGATTCATTCCATTGTGGAAAAGGAAATTCCAACACTTATCTTTCTTCATCGAAATACAGTATATATCTTATTTCCTGAATAATTAAATGGAAAAACTCAACAACATATCACAGCTTTCATCAATATCAATATCACAATTACAATTAGAACAAAAAACAGAGAGAAGAAAACACAGTGAATACTTCAGGCAATGATCGCATCAAATCCTTCCTCCTCCGCCTTTACCAATCCTCAGGAAACAAATCTTTACTCTTTATTGAGTATCGGTGTCGATGTAGATGCGGCTGTTACAGGCGGAGGAGAGAGACAGAGATCTCATAGGAAACTCGGAAGTTAGGTACTGTACTTGCTTGCAAGTACAACCCTTACGTCTTCTTCCTTCTCTCTTTTAGGCTTTGTGTTTTTATTTGGGTTTGAAATTCATAACCCATTTCGTTTATTTATTTATTAAAAAACAAAATAAAAGAAAATCTGTAAATATGTATTTTGGTTACCGTGATATTTCGAGCATAACAAGACCATTAAATGGAGAAAACAAATTTTTTTTTGGTCGGAATCGTGAAAACAACATAGACATCTAGGGTAGTAAGGTGTGAGTTATTCATTCATTTAACTAGAGAATTTAAATTATTTTAAAAGAATTGAAGTTCCAAAGATTTGGAACTTGGGGCAAGCTTCAAAGTGTTGTAGTCCTCTATATGTGATACATTCTTTATTTTCATTGATCAATTTCAATTTACCTTGTAAAAAAGCAATTTCAATTACATTTGCATCCACATTGAACCATATATGGAATTGGTTTAATACTCAAGCGGATTCCAGTTTCTCCTGAGCCGGTTAGTTTTCATCATCATAGAGACAAATCTTTATGATCATTATCAGACTTAAGAGACAGAGAATCCTCGTCACTCGTATCCAAAACAAACATTGGTTGTTTCGGCTTTGGAAGATCTATTGTCGAAGTCAGCATTGTCACAACTTGTTTGATGTTTGGTCTGTCCGTTGCTTGGTGCTGAACACATAGCAAACCTATCTGAACACATCTCATCACTGCCTCAACTGAATCTGACTCGGACTCAGCAATGTCCTGATCCAACAGATCAACTCCTCCGGTTTCAGTCCATGATTCCCATGCCTGTTGTTACAACGAAATACTACAAGATTCAAGAAACCAAGATTTGTCTCAACTTGATTTGTAATAAGATTTCAAGGGTTGTTCCTTACATATGCAAGAAGGTTTTTGTCTTCTTTCCCATAGCTAAAGCTCGAAATCTCTTTTCCACTGACGATTTCCAGCATCAAAACTCCAAAGCTATACATGTCAGATTTCTCAGAGAATGTCCCTGCCCATGCATACTCAGGAGACATGTATCCCCTGTTCGGATATTGAATGATTTCAGAGAAAAAAAGAGTTAGTATACAGGATGTGAAACTTTGATTACAACATGTGACTGACTATTAGGAGGAGAAGAGGCGTGACTCTTACAAAGTTCCAAATACTCTGCTAGTGTTGTCTTGATTTTGAGTGCCTTGAAACATCCGAGCCAAGCCAAAATCCGATATTTTTGGATTCATCTTCTCGTCCAAGAGAATGTTGCTGGCCTTTAGATCGCGGTGTACAACTCTGAGGAATGAGTCGCGGTGGAGATATACAAGTCCACGAGCAATACCTTGAATGATATTGAATCTCTTAGGCCAATCAATCTCCTGCTTCTTCTTCAAATCTATAGATTATCTCACAAGTTAAACCAAAACCGATTACATAAGGAAAATGACAAATGCAGAGGTAAGATGAAGAAAAGTAGGACTAACCGAAGAGAAAAGTATCGAGGCTTTTGTTCACCACAAACTCATAAATCAATAGCTTCTCTTCTTCTTCAATGCAATATCCTAAAATCCTAACCAAGTTTCTATGTTGTAGTTTTGAGATTAGCTTTAATTCGTTCATGAATTCCTCTGTGCCTTCTCCAGAGCTGCTAGAAAGACGTTTTACAGCTATTTCTTTCCCATCTTTTAGCTTCCCCTGTAATGAGAAAGTGTTGCAGAGAGAGAGTCATCAAGAGAACAAGAAAGACAATAGAAGTAAAGAGCAAAATATATATTATCGTTTACCTTGTAAACTGTTCCGAATCCACCTCGACCGAGTTTATTTGAGTCGCTGAAATTATCGGTTGCAGTTTGTATGGTATGCATCTCAAAGAATATCAAACCTGAGACATCTTGTGGTTCCAAATTATTCTTCCAAGAATCTTCTGAAATCTCCATGGCTACACGAGCTTCACCTACGAGTTACAAGTATCCATCCATGTATTAGTACTTAAAGTTTCTAAGCATTTGAGGATTAGTCCAAAAACTCATAACAGAGGAGCTTCAAACATCTCACTTCTGACAAATAAAGGGAAATAAGATCAAGAAAAAAAGTAAATGGACAACTCTTAAGATTAAAATTTTGGAGTCTCTGTCTCACCATTTTCTTTAAGTCTGTATCTCCAACATCCAAATGCCACAAGCCCCAAGATTATACACACGCAGAGGCTGATAGAGCTAGCAGCGATGATCTTGGTTCTCTTGCTTCCAGCTGTGAGAATCACCAAGAAACTAAACTGTAAACCATATTGCTATTGAAAACAAAAAAAAACAAGAGTAAAGCAACAAAAAAAAAACAGAGTAAACAAAAAGAAAAAAAACAGAGTAAAACGAAAACAAAATTGAGATTCGTGATGTCTTTAAGCCTTACCTAACTCAGAACGTGCAAGACGGATGGAAAGAAAATCTCCTCCTTCACTAAACTGAACCGTGTCCAATAGCTCTTGGTTCCACACTAAGCATCCAATTCCATTAATATAGGCAAAGGCCGAGCAAGAACAGTTGCGGAGACATCCTTGACGGCATTGCTCTGCATCACCAAAGCTTGCCAGTTCGTAAAAATCCGGAGGCTTAATATTGGCAACACGGTAAAACCTGTCTGTTGTGTCTTTGGTTTCTGCTGTTGAAGAAGAGTTTTCTTGACATGATGATAACTCTGTTCGTCTCACACACCCACGAGTCCAGATTCCTCTGTTCCACTCATCATCTGACTTGGGCACAAACCCTTTCAAACATTTGCAGGTTGGTGTACTAACCGACCTGATACACAAACCATAAGGTCCACATGTACCGTAGAGATCACATGAGCTTAAAGGACCTTGAAAATGCTTAATCCAGCCGGTGGTGCCACCGTTACTACGGTGAATATCCAGTGACCCATTTGATGTTAGCTTGATGTATGACACATCATAGTTTCTTAGTGCGCAAAATGTCAAAACTCCTGTGCCATTCACCACATCTTGGACCACCTGTAATGGGTTTACATATGTTGCATCCATTTCTGGTATCCCTGAGAACCTTGTTTCCCTCCATGGCCCGCTTCTCCAGTAAGGTGTCGAGCCTTTCCTTACAAGTCCTTGAGGTGGAACGTCTGTAGTAAGCTCTCCTAGAAACTCCCCAGGAGATGGATCTGTGTTACTCTTCCAAGAAGTCAACACACGCCTCGAGTTGTTAGGAATATCATACATGAGCGATGACAGAGGAAGCATAGTATCAGCAGGATGCTCAAAACTTTGCCATATATATGTTCCAGTAACGTTATCTATGAGAAGAAGATTTCCGGAGTTTGAAAGCTCAGCACGACATTCGTTAGATGTGAGAGCTTCTTCTCCAGATGACCAGAGAACTTTTTGTTTCTCATCAAGCAAGACGAGACTTCCATTACCGCTGATTGTAAGACTCGCCGTGGAGCTCGTGACTGGATTTTCTCTATTAGCTACCCAAACGTATACCCGAGGAGTGACTCTCTTGAACCAGATTCCAACGTATTGATGATTTTGGGAGCTGTTCGGACTGAAGAATCCTAGTTCGAAGGATCCATCTGGAGAGCTGAGAGATTGTCTTATTGACAAAGGACTCGATGTGGTTATATCTGCAAAGCCATAACTTGAGGACATGGTTAACAAAAGCAAACAAGGAAAGTAAAAAATAACCATCTTTCCTCTTATGTCTGAGATTTTCGGTGTATGAATGAAAAACTATTTTATTATTCAGATGAATATGAATGAAACCTATTAGATGTTCTGATACTCAAACAACCCATCTTGACCGGGCGAACTTATTGGCATATTTTGTATTTAACTCAAACATCTTAAATTGACCAAATATCTTGATTGACTTCTATTTTTTTTTACAAATTGTTATAATCCTTGTCATTATACGAAATAAAGTACTATACTTTGAATATTCAACTGAGTAAAGAAAAAGAGAACAATTATTCAAAATTTCAACATAAAAATCAGACCCTACTGAAAATGATATATGTTACTTGAAAGCTACGGAACTTATATATATAGTAAGACCGTTGAGTCTATGGAATCGGACCAGGTCATGATCATTTAATGAGTTTTATTCCAATGATAAATGACTGATTTAACCAGTTATGGATCTATCATATGAAAACAATGCATATGATGTTTTACTAACTAGAGGATCGAACAAGATCCTTCAATTTGTTGTGAATAACAATAATAATAGCCAATCAAAAGACTTTTTGTTGTACCTAGTGCAAAGATCACCAAACAAAACTGGTTGTTTGGTATCCATCAATGTTCATAATTGATAATTGGTCCAATCCAATTTTATTTTCACCAATGCTATTATGTTACCATCTCTTCTGTTATGCATTAAACCATAATCAGTGGAATTAAAGTTACAAAATAGTATAGAAGTTGCTTTGGGATAGGAAAGATGAACAAATTTGTCTGATAGTGTCATAAGAGAGGAGGAGCATCTTAGTTTGAGTTTGAATAGTTTTTTTTTTTTTTTAATTTAACTGAACATTGTGATGTGACATAGCATTTTCTTTGTATCTTTTAATTGTAGGTAACTTTTCACATTCTTTCTCTTTCTTATAAATATTGTGAAGAACCAGATCATGAGAGAAAATGCAACACATGTGAACATTCATCGCAGCTACTGATGAGTTGAGAACAAATATCTTCTTCCTTAAAAACTCAATTTTTTTTTTTTTTTTAACTGCTTCTCTTGTTTGGGTTCACTTTGAACTGCTTTTCTATATTGTTATTTTGAAGGTTCTCAACATCCGAAATTCGATACGCATCAAACTTAATCAGTTCACACTTCAAATTTTCAAACTGTTATGCATATCATTTTGCTTTGATGCACTAGATAGTTTTAAAAAAAAAAAAAATCAAACTACTAACAATTTTTTAGTACTTAACATATTCCAATGATTGAGTTTTGTTATTTATGTACTCTGTATAATCTAAGTGAAAGAAATACTGGAGCAATTCACACGGAAGACATGAAAGGAGAAACAGAGCTGTAATGTGAATAAATCAACTCTATATAAAGTAGTCCTGGGAAACTTTTATCGCCCATGTATCGCAGTTTGTGTTAAATCATTCACAGACTCGGAGACTGAGACACCACTCTCATGGTCTTGAATCTGCAATGCAAATACTGGTTGTTTTGGTATCGGAAGTTCGGTTTCAGTCGTGATCATTGACACTACTTGTGCAACGTTTGGTCTGTCAATAGCTTGTTGTTGGATGCAGAGTAGACCAATCTGAACACACCGAGCAACTTCAACCGGAGAACACGAGCTGGTAATATCTTGATCCAATAGATCCACTCCACCGGTCTCGAGCCAAGATTCCCATGCCTGGTTTACAGTTTCAAAATTTACAGCATCTAAGAAATTGTGGCATCATAAATATTGCAACACTAGGAGGACAAAGCAAATTTCTTACATATTCAAGAAGGGTTTTGCCTTTCCCTCCACAGTTAAAGCTTGAGATCTTCTTCCCGCTTATGATTTCTAACTGCAGAACTCCGAAAGCATATATGTCGGACTTCTCTGAGAACATCCCTGTCCATGCATACTCCGGAGACATGTATCCCCTGTTCAAATCCCAAGCAGTCTGCTAAGTTTGACATACTTAATACTTTGACTGAGCATGTCACTGTGATGGATGATACTTACAGAGTTCCAACAACCTTACGGGTGTTGTCTTGATGTTGGGTTCCTTCAAACATCCGAGCCAATCCGAAATCTGATATTTTTGGGTTCATGTTTTCGTCCAACAGAATGTTGCTGACCTTCAGATCTCGGTGTATGACCCTCAGGCATGAGTCACGATGGAGATAGAGAAGCCCACGCGCAACACCTTGAATGATGTTGAATCTCTTAGGCCAATCAATCTGAAGCTTTAGTGTCGAATCTAGCATATAAGATAAACCATATTAATGATCAAGAAAAAGAAATCCTCATATGATGAAAGGAAAAGGAAAAAAAATGTAGAGGCAAATGTAGCACAAGGAGCAGACCAAAGAGAAAAGTGTCGAGGCTTTTGTTCACCATAAACTCATAAATTAGTAGCTTTTCTTCTCCATCAATACAGCATCCCAAAAGCCGAACCAAGTTTCTGTGTTGTAGTTTCGAAATGAGTTTTATTTCATTCATGAACTCTTCTGTACCCTGCCCAGAGCTGCTAGAAAGCCGTTTAACGGCTATTTCCTTCTTGTCTGGCATATTTCCCTAGAAGCAAAGTTGCAGACAGTCATCCATAGAACAATATATGACATAGACATGTGAAGAATAAAGAGAACAATTCTCGCTTACCTTATAAACTGGACCAAATCCACCTTGACCGAGTTTGTTTGAGACATTGAAGTTATTGGTAGCAGCTCGGATGGTATCCATCTCAAAGAACGTTAAACCTGAGACTCCTTGTGTATCCAAAACATTTTTCAATGAATCTTGGGAGTTGTTGAAGAACACCCGAGTTGGCCCAACAAATCAGAAACGTCTGAGAATTAGTATATAATTTGAAGAAGTGTAGCAAGCTAAATCTCAATAGACACAGGCTTCAAGTAAATCTTGTATACAGAAACTTCTACAACCTAAAAGCAAAGAGCAACCATAATCTGTATGACCATATACGTGTTTAAGTGTCTATTTGATCATGAGATATATGACAAAAGAGAAAAACAGAGCACAAGAAAACAGAGACAGCTACTATGTTTTCCGATGTCTCACCATTTTGTTTTGCTCTGTACCTCCAGTACTTATATAAGGCAAAGACCAAAATCACAAAAATGGTAGGGCTGAGAGTACCAGCAATAATCTTTGTTCTCCTGCTTCCAACTGAGATTTTAACACAAAACATAACTGTAAAAAGTAAAAACCACACTGCAATGGAAATGAACACTATAGCAAATGATGGAAAAATCTCTTTCAGCCCTACCGAGTTCTGAACTTGCAAGACGAATTGAAAGAAACTCTCCTCCAGTGGAATATATAACTGTGTCCATCAGCTCCTGATTCCAAAGCAAGCATCCAATTCCAGTAATATACGCAAAAGCAGTGCAAGAGCAATTGCTGAGACAACCCTGGTGGCACTGATCTGCATCCACAAAGCTTGCATATTCGTAGAGATTCGGAGGCTTTACATTGGCCAGACGATAGAAGACGTCTCCGCCTTTTCCTTGTGTCTTTGTAGATAAGTTTGCCTGACAAGATAATTCTGTACGTCTCACACATCCAGAAGTCATGTTACCGCGCTTCCACTCCTCCTTGTGTTTTGGTACAAACCCTTTCATGCATTTGCACTTTATGGGAATGGACGTCACACACAACCCAAAAGGTCCACACGCACCGTACAGATCACATGAATTCGCTGGAGTCACAAAGTCCAAAACCCAGCCTGTCCCATTGTACCGAAAAGTCTTTAGATATCCCTCTGATGTTATGATAACTCGTGTAAGTTCAGAATTTCTCTGTATATAAGAGAAGGACCCTGTTCCATTTCCTACATCTTGGAAAAGGCTAAATGGACTTGTGTATGATTCATCCATTTGTGGAACGCCAGTGAACCCGGTCTTAGCCCATGGACCGCTCCTCTTATAAAGCTTCGAGCCTTTCATAGTAACAATCTGTGCTGGTACTTGTGGCGTCAACTGAACTACAAAATCACCAGGAGATGGATCATTGTGGCTTTTATAAGAAGTCAATACTCGCTTCTCCCCAGTGGCAAGGTTGTACATCAGAGATGAGAGAGGCAGCAAGGTATCACCAGGATTTTCGAAACTTTGCCACAACAGATTTCCTGAAGCATCATCGATGATGACAAGATTGCCTGTATCTAAGAGCTTTGCGTGACACTTGTTAGATGTGGAAGCTTTTCTGGTTGACCAGACAACATTTTTCCTGCTGTCAAGCAAGATAAGGCTCCCATTTCCGCTGATAGTGAGGTTTGCCACAGGGTTTGTGATAGGCTTTTCTCTGTTAGCCACCCACACAACCACCCGTGGTGTAACTTTCTTGAACCAGATCCCGACATACTGATTCTGAGAGTTGTTAGGAGTGAAGAATCCTAACTCATAAGATCCACTAGGGGAACTCAGAGTTTGTCCTAATGACAAAGGACTTTCTCTAGATATAGCTGCACGCCTTTCTCCAGATATAGCTGCATAGCCACAGTTTAAGAATATATTTAACCAGAGAAAGCAAGGAAAGAGAACAATACCCATCTCTCTCAAGTGTATCCCCATGTGTCCAAAAGAGTTCTCCTTCAGATCTGAATGTATGAACAAAATCTTATTTTGATAAACTGAAAGCACTGATAACAATGACTCTTTGTATATTATTATTTATACTCATATGATATTGCATGGTTTTATATATCAGCGCCTCGTTTTTGGATAGGCATTATAATAAACCGAACTGTTGACTCATGTTTCTCTCTCCAAAAGAGTATATAACAGATGCCTTTGTCTGATAGTACATAATAACATATTTTTAATGATTGAGTTTTGTTGTTTCTGTACTCTGTATAATTGAACTGAAAGAAATACTGGACCAGTTACACGATAAACACTTATAAGCTTCCACACGAAAGACATGAAAGGAGAAACAGAGCTGTAAAAATGAATAAACTACCTCTCTATGAAGGCTTCCAAAGATGAGAGTTTGCTGGGATCCAAACATTATTCACCATCACCTCTCCATGAAGGCTTCTACTTCAGACTAGCTCTTGTTCTTCTACATTGGTAAATACAGCTCACTATTGTATTGCGTGGGGGTCATCTCACCAGTAATCTCCACACGAACAGGCACCATTCTTGAAATGGTGAAACCTTTGCATGTCCCGTACAATAATATCCCTTCCGGTCACAAGGGATATGTACTTCGTAGCATTGTGACAGTCAGCACAGACCCGCAGGTTCTTTCTAACATGAATAGTTGTACCAGCTGTTGTATTCAAGAGTCCAAAAGAAATAGCCAGCTTCTCGCTGTGGCTACACAGCAACTGCTCCTTCACATCATCTTCCACGCCGAGGATTAAATTCGTGTCAGGAACATAACCTGCTTCTTTGATTTTCCCCATCAGCTTATCAAGAAAGGCATAAATCCTCTTGGATTGGGGATGGGCTGTGCTTCCAGAGAAGAAGCTATGCACCTCATTCTTTATCTCCACCATACTGCAGCCAGGAGTTTTGCGCAGACCCTGTCTCAACATTGAAACTCTCACTTGTCCCACTTTTTCCCACATTGAAGCTGCGCGGTATATGTTTGCAAGCAGCACATGATACCCACCATCATCCGGGTTCAACTCAAACAATCTCTCTGCTGCTTTCTCAGCGAAATTGATGTTTTTATGAATCTGGCAAGCACCTAACATGGCACCATATACATTGACAGCTGGCTTAACGGGCATCTCCATTATAAAGTCCCATGCTTCATTCAACCGTCCAGCTCGACCTAGAAGATCGACCATGGCTCCATAGTGGTCCATTGACGGTTCTATGTTGTAGTTTTCCTTCATCATATGGAAGCACTTGATTCCTGCCTCCACCAAACCCGAGTGGCTGCAAGCAGAGATAACAGAAAGAAACGTGACACCATTTGGTTTGATGGTGCCTTCACGCATTTCTTCAAACAACTCCAGAGCAGATTTCCCAACCCCATGTGTCCCGTATCCATCAATCATCGCGTTCCATGTCGTCACGTGACGCTCGCTCATCATGTCAAAAATCTTTCTTGCGGTCATAATAGCTCCACATTTCGCATACATATCGACTAGAGCCGTTGTGACAAACACGTTTTTGTCCAGACAGTTTCGCATGACAACCCCATGTATCCACTTCGCATGATGAGCAACTGACAACTCCGCAAGAGCAGTTATCACACTCACATAAGTAAACGTATCTGGCTTCACTGTCCAAGCTCGCATCTGGCTGAAGTAATTCAACGCTTCTATAGGACGACCATTCTGTGCAAATCCTAATATCATTGCGTTCCAAGATACAAGAGTTCTGGTCTGCAATTTCTCGAACATAGAAGCTGCAGTATCGACTTCCTTGCACTTGCAATACATGGAGATCAAAGAGTTCACTACTGAAACATTTCTATCAAGATCCAACTCAACTGATAACTTATGGATGAATCTTCCTCTCTCTAGGTCTCCCAGGTCAGCACAAGCATGCAAAGCACCCATGACGGATACATCGGTCGGTTTCACTCCCTCGTCCAACATCTTCTGAAAAACTGTAATTGCCTCGTTAGGATTCTCATTCTGCACATACGCGTCAATCATTGAATTCCATGAAACAACATTCCTTGTTAACATCCCATCAAAGAGAAGCCGAGCAGTTTTCAGAGATCCACATTCTGCGTACATATCAACCAAAGCAGTGGAGATATTGACAAGAGAATCAAATCCAGCCCGCGTGGCATACCCATGAATCTCCTTGCCAATACTAATCGACCCTAGAGCAGAGACAGCAGGCAAAACCGAAACAATGGTGATAAAACTTGGCTTCAGATTCTCCTCGCACATTCGAGTAACCATGTCTAAGGCCATCCTAGCCAATCCATTCTGCGAATACCCAGAAACCATTGTATTCCAAGAAACCAAGTCTCTCTCAGGCATTCTATCGAACACCTTGCGTGCCTCATGAACCTGCCTACACTTAGCATACATATTCTCAAGCCCAGTCATGGCAAACAAATCTAACGAGAACCCACTCTTCACCAACAACCCATGAATCTCCTTTCCCATCCTGAGATCCGCTTCGTCTCCGCAAACTTTCAGCAGATAAGTGAAGTTATACACAATGGGCTCTACATCGTCATACCTCATTCGAACAAAAAAGTTCACAGCTTCATCCAAATCCGAAACCTTAGCGTACCCTTTGAGCATAGTGTGATAGAGAACATCTAGCTTATCATCAATCGGGTCGAAAACACGAGCAGCCTCGACGACACTGCCATAGCGACAAAACAAGCTGACAAGCTTCGTCTGGAAAAGGTGCTCCTGATAAAGACCATTCTTGAAGACGAGAGGCAGAATGTGACGGAGGTCTTTCAGAGAAGAGCATCTCTCGAGGAGAAGAGCCGCCGGGTGCTCGTAGACATTAGCCGGAATGTAAGTTCTCTGGGAAAGAATATGACGATGGTGAGACGAAAACGGTGAATTCGGGATTTGGGGAACGGTGGAGACCTGCACCAATTGTGAGCTCATGGCTTTGTTCAGCAAAAATCAAATCTTCAATTGACAATTCCTTCTCTCACAGGTCCCAAAATCTTCTCTCGATTCTAATTTTGCCTTTTTCTATAGAAGACAAACGAACCTCTGTTACAACAACAGAGCAGATATTATCGTTAAATGTCTGGATTTCATTGATTGACAGTGACGTGAGCTGATTTCGTAGAGGAAGATGAAGTGACTCTGGTGAATGAGACCAAGTCGTGAAAGATGGGCCAATTTTGGTCAATCAAACGTAGAAAGACCGCCATTAATAGAAAAAAATGATGCATCTTTCATCATCTTTAGAATAAGAACAGTGCCACTTGACTTGACCCCTTCAGTATAACAATATTTGGACTTTTCTCTTGAGAACTTAATGCTCACCACACCATCACAGCGTCACTTAGTTACAAACTCTATGATTGCTAAACACTACATTTAATAACCCAGGTATTTAGTCTGTTGTGTTTGGTTTCATTACAGGAAAGATACTAAGAACGCAAAGCTATATCCAAAGAAGTTTCTGTTCTTGAGAGGCTGGGACTGAAGCTATGGGGCTTCATGAGCGCATGAGTCCTTTTGTTCTTGTTCTTGCTCTCGTACTATGTTGGTTCTTGTCATGTGCCTGTCTTGCCCAGGAAAGAACTTTCTTTTCCGGCAACCTCAGTGATTCTGAGACGATAGTCTCCAGCTTCCGCACGTTCAGGTTCGGTTTCTTCAGCCCTGTTAACTCCACAAGTCGGTATGCAGGTATATGGTACAACAGCATCCCTGTACAAACTGTGATATGGGTTGCTAATAAAGATAAACCGATCAACGACTCCTCTGGAGTTATTTCGGTGTCTGATGATAGAAACCTCGTAGTTACTGATGGTCAGAGGCGTGTCCTATGGTCAACTAACGTCTCTACTCAAGTCCGTGGAAGTTCTACTGTCGCTGAGCTTTTGGATTCGGGGAACCTTGTGCTAAAAGATGCTAATACCGATGCGTATCTTTGGGAGAGTTTCAAGTATCCTACTGATTCTTGGTTGCCAAATATGTTGGTGGGGACAAACGCAAGAACCGGAGGAGGGAACATCACGATAACTTCTTGGAAAACCCCTTCAGATCCTTCTCCCGGGAGCTACACTGCTGCACTCGTTCTTGCTGCATATCCAGAGCTCTTCATTTTGAACAACAATAATAATAACGCTACGGTGTGGCGCAGTGGTCCCTGGAACGGCCAGATGTTTAACGGTTTACCAGATGTGTATGCGGGCGTCTTTCTCTACAGATTCATAGTTAATGATGATACCAACGGATCAGTCACCATGTCATATGCTAATGATTCGACCTTAAGATACTTCTACATGGATTATAGAGGATCCGTGATCCGGAGAGATTGGAATGAAGCTAGGAGAAACTGGACGGCCGGGTTACAAGTTCCGGCAACCGAGTGTGATATCTACAGAAGATGTGGCGAATTTGCTGCCTGCAATCCCCGGAGAACCCCGCCTTGTTCTTGCATTAGAGGGTTTAGGCCAAGGAACCTCATAGAGTGGAACAGTGGAAACTGGACCGGTGGATGCATAAGAAGAGTCCCTTTGCAGTGTGAAAGACAGAACAATAATGGAAGTGCTGATGGGTTTTTGAGGCTGAGGCGAATGAAGTTGCCTGACTTTGCAAGAAGATCTGAAGCTAGTGAACCAGAGTGCTTAAGGACTTGTTTGCAGACATGTTCTTGTATAGCCTGTGCTCATGGCTTAGGTTATGGTTGCATGATTTGGAATGGAAGCTTAGTTGATTCGCAGGAGTTGTCTGCTAGTGGAATGGATCTTTATATTCGTCTTGCACATTCAGAAATCAGTTAAGTACTATTCCTTAACTTCTCTCCTATTATTACTTTACTGATTGCTGTTTTACTAATTATGCTATTTCCTGCAAACTCTCTACTAGAAACACCGGACAGACGACCGGTTATCATCGGTACATCATTGGCAGGCGGCATTTTTGTTATGGCAGCCTGTGGTCTTTTGGCACGAGGGATTGTCATGAAGAAAAGAGGTTAGAGTGTAACTAAACTATGCTTACTGTTTATTAGCATGTTAGGTTTTTAGTTTTTTTATAATATTTTGAATTCGTTCTCAGCGCGAAAGAAAGGATCAGATGCGGAGCAGATTTTTGAGAGAGTAGAAGCTTTAGCTGGTGGTAATAAAGGAAAGTTGAAAGAGCTACCATTGTTTGAGTTTCAAGTGTTAGCTGCAGCGACCGATAATTTCTCTCTGAGAAACAAGCTCGGACAAGGCGGTTTTGGTCCTGTTTACAAAGTAAGTATGACTTTAAGAAGGGTTCTGGCAACAAGAACTTCTGTTGACTCAAATATCTATTGCAGGGGAAGTTGCAAGAAGGGCAAGAGATTGCAGTGAAGAGACTGTCACGAGCATCTGGACAAGGGCTTGAGGAACTTGTTAATGAAGTAGTTGTGATCTCTAAGTTGCAGCACCGGAATCTGGTGAAATTACTTGGTTGCTGCATTGCAGGAGAAGAAAGGATGTTAGTCTATGAGTTCATGCCCAAGAAAAGCTTAGACTATTATCTATTTGGTAACTTATCACTACATTTTGTTTTCAAAACTCTGTTCCAATGTTAACGCCAGGCTAATTAATAGAGGATAATGTGTTTTCCAGACCCAAGTAAGGCAAAACTTCTTGATTGGAAGACGCGGTTTGACATTATCAATGGAATATGTAGAGGTCTTCTGTACCTTCACAGAGATTCTCGGCTGAGAATCATTCACAGAGATCTAAAAGCCAGCAACATCTTGTTGGATGAGAATCTGATTCCGAAAATATCTGATTTCGGTTTGGCCAGGATTTTCCCAGGGAATGCAGATGAAGCAAACACCCGAAGGGTCGTTGGAACATAGTAAGTTACTTCATTCTAACCATAAGCTACACCTTTATTTTTTCCATTTAGATGAGCTATAAACCGTGAAAAATGAATGTATCCTGCAGCGGATATATGTCACCGGAATATGCAATGGGAGGACTGTTTTCAGAGAAATCTGATGTTTTCAGCTTAGGAGTGATACTCTTAGAGATTGTCAGCGGAAGAAGGAATTCAAATTCGACTCTTTTAGCTTATGTAAGTCTCTCATAACTCTGCTAAGTGACTTTAACTCTCTTGAGATTATTCTAAAGCTCTAAAACGCTTCTCTGTTTTTTCAGGCATGGTCGATATGGAACGAAGGGGGGATTAATATTCTGGTAGATCCTGAGATCTTTGACCCACATTTTGAGAAAGAACTACGGAAATGCGTTCACATTGGACTTTTGTGTGTGCAAGAAGCTGCTAACGACAGGCCAAGTGTTTCTACTGTGTGTTCGATGCTCAGCAGCGAGATTGCAGACATCCCAGAGCCGAAGCAGCCTGCTTTTATATCAAGGAACGGTCTTCCAGAAGCTGAGTCCTCTGAGAACAAAGCCTCTGTCAACAGTGTCACTATCACCGATGTCTCAGGACGTTAGAACCTGCAGAATCAAAACGTATGTTGTAATCCAAGAAATGGGCCTCATTCTTCATTATAGGCCCAATAAAGGCCCAACATCTGGATAATGGAGTCATGTATCATAAATTCTAAAATACGGTCCGCCGTATATACGGTGATATTACGGTCGTATGTTCAGGACACTGAACAAAGAATTTCACAGCTTTATCTCAAATTTGAAACCTTTAGGCTTTACCATTACTTTCAGCACAGTGTGATAAATAAAATCGAGCTCATCATCAATCGGGTCGAAAACACGATAGCCTCGACGACGCTAAAACAAGCTGACAAGCTTCGTCTGGAAAAGATGATCCTGATAAACACCATTCTTGAAGACGAGAGGCCGAATGTGACGGAGGTCCTCCTGAGAAGAGCATTTCTCGAGGAGAAGAGCCGCCGGGTGCTCGTAGACATTAGCCGGAAATCGGAATGTATCCTCTTTGAGAAAGAAAATGCCGATGGTGAGACGAAAATTGCGATTTGGGATTTGAGGAACGGTCAAGACCTGCACCAATTGTGAGCTCGTGGTTTTGTTCTGCAAAATCAAAAGCCTTCACTTGACAGATTCTTCACTTACTTACAGGTTCCAAATTCTTCTCTCGATTCTAATTTCTCCCTTTTCTATAGCAGACAAACGATCATCTGTTATAACAACAGAGCAAACAGTGACGTGAGTTGATTCCGTAGAAGAAGATGAAGTGACTCATAAATAAGACCAAGTCGTAAAACTTGACAATTTTTCTAAAAAAGATGGGCCAATTTGGTCAATCATTCAAACAAATATCGCCATTAATAGAGAAAAAAAAATTATTCATCTTGCATCGTCTTAGAACAGCGTCACTTGACTTTACACTTCACAGTAACCATATTTGGACTTTTCTCTTGAGAATTAAATATGCTCACCACACCATCACACCTTCACTTAACTCAAGACCCTACGATTCTTCAATGCTACAACTAATGCTAACTCCATGCTACATCTATATCTATTGTGTTTGGTTTCTTTTTAGGAAAAACAGCTATATCCAAAGTTGGGAAGTGTTTGCTCTTGAGAGGCTGGGACTGAAGCTATGAGACTTCTTGAGTGCATGAGTCCGTTTGCTCTTGTTCTTGTTCTTTCACTGTCTTGCTTCTTCTTCAATGTCAGTCTGGCTCAGGAGAGAGCTTTCTTTTCCGGCAACCTCAGTGACTCTGAGGCGATAGTCTCCAGCTTCCGCACGTTCAGGTTCGGTTTCTTCAGCCCTGTTAATTCCACAAGTCGGTATGCAGGTATATGGTACAACAGCATTCCTGTACAATCTGTGATATGGGTCGCTAACAAAGATAAGCCGATCAACGACTCCTCTGGAGTTATTTCGGTGTCTGAAGATGGAAATCTCGTAGTTACTGATGGTCAGAGGCGTGTTCTATGGTCAACTAACATCTCTGCTCAAGTTCATGCCAATTCCACTATCGCTGTGCTTTTGGACTCTGGGAACCTCGTGCTTAAAGATGCCGATACCGATGCATATCTTTGGGAGAGCTTCAAGTATCCTACTGATTCTTGGCTGCCAAATATGTTGGTTGAGACAAACGCAAGAACCGGAGGACGGAGCATCACGATAACTTCTTGGAAAACCCCTACAGATCCTTCTCCCGGTAGCTACACTGCTGCACTCGTTCTTGCTGCATATCCAGAGCTCTTCATTGTGAACAGAAATAAGAATAATGCTACAGTGTGGCGCAGTGGTCCCTGGAACGGCCAGATGTTTAACGGTCTACCAGATAAGTATGCGGGCGTCTTTCTCTACAGATTCATGGTTAATGATGATCACAATGGATCAGTCACCATGTCGTATGCTAATGATTCGACGTTAAGATACTTCTACTTGGATTATAGAGGATACGTGATCCGGAGAGATTGGAGTGAGGCTATGAGAAACTGGACGGTCGGAGACCAAGTTCCTGCAACAGAGTGTGATATTTACAGAAGATGCGGCCAATTCGCTACCTGCAATCACCGGAAAACCCCGCCTTGTTCTTGCATTAGAGGGTTTACGCCAAGGAACCACATAGAGTGGAACAAAGGAAACTGGACCGGTGGATGCATAAGAAAGACCCCTTTGCAGTGTGAAAGACAGAACAATAGTGGGAGTGCTGATGGGTTTGTGAGGCTGAGGCGAATGAAATTTCCTGACTTTGCAAGAAGATCCGAAGCTAGTGAACCAGAATGCTTAAGTACTTGTTCGCAGACATGTTCTTGTACAGCTTTTGCTCATGGCTTAGGTTATGGTTGCATGATTTGGAATGGAAGCTTAGTCGACTCGCAGGAGTTGTCTGCCAGTGTAATGGATCTTCATGTCCGTCTTGCACATTCAGAAATCAGTTATTATTCTTTAGCTTCTCTCCTATTTTTACTTTACTGATTGCAGCTTTACTAATTTTGGTATTTCCTTCCAACTTTTTATTAGAAACGCCGGACACACGACCGATTATCATCGGTACATCATTGGCAAGCGGTATTTTTGTTTTGGCAGCTTGTGGTCTTTTAGCACGACGGATTGTCAAGAAAAGAAGAGGTTAGAGTTTAACTAAACTATGTTTTCTTCTTATAAGCATTGGACATTTTGGTTTTAGTAATATATTGGATTCGTTCTCAGCGAGAAAGGAAGGAACAGAGGCAGAGCAAATTTTTGAGAGAGTAGAAGCTTTAGCTGGTGGTAATAAAGGAAAGTTGAAAGAGCTACCACTGTTTGAATTTCAAGTGTTAGCGGCAGCGACTGATAATTTCTCTGTCACAAAAAAGCTCGGACAAGGCGGCTTTGGTCCCGTTTACAAAGTAAGTATGACTCTTACTTAAAGAGTTATGGCAACTAGAATCTATGTCGACTCCAATAACTCTTTGACATATTTTTTTGGTTGCAGGGGAAGTTGCAAGATGGGCAAGAGATTGCCGTGAAGAGACTGTCACGAGCATCTGGGCAAGGGCTTGAGGAACTTGTTAATGAAGTGGTTGTGATTTCTAAGTTGCAGCACCGGAATCTGGTGAAATTACTTGGCTGCTGCATTGCAGGAGAAGAAAGGATGTTAGTCTATGAATTCATGCCCAAGAAAAGCTTAGACTATTATCTATTTGGTAACTGATCACTATATTTTGTTCTCAACACTATGTTCCAATGTGAACACAACACCAGGTCAATTAATAGAAGCTAATGTGTTGTTCAGACCCAACGAAGGCAACACTTCTTGACTGGAAGACGCGGTTTAACATTATCAATGGTATATGTAGAGGTCTTCTGTACCTTCACAGAGATTCTAGGCTGAGAATCATTCACAGAGATCTAAAAGCCAGTAACATCTTGTTAGATGAGAATCTGATTCCGAAAATATCTGATTTCGGGTTGGCCAAGATTTTCTCTAGGAATGAAGATGAAGCAAACACCCGAAGGGTCGTTGGAACATAGTAAGTAACTTTATTCCAAACATATGTTACAGCTTTTTCCATAAATATGTTATAAAACTGAGAAAACAAATTTGTAATTCAGCGGCTATATGTCACCGGAATATGCAATGAGAGGACGGTATTCAGAGAAATCTGATGTCTTCAGCTTAGGTGTTATACTCTTAGAGTTTGTCAGTGGGAGAAGAAACTCAAACTCGACTCTTTTAGCAGATGTGAGTCTGAGTCTCTCCTAACTCTACTCACATTAACTTAATTCTCTTGAGATTGTTCTAATGCTCTAACAGCTTCTCTGTTTAATAGGCATGGTCAATCTGGAACCAAGGGGAGATTAGTGGGCTTGTAGATCCTGAGATTTTTGACCCACTCTTTGAGACAGAAATACAGAAATGCATTCACATTGGGCTTTTATGTGTGCAAGAAGCTGCTAATAAGAGGCCAAGTGTTGCTACAGTATGTTCAATGCTCAGCAGCGAGATTGCAGACATTCCACAGCCGAAAAAGCCTGCTTTTCTATCAAGGAACGGTGCTTCAGAAGCTGAGTCTTCCGAGAACAGTGACCTTAAAGCCTCTGTTAACAGTGTCACCATCACTGATGTCTCAGGACGTTAGAACCCTCAATGTAATCGATAAACTCTTTAAGCCTGGCCAGACAATATATCATTTATCTCTACTTGTACTGGTAAAATTAATACCCAGTAAAAATTCATATAATAATTGTGTTCATGGCAGGTTTGGATTCTATTTTCTTTTTGTAAAATTACTATTTGAAAAGATATTGGGTTCACTAGAAAAAAGAAAAGAAAATGATTGTGAAAGATTGGATAAATCGTCATCATGTCATACTGTGGTGTTTAAGATGGAACCCGAGTTTACAATGTTTACAAACCTAATTTAATTTGCTTACCGTAATAATGCTAGAGAATTTTAAATAAAAAAGCAAGCATACAAGCCATAAAAGTATTAAAATGTTTAAATGCTTTTTTGGGTACCATTTCTTATGTTCTATTCCCTGTTCTCTATAATGGGCCGTTTTAGTTTATTGAAAAAATATAAAAAACCAAAAAATAAAAATATTTGGTTCATTAGGTATCGAAGTCGGGGCTTTTACATGAAATCATTACCACTGACCACCAAACTAAAGACATGTTTTACAAACGGATGGCCAAAATTATTTATATAAAAATGGAGCCGCAAGCATGGGCTTGGTCTACTTGGACTCAGGACCGGGCCTGATTTGGACTTTTAAAGATGTGTACCATGCCTGCATGCCTTGAACTTATACACATGTGTCTTCTCAGAAGCTGTGAAAAAGCAAATAGAAGTACTTTACAAAATCTCTAACTCTTTTCCAAGGGTGAAAAGCAAAGAGAAAGTACTTCGAATCATAGATAGATGGAAGAAACTAATTAATATATATATATATATATAATATATTTTTTATTTTTTAAATGAAGAAACTAATTAGTAATTTCTCCTCTTCTAATCAGTAATTACTCCTATAACATACTAATACTATATCATCGTTTTTTATTAACATAGCAATTTTTTTTTGTTGTTGTTTGTATTAAATTTCAATTATTTTCGCAAATTTATTTTACTCGCTTAATCTAATTAAAGATTTTGGTAATGGCTACCGTTGCGACTGTGTTGATAACAACAGCTCTTTCTAATCCTCTTTTACATGAAGAAACTAATTAATAATTATTTATATAACAAACATAGTATTATTACTCGTTAAAAAAGAAACAAGCATTTGAAACAAAAGTTCCTCTTTTTTTTATCAATCTGTCTCTCTATACATTGTGAATCCGAGAAGTTTTTTTCTCTGCAAATCTTCTTTTAAGACACAGAGCCAAAGAGGTATGATACTATATTAAAAATCAGGGCTTTGTTTACAATTTATTTATGGGTTTCAAGTATCTCTGCGAAGTTATTTAAAGGTTTTTAGTCAAATAAAAAGATCTTTGAAATTAATATATTTAAATTTTGTTTTAGATATAACAGTTTTGTATTATTATTTATCTGAAATTATGTTGTTTCAAACCGATTTATCATGTTATCTTTGTAAAATCAGACCAAATTTTACAAATAACATGAAGTTTTGGTTGAATTCATTTGGTTTCGGTTATTGTTTCACCTTGAAATCAGACCAAAGTTATCATGTCATGTGGAAATTTGACATAAGTACTCTTCAATGAATAATTTGCACAGAAAAAGCTCTTCACAACAAAACCTTTCAAAGTTTGCTTTGGAGTACATATCGCTCTCTTTATTCCAATCTTTATATAAACTCTATTCTAACCATATGTTATACTTTTTTCCTTTTATAAACTGAGAAAATAAACTTGAAATTCAGCAGTTATATGTCATCAGAATATGCAATGTGAGGACGTTTTCAGAGAAATCTGATATCTTTTAGTAAAATTATTTATAAATTTCTCATTTTGCCCATATTTAAGATATTAACCTAATCATCTCTTAAAAGAAAAATCTCTTAAGCTTTTACTAGTACGTATAGGAGGAAGTTCCACGGATGCAAGAACAGGCTTCTTTTCCGAGACTTCTTCATGCGCAGTAGAATGATGTGTGGAAGATCCAGCTTCTTGGTGTTGAGACTCAGGATCCCAAAACTGGTGGTCATCATGATGACCAGAGTATCTAGGAGAAGGAGAGTTCGGGTAACTTTCAACGCTTCGGTTATTGAAATTGTGAAGAAGATGGATCGGAGATGAGCCATGAGTTGGTGTGGTTGGACGGCTAGAGTAAGGTGTGGTTGATTCAGAGTGTCTTCCATGTTTTGTCTGCTTCTTTGCTGTATGATGCCACTTCTTCAGCGCCGTGGCTACTCTTTCGTTGAATACCGTTGGTTTCATCTTAGTACCCATCTACACACATTTCATCAAACACATTGTCAGAACAACTAAAGAGTAATCTAGAAAATCCAGTATTTGTTGTGTTAGTACCTGAGTGACAAGAGCATAGAGTGGAAGAGTCACATAGCTGCAAAGTATCTGTACAACAGCTCTGCAAGATTGATAGAGAGAAGTAAATATAAAAAAAGCTTGTCAGTTAAAGGACCAATCCTCAGAATCTAACAGTCAAGTTAACGTTAGCTTACCCAACTACAATTCTAATGACCACATCTGCATTGCTTTCATGGAAACAATTCCTGAGATTGAATTCATACTGCAGAAACCAAAAATTCATGATGTAACAATAAGTATAACTCCAAGACAGCGATGTTTGTGAAAAAAAAATTGTGAATTGAATGGCTTACCGTACTCCAGGCAAAGAAGGCAAGTTGAAATGCATTCTGAAAAGTGAAGTTTATCAATACCGTTAGGAGAAAAAAGCAGAGTTTAAACCAAATGGATATTGAGTCGTACCGTGAAAAGAACCAAATGGATTAGGAAAAGGATGAACCGAGGTTGACCAAACCAGAAGAGATCATCACCAGGCTGAACCACCGGTGCCCCTCTCACCACATCACCTTTCTCTTGGATTCTCAGACCCAATTTTGTTATAATGACTTGAAGCTTTGTTCCAACTATTAGAATCACCTGCAGATTACATTCATTCTGCTAAAAACCAAAAGGCGGCAAATGGACAGAACCGAAGAGAATGTTTATATCGGTTCAATAGTTTGTTTGTACTTACAACCAACGGAATGAATGGTAACCAGAGGTAAGAGCGTAGTCCTGTTTCAGAAGAAAACCGATGTCAGTTTTGTTTGAATATTGATGCAGAGATATTGTGTTTTGCGCAGTAAGCAATGAGCGTTACCATTTGTATTGGTCAAGAGGAATAGCACGGCGACAAACCAGATAACCGGACTGCATAAAGTTTGCAAAGATTAGGACAAAACTGGATTCTTCTCAGAATATTTGAAAAGTCGTTAAAGTGGTTACAAACCTGATTTCAACGACGGTTTTGAAGTCTTCTTCTAGTGATCTCTGAATATACTTGCGGAAATCGAATCTTCTTTCGCTCCCAGGAGCCAAATGCGCCTGCAAAAAGGAGTAATTTGGATCACTTTCTCCAGAGATAACGATGAAGAGAGTATTATTTTAGCTCTCTCTCTCTCTCTCTCTAAATCCCTTACCGTGATGAAACCATGCCGCAACGCTAAGTAATCAACTTTGGTGACAGATCCAAAGAACTGTCTGAAAAAACACACTGTCCATAGCGTAACACTCGTCTTGCTCCAAAAATTGAGATGTCTTCTCCCAAAAGATGTGTCCCTCGCAAACCTGAACCTCTCGGGATCTGCATAAACAAGAAGGCATTCACCTTAAAGTTTCCCATCTGGTCTTTAAATCTGTTCGAGTACTCAGAATTTCATAGTACATACCGTTGGAATACTGATATTCTATCGTCTTGGTCTCATTCTCCCACTGCTTCCACCTCCTCATCTGCAATACTCCAAAAAATCAATCTTTTTTGCATACAACAATATTTCTTGATTCTCTAGCCACTGTTGCGGCATGCACAAGAACAGTTTACCTTGGTCTTTCCGAGAGCATAAGTAACAATGCAGTAGATAACATGAACCACGGCCAGCACGAAGATGAATATATGCAGCTGGTGGATTCCATATGCAGATACAAAAGCAACTTTCCCCTGAGGAATATCCAATCAATCTCAATCAAAAACTGGTCGGTTAGCAATCGGAAGAATGGTCTATGTATGTATATACATGGGAGATTATTTAGTTACCTTATTTGCGCATTTGTCATAACCTTTGGTGGCTAAACTTCGTCTAGGGATATAAGACTCTGCTAACTCAAGGAGAAGTCTTCGACCCGATTTCTCTTCATCGTCTTCTTTTTTTCCAGTGTCTTTCTTGCCGTATTTTCTATCTTCTTCCGCGCGACTGCATGGATGCATTGTTGATGCAACTTTTTCGGAGATGCAGATATTTGAGATTGGTGTTTGTCCGATTGTTAGTAGTAGTGATATGAATCCCAACAGCATAAGCTCTGGATAACCAAAAAAATAATGATATTAGTATTTCGTGTTTAATTGAAAAGCTTGTTAATGGATGAAGTTAGGTAGCAAAAGATGTTTTTCTTTTTTGGGTGTAAATGCTTTCAATTTTACCTGCTTTGACCTTTTCAAGAGCTTCATAAAGAGCCTTCTTGTGCTTTCGTTTAAACCACTGTCAGTTAAAAAAAGAAACAAAGAGGGGATTTTAGACTTTTTAGTCATAAGAGAAGATGAATTAAACAGAGCAGAAAAAAGGAAGAAGAAGTAGAAAAAACAGAGTGACAACTAACGCAGAAACAGAGTATGGAGCAGAGCAAGATCACAGAAACAGAGTACAACGAAACAAGCACAACATAAAATGAGCAAGAGGAAGATCTAAACAAGGAAAAAAAATGTCGAAAATCAAGAAACAAAAACTGAAAAACAAGGAAAAGGATCTGAACAAAAGAAGAAACAGAGTAAGAGCACGAAACAGGGGAGTCTTAATATTAACTGGAAAAATGAAGAAGATGAGGAACAAGGAGAAATCTAAAGGACTTACGCTTCCAATTTTGTGAATCGAATGTTCAAGTACAATCGAAATGAATAGCAAGACGAAGCAAACCACAGCGACTGCCCACGTAGAGGTCTGCTCTAAAGTCCGCTCTTTTACTTGATTCGCCATCAGAGCTCAATTTTAAGAAAGAAAAAAAAAGATCCCCAATATGACTCTCTCTTTTACAGAAATCTGGTCTTTTAATATAATATAAACACAGAGAGAAACAAAGACAGAGAGTTTCGTGTTCTTCTTTTGATCTCAGTTTTAAATTAGTACGCTAAGCAATTTTGAAAAACACAGTTATGTAATAATATAGAGGAGACATGAGAAGCCGAGAGAGGGAAGAAGAAGAAGATAAGACCGCAATGAAAGACTGAAAGCTAAAGGGTAACGTCGACGTCTTTTTAGAAGGGTTCAACATTTTGACTTTGTATATTGTTCCTCATGTGACGACTTCCTCAATTATGTGTCTTCTTTTTTTTTGTTCTTTCTCGAATGCATTTTCTTATTTATTATGATTCCTATGGCCTTGTGGTTCAATCATGCTTTGGTTTTCATTTCACCTCAGATCTTTTCGATTTTTTGTTGGCATATAGTTTTGTCAAATCAGGAACAGTTTTTGTAATTAGTTCATTTTGATTTCAACTTTTTGGTAATTAAAATATTAGAATATGGGTAACATTAAAAAAATGTATAGAACGGATAATTAAATTTTGAATTTGATTCGTTAGTCCGTCGATTTAGTTTTGTTCTTCTTTTTTTTTGGTGTATTATTTTGTTCTATTTTGGTTGTTTGGTGGATACTAAAGCTAATATCAAATGGCCACTTGAGATACCATAATGGGATCTCGCTGGAAAGCTACGTTTTTATTTTTACCTATCCTCAACTTGTTTCAAATTTTGATATACTAATCTAGGTAATAAAATACTTTGTTAGACGGCAAAAAAGAAATGAGGCACTCGATGAAATAAATCATATATTAGACCCTAACTATTATATAATAGAGATATGGATGAGAGTTACGTTTCTCCCAAAAACAATTAGAATTTTTTTTTGACTTCCTACTTTCCTAGTTTGATTTCAAATGTCATGGTTTAGTCGACGCCTCCAAGAGTTTTAAACTATTGTTTCATTTGTGGCTGCTTTGTTTGTATGTTAAATTTTAGATTCCACGAAATTAATTCGACGATATTATAATAAACTATTACCTTTAACGGTTATGATATATCCAAGAAATAAAACTATTATCTTTATCGTACCTACAAAATATTCAAAAACAACCTGTACAGATGAGCAGACGCATGCAAATATGCAATAATGATTAATCAAATAAAAATTTGTTTTCGTTAAGTGGGAAATGTCGTGAAATTAGCTGACTTCCCATTAGCACATCGATATATGTTTGTTTTTATTTCTTAATAAATTAATAATATTGGAACTGCAAAAATTTATTTATTTATAGAGTTATTAATCAATCAATGAATTAATAATTATTAATTTATTTAAAAATTAATATTTTATTAATTTATAAAAATATTTTGGTTTGAATCCAAATTATTTGTCAAAAAAAACAAAAAATATTTTTAACAATGTAAAATTTATTCAGAAAATATCATATCAGTGAATTTAAAAAATAATTCAAACAATTTCTATAAATTTGAAACAATAATATAATTATATTCTACTATATTATATTATTTATATATGCTTAAATTTATAATTATTAATTTATATAATTATTGGGATTATATTTTTACATAGGAGTTTCAAAAACAATATTATCTTATTATATTATCAAAATTTGCTAATTTTTACACTAACTCGATTTAAGACTGACAAAAATTATTAATTTATAGTGATTATTAATTTATCGAGTATTAATTTATAAAGGTTCTACTGTAGTCTAAAGTCTAAACCCTTGTCTCGTCTAATGCCCCACAAACTATACAATATATTAAATACTTTTTTTCAAATCTACCTTTGAAATAAGTAAATAACAAGAGTGGTACGTGCTTACTTGACATGTTATTAAACAATGAGACTGGCAAAAAAAAAGATTAAACATCTAATATGGACTGCAAGTCGACATATATACATATACTCTGAATATAAAAATCAGATCATGCTGACAGAAAAAAAAAATATTGAGGAATTAACGGTACATGTTAGACATGTACTGCTTCTTTTATGATTGGTTTAAATTTTTTTATAATTTAAAAATTAATATTTTTTTTTGTTAAATACTCTCACAGAGTTTTAACCGCTGGAGATGCTCTTAGTTTATAAATTTTGTGCTTACTCGATATACGTTTGGAATTTAAACTAGACGGGTTCTAGTTTTTAGTTTTGCTATAAATTAAACCTAGCTATGTTTCTGAGAATTAGATTGATTTTGCATGTCTATAAAAACCTAATTAAGGACCGTGGATTATAAGATTGTCAATAACAATGCATGCTTAACATATACATATGTAGGTTTGACTCCAAAAAAAAAAATTCATGTATTTAAATAGACAAAAAAAAAAATTGTCGGTTTTGGCAAAAAAATGTGTAAAGAATTAAACATACGATGAATAGAAAAACATACATTGTTAAGTAACTCTTTGAAATCTTGCAATTGTGTCACTTGTCACAGAGAAATTATAACATTTAGTGTATAGTAAAGTAAACAAAAAAACACATTTTGTATATGTGGTTGAATTGTTGTTGAGGCGTAAGGTTTAATCAACAACATCGTATGAAAACGTGAAGACGTGTTAGTCACATTTGGATATGATCTGGAAATAAATTAAGACAACACGATGACTAGATCGAGGAAATGTGAGGACAAAAACGGGATGTTGAATTTAATTATTTATCTACGTTTAGTACATCTTTCTTCTTTAGAATCAAAACATGCATGTCAACTTAAATTTCTAACGGACGTTCTTACCATTGCTGCATGAGAGTCTGAGACAGTTCTTTCCTTCAAAGTTCACACTTTATAAGTTTACATAATTAATGGAAACCAAAAGAAAAGATCTCTTATTCATTTTTTTTGGGGTCACAAGAAAAGACATAAATTTTTTAATTCATCGTAACTGCATTTCAAGTCAATGTACTTTAGTAGTTGAAACCCTCGAAATGCCGATTTGTTTCATTGATTGTTTCCAACCCGATATATTATACTATTATTATTATTTAACAACAATGGAATCTGCATCGAATTAAAATATGTGGAAGAATCAAAGTTTGGCTTCAGAATCGAATTAAATGATGTATTATTCAAAGTCGTTGGTTCTTTTATGGTTCATACAGATTGTATGGGCCGTTTCCAAGCATTTGACTGAAAGTTTTACTTGTTATATGTTGGGGGCTTCGTTTATGAATTATGCGTATACATACATTATTTGTATGCAAAACCAATAGCATATATAAATATAGATAATTTGGATAAAATTTCTACTTCTAAACTTGACAAAATAATAAAACGCTCTCATAAATTCACTTCAACTTCATAGAAAGAGGGAACATGCCATGTTACTATTACACTAAAATTGCTTTCAGATATTTGGTTCATCAATTCTTGAATTTGGACACATTATCTCCATATTTAATCGTGGTTTAAGTATGGATGGATACACAAAACCACCCAACTGTGACAACTGAATAAGGAAAACCAAACTGAACCAACTTTTCAACGTACCGAAATCCAACTTGACTCCCTATTGGTTTTAGCTTCAGTTTCGATCGAATCACTAAAACCGGAAATTATTAGAATTCGAGGAAAACATGTTATTAAACAATGAGACTGGCAGAAAAAGATTAAACATCTAATATGGACTGCAAGTCGACATATCTATATACATATACTTTGAATATAAAAATCAGATCATGCTGACAAAAAAAATACTGAGGAATTAACGGTACATGTTAGTTTATAAATTGTGTGCTTACCCGATATACGTTTAGAATTTAAACTAGACAGGATCTAGTTTTTTGGTTTTGCTTTTAACATTTAAATTAAATCTAGCTATATTTCTGAGAATTAGATTGATTATGCATGTCTATAAAAACCTAATCAAGGACCGTTGATTAGGGGTGGGCGCGGATCGGATATCCAGGAAATTTTTAGTATTTATGGTTTGTTCCATTTTTAACGGATATTTAATTTTATGATTTGATTTTCTCCGGAAATATACGGATATCCGGAAAATTTACAAGTATTTGCGGATATTTGCTGATATTTACGAATATTTATGAATATTTAGTTTGATCCGTTTAATATACACAAAACTGAAAGTACATCAATTTTTATTATAAAAAAATTTCATCTAAACTATTAAGTGAAAATAACTAAAAGAAAATATTTTATTTTATAAAAAAAACTATAAAAAATAAACCTACAAAATTAAGATGAGGAAACATGATATTTTATATTTAAAAATAATATTAACTATTTGAAACTTCAATATTAAACTTACCTAAAAAACTTTTGTTGATATTTATTTACTAATATAAAATAAAATATTATTTATTAACATATTTTAAGTTTAAACATATTATTTATTTTTTATAATTGGTTATTTAGTCATTTATTTTATATAATCAAAAAAACAATTGAAAATTTAGGAAGAAAATTGAGAATATATTAATAAAAATTTATAATATAATTGATATATACATGATAATATATAATAAATTTATAAAGATACGGATCGGATCGGATATCCAGTGTTATCTAAAAACATATTTGTGATTTGCTCCGTTTTGTACAGATACTACATTTTGCTATTTGCTTTGCTCCGAAGCTTTACGGATATCCGTATTTTTTAAATCGGATCGAAGCAAATATCGGTTCGAAGCGGATACAACGGATATTTTGCCCACCCCTACCGTGGATTATAAGATTGTGAATAATAATGCATGCTTAAACATACACGTGTAGGTTTGACCCAAAAAAATAAAAACATATATATATATATATGTATTTTATACATAGACAAACAAAAAAGCGGTTTCGGCAAAAAAATGTGTAAACAATTAAAACATACTATGAATAGTAAAACAATAAAATATACTGTACATTGTTAAATAACTCTTTGAAATCTTGCAATTGTGTCACTTGTCACAAAGAAACTAGAACATTTAGTGTATATCAAACTACACAAAAAAACACATTTTGTATATGTGGTTGAATTGTTGATGAGGCGTAATGTTTAATCAACAACATCGTATGAAAACGTGAAGACGTGTTAGTCACATTTGGATATGAATATGATCTGGAAATAAATTAAGACGACACGATGACTAGATCGAGGAAATGTGAGGACAAAAACGGGATGTTGAATTTAATTATTTATTTACGTTTAGTAAATCTTTCTTCTTTACAATCAAAACATGCATGTCAACTTAGTTTTTCTAACGGACGTTCTTACCATTGCTGCATGAGAGTCTGAGACAGTTCTCTCCTTCACAGTTCACACTTTATAAGTTTACATAATTAATGGAAACCAAAAGAAAATATCTCTTCTTCTTTTTTTGGTCACAAGAAAAGAAAAGACATAAATTTTTTTAATTCATCGTAAATGCATATCAAGTCAATGTACTTTAGTAGTTGAAACCCTCGAAATGCCGATTTGTTTCATTTATTGTTTCCAACCAAATATTTTATACTAGAAGTATTATTTTTTGATTAAACAAACAATAAAATCTGCATCGAATTAAAATATTAGGCTTCAGAATCAGAGTGACTGAATCAAAGTTAGGCTTCAGAATCGGATTAAATGATGTATTATTCAAAGTCGATTTGTTTCTTTTATGGTTCCTGCAGATTGCATGAGCCGTTTCCAAGCATTTGACTGAAAGTTTTACTTGTTATATGTTGGGGCCTTCGTTTATGAATTATGCGTGTTCGTACATTATTTGTCTGCAAAACCAATAGCATAAATAAAATATACACATTTTGGATACAAATTTTACTTATAAACCATGGTTTTATGTTGATTTACTACTACAGTATAATTGATTTCAAATAATTGGTTCATTAATTCTTAAATTTGGAGTTTTGGATACATTATCTCCATATTAAATTTGGATGCAACATAACTTGTTGGTTTTGGTTTGGATACACAAAACAATCAGACCAACTGTGACAACTGAAGAAGAAAAACCAAACTGAACCAAATCCCATTAAAACCGGAAATTATCAAAATTCGAGAAAACCCGAATCTAACCGACCCAGGAAATCGAATGGTCAAACATTTCATTCCAGATCCAGAATTTGAAATCGAATCCTCAAACCCACAAAACCCAAACATTCATTCCAAATCGAATGTTAAATTACAAAAGGTTTATGGGGTAGAAAGAAGAAATTAAATTGATAATAAGCTTTGGAAATAAGAAACAGAAGCTATGGGTCTGGGAGGTTGGAAGAGGAAATCAAAAGAATTGGCATGGAGATCATGTATCAGCAGCGCTTGAGACGCATCGTCACCTCGAAGCAGTAACTTACTCTCGTCCAAAGTTGCTATTGGTGTCAGCGGGAAGAATTGTTCATCAATCCAAGTTCGAGTTTTTGCGAGATCTATCGAACACAGCTTCTTCCATGTCTTGCCTGAAGAATCGAACGACCATATCACTTGGGTGAGCGAGTGCGTCTCGGAGAAGCACAAGCGATCATCGACGATGCACAACATGTCGCCGATACGGTCAAAGAGGTCACGTAGATGGGCAACGGGAGCTTTACAGATGACTTGGAACGTTTCTGTGTGGAGATCCAAAGATAACACGTTGGGTTCTTCGCCCTCGGTCTCGGTGAGCCAATAAAGTGACCCATCTAAATACACGGGAGGAAATTGGCAATCATTTATCCGACAAGGAGAAGCAGGGACAACGTACCTCCAAGCGTTGGTCCTGAAATCGAATACTTCACACGTGGTGACATTGTCTAGGCCGAATTCCGATGAATTATACAAGCAAACCGGCTTATAAGTGCCCCTGAGTTTGTCTTTTCCAAATCCTAGCTTAGGAGTAGGCAAAAACTCTGGTTTATCAGACCTGTCGAGGAGGAGCTGTTGAATGTTGGAAAGAGGAAAAGTTTGATGCCATCTTGTTGCGGGATTCACCACGACACTCGGTTCGTAGTGACAGTAGAGGCATACTAGACCGTCACAACTATTACGGCAGAACAGGCTGCCCGTAGTAGGGAACCTGACCGTAGAAGCTGTTGCTGACCCCAACACAATACTAGGAGCATCTGTGTCCAGACCATCATCATCATCATCAAAATCAGTGAGGTACACGAAGATGACATCTGGACCTCGTGATTGCACGCGACGGATCAACTGTCTTTTCTTGAAGCGTCGGGAATCGATTGTTGTTTTCCACTTCTTGGATACAGCCCTGAATTTCAGCAGAGGCTTCACAGCAAGACTCTCCAAGATGAGCTCTACGACATCGTGGGGTAGCAATTCAACACTAGAGCCATGATGTCTTTTCAATACCACACTCGAGCGATGTGTCTTCAGCATTGTATCCCGTCTCTTAATTGATCCAGAGAGACGACGACCGATGATAGTTTATAGATATTCCTACAGACGAGCATCCGACTCGAGCTAGGATTTAAAAAAAAAAAAAATGGAAATTTTTTAAGTCAGTTTCTTTCCATTAAGGAAATGGAAATTTCAACTCTAAACTCTCTCTATCAAGATTTAATTGTTATTTTATAAACAAAATTAAAACCAAATATCTCAAACCAAATATATATACTACAAATCTCATCAGATCAAAGAGTCGATTTCTCTGTCACTTCTTTTAGAACAATAAGTCGATGCGGTTTTCACAGACGGCGGAGAGAGAGAGAGAGACTCCGACCAAGCTAGTTTTACTAGCACTCTTGTCTTTTTCTTTCTTCTGTTTTCGGCTTTTATTTAATTTGGGCTTCGAGCCCATAACCATTTTCCTATGTCCCATCAAAAACAAACTACACTAAATCCGTAAACTCTGACCCAAAAAAACCATCAGACCAACTGTGACAATCGAATAAGGAAAACCAAACTGAACCGAATTTTCAACGTACCGAAATCCAACTAACTTTTGGTTTTTAGTTTCGATCGAATCACTAAAACCGGAAATTATCAGAATTCGAGGAACACCGAATCAAACCGACTCAAGAAATCTTATGGAATTTGAAATCAAATCCTCACACACCCACAAAATCCCTAAACATTTGTTCTTCTCTAATCAATTCCCTCGTCACCGGTAGAAATCATCGTCACGCACATTTATCCCTCCACCTGCCTCTCTTACTACCTTTCTCGGCTTTCACCGTTCTCCTCTGTCTAATCTTTTGTGAGCTTCGGTTGAGAAAAATGGATCCAATTACTTCGGTGGTGGAGAAAGTGAAGGGCTTTGCGAAATCGAGCCAGGACTTAGTCTCCCGCCACTTGGGCTTCCATGAGAATCCTTCTCCCCAGAATCCGGTATCTCCATCCATCCCCTTCACTCTTAGCTCTTGGATTCGGCCTCTTGTTTGAATTGTATGTAATGGGTAAAAGAAAAATAAATAAAATGTAGAGCTTTGTCCAGTATGTTCTTTAATAACTTAGCTTCAATTTGAGCTTCTGCATTGTTGTTCGACTATGTTTTTCAGTAATGTGATTCATAAAAATGTAATCTTTAGCCTTACGAAAAATTTGGGTTTGGTTGGTGAATTATCTTCAGATTGAAATCTTGAAGCGATTACAACGAGAAGCATTCTCTGAGCTGATGAAACTTAGAGACAGGCAAGAGAAAGTGGAGCGAGTAATTTCCTCTTATAAACAATCAAAAGAGACTAGCACCCGTGTGAAGGGTGAGGTTGATGTCCTTGGAGCAATGTTGCTGATGGGAGACACTGACGAGGAGAGTTTCAGTGGACTCGATAGAGAAGGAGTGAGACCTGGATTGCTCTCTAGGTTCATGTTTGAAACGAGACTTAGGGAGACAGATATGCTTGTTACTGAGCTCGTTGCTGGATACAAAGGGGAAGGAAACCACAGTGATGTTTCAGGGAACCAGCTGTCTTTAGCCAAGGTCTTCTACAAGGCAGAGATCAATGATTGGTTCTCTGCAGTTGCTATTCCTGTTGGCGCGCATTTCAGAGACATTGATGCTGATGTAGTGTCTTCTTACCAGGTATCCCACCAATTTTTGCAGAACTTTGTTTCTATATATGTTGTGTGTTTATGGTTTTCTTCTTCCTGCTTTCTTTCTTAACCATTTTTTTCTCATGCATTATTGTTATTGATGAAGCTCCGTCTTGCAGGGGATGAATCTTACAGAAGTCTCGGAACTTGGACCACCTCTTGTAAACCAACATAATGGTAGTGCCATGGGGTTAACAGTCAGAAAATCAAACGTTGCAGCTTCACTGGGCCAATCCATCACAGACCTTGGAGTTGAACAAGGCATGAATGCAACGAATCGTTGTTTCAGAACTTTTGGGAAAGTATCCTGCGACATTCTGAGAGGTGTAAAGCTATCTCTACTGGGCTGTCACCAAATGGTAACACCATCTAACTACCTCCGGTCTGCTGGAGCCATTACGGTTCCAGTAAGTTTCCTAAGGCGCCGTAATTCAACAGAGCCTGAATCATCAGTACCACATCCGGAGATGAACAGAAGCGTGAATCACGTGTCGTCTACTTCCATTGCTTTGAAGTTAGACTCTCTAATGGACGAGTCTACGAGGATTGGGGGATGGATTGAGATTCAGAAGTCAAGAGAGAAGCAAGTAAAATGGTCAGTGTCTATTACAGATAAACCAGAGGGTGAAGTGGGCTGGGGCATGAGCGTTGGGGGAGTCGTCGATGGTTCAAGAAACCATGATCGGTTTCAGGTGGAGTCGTATCTGAAATTCAACATAGCCCATCGGTTTAGTGCAAGTCCAAGTCTTGTTTATCTCGCAAACAGCAGCGGAAGAACCATAGGTCTCATGCTTCAGTCTCATTGGTCTCTGTGATCTTAATGCTTCTCTTTCCAGGTACATTCATGTTTCTATTTATCATTGATTGCAGTCTCTAGAGTAAAAATAGTGTCTTGCGCAAAGTTATATATCTGAAAAAAAAAAATCTGATGTAGCTGCCATATTTTTCGCCTTGATGGGTAATAAAAGAGTCTGATTGTTAATTATTTTGCTGTCTTCAATTGCTTAATCGCGATTGCAACTTTACAGAGTTCTAGCATTTTTAAGTTTACATAAAGGAATCAAACCCAATTTTTTAAGCATACTAGTCAAGTTTAATCAATAACACAAGTCATTATCATGTTGAGAGCGACAATGGCTTTACACCTCTCAATAACCTACAAAATCGGTAGACTTACTTGTGTCGAAGTCAATGCCCTTTTCCTCAGGACTTGGTTGATGCAACAGAATCCTATGAAGAAATTTATGTGTATCTTGTTTCTGTGCGAGTGAGTGGCCACGAATACGAGTCTTTTTTAGCTCTTCTTATTAAGAGTTTCCTTATTTTCAAGAGTCTTTCTTACGATAAGACTCTACTGATTTGATGATTCAAGACTAGTCCAATCATTCACGTCAAAAAAGTTTCTACCATTCGCAATTGCAGCGAAAGTATTAACCAATACAAATCACCTCATTGAGACATTTCATCGAACACATTGAGCGCTTGACCCAGATCACTGTTAACCCAACGACAAATTCCAAAACCTACCCAGAAAAGCATTTGCCAACTAAATAATATAAAGCATTTGGGCATAAACTTTTTTTAACCCAAATCCTCAAACTTTAACAACAACAAAAAACAGTGGTTTTTCAAACACGTGTACTTTTGTATAATCCAGAGTATATGAACAAACAAGTCAAAAGCTAGTATCATCTGCGAGGAAACAAGTCTACTCAAAAGTTTAAAACAATGGTCGTCCCATTAAAAAAACGCACTAACGCAAGTAGTACTCGCCGCCTCTCACTTTCTTCATCGTCCTTCTCCAAAATTTTCTCTGCATCAATAAGGAAAAGTCAAGATTGGTGGTTTGTTCCGTTCTCATTTCTAATTGGGCAATTCAATGAACCCACCAAATACATTATTACTCCACCACAGAACACGGTGACAGAAAAAAATACATCATCTTCTTTCTTCTAAGTCTTCTCATAGAGACAAAGACGACTACTTTATTAATATACCCTCTCGTAGCGCAAAATATTTCAAAGAGATACAAACAAAGCAAAGCTGGAACCATTCTGTGTCAAATAGTTATGGTGGTTCTACTGAACACACGTCGTCGTTTGCTTCTTCTTCTTCTACTTGCAGCATTCTCGTTGAGGCTCTGTTTCGGCGAAGACAGAATCACGCTCTCGACTCCGATCAAAGATTCAGAGACCCTTCTCTGCAAAAGTGGTGTTTTCAGGTTTGGTTTCTTCACTCCTGTAAATTCCACTACTCGGTTGCGTTATGTTGGGATTTGGTACGACAAGATTCCAATTCAAACTGTGGTTTGGGTTGCTAACAAGGACACTCCGATCAACGACACTTTCGGTGTTATATCGATCTCTGACGACGGAAATCTCGTGGTTACCGATGGTCGAAAGCGCCTTCTATGGTCGACGAACGTCACAGTACCAGTGGCTCCAAATGCTATTTGGGTTCAGCTAATGGATACTGGGAATCTTATGCTACAAGACAACAGAAACAACGGTGAGACTCTGTGGGAGAGTTTCAAGCATCCTTATAATTCTTTCTTGCCAAGAATGACTCTTGGGACCAACAATAGAACCGGAGAGAATCTAAAGCTCACTTCTTGGACAAGCTCTGTAGATCCGTCAACAGGGAACTTCACAGCTGGTCTTGCTCCTTTCACGTTTCCTGAGCTTCTAATCTGGAGGAACAGTGTCCCAATCTGGCGTAGCGGACCGTGGAACGGTCAGGTTTTCATCGGTTTACCGGATGTGGAATCTCTTCTGTTTCTTGATGGGTTTAATCTTAACAATGATAACCAAGGAACGTTTTTAATGTCCTATGCTAATGATTCTTTCATGTATCACTTTAACTTGGATCCTAATGGAGCTATCTATCAGAGAGATTGGAGCACCTCTATGAATGCTTGGAGGATCGGTGTTAGGTTTCCATCGACAGCTTGTGATACATACGGTATGTGTGGTCCATACGGGAGCTGCAGTTCCAGGGAAGATCCGCCTTGTAGTTGCGTAAAAGGGTTTGTGCCGAGGAATAGCACAGAGTGGAACGCGAGGAATTGGACTAATGGTTGTGTGAGAAGAGCTCCATTGCGGTGCGAGAGGCAGAGCAATGCAAGCAGTAATGGTGGTGGTGGAAAAGAAGATGGCTTTTTTAAAATGCAGAAGATGAAAGTACCCATCAATGCGGAGCAGTCTCTGGCTAATGAGCAAGCTTGCCCGAAGGTTTGTTCAGATAACTGCTCTTGCACGGCTTATGCTTATGATCGAGGAATCGGATGCATGATTTGGAGTGGTAGCTTACTTGATATGCAATCATTCTTGGGAAGCGGCATTGAACTTTATGTTCGACTTGCGCATTCTGAACTCAGTGAGTAACAAATCTCTACTTGTTTTCTTCTCCATTTGGTTTTATTTAATTGACTTATGCCCTTCTCACCAAATTTTGTAGAAACACATAGCAAACGAGCAGTTATGATCACAGCACCCGTGCTAGGCGTTGCCTTTATTGCCGCGGTTTGCGTTCTCTTAGCATGCCGGAAATTCAAAAAGCGTCCAGGTAAGAGTTTTCCTTACTCATTGAAGATAGCTTCAGAGTGTATCTTGAATCATGATTTGTTTGCTTCATTGATCGTTGCTTTAGAAGCACCAGCGAAAGATCAAAGTGCAGAGCTATTGTTTAAGAGAATGGAAGCACTTACAAGTGGTAACGAGTCTGCTTCTAACCAAGTCAAGCTCAAAGAGCTTCCTCTCTTTGAGTTTCAAGTATTGGCTACATCTACCGATAGCTTCTCCCTTAGAAACAAGCTTGGACAAGGCGGATTTGGTCCTGTTTACAAGGTAAAGCATTAAAGAAGAATCCTTGTGATAAGAGATATGTATGTAAATAATCTCAGACTAATTAAGGTGACTGATAATCTTTTTGTTCAGGGGAAGTTACCAGAAGGGCAAGAAATTGCTGTCAAGCGGCTCTCAAAGGCATCAGGACAAGGGCTAGAGGAACTTATGAACGAGGTGGTTGTGATTTCGAAGTTGCAGCATCGAAATTTGGTGAAGTTACTTGGCTGTTGCATTGAAGGTGAAGAAAGGTTGTTAGTCTATGAATACATGCCAAAGAAAAGCTTGGATTCGTATCTATTTGGTAAACTTATCACCTCTGTTTCTCAACTCTGTTTTTTACCATTTGGCTCGAGATGATTGAAGAATAAGCTAATGATTTCGTTAGCTTTTACTCAGACCCACTGAAGCAAAAGATTCTTGATTGGAAGACTCGGTTCAACATTATGGAAGGAATTTGCAGAGGTCTCTTGTACCTTCACAGAGACTCAAGACTAAAGATCATACACAGAGATCTAAAAGCCAGCAACATTTTGTTGGATGACTATCTGAATCCCAAAATATCTGATTTCGGGCTTGCAAGAGTTTTCAGAGCCAATGAAGATGAGGCTAACACAAGAAGGGTTGTTGGAACATAGTAAGTATACATTCCTAGAATACACCAATCATTTTTCAAATTCGGTTTTTATCATAACCAATGTGAATGACATTATTGTTTTTGCAGCGGCTATATGTCACCGGAATATGCAATGGAAGGTATCTTTTCAGAAAAATCAGACGTTTTCAGCTTGGGGGTTATATTTCTAGAGATCATAAGTGGGAGAAGAAACTCTCACAAGGAAGAGAATAATCTGAACCTTTTAGCTTATGTAAGTGTGTACTAATCAGTGTTTAGTTACTTACTACCTTTGAAACTCACTGTATGTTTGGTTTTATTAAAGGCGTGGAAGCTGTGGAATGAAGGTGAGGCTGCTTCTCTAGCAGATCCAATCGTCTTTGATGAGTGTTTTGAGAAAGAGATAACGAAATGTGTTCAGATTGGTTTGTTGTGTGTGCAAGAAGTTGCAAACGATAGACCGAATGTTTCAACCGTTATTTGGATGCTAACTACAGAGAACACGAACATCCCTGAGCCGAAGCAGCCTGCGTTTATAGCAAGAAGAGGAGTCTCCGAGGCTGAATCTTCTGACCAGAGCAGTCAAAAGGCCTCTATCAACGATGTGAGCCTCACAGCTGTAACCGGACGTTAAAGCTCACAAAGCCAATCTGTCTGTTTGTATAATATATTCATACGTTTTGAGAAACACCTATGTATACAAGTTTTGTTATTCTGCGTAGTATGTTTAATGGTTAGATTAAGGAATAAGAGATGTTTTGAGAGAATTTATGTTCAGATTCACTGATTACAGTTTTGGTATTATTAAAACTGGCTGTGTTGATAGTTTCAATAGATACAAGTACTGCAACTTGACCTACTCTTAGATGAATCAACTAACCTGGACGAAGAAACTGAACCTCAAGATAAAGGAGAAAATGAAAACGACCCATGTTCTTGAGAAGCCACAATAGGTTTGTCTTAAGAGAGATAATTAAAACACTATCATGGCTTTGTGTTTTGGGTCACTTTGCTATATCTACTGAAACAAGCCTGGATAGTGGAAAAGATCAGCTTTGACTTTTTATGGATTCATTAAATACACAACAACCTTGACTTTTCTGCAGAAAATTACTGTACTGAAGCCAAGAAGTTTCCTCTATTTTGTTTTGGGTTTTAGCCGCCATGGTTTTAGTAATGGAAGGAAACAAACCTTCTATAGTTAGTCTTGTTGTTCTTAGTTTGTTTATGTTTCCTTGTTAGTTTCAAATTCTTTTAATATAAGAAAACCTTTATCAAAAAAAAAGAAAACACAATAGTGAAGCTAGAGAAAAACTAAAACAACCGGTTTAAAATCTACTGTTAGCATAAACCCCATTGCAACTTGACAGAGTTCTGGCATTTTAACTTTATGTGAAAGCATGAAAAACAACTTCTTAAACATAGTAGTCATTACAATAGTTAGCATGTGAGTTATTACCATGTTGAAAGCAATGATGACTGATGACCTTACACCACTCACTAACCGACAAAATCTGTCGAAATAAATGCCATTATTCTTAGGACTATTCTGTCACTATACCACAGAACAATTTTTTGTTGAAAGAAAAATTACATCATCTTCTAAACAAAGACGACTAGTTTATTTATAGATATACCTCTCTTAGAGGAAAATATTCCAAAGAGAAACAACTAAACAAAACTGGAACCATACTGTTTCAAATAGTTATGGTGGTTCTACTGAACACACATCGTCGTTTTGTTCTTCTTCTACTTGCAGCATTCTCTTGTTTCTCTCTGAGGCTCTGTTTCGGTGAAGACAGAATCACGCTCTCAACTCCGATCAAAGATTCAGAGACCCTTCTCTGCAAAAGTGGTATTTTCAGGTTCGGTTTCTTCACTCCTGTAAATTCCACTGCTCGATTACGTTATGTTGGGATTTGGTACGACAAGGTTCCAATTCAAACTGTGGTTTGGGTTGCTAACAAGGACACTCCGATCAACGACACTTCTGGTTTTATATCGATCTCTGACGACGGAAATCTAGTGGTTACCGATGGTCGAAACCGCCGTCTATGGTCGACGAACGTCACAGTACCAGTGGCTCCAAATGCTACTTGGGTTCAGCTAATGGATACTGGGAATCTTATGCTACAAGACAACAGAAACAACGGTGAGATTCTGTGGGAGAGTTTCAAGCATCCTTATAATTCTTTGCTTCCGAGAATGAATCTTCGGACAGACCGTAGAACCGGAGAGAATCTAGAACTTACTTCTTGGAAAAGCTATGTAGATCCTTCAGCAGGGAACTATACAGTTGGTCTTGTTCCTTTTCCGATTCCTGAGCTTCTCGTCTGGAAGAACAATGTTCCAAAGTGGCGCAGCGGTCCCTGGAACGGTCAGGTTTTCATCGGTTTACCGGAGATGGATTCCCTTCTTAACATTGATGGGTTCAACATATTCAATGATAACCAAGGAACGGTCTCATTAACCTATGCTAATAATTCTTTCATGTATCACATTAACCTGGATCCTGATGGAGTTATATATCAGAGAGATTGGAGTACCTCTATGAATGCTTGGAGAGTCGGTGTTAAGTTTCCATCGACAGATTGTGATGCATACAGTAGATGTGGTCCATACGGGAGCTGCGATACTCGGAAAGATCCTCCTTGTAGCTGCGTAAAAGGGTTTGTGCCAAGGAATAGCACAGAGTGGAATGCGAGGAATTGGAGTAACGGATGTGTGAGAAGAGTTCCATTGCGGTGCGAGAGGCAGAGCAATGCAAGCAGTAATGGTGGAGGAAAAAGAGATGGGTTTTTTAAACTGCAGAAGATGAAGTTACCAGTCAATGCGGTACAGTCTCTAGCTAATGAGCAAGCTTGTCCTAAGGTTTGTTTAGATAACTGTTCTTGCACGGCTTATGCCTACGATGGAGGAATCGGATGTATGCTTTGGAGTGGTAGCTTAGTTGATATGCAATCATTCATGGGAAGTGGCATTGATCTTTATGTTCGACTTGCGCATTCTGAGCTCAGTGAGTAAAAATCTCTACTTGTTTTCTTGTTCTTACTTAATTTACTTATGATGTTATCTCACCAAATCTTGTAGAAACACATAGCAAGCGAGCAGTTATGATCACAGCACCGGTGCTAGGTGTTGCACTTGTTGCTGCGGTTTGTGTTCTTTTAGCATGCCGGAAATTCAAAAAGCGTCCAGGTAAGAGAGTTCTTCTCTACTCATTGAAGATGTTGATAGCTTCAGATTTTTCCTTTTACTATAATTTGTCTGCTTCATTTCCTTAGAAGCAGCAGCGAAAGATCAAAGTGCAGAGGTGTTGTTTAAGAAGATGGAAGCACTTACAAATGGTAATGAGTCTGCATCTAACCAAGTCAAGCTTAAAGAGCTTCCTCTCTTTGGGTTTCAAGTGTTGGCTACATCAACCGATAGCTTCTCTCTTAGCAACAAGCTCGGACAAGGCGGATTTGGTCCTGTCTACAAGGTAAAGCCATTAAACAAGAATCCTTCTGAAACAGATATGAGTATATAATTGATTGGTAAAATTGTCTTCAGGGAATATTGCCTGAAGGCCAAGAAATTGCAGTGAAGAGGCTCTCACGGGCATCAGGGCAAGGACTACAGGAACTTATGAACGAAGTAGTTGTGATTTCGAAGTTGCAGCATCGAAATCTGGTAAAACTACTTGGCTGTTGCATTGAAAGTGAAGAAAGGTTGTTAGTCTATGAATACATGCCAAAGAAAAGCTTGGATACATATCTGTTTGGTAAACTTTTCACCTCTGTTTTTAACTCTGTTCTTACCACTTGGGTTGGGGATGATCAAAGAGAAAGCTTATAATTTTTGTAACTTTTCTCAGATCCTCTGAAGCAGAAGATTATTGATTGGAAGACTCGACTCAACATAATGGAAGGAATTTGCAGAGGTCTCTTGTACCTCCACAGAGATTCAAGACTAAAGATCATACACAGAGATCTAAAAGCCAGCAACATTTTGTTGGATGACAATCTGAATCCCAAAATATCTGATTTCGGGCTTGCAAGAGTTTTCCGAGCCAATGAAGATGAGGCTAACACAAGAAGGGTAGTTGGAACATAGTAAGTCTCCATTCCAAGAATACACAACAAACTTTTTGAAATCCAGTTTCATCATAACCAATGTGGATGAAATATTTTGTTTTTGCAGTGGCTATATGTCACCGGAATATGCAATGGATGGTATCTTTTCAGAAAAGTCAGACGTTTTCAGCTTGGGGGTTATATTTCTAGAGATCATAAGTGGGAAAAGAAACTCCCATAAGGAAGAGAATAATCTGAGCCTTTTAGCTTATGTAAGTGTGTACTAATCAGTGTTTAGTTACTTACTAGCTTAGAAACTTTACTGTATGTTTGGTTTTTTATAGGCGTGGAAGTTGTGGAATGAAGGTGAGGCTGCTTCTCTAGCTTATCCAGTCGTCTTTGATGAGTGTTTTGAGAAAGAGATAACGAGATGTGTTCAGATTGGTCTGTTATGTGTGGAAGAAGTTGCAAACGACAGACCAAATGTTTCAACGGTGGTTTGGATGCTAACTACCGAGAACATGGATCTCCCTGAGCCAAAGCAACCTGCGTTTATAGGAAGAAGGGGAGTTTCTGAGGCTGAATCCTCTGACCAAAGTAGTAAAAAGGTCTCTATCAATGATGTGAGCCTCACAGCTGTAACAGGACGTTAAGCCACAAAGCTAATCTGTCTCTTTATATAAATGTTTTGAGAAACTCCTATGTTTACAAATTTTGTTATTCTGCGTATGTTTAATGGTTTTGAGAGAAGTTATGCTCAGATCCACTGATTACAGATTTGGTATTAGCACAGTTAATAAAACTTTATGTGAAATTGAGCTGTGTTGATAATTTCAATAGAGTCTAGTACTAAAACTTGACCTACTCAGATGAATATAACTAACCTGGATGAAGAAGCTGAACCTGAAGGAAAAAGAGAAAAAAAAAACGACCCATGTTCTTGAGAAGCCACAGTATGTTTTGTCTTGAGAGAGAGAATTAAAACACTACAATGGTTTTGTGTTTTGGGTTGCTTTGCTGTATATATTGAAACAGGCCTGAATAGTGGAATAAGCTCAGTTTTGACTTTTCATGGATTCATTAAATACACAACAAACTTGACTTTTCTGCAGAAAATTATTGTACTGAAGCCAAGAAGTTTCCTCTATTTTGTTTTGGGTTTTAGTCGCCATGGTTTTAGTAATTAGTAGCTAAATAAACAAAACCACAAACACAAAGATATACCTTCTATAGTTATTCTTGTTGTTCTTAGTTTGTTTATGTTTCCTTGTTAGTTCCAAATTCCTTTAATATAAGAAAACCTTTATCAAAAAAAGAAAAGAAAAAGAAAACACAATAGTGAAGCTAGAGAAAAACTAAAACAATCGGTTTTAAAATCTACTGTTAGTATGTCCCCATTGCAACTTGACAGAGTTCTGGCATTTTAACTTCATGTGAAAGAATTAAAAACGACAAAGAAAACTCAAGTTGATCAATGACATGCAAGTTATTACCATGTTGAAAGCGATGGTGATTGATGACCTTACACCACTCAGAAACCGACAAAATTGTAGACTTATACTTCTGTCGAAGTAAATGCCCTTATATTCTTTCTTAGGACTATTCGGTCACTCTACCACAGAACAATTTTTTGTTCATAGAAAAATTACATCATCTTCTAAGTTATCTTCTAAGTCATCCTATAGAGACAAAGACGACTAGTTCTTTGATATACCTCTCTTAGAGGAAAATCTTCCAAAGAGAAAAAACTAAGCAAAGCTGGAACCATACTGTTTCAAATAGTTATGGTGGTTCTACTGAACACACATCATCGTTTTGTTCTTCTTCTACTTGCAGCATTCTCTTGTTTCTCTCTGAGGCTCTGTTTTGGTGAAGACAGAATCACGTTCTCAACTCCTATCAAAGATTCAGAGACCCTTCTCTGCAAAAGTGGTATTTTCAGGTTCGGTTTCTTCACTCCTGTAAATTCCACTGCTCGGTTACGTTATGTTGGGATTTGGTACGACAAGGTTCCAATTCAAACTGTGGTTTGGGTTGCTAACAAGGACACTCCGATCAACGACACTTTCGGTGTTATATCGATCTCTGACGACGGAAATCTCGTGGTTACCGATGGTCGAAAGCGCCTTCTATGGTCGACGAACGTCACAGTACCAGTGGCTCCAAATGCTACTTGGGTTCAGCTAATGGATACTGGGAATCTTAGATTAGAAAACAAGAGAAACAAAGGTGAGATTCTGTGGGAGAGTTTCAAGCATCCTTATAATTCAATGCTGCCAAGAATGAATCTTCGGACCGACCGTAGAACCGGAGAGAATCTAGGGCTTACTTCTTGGAAAAGCTATGTAGATCCTTCAGCAGGGAACTATACAGTTGGTCTTGCTTCTTTTCCGTTTCCTGAGCTTCTAGTCTGGAAGAACAATGTTCCAAAGTGGCGCAGCGGTCCCTGGAACGGTCAGGTTTTCATCGGTTTACCGGATATGGATTCCCTTCTTAACATTGATGGGTTCAACATTTTCAATGATAACCAAGGAACGGTCTCGTTGACCTATGCTAATGATTCTTTCATGTACCACTTTAACCTGGATCCTGATGGAGTTATATATCAGAGAGATTGGAGTACCTCTATGAATGCTTGGAGAGTCGGTGCTAGGTTTCCATCGACAGATTGTGATGCATACAGTAGATGTGGTCCATACGGGAGCTGCCACACTCGGGAAGATCCTCCATGTAGCTGCGTCAAAGGGTTTGTGCCAAGGAATAACACAGAGTGGAGTGGAGGGAATTGGACTAATGGATGTGTGAGAAGAGCTCCATTGCGGTGCGAGAGGCAGAGCAATGTAAGCAGTAATGGTGGAGGAAAAAGAGATGGGTTTTTTAAACTGCAGAAGATGAAGTTACCAATCAATGCGGTACAGTCTCTAGCTAATGAGCAAGCTTGTCCTAAGGTTTGTTTAGATAACTGTTCTTGCACGGCTTATGCCTATGATGGAGGAATCGGATGTATGCTTTGGAGTGGTAGCTTAGTTGATATGCAATCATTCTTGGGAAGTGGCATTGATCTTTATGTTCGACTTGCGCATTCTGAGATCAGTGAGTAAAAATCTCTACTAGTCTCACTTGTTTTCTTCTTCATTCAGTATTACTTGACTTATGATGCTCACCAAATCTTGTAGAAACACATAACAAGCGAGCAGTTATGATCACAGCACCCGTGCTAGGTGTTGCATTTGTTGCTGCGGTCTGTGTTCTTTTAGCATGCCGGAAATTCAAAAAGCGTCCAGGTTAGATTTCTTCTTTACTCGTTGGTGATAATGATTGCTTCAGATTGTTCCTTTTACTATAATTTGGCTGCTTCATTTCCTTAGAAGCAGCAGCGAAAGATCAAAGTGCAGAGCTATTGTTTAAGAGGATGGAAGCACTTACAAGTGGTAATGACTCTGCTTCTAACCATGTCAAGCTCAAGGAGCTTCCTCTCTTTGAGTTTCAAGTGTTGGCTACATCAACCGATAGCTTCTCTCTTAGCAACAAGCTCGGACAAGGCGGATTTGGTCCTGTCTACAAGGTAAAGCCATTAAACAAGAATCTTTCTGAAAACAGATTTGAGTATATAATAATCTCAGACTAATTGATTGGTAAAATTGTCTTCAGGGAATATTGTCTGAAGGCCAAGAAATTGCAGTGAAGCGGCTCTCACGAGCATCAGGGCAAGGACTAGAGGAACTTATGAACGAAGTGGTTGTGATTTCGAAGTTGCAGCATCGAAATTTGGTAAAGTTACTTGGCTGTTGCATTGAAGGTGAAGAAAGGTTGTTAGTGTATGAATACATGCCAAAGAAAAGCTTGGATACATATCTATTTGGTAAACTTTCACCTCTGTTTTTAACTCTGTTTTTACCACTTGGGCTGGGGATGATCAAAGAGAAAGCTTATAATTTTTGTAACTTTTCTCAGATTCTATGAAGCAGAATATTATTGATTGGAAGACTCGATTCAACATAATGGAAGGAATTTGCAGAGGTCTCTTGTACCTCCACAGAGATTCAAGACTAAAGATCATACACAGAGATCTAAAAGCCAGCAACATTTTGTTGGATGACAATCTGAATCCCAAAATATCTGATTTCGGGCTTGCGAGAGTTTTCCGAGCCAATGAAGATGAGGCTAACACAAGAAGGGTTGTTGGAACATAGTAAGTCTCCATTCCAAGAATACACAACAAACTTTTTGAAATCCAGTTTCATCATAACTAATGTGGATGAAATATTTTGTTTTTGCAGTGGCTATATGTCACCGGAATATGCAATGGATGGTATCTTTTCAGAAAAGTCAGACGTTTTCAGCTTGGGGGTTATATTTCTAGAGATCATAAGTGGGAAAAGAAACTCCCACAAGGAAGAGAATAATCTGAACCTTTTAGCTTATGTAAGTGTGTACTAATCAATGCTTAGTTACTTACTTGCTTAGAAACTTTACTTTATGTTTGGTTTTTTTAAAGGCGTGGAAGCTGTGGAATGAAGGTGAGGCTGCTTCTCTAGCAGATCCAGTCGTCTTTGATGAGTGTTTTGAGAAAGAGATAACGAGATGTGTTCAGATTGGTCTGTTATGTGTGCAAGAAGTTGCAAACAACAGACCCAATGTTTCAACCGTGATTTGGATGCTAACTACCGAGAACATGGATCTCCCTGAGCCAAAGCAGCCGGCGTTTATAGCCAGAAGAGGAGTTTCTGAGGCTGAATCTTCTGACCAAAGTAATCAAAAGGTCTCTATCAATGATGTGAGCCTCACAGCTGTAACCGGACGTTAAGCTAACAAAGCCAATCTGTCTGTTTATATAATATATAAGTTTTGAGAAACTCCTATCTTTACAGACTTTGTTGTTCTGCGTATGTTTCATGGTTAAGAATAAGAGATGTATTTTGAGTGAAGTTATGCTCAGATCCACTGATTACAGATTTGGTATTATAAAAAAAAAAGTTATGTGAAATTGAGATGTGTTGATAATTTCAATAGATTCTAGTTCTGAAACTTGACATACTCAGATGAATATAACTAACCTGGATGAAGAAGCTGAACCTGAAGGAAAAAGAGAAAAACAAAAACGACCCATGTTCTTGAGAAGCCACAGTAGGTTTTGTCCTGAGAGAGAGAATTAAAACACTAACTATGGTTGTGTGGTTTGGGTTGCTTTGCTGTATATATTGATTATTGAAACAGACCTGGATAGTAGAATAAGATCAGTTTTGACTTTTCATGGACTCATTAAATACATAACAACCTCGACTTTTCTTCAGAGAAATTTCCTCACTTTTTTTTTTTGTTTTTGTTTTTTAGCCGCTATGGTTTTACTAAGTAGTAGCCAAACAAAACCACAAAGAGAAGCCAATACATCTTTACTTATGCAATCTCTTCAAGACATTTTTATCAGTACTATAGTCTTCTCTTCTTATTCTAAAAGTAATGAAACATTTGTAAAACTTTTAACGACCTTGAACGTCGGTGAAGGTAACGTCATTAACAGAAATACCGGCTTCTGCCATGAGCAAAGCAATATTTTGGCAGCCTCTCCTTCTCACGGAAGTAAACGCAGGAAGCTTCGGATTCGGAAGATCAGTGGCGCTTTGACCCAACATGATGAGAACAGAGGACATCTCCACTCTGTCTGAAGCGTTTTCTTGCACACAAAGCAACCCAATGTGGATGCATTTCACCACTTCGCTCTGATCATAAGTATCTTGATCCATTAAATTGTCTATGATCTCTGCTGCTCTACCTTTTTCCCATAAATCCCAAATCTACAAAGACGAAAAAAAAACAAGCATGTTGCTATGTTCTGTTTTGTTCCTCTGTTTTATGTGGTAAAGACAGTTTTTTACTTACATGTCCGACAAGGTTCGATGATTCCTCGTGGAAAGCACTGTTTTTCTTTCCGCTTATGATCTCTAAGATCAGTACTCCAAAGCTGTAGACGTCGGACTTAACAGAGAAATGACCCTCCATTGCATACTCAGGTGACATATATCCACTACGCAGTGAGATTGAAACCTCTTAAGGTCTACAGATTTTTGACTATTTTTATGGAAGGTTAATAAGTAAAGACTAACTCACAATGTTCCAACGACTCGATTTGTACATCCTTCGATTTGGTTGCTTCCGAAGATTCTAGCCATGCCGAAATCCGAAATCTTGGGGATCATTTCGTTGTCAAGAAGTATATTGCTGGCCTTGAGGTCTCTGTGGATGATCCTCAGTCTTGAATCTTGATGAAGATACAAGATTCCTCGAGCAATCCCGCGGATTATCCCCTTCCGTTTTGGCCAGTCCAGCTCAGCTCTCTGCTCTTCATCTAAGATGACGATAAGAAATAGCAAAAGTCATTGATCTTTTTGAAAGGGAGGATTTGGATTTGTGTTGGAAATGTTGGAACGTACGGAATATGAAATAGTCAAGGCTCTTGTTTGGTAAATACTCGTATATCAACATCTTCTCTTCCATCTCAACGCAACACCCTAAGATCCTCACGAGATTCCGATGCTGCAACTTTGATATCAACATGACCTCGTTCTTGAACTCTTCCATTCCTTGGCCTGAGTTTTTCGACAGCCTCTTCACTGCTATCTCCATACCGTTTTGTAACACCCCCTGAAATAGAAACAGAGGAACCACTCATTGCTACTTATAGAGCTTAAAGATTGCTCTTTTGGGAAGAGAAGATGGATTTTGTATCTCCCGTACCTTATACACAGGTCCGAAGCCACCTGCTCCGAGCTTGTTATGGGAAGAGAAGTTATTCGTCGCTGCAGCGATCGTGTTAAGCTCAAAAAGAGGTAACTCTTTCATCGCCTTATCCTGTTCGAATTTGGAAGATTCTTCAAAATCAAAAGTACTTGTGGAGAAGGTTGTCGAAGATCTTCGAAGCATGTAAGACTCTGTGCTTGAGCATGATTACAGTAGTTAATTGTGAGTTAAGCAAGCAACAAATGAGCTTAAGAGATACATCACTAGAGATTCACTTACTCCGTCGTCGTTTCCTTACGAAACAGAACATGATGACAGTTACTAACATTAGGGCGGCAATCAAACTGACAAGAATCATAACGACTCTCCTCTTCCTAGATAAGCCATTTACGTTCCACCGCGCTGAAACAAGCAAGAAAAATCAATATTTAATTACTTCAAAATCTTCAACATTGACACGTTTCTTCTATGTTCTCTGTTTCGCTGAAACAGAATGGTCGTACCTAGCTCTTCCGCGTCTACACGTATGTAGAAATCTTGTCCCGAGTTCAAGTACGTCCTCGTATCAAACATATCCCCGTGCCATGTCAAGCATCCTATTGCTCCTTTTATACTCTCGTGGTAAGCGCTTGCGTAAGCAACACAAGAGCAGTTCATCAGGCACCTCTGTTTGCACTCCTTCAATGTTATGTTCATATCCACACTTGCATTTGTTGCGTCAGGAATCTTCGCGCGCGTTAACTTCACAAACCCTTCTTTCTCACGGCATATCGAAGCTCTGTTTTTCTTTGAACACCCGCCCGAATAGTCCCTCAAGAACCAATGCCGTGGAATCTTGGGCTCGAAACCAGGAAGGCATGTGCACTCGAACGTTTCTGCACTCGTGGGATCGCAGTGACCGTTAACGCCACAGTGTGCGTAGTAGTCGCATTCCTCTTTAGGAACTGAATAGAACTCGTTCCATCTCTTGTCCGTTGCGATCCATGTGAACCGTTGTATGTGTCCTCTCTCGTTCACTATCAATCTTGTTAGGACTGAAACATCCGTCACACCGTAAGTGAATGATACTTCGTCCTGACTATTCACGAACGAGTTGTTGAAGATATACCCTCTTGTCATGTCAGGCACACCGCTCCACTTCTGTCCGGTCCACGACCCCGTACGCCACAATGGGATCTGACCTTTGTACAGAATCAGCTGCGGTGAGCCTCTCTGTTCCATCCGAAATGTACGGTTTCCGGAACCAGGGTCACCAGAAGATCTCCATGATGTCAGAAAGCGATCCAAACTGTCTTTTCGTGTGAACCCCAATCTCATAAACGGAAGAAAAGTGTTTGTAGGATGATCAAAGCTCTCCCAGAAAACTCTCCCTGTGACTGAGTCAAGCAGAACAAGGTTCCCTAAATCAGAGAGTCTAGCAACCAAAGCTGGTTCCAAGATACTATCCGAAACATTAGTGGACCAGAGAAGCTCTGTTTCACTAACTGATGCATAGACACAGAGATTCCCTCTGCTGTTGAACTTTATCAGACCAGAAGTGTCATTAATAGGATGGTCTCTGTTTGCAACCCATACAATAGTCTGCTCAGAGATTTGAGCATACCAAATCCCGACATACCGGAGCTTTGAATCCCCAAGGCTGAAGAATCCAAATGCAAATCTCTCCCCTTCTGATAATATGACATCACCGTCTCTCAAGGATTGTCTTCTCATGATGGTATCATTGGAGATACAATATTGTAGGAGGGAGAAAAAGAAGATGAGTAAGACGATCTTCATTTCTGTGTTTGTTTCTGTACAAGAGGCTGATGTGATGAAACGTATAAATGAGGTGTACAATTCAAAGCCAAGTTGATCACACATGAACTAAGAACATTAATTGTAAAGTTGTTCTGTCTTTTGTCAAAATCGATTAGTCACGCCCAGTTCCGATAATTTCTCAAAAGATGTAAGAACTGATTCATGTGACACTGAACATGACACAGAACTGAAAGAACGCCAACAATAATCATTACGTCTTACATTAATTGATAACACCACTGTATCAATAAGCATATTTATGAATCTTAAGCGTTGAATAAACAGATTTCAAAAGCTGAGAGAGAATTAAATCACTATGGTATTGTGTTTTGGTTTGCTAGGTTTATACAGAAAGAAACCTGGATAGTGATAAGATCAGTTTTGACTTTGATGGATTCATTAAATACACAAAAACCTTTTCTGCAGAAAATTATAGAAGTGCAGCCAAGAAATTTCCTTTTTTATTGGATCCATATTTCTATTTATGTGACCTCATACAATAACCCTTACCAGATTCTAAAATTTCTAAAGCTTTAATTTTATAGAATGCTCTTAGATACGAAAATACAACTTAGTTTATCAAAATTTTCTATAGTATTTAGGTTAATCTCAACTTACAGAGCTAACGTCCAGTGATTTCTGTGATGCTCACATCGTTGACCGATGCTCTTTGGTCACTTTGCCAAGGTGATTCAGTGTCTGGAGAGCCCCTTCTAGCTATAAGCGCAGGCTGCTTCGGCTCCGGAAGGTTTGAGTTCTCCGTACTTAGCATCCAAATCACAGTTGAAACGCTCGGTCTATCATTTGCGTGGTCTTGTACACACAACAGTCCTATATGCACGCATCTGTGTATTTTGTTTTCAGAACACTCGTCGAGGATGACAGGATCCACAAGAGTGGTGACATCGCCATCATTCCATAGTTTCCATGCCTAGTAAAGAAAAAAGGAAGAGAACAAAGTTCAAAGATTTACAAGCTTTTGTAGAAGAAGTTTTCACACTTTCTAATTAAGTGGACTTACATAAGCTGAAAGATTCAGATTCTGCTCATCATTGTAGAAGCTTGAGTTTCTTCGTCCACTCACTGTCTCTAAGAGTATGACCCCTAAACTGAAAACATCAGATTTCTCCGAGAATAACCCTCCCAGTGCGTACTCAGGTGCCATATAACCACTGTGAGGTTATGCTTTGATTTTATAGAATGCTCTTAGATACGAAAATTCAACTTAGTTTATCAAAATTTTCTATAGTATATAGGTTAATCTCAACTTACAGAGCTAACGTCCAGTGATTTCTGTGATGCTCACATCGTTGACAGATGCTCTTTGGTCACTTTGCCAAGGTGATTCAACGTCTGGAGAGCCCCTTCTAGCTATAAACGCTGGTTGCTTTGGCTACGGAAGGTTTGAGTTCTCCGTACTAAGCATCCAAATCACCATTGAAACGCTCGGTCTATCATTTGCGTGGTCTTGTACACACAACAGTCCTATATGCACGCATCTGTCACTCGTCCAAAATGACAGGATCCACGAGTGGTGACCTCGTCATCATTCCAAAGTTTCCATGCCTAAGAAAGAAAGAGAAAAAAGGAAGAAAACAAAGTTCAAAGATTTACAAGCTTTTGCAGAAGAAGTTTTCATAGTTTCTAATTAAGTGGACTTACGTAAGCTGAAAGGTTCAGATTCTGCTCATCATTGTAGAAGCTTGAGTTTCTTCTTCCACTCACTGTCTCTAAGAGTATGATCCCTAAACTGAAAACATCAGATTTCTCCGAGAATAACCCTCCCAGTGCGTACTCAGGTGCCATATAACCACTGTGAGGTTATACTTTTGTCAGTTATATAATCAACAAACATCGGAAAAATTGGTCAGCAAAAAATGAGTAAGTGTGGCTACTCACTATGTTCACAAGTGATCGATTGCTCGAGGATTCTATGGAAGATTTGGTTGAGAAAAATACGTGAGTTAGTAAACTGCAGTTTTAGGAGAATGATGAAACCGATGTGAAACTGCTTTACTTACTGAGCTCTGAACCTGCCAGACGGATGTAAATAGGAACGCCAGAGCCCAAAAACTCCTGCATGTCGATCAAGTTTCCGCTCCAGAGAAGACACCCGAGCCCTGTGTCGTAAATGTAAGCCGTACAGGAACAGTTTCTCAGACAGCTTCCAGGACAGTCTTGTTCGTTGACTTCAGATCGCTGTGGATTGTTGGGCACTTTCATCTTTTTCAGTCTCAAGAAACCATCACCCTCTCTACTCCCATTATTGTCTCTTCTCTGGCACTGCAACGGCGTCTTTCTCACGCATCCCTGAGTCCAGTTTCCTCTGTTCCACTCCGCGTAGCTACGCGGCTCAAACCCTCTAATGCGGCGGATCTAACCCTGATTGACAACTGGTGAACTGGCCGCATTTACCATATATATCACAGTTCGTGGGAAACATCAACCCCATCCTCCATTCTTGCTTGACCTCGCTCCAGACTTTCTCCACGGCGTACCCCTCGGAGTCCAGGAGAAAATGAAACAGAGATTCATGCTAAGCAAACGACATGGAGACAGACCCTTGTTTGTCATTAGCAAGGGCAAACCCGTAAAGACTGATACGGGAATCTCTTCCCGGTAGTCCGAGAAAGTTTTGACCATTCCACGGGCCGCTTCGCCACACCATAAGATCATCTTTCCAGATGGCAAGCTCCGGAAACGGCAGGGGAATCACACCGGCAGAGTAGCTTCCAGGCGAAGGATCAGACTGGTTTTTCCATGATCTGAGCATCAGGCTCTTCCCCGTTCTTGCGTCACTGGAAAGTGTCATTGTTGGCAAGAACGCGTTTTGAGATTCCCGTCTTTGAAGATGCTCACGAGATTCCCGTCTTTGAGGATGCTCGAAACTCTCCCACAGTTTCTTATCCCCATTGTCTTGCAGTGCGAGGTTCCCTGTATTCAGAAGCCTTGCGCTAGCAGCTGCTACTGACCGTGAGACATTCGTGGACCAGTGAACCCGTCCACGACCATCCGTAACCACGAGATTCCCGCCTTTGGATATCTTAATCACTCCAGAAGAGTCATTGATCGGGCTGTCGCTGTTTGCTACCCAAACCACGGTCTGCTTCTGCAAAGGAATGTTATTGAACCAAATCCCTGCGTAGCGACCTGTGGTGTTAACCGGACTGAAGAAACCAAAGCTGAAATTGCTGGGGCTGGAGACGAGCGTCTGTGAGTCGTTGAGCTCGGTAGAGAACGAGATTACATCCACAGCCAAACAAAACGTCAAAGAGAATAAAGACAATGTAAGAAGAAGAAGTAGAAGGAAACGACCCATGTGTTCTCAGGAGGCTTTCTGTTTGAGAAGACAGTTTTCATTTATTGCGTATTTATACATCGAAAGAGTTGAAAAAACATTGTCGTAAGTCAACGTTCGTTAGTTTCAACCTTAACCATTAGCAACCGACTTGACTTGACTTTTCTACTACGAACATTACTGGAGTGTAGGAGACGATATGAAAAAAAATTGGAACCGTCAAAGACGCTTCTTTACTATCCTTCGGTGAAACATAGAAAATCTTTTTTCAACTGCTTTTTTCAAAGACACGAACATAGACATCGAATCCATTCATCTCTGAAGTTCCACACAGTTTAAAACAAGACACACAAACAAGACCATACTTACAACGAAGATCTAGAGTACCCCCAAACACTACGATGAAGCACGCTAAAGAACACAAACCAAGGGCGTAAGAACACTTTCTTTTCCTTCCATGTCTCCTCAGAAAAGTCTCATTCTGCAACAGAGAAGCAGACTCAAGATCAGTCGTCACAGATAAGGCATCATTGATTGATCCAGCTTGTGAAGAAATAACATGGACAAACTACTTGAGATGCAATTTGTAGAGGTAAGGATTATAATTCGTTTCTTTTGGCAAACCTAAAGACATGACCTTTCGAACCGACTATCCGAGCTCACTACTAAAATAATCACCATGCAGAACACTCGTTAGAAATGTTTGAATGAAACACTGAAAATCTGGTAACGAACACCCTTGACAGGACAAAGCAAAAAGTACTGATTGTGAAAGATGCAAGTATAGCCATTTTCAGGGAAAGTCCAACAACAATTAAATGAATCTTCAAAAAATTGGCACCCATATCCTAAGATTGAGTTTATGGCAGCCTAAAAACAGTTTTTTTTTTCAAAGATAACGTGTATCCAATGTTCATCACTGAGACAAAAATAAGAATAGACCTATGGATAGCGATACTGATCAATTATGTAGTGACTACGAGTTGAAATTGACCTGCATCCGAAGTCAACCATGCTGCTGCTGCTGCTGCTGCTTATCCGAAGCATCATGGTACTCTTCCTCGGCGACCTCAGGCACTGTATGAAGTTTATCGCTATCCACCAGCTTCTCGGCACCGTTTTCGCTGGCTTTCTCGTCTTCTCCGTCCTTGTCATCCGGAAACCTAACAACCACCACGGGACAAGCACAGTGGTGGACGGAGTAATCGCTGACGCTCCCTAACCTCCCTTTGCTGCTCCGCTTAGTAGCGCCGAATCCTCTGCTCCCCATTATCAGAGTGCTCAGCCCCAACCTCTCCACCTCCAAACACAGTCTCTCCTTCATGTCGTGATCCTTGACGATGTGGATCTTGAACGGTATATCCGCCTCGACCAAAGGCTGAGCAACGTCGCTCGCCTTCTTGTTCGTGAATATGTCGAAATCGTCCTCCAGCTTCCTCTGGGACTCCTCGTTCTCCGGGTCCCACTGCGGCGACAGGTCAATGGCGCCCCAATCGGCGCCGTAAAGGACGCTCGTCGGCTGAACGTGGAGGAGAACGACGGCGTCGCCTGATCGGAGGTAGTTCTGAACGGCCCACTGGACCGCGTAAGCACTCTCGTCGCTCAGATCGACAGCGATCCCGATCTTACGTTGCGCTCCAGCTGTCGGTGTGCCGATCGGGAACCTGGGAGACGACGGCTGCACGGTGACAACAGTCGGCGATTTCCGGTCCGATCTCGGAGATTTTCCCGGCGAAGTCATGTTAATCGGCGATGAAGATGCTTCCGACTTGTAAAAAGAGTGTTGTTGAATAAAGGAAAGAGCTTTTGCTTGACGGTGGAGAAAAAGATGCGAACAAAGAGAGGAGTGGACTCTGTACGGTACGGTGTAGAGAATAACAGTGACCCTTTCTATGTTTTTTTTTGGTTGCTCTGTTGTATAATTTGGATATTGTTGAGAGCCGTTCGATTGATTAGTTTAGGATCTACCGGTTATAGTGAGTGGTGGTAATAAATCTCAGTTCATTAGTACGGAAACACCTGAGAATTGGGTAAAAAAAAATCCAATTTCTTCAGTTTTTTATATTTTACAATCTACCTGCATGTGTTTCATTCTAAATGTTGAATCCATAACATTATGATTTTTTTTTTCGTTACCAGTTTAAACAAAACATCTTCAAACGGACAACATAGTATAAAAGAATATAAGATCAGATCATCCATAAAATAAAATAAAAAAAGATTTACATCTAATGGATTTAATTTTTAGATTTCTAATCATTAATTTTTTTATTAGTTACAAGTACAATATTTGTTTTTTCTTTTTTTTAAATATAATTTACTTTTAGTTACTACTAACACTTATAATTTACTTCATTTTTTTTTTAATTTACTTCGTTTTTACTTGAAATTTGCTCAGTTTTTTTTTTACAATTAGTTAGTTTTTTCTTTACAATTATTTATTTGCAATAAGATCAAAGCAATCAATATATAAGACGTTTTTGACAGTTAAGATATGCTAGCTTTAAAAATTATAGATTTTATTTATGTATAATTTTTTGCTTTTAATATTTATGCAAGTAAATGTTATAGAGGTGGATCCCCAAGACCTATACTAGATAGATAATGTAAGAGGGTTATGATCCTTCTTCAAGAAGTAGAGAAAGTATAAAAAACAAAAAAAAATTATAAGTGGGAAAATCCAAAAAAAATAGATCTTTAAGAAGCAGAGAAAGTATAAAAAAAAACAATTTGCCATAGTAATTATTGTAGTTACATATTGAGATTTGAATTTGATTTCTAATTACCTTAGGAGCAGATGGAAAGTGAATGGTGGCTCGAGCTCTCGGGGCTAACAAGGATCCATCTGCAAATAACAATGCAAAGCAAATGGCAATAGAGAGGACGTAAAGAAGCAGTGATGAAGACATTGCTCATGAGAGTTTGACGATTAGAGAAGAAAACTGGTCTTCTTATAAATCTAGAAGCAGTAAAAGTAAAAAATCAATGCTTCACCAACTATAAAAAAATTCCATACTAAGTTACTCTACTTTTGACTTTGGAAGCTATTTTTTTTCGGCAAATGAGTTTGACAGCTTATTAGTCACGGGGCAATGACAACCGTAAAAGCATCTCCAAGAGATTCTCTATAACTTCAAATATAAAGTTTGTTGCATTCTAAGAGAAACTTCAAAACTTCAAATTTGAAGTTTCACCTTTTTATTTGTATTTCAGTCCTTCTAATTATATACTATATGAATGTTTATATTTTAGTTTTGTTGTTTATCACTTTAGTCCATATAATTTTAGTATTTCATATATATGTATATATATATTTAATTTTTGTATACAAATTAAATAAAAATCTTAAAATAAATTCAGAATAAATATTACACATTATTATAAATATATTTTTTATTACATAACAACAATTATATATAAAGCAAATTTAATACAAAATACAAGAAAATAAATTACAAAAACATATAAATATTACAAAAATTGAAATACTACAATAATACTAATATTCAGGTTACTTTAAAATGCATTTATTAATCATATATGAAAGCACTATGGAAGTAGTTGTATTGAATAATTTGATATTTTATTTGTAATTTATAATTTAGTATGTGTATATTATATATTTTTATATAATTATGTAATGTTTTATTGATTAGTATTGGTTGTAATCTTTTTATATGTATGTTTTAGTTATTTATAAATTTTTTATAATGTTAATTAATTATTATCAATATTAAGAACTATAATGCAAAATATAAATAGTTTAAAAGTTTTTTTTTAAGTTTACCATTGGAGAGTAACATTTCCAAACTTCAAATTTGAAGTTTCACAAACTTCAAATTTGAAGTGTCTCTTGGAGATGCTCTAATGGTGATCCTAGGTTCTTAAACATGTTATATCAGTAAAACTTACATGGAGAAACTCAGTCTAAAGAGTTCTTAAAAAAAAAAAATTTAAAATTAAATCTATCTATAATAACAAGCTGAAAAATGCCAATTGCACTTTAAAAAATTGTGTCTTTTCAAAATCTATGGTTGCGTCTTTTCATTATAAATAGTTGCATATTTTCACTACAAATGGTTGCGTTTTTCATCAACTATAATTTGTGTCTTTTCAAAACTATTTATACTACTCAAAACTACAAAAAAAATTATTTGGATCTAACTTTTACTTTCTTACTATAGTGAGTTTTTTGTCGTAAACTTATTTATATATTATAACATATTATCAGGATATAAAATATTTAAAGGTCCTGTAAGTTCAGATATTGAATTTGAGTAAAAAATTTCATTTGGGAGTCCAATATTGGCTATATATGAGCAGTTTCATTACATGATTGTTTTACATGCATTACATCAGAAAAATAAAATTTATTCAACCAAAATCTAATGATATTTTTATTATAAAAAAGTTATATGTGTCTCTATAATAACAAACTGAAAAAATGCCAATTGCACTTTGAAAAATTGTCTTTTTAAAATCTATGGTTGCGTCTTTTCATTATAAATAGCTGCATCTTTTCACTACAAATGGTTGCGTTTTTTCATCAACTATAATTTGTGTCTTTTCAAAACTATTTATACTACTCAAAACCGCAGAAACAATCATTTGGATCTAACTTTTACTTTCTTACTATAGTGAATTTTTTTTTTGCCGTAAACTTATTTATATATCATAACAAATTATCAGGATACAAAATATTTAAAAGTCCTGTAAGTTCAGATATTGAATTTGAGTAAAAGATTTCATTTGGGAGTCCAATATTGGCTATATATGAGCAGTTTCATTACATGATTGTTTTACATGCATTACATCAGAAAAATAAAATTTATTCAACCAAAATCTAATGATTTTTTATTATAAAGAAATTATATGTGTTTTGTTTACTAATATATATTATGTTATCTAACTTTTTTGTTAGCAATCTGAATAAATATCATTTACACTTTAGTCATTTCAAAATTTGTGGTTACGTCTTTTTATTATAAATAGTTGCATCTTTTCATTATAAATGGTTCTGTTTTTTTATCACAACTGTTATTTGTGTCTTTTTAAAACTATTTATATTGCTCAAAACAATAGAATAAAAATAATTTGGGTCTAATTTTTACTTTTTTACTATGGTGGGTTTTTTTGTTGTAAACAATCCGAATAAATGTCACTTATATTTTACAAAGTTGTTTCGTTTAAAATTTGTGGTTGTGTCTTTTTATTATAAATGATTGCAGCTTTTTCTTTATAAATGGTTGTGTTTTTACATCACAACTATTATTTGTGTTTTTTTAAATTATTTTTATAGCTCAAAACCACAGAAAAAATTATTTGAATTTCACTTTTACTTTATTACTATAGTGGGTTTTTTCGTAAAGTGATTTATTTATCATAACATATTATCAGGATACAAAGTGTTAAAAAGTCTTCGAGGTTCAAAAATTGAATTTGAGTAAAATAATTTATTTGATGGTCTAATTTTGGCTAAAATATGATAAATTTCATTACAAGATTGTTTTACATGCATTACATCAGAAAAATAAAATTTATTCAACCAAAATGTAATGATATTTTTATTATAAATAAATTATATGTGTTTTGTTTACTAATATATATTATGTTATTTATTTTTTTGTTAACAATTCGAATAAATGCTATTTACGCTTTAGAAAGTTGTGTTGTTTCAAAATTTGTGGTTGCGTCTTTTCATTATAAATGATTGCATCATTTAATTATAAATGGTTGCGTTTTTCATCACAACTGTTATTTGGATTTTTTTTCTAATTTCAGAGAAATATATTTATGTATGTAACAAATTCACATATATTTTACATATGTATTTTTAAGGTATCAAAGTTTTTTATATATTTTAACTAATATATTTGTAATATACTTTTTAATATTGCGAATCTTTTTTAAAAACTATAATAGTTTTAGAAAATGTATTATAAAATCTCGTTACATCATTTTTATTATATATATTTTCTATAGTATTTTTAAAAATATCAAATTTTTATCATAATTCTTTGTTTTTAACTTTTCAATAATAAATGTATAGTCTTATAAATTTTTTTTTTGAAAGATTGTCTCTATATTTATTTTTTATTTTACATTTTTGCGCGAATACAAATTTTTAATAATTATACAAATAGAAGATCACATATTTATATCATATATTTATATTGTATATTTTCATATATAACTTTTTTAACACTCTTAAAAAGTTGTGTATCTTATTATTTTTCAGTTTTGTAATTGTTTCTATTAATAATTAGTAATAACAATTCTAGAGAATTTTGTAAATATTTACATATTTTTATCATAATTAGTTTGTACATTTCCATTTGGAAATTATTGTTAATAATTAAAAAACATGAAAGATATGTTTTTTTAATAACTATAAGTTTTTTTGAATAATTACATTTTTATTACATATATTTTACTTATAATTATTTCAAATTAATTTCTGTTTAATTATGAATATACCGCGGGGGTCCTATTCCTAGTTATTTTAAAATCAATCTGTAAAAATATATGATCTATCTGTAAATATTCAGGAAACAAATCCAGCAAATCATCGAATTTTTTAATTCATCTCATCACACACATACACACTGCACACATAAAAACAGAAACAAAGGAGGTTTAGTGATACAAACCTTTGATAGTTTAATGTTCTGTACAGAAATGTTGCAAGCCCTGAATATACAACAAATTGACCAGTAAGTGATCACGAATCATACTATACAAAAAAAGTTAGAAGTATCTGTAAAAACGAGATTTTTACCTCTCCAGCATTAAAGATGAATCTCTGTTTGTCAAAGAAGAGTAATACGGAAGACGATGTATCTTGTGTATCCATTCCCGTTCCAAGGATCTAATTTGGTTTTTAGAAAAACAAGATGAATTTTGTTGATGTTGAAATACACCATTTTCCCTCACACACATAAGCCATAATTAAGTCACCATAGATTTGCCTTGTGCCTTGACAAAGGGTTTATTTACCGAGAGAAAGATCTGCCACGTTTTATAGAAAAATCCGGAAAACCAGAGATTCAGTGAATCCTGAGATTACTTCTACGACGTTTCTTCTGCAAGTTTGAAGCTTCTCGATCAGTGGCAGAGAAACCGCTGTTTTTGACTCGTGGGTTTTTGGCTTCTTCCGCCTCGGAGAAGAAAACGCAGAGAGACGAGAGGGGGCGCAAGGAAAAGAGAAGGAGAGAGTTTTTTTTTCTCTTTTTTGTTCTTTTGGGTTTGCGTTTTTCAGATTTTGTTCTTATAGTTGTTCTTATAGTTGTTGTATCTGTAAAATGGTGTATTTCAACTTTGGCAGCTTTTTTTTTTTTTTGGGCAAATGACTTTGACAGCTTATCCCAGTAATTAAAAACATCATTTGACTCATAATATTCGTGAAAATACTCTCTAACTAATTAACCGTATATATGTTTTATATGAATTTATTTAATGTGTAAGACAGCGAGAATATGAATATATATTTTTAAAGATCAAATATTAGTTAGAGAGACTTAATAATATCCAATCAATATATGCCATATCGCAAAAATTCATAGTTAAACACTAACCTTACAATACTCTATAAAAAGAACACTAACCTTATAAACTTTACGAAACAGAGCATGTAATTTGTTAAGTCCATACAAAATAGAGAAATGCATCAAATTAAAACAGAGAGTGACACTACAACACAAAGTACAAGGAACAAGACATCAAACAAAAGCCACTCTTGGTTAAGTCCATAAAATTTATGATTTTTAATCGTTACAAAACTTAACAAGTCGTCTTCTAATGGACAACACAGTATCAATAGAGGGTAGTGCGGCTACAACAAGTAACAACATTTAGGACTCATAATTGCTAACTAATAACAACTTACCTATAATTAAGAATTTGAGATGCGATTTACACAATTGTATTACCAGCCCTAAATTAGACAGAGTTCTCTTTCTTTAGAAACGTTAATAATTCGGTGTTTTGATTCACACTGTACGTCTTAGCGTTAATACATTTGTTTTTCTGTTACCTTTTCGAAAATTATTAAATCTTAATTTAAGGAATTTTCGTATAATTGAGCAGATAGGATAAGAATAAACATTAAATCACACTCTCAGCTATCCGATATACCCACGTGGCAACAGCTGTACGGTTAATAATGTCTGCTTTAGCTGGGTTTATGAATAATTAATTACCCGCCCAAACCACCAACGCTTAAAAAAACAAACAATAAAATTAAAAAAAAAAAGTATCGAAAGGCGTTTCACCAAAAAGGCAAATCCTTTGGAGAAGATAATCAAAGAGAAAAAGAGGGATTAAGAAGAGGGAAAAACCCTAAATTTTCATTTGTCAATGGCGGAATTGGATAAACTAGAGAGTGGAGGAGCCGCCGTAATCGGCGACATTGGAAACGACGGCGGCACAGCGGTGGAAGAGAGGGAGATGCTAGCGGAATTGGAAGGAATCTCTGTGTTGGATTTCGATCTGCTTTGCTCGACGGTTGCGCTTCAGACTCAGGGGAAATGGAGGAAACTCGAGAGCTCCGAGAGAGAAGATGGGGATGATGATGAATATGGCGGCGGCGTTTTACGGCTCTGGGAAGGCGATGTCATGGATTGCTTAGAGGATCGTCATCTCTGCATCGAATCCGCCTGGTGTGGTTTTTTTCCTTCCCTTATCATCCTAAGCCAATCTACTCATCGAATTCATTTCCCCTGGGAAACTATTATCTCCAGAAATTGCGATTTCCAGAAAAGTTTTTCCGGCTAAAAGTCTGGGTTTTTATTTATTTATTACTTCTATGATTCTATCATCTCCTTTATTCATGTTGCCGTTGGCATGTGTTTGATAAGATAGTCTTGTAGTGTAGGAGCTTCGTCAAGTCAAATTTAGGTCAAAAGGTCCCAGAATATGAATGAGCAAAAAACATCTGTTCTGACTAATCTGCTTTTTTGTCCCCTTGAAGTGAACTATGGTCGTATGATTATATTCAACATTTGGTGCATATTGGGACTGTTATTAGAGTAACTAAGTTGTTTATCATTCCCTGAAAGAGTGTTTTGTTATCCTGTTTTTCAGCTGCCCATGCTACAGATTCGGGAAAAACATGACAAGGGCTGGTTTTGGTTCTTGCTTTCTTCAGGTATAAGATCCTATTACAATTGATCTCTGACCTTTTTGTTTAGCTAGTTCTCAAGTATGCTGACTTTCTTCTACGTCTTGAACAAAATTTCTGTGTCAGGCTGCTGTTCATATGATTCTTATCGCCACTGTCCTATTCAACGTTGCAGCTTTTGCTGTAACCAAGAGGCATTGCTTTCTCTACCTGGCTATTGCTTTCGTCCTTCTGCTTGCATCCTACTTGGGTTTCTTCCGTATGCAGATAAGAAAGAAGTTTAACATTAGAGTAAGCACATTCATTCTCCTTCTTTTTGTTGTTTTCTCTGTGAGCGTGTTAAGAAATGATTTGTCTTTTTGTCCTGCATCATGACCTTTCTTCGTTTCTCTTACTTCTTTACAGGGAGCTGATAGTTTCTTTGACGATTTCATCCACCATCTCGTCTGTTCATTCTGTACATTAACTCAGGTGTGTATTGTTCACATACCATTCCCTTGAAAACAAGCTGTGTCATCCATTATGCTTCTTTTGGTTCAACTTGCTTGTGAATGTGATGCAGGAATCGAAAACGCTGGAGATGAACAATGTACATGACGGTATCTGGCATGGTCGAGGAGACACTCTATGCATAGGCGGCTATCCCGAAGGAAAAGCTTTTCTCGAGCTGCATTCGCCTCCAGTCATTGTATCAGCAATGTCGTCATCTGAACCCTAACAACACACAACAGAGTTGCATATAAACTGAAACCAAGCTCTGCGCCTCCATATCCATAGGCTTATGGTGCCAATTACACCATTGAAACAGAATCATGTCAGAAGATAACTTTCATGTTTGTTTTTGAAACTGTGATATATATAGCAAACATGGAAGTTCGATTTGAAAGGCCCTTTTCAGGTTTTAAGAGAAACTTTGAGAAGCCATTTGTATGCTATTGCAAGTTATATGAATACGGCCACCTATTTGTACGATATTGCATTTGATGATGACGAACACATACAACCGTTGTAATCTGCAGACACAGATTAACTTCGATCAATCCAAAGATTGGATACAGTTTGTGGTTTAACGCTTTTAGTTTCGAGTTTTTTAAGTAACAAAAAAAAGAAGAGATCATGCTTGATGCTCGTCCAATATAAATCATAAACTGCAAAAAAAAAAAACACTGTTGTGTGGCATTTTGTTCTGGTTCGGTTCTGTTTAACCCTTCTCAAAATCAGACCAGAAAAGCCAAAGGGGAAAAAGACAATTATATAGAGATATACAGACATACATGGATGTAAACACTTTATTCAAATTCACTGTGCCATTCTGAGGCAGTCTTTTCCATTGTTTATGTTCACTGTTCTTCGGCTCAGAGAACAAACGGGCGGTTAGTACAGCAGACAAACCGCCTAATACAATCTATGTAGTTAGAATGAACCAAAATCCATAACAACAAAAAAGCAAAGGGAAGAGAAAAGAATGAAAAATAAACAAGAGGAAGACAAGAACATGTACTTTCTTTCTATGTTCTCTCATCTAAGATGTGTAAAATTTGTCGACTCCTATGATGATGACAAACAAAATTTGAAAACGATGGAAACCTTTTCTCATCCTAGGGCGCCATTAGACCATCCACCGTGTAAGAAAGAGACTTAGCCCAGTCGGTTTTCAGCACCATTGTTTGCAGCGTGTGCATCACATCGTATCCTGGATCAAGTTTCCGCTGCCAACCCTATAACCAAAACCGATTACATTAAGATAAAAGCAAACTTAATCTTTCCAGAGTTTATAAACAGTGACTGGATCAAACTAGGTAATAGTTACTCTTTAAGAATAAACATGCTCTTAAGCTGCAAACGGTTTCAAAGGTAAACTCTTTAAGCTTTGTTTCTATAATAAGCTTAGTTTTCATGTGCTTTAAACATGCAAATATATATCAAGTTCCATGAGACTTAGCGTGATCTGAAATCTACACTATTGAGAAGAAAAAAAGTAGAAAAAGATTTTGACTCACCTCGAGAACTAATGTTGTTACCATCACGGTGCACACATTGCCATCAACATTAACTCTATGACGTCTTACTTTCTCAAGTAATTCGTGCATGCAATCTGCTGGATGTACTAAATCTCCCTCAGGGGTTCCCCAGAATTTGAATGCTTCTTCTACTTCCTGTGTCAGAATATAAACGTATCAGCCATCACATAACAAAGAATTTCGAACGAAATCTTCCATATATTTGACAATCTACTTGTTCTCTGAGGTATAAGGAACCTTGAGGGCAAAGATATGAGTACCTCGATAAAAGCTCCTGGATTGGGACAATTTTGCTTTCTTGATAATTTAAGTGTTCTCTCAGCAGCAGTACGGCCATCTCTACGCGCAACCGCCTTGAAAAATTCAAGTAAGTTCTCTCTGTCGTTCTTCGAGAGTTCTGCAGTCATTCCCACATCGAGGAAGACGATGTGTGGCTTCTTCGTCTTGAAAAGGCCTCCACGGGAAGCTTTTTTCCGAACAAGGATGTTTCCCGGATGCATGTCAGCGTGAATAAAGTTATCAACCTGAAATCATAATTCACTTGAGGTTAGAGAGTATAGATGAAGCGTATATCAGTTATAACTATCTTAAAAAAGACGACAAAGATGCTAATACCAGGAGCATCTTCAAGAGAGCATGAGTCCCGATGTGAGCAAGTCTAGTCTTAATCCATTCATGTCCTTCCATGCCATCAACGTAACGCGCCACACTTTCTCCGTGCTCATATGTCTCCACCAAAACAGCAGGATGTACAAGTGGATACACAGGTTTAGGAAAAGAGACATCTTTCCATCTCCGGAAGTTGTATATGAACCGACTCAAATGGGAAGCTTCCCTCGCGAGATCAACTTGGGACAACATAAAGACACCAAACTGTTGCACACTCTCGTCCAGTCTCAACCATTTCAAAGCCGGAATCAAAGTCGATATCTTCGCCACCAAGTTAATTATCACAAAGTCTCTCCTAATCGATTCACCAACACCCGGATGCCTAACTTTCACAGCAACCAACGAAGACTTGGACTTTTGTCCTGGATACTGAAACCTCAAAGAAGCTCTATGCACTTGGGCAATACTCCCGGATGCCACTGGAACCTCTTCAAAATCCTCGAATATCTCAGAGAGCTTACGACCAAACGCCTTCTCGATGGTTTTCTTAGTGTAGGCAAAACTATGCTCAGGAGCATTACTGTGAAGCTTTGAGAGCTGCGAGCACAAATCCTTGGGGAAGAGATCTGGTCGTGTGGCTGCCCACTGGCCCCATTTGATGAAAGCAGGACCAGCTCTCTCCAGAGTTCGATGGATCATCTCAAGCCATATCTTCCTAAACCGAGGCCCACCTACTTCCACAACCAGCCCCATGAGAACAGTGGGAGTGAACAAACAAGCTATGTAAAAAGCTCTCCCAATCAAAATAAAGGCCTCTATAACCGAAAACACTAACGAAGACAGAAAGATAGGACCATTCTTTGCCCTTGAATAGAGAGATTTATGTGAAGGATAGGGATCTAACGCAGAGCTGGGAACTCTTTGCGCCCAAGCTACTTTCCCGCAAGTGACCGAAACGATGCCGGGTATCAACAAGTGTGAACGGGTAAGAGACAAGCAGAAGGCTTTAGCAAAATTACTTATACGAGGTAAGCTCCATTGTCGCACAGAACACTTAAGATGAAGCCTTTTCCAAGCAACCTGAGCTTGATGAGTAACAACATTTCTCGCAGAGGCAGTGGAATAGTTTCGCGACAGGTGGTTCCTTCCTTTGAGACCTCGAAGGGAAAATGTACAGTGCCCATTGCTCGGAGTCGGAACTCTAGGAGCGGAAGAGTAAACTCTGAATTGAGGAGACCTTAGAGCAGCTGTAACAGCAGTTCTATAGCTTCCCCATTGGGATCGTCCTCTCTCTTTCTGATTCGATAAAAGAGACTGCGTGTGTTTTCCAACGACTCTAAAGATGAAAAATCTGCAATAGCAAGAAACCAAATGATGAAATTATTAGCTAAGAGAGCCTGATCCGATCACCATTTAGACGTAGAAGCCAATGAAACACCTAAATTCTGAAACTTTAATCATATATTCAGTATCAATTCCACATTTGGAATCATAAATCAGTCTCCGAGGTAACGGGAAACATAAAAAAGGCCGATCAGAATTCATGACACGACCCAACAAAGTAAGAAAGTGGATGGGTCTGTAAAATAACAATCCCGCTTGATGAACAAACCTTGACATGGCGGCGATGAGGAACCACGGCAAGAAAGTGTGAAAACGCCGATTGTTGGGTATGGATCTTTAAAACGTTAAGATTGAGGAGCATTTTCTCATTGACTTCAACTTTGGGATTGGTAAGGGCAAGGATTCGTCCGTCACCGTTATTCCTCCCGGCGTTAATTGGGTTCGAAAATATCTCCCGGAGAAGACCTAAAGCCGACACGGAGAGAGAGAGAGAGAGAATAGGTCAGGCCAGAGATTTCGTTAGGGGAGAGAGAGAGAGAGAGGCCCACAAAGGCATATTAAGGTCTCGTGGGCTTAACGTTAAAAGTTAGATTTAGTCGACGTGTGACATTGTCAACCCAGGCAATGGTGTGAACATACAAAACTCTTGGTCGGTCCGAAGACAACCTGTCGTAACATTTTCATAACTTTTATGATCTTAAGTCGACTTCCCCTGAATGGCACAAAACAAAATTTGGGATTAAAATTGTCAAATTGGTACAGAGCTGTGTATATTCAAGGTGGATTTGGAATACAAATGTTCAAATCTGTATTGGTACGGTAGCAAAATCTTAAATTTGATTTTTTCCCCATTAAAAAAAAGAAGGAAAGCAACGCCATCTACGTACACTTTTTTTAATTTCCTTTTCTGAATTTGTCAAAAAAATCATAAGAAAAATATTTGAGTTTAATTTTTTTGTCCAATCGAATTCATGAAAAATGTTAACAACGCATTAAGCTGTCTCGATCTCGTTCCTTAAGGTCACAAGTCACACGGTCGACAAAACCTCTTTCCTTCAATATTAACCGCTTGCTGTTCACCGGATTTGGGCTCTCCGGCGACGGAGAAAAAGTTCCATCTCCAAGGTCAGTTTCCTTTTCCGCTCTTTCTTCTTCTTCTTCTTCTTCTCTGTCTCTCTCTATTGAACCGAGGTGTGGAGAACTCTGACCACCGGAAGAAAAATAGGTTAACTAAATTTGGTTGATTTGGTAATTGCAAGGAGACGAATTAGAGAAAATTGAATTGAGCTTTAAGACTGGTCAAACTTTGGATCCGAATTTTTTTTTTTTTGGGGGGGGGGGGGTATGTATGGTTTTAGCATCTCTATTGGCGTGTGGTTATTATTAGGAGCCATGGTGATATTGTCACCAAAGATTTATACTTTGATGATAATACAGAAAGAAAGCTTGAGACTTTGTACTTCATCTTAGAGGAGGAGGCCAAAGTTAGTGTCTAACTATTGTGAATATTTGGGCACCTATCAAAATTGGTTATAGGAAGTGAGACTCTGCTGTTTGAAAGTTTGATTTGGCGAATTTCTTGAGTGGTGGCTTATGTTTGCAGTTTCTGCGTATTAACGTTGTGAAAAATGTGGTTTTTGATGATTACGCGGGGTATTGCATATGATCAGCACTTTGCGGTACAAGTCGTATATTTCGATAGTGTGAGAAGAAGGCTCATCAATAATTAGCAAATGGCTATTGATTTGTTGGCTATTGTGTTTGCTACTTAGTTCTGTGTAGATTTTCAAGTCCATGAATTTACGATGAACCCTGCAAATTTGATGCAGAAAACAGAGAACGTGAGAGAGAGAAGAGAAGTGACGAAGGGTGATTGAAAATCTGAAGGAAACAGATGGGAAGCAGCAATAGAAGCGCAGAACAAAAAAGGCAAATGGCAGAACTGAGCAAAACCCTTAAAGAAGGTGAGAGGATTGTGGAACCTACACGTAGACCAGATGGCACTCTCCGGAAACCCATCCGGATTCGAGCTGGCTACGTCCCACAAGATGAAGTTGTCAAGTATCAGTCCAAAGGTTCTCTGGTATGGACTCTTTAGTTTATTCCCTCAACACTATACTCTGTTCTTGGCCTCGTTGTGAATTTGATGACACTTAGTCAGAAACTTTCCAAATTTCTGCTCTTCTATCTCGAGTTGAAGTAGTAATTTGCATTTTCTTTTCAATAGATGAAGAAGGAGATGGCCTCACTAGGACCTCCAGGTTATGACCCTGATCCAACTCCTAAATCAAAGACTAAAGCTGCTAAGAGGAACGAACGTAAGAAAGAGAAGAGATTACAGGTGTGTGTTTCAGCTATATTCATATGCAAAGCTTCATATACTACTAGCGTCGTCTACAGTTATTCGTAACATGCTTCCAAATTATCATCCCTGCAGGCTGCTGCAGAAAAATGTAACAGCTCTGAGGATGGCTCAGCTACTAATGTAGACAAGGAAGATACTGCTTCCATTGTGACTCCATGCAATGGGTCCCAATCTGTGAATGTATTGGTTTCTGGTTTGGAGGCTTTGGATGTTTCAAATAATGGTGTACCGCCTCGTACTTCGGGCCTTGGAGAAGCACCCATTCCGGTTACTGCAGGAGAAGACACTGAGAAAAGAATACGTGCACTTAAGAAGAAAGTAAGATTTCGAAACTTTCTCAGCTGCTTTAATAAGAATAAGACATTCGAGCGAGTTTGTGTAATTGTAAGTTTGTCACCTTAACATTTTGCAGATCCGACTCACGGAAGCTCAACAGCAGAAGACTGCTCCCAAAGACGTAAACCCTGAGCAATTGGAGAAGTTCTCCAAGTTGGAGGAATGGAGACAAGAACTCAAGGCTTTGGAGGATAAAAAGGCTTAGCTTTCTGCAGAATCTGACATGAATTGTCTGGCTTTTTGACAGGTTGTAGCTTTTCTCATGAAATTTGTGGAACCAATCCAAATTTGTATTAGTGAAAAGGAGGCTGTGTTCGTAGCTTTTGTCAGAAATCTGGTTATTGAACTAGGCACAATGCCTAAATTCTCATGGGAATTGATGCCACTCTGTGTTTGTGTTTGGCCTTCATCTTAAGCATGTGATTTCAACAGATGATGTAAAGTTGCTGTAACAAACATCAGTCGAGGAAGAACTAAAACTGTCGTAAACTGTTAGGTCTGACATAATACCTGCAAGAAACCCTATTCTTGACACGATTTTTGTTAGTTCAAAATGAGACACACATGGCCATTAGTGCCCACAGCTACGTTTCAGTACAAACCCCACACACACAAAAAAATACTCGTAACAGATCAAGAATTCAAGATTTTCCTTTTCTTCCTTTCCATCTTCCGATTTCATCATGCTTCCGGTTTTATCATGCTTATACGTTATCTTCTTTCTTCTTTTTAATTAGGTAAAGGTTGGAGATGTAGAAGCTGGACTTCTTGTAAATGCTTGATTATGATGGATTTATGGATACTATTTCTGTATTATGCTTATTGGATGCTGCATTTGCTGAATTTAATATTTCCAGTCATGATCAACTTTATCTTCACCTGCTACGGGATTTGGTATATATCTTGGAGTATTGGTTAAATTGACTCATCGAGTTATTTTCCATTACTCTTTCTACACTATGCTTATTGAAGGTCGCACTTGCTGACTGTAATTGCGTCTCGTTATCAACTTTATCTTCACTTGCTATTTAACATAAGATATTTTACATATTATGCTTGCCGTTTACTAATACAGAGTACGTACATAATAAAATATCGTAATATATATGCTTGTCATTTAACACATAAGGAGGTATCTACTATTGTAGGGACATTGAGGTGGCGTGGACTGATTCCTGCACAGTGAAAGAGGCAATGATCATATGGACAAGGAAGAAAGGCTTCACGGTGTTGGGTAACCTTTTAAGTTTCGTGTCATGTTCTAAGTCACATGAATCAGTTTTTAGTTTTTTACTTACTTTGAAAGTTCAACCTTTGAGAGATAAATCCGGAACAGAGCGTGACTGATCGATGCCTGCAGTTAATGTTGTTAGTTCAGGTGAGGCCCACTTGGCCTTTATTAAAGCACAAAGCATTATTACGTTTCCATCAAACTCTCTGATCAGAAACAAACACAGAATGAAGATCTTCTTCTTCTTTTACTTTGTCTTATTCTCCCTCCTGATCCAATCCTGTTTCTCCAACAACATGATCATGAGAAGACAGTCTTTAAAAGACGGTGATGTTATATTCTCTGAAGGAAGGAGATTCGCCTTTGGATTCTTCAGCCTGGGGACTTCGAAGCTCCGGTATGTTGGGATTTGGTACGCACAAGTCTCTGAGCAAACTGTTGTATGGGTTGCAAACAGAGACCATCCTATTAATGACACATCTGGTCATATAAAGTTCAGCAGCAGAGGCAATCTCTGTGTCTATCCATCTGTCAATGGAACTGAGCCTATCTGGTCTACAGATGTCTTGGACACGATCTCAGAACCGGCTTTAGTTGCGAAGCTATCTGATTTAGGCAACCTTGTTCTGATTGATCCTGTCACAAAGAAAAGCTTCTGGGAGAGCTTTAATCATCCTACAAACACTCTGCTTCCCTTCATGAAGTTTGGATACACTCGCCAAGACGGCCTGGATCGGTTTATGACGTCGTGGAGATCACCTAGTGACCCAGGTTCCGGAAACATTACATACCGGATAGACCGTAGAGGGTTTCCTCAGATGATGATGTACAAGGGACCGACTCTGTCGTGGCGTACTGGTTCATGGACAGGGCAGAGATGGAGCGGTGTGCCTGAAATGACGAACAAGTTTATCTTCAACATCTCCTTTGTGAATACTCCGGATGAAGTATCAATCACTTATGGTGTGTTGAACCCTTTAGTCATAACAAGAATGGTGCTAAACGAGACGGGGATCGTCCAACGGTTCACATGGAACGGGAGGGATAAGAAATGGATTGGGTTCTGGTCAGCTCCTGAAGAGAAGTGTGATAACTACAACCACTGTGGTGTTAACGGTTACTGTGATCCCACGAGTACAGAGAAGTTTGAGTGCACTTGCCTACCGGGCTACGAGCCCAAAAAGCCTCAGGACTGGTCCTTGAGGGATGCTTCGGGTGGGTGCAAGAGGAGAAATACAGCTTCCATGTGTAGTGGGAGAGAAGGTTTTGCCAAGTTAAAGCGTGTGAAGGTTCCCAATACATCAGCTGTAAGGGTAGATATGGACATAACATTGAAGGAATGCGAAAAGAGGTGCTTGAGGAACTGCTCTTGTGTCGCTTATGCGAGTGCTTACCACGAGAGCGAAGGCGGAGCAAAAGGGTGCTTGACGTGGCACGGAGATATGTTGGATACAAGGACATACCTGAGCTCGGGACAAGACTTCTACCTGCGCGTAGATAAGGCAGAGCTAGGTACATATATATATACATAGTCTCTGCAACTTGTTCTGTTTCATTGCAACAGAGGAGATAGAAAAGACGAGTCAATGCAGATGAAATCCAAGTACTTATTATTTTGATGTGTTTGCTTGTTTCAGCGCGGTGGAATGGGAATGGATCATCAGGGAAGAGGAGACTCGTTTTGATTCTCAGCAGTTTGGCTGTAGCTGTGATGTTACTAATGATCATTTTGTTACTTTTCATAAGGAAACGACGGCGTAAGAATTTCTCTGATGATGTGTTAAGCATATTATGTTTGTTAGTTCTAAGCTCACAGTTAACAAGTTGAAAACATACACAGGTGCAGAGTCTAACAGGCATAGAAAACCTTCGTCAACCTTCGCCCCGAACTCGTTTGATCTTGAAGACTCCTTCACATTAGAAGAGCTTGAGGACAAATCAAGAAACCGAGAGTTACCTCTTTTTGAGCTTAGCACGATCGCTGCAGCGACAGATAACTTCTCTTTCCAAAACAAGCTTGGAGCAGGTGGTTTCGGACCCGTTTATAAGGTAAAGAAGATGCAAAAAGAGAAATCTATACGTTCAACAAGTAGTAAGTGTAATGTTTCCTTTATTTCTATTTCAGGGCGTGTTACAAAACGGTATGGAGATAGCAGTGAAGAGATTGTCAAAAAACTCAGGCCAAGGAATGGAAGAGTTCAAGAACGAGGTTAAGTTGATATCAAAGTTGCAGCATCGGAATCTCGTGAGGATCTTAGGGTGTTGCGTTGAACTGGAAGAGAAGATGTTGATATACGAGTATCTACCAAACAAGAGCCTTGACTATTTCATATTCCGTACGTTTAGCATGTCCAACACAATTTCATATTCTCCATTTCATGAACATCAATGACTTTGAATTTGATTCCCTGTTTTTTTCTTTCTATTTCTTATCGTCCTCTTAGGTGAGGAGCATAGAGCAGAGCTGGACTGGCCAAAACGGATGGGGATAATCCGCGGGATTGCTCGTGGAATCTTGTATCTTCATCAAGATTCAAGACTGAGAATAATCCACAGAGACCTAAAGACCAGCAATGTACTTCTTGACAACGAAATGATCCCTAAGATCGCAGATTTTGGGATGGCTAGAATCTTTGGGGGAAACCAAATCGAAGGAAGCACAAATAGAGTCGTCGGAACATAGTGAATTAGTCTTTCTTTTCTAATCACAACACAAAACTCTCCAATGATTATTCTTTTTCAATCTCAAGTCGTTTGCTCTCATTGTTACAGCGGATATATGTCACCGGAGTATGCAATGGATGGCCAATTCTCCATAAAATCCGACGTCTACAGCTTCGGAATATTGATCTTAGAGATCATAACCGGAAAGAAAAACAGTACTATCTACGAGGAATCTTCCAATTTAGTCGGACATGTAAGTGAAAAAACATGCAGTTTCTTGCACATAACTTTGGGACTTGTAAAAACAGAGGAACAAGACCAAACCGCAGTTTCTTTCTTCTTCTTGTAGATTTGGGCTCTATGGGAAAAAGGTGAAGCAGCTACGATCATAGACACGTTAATGGACGAAGATACTTATGATGAGAGCGAGGTGATGAAATGCATACACATTGGGTTGCTTTGCGTGCAAGAAAGCGCTTCGGACAGACCAGACATGTCATCTGTTGTGTTCATGTTGGGACATAACGCCATTGATCTTCCATCTCCGAAGCATCCTGCGTTTACGGTGGGAAGGAAGAGAAGCGTCACAAATGGCGGCAGCTCAGGTAATTGGCCCAGCGGAGAAACCGGTAGCTCTTTTAACGACGTTACTCTCACCAACGTTGAAGGCCGTTAACAATTTTTCAAGTGTTTTCCTCTTCTTTTTTAAAAACCAAAAGTAGCTTTGTATCATCAGCCATACTTGTCTGTGGATGTATATAGAAAATTATTTTTATTGATGTGTACACAATTAGCTTTGTAAAATTATAAAATAGCAAGGAAAGTTTTAAATTTCAGTTGTTTATCCGGTAAAGGGCATAAAGAAAAACTTCTCGCTTCTTTTGAATTCTGACAAAAATTACGCCCTTCTGGGCTGGGCTTAAGTTAGGCCCAAACTAATGAACCTACAAATTATCATACGATGTCGTTTTCATGTCTTCAAAACGCAGGTAAAAATATCTTATCCCCTTCTAATCTGTCGTGAGAGTGTGAAGTGAACAATCTCTCGCTTTCTGCAATTGCAATGGCTTCCTTCACAACATCTTCTTCTTCCTCGCTTCTCCCGAAAACTCTGCTTCCCGTAAGCCACCTGACACGCTTCCATACACTCTCCGGTATCCGCCGATGCGGCACATGGAATCCTCTGCTCCGGAGTATCTCCGCCGCTGGGTCTCGGCGACGCGTGGCGATTGTCAAGGCTGCGACGGTTGATTCAGATTACTCGTCTAAACGGAGCAGTAGCAACGAGCAGAGGGAAACGATTATGCTCCCTGGATGCGACTACAATCACTGGCTTATTGTAATGGAATTCCCCAAGGATCCATCGCCAACAAGGGAACAGATGATTGATACTTACCTTAACACTCTTGCTACTGTTCTCGGAAGGTTCGTTTTATCTTCTCAATAGTTCCCTTCGTTTTTGATTGATATCGACTTGTCATGGTTCTTTGAATGAAGCAATGTAGCGCTTAAGAAAATTTGGGATTGATGAGTTTGGGTTTTTCGCTAGGTTTATTATGATCATGTAGAGTGAGGTTTGGTGAAAGCCTTTAGCTTTATATTTGCTTTGATGTTGACCTAGTTTCCAGATTTTGTTCATCAAATTTACACCTGTAGGTTGAATTTCGTTTAAGGATCATGAGTATATATATAACAGTGTAATTTTTAGTCTGGATTGTTTAATCTCGTGAGATGTGCAAACATATTATGCATCTGATATAGCCTGTGAGCAAGTTTTCGGCAAATTGATTGATTGATGTATTCGAACCACTCTGCAATTTACAAGTAACAAAGTAGAGTAGTAGGCGATATCGAGCTATTCCAGTTACGCATATGAAAAGCTATTTTGTATATGGGGAAGACTAGAAGAAACATCTGTTTTTGTATATTCTCATTTGCCCATGGTGTGTTAGCAAGTAATGGTATGGAGAAAGTGTTTGTGGTGTACACTGGTAAATAGCATTAAATTGGTACTCCTGGATAAGGCGAGGAAATGACTGTGTTTTGCAAGAAACGACTAAAACCTCGGTTTATATGTTGCTGCTGTCTGTTTTGTAGAGAACTTGAATCCTATCTTCACTGTCGTGCTGCTTTTATAACCAATTAGTGTTCATTTTCCAGCCTAAACAAATCCTTGTGTGTGTGCGTGCTTATTGAGTGTACTTTTGTCTATTTTCCAGTATGGAAGAGGCAAAGAAGAACATGTATGCATTCAGTACCACAACGTATACTGGATTCCAATGCACCATTGACGAAGAAACATCTGAGAAGTTCAAGGGTGAGTTAGTGATCAAGAAAAGCTTTAAATCCTTTTACTGAAATTGTATATGCTTGTAATCGTCGGAATCCTTCAAAGATACTGACTGCTCAGTCTTACAATATTTCACAGGTTTGCCTGGAGTTCTCTGGGTTTTGCCTGACTCCTACATAGATGTCAAGAACAAGGACTATGGAGGTAACCCATCTAAGCATAATTAGTGATTACAACGTGTCTTAAGATCTCTCTTCCTCTCTCCTGCATCCCTGTTCTGATAATTGTATTGGGTTTTTGTTTCGGTTTAGGCGACAAGTACATCAATGGAGAGATTATCCCGTGCACATACCCAACATACCAACCAAAGCAGCGTAATAACTCCAAGTATCAGAGTAAGAGGTACGAAAGAAAAAGAGACGGTCCACCTCCTGAGCAGCAGAGGAAACCAAGACAAGAACCAGCCGCTTCTGATTCCTCCTCTTGAACCATGATAAGACAGGGCAGTGTGTGAGATTTTGATCCATCGGTTAGACCGGTTAGCTTATGAAAGTCGGATGTAAAATCGTCTACTATCCAATGATCCTTCTTGGAACAATATTTATGGTTATGTAGAATGGAACTTCGACTTGAATTAGATTTTTAAGCAAGCACGCTTTTGATTGTTAAAGAAAAACTATAATATATCTTTGGTTCGATTGAGATTTGAGAAATATAACTGTATTATCATCAACCGTATTAAGTTTTTGTTAGTTTAAATGTTTTATATCCATCCATGCTTTGTTTGACCTAAATGAAATGAAATGACCCATCATTTTGAGTTGGGCCTAATAAATTGACATCAAATGAAATGAAATGATCAATTTTTGTCAATTTATTAGGCCCAACTCAAAATGATGGGTCAATTCTTCTGTGCTTTGAAATGAAATGACCCATCATTTTGAGTTGGGCCTAATAATTGACAAAATCTGGCGTCACCCTTTTAATCTCTGAACTAGGTTTCTTCTGTGACCTTCTTCTCTTCTCTGTCACGGCAAAATCACAGAACTCCAACGAGAAACATGGAGTCGAATCCAAAATCGTTGTGGAGTAACATAGTGAAGAAAGATCCTCCTCCAAAGCCTTCACCTAGTGACGGAGCTCTGGCACCGATTCTCGGGATGGTGGGAAACTGCAGATCCAGGAAGGGCATATCTACGGCGGTTGTTGATGCCAGCGCCTTCATTGAGGGACGCCTGAGCTTAACCAACTTGGCCGATAAATTCGTAACCGTCCGTAAAGTATACTCCGAGATTCGTGACTCTCATTCTCGCAGTCGTCTCGACTTCCTTCCCTTCACTATCGAGGAGATGAAACCTTCTCCTGAATCTATTAGTAAAGGTACATAGAATATGTTTGTGACTCTCTCTCTCTCCATATTGTGGTGAGTTTCTGTTCTTGTGAAATTTCTAGAAAAGCTTAAAGAGGTTTTGGAATGAATTTATACGTCGCATTTCTTGCATCTCTGTGCAGTTACTAAATTTGCAGAAGCTACTGGTGATTTGCAAACTCTGTCTAAGGCGGATCTCAAGCTGATTGCTTTGACATACACTCTTGAGGCTCAGGTTCATGGGACCAAACATCTCAGAGATGTTCCTCCACCGATTCAAACTGTTAGTGTAAGGAGATCACATGAGAAGGAATTACTTGGTTGGGGCTCCAATGTGGCTAACTTGGAGGAGTGGGAGGAACTAGAGAAAGAGTCCGACCAAAATGCCAACTCCAACTCCAACTCCAAACTCCTTCCGTTGAAAGACATTAGCATGAATATCATCATCCCTTCAGACAACTCTTCTGAGGTTGGTTCTGTTTTGTCTCATACTGAGCATCAAGAAGAAGGTGAGAGGAAGCACCCGCTCAAGAAAACAGAGGGTAAGATGGTAGTGGAGGGAATAGATGCGTCGCAGGGACAATTCGATGATGAAGATTCTGGTGACTGGAGCGGTTAGTAGTAGTACTCGCAGAAAGTTTCTTAGAAGAAAGGCGAGGTGGAAACATTACAAGTCATTGGCTGAACAAGAGATTCAGCAAGAAGCTGAGAAAGCTGGAAACATGACTGTGCACGAAACTGATCTGCATAAACAGTCGAATCAAATCTCCAAAGACGCGAATGAAATCTGTACAAAGGATAGCGGAAAGAGTGATGAGGATCCTTCTTCGTCTATGAGGTTTGAGGAAGGTTCGTTAAAGGCTCTCCAAGAAGGTCCTGAAGAGACGAATGTTGAACCAACTTTGATTAACGGTGAGGATGGTATCGAGAAGATGGAGATCTTTGAGGCATCATCGGTTGCAGATGATGGTAGCAGAGAGCAGAGTAGGTCGTTTGGAGCCTTGTCTGAGTCCAGTGTAGCTTGTCTAACCGGTGACTATGCGATGCAAAATGTTATTCTTCAAATGGGTTTGCGTTTGCTTTCACCCCAAGGAATGCAAATTCGCCAACTGAACAGGTACACACTTTATGAATCAGATATTTTTACAAGGAAAAAACAAAATTTTCTACACTTTCTATAGCATGCTCATGAGTCATGAGCTGAGGAAGATACAGTTTCGTACACTTTATTGCATTTGCATGATTGCATCTCCAGGTGGCACACGAAATGTCATGCTTGCAAAACAGTAGTAACTCTAAAATCCCATGCTTTTTCTAATATTCGAGAAATGTACTGTCCCAAGTGCGGGAATGGTGGCACACTACGCAAGGTAGTGGTTACAACAAGCGAGAATGGCACCACCATAGCTGTGCGTGAGCCGCGTATAACAATTCGAGGGACCAAAGTAAGTAGTCGTTATAGTCTCAAAAGCTAACCGAAACACACTCATTATAAGCAGAAGCTAAACCGGATCACACATCTTCTTTTCTCGTTGTGCAGTTTTCGATACCAATGCCTAAAGGAGGAAGAGACGCAATCACCAAGAATATGGCTCTACGGGAAGATCAACTCCCTCAAAGGTTTCTCCATCCCAAGACTAAGAAGAAAGCAAGCAAACCGGTTAGTACAATACAAACTCAAAATCTATATAGCCTATGACTGAAAGAAAACTTCAAGGTAATCTCTGATTTGATTATATTGTTGGTTTTTTCAGGGAGATGAGTATTTTGCATCAGATGATGTGTTCATGAACCATCATAGTTATAAAAAGGCACCATTGCAGCCTCCTGTGAGAGAAGCTATGGCGGTTTTCAGCCAGAAAAGGAACCCTAATGACAACCATTACTCTCGTTCTAGGCACTAATCTCTTGCTTCTCCTGCACACCAAGCAAACCAAGGAATGAAATAATCACATAACAATGCTTTGTTTCTGGATCACATAAATTTTTGTCTCCAATACTTGACAAGTAACAACAATGGTTTTATGGGATTCGGTTCGGTCCGGTTGATGATCAAGAATTATCGGTTTGGTTTAAATCAGAATTATCTATAGGTTTGGTTTCATCTCTTTGTCCACCACTGTTTTCCCCCACGTTTTCTTGATACCATTTTCAGACAAGACAAGAAATTGCCTCTGCACTGTTATATATACAACTTTATTTGTAGGGTCCACTACACACTCGTCACACCATCTACATCATTCGTCCCTACCTTATCAACACATCACATGGAATAATACACTACACACGGACTTAAAACCAAACATTTCAAATCACTTTAATCGGTGATCCACCCAATCTTTTTCTTTCACCCACCGCAGATTAAAAAGACTTGAAACCTTCTTCGTTCAAGCTCTCTGAGAATCAAATCCCAGATGGCCAATTACTATGAGCATTACCAGATCCCATACGATTACAATCAGGTTAATCTCTATGATCATAACTATTATTACGATAACAATCAACAGCAGCAGTTTGTTCCCGACCCAATGAGTTATTACAGTTATAGTAACTGGAATGGATCTGAGTATGAGACAGCCTCTGCATCTGTTGCCTACTCTGTTTCAACCATGTCTGAGCCCAAACACTTGTTCTACGATCCGAATCTCTACACAACCTACGAATCTCTTCCTCAGTTTAGCATCTATTGCTCTGTTCAAGGCTTCAACGAGCCGGAGTTCGACGAATACGATCCGACGCCGTACAATGGTGGCTACGACATCGTTTCAACCTACGGAAAGCCTCGTCCTCAGTCGGTGGAGATTTGTTACCCTTCTTCAACCGCTGCTCTGGGAAAACCTCCTTCTCCTCCGGAGATTATCACTCCTGTTCCTCTTGGAATTTATGAGGGCGGTGAAAAAAAACTTGCTAAGAAACGTGTGACTTTCTCTGAACCGTTGACTGAATCGAAACCATTGGAAACCATCAAAGAAGATGATAATCGTGAAGAAGAGGATGATCATGAAGAAGAAGAGGAAGATGAATCAGAAGAAGAAGAGGAAGATGAATCAGAGGAAGAAGAAAATGAGGAGCAAAAAGAAGAAGAAGTTAAATCTGAAACTGTAGAAGATAAAGGAGAAGTGAAAGCTCTGTATGTTCCGTCTGGTTACGGCTTAGAAGCGACGGATCTCTGCGAGGTGATATTCGGAGGTTACTTTCCTTGTGTGCTACGTAACAAAAGACGCCAGGAAGATGAAAAGGATCGTGCGTCTGCTGTTTCTTGCTGGGACAGCAACGACTCTGATCCGTGGAAGACGACTTCCGACTACCTTTTCGGGGATTCGTATCCGTACGGTAATGAGAATCGGGTCGAGAGAAGTCAGTTCGAGATCTCCTCTTATGGGTACCAGAGGTACTAACCGGATCATCATCAGATGTGTCAACGTGAGGTAAGACCGTAAAGAGCAACAATTTTTTTTTTTTGATAATTGGTGAAGCTGATTTATTACTATGGACATCCTCATTCGTTTATGGTTGGCCCAACGTTCTTATCAAAGATATTCGAGGTTAATCAATAAATGTTTTTTTGTTGTCAAAATCAATAAATGTTATTCGTAGGAGACAACGATTTCTATTGTAAGAATATACTTATTACAGTTTTTTAAGATGAGCTATATATATATATAATCATATATTAGTAGTAGCCATCACCAATTCGCCAGCGGAATATAAAATACAGAATGATTTCAAAAAATGTGTTCTTTTTTTTTCAGAGGGACGTTACAAACCGATTTTAAGCATAATTCAAAACTTAAAAACAACCAATTAACAAGGGCCTCGTATATTCCAAAAATACTGGGAAAGAGAGGTACATTGAACATTCGGTTAAAGTAATTTATTTATAGAAAGATGAAAAACAAAGAAATATCTACAAATGTAGATGGTCATTTATACCCCTACACACGTGTGAACTTTAGGGATAGAGTTCATGTTTTGCTTATACTGAACGCGACTAGAGCCGATCAGTCACACTCACTCACTCACGAGCCATTTTCTCTCTAAAAGCGAGCTAAGTTGCTTACTACTGGTGCTTAACGATGGCGAACCCGTCGCTACGTTTTGGTGCCGTTGTGCTTTTGCTGCTACTCGTAAGCTTGATCAACGTCGCAGAGGCCGAGATTCACGTGTACGGCAACAAACGGTTCAGCAAAATCGCCAACTGTCTGTATGTTCCCGGTGATACTGAAGCTCTCTACGCATCCAAGTCTCAGAACATCAATGCTGCTTCTTCCTCTGGTACACATTCCAAAGGAATGTCATTTATCAGGTAACTTCTTCTCCTGGTTGAATCAGGGTTTTGTTTTGTGAATCGATTAATTTCAGTTAGGGTTTCATCATTCATGGGTCTTTGGCTGTTTTTGGGAGTAGTGATCCTTTAGGGCTATACTCTTGCATACTCATATGGTTCTTTTTGCTGTCATACGTTATTTGTTTCTATTTCTGCTTACTGTTCTAACATTTCGTGTGTTTCATGGTAACGTTGTTCAGGTTTGATGACATTACCTTTGTGAGGACGAAGGAAGCTGCTAACAAACCGAAATCGAAGCTGGCAAGTGCAGGATTGGTTGAAACTGTAGTGTTTGAGATAAAAGACCGGGAGAAAATTGGTGGGTCTTTGTTCAAAAGTGACGCCATGTGTTGTACTGCAGAGCTTGCGAATGCTGGATCCTGCAATCTGGGAGAGGTTATAATTAGCAGAGATCCCAGTGAACCTGAGTGGCCTAAACGGATTCCAACTTTCTTTGAAGAGCACAAGGAAGAAGTGAAGATGTCTCCTGAAGCTTTGGTGATCAACAAGACAGGACTATATACTGTCTACTTCATGACTTGTGATCCGGATTTGGATGGCATTGTAGTCAGAGGAAGATCAATCTGGAAGAACCTAGGCGGCTATTTACCAGGAGAGACAGCTCCTCTAAAGAAGTTTTATAAATTCATGTTCTTAGCTTATGTGGTGCTTGGCCTGGTTTGGTTTCCACAAGTTGCTCAGTATTGGAAAGATGGAATCCAGCTGCATAGTCATATTAGCTTGGTAATTGCATTTTACATGGCTGAGTTGGTTTTCCTGTACTTTGACTTTGCCTATCTCGACTCAGCTGGTACAAGTCCTGTGGAGGTTACATTATGGGCGGTAACTATTTCTTCTGTGAGGAAGGCATTGTCTCGGCTTCTACTATTGGTGATATCTTCAGGGTATGGGATAGTGAAGCATACCCTTGGTGGCGTAACATTGAGGATGCTTCTCATTGGTGTTATGTGCTTTGTCATAAGTGAAACTCTCAGTTTGGCTATGCACTTTGGGAACGTTTCTAAAAATGTATTGACTTACCTAATGCTCTCTTGGTCTACGCTGGAAACTTGCTTTCTCCAATGGATTTTCAGGTCCCTGTGGAGAACTCTTAAGAAGCTTAAGGTAAGAAAATTTGCAATACTTGTATTCATTTGATGATTTATATATCAAATTAGGCATACTGCTTTCCACATGTTTATAACAATATTACTTAAATGTATCTTTCATGCTAACTGTTGAAAGTAGCAAATGAGCGATCTACTAAGATTCAATGTTGTTAAATACTTCATCTCTGCTAATCCCATCATTTTTTTTTTGTCTGTAGCTGAATAAGAGGAACATTGCTAAGCTGCAGCTCTACAGGAAGTTTGCAACCGTACTTGTAATCATGGTGGTGCTCAACTTTGCCTGGATCTATGTGAAGGTAACAGCTCGGTAACCTAATGGTACTTATGTGGAAAGACGGCAAGTCATAGTGACTGAAACAACTTGTCCCTTTTTTTGTTTTGGGAATCAGCTATATGTCTATGAATCTCAAAGTGAGCTTTGGAAAGTGGAGTGGATCATCCCAGCGTTTTGGTATCTGCTTGCCTATGCACTGTTGGTACTCATCTGCTTCTTTTGGCCTCCATCCGAAAAGCCAACTAGGTAATAACAATAATATCAAATCTCTCTTACCCTTTCTCTGTCCCTTTGTAATCAATCACGCTTTTGTGTCCTGTTTGAAGCTCCACACTCTCTGGGTTTGAACTTTCAAGTAATGAGTATATTCTGTATAACTGATCTTCGCTTCTGCGGCTAACACATTTGCGTAATGTATGTACTGGTTTGAATTTGCAGGTACCTACACGTAGCTGAAATGGAAGAGGAGTTTGACGAAGAAGATCTCTCATTAGCAGAAGCCCGGATGATTACTAGCGACGGAGTAAAGATTGAAGATGGCAATGTGGAGAGGGATGAGAGGAAGAGTCTTCTGGAAGGATTCATTCTGTTGTTTGGGAATCTTCCAGGCGAGAGGTGAAACAATTTTTTACATTTTGCTGGCATCATCATCGTCGTCCTTAACCCAAACTGCCTCCTAACCATTCCTTTTTTAGCTTCGGGTTTAGTGTGTTTGAGGTTTAAAACTCCTTTAGTATAACTAGGATCTTTTGCAAGAGACTTGAGATGCCAGTCCCTAATAACTTTAGCGGTTAATGTAATTGGATTCAATGTATTTAAACTAGAATCTTATGTAGCAGACTTGTTTGGTAACTTAAATATCAGTTTTATTGTTAATTTTGATTATCTTAAGATTAATAATCTTTTGTTGTTAATGATGATGGACAAAACAAACTCCTTAACAGAACCGAACCAAACCGGTTAGAATCTTTCAATTCCCAACACAAATTTGAAATTTCTTTCAATCTGCTTCAAAATCCGAATTAATTAAAATTCTTGTTCTTTAACCGAACCGAACCAAACCGGAAGACAAATGGGCTTGTTTGGAGAAAGCCTCGCACAGATAAGGAAACCTCAAGTTATCAGATTTCACTCCAGACGACGTCGTCTTATGAAGCCTCTGAAACCCAGTCTTCCTCGTTAAGCCCTTGTGTTGTTCTTAGTAGCCTTTTAAAAGAAGCGCGCCCCTAAAATCCTAGGCGAGAAAAGAGAGACAGACCAGGTGCAGGTTTCAGCTCTTATCTCAAGATGATTATCCCAGTTCGTTGCTTTACCTGTGGAAAGGTTGGTTTTTTCTCCTTGGATTTGTTAAATTGGGGCGGTTCAAATCTTATTTTGGGGATTTCTCCGTCTTTTTAGGGTTTTAGTTACTCTAAATTTGGGAAAGAAGAGTTCTCTTCTCTCTCTTAGCTGATATATGAATGTTTCATCGGATGGATTAATTCTGGGTCGATTTGCGAAACTCTTTTTTCGAGTGATAAAAGTTTTGAGCTTTACTAAGCATAATTGCACTTTGTGATGTTTAGGTGATTGGAAACAAATGGGATGCGTATCTTGATCTTCTCCAGCTAGACTACACTGAAGGGTAAGCTACATGATTCTTCTCGCTCTAATCATATTTTCTGCTAAAAGAGAATAATTTATATGAATTGGAGAGAAACTAGTCCAGATTTCGTACTGGGTCTGTCGTTTATGTAGGCAGATTATAACTGAAGTAGGAGATTAGTTATCACTGCTTCTGTTTATGTTTTATTGAGTCTTTGCAAGAGACTATGCCCTGCCTAGTATAACTGAGTCTTTGTGGATTTTTATTTTTATGAACAAAGACTCGATGGCTTCCACTTTTTTTGTTCCATCTGTAGAAGGATGTTTGCACTTGGTGCCTAGATATTCAAACCGTGTTGGTTTTGCACTTTCTCGTGTTTTTGTGATAAAGAAAGGCTTTTTTACTTCATCAAGCAAACTTTTGTTCGAGTGCCTATTCTTTGTTTAGAGTCTCTCTTATTGCTGTTTAAGCTTCCTCGGTGAGTATAAAAGTTTCAATTTTTTTTTCTTTTTTTGCAGGGACGCACTTGATGCGCTCCAGCTAGTCAGATACTGCTGCAGGCGTATGCTGATGACTCATGTTGATTTAATTGAAAAGCTTCTCAACTACAACAGTACATACACTCTCCAATCTCTATATCTTGTGTTTAGTTTGGACTCTGTTGTCTGTCTTGTTCTATGTACTTACTTGTACCCATGACTTCTTCTCCTTGCAGCTCTGGAAAAATCGGACAACAGTTAGTGAGGATGCAAATCTGCTGAAAGAGTGTTCTTCATCCAAAGTTTTTAAATTTATAAATATGTATGAAACACGTTGTGTTTGGTGTGGAACCTTTAAATCGACCCGTGTGATTTAGTGTTATATGATTGAAAGACTTGTCCTTTTGAGGAATTCATGTTTCATTAATATAAAGGTGCTATGGCAATATTCATAAAACAAAGTAAAGAGTTAGCAAATAGATAAAGCTACGGGCCTACGATTACTCGTACGGAATTACGTTTGTTTGAACGATAACGTATTGTATTTGTATACAGACTTAAACTGGTTTTATTGTTGCAGGCAGACACTGCACAATTATCCGATTGCATGCCTGCACGTGCAGTTGAGCGTTCACCATATATTCATATTTGTGCTGGAAGTTTCAAATATTTTCACAAACGGGTTAAAGAAAAATGTATAACCAAAGATAATTTTAGCCTATGAAATTCGACCCCTTTCTTAAGGGAAACATATCACATAAACTATCCCACAAAACTCATGAGATGTATTCGAGAAAATTAAGATTCCAATTAGTCGGAACTAATACCAATCCGAAGAAAGAACAAATGAACAAATGACTCAGTAGCCATTAATCTGTCTTGGCGTCGTCGTCGTCGATCCTACCAACCGAGAGAACGGTTGCTGAGTTTGGTTGTTGCGGTTCATGTTAAATTTGTTGCTACCAGTTCCGGATTTAGGGTCAGAGTAGGCTTGAGCTAGCTCAAGAGGAGAAGCTGCTTTCCCTGGACGAAACCCTGTTCCTTCTGGTGATTCCGGTTTCTGGGGAACCGGTTTTCGCCATGTCTCTGGTGATGGATGTCTCGTCTTCTCCTGAACCTGCGGCTGCTGTCTTGTGTTCTTCATGTCATTGTCACGCCAGTTTCTCCTCTGGGTTTCGGATCTGGCAATGTCGCTTACGCCTCGTCCTTCCTTTTGCTCGAGTTTCCTCGTTCTCAGGTCACGAGGAGAACTCAGTGGCCTTTGGACTGTGTGCTCTGGAACTCTTTCTATGGGTTTGAGGACCATCCTTTTGAATATAAACATAAAAACATAAACAAAACTTAGCATTAGATAGTTGTTGATCTCAATGGAACTGTAAGAGCTGGACCGCAGAAAGTATACGAGCGGCTAGCGAAAACCCGTTCTACCTGTCAAACGATTGCTCCAATTTGTGATGCTCGGTCTCATCAATGCCTCGCTCCTTCAACACCTAGTTCCAATATAGAGAGGTTAAGAATAGGCGAGAAACAAACGAGTAACTTATTAAGAGATAGCCACACAACAAGATGAACCAAACCGCACTCACCAGCTCTCGTGGTCTGGCACCGCCAAAAACCGCATTTCTGCACCAGGAAACAGAAAACGTAAGCGCGTTTGACACACAATATGTACTTATCGCCAGGGAAGTGGTCTAGTTAATATTCCAGAGATGTGAATTGAGAGCAAAAAAAATGAGCTAACTACGAACTACATTCAATGTTCTCACATATTCTACCATCTTCGACTTCTGAGGATCGTTTGACACAAAGTCCAACATCAGCATCTATTTCAATTTCAATAGATACCAAAACGTGTCACGACTCAGAGCATAATCCTTTCAGTATTTGCCATCAGCCAGTACAGATTACTTATGTCCCCATGCTCCAGAATAATTATTACTGAGCTGGAATAGAACCTATAAAATCTTTACCTTTCCTTTTCAGTCTTAACTTCTGGTTGCTCGAGCAACTGTGTCACAGGCTTCAGATACAACTTGGGGCGCTCCACCGACTGGTTAGAAGTGTCATCTGCAGACAAACCAGGTTTCGAGATGTTCATACTTTTCTGTGTCACATAACCAGCTTCACGTTGAACAAGATTTGAAGCACCATTTTCCTGCAGATATATAGTTTTTAATTGCATTAGATAACACAGTTGACCAAGGAAACCTGAAAACCAAAGAGGCAGCTCAAAAACTTATAACTAGTACCAGTTTCCCATCATTCGCAGGTTTCTCAACGCTTTCAATAGGTTTTGTCCGAGGCAGCAGGTTCAGCTTAGGTCGTTCCACGACTTCAGAAGGGCCACTTGGTTGCACCAAATGTCCAGCAGGCCTAACTTCAGAATAATTTGGATGAGGCTTTTTGCTGCTGTTTGCTACAACTTTCGCTTCCTTAACGTCCAGAAAAGTTGGACCAGAGATTTTTTCATACTCACGGGAGAATTTTCTCCCACCTTCAGCGACCAGGCTCCGTTCTACATGTGTACCATGTGGCTCATCCCCTTGATTAAGCACATGGCTATTAGTCTTATAGCCTCTGCTCTCTATCTCCGAATGCTTAACAACATCAAAACCCATCTGAGAAGGAACCAAAAGCTTGGTCTGCCATCTCCCTGAAGACACTTGCTCAAGCGCACTTGTATGGACCAAATTAGAAACAGCTGGTTGTGTAGTCCATGGAGACTGTCCCGGCTCATTGTTAGCCACTGAGACCTCCTTCCTCGCAGTCCAAACATTAGAGTGAGTTCCTGACACCGAGTTATCACCATTACCAGCCCCCGTCACAGAATGAGTCATATCACTCATCTTCCCAGGGAAAGGACCAGCCGCCGCCGCTGACCAACCGCCGTGTCTTCCAGTTAAAACCGAGTCTGCTTTTACCTCCAAGCGGCTATTTGCGACCCGGAAAACATCATCACTGACCATTCTACGGGGAGCCGAGTGGCCATCCAGTGGCTTCCGTTCATCTTCGCTGAAGTTGCGTCCAATATTTGCGGTGTGAGGCAGAAACAGTGATTTATCATCGAAGTTTCTTATAGTATGAGACGAACTCGGCCTTGTCCTCTGATCCGGTCGACCGATCGAAGTTCCCCAAGGTGCTCTATCAAAAACAGGTCGATCCGTAGTAATCTTCGGAATCCTACAGACGAAAATGATCAAAAACGAAGATGTCAAATCATGATACAAGGATGACAACAATAAACCTAACGAATCAGGATTCGATGTAGATCTAATAGCCCTAAAAATAAACGAAAAGTTTACCATAAACATCACTCAAATCTCACAAACCAAAACAAGGATTCGATTGATCTCCGATAAGCAAACCAACTAAGAGGCGATCCACAGGGAGAGAAACAAAACAAAAGGAGCGAAAGATTTATACGAATCCTTGGAGACTTACACTCCAGGAGCGGAAGGGAGAGGGAGATCAGATGGTATGGAGCCGCCATGGAAGTCCTTAAGCGTCATGGTGCTACCAGCAGCTTTCTTCTTCGACATCGTTACACAACTTTATCTCTCGTATCGCTTATTTATCTTCTCTTCTCCGATTGAGATTGAGGTTTTCGCCGCCGGAGACGGGAAGAAGAAGACGAACACCTCCCTCAATCTCTCTCTCGCTCTCAAGGTTCGGTTATCGACGCTGCGGTTCGTCTGGTTCAGCTTCAGATACTCCTCTCGGATTTATTAATATCGAAAACTTTTTCTTCCTTTATGAACGGAAAAATGTTTTTTTTTGTTTTTGCCCCTTAAGAAGGGTTAAAATACGAAACTATCCCTATTGAAAATTACGATTGAGTACGTGGCAGCCAGAAGCACACGTGGATTTTACACTTCTAAGATTCGGCTGACGTGGAATTTTTTTTTTGGTGTTTAGCTCCGGCTGATGTGTTTATCTCTAGATGATGCAGAGGGAAGAGTATATATATATATAGTTTGATCACTTGTGTTAAATGTAAAAATGATACAAAAGAATACATTTACATATGGGGTAAGGTTTTGTTTCAAGGCTTGAAGATTATCACAAAGCAAGGTAATAAAGCTTTAGTACTCAACAGATAAAGCTCTTCAATCCTAGAATTTGATCCCATTTTCAAAGCCAATGAATCAAACTCAGAAAACCCCAAGGGATCTTCAAACTTCTGCATAGGTTTATGAACCCTCCCTGCGATTACTCTACATAGCACAAGAGCTTTTAATGCACCTCTGCTTCTCTCTTGATCCATTTCGATACATTCAAGAGCAGTGGAGCTAGTTGACGCTGTGAGAACCCCTTGAATTCCATCTGATCTTGTTTTAGAAGCGAACCCATGTCTTAGAATCTCACAAACTCCACACCGATCCGAGAAACAGAGGTTTGAAGAGCCGTTGCTCAAACCGAGGGAGCAAGAAAGAGTTGTACCGTGGAACCCAAGCAACTCGTTCCCATCAGCCATACAGCGAGAGTGATTCTTCTTCGAAAGCTTGTTTGCTCTTATCTTCAAGAGCTCTCTGTAATCTTCAAACTCTGCAACGACTCTCTGCAAGTTCTGGACTTTCAAAATCGCCGAAATGTTTTTCGCTTTCCCAAGCTTGTGAGAATAGGCTGTATTACAGATCAACTCCACAGTTGTTCTTGAGAAGTTTCCTGCTAAGAGTTTAATGACTGCAAACAAATAAAAACAAAATCGAATTCTCCTCAAAACATTGACCAAAAAATCGATAAAAAATGACATAAAAAGAGATCTAATTCTCGAGTCTTACCAGAATGGTTAGTAAGGTAATGCGCCTCAAACGCATCAAGATCTCTGACTCTCTGGTGACATTTTCGACAAGAGAGAGCTCCAAAACCGCAGATGTCAGAGCCAACAACATCAAATCTCTCAGAAGAAGAACGACCGGTAAGTAAATCAGAAGAAGATGCTCCGCTGAGCAAACCTTTAAATCTGTCTGAAGAACCGGCATTGCCCTCAAATTTCATTGTGTTTATAAACTTGGAGCTCCCCAGAGACCGTGAGCTGAAGCAGCTTGGATAATCAATAGCTTGTTCATCTCCATTAGTAACCAAAACATTTCTCAGATTCGACACTGAACTTGAGCACCCAGACGATGGATTCTTAGCCTTCTGGATTTGGTTCTTGTCTGGATCACCAGCGTCAGTTGACTTCTGTGCAGTGCAGCAGCTAAGAAACTTCTTGAGATAAAGCCAAACTCCACGCATTTTTTTTTGTTCAAGATCCGTCTTCGGATTTCACAAAAGGAGCTGTGAGTTACAAAGAGATTCTATGAAAATTTGGCTTTGGTTCAGAGACGGCTCTGTTTCTGTCGCTTCCTGCTTCTTCACCATATCTGCACAAACTGTTTCCAAAATGAGAATGAAGATTTCCATAAGTGTATGATATCATATCACACCATAAAAGAACCCCCCCAAAAAAAAATCGTTTTAGAAACAGAAAATTCACAGCTAAATTAAGCGGATCAATTCTTAACCAGGTACGATACTTTTCTAATTATACAACCTGGAAAAATATCTAGTACTAATATTTTAGCACATCTTATTACAGAAAAAAATGATATGGTAATCATTACTTTTTCACTTCTCTTCACGTTCCAGAACAGAGTATATGGCCACATGCTGCTTCTTCTATTGAGCTTAGACTTTTCTGGAGTAAAAAGTCAAACATGTGATCCACCTCTTATTTCAATCTGAAATTCATATATCTTTATACAAAAATTATTTAATTTATATTAGTTTATACTTCATAAGAAAAGCATCCAAATGAATATCATTGTATATATTTAAAAAAAGGGAATGAAACGTTAGTTACTTGGTGAGACCAAAACCGAATCTCTCTTTTGTCTTGCAGTGTGAGGGAGGATTAGGAAAGTAATCTGATGCTGTGTCCTTATTCTTTTCCTCTTCCTTAAATTTTTTAATAGAACAATGGAAATAAAATACAGTAATCAAAATAAAAACTACGGTTGTATGAAATTGAATTAAGAAGAAATGGAAAGCGAACTTGGCTTCTTGGTTTCTGTTCTGATCATATGTGCAGACATTACAGCTACAGTCCTCGGAATCGAAGCCGAGATTGCTCAAAGCAAGGTTCTGTTAGCATCTAATCTTTATAATAAAGAGTAAAATGGAGTTTATGTTCATTACCATTAATAAATCTTCTCTTGTGTTTGATGTTTCTCCTCTGTAAACAGCAGCAACATCATCATCAACAACAACAACACTCAAGACATTCGGATTATAGATGTCGAAGAAACCCAAGCTCTGGAGCTTTTGCTGAGGGAGCAGCTGCAATTGTGCTTCTGTGTATTGTCCATGCCATGGCCAACGTGCTTGGAGGCTGCACTTACATCCGCTCTAAGCAAGATTTCAAGAGAGCAACAGCGAACAAGATACTCGCCGTCGCTTTCCTTCTTCTCTCCTGGTAATGCAAAGATGAAAACCTTTTAGATTTCATTCAACACAATTTTGTTTTTAACACATACCTTCTTTTTTTGTGGTCGTAGGATCTTCTTTGGTGTCAGCTACTCAACGCTGATGATAGGAACATTGGCCAACTCGAGATCGAATAGATTCTGCAGCTTGCCGAATCGTTGGTTCTTCCTCATTGGAGCCATATTTTGTCTAGGACATGGACTGGTTACTTCAGCGTACTATGTTTCAGCCATTGCTGCTAAAAAAGAAGACAAAGAGAACTTGCAACAAGAAACTCCAAGCCGCGCATAACCCGAATTTCTTCCCCAAGATCCTGCCTTTTCCACATAACATGCTTCAGTGTGCGTATCATATTAACAATATAACTCTTAAATTGCTTATAACTTGTAAGTAAAACTTGATTCCTTGATATTCATATTATTAATAAATCCGCAAATATTCCAAAATGAACTCTTCAAGAACCAGCAGAAAGAAGAAAAAAAAAAGGCCCGAGTTCTAGGCAGAACCAAAAACATATATCTAAGGGTTTGGTCGAAATGCTTCAGCCATCTTTGTCACCACCTCATGAATGAAACCGCTCTTCTGCGAATAGAACTCGAATTCCCTAAGCTGCAAAGCTTTCCACTGCTCCTCGAATCTCTTCTTATCCTCTGAGCCAAGCCTGCTCCAACCTTGTTGAGCAGCGAGATCGTCCACACCAAAACGCGCTAGTGACTTCACAAGAACAGACTTCGCCAAAGCATCCAGCTCTGCGATACTCGATACTTCTCCTTTATTAGCCACCTCTTCTTCACATTTCTTACCATTGGGAGAAGAAGAGACAAGCTCTTGCTTCACAGGCTCAACTTTCTTCGACTTACGGCTCTTCTTCGGCTTCCCATTAGATTTCACAGCTGATTCCAGAGCCATCCCATTAGCTCCCCAGATGAGCTTGGACAGATCAAAGGCCTTGCGATCATGAGGTTTGGAGAATGTCGGCTCCTCTCCGTTCTTCCCTTTTCCAAGATTGTTCTCAAACTTTTTCTTCAAGCTCCTGAGCTTCTCCGTGAACTGGGTTTTACTAACATCAAAGCTAATGGATTTCTTCACCAACTGATAAAACCCAGTCATGTCATCGAGAGGGTTTGCACCAGTATCAGCTTTGCAATCAATAAGCCTCTGTAAAACCGCAATCTCATCTTCTTCACTCCAAAGCCGCTGAAAGTAGGTCTTCTTCGTCTCTTCGCCTCCACCGCTCTTTTTCTCCTCTTCCCCTGAAACCTTCTTCACTCTCTTCGCTTCCGTCGAGGCTGCCGCTGCGCCATCCGTCTCGCTCGGTCGCTTCTTGGACGCGGATTTCGCGGAAGGTTTAGCCTTTTTGGAATCCTGATTCCTCGCCACTACCGAATCCTTGGCTTCGGCGACAGGTTTCGCAACGGAGGGTCGTGGAGCCTTAACCGGGTCTTTTCTCTCGGTTTCACAGTCGGTATCGGTTTCTTCCTCCGACCCGGACTCGGAATCGGGAACTTGCTGCTTCTCCGTGGCAGCGAGAGCAGCTCCTGGTTTCTTCGCGGCTGGGATTTTAGAGGACTCAACATCATCTTCTTCAGACGATGAGTTTCCTTCGACTTCTCCGCCTTCTCCGGTTGAAGACTCCGCCTCGTCTTCGCCGCTTGATGAAGCCGTCGGCGGATCGTAAAACGGATCCAAACGTTTCCCCGACATCAGATTTTAGGGTTTTGTGATTTTTGTCTTGGGATTTGAAGTTGAGCCTGAAATTTCCATTGCGCCTCTTCCCTCAGTTTATATATATTGAACAAAAAAGAGTCGCTTTGGTTTTCCACTAATTTATTTGATTTCCCTTTTTTTTCTTTCCCGTCCTTAGGATTTCTTTCCTTTAAAATGAAAGACCTAAAAATGTAATTACCACTAGATTCGACGGTCATTTCATAATTATGTAAATATAACATACTAATGTTCTATGAAGAAACTTAATTCATTAAAATCGCCCTAATGTTTATCACCAAATTAACGGAAAAATGGAAGGACTTAAAACATAAACCCGTTATTATCAGAAAATTATGTAATTCAAATTTTATCTAATCGCGGATTACTACAAATATTTTTATTTACTGCATGCTCTGTTTTGGTCAACGATTTTCCTCAAAATTGTGTTTTCCAACTTCTTAATATCTCTTATGATCTTATGTAATGAACTTAAATTTTATATAAATCGTTTAAATACAATGGACCACACTTTTTATGACTTATCCATAGTTTGTAAGTATCTCTGTCCCCATCATCCAAGTAGATAAATACTGAAACACCGAATCGTTTTATATCTCTTTCACAGGGAGAAAACAATCAAGAAGCCAAATTTTAGTAGAGTAGAGAATATTAAAAGAAAGCTCGAAGAGATGGAAGATCAACAACTGCACAAGAATTCACGACTTGTTAAAGTCGATTCTGCAGAATCATGGAACTTTTATGTCAGTCAAGCCAAGAATCAGGGTTGTCCTGTAAGTCTCCTCATCCTCTTTATCACTTCCTTTTTCCAGGAGATATCTTCACAGTCAAAACGAAATCTGATTCAGATCCAGAACCATGAAAGGAATTGGATTTTAGGACAAGGGCTTTAAGGAGATTGTGATTTAAATTTTTGGTTAGAACCGATTCTTCGAATAGATTGATTCAAAGTTCTGGCTAGGCTTCTTAGCACATGAACCACCACAACAAAACAGTGTGTTACTCTTTAAGATATGAAATATTATGGAGAATAATCATATGTTAAGGATGGTGAAATGAATGGCTCTGGCTTGTTTGTTTATATGAATTACCAACAAAGGCTGTTACTTTGTGGTGTTTGCAGATTGTGGCTCATTTCACAGCAGCATGGTGTATTCCTTCTGTGTTTATGAACTCGTTCTTCGAAGATCTTGCATCGAGCTATAAGGATGCTCTATTTCTCATAGTTGATGTTGATGAAGTCAAGGTAAAAAGTACTTATGTGTCTTTGTCCATGGCTCCTTTGTTAAAGAGGGATGTTTTGTTCAAGGAAACATTTTGTCTCTTGACACTTGTTGTGAAAGTGATCAATAGCTAGATGTGTAATGGGTTTTTGTTCTGTTACTGTGTTGGATTGGTCAGGAAGTGGCGAAACGGCTAGAGGTAAAGGCGATGCCGACTTTTATATTCTTGAAGGATGGTAATGCGATGGACAAACTCGTGGGCGCAAACCCTGATGAGATCAAGAAAAGGGTCGATGGTTTCGTTCAGTCCTCACGCGTGGTTCATATTGCTTAGATTTTATATAGAGAACTATGGTAAGAGAGCTTAATCCTAAGAAACTTTGTGTAAAGTGTGTATTTTAGTTTGTGTAACTTTTGTATAAGGTTTGTGTAAATGTTCGTGTGAACTTGCAAGTGAAGTGTAAATTTGTTTCCTAACTTTTACTTCGGCCATGGAGCTTTAAGGAACTGGAGGTATATGTTATCTATAAAAATTACCTTCAGACATTTAAAATCTCAGGCATGGCATTTTGGTGTATGTTTTAGATGAGGTTGAGGATTAGGCTAAAAGATTTGGTTATGAGAGATTAGTAGCTTATATTAAATCATTCAAACAGAGGAAAAAGACTAAAAATCAAGATTCAAGAGACCAAATGAAACATGTAAATAACTAGTCTTTTTGTTGATATTGTCAACAGGGTAATTTGAAACCCATGTAGCGACCAGAGACAAAATCGTCCCAGACTTTAAGAGCTCCATGGGTTGTCATCAGTACAGTGCTCAGTGCCATGACGATACCTACCGCAAACACAATGATCGAAGCCCTCCCGTACTTGGCTATAACCTTCTTAACCACCATTAGTCCGACCAGAGACGCTACGAAGCAGACCAGAGCAAATATCGCAGCGGTTCCAGCGTGTTCCATGCCTAGAAGTAGGTACTGGATTGCAGACATAGTCGAAGAAAACAGAACCATGAAAGAACATGTTGCTGCAGTTACCTGTGTGAAAGATTTGAATTGTATCATTTATGAATCATTATACATTTGTATCTAATATTCAGTGATTTATCTTGTGTAACGCATAGAACGTTTAAAATAGAGCTCTCTCAAACATTGGGTTCGAGCTAAAACGCTCAAGAACATGAGTGAAGAACATTACCTCAGGAGCAATACCAATTTGGAGAAGAAGAGGACTAATGAGCATTCCACCTCCAATACCGAAAAGGCCACCCAAAACTCCAGCCAAGAGAGCCATTAGAGGGAGCATAAACTTGTTCTGTCTTACTCCGTTGCTCCTTCTCCCATCTTCAATCTCCTGTGGATTTCAGTTTCGGATTCATCAATAAAGCTGTTGAGTTTGACCAACAGAAAGCTAATTTAATAAAATGTTAGACCTTTTCAAAGTCTTGGTTAAGTGATGATGTGTGGCTGCTTTGAACACTATCACCGAAGCAAATCCAGAGAGTGAAGAAGATAGTGAGAGGTATTTGGAGAGACGAGAGGAACCAGTAAAGAGCTCCACATGGCTCGATCGATATGATTCCCTGTGCAAAAATCAAAAGTGTGAATTTTTATCAAGTTAAAATTCAAGTACTGCACCATTGAGTGTTGATAAATATTTCAATAAATTTGGGAGGAATTCTAACACTCTTTAACTCTTTAAAAGTAGATAACGTTCCAATTTGTATGAGAAGGCATTGAAAATAAGTTATGTCACAAAAATAATAGTATTTGTTCTTGACTATTTGAATATGCAGAATAAGTCGCTAATTAAACTTCTACCATTTCATTATTTGTTTTCTTTAGCATAAATCACCTAAATGGTTTTTCTGCTTCTAAAACAGAGATTGAAAAAAAAAAAAAAATTCAGTAGCATAACAAAGTAAACAAAATCACACTTTAAAAAATAATTGTCTTATTTTTGACCTCAGATTTCCTACTTTTATGCCGTCACAACCATTTTTAAAATATATATTTTGGAGGGAAATTGGAGAATCCGACAAAACTTGAGAGTTGACCAGCATTAAATTCATACCTGACCGTACTTGTTTCCTCGAAAAAGATTAATGGAGAAGAACAATAACCAGATGACCACTAAAACTCCGAGCTTCATCCATGGAAACCCCATCTTTCCTCCGGACTCTTCTCCTTCGTTACACAGTAGCGGCGATCTCGCTCCCTCGATCCGATCCTCTTCCTCGTCTCTCCTCCGACTCCTTCTCTCCGACTCCGATTTCCAGTAAGAAAGACCCTTTTTGCAAGTCTTCATCGTCGACCACGCAAGGAAGACGGCGAAGAGTGACGTCACGAGCCAGTTAGGGAACATACGGTTACAGATCACGCCGATGCTGACACCGAGAAGCAGACATGGCTGAAGAGTGAGAGCCAAATCGAAATCGATTAGGGTTTTGCCTCCCGATTTAGGGTTTCTGACGAAGAGATTGCATCCCACGTTCGCGATGGAGACGCCGGTTACCATGAACGCCGAGAAGCTCGACGCCGTCTTCATTTCGAGCCCGGCGACGATCGTCATTATCGAGATGAAGAGACCGCCGCCGCCGATTCCTCCGGCGCTGGAGATCGAGGCGGCGAAGAACGAGAGAACGGCGGCGATTATCGTGAGGACGGAGATCTCGATCGTTGGTTGGTTGAAATTCGCCGGGAAATGGAGCCATTGGCTTGTTGTGTTGAAGATTTGGTCAACGGTTGAGAAAACTGAACCGTCTGTTGTTGTATCGGATACTACAATGGTGGATGGGTTGAAGATGATGATGATGATGAAGAAGAGAAGTACAGGGACCAAATTGATCCTCATTTTCTTTATTTATGGGGGTTTCTACAACTTTTACAAAAGTTTTGGCAGGTTTCTCGTTTGGAACGTTGAGAAATTTTTATGTATTGATTGGTTTATATAAAAGAATGAATCAATGGAGTTGTCTTCCTCAGTCTATGGTTGTCAACTTGAAAGAAGCTAGAAGAATAGTGGAGATGGAAATGAATGGAGTCAACTCAAATTTTGAAACAAGATAATTACGGATTTAATCAAGTGACAATGCAACTTTCCTTTTTATGTTTGTAGATCGTTTCTAACTTAAATTGTACCCCCCAAAAAAAAAAATAAATCGTTTCTAATAGCATGTAGCCCTCTTGGCACATAAAAATTCAGGTAGAATTAAAAATTAGCATGTTAAGGTTTGACTTTTTTTCTCGAAATATAAATATCTTGTCACACATGTAGCCCTCTTGGCACATAAAAATGTAATATCATTTGTTCCATGCATACCCATGACAGTATTGTATTTATATGAAGGCCATAATAAGGTGGAAGACTATCATAATGACTATTACCATCTCAATGAGGTTGCGTGTTTTTTAGTGAATCACAGTCATAATGACTATTACCATCTGAATGAGGTTGCATGTTCTTTAGTGAATTACTGTTATAATGACTATTACCATCTCAATGAATAACCATCTTGAAAAGCAGAGAATGTTATGAAAAATAGCCGACTAAATAATTAATTAAATAAATAATCAGAGGCTGTAATCAATGATAAATGAAATGGAGAAAGTAAAAATTATTACAGCAACCATTTCCACTTAATACTTTAATTGGAAAAAAAAATAAACAAAAATGAATTTAAGCCCAAGGGCTAATGGAACACTCCCAAGGAAGTTTAGGGAATCTCTCGCGGTCCTGGCAATAATCGTATACGACGAGATTTCTCTGCACCCACGCATAATCCATCTTCTGGGTCTTGGACAAATGCCACGCGTCGTACTGGTCCCACCAATTCTCCGTTGTGGTGGAGACGCAAGCAGGGAATGGATCCTTCCAACGGCAGCCGTCGACGGCGAAATCCTTGTAGGACGAGACGAAAGGAGCTTTTTTCCAGTCGGTCTTCTCGAGACCGCCACGTGTCGCCCAGTCGTCGGCGTTCCAGATGCTGGAGAACAAGTACATTGGCTTCTGGTTCGGGAAGAAATCATTGTTTGGTACCTTGTCGCTATTCTTGTACACTCGAATCGGTACTCTATCCACGAAGAACCTGGTTTTGCATTGCATTCAACCGAATCACACTCATCGTACCATTCGATAAAATTAGCTTTGATTAACCAATTCGGTTCGATTTGGTCTAATTTGATTTTGTTAGAGTTTTGGTTAGGGTAGTAGGCTAGCGTTGGTCGGTTTAATTATTTTTGGTTGTAAAGTTTGGACCAGATTAAAATTTACCTTGTCTGGTTTGTGTCGGTTGAAAATTTGAACTTTTTATCATCTTGTAGTAATATAATTATATAAATATAAGTTTTTCATCGGTTGTAAAAATGTTTTTACCAACTAATTGTGCTTAGATTTGAAAAACGAATCTGCACCGTTTGAGTTTTGTTAATATTATATTATTAAAAAAATTACCCATACTTTTTTGGAATATTGTATTAAAAATAAATAAGTTTGTAACCGGGATCTAGTCTGAAATTAAATTGTAAACTAAATTATCTTATTCTGGGTGGAATGTTGGTTCAGAATAGATTTTGGTTTTGTTCAACTAAATCTAAGCGTCTGGTTTGTAGCCGGAATTTCCGGTTCGGTTTGGTTAAGAGTGATATCTCGATGATTAGATTAAAAGAGGACTTACACGAGCTGGTGGTTATTCCAAAGAATTGAGTAGGTGTGGTAATCCTTGGTCGGGTCGAACCATAGGGAATGTCGCATCTCCCGATTTCCGGTTCCGTTCTTAAACACATTGGTCTGAATCACGTACGGCTCTCCGGTTCGGTTACCTAGGAATTCGAAATCTATCTCGTCTCTCTCCGGTCCAGCTCCATTCTCCGAACACATCTGCTCATCAAATTTCAATTGATTATATAAAAAGAAAATTGATTATCTTCTTTACAAGATTGAAAACTGAAAAAGAACGACGACTCACGTAGTAAGCGGTGACGACGCCGGCGGAGTCGCCACCAACGAGCTTTAGCTTCATACTGAACCATCCGAATCTGTACATGTGCTTTGTCTGAAATCCACATCCTGTTTTAATTGTCCAATCAAAATAATCAGAATTCAAACATAATTTATATTTTAATAAAATATTCCAAAGCAAGTGAATTTACAATAAATATAGATTTAAGTCGGAACAGAGCCTCGCTGTATTTTAACGAGATACATTGATCTTAAACCGGAGCTTTTCGGTTAGCGAAGCAGATTCGAACGTACCGGTATCGTTGTCTAAGGAGAGATTCCAGATCTGTCCGTCCTCGGAAGTCGTGAAGTGATTTTCAGACCACATGATATTGAAATTGTCTTCGAACGACTGTGTCGGTGTTGCTGCGATAGAGGAAGACGCCATTAGAGCCGCCATGAACAACAAGAGAGCCGCCATGGAAGAACAGCTCGTGCTTGTTCTTCTTCTCGTCGCCATTTGTTGTCTCTGCTTCGATTTTTTCGAAGAGAGAGAGAGAGAGAGGGAGAACGTGATTTAACTGGTTCCGTGAGTGAGAAGACGATGGAGCTTTATTGCTTTAATTTAAAGACCGAGAAAATTACTGTTCTGACCACTAATAATTTTTTTAATTCATTTTTGGATACTATCAAAGTAAAAGAAAGCATCAAGAAATATTAATTGATAAAGAAAACTTAGCAGTAAACTCAATGATTAATATTACTGAAAACTTTGCCTCCCCAAAAGAATATTATTGTAAACTTGATTGGATCGAACTTAGTACCCCCGGTTCAGCTATTTCAGCACCGACCGGTTTATTCATTACGTTGAGAATTGAGAATTGAGAATTGTCACTGAGCCATCATATTGATGAGCTGACAAGGGTATTCTAGGTGTTATGAAAAATAACAAAAGAACATGGAGAATCATTGGATCGCCAGGCTGCCACCAAGTGGAAATGTTCAGCGAAAAGCTAAAAACGAAAACATTATTTAATTCTTAAGAATTCTCTGTTTTTCTTTTTGTCAACTACTATTTCATTCTTTGTTTAAACCTTCCTATTGGTAAATCTTCAAGAATAAAGCAATGAACTAAATTCTCACAAATTTAAATTTATTACCTTATTTTTTGAAGATCTAATGAAACAGTAACAACATTTGCATATTTTAAATTTGGTCAAATGATCTGTAGACACTTACTTCGATTTTCTATATTTGATTTTACTTCGATTATCTAAATTTGATTTCTTTTTGATGAAGATATAAAATTACTTACCAAATTTTGGATGAATCCGCAAGTTAAACATGTTTAAAAAAGTTCTAATTGTAAATTCCAGTTTAATTTAAAAATCTGTTCACAACTACTTAGATTTGCATTTTTAACCAATTTATATGTCCGAATATAGATTTAAACAAACTTCTTGAAAAGAATAGGCAATATGTTTCGGACCATAATACAGAGAGTTCAGCAAAAGAGTTTGCCTCTCATCTTTTGGTAGCCCAAGACAGTGCACGTGAAACAAGCACGTTATGAAAAAGAGAGCGAGCAAATAATACACTTGGGGTTACTAAATTAATAGGTTGTCTACGTTTATTAAATTGGACTGTCTCTTCCATTATCCGGTATTCTACATTTTTCCATAATAACAATTTTTTGTATGGATATGAATGTTTCAGATCTAAGATATGCTATGCAGAATGCAGGTACAGATAAATAAAAAAATATATACACAACTCGACCTTGTTACGACTCGATCTATATACTACAAGTCTATATACTCTTTTTGTTCTTTCTTTCTGACGTCAAGTCTATACTATAATAGAGTAAAAAGCTTCTAATACATTAATACTAATGTAATGAGTTACGAGAGATATCTGAAACGTTTATCAAATACTTATGTATTAGTCTAGCTGGTATATAATTTTCTAATATTGACTTGTGTGGGAATTAATTTTAGCCACCAATTAGCTGTGAAACTCCTTTATTTTTCTATAAAGCGTGCAGTACTCTTCTTTCTTTCTTTCATTCTTTTTTACTATAAATAGTTTCTCATATGTTTCTTTATGTTGAATATGATGATATCTCAACATGTCGGTCCTAGTAAAGAAATTATAGCAAAGCAAGTGTGAGCGTACTGAGTTTTCGTCAATGAACACATATTATTAGAATTTAGAGTTCCCCAATAAACAAACCGACAGTTTGGCCGAGTGGTCTAAGGCGCCAGATTTAGGCTCTGGTCCGAAAGGGCGTGGGTTCAAATCCCACAGCTGTCACAATTTCTTTTTCTATTTTTCGTTATCTGAACACGTCGTCTTCTATAGATAGTATAGTAGACACTTGGAACATTCTCAGTTCTTCTTCTTCACTTCTACAGTTTATTTGCGGCAATTCCATTTTCCCTCTGTTTTCTCTTTTCTTTTTTCCTTTCGGAATTCAATCAGAGAGATCGAAAATGGCGATTAGTTCAAATCTCTCGTATCGTTTATTCCTCTTAACAGGGCTATTATCCGTCGTGGCCATATCTTTCGCGGATTCAGAATCCGATTCACATCTCATCGGCGAGCTAGTTTCGCTTCGATCAGCCGCCGATTCAGGCGTCATCCCCCTCGATGACGACGGCGTATCCAGATTCATAACCTCAGTAGCCACTCCCAGGCCTTACTCCCTCATAATCTTCTTCGACGCCGTTGATCTCCACAGCAATCGCGAGCTCGGCCTTCAAAAGCTCCGCCGCGAATTCGGAATCGTCTCTGCGTCTTTCATCGCCAACAACAATGGATCTAACGGAGCCAAGCTTTTCTTCTGCGACATCAACACGACGCACTCCGAGCCTTCGTTCCACCGCTTCGCCGTCAAATCCATACCGCACATTTTCCTCGTCGACCCCTGGATGGAGAATCTACAGGACAAATCCGGTAAGATGGAACACGGGGATTTCGAGGGACTAGCGGAATCCATGGCAGGGTTCGTCGAGCGTCGAACCAAGCTCACCGTAGGCCCAATCCATCGACCGCCGCTCCTGTCGAAGGCACAGATCAGTGTCATCACAGCTCTGGTCGTAATCTCGACTCCGATTCTCATCAAGAAGGTTCTAAAGGGAGAGACGCTTCTCCATGATCGCAGAGTCTGGTTATCCGGCGCCGTTTTCGTCTACTTCTTCAGCGTCGCCGGCACGATGCATAACATCATCAACGATGCGCCGATGTACCTCCGAGACCATGAAGGTTCAAACAGTCTCGTTTTCTTCTACGAAGGATCACATTTTCAGCTTTGGGGAGAGGGATTCGCTGTTGGGTTCTTGTACACTGTGGTTGGATTGCTCTTGGCTTTTGTCCCCAATGCGCTTGTACGAGTCAGGAGCCCCAATGAGCAAAGACTGATTATGATTTTGGCTCTGTTCATATCGTTCTGGGCTGTGAAGAAAGTTGTTTACTTGGCTAGTTGGAAGACAGGATATAAAATATTTCCTTATTGGCCATCGAGCTGGCATTGATGGATCCTTGGCGTTTAAGGTAATTGCTTTTGCTTTCAAGTTACTGCAACTGTGGAATCATGTTTTTTGACATCTAGGGTTTTGCTGTCAATGCTTGAACAGAGTGTAGCAGAATATCATGTCACTGACACTAGTTTCCGGTTTAGTTATTCATCTGAGTGAGAACATGGTATAGTCAATTCATTGATTAAAAAGACTCATTGGAGTTTTCGGATCCACCATTGTTTAATCTCCTTCGCATCTATTTACTAAAATCTTGGATGATCAACTCAATGGAAAAGATTTATGCGATGCTTGATCCACAAGAAATTCTTTTCAAGAGTAAAATTATTCTCTCTTTATTCTTTTCTTCGAACTTTATTTGGAAATTAAGCATCTTTTTTCCTCATAAAAGTTGATTTCCTTAAGATAGCTCATGTTTATATATATTCCTCTTTGGATTTGCTAACAAATCGATTTCATGTCTAAAATTTTGACGATGGCAGAGACGAATAAAGGAATTGAAGAAGAAGTTGCAAGGGCCTTTGTGAATCACTACTACCATCTCTTTGACAACGATCGATCTTCACTATCCACTCTCTACAATCCCACCTCGTTGCTTACTTTCGAAGGCCAAAAGATCTACGGCGTGGAAGATATCTCTAACAAGCTTAAACAACTTCCGTTCGATCAGTGTCGGCATTTAATAAGCACCGTGGATTCTCAGCCTTCTTCAATGGCCGGTGGTTGTGGCGGAATCCTCGTGTTTGTGAGCGGCAGCCTCCAATTACACGGCGAGGATCATCCTCTTAGGTTTAGCCAGGTCTAACTTTTTTTCTCAGTTTATGACCGATTTTAAGTTTTATTTTGTTAGAAACGAATTAGGCTTCAATTGCATAATACAAAATACTTATCTTCAAGATTTTTTACTTGTGCTAATAAAGAGCCGACAATATTTTTGCATGGTTTAATCTCGGACCAGTTACAAAATTTTCAAATTATAACTTTGTTACAAGTTATATGAATGAAACTAAGGTTGATGATGAGGTCTAAATATATTTTTGGGATTTGATAGCTGACTGAAATCAATTTGAACTGCAGACGTTTCACTTGATTCCTCTTCCACAAGGAAGTTTCTTCGTCCAAAATGAGATGTTTCGGCTTAACTATGGTTGAGCTTATTGTAACTTTAATGTCTGAAATCGATCTATGATCATAGATCGAATTCAGACAAATAATGTAATGAAGATAAATCTTTCATCTCGACTAATAAAACAACTCGATATGTGTTGTTGGTGTTATTTTCATACCTGTAAGAAAGTTTCAAATTGATTAAAAAAGCTTCGGGTAATAGTTTATTGGAAAAAATTATATTACTTAAGTGAAATTAGTAAAAGGAAATAATATTATCACTGAAAAAAATTCATATAATGGTGATTAATATTAGCTTTTGTCAGTGTGATTTGATTTTTGATGAAATCCGTAGTATATATTTGGTTTTGATTTTGTTTATAAAATAACAATCAAATCTTGATAGGGAGATTGTAGAGTTGAAATTTCCATTTCCTTAATGGAAAGAAACTGGCATAAAAAATTTCCATTTAAAAAAAAAAAAAATTCATAGCTCGAGTCGGATGCTCGTCTGTAGAAATATCTATAAACCATCATCGGTCGTCGCCTCTCTGGATCAATTAAGAGACGAGATACAATGCTGAAGACACATCGCTCGAGTGTGGTTTTGAAAAGACATCATGGCTCTAGTGTTGAATTGCTACCCGACGATGTCCTAGAGCTCATCTTGGAGAGTGTTGCTGTGAAGCCTCTGCTGAGATTCAGGGCTGTATCCAAGAAGTGGAAAACAACAATCGATTCCCGACGCTTCCAGGAAAGACAGTTGATCCGTCGCATGCAATCACGAGGTCCAGATGTCATCTTCGTGTACCTCACTGATTTTGGTATTTATGGTGATGATGATGACACAGATGCTCCTAGTATTGTGTTGGGGTCAGCAATAGCTTCTACGGTCAGGTTCCCTACTACGGGCAGCATGTTCTGCCGTAATAGTTGTGACGGTCTAGTATGCCTCTACTGTCACTACGAACCGAGTGTCGTGGTGAATCCCGCAACAAGATGGCATCAAACTTTTCCTCTTTCCAACATTCAACAGTTCCGCCTCGACAGATCTGATAAACCAGAGTATTCACCAATTACTAGGCTAGGATTTGGAAAAGACAAATTCAGGGGCACTTATAAGCCGGTTTGCTTGTATAATTCATCCGAATACGGTCTAGACAATGTCACCACGTGTGAAGTATTCGATTTCAGCACCAACGCTTGGAGGTACGTTGTCCCTGCTTCTCCTTGTCGGATAAATGATTGCCGTTTTCCTCCCGTGTATTTAGATGGGTCACTTTATTGGCTCACCGAGACCGAGGGGGAAGAACCCAACGTGTTATCTTTGGATCTTCACACGGAAACGTTCCAAGTCATCTGTAAAGCTCCCGTTGCCCATCTACGTGACCTCTTTGACCGTATCGGCGACATGTTGTGCATCCTCGATGATCGCTTGTGCTTCTCCGAGACGCACTCGCTCACCCAAGTGATATGGTCGTTCGATTCTTCAGGCAAGACATGGAAGAAACTGTGTTCCATCGATCTCGCAAAAACTCGAACTTGGATTGCGGAATCCTTCTTCCCGCTGACACCAATAGCAATTTTGGACGAGAGTAAGTTACTGCTTCAAGGTAACGATGCGTTTCAACCACTGGTGATACATGATCTCCATGCCAATTCTTTTGATCTCCTCTTCCAACCTGCCAGACCCATAGCTACGGTTTCTTATTTCCAAAGCTTATTATCAATTTAATTTCTTCTTTCTACCCCATAAACCTTTTGTAATTTAACATTTTTCTGCATTTTAAATTAAACGATATGTTGTTGGTATTATTTTCATACATCATTAAGAAAGTTTTAAATTGATTAAAGAAAAAGCTTCGGTAATTGTAAATTGGAAAAAATCATATTATATAAGTGAAAATTAGTAAAAAGAATTTAGATTTAGAATTAGAAGTTTAAAATCTTTTTTTTTGTTAAATATTCACGAAAAATAGAACACATGTGAGGCCATAACTATTTTTTGAATCTTGACCATCTCCTTCTGTTCAAAATCTTTTCCTTGTTTTTCAGAAACTATTTATTTCTTTATCTTTTCCTGATTAAATTTTTCACGAACAGCAAAAAAATGAAAAGAAATTCAGCTACCCTGAGTTTGCTGATAATTATGGTATTGATATAGACAAATATTGTGACCGGACAAGAAGCATTATTAGGAAAGAAAGTATTACCGTTGTGCCATAGAGAATGTATGCCAATATGCATGAAAATGACCGAAGCAACACAAGAGATATGCGAAAAAGCCTGCCAAGCAGGTTGTCTCCAACTTCAAAGTCGAGGCACCGAACTTTCAGGCTCTGATCAAGGAGTCGATATGGTTATTGCGTAGAAAAATTATTACTATTTTTCTTTTTATTTCCTTAATTTTCTTTATACGATAAAACATTGTAAACCTAGTTTCCATCTTAAACATCTAAGTATGATATATGCATGTTGATAATTTATTCAATCTTTTCCAATCATTTTTTTTCTTTTGGTTTTTTAGTGAACACAAGATCTTTTTAAATAGTTATTTCACAAAAAATAAATCCAAACCTGCCCTGCCATGAATATAACTATTATATGATTTTTTTACTAGATATTTTAAATATCAAATGGATTACATTAAAGATAAAGAGGGAAAATATGTCGGTAACATAATCGGTAAAATGCTATGAGCTTCTTTTTATTCACCTAATAAGAAGTAAATAATCACATTCTCCTTAATTGGCTAAAACAAGACAAACCGAAGCCTTAAACCGAAAGAGATAAAAGAATTAGACCGGTTTATAGCTATACCAGATTACATGATTACCTGGACATAATTCAAGGCAGATACTCATTGGTACACTTTCCTTTATACTTTGCTTAAAATAATTCCGCCGGCCCCCCACTAGTTTCGTCGTCTGTAATTGCTACAATTACTGGAAAGAAAACAATAAACTTAAGTTCTGCATAAACTTTTATACGATTCAAATTTGAGTTATATCTTTTTCCAGATCAATCTTTTTACAATGATAATATAATGAAGTATCGTTTGCTATAGCATTTGTTTCTTCATTACAACTTACAAGAAACCTATGGGTCTGTAGAAGTAATGTTTTCTAGCATACGACTTTCAATTATTGAGTGTGAATATATTGATAAACGTGCATCGACAAAAGTTGTTGTGTGGATATACTGTTAAAAGGTTACTGTGTGAATATAATTTCCACGTGCTACAAACCGGCAATGGTATGCATGAAACAATGATCCCAGTCGCCGGACTATGACAAATGTGGAAGACAATAAATATTGTTAATTTACACTTGTAGATAAAGAGTTATTTATTGTTAAACTATATTGCTTATATAAAATAACAGTATATTTTACTTGGCTGATTATAATGAAGTAGCGTTTGTTTCTTCATTGCAAGAAACCTATGGGTCGGTAGAAGTAATGCTTTTATTTTATTTTTTATCATAATACCTTCAACTATGGAGAAGAGTGCATCTATATAATAAAAAATCAAGAGAGTATCCAAAACAGTTGTTGTGTGAATATATTGATAAGATCGTCTGATCGAGTGCATGCATCAACAAAAGTTGATGTTTCAAATTCAAAAGGTTGCTAGCTGTGTGGATATATTCAAAAGGTGCTGTGTGATTATAATTTCCACGTGCTACAAATCGGTAATGGTATAAAACAATGACCTAGTCGCCGATCACAAAAGTCGAAGATAAGAAAAATGTAGTTAATTTACACTTGCAGATATAATTAGAGTTTTTTTTGTTTTTTTTTTATTGTTAAACATTGGATGCCCTTTTAATTTAATTTAATATTTTTGTCAATCAACTTGCATTTCTATATCAATAACTTTATTTAACTTTAAAAAAAAACTCCGAAATGATGAAAAATTATCTTTTCTAAAAGGTTTTAAATAGATATAAAGAAGAATTATTATTATTATCAGATATATGAATAGATAGGTATCTCAAAACTTGATGTAAAAAGAAAAAAAGATTGGTATATCGAAACTCAAATAATGTCTGATTTCACTATTTTTGTTGTTGAATATTGATAACACTTGTTATTTTTCATAAGTTTAATGATTCTAGGTCTCATGTAATTTTAAAGTCAGTTCATACTGAAAAACCAGCCCGGATATTACATAGCTGCTCTTGGCAAATGGCGCATGTTTATAAGCGTCGGTGGACCAGCAGTGGTCACGATATTCAAATAATCCACATCCACTTTATAAAATGTTAAGTTTTAGGTATGGACTTTTGATTGATATCAAAAATAACATTTTCCATCGTTACTACCTAGTTGGTAGAAAGATTTAATATAAGTTGATGGAGTGGAGTTCAAATCTCAACTTTGATTTTAATCATGATTGATCACCATTAACGTTTTTTTATATAGACAAAATATAAGAATATTTAACTTTATTTTCTAAAGATTAGATCTCTTTCAATTCATGATCCTTAATATTATATTTGCCGTATAAAAAAAAATGAAAGCTTGTTGGATATGATAATTTGCTTTTTGAAGTGTATCTATTCATATTTTATTTCTAACGCCAGATTCGAGTGATATTCATATATAGTTTTTCTAGCTAGTATGCGTCACCCTGTTCATTTTCGTTATAAAAAGAAAGAAGATACACAGGAAGTTTATTTAAAAAGAGTTTGTAATGTAGTTGGTGTGACTTGTTGCAATGAGGATGAATATTATATACAAAGAAAAAGAAATCATAGCTCTCACTCATGTGCTTGCTCCACTCACTAGCGTTTTCTATATAATGGAATGATTCACGGTAGTGGAAGGCCAAGACAAATATTCCTTCTACCACTAACATCAAAGACCAATGTCTAGTTCAAATCAACCACTTATTCCCAAACAAAAGTCTTTTAACCACAAAAATCTATGTCTTGTCCTCTCCTTTGTAGCCATTTTTGGCTCTGCAGCTTTCTTTGCAGCCCAGCTTATCTCCATTAACACCACTAATGATGATCATTCCTTATTAACACCGAGCCAGATCTGCCATGGAGCTCACGACCAAGTGTCATGCCAAGCTCTCTTGTCGGAATTCACGACGTTGTCGCTCTCGAAGCTCAAACGTCATGACCTATTGCACGTGTTCTTGAAGAGTTCAGTGTGGCGGCTCGAGAGCGCAATGAACACGGTGAACGAGGCTAGAACCCGCTCGAACGGGGTGAGAGACGAGGCCAGTTTTGCAGACTGCCAGGAAATGATGGACGTATCAAAGGACCGACTGATGAGTTCAATGGAGGAACTCCGAGGAGTAAACCTTAAACTTGAGTCGTACTCAAACGTTCACACTTGGCTGAGCAGTGTGCTTACAAACTACATGACATGTTTAGACGGTATTAGTGATGTCTCTGTCGACTCTAAACTCAGAGTCAAGCCAGAGCTTGAAGACTTGGTTTCTAGGGCTAGAGTGGCTCTAGCCATCTTTGTCTCCGTCTTGCCTGCCAGAGATGACCTCAAGATGATCTATTCCATTCACTTCCCGTCTTGGCTTACGGCTCTCGACAGGAAGCTCTTAGAATCTGCTCCCAGGGTAATTAAAAACAAAAAATTAAATATCATTAACTACTGCAATTTATTAATCAATTAAGAAAAATAAGTTTAAACTAAAATAATAGACCAATTCTTTCAAAGTTAGAAATACACAATTTTCGGGTTTAGGATTAGTATTTGATATATTTATAGTCCTGGAAAGAAACCATATATAAATTTTCGTTTGAAGTGTAAAAAATATTATAGAACTTAACAAAAAAACATATATATTATTTAACCGAAATTATGAAACTTTTGACCCTTTATTAGACACTTGAAGTGACCGCAAATGTCGTGGTGGCAAAAGACGGCACCGGAGAGTACAAAACAGTAAATGAGGCGGTGGCGGCAGCACCGGAGAATAGCAACACAAGATATGTTATATACGTGAAGAAAGGGGTTTACAAGGAAACTATTGACATCGGGAAGAAGAAGAAGAACTTAATGCTTGTTGGCGATGGCAAAGATGCAACGATCATAACCGGTAGTTTAAATGTCATTGACGGATCCACCACCTTCAGATCAGCCACAGTTGGTAAAATAAAATCACATATTCTAATATAGTTTCGACCAGTTATTACAATTTTGTATCCTAATGACTCACAATACCGGTTTTGAAACACGTGCAGCCGCCAATGGTGACGGGTTTATGGCACAAGACATAGGTTTCCAGAACACGGCCGGACCAGCAAAGCATCAGGCTGTAGCACTCCGCGTGAGTGCTGATCAAACGGTCATAAACCGTTGCCGCATAGACGCGTATCAAGACACTCTCTACACTCACTCGCTGCGACAATTCTACCGAGACAGCTACATAACGGGTACCGTAGACTTTATATTCGGGAACTCGGCTGTCGTGTTTCAGAACTGCGACATCGTGGCACGAAAGCCTGGAGCCGGGCAAAAGAACATGGTGACGGCTCAGGGACGGGAAGATCAGAACCAGAACACAGCCATTTCGTTCCAAAAATGTAAAATAACGGCTAGCTCTGATCTTGCTCCGGTAAAAGGCTCCGTGAAAACATTCCTTGGACGGCCGTGGAAGTTGTACTCAAGGACAGTGATCATGCAGTCTTTCATCGCCGACCACATTGACCCAGCCGGTTGGTTCCCATGGGACGGCGACTTCGCGCTCTCCACGTTGTACTATGGAGAGTACGCGAATAACGGTCCTGGAGCGGATACGAGTAAGAGAGTGACATGGAAGGGATTTAGAGTTATTAGAGACTCGAAGGAGGCCGATCAGTTTACTGTTGCGAAGCTTATTCAAGGAGGATTCTGGCTGAAGCCCACTGGAGTTACTTACCAAGAGGGGCTTTGATTTTATGACTTAGCCTTGCACTTTGTGTTGTATTGTGTGTTATGCTTTGTTTTAATTTGATGCCTTTCTCTGTTATGTATGGAGTTAACCAATAACATGCTCTGTTTCGTGAAGATATAAGGTTAGTGTTTAATAATAAAATCTCGTGATGAGACAGATCATAGTAAGACTCTTATGTCTTCTTTAAATTTACAAAATATTTAATCACACTCTCAGCATCAAATAATATAAGTTTGTTTATATAGTGGGTGACTAAAACTTGAGAAGTTATTGGTAAAATAACCATCAAGGAAAAGTAATAGAAGAATTGGTTGTAGTAGCCTATATTAATGCATAAATTAGCCAGATAACACATAACAAAAAACTACTACAACCAATTCTTCTCTATGATAGAAGAATTGGTTGTAGTAGCCTATATTTGCTTCATTTCATCTCTAAACAAAAAGCAAAAAAAAAAAAAAAGACATTAGAAATGGAAGAAAATGCATTTGCTTTTTGCGACCTCCCTATTGTCAGAAGAAAAGAATAGGCGAAAAGAAATAGAAAATGTTTTCGTTTCTCCTGCAACTAATTTGGGATGAACCGGAGTCATACTTAAAGTGCAAAATGCAGCTGGTAAGCAGTGAAGATATCATCAATCTATTTAAGTCGCTTTCAAATTGTGTTTGTCGAAGCTCTCGTCTTTTCCTTCTCTTAGTGTTAAATGGGCTCTTTTTATCGCTCGCAGAATATATATGGGTTTCCTTATAAGGTATTGAGATGTTTTCATCTTCAACAAAATTATGGTGAAATTTCATGAGTTAAGTAATTATGATGATAGTGGATGGCAAGTGACTGCAAAATGATTTGAGATTATTAAAGGTGATAATTTTATTTTACATACTGTAAAATTATAAACAGAAAGAAACACAAAAAGATAGTTGTTAAATTATCGAATTTTTTTTGGCCTAATTAAACATAGATTGGACATCTTTCCGATCGATAATACCCTACGATGTGGCTGTCCTTGAACCTGTGTTTTAGTTGACGGCATATTTTATTTTTGGAAACACTTGTGTTCAATAGGGTGAATTTAATGAATAGGAAAAAAAATTACTAATTTAAAAATTAATCAAATGTGTAAAGAAAGATAGGAAGAGATAGAGAGAGAAAATGGTTAGTTTTTACATTATTGTTTTGTTTTGATTATTGAAGCAAATTTTCCTTAATTATTTGTGATTTTTCTTAGGAAACATTTGTGTTGATTGATCGATTAGTTGTTGTTTTTTATAGTGTGAAAGAGTATGTGTGTTTTTTTTTTTCTCTTATGCATCATCCATTTGGATTTATACATGATGTTGCATTTGTCCACTTTATCGTCTTGATTGAAAAGAAATATAACTTTAATGTGGGAAAATACAACATACAAACTTTTAACGGAATAAATACATGTCAGTTACTCAAATGGTCCTCTTTCAACCAGAAAAATAAATAAAAATTGAGTTAACTAGGTAAACTTTCTTATGCTCGTTTTTTTTTTAATTTTGGCTAGATGTTTAACAGTCATGGCAAGAGAAAGGAACGGGAAACATCTAGCCAAAAGAAAGGTTGCAGGGCAACATAAGCAAGTCAGTGTACATCATCTGTCCATGCTCTCAAGGCAATAATCAGAAACATCTGAGGAATAACCTGGTACGTTTTAACTTTGCTTAAGTTTGTCCGTCAGCATCATGCAACACAATTTAAACGTGCGAACACAAATATCTAAGAACTTATCTTCAACCACTACGGAATCTCGTGAACGGCCATTTACAACCACTTATTTAAATTTTCTTCCACACGAGAAGATGATTGTTACAGTCACTTGCTCTTATGTGAAAAGGACTCTCCTCTACATTCAAGACAGAAGATCTAATTATAACGATTTTTGAACGCACAAAGATTAAACGAATGCGTAAATTTCATGAAAAATACTAATTTTTATGGAAAAAAGTAACATGTATTTATTCCCTTAAAAGTTTGTATTTACCACTATTAAATTTATACAGTATTTCTTTTCAATCAAGACGATAAAGTGGACAAATGCTACATCGATATCATGTCAAACCTAAATGGGTGCATAAGAGAGAAAACCCACATGCACTCTTCCACATTATAAAAAAACAACTCATCGATCAGCACAAATGTTTCCTAAGAATAGCCACAAATAATCAAACACAAGTGTTTCCACCAAAAAAAGTTTCCAAAAAAAAAATAATATGTCGTCAACTAAAATCCAGGTTCAAGGACAGCCACTTCGTAGGGTATCGGCAAGAAACCACCGTATGAGAAAGTCGGTTGTTTGCGGAGTTTCCACAAAACGTCACCACCATGTAAGCAAAGTACTCAGCCGTAATTGTGGTCCATCGCTGGATTCTGTCCCAAAAAGAACCGTCGAGAGCCAGTTTCTTCGTGGCGACGGTGACGGTAAATTCGGGAGGTTCGGTGGGAAGTTTGTACCGGAGACATTAATGTCTCGCCTGAGAGATCTTGAAGACGAATTTAATTTTGTTTTGAACGATCACGAATTTCAGGTTGGTTTTACTCATATACTCAAATTGATTTATCTCATATACGCATATCGTACACTTATATTTTTTTGTTTGGGGAACAAACATTTTTATACAAGAATTAGTGGCCAGTTTAAATTGAACGAGAAAATAAAAATTGACGAGATTTATTTTTTAGGTTATAGAAATAAGAGATTAATTTATGCACCTAAAGTGTTATCATAGAAAAATAAATTTGTAGATTTAAAACAAGCTAGAATTTGACCAATAAAAAAATACAGTATGATTGGACCCTAAAGTCATGATTTGATTTGATTTGAAAAATAAATTTTTAGGTCATGATTTGATTTGATTAGACCCTCGATGTTGTTTCTTTCTGAGGTCGAGCTTCTTCATCTCTCTTGAGTAGTTTTTTAATTGCCTATTGGCAAAATGTTGTACGGATCCCCAACTTTCCCCTTTTATTATTGAAGTACCAAGCGTTAAAAAAACAGAATAACTGGTAATAAGTGTTTTGTTTTTATGTGTGCTATTAATTAAAATTAGGAAGAGCTTACCACAACGTTAAGAGACTACGTAGGAAGAGAAACACCTCTCTACTTCGCCGGACGTTTAACCGAACACTACAAGAACCTAGCTCGAACCACCGGAGGAGGCGGTGGGGCCGATATCTTTCTGAAGAGGGAAGATCTTAGCCACTGTGGGTCCCACAAAATCAACAACGCTGTCGCTCAGGCTATGATCGCCCGGCGGCTTGGTTGCAGCCGTGTTGTGGCCGCCACAGGAGCCGGCCAACATGGGGTCGCCACGGCGGCCGCATGTGCGAAGCTCTCCTTGGAGTGTACGGTTTTCATGGGATCCATTGATATAGAGAAACAATCCGCTAGTGTACAGTCCATGAAACAGCTTGGTGCTCAGGTAAACTGTATTTTGCATTATTCAAGAACAAAATGCATACACATATGTTGTCATTTTGTGTTTAATATTTGCTCTCGGGTATAAAAGTTATAGATGACGAAATTAAAGTGAGGATCTACTACCATTTTTTAACATAAACTTATTGTATATTTAAGATATTACAAAATTTTAACAGAGCAAATATCTGAGATCGAAAGTTTGTTTTATTTTTTTGGTGATTTCGGATTATTTTTATATTTTACTTATCCAGCATTAAGTTTTTTTTAACATAAACTTATTTTTAACTTATTGTATATTTAAGATACCATTACTTACCCAGCATTGATTTGTAGCTAAATAAATGAGTTTTATAGTAGATATATCTCGCAACGGCAAAATATTCATATTATACGGAACATAAAATTTATTTTATATACGAATCTTGATAGGTGAAATCAGTGGAAGGAACATTCAAAGATGCAAGTTCAGAGGCGATTCGAAATTGGGTCGAACACCTAGAAACCGCATACTACTTATCGGGCACGGTCGTAGGACCACACCCGTGTCCAGTAATGGTACGCGAGTTTCAATCCGTGATTGGGAAGGAGACGAGAAGGCAAGCGAATCAGCTATGGGGTGGTAAGCCTGATGTGCTGGTGGCTTGTGTCGGGAGTGGCTCAAACGCATTAGGTTTGTTCCATGAGTTTGTTGGAGATGAGGATGTGCGACTGGTCGGGGTCGAGGCGGCAGGGCTCGGTCTAGATTCAGGGAAACATTCAGCTACTTTGGCAGTTGGGGATATTGGTGTATACCATGGTACCATGAGCTATTTATTGCAAGATGATCAAGGACAGATACTTACACCACACTCCGTAGGAATAGGGTAAGTGCGAAAGCTATCTTCTCAACATATACAACTTTTTTGATAAATTCTTCACACATATATATAACGGATATACATATTAAATAATTTTGGCTGTCGATAAAGAAAAGTTCGGCTAAAACAAAACAAATTTGGTGTTTGTTTTTTAAAAACAGTTTGTTACACTAATCTTGGAGTTAATTACGTCGATTTATGATAGTGAAAGTTTTTTTTAAAATGCTCATCTTTATAACATGATGAACTAAAATATATAAAGATATGTTTCCATATATGTTTTTATAGAAAAGTTAACTGGCAAAGCATGGCATAGATTAAAAAAAAATCTAACTGATTTGCAATAATTAATTTATTAATTATATACTATTATATAGAATAATGTTTGAAGTCTTCTGCTAGTATTTGTACAAGTTAAACGTTTGAAAAAAAATACACACTTAACGTACTTGCACGTCTGATTATCACATGCAAATTACCTCTCATAGTCGGTTATGAACTGGTCTGGATAAACCGGATTTTTTACTGGCGGTGTAAAAATCCAAAACCGAGTTAAATCTACGGTTGGATAACCAAATTAGTTCTGTAAATCAAAGAGAAGCTGAATTTATGTGAAGTACTAAGCCTCACATATGCTTGATTACATGGTGGTAATTCGTAGGTTAGAGTATCCCGGAGTTGGACCGGAGATTAGTTTTCTGAAAGAAACCGGAAGAGCCGAATTCTACACAGCAACAGACCAAGAAGCCATTGAAGGTACTCTCTCTATTAATGTTTTCTTTTTAATTCATACAAGAATTGTCATTACTATAAAGCAATCTTCTAAACTGTACGTCGATCGTAGCGTGCATGCTATTGAGCAGATTGGAGGGAATAATCCCGGCATTGGAAGCGTCTCACGCGCTTGCGTTCCTCGACAAACTCTTTCCTACTCTGCGCGATGGTACCAAAGTGGTCGTGAATTGCAGTGGCCGTGGCGACAAAGATCTGAACACTCTCATCCAACGAGGCATCATGCCCTCTTCTCTTTGTTGACTCTCACCGAGATGCCACATTACACATGAACTCTAATAACTGTTTTTTTTTTTTTGTAAAATGATTGTTAAAAATTGAATAATGATTTGTTACTATATAACTCTACGTTGTATCATTGTTTATGTAGATAGATTTAAAATGCATTAGCTTCACTTAAGTTTTATTTTGTAATGAATCAAAATCAATACTTGATCAGATATCATAATTTTTTTTTGGTTCAGCCCTTCACATTTTATGACATAAAAATTAATTGTGAGCATATTTCGAAAGCGATATTTTTTTCAGCTTACAAAATTTCAAAGTATACCAAAAATTGATATGAAATTGTACCTAAATACTAACACAGTAGTTAATTTAAGAGTAAATAAATTCCTTCATTTTTTTTTTTCTTTTGAAACCACAATATTAATTATTGACTCATTTCCATTTCCGGTTAGGAACTTCCAAATTCCACCCCTTTAGGCCTTAGTGGGCTAATTATGGATTTGGGCTTTAATGAGTTAAGTTGGTAAAAAAGGAGGGGTCTGTGACTGTGTGATGGTGAAGACAAAATGCATCTGTAAACAACAGTGCTGCTGTGTCTGTAACGTTCCATATATATAATTTTTTTCACGGTTGGGAAAGCTTCTGAGAGTTAACATCAGACTTGTACAAAATCTATAAAGCCTGTCTCACATGTGACCAAAGCGATTCAACGGCTCATATTCCACATTGAATCAAGACTACATTGCATACATATATGATTGTATAGAAGCATTTAAGGTCTCATCATGAAAAAAAACTCTTAATCAATCACCTAATTATATACATGAAATCATGGTGGTTATCTTTGCCACGTAGATCAGTAGACAGAAGAGTTGAAGCTTGCTCCATCGGGAAAAAGTTCGAATTACTTGGTTTGCTTAACCAATCATTAAATTATAACTTCAACTCTTAAATGAGTAATTACCAAAACACGGATGCTATGCTTAACTTAGCTCATCGACAGTCTCTACGGCCAATCAGACGTAAATACTAAATAACCCATCCCATAGAGCCCACGAATCGGCACAATCTAAGGGTATTTCAGTAATTTAAGCATGATCTGAATTATGCTTTTGTCGTCAACCTCCAAAGACCCATACTTTCCCTCCTCCTCTCTGCCTTCACCTCCTTCCTTACCCTATAAAAACCTTCGCTTCTGCCTCTTCCATTTTCCCAAGAAACAAAACGGCTCCTTTTTCTCTTTCCATCAAAACCCTCAACAAGAGCTTCTTTCTTCTCCCAAAACCCACCTCGTGATCATCGCGCCTAAGACTCAAAACCTCCCTAATTAATTACAATGATTTCTTCGATTAAACCGGTTTCAACCTCCTTGACCGCAATCGCCGGCGTAAGGAGATCAGCTCCGGCAAAGCTCCGGTTTTCTCCCTTACCCATCATCAGAAACTTCGAGAACCCTAACCCTTTCCCTCTACACGTTTCACCCGCCCAGAATTTGTCGAATTTCTCCGTGGCGGCGGCGCAGAGGCGTGATGTTTTTAGGGTTGGAGCTTACGAGGCCGACCGGTCTCAGCCGATTGAGATCGGAATCGAAGTTCCTGACGAACAATCCGGGCAGAAGGTGAAGATTGGGATCTACTTCGCGACTTGGTGGGCACTGAACGTTGTGTTCAACATCTACAACAAGAAGGTCCTGAACGCGTTCCCTTACCCGTGGCTAACCTCGACGCTTTCTCTCGCTTGTGGGTCTCTCATGATGCTCGTCTCTTGGGTCACTAGACTCGCCGACGCTCCCAAAACTGATCTCGATTTCTGGAAAACTCTGTTCCCGGTACGGAAATTTTAGCTTTCATTAGCGCTGTTGCTTCATGTTTGAGCTTCAAAATGTTTGAATCTTGAGCTTAGGAGAGTGAAATGAAACCGTAAAAGCCTGGAATTTGGAACCTGATTTGTGCAGAGAGTCCTACTAGATTTAAGAGTGTAAGTACTGATGTAACCGTGTGATGATGATTGATGGTTTTGATTGTTTCAGGTGGCGGTGGCGCATACGATCGGACATGTAGCAGCGACAGTGAGCATGTCCAAAGTGGCAGTGTCCTTCACGCACATCATCAAAAGCGGTGAACCAGCCTTCAGCGTCCTCGTCTCGAGGCTCTTCTTAGGCGACACGTTCCCTCTGCCTGTTTACCTCTCTCTCTTGCCCATCATCGGAGGCTGTGCTCTCGCTGCAGTCACCGAGCTCAACTTCAATATGATCGGTAATTAAAAAAACATACATTAAAAAAAATGCTGTTGTAGTTTCAGCAAGGTGTTTGATCTTATGCAAGATGTAGATTAAAAAGGGTGTTTCTTGGTTTCTTTTTTCAGGGTTTATGGGGGCGATGATATCGAATTTGGCGTTTGTGTTCCGGAACATATTCTCAAAGAAGGGGATGAAGGGGAAGTCAGTGAGTGGGATGAATTACTACGCTTGCTTATCTATGATGTCTCTTCTCCTCGTCACTCCTTTCGCCATTGCCGTGGAAGGTCCTCAGATTTGGGCTGCTGGTTGGCAAAACGCCGTCTCTGAAATTGGACCAAACTTCGTCTGGTAAATTTTTGCAACCAAACTATTAGGAATGTAAGTTTTTCTTTCAGAGAATTCGATTTGACGATACCTTGTATTTATGTTTGAATTCTAGGTGGGTAGTGGCACAGAGTGTGTTCTACCATTTGTATAACCAAGTCTCATACATGTCCCTCGACCAGATTTCTCCCTTGACATTCAGCGTTGGAAACACCATGAAGCGGATCTCGGTCATCGTTGCGTCGATCATCATCTTCCACACCCCGATTAGACCTGTCAATGCCCTCGGTGCTGCCATTGCTATTCTTGGAACTTTCATATATTCTCAGGTAAAATAAAATAGTGAAAGAATAGACTCTATCTTTCATAGTCTGAGATGAGAACAACAGAAGAAAAACAAACGCACAAAGATAATGCACTTTTGCTTGAAAAAGCTTTAATCTTTTGTGATCACTGATGAAGAAAGTCTTAACTCCACGAATAGGCCAATGCTGAACTTCAATTTGCATTTGATCTTCAACTCAAGGCTCATGAATTCTTGATGATGGTGTTCTTTTCTTGGTTTCGAATCTTTGAACAGGCAAAGCAGTGAGGAGGAGCGGTTTTCACAGAGGAGTTCGAAGCACTAAGTTACCGAGAGCAGAGGACAGAAGAACGTTTCTGTGAAGATCTCAGGAACGGCTTAAATCTTGGCGTACTGCTACGATATGTATAATCGAATAATCTACCTTGTTGCAATAGGATCCAAAGTTCAACTAATTGAATAATCTAAAGTGAATACAAGACCCCCACTAAATATATAATATTTATCTCTCTTCTTTTTGGAAATTTTGTTACAAGCTTCATATCCTCCTACGGATTCTTTGATGATGTGCAAGATGAGTTTAAAAAGCTGCTTCAAGATATGTTTTAGATAATTCCTGAAGAAATTCTATCTTTGGAGTAGGAGAGAACGTTTGACCTACTGATGCCGTTGATTTCGTTTCCGGTTAATCAACGGTCAAAGTCTTTTGAATTTTTAATTCATGCTCTTACTTTTCAACGTTCCCTACTAAGTTGACTCACAGGGCAAGAAGACTTTTTCAAAATATGTAATCAATAATTGCTACACAATCCTCTGAACTTGTGGACATACGAAAAAACATGGATAGCTGCAAGAAGAACATGTTCTTCATTTCCTCCAACTACAGATTCTTGATGATGTTTTTGTATCTCCAAGTTTGTTTCTCAACTGACAGAATCCTGACCAATCAATCTCTTTCAGGAGACCAGACGATTGTTTCAAGTGGTGGTGTCTTCGAACTCGGTCTCTTCGAACAAGGTACTTCTAATTTGTGCTACTTAGGCATAAGGTACTGGCAAATTAGTACACAGACTATAGTGTGGGTGGCGAATCGTGAATTTCCTGCCCCAAGTAGAGATACGGCCTACTTGCAGATCTCAGATGGAAACTTAGTGCTTCAAGATGGTCGCAAGAAGATAATTTGGTCGACTAGGGTTAATTCTACAAGCGGCGGAGATGTTGAAGCGGTTCTGCTTGATAACGGTAATCTAGTCGTGAGAGATGGTCCTAATTCATCTGCCGCAGTGTTGTGGCAGAGCTTCGACTATCCCTCCGACACTTGGGCTTCCTGGTGCTAAAATCCGGTTGGACAATTTCAGACCGGAGACAAGAAGCAAGATTCTCACTTCTTGGAACACCTTGCAAGATCCATCACCTGGTAGCTACTCTCTCGAGTTTGACCGTACTAGTAAAGGGAACTCACTCGTCACGGTTTGGAATGGAACTAAATCATACTGGTCGAGTGGCGCATGGGATCACCAGCTTGGAATATTCGAGCAAGTTACAGATCGTAACTTGAGCTTTGAGTTCGACGTGAATGGTTCCAACTACGTAACGTATTCAGTAAGTAACCAAAACCCTTTTCGTTTGGTTATGGATGTTTCGGGACAGTTAACAGCGTACAGTTGGGTTGAGAAGCAACAAGCGTGGGATACGAAATGGTCTGCACCGAAACAGAGATGTAAGGCTTATGGTTCGTGTGGGTCGTTTGGGATCTGCAACGAGGATTCGGACTCGGACTCGTCCTGCGAATGCATTCTTAACATCTCCAGACGATCAGGCTCGGTTGATTCATCTGGTGTCTGTGTAAGCAAAACATATCTAACCAAATGTGGCAAAGGAGATGACAAGTTTCTTCCTCTTAAGAACGTGAAGTTAGCTACTGATCCGGAAGCATGGGTTTCGACAAAATTTCTTGTAAGCCATTCATGTGACTCAGCTTGCCTTGCTGATTGTAGTTGCAGGGCCTATGCATACGATGCAAACCGGTGTTTGATGTGGAGAAGTGATATCTTCAATCTGCAACAACTCCATGCGAATAACAGCGAGGGAAAGACGTTTTATGTCAGACTTACTCCTGATTACATCTCACCAGCAGCTTTAAACAACGGTAAAGCATTTTTGCAATTATGGACTGGAGGAATGCGTCAAGAGATTTTTAAAGCCTCATTAGGATCTTCTTCTCGTGTATAGATAATTCAGGAGATCTAGAGGATATCTCAGGAAGAGCAAAACATCGTAAAGTCAGAACCATTGTGTTAGCCGTTTTACTACCATCAGTAGCAGCAGCTGCACTTTTCATTAGTTTGTATTGTTACTTTTCATCCCCACAGAGAAGCAGAAGAGCACAAAGAGGTGAGATTAAGGATTTTTTTATGAGGTTTTTACAAGATTTGTTACTAAGTTTTTGAAAGAATGGTTTTTTTTTTCTTTTTCTGCAGGCAAAAAACAGAGCAATGAGGTACTTGCAGGAGGCATAATTGATGTTGAAGATGATGATGGAGAAAAGATGCTTTACCTAAGTTTACATGACACAATGTCTGCAACAAATGATTTCTCTGAGGAAAATAAGTTAGGAGAAGGTGGTTTTGGTCCGGTTTACAAGGTAACAAACAATATGATCACTGATTTGGTAGATTAGACAAGGTTAATGAATTATTTTCATCTTAATTACCATTAACAGAATGATTGCTAAGTGATTTTTGACCGTTAGGGAAATCCACCAAATGGCATTGATGTAGCGATCAAAAAGGTTGTCAAAAAAGTCAAGCCAGGGTCTGACAGAGTTCAAGAACGAAGTGGTTTTGATCATAAAACTTCAACACAAGAACCTTGTCAGGCTTTTAGGATATTGCGTGGAAGGAGACGAGAAACTCCTTATCTACGAGTACATGTCCAATAAAAGCCTTGATGCTTTACTCTTTGGTAGGTGATGATATATTTCATCAAAATTGTTTGTGATTTTGAAACCTAATTTAGTATTATTACACTATTAAAACGTACTCCTCAAGTTTTCTTTCTTTCGTTTTGGGGCGTACATATATAGATCCACTTCAGTGCAAGGAATTGGATTGGGTGAAGCGTATGAAAATAGTAATCGGGACGACAAAAGGACTTCAATATCTGCATGAAGACTCACGTCTCAAGATCATCCATCGAGATCTTAAAGCAAGCAACATTCTTCTTGACGATGAGATTAATCCCAAGATCTCGGATTTTGGAACCGCAAGGATCTTTGGTTGCAAGCAGATCGATGACAGCACCGAAAGAATTGTCGGGACATTGTAAGTATGCTTTTAGCTGTTTCAAACGCTGAAAATCTATGTTCATGATCATGCATTTACATTTTAAAATACATCATTTATACTTTTTTTTTGTTACAACTTTGAATTTAGCGGCTATATGTCACCCGAATATGCATTAAGCGGAATGATATCAGAGAAATCGGATATATATAGCTTTGGAGTATTGTTATTAGAGATCGTATCAGGCAAAAAGGCGACAAGGTTTGTTCATAATGACCAAAAACACAGCATTATTGCCTACGTAAGTGTCCGTATAAATCAATATAATTTTTTCCTATATATAAAAATTGATCGATATAATTTATCTATTATTTTTATGAAATATCTTGAAGTGAAACCCAAAACCGTATGTTGTTAATCAATTTTAGGCGTGGGAATCGTGGTGTGAGACAAAAGGCGTAAGCATTATAGATGAAGCATTGGATGATTCATATTCTTTGAAAGAAGTGATGCGGTGCGTTCACATCGCGCTTCTTTGCGTTCAAGATCATCCAACAGACAGGCCCACAATTTCGCAAATTGTTTATATGTTGAGCAACGATCACGATCTCCCGATTCCAAATCAGCCAACGTTCACAAACGTGTTGAATTGCAATCAACGGTTAGTGCCGTCTGACTATGTGTACTCTATTAACGAAGCAACTCAATCAACAATGGAAGGACGATGAACAGTCATGCACAATTCTTGGTAACTTGGTAAGTGCTAGTAACGAGAAAATGAATCAAGGGACTGCATTTATCAACTGGAGATATATAAATTTGATTAAATGTCTAGAACTTCATATATTTACATATTTTGGATTAAAAGCATAGACTGTTAATTCCTACATATAATATCAAAATGATCGATATCCAGATTCATAGAAATTTAAAATGTTCATACAACTGTTTTTAGCTCTGCATTTGTGGTTTATAATGTTCATACAAGTGTAGATATAACCATTGAGATTTGTGTTTATGAAATATATTGTGAATGACATCGTCTTCGTAAAACAATAAAAGTAAGGTGAATTGATTTTCTTGGGATGAATTAGTGTAAATTTTGGAAACGGTATCCAATGCCACGTACATACGGACTACAAACATTAATTTTGATGTACGTGTAGACGATAAGCATGGTCTAAAATGAGAGGACGTAGCTAGTGTAGCTATATAAAATGAGATGAGAAGTACATAATAAAATGAGAGATGAGAAGTACATATTAAAATGATGAGAAATAAGTTACAACAAATAAGGAATTGGGCCAATAAATACATTAACACTTGGCCAACCAACATCCACCTGTCGCTGTTAATTCTACACAGAGTAATTAAGACTCAGAGGCTACTCTGTCTCCTACTAACACACGGGCCATCGAATAGTTACAGATTTTACGTATAATGGAATAGCGTTTCAAATTTTTCTTTTTTGTGATATCTTCTACATAATTTTTTCCAATTTCTAATATCGGAGAAGCTCTGAACATCTATTCTATATTTGTTGGAAACAAACAATTATGAACACTCGACTCATACATTTTAGATTAAATTTAGCTGTCGATAATATACCTCTTAGAGATGCATGGTTTTGATAAATAATTTTGTTTTCATTCCAAAAAATACGAGTTTGAGCTATAAATTTAAAAAATTTATTTACCTAATTTATCCATGCCATTTAAAAACAAATCAAATAGAACTTTATTGTCTTATATAGAGAAAGTGCGTGTTGCACATGAAACCTAACGAGTAACTAGACAAATTAAGAAATGAAGTAGCTTTTTTTGTTAAATTAAAAAAAAAAAAAAAAAAACAGTAGCAAACTAAATAACAAGAAGACACGAGCTTGCAAGTATGTATATGATAATATATATGTGCCTCCCCCTAATTTATGTTGCCGAAGAAAACTTTGATGACTAATGTGTCCCCTATATATGGACATCTATACCTTAAAAATATACTATCATTATAAAAAACCTGATAAGTAGATCAATTATACTGTCATACTCCTTAGTGATGACTAACAATTAATTATGTTAAAATTTAATCATAAACTTAAACCATATACCAATCCTATACAGTGAGAAGTAAATGCATATAGATGGTTGGTAAGACCAATTACTCGTTAGGTTTCATGTGGCAGATTCACTTCAATACGCAATTTCTCTATATAAGAACCCTAAATCTCTCCTCATCATAAACTCCATCTACCAGTCTTCTTCATTAATGTGGCAGATTCACTTCAATACACACTTTTATAAGAACCCTAAATCTCTCCTCACCATATATAAACTTGCCCTAAACTTCATCTATCAGTCTTCTTAATTTATCTCCCATCTGTCTCTATCTCTCTCAAATAGCAAACAAATATGGATCTTACTGATGTTATTATAATCTTGTTCGCTCTTTATTTCATCAACTTATGGTGGCGCCGTTACTCCTCCGCGGGAAGCAGCCAATGTCGTATGAACATTCCGCCGGGACCGAAAGGGTGGCCTCTAGTTGGAAACCTACTCCAAGTCATTTCCCAACGTCAGCATTTCGTCTTCCTGATGCGTGACCTACGTAAAAAGTACGGTCCAATATTCACCATGCAAATGGGACAACGTACGATGATTATCATCTCAGACGAAAAACTCATCCACGAGGCTCTAGTCCAACGCGGCCCCACTTTCGCTTCCCGGCCTCGGGACTCGCCCATCCGGCTCATGTTCAGTGTCGGAAAATGCGCTATAAACTCGGCGGAGTACGGATCTTTGTGGCGGACTCTGAGGCGGAACTTTGTGACGGAGCTCGTGACCCCGACTAGAGTGAAGCAGTGCTCGTGGATAAGGACTTGGGCGATGGCTAATCATATGAAGAGGATTAAAACGGAGAGTATTGAGAAAGGTTACGTCGAGGTTATGAGCCAATGCAGGCTAACGATTTGTAGCATCTTGATATGTCTTTGTTTCGGTGCCAAGATCAGCGAGGAAAAGATTAAGAACATAGAGAATGTTCTTAAGGACGTTATGCTTATAACTTCTCCGACTTTACCGGACTTTTTACCGCTTTTAACTCCGTTGTTCCGGCGTAAAGTTAAAGAAGCGAGAGAGCTAAGGAAGACACAGCTCGAGTGTCTTGTACCGTTGATTAGAAACCGTCGTGCGTTTGTTGACGCAAAGGAGAGTCCTAACGAAGAGATGGTGAGTCCGATTGGTGCGGCTTATGTGGATTCTTTGTTTGGTTTGAAGCCGGTCGAGAGAGGAGGCGACCTCGGAGATGAAGAGATTGTGACTTTATGCTCGGAGATTGTCTCGGCCGGTACGGACACGAGCGCAACTACGCTTGAATGGGCGATACTTCATCTAGTGACGGACCAACGTATTCAAGAGAAGCTGTACGAGGAAGTTGTTGGAGTTGTTGGCAAAAACGGCGTCGTTGAAGAGGATGACGTGGCTAAAATGCCTTACTTGGAGGCTATTGTGAAAGAGACTCTCCGGCGACATCCGCCGGGCCATTTTCTGCTCTCTCACGCCGCCGTGAAAGATACGGAGCTTGGAGGGTATGATATTCCGGCAGGGGCATATGTGGAATTTTACACTGCTTGGGTTACGGAGAACCCAAAGATTTGGTCGGATCCGGGTATGTTTCGACCCGAGAGATTTTTAGCCGGTGGGGACGGTGTTAATGCTGACTGGACGGGGACACGTGGCGTTACAATGTTACCTTTTGGTGCGGGCCGTCGGATCTGCCCGGCTTGGTCTTTGGGGATTTTACACATCAACTTGATGCTTGCTAGGATGATCCATTCGTTTAAATGGATCCCGGTTCCGGACTCTCCACCCGACCCAACTGAGACCTACGCGTTTACTGTCGTGATGAAGAATTCTCTCAAAGCCCGGATCCTGTCAAGAACTTGATGAATAAATTCGAACTGGATTGGGTCGGATCGGGTTTGTGAAATGTTATGCCTTTGTATGCGTGTGTGGTATAATTACAATTAGTGTGGTTTGTTACTATTTTTTTAACTCCAAAGCAAGCTTTTGTTTCTACTGTATAATCTTAAATATATATATAATCATATGCTTTCTCGGTCGGTTCATGTGTTTATAAGTATAATTTTCCTTTATTTACGTGAAAAATCATTGTCATTATAACTTACTAAATACTGGCACTACGTTGGCTTATCAGTGATCCTTGTCATTATTACGTCCGCATCATGAGGACTTTTGAGCGACGGTTGTAGTACTTTTTTTAGGCGTTCTAGATATTAATGTGTGAATATTTTCGTCAAAGACAATTGATATGTAGATTCTATTTTGGACTTATTTCAATTTGAAGATTTTTTTTGTTGGTACCAAAAATCAGCAAGTTGATGCAGACATCAAATTTAAATGAAATTGTCAGTCGTGAGGTGTGGTCACTTAAATTCCACCCAAGTATGTTGGGGCTACCAAGTACAGGTATGGTGAATAACATTAACTTCGATGAAAGAACATATAATATACTTTTTCATAATACAGAGTTACAAGAAACAACATATAATGGTGGTAAACTTTTAACATACCTATAGATTGCCTAAGATAAATTGAAGAAGTTGAAGTCCAAGTCCATTTGTTAAATATACCTTTAGACTTATATTGGGCCTAAATTAGACAAATGGACTTCAACATTACACTTGCTTCTTCAACTTACGAAGCTCCTCGTCGTCGTCTACTTTAAGACCCGACACGGTCACATCGGGTAATGCTCAAAATCAGACGACGATGGCTATGGAGCTTTCGTTTGATTTGGTCGAGGAGATACTCTCGTGGGTTCCAGCTGAATCTCTTGGACGATTGAAATACACTTGCAAGCAGTGGGAAGCCCTAATCTCAGAACGAAGATTCGTCAACAAGCACCTGTCTCGCATGCGTGGCCGTGAGCAACAGTTCACAGTCTTCAACAGCGTCTCCAAGTCACAACGTTCAACACTTTCTCGTGTGGGTATCGATTTCAACGAGCTCAACGAAACTGTTTTGAGTTTGCAGGATTTCGAGCCTCTTCCATCTTCAGATTTAATGGTGGAGAACATGTCTCACTGCGATGGTCTACTGCTCTTCGTCACGAGAAGCAATTATTTTGTTTCGAACCCTTTTTTGAAACAAGCAAGACGGATCAGATTCGGCCATGGATTCTACAGTCCGATGGATGCGTATGGTCTTGGATACATTAGTAATCAATCGTCATCGTTAAGCTGTAATGATTACAGAATGGTTAGGTTTAGATGTGGCGCCTCTGATAAAGGTTCAAGGATTGAAGTCTACGAATTCAGTTCTGATCGTTGGAGGGTTGTTGCTGATAAAAGCTTTGATAGGTTCTCAGAATTACCAGAGTCGAGTGTGTGTCTGAGAGGAACTCCTTATTGGATTGGGTATCTAAATGGCAAAACTTTTTCGACCATACAGAGTTTCGATTTCGAAAAAGAGAGATTCGAGACCTTGTTTCTTCCTCCTTCGTCCATTGGGTCATCAAAGCTGGGAAATTCTCTTGCTTTAGGGGTTTTCAGAGGAGATCAACTTTCTCTGTTACACAAATCCCGCGTAACGGGTAAGATACACCTGTGGGTGATGAAGAAGCATTGGAGCAAGCTGATGAGAATCGCTATACCTGAAGTGGCAATGTTTCCTAAGTTCTCGAGTTACTTCATTGATAACAACGGTAAGCTTGTGCTACTGAACCGTGGCTTAAGGTCTATTAACATTTGCATTGTGGGAAAAGGTGGTGATGAGTGCCAAAACGTTCAATGTTCTGATTTGGTTCCTTCAATTGGTGGTTCTGCTTGCTACTATGTTCCGAGCTTGCTTCAAGTTCCAGGTTTTGTCGAGGCGACAAGAAGAAGTTAGAAGATTTCTGACAATGGATTTTAGAAAAGAGTGGGATAGCATTTTTATCTTTTGTTCGGTTGTTTCAACTTCTTATCTCATGACTTCATTTTTCAATTCCAGAATGTATTATATGAAAAGTATGCTGTTTTCATCAAAGACTGTTTCTTTGGAGTGGACTAGTTCATCCAAAATACTATCTTCTTCTCCATGAAAAGTAAGTATATAGCATTCTGTATATCGGATTCAAGTTTCAAGAGTAACTCCATTGTTCAGGCGACATAGATTCATTGGAATGGTTAGATCATCGATACTCTATTGCAGATCAAAACAGAACAAGCCAAAAACATGTTACAAGACAAATAATATACAACATGTTCAAGAATCTTCAGTGAGAAAAATGAATACTTCGCCAGCAACATGTTTCACTGAGGCAATTCGGCTTCAACTTCATTCCACAAGTCAACATTTCTGGCAAAATTCTTCTCTTTCACTAGCAAAATAAGCTCCTTTGCTTCTTCAACCTTCGAAAGACTTGCTAGTCCATTGACAAGCCACTTCATGACACTGAAACTCGGAACCCAGTTCCTCTCCATACTCTCCTTACAAAGGATCAAAGCTGTCTCAAAGTCCCCTTCTTTGCACAAGCAACGTATCAGAGTGAAGTAACATTCACTATCAGGCTTGTATCCACTTTTCACCATACCTTCGAACAGATTCAACGCCTCATCCAAATTCTCCTCGCTGCAAAACCCATGAATCAAATGGGAGTACGTCACAGAGTTCGGTCTCATCCTACAAGACATAACCCCACCAATCAATGCCTTTGCTTCTGCAGATTTCTTGCTTCTACACAAACAATGAATCATGACGTTGTACGTAGCGACACCTACATGAACTCCATATGCTCTCATCATTCTCAGCACTTTCCTCACATCATCATACTTCTCCTCCTTGTAAAAACCAGCGATCATAAGCCCGAAGCTAGCAGCTGTAGGCTTTATCCATTTCCTCTCCATCTCCTTAACAATGGTGTATGAAGAACTCGTTGAACCGGATTCACAGAACACTTTGATCATTCGATTGTACGTTTCGAGATCAGGTTCAATGCCGTACATCTTCGGCATTTCTAGGTAGACACGTTTCGCTTCATTGTAATCTTTCGCCATTAAGCAAGCGAAGAGAAGAGCATTCAAAGACTTCACCGTCCTTGGGATCTCGTACCGCTCGAGGTCACGAAATGTATGTAGAGATCGATCGAGCATATTCGCTCGGCCGTATAGAATAATGGTGCGGACGGCGAAACTCTCTGATTTGGGATATGGTTGGTTCTGGATGAATCCGTCGAGAAGCTGAGACACGGCGGCGAAGTGTTTCTCGCTCGCCAGTGTCACGACCGCGACGGAGAAGGCGATACGGTCGACGTGATAATCAGGCGTGAGGGAAGCGGATCTGCAGATTTCGAGGATTCGATCCGGATTTTTCTCGGTTCTGAGAAGGGAGAGAACATCCCGGCTACTCTTCTGCTTGCTAGTGAGCGACGTCTTGGAGTTCAGCGTGAGGGTAGATGAAGTGGTAGATACGACTCGGAATTGAATCACGTTCTGGACGAGAGATTCCGATGTTCGAATGCGCAAGAGGAACGCCATTACTAGGGCTCATGATGTTTCAGAAGAAATGGAGACGACGGTGGAGAGATCAGGTTTAAACCGGTTCGGGATTTGACGAAATTAAAATTTAATTTCAAAGGGTTTGCTTAAATCACATACAGTCGTCCGTATAGTAAACGAAACTCATATCAGCCGTTGATGATTATCAATAGTCACAATAGTGACGGTCCTGATGAATCTTAAGTGATTTTAGCAAACAAAAAGAAAAGAAAAGTTAGGATCATGTATAAACCGGGGTTTTGAACCCGACGTGAATCGAACACGCAACCTTCTGATCTGGAGTCAGACGCGCTACCATTGCGCCACGGATCCGATGGGAAGCACTCTTCAAAACTTTAATATGTAGTAATATAAATCTCTTTTATACAACCGCCTTTGCAAAGGTTATCAACTTATCATCAACCACCTTTAGCAAATTGTTGTTATCTTCTTCATCACAATTTTCTACGGACAGGGACTCAAAGAGTTCTCAATCTATCTTCTTCTTCTTCCTCTCCAATCATGATGCAGCAGCCACCACCCGGAGCTATTCTTCCCCATCACGTTCCTCCTCCGTCTGCTCAACAGCAGTACGGTTACCAGCAACCGTCCCCGTACGGGATTGCTGGGGCTGCTCCGCCGCAGATGTGGAACCCGCAAGCGGCGGCGCCGCCATCAAGTCAGCCAATGACCGCCGACGAGATCCGGACTCTTTGGATCGGAGACTTGCAGTTTTGGATGGATGAGAATTTCCTCTACGGTTGTTTTGCTCATACCGGAGAGGTAATATTCCGAGATCGCTGTTATGATTCGTTTGATTACTCTACTTCTTAAATCCTGTTTCTTGCTATTCGATTCGCACAATCTTTTGAATGGTTTTTGTTTGTTCGAATGAGATTAAGATTAATTTGATAACACTGTTCGTTTTTCTGTTTTGAAAGTTTGGATTTTGACAATCAAATTCTCTTACTTTATAGAAATACCTGCGAAGTTTGAACAACTTGAATGTGTATCCTCTTTGTGACAATGAGTTAATGAGTCTTTTATGTCTCTACTTTCGCAGGTTCTGTCTGTTAAAGTCATCCGTAACAAGCAAACCGCTCAGGTTGAAGGTTACGGTTTCATTGAGTTTGTGTCTCATGCCGCTGCTGAACGAGCTCTGCAGACATACAACAGCACTCCGATCCCGGGCCTTCCCGATCAGCTTTTTAGATTGAACTGGGCCTCCCTGAGTTCAGGAGACAAACGGGACGATTCACCGGATTACACTATATTTGTCGGTGATCTGGCCGCTGATGTCACGGACTACGTCTTACTCGAGACGTTCAGAGCCTCTTATCCTTCGGTGAAAGGTGCGAAGGTTGTCATCGACAGAGCCACTGGGCGTACAAAGGGATATGGCTTTGTTAGGTTCTCCGATGAGAGTGAACAGATTCGTGCGATGACGGAGATGAACGGTGTTCCTTGTTCAACTAGGCCTATGAGAATCGGGCCAGCAGCCAGCAAAAAAGGTGTATCTGGTCAAAGAGGTATGCGTAGATGTGAAGGATATGTTACTTTTAGAACTGCTTTGCTCTTGCGTTCCCATGATTTGTGTGATCCAGTATCTATGTGACTAACTACGTTATTTAGGTCTTTTCCTGAGTTTAGTCAAGCCTTGATTGTTTGATTGAATTTTCTGATGCTGCATCTTGCATTTTTTCCGCTCAGGCCGCAGTAAATTCTGTGAAATGTTAAAAAGATAGAAATCTTATAGCACACTTGTTGTATCCTGTTTGTTTGAAAGCAGGGAGTCAAGAGGCTCTCTATCATCTTGAGGCCTGGAACTGATTTCAGCTGAAACGGTTATCCCCTTATTGAGTGAGTGCCCATGCTTAGGTCAGTTTTAAAGTTCATGTGTTGTCCTTTATTAGCCCTTTTCCTTCACTTCTCAGCCCTGCTATGGTTTTATCTTTTCAGTTAAACTTTTTCTTCCAGTTCTCGCTCAGTTACTTTCGCAAGTCAATTCTTATATATTTACTTTTCTGTCCCACTCCGCTCTACTTAATGTTCTTATCTTTCACCTGATTTACTTACATCTGCACGTCAAGCTCCTTTCTACTGCTTCTGTGAGTCTAGATGTTAAAAGTTCACTCGACATTTTACCATTTCTGTGAGAAAGATTTCGTTTGACCCGAACTTGATCAGTTTCTGGAGGTGCCAGAGAAATAGTTACACTGTTTTCATTATTGTGCTTTGCGATTCCTATATTATTTGTCCCTATAGGCATACCTTGAGTAGCCGAAAACATTTGTGGCTGTAACTCCTCAGATACTTTCTTATTGTTCAGAAAAAGCTATATCCTCTGCATTGATAATTTATGATTGATGTTAACATCATCGATATACATGTTTTGCAATTTCATGGCTTCCTTGATTTTTTCTTTCATTACGTTGGGAATTTTAGAGGAGGCTGCAAATGGATCTTTTTTTTTTTTTTTTCAGCTACTTATTTTGCATACAGTTATGTACTTACTCCTCTCATAATGCTCGCGTGTGTAAATGCAGATTCATACCAGAGTGCTGCTTCAGGGGTTCCAACTGATAATGACCCAAACAACACAACTGTGGGTTATATATGCTCCAATCATGTATATGTGTCTTCCAAGTGGGCCATTTCTGACACTTATTAAGTTATGGTGCAGGTTTTTGTTGGTGGATTAGATGCCATTGTCACGGATGATCATCTGAAGAATGTCTTTAGCCAATATGGTGAGATTGTTCATGTGAAAATACCCGCCGGAAAGCGCTGTGGATTCGTTCAATTTGCTGAGAAGTAAGCGCGTTGTTGCAGAGGAAGCTCTTAGAATGTTATGCTTTGGAATATCAATGTAACAGTTTAGTAATCATGTGTGTTTTGTGATTATCCCTCGGTATTTCAGGAGCTGTGCAGAGGAAGCTCTTAGAATGTTGAATGGAATGCAATTGGGTGGAACAACCGTCAGGCTTTCATGGGGCCGGAGTCCTTCATCGAAACAGGTGACTGATTGATTCCCTTTGCATATGATATTAGATGATTAGAAAGAAACCACTTGCAATGTCGGATTCAAGCTGCTTCTCTCTCCCACTTTCCTGCCATTGCTTGGTCAAATGGAAACTTAGAAGATTTAGTAATCTTTTCTTCCCTTTGTGTTTTGTTTGCATCGGTTCTCCAGGCAGCGGACCAGAGTCAGTATTATTACGGCGGGTATGGACAGGGACAGGAGCATTATGGCTACTCGATGCCGCAAGATCCTAATGCGTATTACGGAGGCTACCCTGGCGGGTATCAGCAGCCACCACAGGCGGGCCAGCAACCGCCTCAGCAACCGCCGCAGCAGCAACAAGTCGGATTTAGCTACTAGCTGTGAGGGTATTCTTAGCTGCACTGTTTGTTGTTTGCGTACTTTGTCATGAACGTGTGTTCTCAAACACAGTTTATCTGTCTTTCTTCTCTCACTCTCTCTCTAGGAAAGTTCTTTTGCTCAAGTTCTGATACTAAAGGATTGTGAAGAGTTTGAATCTTAATAATGTTTTGCGATGCTTCTGTTTTCTTTATTTCCTTTGCATGCTTTGAAAGTAGAGAACATAAATGGGGATTATAAGAATTTATTCTTCTTCACGTCTTGAAATAACGCGATATTTTTAATCTTTGGTTATGTCTTTTGGTAAGAAAATTACGAAGAAATGTTACAAATCGTTCGTAGCTGAACAACTTTGCTTGACAACTATGGATCATAGATCGAATATTCGACTTATGATTATACATATATGAGATTAATATTTAAACTGCTTTGTACAAATTTAATTTGTGATTTACGGGCGGCTTGAAGAGTCCTGAGAACGTGTGTTACGTTGTGCTGGATGCACGTTTTCTTTGGACTGCGAGCCAATAAAAACAGATGAATTGTAACCAATTGGAGCGATTGATTTAGCCTTTTTTAATTTGGCTATTTGTATTGTAATCAAGGATTCTTAATGTTCATTGACTTTGATCTTACGAAAAGAGAGAACAAATAACTTTCCTTAGTTGCTGACAGCTACAAAGTACACGTGTAATTAAACTATAGTCGAGGAAAAACATAAGAAAATAACATAAAATAAATTAGTTGTCCATTGGCATCTGTGAGCATAATTATTTCTAGTTGACTTGGATGTAACTTGATTTATTTATAATGTTAGAATGTCTTTTATTAATTCTTAGAGAAAGGTCTTTTATTGTTTACAGCTTAGTTGTGAAGATGATCATCAACTTGGCTACACAATCATATATGTATCTGTGATATATGGATAAGAAAGATCCAAAAACTAAAACCTTTTGCATTTTCATTCGTACCAACACAACCTTGTGCCATGGGAAGAATCTATAAGCACTTCTGGCACCCACACGAGAGCGATGAGCCTACTAGCTCTAACAAAGGGAAGATCAGCTGGAAAGCTAGAATGAAAGAAAAGTACGGTTTAGGGTTTGACTGCGATGAATGTAAGGAACCCATTCCTGTGGGAAGTAGTAGTCACGCCTTGGAATGCGACTTATGCGACAAGGAGTGGCACCTTGATTGCATACCAACCTCGCCTGACGACATAAACCACCCGTTCCACCCATACCATCCGCTCAAGCTTCTCATCGACGGACCACCTGATTACTCTAACGGGAAATGCGTTACCTGCGAGCAGGAACTAAGGAGCTTTTTCCACCATTGTTCGGTATGCGATTTCAGCATGCATGTGAGGTGCTCCAAAAACCCTCCTCCACTCATTGTGGATGCCCCGAGGTGCCACAAGCATACACTCACCCTTATGGCTAGAAACGACACATTCACTTGTAACGCTTGCGGTACGCACGGCGAGCAATGCCCTTACGTGTGCGCTCCTTGTGCTCTCATGTTCCATAGGGAGTGTATCACGCTACCGCACGTCATAAACATCAACCGCCACGACCATCGGATCTCTCACACTTATTCTCTTGGGTTCGGGCTTTGGAAGTGCTCCATTTGTCACCATAAGATCGACTGGAGGTACGGCGCTTATTCGTGTTCGAAGTGTCCTAGTTTCGCCGTTCACTCCAAGTGCGCAACTAGAAATGATGTGTGGGATGGGGTAGAGCTCGAAGGTGTACCTGAAGAGTTTGTGGATGTTTCTCCATTCAAAGTGATTGAAGACGGAGTCATTAATCATTTCTCCCATGATGAGCATAACTTAAGGCTTATCGAGGATGCTATCGAACGTGATGGGAGCATACGGTGCGAAGCTTGCACAAGTTGTATCTTTTCTGAGAAGCACTACAGCTGTATGGAATGCGATTTTTGCCTCCATGAAACATGCGCTAATCTTCCTCTTCAAAAACGACATGGGCTTTGCACAAAGCCGCTTACACTAGTAAGGATCAAAAAGGGTATTGATCATGGTTTATTCAAGTGTATCGCTTGCACAACAATATCGAATGGTTTCAGGTACGAGTATGGTGATGTAACCCTAGACGTACGGTGTGCGTCGATGTCATGGTATTGCGATTATGAATGTCACCCGCATACACTCTTTCTCACTACGCTTGACAGGGACACTTGTGGGGCATGTCTTGAAAGTTATAAACAAGTGCTTCACTGCGTTGAATGTGAGTTCACACTGGACTTCAAGTGTGCTACTCTACCAAAAAAGATAAAGCACAGGTGCGATGACCATTTTATGTCCTTGTGTTTTGGTGAGAAGGCGAGTGGTAAGTACTGGTGTGAGGTTTGTGAAACCGTTTTAGATCCACAAAAATGGTTTTACACATGCGGTGATTGCGGAGTCGTTTGTCATATTCAGTGTGTGCTTGGGGAGTTGTGGAATGCGAAGCCAGAAGTCCTCAGCACAGAAGAGGGGAAGAAATTAGAAGTGGTTCCTAACGATACTATGTCTCGACCAAAATGTGGTTCATGTGGCTCTCGTTGCCAACAACCGCTGCTTTTCAAGTTTTCTAACTCTTATATGGAGGAATGCTTTTGTGACACTCAGTGTCTTGTAAAATCTTCCGATTCATTACATTCATAGAACAGTTTTATTTCCTCTTAAAGTATCCCCATGCAGAAATAGCTACATTGATTTATTTATTTTCAGTATTGGGTTTTACATAGTAGGCGTTTCAATTATTTCATTCCACGACCTTGTTTGTTTAGCATTTTGATATACCCTCCTTGAGTAGTCAACAACCTTGTGAGAAACAATCGTGTATTTCTTTATGGTTGGCATATCCATCAAAGATCTACTAATATTTATAAATTCAACAAGCATTACACAATGAGAGGTGACTAATTGGAAATTATATTACCTAAGGAAAACGCATCTAATATTCAATATTTGTTTCTTTTTGGTCCGAACCAGTTATATTTCTTTATATTATTGGTCAGCGAGAGCCGAGAGGAGACCATACTACTTTAACCCCAAAAAAGAGAGGAGACAATACTAACATGACCATTTATTGTTCTTCTTTTGTTGATTCTCATAAATCATAATGAATAATGAGATCCACGTTCTACGGTGGGATAGTTTTTCTAGCTAATTTTAATTTCCTTCTCAACTTGGCCATTTAGTCATCATATAATGATATATGTATTTATCTATATATAGATACAATATTTACAATACGATTTATATTAGTTTAAATTCACATTATTACTTCAATCTTGAGCACAAAATCTGCTGCTAAATTTCACGAAAATACCATATTTTTTTATTATTTATTGACCCGTAATGCAAACCAAAGGACACATTGATTTTTATTTTATTTTATTTTTTGACATTAGGAGACATTGATTTAAGTAACGAAACTGATTAACTTAATATTTTTAGATAGTTGTCCTCTGGCAAAATTAATAGAGTAATCGAACACGATTTTGGTTCATATTTATTTTTTAGTAAAAATGTGTTTTTTTTATTTGGAAATATAGAAAGAGGGGAGGTATACGATAAGAGTTTGGGTCCTAAGCAAGATATATATATATATATATATATATATATATATATATATAAGTTCAAGTTTCATTTTCTTGATCCACTGTATTATCATCTTCAGATTCCTGTGAGTTTTCATTCAATCTTTCATTTTCATCTGTTTCCTGTCTGACTGTGCCTACAGATAATTATTCACTCTATTTAGAGAAATGTGTAGTAGTAGCCTTTCTTTTTTTTTTTCTTTCTTTTTTTTTGAAATTTGAACATTTGTAGTAGTAGCTTTTCTACGTTTATAACATTTTATCATTTTTCTTAGCAAAGATACCTTCTTCTTTTTTTAACATAGCAAACAGAGTCTTTATCATCTGAACAATATACATTTAAATGAGAATTCGTTGAGTTGCTGCCAAGAATTCCATTTAGGAAAAGTATCGAAGTTAGCATTATAGTAACGTCTGTCATAAGTTACCAAAAATTGACAGATTTAGTAATGAAACAAATTCATGATCCTATTTCAGGTAAGTTTTTCGAAAAAACTATTTTTTTAATTTGTCGCTCATCACTTAGCAAATTTAGTCAAGAGTTCACAGATTTATTCATGCGACTAAAAGAGTGACTTTTAGAATTATTATCGTTATAGACTTACTTGTACAATTTTATGAATATTTTTAATAATAATTAAGCATTTGTATATATGATGATCCCATTATCTATATTTGACTCCTTTTCTTGTTGGTGTTTGATATCAAAGGAATAAGTGAAATGGGAATATACTCTACTACAATCGTTTCTTCTCTCTTTGTATCATTCCTGCTGTTTTCCTCTGCCTTCTCTGAGCGCAATGAGGGAACGTTCAGAGTTAGTCTAAGAAAACTGAAGTTGAAGGATAACAACGATCCACGCCTCAATAAAGCTTTGAAAGCATACAAGAGTCTTGGAGGTCCTAATAAAGATGTCACTGTTACGCTGAAGAATTACGTAAATTCCATGTACTATGGTGAAATTGGAATTGGTACTCCACCTCAAAAGTTCACCGTGGTTTTCGATACCGGAAGTTCTAACCTTTGGGTTCCATCGACGTATTGCCAATTCTCGGTACGTAAATTTTGATTTAACCACTCATGGTTCATATGGTGGTCTCTTGCTAGTGGTTGTTGAGAATCCGTTTTGTATAGGCTGCATGCCTAATTCATAAGAAATACAAGGCAACGCGTTCGAGCACATACGAGAAGAATGGTTTGTTCAAATTTCTCTCTTGTCTTTACATTTGTTTCATGAAATGTGTTGATGTAAGCTATGCGGGTTGTAATTAAAACCGGTCGATCTTCTTTGGCACAGGAAGAGCCGCCTCAATTAGTTACGCGACTGGATCAGTCTCTGGTATTTTTAGTCAAGATGATGTCAAGATTGGTGATTTGGTCGTCAAGGGTCAGGTAAATGATCTTTATGATCCTAATTAAACCCTATTAAACACTCTTATCACGTTTGACCGTTTATTCATGTTTGTCTTCCTCGTATATATCCAGGAGTTTATCGAGGCCATAAGGGAGCCTGGTATCACATTTGTTCTAGCTAAATCTGATGGTATTCTTGGTCTCGGATTCGACCAAATTGCTGTTGGAAATGCCACTCCTGTTTGGTACATATATCTGCAGTTTCCTCCAGTTACCGTTTGGACATGACTTTACAACATTTTTGTTTCTGAAATGGTTCATGACTTTATTTATATATTATCATAACAGGTACAATATGTTAAAGCAAGGCCTTATCAGGATTCCGGTGTTCTCATTTTGGCTGAACCGTAACCCGGAGGATGAAGAAGGTGGTGAAATTGTATTTGGAGGAGTTGATCGAAGTCACTTTAAGGGAACACATACATATGTTCCTGTGAGGCTACAGGGTTACTGGCAGGTTTATTATATTTTATACATCACTATTTTATCTTGGTCTCTCTTGTGTATATAACATTAATGATTTAAGCAACCACTCAAGGTTATTCTTATTTTGTGGTAATATATAGTTTCCTATGGGTGATGTTCTCATGGACGGTAAACCCACTGGTAATAGACCTTATTCTTTAATATGATAATACTTGTTTTATAACAAATTCAAAATAGTTCTAAAGTTTAATCTACAGGATTCTGCAAAAATGGGTGTGCTGCGATTGCGGATTCTGGGACAACTTTGATTTCGGGTCCAACGGTAAACAATAACTGAGAGGCTTTTAATTTGATTGATTGTAGAAGTAAAGAAATTATGTTGTCTTAAAGAGTATTTTAGTAGTTTATACTAGACGCTCCTAATTTTGTTTTTCTCTCTTTTTTATAAGGATGCTATTGCGGTGATAAACCATTATATTGGAGCAACTGGGGTTGTTAGCCACCAATGTAAAACTATTGTGAAGAAATACGGAAAGGCCATTTTGGATTTACTTGTAGCTGGGGTAAGTATATATATATATATATATATATAATATTGGAAAATCGCATGGAAACCTTCGAGATATCATTCACTAATTTCACATACCTAAAACCTTCAAACCAAGAATTACGTTGGTGCATCAGTGCTTGCAAACTCTTTGTTGTGTAATAGAGTTTTGTTTTTCTTTTTTGGTTTTACTTACCAGTGTTCTAATTGATTTACTGTAGGCTCCACCAAAGCAAATTTGCGCGTCGCTAGGTATGTGCAGTTTTGATGTCAGGTATATTTCAAATGGTCTCATTATTCATACTATAGAGATCGATTGCAATTAGAGTCATGAGTGCGATATTAACTTCTCTTAATGATCTATTTGTATTGCATTAGAATGGGTATTGAATCGGTGGTGAAAATGGAAAACGGAACATCGTCAAGTGGTTTGGGGGATGCACAATGTACTGCATGTGAGATGACACTTGCATGGATACAGTATCAGTTGAGGCAGAACATGAATGAAGAGCAAATATTGACCTTCATCAACGCGGTAAAAAAAAAAATAGTTTAATTCCATCACAACAGTATTTGCTTTTCTTACCTTTTCTTTATTAAACATAAATATTAATGGACATTTTATTCATGATCTTGATCACTCCTTTTTTCTCTCACCATAGTTATGTAATCGCATGCCTAACGGCTCAACGGGAATGTCTGCTGTCGAATGTACAAAACTCTCGACCATGCCCACCGTTTCTTTCACCATGGCAGGCAGAGTCTTTACTCTTTCTCCTGAAGAGGTATGTATAACTGAGTAATGAAATATATCAATATTGTTACAAAAAACAAAATGTTAAAGTTTCGGTTTGGTTTTTTTTTTTTTTCCTTTTTCATCTAATCTCTTGGTGTTGACCACGCATGGTATGGTTTGTTTGTTGCAGTACGTTCTGAAACTAGGGGACAGCGATCTGGCCATATGCATAAGTGGCTTTACTGCACACGATGTCCCTCCACCTCGCGGACCTTTTTGGTAACCCCTTACTCTATGACTTCATATATTAATCTCAGTTTCATCTCTAGAGATTTTTTTTTTGTTTTTCTCATCAAATGTGTGGTGGCAAAATTGTGGCAGGACCCTGGGAGCTGTTTTTATGGGAAAATACCACACGGTCTTCGACTTCGGGAACAAGCGAGTTGGGTTCGCAGAAGCAATGTGAACAAAAACAAAACAATTGGTGAAGTCTATACGGTTGTGCTACTATATATCAAGTGTTGTTGTTTGTAATTTTTTTTAAGAATCTATTAAAACAAAGTTCCTTTTACAATTATTCATTTTATCATTATTAAGCTTATTAAAACAAGTTCTTTTTACAATTATTTTATCATTATTAAGTTTATTAAAATTTAAATACGAATACGAAAATTAGAATCATTTTACCAATAACACTTTGAACTCTGTAAGTTTAATAAAACTAGTCCTCTTATATTTTATTTTTTTGTTACCACTGCTTGTTATATAAACAGACACTTTAGATGACTTTTTATATGGCTATTGAAGTTTGATTGCGATATATACGTACGACCTGTCTAGATACTAAATTACGGAATTTGTAATATATTGCTCTGAACTGGTCCTGATAATCAATTATTTCGTAAAAAAGAATGAAAACGGATCAGAAATCAGAATAGATAGTTATATTGAACACAGCCTAATCTCCAGTCCAGCATTAGAACAGTTGGAAATTTTTTTGATTAGACCAAAGTTTTGTCTTTAGAGGTCTGTGTTGGGGCAGGGTGTCTCCAAATTTAGACATTTTGCATAACAAATTACGAATCTCCCGAGTCATATATATATATGGACTCACATTAACAGGTTTCAGCTTTGAAAATTAGTATACAAAAATCCTTTGACCCGTTGTCCGAACCAAAGGACAGAGACAAAATAATTCGATTACTTTAATAGATTTTGCAAAATTGTTGTCTTACTTTTGAAAAAAAAAAAAGTGTTGATTCCTAAAAAAATTATATTTGTCTCTATTTCATAAAGTTATTATAAACAATAAGAACGATTATATGCATTAACTATACATTGTTAGCTGGAAATTCATACCATCCTGTATATCTTAGCATATCTTTATTATCTTAATGGTTTGACTTACAAACTAAATTGTAAAATTATGAGTAAACAAATATCTGACTTGGGGAAAATAAAGAAGAAACACGTATACAAGTTACAAGTTAGTGCACCAGCACTGTTTAATGAAATCACTACAAATACTTTCTCGTTTCAACTCCTCTCCTCATTCTGATATCTCTTCTACCTATCTTCAAGAAAAGGTCATCGTCGGGTTCGTACAAAAAGACGAAAATGACCCTCTTCAAAAGGCCATGTCTTTACTCAAAGATGAACAAGGAGGACCCCGAAGAGGTGTTTCACCGACGAGCCAAGTTCTTGATTTACAAAACGCTTCAAGAAGCCGACTTGGTTTCTCGGCGTTCTTCTCCTCCGTCGTCATTTCTACGGATGAAGCTTTTAAGGTTGAAGGCCAAGATCGGAAAGAGTTTTACTAAGCTACGTCGGGGGGTAGTGTTCGCCGTTAGGTTTGGTGGGATTCGAAAGCATTCTCAAAACGGCGTGAGAGCCTTGGAGAAGCTGTTCCACGGTGGTGCAACAACCGGACTACCTAGGCCTATTTTCACTCTCGAAGTTTGATTCCTATTTATTTTATTGTTTTGTGATTTCTTTCTTTCTTGAATTTCTGTTGATCTCTGTTACAAAAGTTTATCAAGGATGTAATATGTAGAGATCATGAGTTTTGTTTTTTTGCGTCAAAAGGGAAAATCTTGAAATTGTAATAACCATATATTTGTTCAGAAAAACATAAAAAGAACCATTTATTTATATGATTTTTTTTTGGAACTAGATTTTCTTATTTATATGATTTCATTTATGCAAAGTTATAAGATACGGTTAATGCTCTTTTGGGCTATATAATTTTTAAGCGACTCATTCTTATACAAAAACGAAAGCATTTCAGTGAAAAAGACACGGATCACTCTGAGATGTAATTATGTAAATAGTTATGTTTGTATAATTTTCATATGCAAACTCATTATTCGAACTGATCAAGACATATCTCATGATAGTTTATACTAATATTGTCATTGTGTCACCACAAAATTCAATGACAAAGCTACAAAAAAAAAAATGTTTAAATGTTTCAAAAAAAAAAAGTATCGAATCCGATCCCACTCAATTGAACCATGTTACAACGATTTCGTGCGATTTCGTGCGAATTTTCCCTAGATTCTAACACCATCGACAAAATTGAACTTTGAATCTTCGGTGGCGTCATCAAAAATATCTTCGGGTTATAAAATTAATTTGAAGGAATTAATAAGGATCTAAGTGCAAATAAAATTTAGTTTCTGTATCTTTCCACTACCTCTTTTTTCATTTTTTTTTTCTCCAGACCTTTTTCATCCTTTTCTCATCGTCTTCCTTCACGTTGTCCTCGTCCGAAGTCATCGGAGGTCTTGGATCACGTTTTCGGAGTTTCGATCGTCTTCGGGTCACTCTTCATCCCTTGTTCTTTTCTATCTTGGTTTGATTTCTACTCGACGGGTAAGCATTTCATAATGCGTATCGTACGTATCTAAGATCCCTTGTTAAATTTTTTTTAATCCTTATAGTATCAGCGATCTTATGAGTATTTAAGTGCTGCAATTTCCGCATTCATGTGAAGTTGATGATAGTTTTTCATCTTGTTTGTATAAAATCACTTGAATGCTTGCGTCTTTTCTCAGATTGTTCCGAGGACCTGCGAAATGATTTTTTTTTTCTTCTTACTTCCTATGGATGACTATTGCACACTGATCCAATTTATTTACAATGAATAGATTATCCTAGTGTTCGAGATTGCTGGATTTGAATGTAGTTTTGGTTACTTATATGCAGAAAGGAGGAGTTTGATTTGAACAGGAAGCTGATGGAGTAGAGATTTTGTTTTTGTGCCTGAGAATTGAAATATATCTTTAGCGTTATACGGAATTTTTTTTGAGGCTTGTTGAAAATGAGTGTGGTGGGATTCGATGTTGGGAACGAGAACTGTGTTATTGCGGTCGCAAAGCAACGCGGGATCGATGTTTTGCTGAACGATGAATCGAACCGAGAAAATCCTGCGATGGTTTCATTTGGTGAGAAGCAGAGATTCATGGGCGCTGCTGCTGCTGCATCTGCTACTATGCATCCCAAATCAACCATTTCGCAGCTGAAGAGACTGATCGGCAGGAGATTTAGGGAGCCTGATGTTCAGAAGGATCTGAGGTTGTTCCCTTTTGAAACATGCGAAGACTCTGATGGTGGGATTCTAATTCGGCTTCGGTACATGGGTGAGATGCAGAGCTTTAGTCCGGTACAGTTACTAGGCATGTTGCTTTCACATTTGAAGCAGATAGCAGAGAAGAGTCTCAAAGCGCCTGTTTCAGACTGCGTCATTGGGATTCCTTCCTACTTTACAAACTCACAAAGACTTGCGTATTTGGATGCTGCAGCCATTGCTGGCCTGAGGCCATTGAGATTGATGCATGATTCTACTGCCACTGCTCTTGGATATGGTATATACAAGACAGACTTGGCGGCTAACTCGAGCCCTACTTGCATTGTATTCATCGACATTGGCCACTGCGATACGCAAGTCTGTGTGGCATCGTTCGAGTCTGGAAGCATGAGAGTCCTTTCTCATTCTTTTGATAGAAACTTGGGTGGGAGAGATTTTGACGAGGTTCTCTTCAACTACTTTGCAGTTGAATTCAAGGAGAAATACAGCATAGATGTATATACGAATACCAAGGCGTGTGTTAGGTTAAGGGCATCGTGTGAGAAAGTGAAGAAGGTCTTGAGTGCAAATGCTGAGGCGCCGCTGAATATAGAATGTCTAATGGAGGAGAAGGATGTAAAGAGCTTTATCAAGAGAGAAGAGTTTGAGCAGTTGTCATCAAGCTTGTTGGAGAGATTAATTGTTCCGTGTCAGAAGGCTTTGGCTGACTCTGGTCTAAGTTTGGATCAAATCCATTCTGTGGAGCTAGTTGGTTCAGGGTCCAGAATTCCAGCTATATCTAAGATGCTAAGCTCGCTGTTTAAGAGGGAGCTAGGCAGGACCGTGAATGCAAGTGAGTGCGTGGCTCGAGGTTGTGCGCTTCAATGTGCAATGCTCAGTCCAGTTTTCCGAGTGAGAGATTATGAGGTACGCTCTTCTCTATATGTGAGAATACTCTTTCTTGGTTATTGTTTAATGTTTGAAAAAAGTATCTAGCAGAAGAATAGATTATTACAATGGTTACAGATTTGGTGTGTGTATGAAAAGCATGATGGTGTGTATAACTCTACGGATTTGTTTACTATGAATGGCTGATGTTTCTTTTGTTTATGCTTCCCCTATTTTCAGGTTCAAGATTGCTTCCCTTTCTCAATTGGCTTCTCATCTGATAAAGGTTCCATAAACACACCATCGAATGAAATGCTCTTTCCAAAAGGCCAAGTCTTTCCAAGTGTTAAGGTTCTTACTCTACGTAGAGAAAACACTTTCCATTTGGAAGCCTTTTATGCAAACCATAACGAAATAGCTCCTGATTCACCAAGTCAGATAGGCAGTTTTACGGTATGCAATCTTTCAGGCTTCCTCCTTTTTACTCAGGCTTTAGTGCGCTGAGTATGCGTTGGATGGTTAGACCACTATTTGATGGAATTCTTAGTCTATTGTGGAATGTTATGTAGATTGGTCCTTTTCAAATTTCCCATGGAGAAGCAGCACGTGTCAAAGTAAGAGTTCAACTAAATCTCCACGGGATTGTCACCATCGACTCAGCTTCTGTGAGTACAATCTGATATCAATCCGTTCCAGATAGCATAGCCTTTATATTTCTACGTAGCTTGAGTCTAAAATTCATGTTTCTGAACAAAAGCTAATTGAAGATCATAAAGAGAATATAACTTCTGAGGAGACAATATCGGAAAACAACCATCAATCTTCTGCTACAAAGGATGGCACTTCAGACACTTCGTCAGGTTCTACTGTAAGTATGATTTATCACCTTCTAAAGAAATACTGTTGCATTGTAAAAAAGCTTAAAGCCCGATATATTAAAAGCTAATCTTGAAGTGGCATCTCCATCCGTTTCTGAAACAATTGTAGATGGTTTGATCTGAAAGCATGCGAATCTGCACAAATCCTGAGACTAGTTTCTCTTGTGTAGGGTTATGATCCTAAGGCTATCAAAAGAATGGAAATTCCAGTTGTTGAGAACGTCTCTGGGGCATTGACAAAGAATGAGTTGTTGGAGGCCAAACAGAGAGAGAACTCTTTAGTGGAGCAAGATTTGAAAATGGAATCGACTAAGGATAAGAAAAATGCTCTTGAATCCTTTGTTTATGAGATGCGTGATAAGGTACTAGTCTGGTTTTAAAAGAACCATATCTTCCACCTTTAAATTTTGGTAAAATATGTCGTTTCCGCTCTTCAAGATTATATGACTTTATACTATTGTGTGTGCTGGCAGATGTTAAATACATATCGAAACACTGCAACCGAGTCAGAACGGGAATGCATCGCCAGAAATCTTCAGGAAACAGAGGATTGGCTATACGAAGACGGTGATGATGAATCTGAAAATGCTTATATCGAGAAGTTAAATGATATTAAAAAGGTATCTCCCTCAAAGTTTAGTACAGAAAGGTTAGTAGTGTCTGCGCGTGGCTTTCATGTCTTAATTCGTGATGACTTTTAACTCTGAGCAGCTCATCGATCCCATTGAAAATCGGTTTAAAGATGGAGAAGAGCGAGTACAAGCATCAAAAGACCTTCTGACAACTATTGCAGATAATCGAACAGCTGCAGAGTCTCTTCCTCCTCCGAGAAAGAGCGCGGTTTGGTTCTAAACCTGTAACATAATTCTCACTACATTAGCAATAGTATGGTTTTAATTACATCACCGTGATGTTTTTTTCTTTCTGGTTTTCAGGTTCTCGATGAATGTAATAAAGCCGAGAGGTGGCTCCAGGAGAGAACCGCGGAGCAAGAATCGTTACCGAAAGACGCTAATCCAGAGCTGCAATCTGGTGAAATCAAGAGAAAAGCCGACGCTCTTAACGCGTAATTCTAATCCTTCCTTCTCTTATTAATAATACACTTCAAGCTTTGGTCATTAAGTGATGGAACCGAGTTGGGTTGTAACGGGTCGGGTCAAGATCATGGTTTCTTACTGATGAAGGATCTTGGGTGTGTTTGTAGGACGTGCAAGTACATTGGGAAATCAAACTCTCCTCCTACCAAATCGGAACATAATGGATCACACGGAAGTAGAAAATCAGATGATATGGAGCTTGATTGATTTTTTTTTTTTTTGCTCTTCTTCTTTTTTATTGCTTCAATCTGAATTTGGGAACTTTATTCTATATGAGAAAGGAAAAAAAAAATAACGAAACAGTCTCACTGTATTTCTCATTTTTGGATGATTTTAAAGGATTGATTTTATTTCTTCTCGAGATTGATTTTATTTTTCAGAATTTTCCTTTTTTTAATGGTGGCTCTTCTTTCGCTAATTAAAACATTTATAAAATATTAGTTTATTTTGTATGTGATTAATGTGGAGGTTTTCTTGTCTTTTTTTGTCCTTTGATTGAGGCCGGAAATGTATAAACCATTTTCTGACTCCTGTGGCAGGGGAAGAACGGTTCCCCCGTAGGCAAGCGAGATTGGAACTTCTTCTGCTTCTTCGCCTTTGGATTCTGCTTGAACTTGAAGTTCTGTTCTGATTGTTCGACTTTGGAATTCGATGGAAGGGAATCCATTTGAACAAAGTTTCTTGGGAAGAAACAGAAAGAGAGAAATACAGTACAAAGAAAAGAGTTGGAGGAAATTCTATGGTGATTTCTGTTTATGAGACCCAACAAGAAACAATGTTAATTCGGATAGTGTTTTGTTTGCTTCAATTTTGTACGATTTTGCTTTGGTAATTTTAAGTTTGATTTTTAAGATTTTATAATTTCTGATAATTAAATCTAAAAAATAACCATGATCACTGCTTTAAAAATTCGACATATAGATCCAAAATCAAAATTGAACTTTCAAATTCCAAAAAACCACTGATTTTTGGCTACGTTATCTCACATTTGAACCTGAGGTACATATATAATATCCATATTTATTATACTAATATTTTCAAAATAATTTTTTTTTATGGAAAACTCTACTTATTTATTGGAAGCTATCTACAAAGTATGTAGTGATAGGTGTTCATCTTTTTGTTAGGGATGTTTAGAAGTATGCGCATAGTAAACAGACAACCAAAGTTGAAAACATCAAATTTTTTAGTGTCGACTTTCCTACTTATTTTTAACTTGCTCTACTACTCGCCAGTTCCTTTTAGTGGTCCACGCCCACCATGGTGTGCTTTGTATAATATTGCAATATATACTTTGTGTTTTGATCTGCTATCTCCATGATATTTATCTCATTCACAAACTCATGAGATTCAGATTGACTACTACTAACAAACTTAAAACACATTGGACGTGTTTAGAAGAGGCCCTAAACTGCAACTTCAACTTAATGAGTTATATTAATGAGTTATAGATCGTTGATTTATTAGTATTTGTATGTAATGAATTGTATTGTAATAAACTAAATTAGTTAGTTATTAGATTTTGCACAAACTTTGACCTCGTAATTGCAATTTCTTTTGAACTCAGAATTTTTGATATTCATTAAAGTTTCACATTCATGGATCACAAAATAAGAACGGATCACTATATAATTTCTTAGATTACACAAAAATAATGATTAGTTACACTGATATTCAAAGTAATTGTTTACATATATACCATTCGAAATTTGTTACCAGTTTAGAATTCATGTTATCGATTCCAATAGTTTAATATTTAACCTAATAAATATCGATTCCCCATATGTTATCGTTTCAGAACATAGGCAAAAGTAAACAATTTGTGATAAAAGAAAATCCTGGTATGGTGGCAATGACATGATAGTATCGGCTTTGTAAACATTCCGCTTGGGGTAAAGCTCATAAAGTAAGGATGAGTTTTAGGCGCTAAAATATATAAATAATTTGGAGGTATCATGATTAGTTAATTTTTTTGGTATAATGATTTAAGTTGTTATGATGCTTTTTATAGATAGTAGTTTTGGTTTTAGGGACATTATTTTTTGAATGAGCTTTAAGCGTCATATAACAACAACAAAAAAACCATTTAAATTTAAAATTGTTGTACAAGTTGGAATCTTTTATACTTTTTTCGGCAAGGTACGTCTCGATAAAATTAGCCGGTTTAGTAGAAGATAGACTCAACATATAGTAATACTACTGACTCATGTCATGTAGGAAACAAAATTAAACTTTATAGTATATAATAACGAGCTGCCATATAATTGGTCTTTAAATCTATTAGAGTCTATATAAATATGCATGGCATGTGGATCGACAACTTGTATCTTTCTCTTCGTTTGTTTTCTTGGTTTGGGGTTGTCTGTTAAAAAAAAGGGTTTTGACGAAAATTATAACGAGAAATGGATAAGAGATGTGTCAATTACCAATCATATCGTCATATTTGAAACAACAACAAAGATTTATGTCAGGAGGAGGGACTGAAAATGAGTCTTCACAACATTGAGGAATGAGGAAAACAAGCGGAGGAAGCTCAAAACTCAAAAGCTATTTACATCACTACCGCAATCGCTATATACATCACTACCGCAATCGCTATATATGTACGTCTTGATTTTTCTTTTGTTTTTTAAATGTTGTGTTTATTATTTTCAACTAGAACACAATATTTTAGTAAGTTGTTTGCAAAACATGAACCCAAATTTAGTCAACGGAAAATTAAATATTGGAAACTCTTAGTATGAATGCATGAGTGTTAGTCTCCCACTTTAAATATACATAAAAAAAAAAAAAACCAAATCAAATCAAATCCGAATACTTGAAAGTAAACTTTATTTGACTAAAAAGAATATAAAATTTATATACTAAATTTATTCATTCGTAAGCCATGCCTTTTCAGTAGCTATCAAAACCTCGACATTGTCTATGACGTTCGCATTTGAACATTCATTTTCATTAGTCTTATGAAAGTTTTTATTTCTTATGTTAGTTGTCTCATGAGCCGATGAGCGCATATATATGTCAAGTAAAATGCTATTAGAAAAGCAAATTAAGGATAGTGACTATATTTTTATCAACTATTACATCACTAAGTTCCAAAAAAAAAAAAAAAAAAAAATTACATCACTGGATAAAAGTTGAATATTACATCATTTATTAAACTTTAAATCTAGATGCATAACCGCATGACACGACGAAGACCTTTTTGTAGGTTATTAAATTGGCAGATAACTGAATAAACTGTGAAACCATAAATTCCTAAATTTCGCAGTATTGCCAAGTAAAATGTTGCATGTGTACCATAAAACCAAAGTTTCATTAATTGATTTCTTTCATACAAGAAACGGTTTACAACAAACTCAATCTTCCACACATTACACAATACAGCAAATATTTTTCAACATTTCATTCTCATTTTTCAATATTAATTTCCGCTTACAAAAATGTACACTGACTTTCTTCTCTTCACTCAAACCCCCTCAGAAAACTATCGATTTTCCAATTCATTAATCAATAGAGTGGCTGATCTCCTGATTAACTAATGAGGGTTTTATCCATTTTCAATCAATTTTGGGAAAACCTAACAAATATATATATATATATATATATATTTACCTCCAAATCTCCCCAAGATTAAATTTGGTTTTTTTTTTAAATCACTTCTCTTCTTGTTTACTGCTTAAGAAGCGGTGCTTGTGTGTCTTCCCACTGGTCCAATCGTCTCGAAGCCTTCTCCACCTGAATTTTAAATTCAAAACATAAATATTATTACCAGTAAGAAACATATATACTAACCCCAAAATTGAACATATAGCTGTCGTATTTACGTAAATTTATATGATAAAGTTAGTAATTTACCTCTTTATCCCAATCAGTTCGAAAAGTGACAATGAGTAAGATAATAGTTTGCATGAGTGTGCCCCCAATCATTCCTGTCCATATTCCCTACAACAAATCATTAACCATTTAATCATAATGTTCACTTTGCACACCAATCAATCACAAATCATTGATTAGAATATGAATTACGTCGGATTAATGTACTTTACCTTAGCTCCCATATCATAGGTGAAACCAAGAACGTAACCAATTGGAATCCCCACAATGTAATAACACCCAATGTTAACGTACGCCACAAATGCTTGCCATCCACATCCAACGGCCACACCTGTTTTAATCAACATTGTTAATAAATCATCTATCAACTAATTAATTAATAATTTTTTGAAGAGTTTTTTTTTTCTTATTTTGTAATTTACCAGATAAAACAGGTTGAACTCCGTTGAGAACTATGGTAATAGCCAAAAAAGGAGCGAGTTCGGCTACAGCTTCGGCAACTGCTGGACTATCAGTAAAAATGTAGCTGATGACATTGCGCCAAGAAAGGATCACCACGGCTTCAAACAACGACAGTAAAAACGATACTCCTGTAGTTACTGCGGTTGAAAATGCAGCTGATCTTGCGTTTCCAGCACCCAATTCGTTACTAACCCTCACACTGTAAATTTTAAAAACAAATAGAATTCAAAAAATTGTTGACTTTTTTTCTTTTAACTCGTAATTATTTGTTACCACTTCACTTGTATAGAAAAATTGCGTCAATAATTGAGAATGTCGAGAAACAATTTTTTTACCTTGCAGCTGCGTTGAATCCAACGGATACCATGAACGAGATTGCAGAAATTGCCATGCTGCAAATAAAAACCAATAAAATTAAGTTAGATTAATGTACGAAACTATATAGTGGAGTTATTTAAAAAAAGTATTCACTAAAAGAGCCATTAAATTCCTTTTTTGTGGTCAAATAGTCGTGTTTGTAAAACAGTCTCAAAGGCCAAAAATATAAGGAAATTAGTTAACAACTTGCGTCTTGACACTTGAGTCTAGTAACTAGTAAGTAGTAATCAACACTTTTTTGAGTTTTCCCGCGCACAGAAGTGCGTGCCGTTTGTTTACCCAGGGAAGACGACACGCAGTTTATGCTCACAAGAAACGTCAAAAAAACACTGACTTTTGGCTTTAACGGAAAGGTAAAAAAACACGTGGTGAACTCTCTAATTGATCCCCTACTAGTCCAGAGTACAGCAACAATCATCACAGTGAGGAAATCATCGGAACGTGACTTTCGTTACTCAAAAAAGGAGATTCCGGAAAAGAAGCCAAGAACCTAAAAGTATTTTAATCAATTTTATTTTCACAGAAACTACAAAAAGTTATCGTAGGAAAGGCCAATGATAAACAGTATAGTAAGTACCAATTATTTAATGATCCTATGTGTCAGATTCATTGTTCTTAATTCTTTATAACTAATAAATAAACCATCCACTTTTTGTTTTTAATTTTACAATCAAAGCTACCTAGCCTACCTTTCATGAATCATGTGGATCATGGATGGATTCAAAGTTTTGGATAGGAAATACTTACAAATTTTAATATTACGAGCTTACTACAAAAAAAAAAGATATATTTTTAAATTTTTTGCTTGTTAGTACACATATGAGGTGTTCGTATTTTATAAGGTAAGAAATTAAAGTTTTGAAAGGAAAATAAAATTTAAAACTTATAGCTCAGATTTCATTGTTCTCCAATCTTTATCAATAATAAATAAATGATTCATTTTTTATTTTTTAATATCAAAATCCAAGCTAAATTTATTAAGATCAACGCTTTAAACTTGATTACCACCAATTTTTTTTGGGGGGAGCTCTATTAATGTTATGTGTTAGCATTTCATAAGGCAAGAAGAAACTAAAGTTATGAAAAGAAGATTAAAAATTTACCAGATTGCTAGAGAGTCCAAGGCGAGTTCAGGGTTTTTGAGAAGTCCGGCGAGGAGAACCAGAATCTGAGAGTACCAAGATTCAAGGCATAGCATGACGGCGGAAGCCGCCGATAACCGGAAAAAGTCCCAGAGACCATCAAAAGCTTTCCAGCTAAAGCCAGTCCAAGTCCGGCGACATCTTGGACTCATCTTTATATACAGCATCTGAGCAATAACGATGATCCACCACGAGAGACTGTGAACTAGAGCGAGACCAAGTAAGCCCCACCCGAGCTTGTAGACGGCGAGCCAAGAGAGGATTAAGTGGAGGACGAGCGTTGCGGCTGAGATATAAGCGCTCGGCGTGACGATGCTCTGTGACTGGAGGAATTTTTGGATCGGGAAGTTGACGGCGTAAGCGAAGATCATTGGGATCATCCCGTAGACGAAGACGGAAGCCATTGATGCCACTTCAGCTGGCTCTCCGAGAGAAGTGAGGAGAGGTTTGGAGAAGATGAAGAGCAGTGTCATGGGAAGTCCGGTGAGGAACAGAACCACGGTGGATCTTTGTAAGTAGACTCCGAGCATCTCGTATCTGTGAGCTCCGTGCGCTTGCCCACATAATGTCTCTACTGCACTTCCCATTCCAAGCTGTCTCACCGGAAAAAAAAAAATGAAAGTTAAATTCTGAAGAACCAAGAAGAAGATTTTATTATAATAAAATGAAAAAAAAAAAATATAGAGAGAAAACTGTATATCCATTTCTTTTTCTGGTTAAAGAAAAATTGTATCCATAATCCATCTTTCATTTTGTTTTTTTCCGCCAAAACTCATACGCCTACATTTTCGAATTTGAATACGGTCATGAGACCGTAATATTTCACAAGAATGAGTGTACATTTTTACCAGATTTCGAATATGATCTAAACCGGAAATGGTTTAATGCGAAAAAAAAAATTATATAATTATTTGAGATTTTCCTTCATCAGATCCGTTAGTTTTCCATCTGGTTTTAGAAAAAAAATGTTTTTAAGAAAGTGAGAAAATATTGTACCATGAGACCAAAGGTGAACAAATTGAAACCGCTGTTTCCGAGAGAGGCGGCGGCGAGTTGCATACTTCCGATTCGACCGGCGAAGATACGAGTGAGCATCGACATGCCATTGTTGATGACGTAGACAAAGATCGCCGGACCGGCCAGGTGTAAGAGGTATTTCAACTCGATCAACGCCGCGAAGTAAATCCGCCGGAAATAAGGCAAATGAGTGTCCGTTAACACAGTCTCCATCCTGAAATCGGCTTCCGATTTCGCTGGCTCAAGTAACGGTTGCTGCAGGTTTTCCACGGCGGCGGTTGCTTCCGAGCCCATTTTTACAATATTTATGAGAAAAAAAAAAACAAGAAAGAAGACAATATAAGGAGTAATAAAATGGATCAGAGGAAGAAGAGAAGATGTTTATTTCTCTACGACTCTTCACTTTCTTTCTCTGATTCTCACTCTTTTGTCGAGTTTGTGTGTCTTTCTGCGATTTGCCTGATAGGAGCTGTTTATATAAAGGCGATTTTGCCGTGTTTACTGACCGAAATAATTTTATTTTATTTACAGAAGAAAAAACAGAAAGTTGAAAAAGAAGAAACGAAGAAAGGCGGTTTACCTTTTTTGCGCTCTCTTTTTTTCTTTAATAAACAAATCTATTTTTTTAGTTACAACCAAATTAGATGTTTATACTAGAAAATAGGCATATGCATTTCTTTTCTTTTTATTTAAGTTTTTTTTTAGTTTTTAAATACTACAGTACATACTTAACTTTGTCATAGTGTCCGCAAAAGAAAACTGGATTCGTCGTTTTTGAAATAAATGATGGAAAAACTTATTACAGCTGCATATGCATTTACCCTAGCTAGTAGCTAAATTTGTCAGAGACCCCATCGGCTCAATCCACCAAGGAAAACAATTTTTTTATATCATGCAGAAACAATACTCCCGCTTTTCATATGTTTTGAGTTTTTTTTTTGTTTTATAAAATTTGATGTTTTAAGATATTAAATACAATTTTTGTAGATTTTTTAAAAAGTAACTAAAATTATTTAAATTCTTAAACTGTTATTGGTTAATATTTATTAAAAAGCAATGATTACAAAAAAATAATATATTTATAATCAAAAAATAACTGTTTCTTAATATATGTAACTAGTCTAAAAACATCATTCTTTTTGGAACGAAGGAGTATGAACTAAGATTTACTTTTAAATCAAAATACACAGCATTATAAGCATCATAAAGATACATCTCCTAAAATGAATCATAATCTTAAGAACAACTGCAAATTTGAATTAGGTATGCATAGTATTAAATAAACTATTTTCGTATAAGGCTAAAAGAAAGATTCAAATTGTCGGAATGCTACCGAAGGTTGGTTGCTAACCATTCTGCAATTTGTATCCCCTTACAGATTTTCATTTTCTACAATTTGTCAGTGTTACTAATAATGAAGAGCCTAATTAACTGATATATATTGGACAACAAGAATCAAGAAGAAACATTAGCTGTATCGTAGCATTTTATTAGTATCGGGGTATGTAAATGGTTCTTGGGAAACCAACACCCAAGTTAATTACTTATGGTATTTTTCCAGTAAATTTTCTTGGGGTTAAAACGCAGAAAACAAAGCACAACACGTGATTTTGATGTCCCTCCCGGGGAAAAAGTCCACACGAGTACGCGACAGTCAAGTGAGCAATTATGTAAATTTTGACCCTCCTTTACGTATCTTTTGGAACTGTACTGTAGTAAGGCTTTTCTGTATTCTTGAAGCAAGCCCCATTATTTACTTAGATTTATATACCATATTGGTTCGTCTGAGCCCACTGATTCTGAGAGTGCGCATGTCTCTCGGTAAATAGTTTTCCGCAAATATATTACAAATAAAATATTTTGAGAGGAAGAAGACCCAACTGGTCACGAATCTAATGTGAATGCAATATGCCAATTAGGATATTCAATCTTAGGCCTTAAATTTTCTTATTTACATGGAAAAAGTATGTGTTTTGAGTTTGCTGATGTTGGTAATGATCGTCGTCTCGCAAATTTTGTTTGTAATCTTACCGGATTTGTCTGAATTAATGGTCACATAACCACAGCGCTTTTTCGACGATTCAATTACAAAACCCGGCCATTTATCAACAGATTTGTCAAGATATAACATCACTCTTTTTTTTTTTTGCATTGATTAAAGTCATGCAAATGCTTACAGTTAATGTACGTTGGAAAATACGGCAGTTGCGTCGTGGCAAATGTCAATAATGAAAAACTATGAGTCAGTGGACAGAAGATTTTCTACGATGACCACATGCATGGCTACATTTAATAGTAATATTTTGTGGAAAATTTACGTCTTCAATTTATTTTTGTATGGATTAGCCGATTATTAGGTACATAATACTTACTTAATTATGTACGCCAAAATATTAAGCCATTTTACTCATTAAATAATAATTAGAATAATAATTTTATGTCTGACCAAAAAAGAAGAAAATAATTTCTGCGAAATTATTATTTTGAAACCGGGGAATAGTTTGTTGGGTTGTCGTTTCCGAATAATAATTTTCCTTATGGGGACACCGGACACACAAAAAAAAAGGAAGTGAAGATATGGAATATGGACGAGATCGAGAAGAAAAAAAATAGACTGACTTTACAAAGATTACTATGGATATGATCTCAACAACACGTAACTTGCAGATTAATAATTATATCCCATAGTTTATCCAATATATATCTAAAGAAAAACAACTCCAACTACAAGATCGAAATTGAAGCATATCAAAAGAGGAAATCGACAATTCTTTCGTATACTGGATTTTACAAACGAATCAATATGATTTAATAGATTTCAAACCCGTCAATATCAATTAAAGTTGTAAAGCAAAATAATGCTAAGAGGCAAAAGATGCTTTTACTTTTTAGCACGAAAGAAAGTAATGAATTTAAATCAGTTAGCAAATTAGTGTTTCAAAAACTTTCATACACGTAGTACGTACTTACTTCATCGTAAAGTGTAATTGTGTAAACACACTTAAATTAACCTTATCTTTCTGTATTTAGAGAATTCTCGATGACTCGTCACTCGTCTATGAATTCTCTCTGTTTCTGTCAGATTCTAATGTGCATCTAAGTTTCATCTTCTTCTAAGTTCTGACCATGACTCCATGAGTCAGTTACTTTCAAACCACTTGTGTTCCTACATGTTCTATACGTATTTTTCTAATAAGTTTGATCTATCTTCTTTTGAGATTTTTGTTTTCGTATGATTCATCTTAGAGTTTCTCTCACTATCACTATCAGGATATACAGTATATAGTTTTCTGAAATCCAGGTGTTATATATATACATGTCAATACTCTTTTTTTTAAAACTAAGTTTGAACGAGATCTACAATATACCACCAATCTGATATGCAAGAGCACAGCGTGGGCAAGATTTATTGGTTGCCGACAAAGAAAGTATTAGCTGCAACCCATCTGCGATCGAACTTCCAACAGATACATTTAATTTACTTCAGATTTCCAGCCCTTTTTACCATACTACACATGTGAAAAGTATATATTTGCCTGTGTGTAATTCTATCACGAATAATCCTAACTCCAAATCAACATATCTAATTTATATCATACCTTTAAGCATATTCAGATACTAAATCAATATAGACAACTTACAATAACTTTTTTTTTTACATTTAATATTTTGATACTCGATCTAAAAACAAGTTCCACTGAATCAACCACATTATATAAGACCAACTCAATATAATCAACGAGAGAAAAAGAATTTTGTGTTTGGTTAAAAAAAAAAGAATTTTGTCAAAACAAATATTAAATGTATAGAGAGAAGAAAAGGGCAAAACATGTAAAAACCACAGAAACATGCAAAGAGGCTGTGACGTAAACGTAAAAAAAGAAGAAGAAGAAGAAGAAAGATATGACGTGTAGAAGGTGCCACGATGGGCATGCCAAACTCGTGCTTTTAAAATTCACAAGGACAATTTTGATTGGAAGGTCATATTGCGTTGACCATCGAGTCGCAAACGCGGCGAGATTACCAAACGCCCAAATAAATGATAAGAAAAGTGACTCTTTAGCAGCTTCCACAGCTAAGCACACGGACAGTTTACTTTACACGAAGCTCCTACTCGTACCGTGGCGTAGGTGTGAAGATGTTTTTTTTTCTAATCTTGTTTATTGATGATATTTAATGTCATGCATAATGCCGATGATTTGACAAATCACTTTCAGACAAGATATTGTCAAGATATTTTCAATAAGTAATAATTGTGGTATTAGTCGACCAACGTACACGTATAAACTGTAAATTATGTGTAAGTGTACTTGTTGTTTATAGTTTTAAGTTTAAATAAGATTACGTCAAATATTATTCATGTATTTAACTTCAAATTTTACATAATTAAATATAAATTGAGACGACGACTAGGGCTCTTTAATATGAACACAAATTCCCTTGGTTGTTGGCAGGAGATTAAAATGAAGCGACATTGATATATACGTGTTTACACCCATATTTAGATTAATAGTTTACATGTAAGAGAGAGATAGAGCTAGAGTAAGCTATGTATAAGTGTATAGTAAGGAAAATTCATTTATATATTTGTTTAGTTGTTTTATAGAGAAAATGCTTTAAAATGATCTAAAATGAAAAAAAAAAGTGAAATGTGTAATTCAGTGAAAAAAATGTGAAAATGATCATATTTTATGATTTTTATAAATATCAGTGTTATTTTTCTAACTATTTTATTTGTACACTATAGCAGATTAAATACATAATACTAATAAATTGATTAGTTATACAATTGTATAGATTAATGATAGGCTAAATATAAATTATTGATAGACTAATGGCAGATTGAAAGTAGACTAGTGAATTCTTATTAAGTAGATTATTTCAAAAATTATTCATATTTTCTATACTTTATAATATCAAATAGTGATGACCACATAATGGTTAGGCGTTGTTAAACGGGAATAATTATCATATGACGTACGCTGAACAGAATGTGAATACTTTTTTCTTGTTATCAAATGTGAAATCGCACTGAAATTGACTTCATCCGAGTTACAAATGTATTTCCTAACGAAAAATGAAGTTGTCAAAGTCAAAGGAGCCGCAATTTAGCGTTAAACAGTTCACGAACGGCATGTAGTTAAGCTACTAAGCACGCAAACATGAAAGACTCCGACCAAACTTTTAGATTTGTATAGCAGTAAATAAAGCTACGCATGCTCACCTCTTTGTAAAAGAATTGTTTTGGCTATAATTTGATACGGCGGCGAGTTTATAAACCACAAAATCCCACGTCAAAAAATTAACAAAAAAGAAAAATATTGTTAAAATTTAAAAGGCATTAGTCGGATCACATTAGGGTGCCTAAAAATGGGCCACTCAAAGATTTCATTTCAATTATCTTGATAAAAAGATTTTTTGTTTCGCATTAAATAAATAGTACTGCAATAAGAAAAAATAAAAAGACAATGGTTCATAAGTTGTGAGAGCAAGAAGGATGCCTAAAATGAGACATCCAAACATTTTAGCTTCGAATACTTTATCCGAATCTTTAAAAATTGTTTTTATTTTTTTATTGCATATTAAATAAATAAATAAAAAATTGTCACAATTAATAAGGTGGATTACAATGAGCAGTATCTTACAATTTACATATTTATCGAAGGAAGATAACAAAAAAAAAAAATCCCACTAAGATATAAAAATATTATGTGATAATTTTATATTAATATTTCACCCGCCTCTTTAAAAAATATTTCTATCTACAACTTAACCAAGCATATTATGACTTTAAAATTTAGATAGTAATATGATAACAATACTAGTAAAAAACTAAAAACTAATAAACTACATGTTAATTATTTATACTAAAAAATACATATTAATTTTTTTCCCACCAAATTTTTGAATGAATTTCAAAAATATAATTTTTATAATATCATTTAACAAAATACTAATTTGTACTATATATATTTTCGAAGCAATAGTTTTATACATGTTTATAAAGACATTTATTACAATACAATGTGTCTCTACGTACGAAAACTATTTACCGAATGATGCCTATATTGGCCATTATAGGTTTGCCTCTCAGATTGAAACAACTATACACATATACTCTGAAAAAAATCGCATGATGGTATTTTGAACATATGGTAGTACTACTAATTAAGTACTTTTTGTTTTGTTCTTTGGGATCAATTGCAGACCATAATTTATGGTAGTAAATACTAATTAAGTAGGGACTCTAAAAAGAAAGAATCCTTTAAAAAAAAAAAAAAGAATCTTAAGTTGAGACCGTAAATCGCACGACGGCATGAGAAAATGACAAGAATTGTTGAAGATGTAGTTGATTGGCTACAATTAGTCAGGCGAACTATATAATCAAGAAGCTCATGATTCTATTCAGCTATAATGGATCCCGCTTGCAAAAGATTGGACCAGGAATAATATTGGTGCGTCGTATGATTACAGTGCGATGGTACTTTATAGTGTGGTTGGAGTTTGTCTTCGAATCTAGCGTAGGCCTTTTCCAATGATATGATCCCATCATGACAATTGAGATTTTTCTTAACTTGTGTTCTATGTATAAACTCTCAAAGATATTCAATATTGTTTTGATGAAAACTAATAATGTTGTTTTCTATAGCCTACAATCGTACATGATTATAGGCTTATAGGCATAAATCTAAGAGCTCTCCAACAACCGGTGGACTTTGAGCATGATATAATACAACTAAATGTATGGAGGTGCATATATGCTTTACTGTTATACGTGAAACATGTGTAATACATACAAGTCGAGATTCTTGCGGGATATTAGGGTAAATTAATTATACAAATCGAGAATCTCGAGATAAATAATTCAACAACTAATTTCGCGTGTGATGTATACAACTCGAGTCTCGAGGATCTCGTGGGGTCATATTGTAGTTCTATTATTATAAAGAATGTTGAGCTGGTAAAACGATCAACCTTTTTTCTTCTTATAAATTGAAGATAATAAAAGTTAAATGCTCTTAATCTTCAGGATAGGTACAAATATAATACACCTATAGATTAGTGAAACGATTCTTTACCTTCAAGTCATTATTTTCGAGGTTTAGTTAGTTTGTTAAGAACTATAAATCTAAAATGGAAAATCGATAAATATTAACATTTTATGATCTCAGCTAAATAATATTTCTTGGATCGCATGGAAAATATAAATTAATAACTATAGGCGCAATTGATGAGATTATGCAGTATGTGAATTGCGATTTAAAACAGAAAATAACTTGCAATTCTTCTTTTTTTTAATTACATACGCTACTCCACGGGGAAAAAGCTTACCACTACGGTTATTCAATCTACTCGCTAATTTTACTATTAGAGGTGTTATATAGTCTTTCTTGGAACTCGAGAAAAGCATATGAATAGCTTAATACTACTATACTAGTATTACTATACACTAAATAGAATAATTAACTACACCCTTAATTTTCAAACAGTCGAATCTTATCGAGGGTTAATTAGTAAGAGTGGCACAATGACAGCTAGTTATCGTCTAATTAATTTCAAGAACTTTTATTATTTCTCTGTATATATCCGATTGTTTGTTAGTTAGGATACATTCATCGTTATCCATGAATTAACCACTCACTGATATTTATTTAAGACAGACAGTCCATGTGATCCTCCTTATAGAATAAAATTAAGCTTTAATTACCATATCTTTTTGAGTTTTGACGTGTAAGATTTGTGATCCTAGATTTTTGTTTTTAGTGTACCAAAATATCTAGTAAATATATGCATGCATGAATAAAAATCTTATACTATCACGTATAGCGTATAGGTTACCAAAGTATTCAAAACTTATTGGACTGACTGAATATAAAATCGATTTTGATAAATAAATCGTGCATCCTTTATAATAAACTTCTATATGAACAATTTGTTACAAACTTACAGTCAAAGATTTTCAAGGATCGTGAATTAAGAAAACCTACTTGATCGTCATCTACTCTTAATCTTTTTTTACCAAAAGATAACCTACTTGATCGTCATGTACCACGATAAATAAAATCGAGCTGGGTTTCTATGTTATCACCGGCTCCAACTCCACGGGGTTAAGATCCCGAAATTTTTGGTAAGCAAAATAAAATAAAATTCAAAATGGACTTCGTAACTAGGCCCAATATTATGGGCCTTCAGATTAGATAAAAAAACCCAATATGAGAAAGTCAAAAACTATTGTACGTAAAAGGAGGGAGAATTGCAGAACAAAGCACAAATAGCTCTCACTTGTAAAGAGAAGGAAACAAAAAAAAAAATCTATAAAAATTCAATTACAGTAACTTCTAATAAATAGTTTATAGCAGGGAGAAAAAATAGTTGATAACTCAGCAAAGTTTTTTAGTTTTTTTTGGTCAAGTAATTCAGCAAAAATATATATAGTTTATATATTTGGATATGATAACGTTATACTGACCAATTTGCGTGTAGGATTAATACCAGTGTACGTAGGCAAGTGTCAAAATCTGAGTTGTGACTTGTGTGTGACACTAAAAGTTTTAATTACGTTAGAAAAATTTAAGTTGTTCACGAATTTGAATATTTTATATAGTTTTTTTTACCTTCACTTGATTAAATCTTGGTTGATCGTTATTTTTCTGTAACCTAAGAAAGGCGGAAAACCAAGCTAATCCAGAGTTGTTGTCACGGAACCAAGTTTTGTTAAATTTGTAACAATACTGTGTGCGTATTGTGTTATATTAAAAAAGATCACTATTGGGTTCTTCTTCGATATAAACAATTAATGTGTTCCTCTAAGATCAATCTCAGAATAGAATACTCCAAGTTTGGGCACTAAGAAGAAGGACAAAAACGATACCCCGTTTTAAAATATTCGCATGTGTTGTGGCCACTCACTACACAACTGTGTCACTTTTGTTTAAAATAATTGAGTTACTTTGCTTTCTCCGTCACTTGCAAGTTGCAACTGAACTGAAGTTGCCTTGTTAATTTGCATAATTATTACTACAAAAACACCCTAATCGAGTTTAAATTGGGTAAGAATATCATTGATTTTTCTGAACTATATCGATTCATATGACCAAAGTGATTTCTGTTGTTTTTTTTTTCTTCTTTTTACAGCAATGATTTGTGTTAGTATCCTCTAGTGATTTGTGGTCGTAATGTTATTAGAAAACTTCGCGACCTATTTATTTTTGTAATAAATCATTATCGCCGTAGGTTTTTATTTTGTTGAGAACTCGATATAATACCATCCATCCAAATCAGCAAAGAAAAACAATATGCCACATGTGTTTTACAGCTAAAATTCATTTTAGGGAAAAAATAATAAGAAATTGAAAAAAAAAAAAAGAGTGAATCTGGTGAGAGAAACCAGCTTCAACGTCGAAAGCGACGATTTCTCCATCGTGAGAGCAAATCTCCAGAGCCGTTTCTTCTTCTTCTTCTTCTTCCTCGCTCTTCGTCACGCGCCGTCTCTGAAACTCGTCTCATCGTTATCGATTGATTCCTTTTAAGTAAGCCTTGCCTCTATCCTCCTCTTATTCAAATGATATTGCTTTGCGCATTTCCCTCTTTGTTTCTAAGCTTTTGTGTGTCGATTTTTTCACTAGCTGTTCTCGTTCTCTTGTAGAATGTCTTAAACTAGATTAGATCATTCAGGAATCAATCTGATTCAATCGGGATCTGATGTAATTACGCATCGTATGATTCAAAATGGCAAAACTCTGTAGTGTGTGATTTTGACTTTTCGTTTGATTGATTTCACAGCTAAGAGCATACGCAAACATGGAATTGGATTCGGAGAACAAGTTGTTGAAGACGGGTTTGGGTATAGTGGCGACACTTGTTGTAGCCAAACTCATCTTCTCCTTCTTCACTTCTGGCTCCAAGAAGAAGCGTCTTCCTCCGACTCTTAAAGCTTGGCCTCCGTTGATCGGAAGCCTTCTCCGATTCCTGAAAGGCCCGATCATTATGCTCAGAGAGGAATACCCAAAGCTTGGAAGTGTTTTCACTGTGAATCTTCTCCACAAAAAGATCACTTTTCTCATTGGTCCTGAAGTCTCTGCACATTTTTTCAAAGCTCCTGAATCTGATCTCAGCCAGCAGGAAGTGTATCAATTCAATGTTCCTACTTTTGGCCCTGGAGTTGTCTTCGACGTCGACTATTCCGTTCGTCAAGAGCAGTTTAGGTTCTTCACTGAGGCACTCAGAGTCAACAAGTTGAAGGGTTATGTGGATATGATGGTTACTGAAGCTGAGGTAAAATCACAATTTGGCATCAAAATAGGATCTTTCTTGCTTGCTTTCACAACCGAGTTTAGGTTCAACAGGTGCTGTGTGCTTTTTCTGCATTTATAAACACTTGTCCTTGTTCTTGGCAGGATTACTTTTCGAAATGGGGAGAGAGTGGTGAAGTTGATCTAAAGGATGAGCTAGAGCGTCTCATCATCTTGACTGCAAGTAGATGTTTACTGGGTCGAGAAGTTCGAGACCAGCTTTTCGATGACGTCTCTGCTTTGTTCCATGACCTTGACAATGGAATGCTTCCCATCAGTGTTCTCTTCCCATACCTCCCACTCCCAGCTCACCGTCGCCGTGACCGTGCCCGTGAGAAGCTCGCTGAGATTTTCTCCAAAATCATAGGGTCGAGAAAACGGTCAGGAAAATCAGAGAACGACATGTTACAGTGTTTCATCGAATCGAAGTACAAGGACGGTAGACAGACGACCGAATCCGAAGTCACTGGCCTGCTCATCGCCGCTCTGTTTGCAGGACAACACACGAGCTCCATCACTTCCACGTGGACCGGTGCTTATCTGATGAAATACAAAGACTACTTCTCAGCTGCTTTGGATGAGCAGAAGAGGCTGATTGAGAAACACGGAGACAAGATCGATCACGATATCTTGTCAGAGATGGATGTTCTCTTCCGCTGCATCAAGGAAGCGTTGAGGCTTCACCCTCCATTGATCATGCTCATGAGAGCCTCTCACAGTGATTTCAACGTGACAGCCCGGGATGGGAAAACGTACGACATCCCAAAGGGTCACATCGTCGCGACCTCCCCTGCGTTTGCCAACCGCTTGCCGCATGTATTCAAAAACCCGGACACGTACGACCCTGATAGATTCTCGCCGGGGAGAGAAGAGGACAAAGCCGCAGGAGCGTTTTCGTACATTTCGTTCGGTGGAGGTAGGCACGGGTGTCTTGGGGAGCCGTTCGCTTACCTGCAGATCAAAGCCATATGGAGTCATTTGTTGAGGAACTTTGAGTTTGAGCTGGTTTCACCGTTCCCTGAGATCGACTGGAACGCTATGGTGGTTGGCGTTAAAGGGAAAGTGATGGTGCGTTACAAGCGGCGCCAACTGGTTTAATGTGGTAATGCAGCCTTTGGTTTGTCTCTTTGCTTCTGCTTGCTTTTGTCCCTCTCTGGTTTTAGTTTTGTTGTTGGATGGTTCTTCTGCTACTTGTTTAACTGTTCTTGCTTATTATGATCGACACTTGATTTCTAGCTTTCCAAGTTTGTTGGTACTGCGAATGTGCTCATTCAAATGGAGATTTATTTTGTTAGCTAGTTTAACCTGAAGACCAGATTTTGTGTTCTATATAATCTGCTTACATGGAATGTGGATTCAGAAAGGAAGAAGATATTGATGGATATATGAACTCTTAAGTTTATGTAACTTCTGGATTAATAAGTTATATATATATATATATATATATATATATATATATATATCTATTAAAATTTTGGAAGTCTATGTTAATTCAATATTTTTATACTAAATAGGTTTATTAACATTACTGTGAATTTCGATACCATAGAATTTAAAATCTCGTCTTTAGTATATGATGTAATAAGAATCACCCTTTTTGAAGAAAATAAGAAAACAAACTTGTGTAAAAAGGCTAAAATGATTTATTCATATTTATGTCAGGGTGTCCATGAAATCCTTGTTGAATTCAAAATATCCAAAAGTATCTGATAACTGAAAGGAAAAGTTCAAAATTTACTAGGCTTAAAAATAAATCATAACTATTAAATAGTTTATATTTTGATGTATTAATTTTTTTTTTAAATGTAATGTGTGTGTGTGTGATCAGAAAAATAAATACCCTGCATCTATGTAAAGAGACCATATCTGGTATCAAATCATTGTCCTAAATGATTTCGAATCTGTTTCTTAATACTCGCAGTATGATTCAATGTGAATCCAGATGTATATATGTGTGTATATATAATTCTATATATGCATGTCCCTGAACATTGTTAACTCCTAATTATATATTATGAACGCCTTCTTCTCTCGCACTGCCAACGAGTCATTCCCTCTCCATCGCCGGAAAAAATACATCTCCTCCGTCGCATGTTCCAGTCGCCGTAGGCAAACACTTTTATGCCGTAATAGTCACTTTCAACAATCTCAATCAAAAGGATTAAAAGTCTCGGCGAGGAAGCTTGCGTCAAGGCTTCAAAAACTTCCTCCTACAGGCGACGGTTCCTTGGCAGAACATTTTAGCTATCAGGTTAATTTGTGATCATTTGCTTTTGCTTCTTAGATTTCTCTTAGGTAAATTTCCTCCTTTGCCTACACTTTGTATCATTGTATGTAATCTATTTGGGTGATTTAGTTATGTGTTAAATGATTTAGCTTGTCGTAAGATATTTGTGTAGTCCTGTTTAATCTAGCATCCAATTACGATATTGTAGATGGAGAGCATAACTAAGTGGGACTTAGGATCACTCAAAAGGCATTACTCCGTTGAACCTTACGAAAATTTTCAACAAGACGAGTATCTAGTCGATGGTAGCCTCGTTCCTCGTCTTCAAGCCGAGTTATGGAAGGCTCAATCTAGAATCAAAGAGCTTGAGACAGAGAAGTTTGGATCAAAGGAAATTGTTAGATGTATCATCAGCAACCAAAGAAAGCGCCGTGAAGAAAACACTGATCCACTTGTTGATTACTTGAAAGATAAGTTAAGAAAAGAGAGGGACGAAAGGAAAAGAGCTAATGCTGAGAATTCTAGGTTAAAGCAGAAGATGTTGGACATGGAGTCATCAGTGAACCGGTTGAGGAGAGAAAGAGACACAATGGAGAAGGTGTGCGAGGAACTGGTGACGAGGGTCGATGAGTTGAAGGCACAGACAAGGAGAGTTTGGGACGAGACAGAAGAGGAGAGGCAGATGTTGCACATGGCTGACATGTGGAGGGAGGAAAGGGTTAGGGTTAAGTTGGTAGATGCGAAACTTGCGATGCAAGAAAAGTATGAGGAGATGAAGTGGTTTGCGGATGAGTTAGACAAGTGTTTGGAGATGGCGAGAGAAGTGGGAGGAATTGAGGAGATGAGGTTGATAAGAGGTGAAGGTTTGATTAAGACGGCGAGATCTATGGAAGTTGCAGCTAATAAGATTGATTTTGAGAGATTTCAGTTTGTGTCTGATGAAGATAATTATGTTTAACCTTATTTTTAAGGGTCGGAATTAATGTTTTTCAAAAAATAATATAAACGGCTATCATCAAATTGTTTTCCATCAAATTCTTGAATTATCGGTTAGTCAACTGTTGTTTAAATTAAAGTACAATTCTAACTTCTAAGATCTCTTAAGATAAAAAAAAAATATAAAAAAAATACACATTTGGTTATTTTAATACTAAATTAGAAGACCATACAATCATTCATACTATCATATATAGTCCAGCAAATAAATAAAGCTGATAAAGGCCAGAGTCATGATCGAATTTGAAACAATAATTAGCCTAGGTTAACAGAATTGGAATTCCGAATGAGAAAAGAAACATCCAACAAGACTCCATCATCAGAAATTCAGAATCATGTCCAAGTTTGAAATCAACCATAATTTGTGATTAGATAATTGGTTTGATTTCAAAACAAATTAGATAATATATCAGATTTAATGTAGATATATCCTCTAGATTGCTATTTCTTATGTACGTTACACCAAATCAGTTAGAAGATTCTAACTTATTAGCAAAAAACAATTTACCAATCCACTATATGATGGGACCGATTCGCACTACATAAATTCATGACAGATGAATTAAGGGGCAACAGATGCGATTTCGATATGATTTTGGTATATGTGTGGGGGAACCTAAAGATCGAAGACGATCAGATATGAAACAAGTTGTTCACATTGTAGAATTTGAACCTCAAATCTAAAACAAGGAAACATTTGTATCTTTATACCAATCATCATGCTAAAGCCCTCCCACGATTCTGGGACATGGCTACATGTATAAATGATCTTACAGCTTTAATCATTCCATCTTCAGAAAAATATTAAAAACAGAAATCATTGCATCTTCAAATTTTAGAGGGCAACATAGATTCAACACTGTAATAAAAACTTGTCACTTTAAGTTAAAAGAAACATTTTTATGTTAGAGAAGAAGGAAATTATATCGATGTCAACCTCTCTTTGGTGTATTTTTTAGTTTTGTTGTGATGTATTTATCAACTGTTGAACTCTTCATAGGCAGAATTTTATTTTTTATTTTTCTTTTGTCACTTGTTTTGTTTGTTTATTTATAAAATATATTATATATATATATCATATTATTTTTTTCTATTTTATTTTGTTGGTTGCTAATGATCCATGGAATCTAGAGATCCAATCTTTTTCCGGCGTTACGATTGCACATGGCCAATCATGTTATTCTCTTTATATTTTCCAACTCCAAAATATTCCATTCCCAATAGTAAATTTGAATAAATATACTTTATATATAAATATTTGATTATATTATACAGTACTCTTATGATATACAAACCTCCTTGGAGTTATATACTCGCGGTGGACATAGGATCCGAGTTCTACGATGAATTCAATTGTTTGGTAAATATTTTTATACATAGGATTCAATCATTTACATCATTTCATTCATGATATAAATGCTAGTTAGATCATTTATATAATTGAATTGCTTATTTAAGAAATACAGTAAGGTACAATTTCCCTAGAGGTGGTAGGGGTCTATTGTGGGGTTAATGAGTGAGAACAAACATAACGACTTGTTCGTCTCGCAAAAAGACAACTACCTGACTTATACCTACAAAAAAATAATTCGTCAAATTAAAAACATATCCCTACATTGATTTAGACATGTAATATATATAGTAATGTCTATATTTAAATTTATTTTGGCTTTTATTTTTTATTGTATCTATTTGTTTCAAAAATATCCATGTCATATGCCTGCTTATATATTTTTATTTGTAGGTATTTAAAAAAAAACTATAGCATTACGTACTGAGTGTAGTAATTTTGTGGAACCACATGCATATGAACATTATTTCAAATATGTGAAATATAATAATTAATCAAATATGTGAAACATACGAACATTATTTTAAAGTGTAATCTGATTTTTTGAAGTTGACCACACTCAAATATCTGAAACTCTTCTCACATGAATAAATGAAGCTAGAGCACTTGAATGTTTTCTCATCTATTATTCCTATGATATCTGAGAAAAGTAGTCAAATGTTTGTTTGTATATCTATTTATCTGTTTTACTATACAGTAATGAAAGATGTAATTGGTTACGACAAATATGGCATGGATATTTTTGATACTCCTGTTTCGTCAATATGCTGAACTGACGAATTCATCATGAAGAAAAATAGCCGAATTTAACATACGTGATAGAACAAGCATTAAGAAAGTAAACGATGTAATTATTGGTACTAGTAAATACTATATTCTTTAAAAAAATTGACTCAAACGAAGAAAAATGTAAAGTAAAAAATCTGTTAAATAAATAGAAATAACAAATTAGAATGACTAAGGAAAGAAAGACAAACCCGTTGGAATAATCGTCGCTGCTATGTCTATGTGTTACGAATTGGGTATGATACTCGTCGGTCTCTCGTTCTCAACCGTTCAATGTGGGCATCGTGGGGTCCTTCTCCCTCTTTGTACTAAGTACGTCACAAGTGGAGACCTGCTTTTAGTTCATAATTTAAACTCAAAATTCATCTCCGCATTTGATTAACAATCAATATGTAGATTATGAATTAACTAATGTTTTTTTGATGGTGTGGATTATACTTGAGTTGCTCTGGATCCCACTTTTGATTAAAAGATTGAGTTCCCCCAATCAAAATGTACAGATGCGTATGATTTTATTCCCTTTGTAACTTGGTCAAGAAAATGAATAAAAACCATAATTAACGTCTCTAACCGCGCCATTATTTCCATAACCATACAAAAACTCCTAATCGTACCAACTTGTATTTGATTATCAGGTTAATGTGATCACTACATTAAATATGGCGTAATGCAATTAAAACAATGAATGATTAGATAAATTTTTGGAAGAATTTATTCGAGTTGGGGATGAATCAAATTCAGCTAAGCGCCTAAGCCAGAACTAAGTTTTGTTCATTCGCTTTGGTTCAAGGTAATAAATATGCAGTTCTTGCAAACTCAGATTCATATTTCGGTTTAGTTCGACTATTTTGGTTTACTAAGTTTGGGTTGGTTGAAAAATTTATTAAATGCAAACATTTTATGTAACATTTGTTTATTAACGCTAAGTTTTACTTGACACAGTCTCACCATTAATATTACAAATCACTTAAATCAATAAATTCCGGTCAAGTCACAGCATTTTTCAACAAACTTAAGTTGCTAACTTTTGATTCTGCAAAAAAAAATTATTGTGAACAAGAAAAACTTCTCGTGAACAATTTTTTGCTTACCAAAACTGATGATCTAAAATTTTACAACTTTTTTCCCAATTTGGCAAGTTGACAATAAGTGTTTCTTAAGACTTTCTCGAGTAGTTTATTATTGGCAAACTAAAAGCACACACTCTCGAGTGATTCACACGCGCCACCGGGCAGCGCGTAACGTGTCATGTCTGGTCTTGTTACAGCGTATCCAAATTGTTTATCTGTTAACTGTTACGTGTGGGAAATGGAGGGCCTATTATCCACATTGATTGATCAGACATATATTAATTCCAAAATTTATTTCTATATTTATCATAATTTCTATTTACTCCTCCTTATTCCATTGTCTTTACAAAGATCCCCTTACTATTCAGATTCAAGTCAGGAGATCACAAAAGATTCTTATTTGATTTGATGAAAGACAAAAGAGATGGTCTAAATTAAAAATTCGCAAACTTTTTCTATCCAAAATTTGGTTTATATTAAATATAAAAAAAGGACCACTCAATTTTAGGAACTAGAATTAGGGTTTGGACGACCTAAAGATATCTTAATGGGTCTTTTCGTAAAAAGATTATAGTGTTGTGACATATTTGAGATTTATATTTCTTTAGTTCTCATTTTTACAATCTTTTGGACTCTTCTGCTCAGGAAAATGCTATATATACTCGCACATTTCGCTCCGTTTAAAACTTATAGCTTAATCTCTAATTACTTAATCTCTGATTGTTTAAGATAATAATTTTATAAAATTAATTAGTTGAACAATTAGTGATTAGTTTGTGGAGCTTCAATGGCAAAAGGTCGAAAGCTGACGATAAGCCAGAGCGAGAGGTACCTGGGAAGCAGCTACAGTTACGGTAACAGTAACGGAAACTCCGTCACCGACGAATCAGAGCTCACGGAAGAGGACATCTGGTCACACGCCGTTGATCACAGCCCCGTGGATCAGCCAGAGATGCCGGAATCGCCTGGCGCGTGGAACCCACGCGATGTGGTGGTGAGGAACGGGCGCGTGGGTGGTGGTCTATCTCTCGCGTTTGAGGACACGTCATCTTCGCCGAGGATCGTGCACCAGATACGCGGTGGTGGAGAAGGAGGCGGTGGAGGAGTAGGAGGAAGAGCCCATCGGCAGTTAGCGTCGTCGGCGCCGGTGAACGTGCCGGACTGGAGTAAGATCTATCGAGTCAACTCGGTTGAGTCGATACACGAGTCGGAGGAAGAGGACGATGAAGACACCGGGATGATGCCGCCGCACGAGTACCTTGCGAAGAGCCAAAAACGGCGGAGCAGAAAATCTGGTGGTGGTGGAGGCGGCGGCGCGTCGGTGTTTGAAGGAGTTGGAAGGACTCTCAAAGGACGAGAATTAAGGCGCGTTCGCGACGCGATTTGGAGCCAAACAGGGTTCTACGGCTAATTTAGTAGTAAGCGATGATTCAAAAAAACATTTAAAAACTTTCAACTAAAAAATTTGAAAAACAAATTGCTTATTTTGTCAGGGTGTAGAATTAATTTTGAAACTTTCTCGAATCCCAAGTGTGAGATGTATAAGACTTATTTTGCTTCCCATGCAGATGTTTTGTTTTTTTTTCCCTTTTAGATTTCTAAATTAATTGTTGGATAATTTTCAATAACATATGTGTATAGTTTTTATTTGTACGTATTGATTAATATCAAGATTATTCAAGATTCTAATTTCTTTATAACATCCCAAAAGTATGAAATGGCCATTTACAATTTCAGTATGATTTTAAAACTTACAAATGAATTATTAATTTAAGGCAGATGGGTTACGAGGTTGAGCAATAATTTCTTGAGAGGAACTTGATTGAACGTTGCTTTCCAGTAATAATATATGATTGAAAAAGAATGGCTTCAAAATTTATACGAATATTATATAAACTAGTTCCTGACCAAAATGGACCATTATGACATAAGAACCATCATGACATGAAAAATCTGAAACTTCAAATTAGCAAAAAAGCAAAATTTAAACTATGCAATTTTGTCATACAATTTTCTTCCTCGTAGTTTTCGATTTAAGCTTTAATATGACGATTAATAAATTAAATGTTGAAAGAAACCCAATTCATATGTCAGGTACTACGTAACAATGATATTAATGATTGAGCACCGATATAGTTAATGATAGTAAAAGATTAATTTATCAATATATAATATTAGGTCTAGTTATTAATTAAGTGATATAGCTTGACATGATATGAAAGGCAAGTTTGTATATAATTAATGAGAACAGATGTGTCCTTGCAACATTATTGTGTCCACAGGTAAACTGTCCAAAGAATCCACTTCAAAGTGGGCACTCACGAGCAAGAAAAAGACACCATTTTCAATTAATTTTCCCAACAAAAATCATGATGGTTCATGAAATGGCATCTTGTTATATATATATAGACACGTCACTGAAATTTATAACATCGAAGTGATTAAGGAGATAACTAATTCTGACTGTATATACTATAGATGTCTAGAAAAACAAAAACCTAAATGCATAGATCTTGTGGTAAAAATAAAAAGACACACGAATCAATTAAGTTTCAAGAAAATATCTATCACACGATAATTAGTCGCAGCTTTGCAAACTGTTTAGTGTTAACATACTTATATCTAACGCAAATGTTCAAAAAAAAAAAAAAACATACTTTATATCTATGTTTCTATGCCTAACTTACACTCAATTGGTTTTCTATCTAAATTCAATTATACATACGTCCAAATTTCAGCAATTTCTAATCATTCATGATCAGACTCCATGAACAAACAGAAGGAAATATGAATGAATATATGAGAAAGAAAACCTAGAAAAATTTATGATCAGACTCCATCAACAAACAAAAGGAATTAGTGTAAGTATCTTTTCATCAAGTAAGCCGCGATAATTATGATTCATGTTTTGATGTGTATAACAATCTCAAGCACGCACACATTCTGACATTCATATATACACACTCCTGTGTACGTATGCACTCATGTATCTTATATTATATGGACATGATGAGGTTATGGAAAGGGTAGGGTATGGGCATTGGGGTCAAAAGAAAGTGACGCAAGGTTAGAGAGTTTTGTGTAAAAGCATAAAAGAAGGGAAGTTTGTCAAAAATGTTCTTGTGAGTTATGCCTTTGCCTTTTTCAAGAAAGGACCTTTGAAAGTGAATTTGATCGAGAAGTCATGGCCTTCGTTTTGTGTGGGCTCAACACATCTCTTTCTACACTTATATATCACGTTCAAGCCCTCTCTTCACCGTTCATCACTCATTCTCTCTCCCTCAATAATTTGATTCCTTTATTTGATTCCTACCATTTATACATACAAATCCAAACGCATTGATTATTATAGAAACTCATATACCAATTAAGATACATCTTGGACTTGTCTTCATATGAAAGAAATAAAAACATGCAATAAAGGATAAATGAAAACATGTAAGTACATATAGTATTCGATTATGCTAGTTCAACATAGCATGTGTGATGTGGCTGATTAAGTTTGTGAATACTTAGGCTAAACTCGTGACCTTTGAAGCGCACTTCCTTACGCTACTACATATTTGATCAGTGAAGTCAGAGCTTTTAATTTGACAATAACATGTTTTCGTATTACTCTATACTTTGGTCCCAAATATATCCGACTAATAATAAAACGGGATCGGAAGAAACCTTGAAGAATCCATTTTTTTACCTAACTTCGTGAAGCTTTTTCCATTAGAGCAAAGGTGAAGCGAGTGAGTGAGTGAGTGGGTTTTAATGGGGGCCCGATGAAGAGTGTTCCATCTTCTTTCACCACTGATACTATACCCAATGGGTCATGCGAATAAACAAATAATATCAATTGTTTATCTTTTGTAGTGGTGAGTGGAGTTTTAATGGGGGCCCAACTACACTTAGACCCAACTTCGTAAAACTCTCATTATGAGAATGCATTGGTGCGATATCCAAAAATTAAAAACTTTGATGACCACCATACCAATTTCGGTTATTCCTTAACCGGTTATCAAGTTGGGTATTTAAGCCTCTTTATTTCTTTATTTCTGACCTTTCTCTCGTACACAGAAGCTTACACCGCCCGGCGACGACGCCGCCGGAGTTACTCATCGTGTTTTGTAAAGCGCCAGCATTAACGCTCATCTATCGGAGGATCATGCCTTCGAATTCTACTACGTTTAAAGACATCCGTCTAGGTTCTGGGTTTTTGCTTTTCGGATTTAGAGTCATTATCGTTTTCTGATTTTTTTTCGTTCGTACCGTATGTTCACTCACGTTCTCTCCAGACGAACGAGATTCCTGGTACGTTGCTTTCACGTCGCTAAGAAATTCTCGAATCCTGAGCCAGAAGACATTCTGTTTAGTGCTGTCTGTCTGAATTTAAGACAGAGAAGATGGAACACTCTTCATCAGTTCTCCCCAAGTCTCACAAATCCATTGATAAGCCGAGTTCTTTGCCAGTTTCGAAGCTCGCCGAAGCTAGCTCTAGAGTTCTACAATTGGGTTTTAGGGAACAAAACTGCGGCTGATTCCTCCGAGACCCGTTTCGAAGCCTCTTGTGTGATGATTCATTTGCTTGTCGAATCGAGAAAATTCGATGACGCTTTACCAATAATGGCGAATCTGATGTCTGTGGAAGGAGGAAATCTGAGCCCTTTACATGTTTTGTCAGGTTTGATTCGCACGTACCAAGCATGTGGTTCGAGCCCTGATGTGTTTGATTCATTGGTTAGAGCTTGTACACAGAACGGCGACGCTGAAGGAGCTCATGAAGTGATTGAGCAGACGAGAGCAGAGGGGTTCTTGGTTTCTGTTCATGCTTTGAATAATTTCATGGGTTGTCTGTTGAATCTGAATGAGATTGATTGGTTTTGGAAAGTTTACAAAAAAATGGAGTCTTTGGGATATGTGGAGAATGTGAACACATTTAACCTGATCATATATTCGTTTTGCAAGGAGTATAAGTTGCCTGAAGCGTTATCTGTGTTATACCGGATGTTGAAATGTGGGGTTTGGCCTAACGTTGTGAGCTTTAACATGATGATTGATGGAGCTTGTAAGACAGGGGATATGCGATTCGCGTTGCATCTCTTTGTGAAGATGGGAGTTATATCTGGAGGCTTTGTCTCTCCCAACGCTGTGACGTACAATTCGGTTATCAACGGGTTTTGCAAGGCCGGGAGATTGGATTTGGCCGAGAGAGTCCGCAGCGAGATGGTTAAATCAGGTGTTGATTGCAACGAAAGAACCTATGGAGCTTTGGTTGATGCGTATGGAAGAGATGGAGCTTCAGACGAAGCTTTAAGGTTGTGTGATGAGATGACGAGTAAAGGACTTGTGGCGAACACCGTTATCTGTAACTCTGTCGTTTACTGGCTGTTTATGGAAGGTGACACGGAAGGAGCTATGGCGGTTTTGAGTGATATGATCGGTAAAGAGATGAAGATCGATCGGTTTACTCAAGCCATTGTAGTCAGAGGTCTGTGCAGAAACGGATACGTAGAGGAAGCTGTTGTGTTTCAGAGACGTGTTTCAGATAAGAAACTTGCGGGAGATGTGGTTTGCTACAACACGCTTATGCACCGTTTCGTAGCGGATAAGAAGCTGGCTTGCGCTGAGCAGATTCTAGGGGCTATGGTTGTTAGGGGATTGGTTCTTGACGCGGTTTCGTTCGGTACTTTGATCGATGGATACATAAAGGAAGGGAAGCTGGAAAAATCTGTGGAGATGTATGATGGTATGATCAAGATGAAGAAAAGGCCGAATCTTGTGATTTACAACTCGATTGTGAACGGCTTAAGCAAAAATGGATTGGCTGGTGCGGCGGGAGCGGTTGTGAACGCTATGGAAAGCAAGGACGCGGTGACTTACAACACGCTGTTGAACGAGTCTCTCAGAAACGGGAACGTGGAAGAAGCTTTCGATGTCTTATCTAGGATGCAGGAGGAGGGAGATGAGAGATTGGTTAGTGTGGTGACTTACAACATCTTGATCAATCACTTGTGCAAGTTTGGCTGTTACGAGAAAGCGAAAGAGGTCTTGGAGATGATGTATCGGAGAGGTGTTTGTCCGGATTCTGTGACTTATGGAACTCTGATTACATCGTTTAGTAAGAATCGCGGTGAAGAAGAAGTCGTTGAGCTTCATGATTACATGGTTCTTCATGGAGTTACACCTCATGAACAGATTTACCGATCCATTGTTAGTCCTCTTCTTGATGTAGAAAGTGGAAAATAGCTTTAAAAGCCATAGTCAAAGGCGAATGAAAGCTTGTGGCAACTCCAAGGATGTTGACTTTTGGGAGTGTGAGCGAATGGTTTTGCATTCGTACGGAGAAGCTGCTGATTGGTCCGGAGGGTTCTCGTGAGACTCTGGAAGAGTGGAGTCTGTACGGTTACCATCATCAGATCCGTATCTTGTTCGTACACGTGGACCCTTCGACGATTCTAATCAACGGTCAGTGTTGGAAAAAGAGGATCGCTTAGGCTCGACGTGGACTTGTGAATCGGGTGTTTGTCTGACACGTGGCGTTTATACACCGGCCAAGAGATTTCTTTGTCACGAGATAAATTACAGAAAGAAGAACCAAATCACATTTTACTAGACGACGTGATGTTTAAGAAATAGCCCGTCCAGAATTTTTGGCGGATACAAGAAATTTTTAATCGGAGAAGCAGAGGAAAATTGTAATAAGTTAAAATGAATATGGCTGCGACTACGATTTGAAAATTTTCTGTTGTTATTTTTTGCTAGACGTTAAATATTATCATAGCACCCATAAGTTATTAATATTTAAATTCATGAATAAATCATGTCACCATATAATTACGATTGATCAACACATGGCGTATCTCTCTCACTCTCTCTCTCTGTCTTAAATTTGCTGATTTAATTTATAATTTGAGAGAATAAAATAAAATTAAAGAAGGAGATCAGTTTCAGTGATTGAGAAGTGTGGCCTGGTGAGGCAGTGGAGGGGGGCTGCTTCGACAACAAACATTCTCTCTTTCTTCTCGGCATATACCTTAACCTACCTGAAGTACAACTCACTTTCTTTCTCTCTTCTTCCTTCTTCGGCAGCCATGGAAGTGTGTTGGCAGATGCAGAGACCGGCGAGTCTCAGGCCTGTTTTCCAGCAAAAGGGTCGGCTCAAAATTAGTACTTGTACTGGGTTTCTTCCTCGCCCCAAAGCTTACTCCTTCTCTACTGTAAGTCTCCCTCTCTTTCTTCCCGTCTCCATCTTTTTGATAGTATCCTGTGTGCTTATATAAAACATGATTCGATGCTCTCTAGATTCTAATTTTCGGTAATTAAAGTGTACAGTGTTGTACTCTTTTTTAATGCGCCTTTTCGTTAGGACATCTTTAGTTGGGGTCGAAATTTGACAGAATGTACCATCTTTTAGGAGATTTGGTAGGGTCTCTGGATTGGGAATCTCATGTTAGAACCTCGTTTTGAATTGGTGGAGTTACTTTCTGTAAGAAATTTCCAATTTTTAGCTACACAGTCCTCAATCCGAGCCTCAGAGCTTTAAGTTAGCGTCGTAGCTGAAGATATACGGTCTGAAGGAATGAAAAATGTCTGATTTTTATTATGGTTTAGATTTACAAATAGCCGATATTCAGCTTGGTTACTTCTGGTGTCATGTGTTCTTGTTTGTGTGACTTTTCATCTACATTTCTGGCTTAGAGATTGTGAAAAGGTGATTGAACAGTTGTAGAGTCGATATCCTAACCATCGACATGTTTGTTTCTCAGCTTGCTTCGTTGGAAAGCCAATACAACTCAAATGGGTTTCTGCAACAGATCACAGCAAGTGCAGGTTAAGAATCAAGAATCGGTTTTACAGGGTTTATAGCTTTTCATTGTGATTATTTGATTCAGTCCTTTTGATGTATTCTTATTTTTTTTTCACCAAGATTTTTCAAGAAAGAAGCAAGGAAGAATGTCAGCTTCAGGGCCCAAAAGCTCAGCTCCAAGAGGTTTCGGGAGACGAACAACAGTAGGGAGTTCTCAAAAAAGAACCCAGAAGAAGAACGGTGAGAAAGATAGCAATGCCACTTCTACTGTAACAAACGAGGTTTCAGGGGTTAGTAAGTTGCCAGAAGCTAAAGTGGATGTGCAGAAACAAGGTTCTGTTGTTTCTGGTGAGAGGAATGTGTTAGATAGGTCAGAAATCGAGGATATAAGTGAACGTCTGGATAAGAAAAAAGCCGAGGATGATGCTTTGTTAGAACAAAAGTTAAAAGTTGAACGAGAAAATCTTCGTAGGAAGGAAATAGAAGCGCTTGCAGAGGAAAGTTTAGCGAGAGGTGATAGAATGTTTGTTTATCCCGCTACCGCAAAACCAGATGAAGACATAGAAGTGTTTCTCAACAAGAACCTGTCGACTCTGAGTAGCGAACCTGATGTTTTGATCATGGGGGCGTTTAACGAGTGGAGATGGAAATCTTTCACGAGGAGATTGGAAAAGACATGGATCCATGGAGAGTGGTGGTCATGTCTCCTTCATATCCCCAAAGAAGCGTATAGGATGGATTTTGTGTTTTTCAATGGGCAAACTGTATATGACAACAATGACTCGAAAGACTTCTGTGTAGATGTAAAAGGTGGGATGGATAAAGTTGAGTTTGAGAATTTCCTTCTAGAAGAGAAATGGCGAGAGCAAGAGAAGCTAGCTAAGGAAGAAGCTGAGAGGGAAAGGCAAGAGGAAGAGAAGAGAAGAATAGAGACTCGAAAGGCTGCTATTGAAGCTGATAGAGCACAAGCAAAGGCCGAGACTCATAAGAGACGTGAAATGCTTCAACCGGCTCTTCAGAAAGCTGTAGTCTCGGCTAAGAATGTTTGGTACATTGAGCCGAGCAATTTCAAGGCTGGAGATAAAGTGAAGCTATATTACAATAAAAGCTCAGGTCCTCTAGCTTTTGCCAAGGAAATCTGGATACATGGAGGGTTTAATAATTGGGTTGATGGATTATCTATAGTTGAAAAGCTTGTTCATGCTGAGCTAAAGGCTGATTCAAAGAGCGGGGAATGGTGGTTCGCTGAAGGTATCTATGTGAAGCTTTCTTATCTTCTGTAACATTATTGCTGCCATTTTTGTTTCATTGATCTTTCTCATTTTAATATGCAGTCGTAGTGCCCGTGGGTGCACTAGTCATTGACTGGGTCTTTGCTGATGGACCGCCTAAAGGAGCGGTTGTGTATGACAATAATAGTCTCCAAGATTTCCACGCACTTGTTCCTCTGAGAACTCCAGAAGAGCTTTACTGGTCAGAGGAAGAAAAACTCATGTTTAGGAAACTTCAAGAGGAGAGAAGGTTAAAAGAGGAAGCGATGCTTGTCAAGGTTATACAACTAACAGAAAGACCGGCTTATCATCTTTACCTTAGTACTTTCACTCTTGTCCTTATTGAATTTACATTTCTTCATCTTTTTTCTTTTTGGCAGATGGAGAAAACAGCTCGCTTGAAAGCTGAAACTAAGGAAAGAACACTTAAAAAGTTTCTGCTTTCTCAAAAAGACGTGGTTTACACCGAGCCTCTAGAGATTCAAGCGGGAAGGCCTGTGACGGTTCTCTACAATCCTTCAAACACGGTTTTGAACGGAAAGCCTGAGGTTTGGTTCAGAGGCTCTTTTAATCGCTGGACTCACCGCTTGGGTCCTTTGCCACCTCAGAAAATGGAAGCAGCAGATGATGGAAGCTCGCACGTGAAGACCTCGGGCAAGATTTCAGTTTGTAAAAGGTTTCCATTTCCAGAGAACTGTTTCATGGTATGTGACTTATGTTTCTCTTCTTTTTTCTTCTTCTCTGCAGCTAAGGTCCCATTGGATGCTTACATGATGGACTTTGTGTTCTCTGAGAAAGAGGATGGTGGAATATTCGATAACAGAAATGGCTTGGATTACCATTTACCTGTCATGGGAGGTATTTCAAAGGAACCACCATTGCACATCGTTCATATTGCTGTTGAAATGGCACCCATTGCTAAGGTAACCTTGAGATGTAACGTTTATAATTTATAACCAATCAAAAATATTGTACATACTGTACATATCTTAGGTTTATGTATACATGTTACCTGCAGGTTGGAGGCTTAGGCGATGTAGTCACTAGTCTATCTCGTGCTGTTCAAGAATTAAGCCATAATGTGGATATCATCTTCCCAAAGTATGATTGCTTAAAGCACAACTTTGTAAGATCGATGTCTTTCTCATATTTTCCGCTTTCACTTCCTTTTTTTTTTGTATATATCTCTCTTTGTACTTAGATGTTGTGAAAAAACAGGTAAAGGACTTGCAATTCAACAGAAGTTATCACTGGGGAGGAACCGAAATAAAAGTTTGGCATGGAAAAGTGGAAGGCATTTCGGTCTACTTCTTAGATCCGCAAAATGGGTTAGCTTTAATGCATTTCTCTTTAAGCTGTATTAATACACTTCATTGATCATCTAGTGAGGGCATGAAGAGTTGTTGCTGGTGCTTGACTGTTGCAGATTGTTTCAGCGAGGCTGTGTTTACGGTTGTGCAGATGATTCAGGACGATTCGGCTTCTTCTGCCACGCGGCTCTTGAATTTCTTCTTCAAGGAGGTTTTCATCCTGTACGTCTACTAGTCCAAATCTTGTGGAATTATCAAGAATGCTAATTAGAAAGTCTTAATACGTTTTTTCTAAGTAGCGAGCGGCTCTAACTCGTGGTCTCAACATCTACAGGACATTCTTCACTGTCACGACTGGTCCAGTGCTCCGGTTTCATGGTTATTCAAGGATCAGTACACGCATTACGGTTTGATTAAAACCCGTGTTGTCTTCACAATTCATAATTTGGAATTTGGAGCAAGTGCCATTGGTAAAGCCATGACATTTGCGGACAAAGCGACAACGGCAAGTCCTGAAAACATTATCTGTTATTACAAAAAGATGGTTTACTCTTTTTTTCTCCTGGAAGGCTTTAATTGAAAATGACTCGGTCTGGTCTTAACATTACTAGGTTTCCCCAACTTATGCTAAGGAAGTTGCTGGAAACTCTGTAATCTCTCCACATTTATACAAGTTTCATGGAATAATAAATGGGATCGACCCAGATATATGGGATCCATACAACGATAACTTCATTCCCGTAAGCTTCGTTGCAGCCTCTGCTGTCCCGTCTTTAATTTTCTTGCTGTGTCTTGTGATATTTGAACACGTTGTGTGGTTCTTAGGTACCTTATACTTCAGAGAACGTTGTAGAAGGCAAAAGAGCGGCCAAGGAAGAGTTACAAAACAGGCTTGGACTAAAGAATGCAGATCTTCCGCTAGTTGGAATTATTACGCGCTTAACTCACCAGAAAGGAATACATCTGATCAAACACGCTATTTGGCGTACCTTGGAACGAAATGGACAGGTCCCTTTCTAAGCCTTGAAGAAGGTCCTCTCATGCGCTTTTCACAATCCTTACAAGTTTTCTTGAAAGCAGGTTGTACTGCTTGGTTCAGCTCCGGATCCTAGGATTCAAAATGACTTCGTAAACTTGGCTAACCAATTGCATTCTTCTCACGGTGACCGAGCTAGGCTTGTTCTAACCTACGATGAACCTCTTTCCCATTTGGTAAAAAAAATTGTTATTTTTTTTTGGTTATTCGTTCCTTTGCTCTCGTTATTGCTCTAAGTCTCATTGTGTTTTACTGTCCAGATATATGCCGGGGCTGACTTTATTCTTGTCCCGTCGATATTTGAGCCGTGTGGACTGACACAGCTCATTGCCATGAGATACGGCGCTGTTCCTGTCGTTAGAAAAACTGGAGGTAACAGTTTTTTTGCTATGTCATCGTGATCTCAAACTTTACCCGTTTCCCTCAAGAGTCAAGACCTAGCTGTTTATCTTTGTCCAATATAGGACTCTACGACACTGTTTTTGATGTCGACCACGATAAGGAAAGGGCACAAGCTCAAGTTCTAGAGCCTAATGGCTTCAGCTTCGACGGGGCTGATGCTCCTGGTGTGGATTATGCTCTCAATAGGTAAAGCAAACAAAAGAACCATACTTAGACCAGCCAAAATCTTGACTTAACACTCTCTTTGATTCTTTATAGCATGAACAATTGTTTCTTGCTTTTTTTCAGGGCGATATCGGCGTGGTATGATGGTAGAGAGTGGTTTAACTCGCTGTGCAAGACAGTGATGGAGCAAGACTGGTCATGGAACCGTCCTGCACTTGAGTACCTTGAGCTTTATCACTCTGCACGCAAGTGAGAAGAAGAAAAAAGGCCAGTTTTAAGATCAGTTTTCTTTATATGTACAGAAATTAGCTTTCGAGATACTATAGAAAGTTTGATCCTTTCTTCTTCTTTTTAACATTCCCAAAAGCTTTTAAAGATTATATGGATTCAGCTTCTGTAATTCTTGAATAAATGAAAGCTAACTAAAGTTTATATACCACTGTCAGATTTCTCAAATTGTGTTCATGTCTTACAAAATAGTGTATAAAAACTAAATCAGACCCGGTTCTAAGTGCAATTAAACCCGTAAACCGAGGAAGGTAACTCTTTCCGGTACTTGATCTGCAGATGCAGTTATCATTACTAATATAATCAGTTTTTAATATTTTAATAACTCCAAAATCCATAATTAGAAACGTCATTATCGTATTTCCCGAACGTTACCTGCCCATTTTTCTTTAGTTATAAAAAAAAAAGTTAATCAATTTTTGTGTCATCCTTTCTTCATGTATCTCTCTCTCTCAGGTGGAGAGAGAGTGCATCAAACAGAAAAAAGAACTGTAAATAGACCCACAAAGAAAACAAAAAGCTTGAACCTTTTTGACTCCAAATCAAACAAATCTCTGATTTTGCGTTGACCACTTCGCTTTTTTCGGAATTGAGTTCTAGCAGCCAAATCAAAATGTCTTTTAAGAACAGAGGAGGAGGTGTTGGAGATTACTATTTTACTCCAAGAAGTGTAGTTTCTAGAAACTCTCTGTTTTTCTTGTGCCTCGCAAGTTTCTGCCTTGGAATGTTCTTCACTAACAGGTAAATCTATTACGAAAAAGACCCCATTTTGCTTATGTTTGACGATTTCACAAAAAAAGTTTGGTATTCGGTGTTTTCTATTTCGTTACTGATTTCATCTTCTTGGGACTAAATCTGCCTTCTCTTTCTCCAATTTTTTAAGCTTAGTGTTTTGTCGGTGAGGACATGCTTTATTCAGACTCGTCTTGCTCATGTATGTGTCCTTGTAGCTTTTGTGAGGAATTAAATATTAAAAAAAAAATCCTATATTTGCTTATTTGGTAGGTTTGATCAAGTGGTGGCACATTGTAAGGTTTTAGTACTTGATCAATCACTTGTTTGAATTTATTGCGAAAGTCGGTGACTTGACCTGCATTTTGGTTCGGGTTTATGTTTGTATTGGTCTTATGGAGTTAAAAAAATTGTGTTTGGTCATGTGTAATGAAGATAATGGATGATAAATGATGATTATATCAGGATGTGGAATGTACCTGAAGCCAGTGGCATTTCAAGACTCTCCAAACTAAGCTTAAGATCCGCTGATTGCGATAAAGCTCATGTAAGACTTCTGCGTTTTTTTGCATAATTAGTTCACGTGGAGAGTAACGATGATACAATGTTTGATCTTGTGTTCTTTGAAGGTTATGGACTATGGTAACGACACTATCGGGTAAATGTCCATTTGGAAACTTTACCAGATGTATCCATGAACGTTTGATATATATGTTTAGATGATGATTGATGTTATATAATACCAAAAAATGCAGGATATTAGATAAATCCATTTCAAGTCTAGAGATGAAATTAGTAGCTGCTAGAGCTGAACGTGAGTCTTTGTCTGGAAGATTTGACATTTCCAGAGAAGGCAAGAAAAGAAAATACTTCATGGTTATTGGTATTAACACTGCCTTTAGTAGTCGGAAGAGACGTGACTCGGTCCGGTCAACATGGATGCCACAAGGTAAGGCTTTTCCCGGTTGCTTGATTTCTAGTGTAAACTACACAATGAAACTGTAACTTTTTTTCTTTCTCTGTTTCTAAACAACTATTCAGGAGAGAAGCTTAAGAAACTTGAGGAAGAGAAAGGGATCATTGTTCGGTTTGTTATAGGACACAGGTACAAAGGAGAAGTCATGCTCTGTGGTGAAAAGATAAGCATTCATACTTTGTGACACATCATCATATTTGAATTGTTATGATTTCAGTATGTTGTCTCGCGGGATTCTTGAGAAAGCCATTGACGCAGAGGAGCAAACACATGGAGATTTCTTGAGACTAGTAAAATCCGCAAGATTCTCATTCTTTATTCTTTATTCTCAATTGTGTTTGGTATATTTTTCTACTTGTTAGTTAAAGGTCTAGAGAAAAATATAACAGGAACATACGGAGGGATACATGGAGTTATCCGCCAAGACAAAGACTTTTTTCGCTACCGCTGTTTCATTGTGGGACGCTGAGTTCTACATCAAAGTCGACGATGATGTTCATGTCAACCTCGGTAAAAAAAAAAAAGTCAAAATGTTTCATCTTTATATTAATATAATCGTTACATCCATTTTGTTCTGATGTGTCTTATTGATCTTGTTTTGCAGCTACTCTCAAGACGACTTTATCCGATTACCGAAACAAGCCTCGGGTTTATGTTGGATGCATGAAGTCAGGCCCCGTCCTAGCCAGAAAGTAAGTAAAAACCATATCTACCTTTTAAGGTGAGCATGTTTAGGTTCTTGAACAGCGTAAAAGAAAACTGTTTTGCAGACATTTTTATATTACGTGTGAAAAAATACAGAGGTGTGAAGTACCATGAACCGGAACATTGGAAGTTTGGAGAGGTCGGGAATAAGTATTTCCGCCATGCCACGGGACAGATTTACGCCGTTTCTAAGGATCTAGCTACTTACATATTGATAAACCAGTAAGTTTTTTTTGCTAACTTGGTTTCAGCTGTTAATTTAAATGCAGCCAAAATACTCAGGAAAAAAACATCTATTGATCTCTCTAAGGAACTTGCTGCATAAGTATGCGAATGAGGATGTGTCTTTGGGATCTTGGCTCATTGGGCTGAACGTTGAACATGTTGATGACAAAAGACTCTGTTGCAATACTTCTCCTCTTGGTAAATGCTTAACGATTCTGGTCTGGTTTATGCTCTATTCGGTTTGGTTTAGTCGATGCAAGTCACCAGTTTTACTTTACTTAATTTTACTATAGAATAATGTAAAGTATCTTTTAAAATTGCTAAAATAAAAAATTTCAATAGTTTAACCAGATTATAGTTTTTTTTCCCTTAGATTATTATCACTATAGATACATAATAAATTATTTAACTCATTTTTTACATAATACGGTTGGATTGTTGTAATGCGCATGCTTACATCAACACAACAATAACCCATAAGTCTCTCTATCGCTTGACACATCAGCATTTTTAAGCTTTTAGGAGATGACACTTCAGCAAAAAAAACACCAATAAATATTTCATTAATACAAGTCATCAATTTATTTTAACTTTTAAATTTAAACCCATTAAAACTCAAATATTTTTTATTGTTAATTTTAATTTAATTTTTTGGTCAAGCCCAAACCCAAATAATAAATAACAGCAAATAAAAAAAATATTTTATTTTTTTAACAAACCCAAATAATAAATAACAACAGATAATAAAATTAAATTTTTGTTTTATATTTTTGCTAAACCGAAACTCAAATAATAAATAACAGCAAAAAATTAGAATTTCTAACTATGTGTTTGCTTGATAGAGACGTATATGATTAAAGAAAATGTAGACTCATCATCAACTATGCTTCCATAATAACAATACAAAAAAAGTTATGTTATAAGAAGCTCACACATCAGCAAAAATTTGAACCAATAAAAACATAACAATAATACATATTATTAACACACTAATAAAATCAATTTACTATTTTGCTGATCCATTAAAAAGCCCAAAGTTTACAAAAAAAAGGAAGGCGAAAGCAAATGAGGAGAAACTCAGACCACCACAGCTTGGAGATTCGCATTTCCACTGGTTACCAAGAACAAATTTTCTTAGGTTTGGTGAAAATAGAGAATTTCTTGGTTTTGATAGAAAAATGTGATTTTCAGTTTTTGTAGGAAAACATAGTTTCTCGGTTATGGCGGAAAAAAATGAATTCTCGGGTTTGGCGACAAAATGTGAATTTTTGGTTTTAGTGAGAAATAAAAAATTTGATTTTGACGAGAAAATGCGAGGGAAATGCAACTTTTTAATTTTGACAAAAATACGATTTCTCGGTTTTGATAGAAAATACAATTTTTATGCTTTTGATGGATAGTGTAATTTCTTGATTTTTGCGAAAAAATTGTAATTTGACAATTTTGGCAGAAAATACAATTTCTCAGATTGATAGAAAAGCAAAATTTCTTTATTTTAGCGGGAATAAACAATTTCTTGGTTTTAATGGAAAATACAAATTTTCAGTTTTTGACATATAATTTGATTTTTGGTTTTCGAGGGAAAATATGATTTCTTAGTTTTCGTGGGAAACACAATTTCTCAGGAGATAATGCAATTTTTGGTTTTTGCGGAAAATTATAGTTTATCGGTTTTGGTAGGAATGCGTGATTCTTGATTTGACGAGAAAAATAATTTTTTCTTGTTTTGGTGGAAATAGACGATTTCTTGATTTTTGCGGGAAAATAATTTTTTGGTTTTGATGGAAAAATACTATTTTTTGTTTTTGCACAAAGATGAATTTTTTGGTTTTGGTGAAAAAACTTGTTTTCCCTGTTTTGACGGAAAAACACAGATTCTCACAGGAAAATGTGATTTTTTAGTTTTTGAGGAAAAATGCAATTTCTTTGTTTTGGTTGGAAAATAAAATTTTCAGGTTTGACGAGAAAATGATTTTTTTTGTTTTGGCGGGAATAGACGATTTCTCAGTTTCGCGGGAAATAATTTTTTTTTTGTTTTGTCAGAAAATGCAATTTCTCGGTTTTTATAAAAAGATAAAATTTCTCTATGCTAAATTTTCAAGTTATAATATGTTTATAGTAACCAAAATTGATTTATTTAACTTTAATTAAATTGATATTTCAACAGTTCAAATAGAACTTTCTATTTAGTTCTAAAGTAATAGTAATGATTTTGATATGAATGTTATTGATTACAGTTTGATTGTTTTAGAAACATATGTCTATAATAAATATTTGATAAATAAATAAATTTTATAATTTAAAATAATCATATTAATTAATATTTTTTTAAATGGCAATTTGTTTTATATAATTTCAAATGAGGGTCAAGTAGCAATTTAGTAGAAAAAATAAATTACATCTACCATTAGCTTGAAGGTACCTAAAATGTATTGTTTTATTTTTACATATACATTTATAGATAGTTAGTTAAACAAATTTGATAGTAAATTATAATTTAAAAAAATAAAAAAATTAATAATATATAATGTTTATTCAGATTTAAAACATATAAATACATAACTTGAGCTAATAAAAAATAAATATAATACTCATTTAAAATGTATAAATAATTTTATTATATTAAAAATATATACAAATCTAGAAAAATATTCTGCAGCGTAACGCGGATAAATACCTAGTAATATGTAATGGGTATATAACAATAACTGTTTACTAAAAAATTCTGATTTTTATTTCGAAACTTTTTGGCTACTTTCTTATTATAGATTTTTTTTTGTTTCATTTTCATTTTGAAATGCAGATTGTGAACTAAAAGCAGTGATGGGTCATGCTTGTGCGGCATCGTTTGACTGGAAATGCAGCGGAATCTGTCGGTCGGACGAGAGAATGGCCGATGTTCACGAGCGTTGTGGCGAACCTGAAAATGCGTTATGGACCTCAACAAATTCCTGATAAACTAAAGAAAACATGGTTTATTACTAAAATAATAAGAGTACAACATACTATAATTCGAGTAAAGCTAATTTTAAGAAACAGAGAGTGAGAGAGAGAACATAATTCTTTTTTGTTTTTGGGTGTTATAAGTTAAGTACTAGTAGGGTTTTTGGTCAGGAAAATAATAAATGTATGCAAAAAATAGTTAGTGAAGTGGTTTAATGAGAGGCAAAGAAATAATGTTTTGGTCACATTTGGTTTGTCCTATGACAGACAGAGAGTCCTTATTGTTGTGCCTTTTTATTAATTCCCACATGTCCTCCTTTTTGCTTCTCATTATTATTCTCATTGGACTACTTTTACGTTTTTTTCTGACCTATATTATTTTTTAGACTATATCGAGTTCATATCAATTAGGCTCAAAACTCTTGGAAATTTTACAATAGGATTTTGTTTTTTGAACATTAGATTTCAGGACGATTCTTGCATCATAATTTAGTTTTTTAGGTCTTGAATTTTCCTATTTTCATGTGTGTTTCAGAAGTTCGAACATATTGATAATACAGTAACTCTCTTCTATTCTCTTCAACGTTCGTTGGACATCGTTTGGGAGTAGTGAAGAAGAAAGTGAATTGTTTACCTTTTTCACTAAATCATAAATTATCAATCTTATTTAAATTGTCTCAAACATACTTCCGCAAATGTGTTGATGATGTTTTGTTGATTTAGTCTTATTGAGAATAAGTCCAAAAACAGACTTCCTAGTTTTCGCAAGATTAACAAAAAAAAAAAAAGCGAATAAACATACACGTTTAATTATATAACAAATGATAAATTACAATATAGTCACGATAGAAACCACGACACAATTTACATTCTAGCTAGTAGCATGATGTTACTAATTATCTTAATACTTCCTAGAAAATAGATGTGTTATCGCAGGTTATACTTGGGATTTTGGGGTTTGTGTTGCTTGTTAATATCATATACGAAGCCTGCATTGTAACACCAACAAAAAAGGTTGTATTAAGAAATTATCAAATTGCGTAGTATACAAAAAAAATTATTAATAACATACCTTTAAGGTTAATAATAACCATCATTGCCAATTTTGGCTTAACGCGTGATATTGGCACGGCTCAATCGAACAAAACCGATCTCTATAAATTAAGAGCACGACTATTTGATTGAACCGCACTAATATCTCGTGTTGCCCCTTACATCAAAACCAGACTCATCCAAAACTTCTCTCTATTTAGCTCCAGAAAACCAAAAGAAAGGTAACATCAACAATTAAAATCAAATAGATACTTTATAGAAATGACGTCGACACTAAAAATGTTACTTTACCGGTGAAAATAATCGGATCCTCGCAAGAGTCTTAATTTCAGCGACGTCAAAAAACCAACGTACTACTAAGCAGAAGAATGAAAGGAGAAGAAAATAGAATAAGAGTATATGCAAAGTTTATGGAACTTGCAAAGTGGAGAAGAAGATATAAATATGAAGATGGTTGAAGTAGAGAGGCAAGGCATTAAATTAGACCAACAACCCCATACCAAAAAGGAGGTTGGTTTATTAAATTTGAATTGTTTCTCCATGAAATGTTTTTACTTTTTGTCAAATTATTTGTTTATAATGTAACTGAAAACTTACAAACGTATGATAGCAGCAATATTCAAACAGAAGCATACGTGAAGCTCTGATGAGTTCCAAGAACAAGACGAGTTTTGGTTTTGCTTATGTGTATATGTAAATATTATTGTTCTTTAGTAAAATCTAAATGTATGGTCTAATAACGACTTGAATTAAACTCTTGTAGTAACAAAATTGCTTATGTGTATACAACAAAGATAACGATTAAAATTAAAGGAACAAGGTTCCCACGAGCTTTCAATTTTTGTATTTATGAGGTTTGTAAGAGAAAGCAAGGCATGTTGGTGGGGTTGTGCCACTCCCAATATACATTTGAATTTCGAAATTAATATGGCTCAACTTTCCAAATATTCTCCCTCCCTATTTATTTCTCTTCTTGTTAAGTTCCTATCGTTTATTTAATATTTCCTTAAAAAAAGTAAAAATTATGTTTTATTATTATGTACCTTTGGAAATACATATGCATCATCTTCTAAAATTCGCGAAAGTGATCATATCGTCTGTTTCTCATGTCTCTTAAAATTAATTATTTCTAATGATTTTGTTGTTGTTGTTGTTGTCGTCTAATTTACTTGTTGACTGATACTGAAATTATGGAAGATTTTTTTTAGTGTGAACCAAACCAAAATTATCCTAAACCACAAGGCTGATAATCCGGTTATGCAGAGTCAACTCGGTTTTCGAGCAATCAGTTTCGTGTTGACTTATTGACTCTAAAAAATATTGAGCGAATCTTACTCAAACCCTAATTGAATTTCCGACACACAGAACACAGAAAAGATCAAACTTTTTTATTTTCGTCGTTACATAAAAGATCAAACCTTTTTTTTTTCTGTTTTTGTTTTCTTCTTCAGTTCAATCAAATTCGGTGAAAAAGGAAAGCTCTAGTCTCAGGTATGCTCTCCCTCTCTGGTTTCGTGATTCGGGTTCATCTCTGTAGATGATTGAACGTTCGTGTGATCTTCTACTAATCTGTAGGGTTTTCATTAATTGATTTGGGCGTTTCGATTTTGTGTGTAGAATTTCGATTTTGATTAAGCGACATGGCGAATAGCTCTTTCAAATTGGAGCACCCTCTAGGTAAGTTTCATGTTTTCTCTGTTTTGTTTTCGTTGGCCATGCGTGAGCAAATCTCTTCCAGCTCGTGTTGTGATCACTCAGGAACTATGAATATTCGATTTAACCATAGTTTAAGCTTTTGTTAGCGTATTAGATTCTCTGATAGATCAGATTCATCAATCAAGAGATGAATGTTTCCCTTTGATGCTATAACTTGTCTCCTTCTTGGTGTGTTTTTTTGTAATGTCAGAGACGAGACAAGCCGAGGCTTCTCGCATCAGAGAGAAGTACCCAGACAGAATCCCAGTAAGAGTTTTTTTGTTTCACATCATTGTCGAGTGGTAACTCTACGTTTCTTTCCTGCTTAACAGAGATTGCGCATTGCAGGTGATTGTAGAGAAGGCTGAGAAAAGCGATGTCCCCGTTATCGACAAGAAAAAGTCAGTTTACTTCTTCTTCTTCTCTCATGTTTCGTTTTCTTTATCTATTGACAACAATGTTTCTTCTAACGCCATTGATCTGCAACCTTTCTTTTTGTTTGGTATTGATTGGATACAGGTATCTTGTGCCGGCGGATTTAACAGTGGGACAGTTTGTGTACGTTGTCCGCAAAAGAATCAAACTGAGTGCCGAAAAGGCTATCTTCGTCTTTGTGAAGAACACATTACCCCCAACTGGTAAACAAAAACGATAGTCTCTTTCCTTTATCATTGATAGATTGACTTATGTTATGGTGAATACAAGTTTTGTTTCAAACGAAAATCTCTAGTGATGATGTCTACTCGGGACTCGCCATACTTTTTCTTTCTCTCGCATTTCGTGCTTGTGTCATCTTCATCTATGTTTGTTGATTTGTGCTGCTCATTGTTTTTTGTAGCTGCAATGATGTCTGCAATTTACGAGGAGAACAAAGATGAAGATGGGTTTCTCTACTTGACTTACAGTGGAGAGAACACCTTTGGTTTGGCTTAGAGTCTCTTCTTCTCGGGAAATATGTGAATATCATGCTATTTTTTCTTTTTATGACTCAAAATATGTACTAAGTAATTTATTCTGCTTTCCGACTGGTTTTATGTAAATGTTAATCACAACTTCTTTTTTAATATTTTGGGTTCTCTATGCTTCGGATATTATTGTCCTCGCCACAACTTCTGTCATCTATAACAACAGAAACTTACATCATACCAACAGATTTTAAGATGTGAAACGCTTCTGCAAACGCAAGTTTATACGTTGGAAATGTGTAAATACGTTCGAGACACGTCAAATCTAGAACAAATCTCAATTCAATCCGTGGGAATGGGATACACAATTTGAAAGTCCAAAACAGATTTTTTTTTAAGAAAGAATGAAATAATAGTAAATCGAGACATTCCAAATGAGAAGAGGAAGAAGCGGAAATCACAATTTTTTATTTATGACTTTTTCCTCTGCACAAGATTTTTCATCCAATTGACACCAATAAATGCAACCAGCTTCGCTCTGTTAAACCCTGCTTTGGCCTTGCCGGACTTCTTCCCGGCGGCGTCTTTCTTGCCGTTAGTGGTTTCCTCCTCTGCCGCCATCACTCCAATTCCTCCGGTCCCCCATTGATCCGCCCAACTCGGTGCTTCACTCGCCATTTTAGTTATGATCACAATACCTTATGTGCCTTTTAGGAAAAAAAATATCTTATTCAAAATCAAGATGACTATGAATTCATAATCATGCATAACATTAACAGGAAGAAAAAGAAGAAGAAGAGTACCTCTAATTCGTGGAGCTCTTCTTGGTAAAGAGGAAAGAAACGATTTTGAATGAGCAAAATGAGTGGAAATGTGGAGAATGAAGACACTAATAATGGATGGGTTGTCAATTTATTTTATTTTTGAGTGTAACTATTAGTTTACTATATACTATTTGGATTGTCGTCTTTTAACCTAAAAAGTCTTATGTTTTTTTTATATAAATAAAGTTTAAATATGATTATTTGGGTGTCTTGGAATGGACTTGCCAACTCATATTAGTTCGTTTCCAACTTGCAAAGCAAACGTTTTTTTGGAATCTTTCAACTTTTTTTTTTTTTTCAAAAGCATTAAGAAACAGGCAAAGACATGAAAACACCTAACACCATGTAATTTCTCTATAATTTTGTTCTATATTTATAAATTGTAAATCCACTTTCTCGCACAAGAAGTTTAACTACTCATCAAGGAGAGTTAGGTTATCAAGAACTTATTTGGTAAAGGGTGTTTTTACGTCTTACACCAACAAAAGGGCATGGTACTGTATAGTGAAATGTTATAGATTGTTTTCGTTCACAAGATTAAGAAGCCAACAACAAAAACGTTCAATCTTTTAATATTTCACGTTAGAAACCACTATTAAAAAATTATAAACATCGAAATCATCTTTCTTGATTGGTGAATGACGGAGTTTACAACAAAAATGAAACACATAGGTATAAAAATGATGTGAAGCCAATAGTGTGGCTGATGGGTTTGTATGAACCAAGCCTAGTTTGAGTTAGTTATACAATGAGTTTGATAAAAAAAAAGAAGATCTATTAATGATAACATCGGCCCATTTAAAACATTCAGCCTACGATGTTTACTTTTTCCGGAGAACTACTTTAGCGCATCCACACGATAGAGTAATTTTCTTACCTGCAAAATAAATAAAACACCATGAGAGTGAGAGAGATGATCCCATTGTTATGAATGGGGAATTAAAGCACTTTAACTTGTGCTCCTTTTTGACTAACAAAATTATTCAAATAAGAAAACCCGAGAAGTTTAGAGTTTTTCGTATTTAAAAATCATCGTAAAATACTATGTATGACCCTAATTAATCAACATGTAACATTTACATTGCTTACCTGATATATCTGAGTTGCTCATCCACTTATACCCAGTCGGTATTGCAAATGGATCCACCGTTTGTTCCTCCTCCTCCCGCAGCCGCCGCTGTGAGCTGGTGATGTTCAGCCTTAGCCAAGACGGCGTTGAAAACGATGACCGTGAACTTGACAACGTCCTTATGTCAGATTTTTCGTCACCGTCCACGTCGGAACGGTCTTCGATTGCAGCTGAGAGGTGTCTCGGGCTTGATAGTGGTGTGTAGAACTGATCCATAGGCCGTAGAGCCACGAACTTGCTGAATGTGATGACTACCTTCACCGTTGGGATCACCGGTATCGACAACTGGGAAGTGGGACCCACCCATAAACCAAAATATATAATGAGTGTCTGATTTTGCTGTGAAAAACCAAACCAAACCCGGTTTTGATCTTTAATTATTTCCCCCTTGTAAATTGTATTTCAAACCGAACTAAGCTTGAATAAAAACAGTACAACCGATTAAAAACTCACATTTAAAACCGCGACTAAAACCGAATAACGCGAAATAATTTGAAAACCTAAAATCCCAAACCAAACCGAAATCGGACAGTCTCGCCTCCAACCAGGTGATATTGCCCCCCACATTAGCGCCTATTCTAAATATTCAGCCAATGGAATTACGACACGTATAATAACAGTGTTACTAGCATATGTCTTTAATTCTCATGCAAACGCTTCAAAAAAGGAAATGAAATTAATGAGTTTCCAAGATTGCCCCTTTTTGTTTACCTTGACCGGGAATGTTCCCGGCGGGAACTTGGCGGTGAGAAGCTCGCGCATTCTCCGAACGGCTTTAACATGGTTGGCTAAGATATCAAGCAACGGAAGCAACTCCTCCGTCTTCAAAGGGAAACCATCGGTTAACCAAACCGAAGGACTCAAACTCTTCACAAACTCCTTTTCTTTTACCCGCGGCACAGAAGAAGCCACCGGAATCGCCCCTTCCGGTAAAGACACCGACCTTCTCCTCCTCCGCTGCGACGTATGGAGTTCTTTCTCCTCCAAACAACTGTGCTGCCTCCTCTGCGGCCGTGACGATTCTGAGAAACTCCGATGATTCGGTTCCTCGGAAGGCAAATTCTGCTCTGTTTCTCCGGCGGCTACGACTTTCCGCGATTTGAAACTGAAACTCACGTTCTCCATCTCGTAACATTTTGCTTTCCATTCTCCGATGGTTTCAATCTTCTCTTGCCGTCGCCAATTCGTCCTCTCGACGAGCTCTGCTTTCGTAACATCCATCCCTGGACGGTTAACGCTCGATTGAGAGCAGAAACTGGCGATGTCGCCATCGCTAATCGGATCTCTGGCGTTTTCGAAAGCGTTTAAGATCGTTTTATCGTCTCTGTTCAACACAAGCAACGTTCCGGGAGAAACGTCGAGGAACTCGTCTCCGTCGCTGAGTAAGAGAAAGCTCTGGTTCGCGCGGCGGACTTTGAATCCGTCGAATCCGGCTAAAGAGGTATCAGCGCGTAAATCTCCGCCGCGTTTCCAGATCCTGTAGGTGTCGGAAGGAGCGACCTTTCCGACGAAAGGAATCACGGAGCTCTCGAAGTGGAAAGAGATCTCCATGTAGAAATCTCTCATGCGGCGGAGGACGGCGATCAGATGCGGCAGTCTCCGTCTCCATTTGCACCATGCGGATATATGCTGATGCCGTAGAATCGTCTCTGTCATCTCTGAGTTCTGACGACACAGCGCCTCGTGCAAGGGACTCCAACCTGCCGCGTTCTGAAGCGTGATATCTGCGCCGGCGGAAGAAATAGTCTTCGCCGCGAAAACGTCGCCGATGCGCACCGCCAAATGGAGAGGCGTCTCTCTGAAGGGAACATCGCGGCGGTCGAGGATGGCAGAGATTTGATCCGCCACTCGCTCTTGGCTCACTGAGTCGGACTCGGTGTGGATTTGTTCTGGGTCGGTTAGCTTAGGCAAGGACGAAACCAGACGAGTCAAACCGGCGTGGTCTCCTAAAATGACGGCGTAGTGGACGGGACTGTGAGCATAATCCTCCAGAGTAGTGGCCGGAATCTTCGCCAGCGACGACTTGGGCATATTTTTTACGGCGACTGTTGTTAGAATAACTCTTACAACAAAAAGTATGTTTCGTATTTATCTAAACAGTAGTCAACTTTAATACAAGCATTCATAATGTTTTTGGCAAGTGAGTAATTATTATTCTAATTTTCTTTAATTATATATATATTTTGTTTTTGTTCAACGATTTTTTATACAAAAATCATAATTTCTTATCCAATCATAATGACCTGGTAATATACAATATACAACAATTAACTGCACATAGATATATACCTAAGATAGGATTTAAAATTTAAAACAGTGTGATTCATATGAGAAAAAAAAGTTATCAAAATATTCAATCAATGAAAAACAAGATAATCAAATATGATTTGTGTATTTTATTATACCAAAATAAGTGTTGCAAATATCAAGTAATGAATCATTATGGAATTGGTATATAACAGTCTTTTTATTTGTTGAAGTTAGAAAATTTATGATAAACAGAGAGTAACAGTAAGAACAACATAAACGTTCATTTATTAAAAACCATCTACTAAAAAAAAAAATTAAATGGATCATTTTTGAGGTTTATGTATGGTTTTTGTTTTTAAAATTAGTTTTGTAACAAATGGGTGTAGTAGTTTAGTGGGATTTTTTAGATGTTTGATGACAAAAATGTAATTTTGGATCAGTTTTGAACCTGCTGGATGAAATAGAGACTCTCGGACCTGTAATGCTGGATGCAGCAGCCAGCAGAGACTCTCGGACCTGTCTTTGTTCTGCAGTTGCGTTGGATTCAGCTTCTGTTCGTGTCCAAACATTAACCTTTGAGTCTTACCCTCCTCTGTCATCTATCCACGCCCGAACCCGAAAAAATTTCCAACAGAGAAAAACCCACAAAAGCTCTGAGCTTTGGTAGTAATGGCTGGTGTGGCAATTTCACCTCCTCTCGGTCTTTCCTTCTCTTCTCGAACTGGAAACCCTAAACCCACGTCGTATCTATCTCACAATCAAAGGTACCTCCTTTCTAATCGCAATCACACTCTCACAGGATTACATGATCTTAAATTTCTCTCATTTTCTTTTGTGTATGTAGAAATCCTGCAAGGCGTATAGTTTCTGCGCTGCCGAGTCCGTATGGCGATTCTCTGAAAGCTGGTAACTTCAAATCATTTGAGAGGTTTAGGCTTTGTATATGTCGGAACTGAGCTGTTTGATGCTGAAGAGTAGTGTTCTAATTCCCGAATTATTGATTTGTGTCTGAGATTTTGGTTTTGGGTTTTGATGCTTTCAGGACTTTCGAGTAATGTCTCTGGATCCCCAATAAAGCTTGACAACAAGGATCCTCTTAGTGTTGCTCCAAGGTCATTTCTATTCTCTTCTCTCTCTTGATTATGTACTCAACCACACACTGCCTTTTAGTATCCAATTCTATGTATTGTCGTGAGCTAGATTGATTGTCGAAGTTCTTAGTACAAAATGTCAATCAAATCAACACAATCTGTTGTGTTTCACACTCTTTAATTATGATAAGACATGCCTACCATAGGCTATATGATTCTGAATGTGTTTAAACCGATTTGTTGTGTGTTCTGTGTTGCAATGTTTAGATTTGGAGTGATAGAGGCGAAAAAAGGAAACCCGCCTGTAATGCCATCAGTGATGACCCCTGGAGGGCCTTTGGACCTTTCCTCTGTGTTGTTCCGCAACCGCATTATCTTCATCGGGCAACCAATCAACGCACAGGTTGCTCAGCGAGTTATATCTCAGCTTGTAACACTTGCATCTATCGATGATAAATCCGACATCCTGGTTAGCTACCAAAAAAAATAAATCACTTCTACTTTGTCTCAGTTACTACTTTTCAATGAAACTTAAAAATCTAATCTTTACTGTGGCAAGTAATCAAAATCTCTGCTTCAGGTGTACTTGAATTGTCCCGGAGGCAGCACCTACTCCGTCTTAGCTATTTATGACTGTATGTCTTGGGTAAGTAGTGTTTTTCTTCTTCTTCTTCTTCTTCCCGTGATAAGGTTTCCATCACAGTGAAACCTGCGGCATGTTAACGTATTGGAATTTGTTATGTTTTTAGATAAAGCCTAAAGTTGGAACAGTTGCGTTTGGAGTAGCAGCGAGCCAAGGAGCTCTTCTTCTTGCTGGAGGTGAAAAAGGGATGCGCTATGCAATGCCAAATACTCGTGTCATGATTCATCAACCGCAAACTGGATGCGGAGTATGGCTCTTGAAAATTCTACCTTGTTCTTAGTTGGTATCTCGTATATGGTTTTGAACTCAAATTGATTTTGTGTTTAACATGATTTTGCAGGGACATGTGGAGGACGTGAGGAGACAGGTCAATGAAGCCATCGAAGCCCGACAAGTAAGTCTCTCTCTCTCTCTCTCTCTTTAACCTCATGCTTCTTGCTTTAAAAATATGGAGGATCAAGTCTTTGGAGCTAAGAACTGAATCTCTTTGGTTGTTTCTCTATGCGTGCAGAAAATTGACAGGATGTATGCAGCTTTCACTGGACAACCTCTCGAGAAAGTGCAGCAATACACTGAAAGAGATCGTTTCTTGTCTGCATCTGAGGTAATTTACCGCTCATGTCACGTCTAAGTTGATATTACTAATCAAATCTAAAGAGGGCTTGGTTCAAAAACCAGTGACAAAGCCACAGCTCGTGCACATTGTCTTTGTTCCTCATAGATACCATTGTCGAATTTTGCATGTGATTTTTTTTCTCTGGTTATTTTCTTATGCAGGCGCTTGAGTTCGGGCTTATCGACGGTCTATTGGAAACAGAGTACTGAAACAGCTCATTGAAATGTTCGAAGCTTCCAATTTCATTTGAATATGAACTGTTGTAACTGACATTTGTGCATAAACCAGTTTGGTTTTCTCGGTTTTACAATATACTAAGCCAAACTGCTTTTTTTTTATTGCGCTGAAACAGTCGGCAAATTCATGTTCTATTTCGGTTATGTACTTAATCCTAGACAATGCTAACGCAGATGTCTGTTTGGATAGTGAATCTGTAACATAGAATTGTCAGAACAAGATGTGAAGAAATTGGCAACAATGGTGGCTGCACTGTATATTAAGCTCTCCAATAGTCTCCTTTGTACGACAAATATGAGAATAACAAAACAAAAATTTCATTTCTGAAGCTCTGTTCTTTATAACCCCAGTTTCTGTCAAGTCCCTCTCAATCATCATCAAGTCCCTGTCAAGAATAATACAAAACATCCCCAGTTTCCTCCCATTAATCAACAGAAAGTGACCAATGGCTGATTCAATCCAAAGTAAAAACTGAGTAACCATGGCTGATTCAATTCAAAGTAAACTGAGTTCCAAAAGACAAAATTGACAAATAGGTTGACTCAATCAAGGTCAAAGGTGGAAACTAAGTATAATAATGGAAGATGAAAGACTTACCATAGTTTTGGCGCACCCCTGTGAATTTGTATATTGCTTTCAAAAGGGAACCATATCTCATATACTTCAAAGATCCCATATGTCTAGCAACAACAAACAGATACCAAAAGAGACAAACTTTATCAGATTTTGCTCTGAAGATATAAGAGTAAATAGTTAAAAAAGAAAAGACCAAGAAAAAGAGTTAAAACGCACGTACACTATCTCAGCGTATCGAAGTCTCCAAGCAGGGAAACCAAGGTGGCTCCTTACAGGTCCATAAACCAGCAACAGATCAGGCACGTGTACATTATCACCTGCCAGAGTTTTAGATAATTCAAGAAACTTAAAGAGTTATTTGAATTCCGTAATAGAGAATCAGCACAAACCAACGACTGTTAATGCTTCGTTCAAATGAGACTCTGTGAAAAAGTCTTCCCCTTTATCGTTCTCGGGATGGCTGGATTTCAAGTATTTCTCGAGTAGTATGTTGGCTGCTTTCACAACAGCTTCTTTATTGTCGGAAGACGAGATGAATTCTATAGCAATGCGATTTTGGCCAGGCGAAAAATTCTTTTCACCAGTGTCCTAAGAAAGAAGGAAAACACAATGAGCAAGATAGAGCAACAATCTAAAAAAGCTCCGTTTCTCAAACTAATCTGCAAGGTTCTTCATCATACCGGTAACAACACTGAACCCGGCACGATTTCAAGGATCATATCCTTGGATTTCTTCAATAAACCTAAAAAGAAGCCAACTTTCAGGGATGAAGATACATGTGTATTCATGAAGGAACAATTCGAGATGATTTGGTAAAAAGGAACTTACCTTGCGAGTCAAAGAGGCCAACTTGTTTCACCCCAATAGTCGCCAGCCATTGCAAAAGCTCAATAACCTTGGAAATATCTCGAGCTACTTCGATGTCCACCACAACAGCTAGACACCGGAGTTTCTCGAAATCGATGGAATTGTACTTTTGAATCAATCCTAACGATATCACATAGCTTTCGATAGCCTCAAAGATGCCAGAGACAACGTGGCATAAGCTCACAACAAGGTGTATGAAACGCCACAGCAAATCAAGACCAACATCACCAATCTGTGATAAACAGAAGACCAAGTTATGGCTTGGAGAATCAATCTCAATAAACGCTAATTTCACATGATCTAAGCAGGTTTTGAGGTGATGATATAAAGAGGCTTAGGCAACACCAAACCGTTAATGATCACTTAATTCCATAAGCGTTGAAGCACTAATGAACTAAAAAGCCTCCCAATAATTATATAACAATATAAGGAGCTAACAACTCACTTGACCAACCCAGGAACTCAGGAGCAGCATCGGCTCATTCATATCCATATATCTGGGAAAAAAAACAGAGAAAAAGGATTCAACTTTACAGAAGAACACACAACAGAGGCAGCGTACTATGGAGCAGGAGGAGGAAATTCGAACAAGGGGTTTTCGGAAAATCGTTGATAGAAGAACCCAGAAACAGAATTAACACACACAAAAAGACACAGATCGAAGAGAAGATTGACGCTTACAAGAAGTAGCCGTCTCCGTAAATAACGCTGCGTGTGTTATGGATGTTTACAAAACCAAACTTCGAACAACCAATCAACTCAAAACTCCTTTTTGATCGGAATCGGTTAAAAAAAAAAAAGAAGAGAATTTTGGGTGGTGAGATGAGTAAAAGGACACACTTTAGCCTCTGGACCAGACCCAGAATCCTAATTTCGGTGATATTTCACTTAAACCGTAGCAAATTTTGTGTGTAGCGAAATTTACTCTGTATCTGAGCTTCAGAGACGTCTGGGGTTCAAACTCTGTGAAGTTAAGTGTGTTATTTAGCTTTTCTTGTCATGGTTTTGTTGTGAATCGCATTTTTCTTTATACAACGTGAATCTCTTTTTTTGGGCAAATTCAGTTAATTATTAATGTATTCTATTAATTCTATTAGCAATAATATCTTTTTGTTTTAATAAATCATGATTAATACAAAACATAAATCAGATTAACCAACAGAGACAAAATATATGAAGAATTGCAACAACAAAAACCAGCCTCTTTACTTGAGATTCAGCACAAAATACAACATTTAGTAACAGTCAAGTATCCTACAAATCAAACACTCCTTGCTTGGTTTAACTTTAATCACATGACATCACAGAAATATAACACTAACTCTTCCTTCCCAAAGAAACAAGCCTCCATCATAACAGACTTACTCAATAGTTATGGAGCTGAAGTTTTAGCTTACAAAGTGACAAAGGTGTGTGTTGTGTAGTAAGTAGTCACTCTATTGAGTAGAGTCTTCAGAGAACCTAGCATCAAACCCGGTAGAGGAAGAATGCACAGAACCAGCAGCCACACCACCAGAGCCACGTTGCAGCTCAAGAACGAGCCATCGAACCGCTCTACTCATCTGTTCGAGCCTAACAGCACTAATGGGTGGGAGACTAGTCGCAGCACCAGCAGCTGCTGTTGCTTGGCCTGTCGCAGCGGTTAAACCAGTAGCCTCATCGACTAAACACTCAGATCCAATCCTCTGCTTCACTGACTCCACAAACTCCTCGGCTTGATCACAAGCCACGCGGAACAGTTCCCATTTCTCCTTGAAGTTCTCCAGCGCAGCATCAGTGAGAGAAGCCTTCTGCCCTCCTGCACTCTCCTTGGCCTCGAGAACATTAGCTGAGGCAAGAACAAACTTCTCGTAAGCTTTGTTCAGTGAGTCCACAATGTTATCCATTTGATCTTTCCCCTTTTAAAAACTGCTCACACCAATAAGAGATTTCAAGTTAAATCATTCGCTTCTCTACCGGAGAAAACGCAAAAGGAATCATAAAGCAAGAGCCCTAGCAGAGTCTAAGAAACCCTAAACCCCCAAAATTCTCAATTTTTTCTCGTTAAGCATCATAGAGTAAGAGAAATCAAAACCTCAGGATCAGAAAACGAAGAAGAAACGTTCAAGGCGGTTGCAATGGAAGCTAAAATCATTACAAAAAAAATTACATCTTTGTGAGAGGAATTTGAGCGAAATTGGAAATATGAGACTGATTTCGCAAACCCAAGTCGGAGTAACGATAAAGAATCAACAGGTTTTATTTTTTCTTTTCAAGGCAGAGAATCCACCGGACGAAATCAGTCGGAGAGACGAATAGGAGAAGAGTGAAAGAGGGGAAACTTACCGGAGATGAAGGGGCAACGAAGAGAGACGATTTGTGGCACTGTTTTTTAATCTGGTTAAAATTAGGGTCGAGTTTAAAATATAATCAAACCGGACCGGATTGGTCCATTAGAAGTGTTTTGGAACTAAAATCAAACCGGATCGGATTGGTCCATTAGAAGTGTTTTGGAACTTTTATTGGGCCGAAAGATGCAAAAGTCTAATAAAACAACAAATCTATTATTGATTCGAAATGACCTCAATTATTTATAGAAAACTTCTAAAATGAAAATTTCAAAAAATAGCAATGGGCCAATGTGTATATATAAACACCGTAAACAAACAGAAAAACAACTAAAACAACAACTAGAGAGAAAATGAAAAATCTATCCATCTTTATATTTGCTTTTGCCCTTTGCATGATCATTAGCGATGTTGAAGGGAGAAGGACAACAATCTTGATCAGGAACGGGCTTGCATACAAGAAATGGCTCAAGGTACATTGTGCATCTGGGGACGACGATATGGGAGTTCATTATCTGAAGCCTGGATCACCAAAAGATTACGACTTCAGTTTCGATGATAGCATAATGAGAAACACGCTTTTCTGGTGTACGCTAAGCAAAGGACCTGATTATAAAGTCTCCAAGAGGTTTGACGCCTACGTACAGAACAGCGGAAAGCCTCACGGAGGCTCGTATAATTACGTAGCTAAAGATGATGGCATCTATCACAGTAATTTGGTCGAGTTTAAACTTACCAAAGTGTATTCTTGGAACTAGCTACCTAGAGAAGATCACCCATTAACAAAAATTCTCTCTTGTTGTCAAAATCGTAAAACGTATTTACCATCATTGGTTTAATACACTTGTAAAAAGTAAAAACCATGGTGTATACTTGTATATCCCATTTATATATGTGTATCAATGATATATTATTGATGTTACTGATAGACTTTGGTCTTTAATTAGTTTTACGTATGAGTTTTGATAAACTTTAGAAACACATATGAGTTTTAATAAAATTTTGAATACGAGACATATTTGACGCCATCATATTTCTAAAGCTTAAACATGCTAACCGAACATATGTAGATGCTTAAACCGAACACATATAGAAGAATACTCTGATAGTGCTTTGTCTTGGTTTACGTTTTGACATAATTCGATGAGTGAAAAATCACTGTTTTGTTTGAGTTGTGTGTGTTCAATGTTACAAATCGTGGTGCAAAACAAGAACTATAAGAAAAATACCAAGTTACAACTATCATATTGCACGCGATCATATCTCTAAACCCTTAAACATCCTAACCGAACATATCCCTCACCTCTAAACATGCGAATTAAAATAAGCCTCCAAACACTTAACATACAGAAAACCTAAACATGCGATAAGGTGAACGAAAGTAGCAATACGGAAACAAAAATGAGAGATATATGGTATTAGGTATGCATGCGGTAGTTTTTTTTTGGGTGTAGTTTTCAGATTTCTTTTGAATAACTTGAAAAATATAAACCCATACAAGGTAAAAAGAAATACATTACATGAAAGTATATAGTTGATATTAGTAAGAAAAAATGGACCCTCATAACAATATTTCTTGATATGGGATATAATCTTCCTCGTTGTTTTAATTTCTAGATAATTTCTACATCATTAGTTGCAGCTTGAGACGAGGCTTCTGAGAACTAGATAGGAATTAGGGGTGGGCAAAAAAACTGAACCGAATCAAACCGAACCAAACCAACCGAACTTCAACCGACCCAAACCGAACCATAACTTCTACCAAAACATTTCGGTTAGAGTTTTGTCAATCCGAATGGTTCGGTTCGGTTCGGTTTAAAACCGAACCAAACTAAAATCCATTATGTTTATTATTAATTAATAATATCAAATCAATATTAATGATAAGTTTTTATAATTAACTAATATCAAATTTTATAATCATATTTTCATATTTATTTAAAAAATTTATTTAAATTATTATATTTACATCTTTATATTGCTCGATTTGTTAATATTATTGATTATTTATTTTATATTTTATAAATTAATTTATGTTAACCAATTTAAAAACCAAATTGAACTAAAGTAAACCGAACCATACATAAACCGAACCGAACACAAACCAAACCAAATTAATATTGGTTAAGTTCAGTTTGAATATTTATAAAACCGAATTAACCAAACTGAACCAAACCCGAACCGAACCCGAACTTAAACCGAAATGCCCACCCCTAATAGGAATACTGATAGTGTTTTGTCTTGATTTACGTTTTGACATAATTTGAGGAGGGTAAAGTCTATGAAAAAAATTCACTGTTTTTTTTAGATCTGTGGGTTCATATTAAGTTATGAAATCATGGTGTCGATGTTTTTCATATTTAGCCACATTTATGTTGTTTTCATTTTTATCAAATCAGAATCTTAACACACACTATTAAAAAAAACACCAAGTAACTTACAACCATCAAAATTCAACTATAATTACTTTTTTTTTTTCAAATTAGTAATCAGAGAAATAGAAAATTCAAAATTGACTATGGCTAAAATCAAGAACAAGAAACCAAGAAAAACCTTTGACTATTATTACAAACGAGTCCCCTAATATTGGCCTAGACCCTAAGATAAGAATTATTACTAAAAACTCAAGAACCCATCCCATGCTCTATATATACCACAGAGAAATTCAGTTTTAACAAATAAAAAAAACACAAAGCTTTTTTTGTTACGAAACAACAATGAAGCTCCTTTGTTTAACTTTGCTTTTCTTCGTCTCAACGTCTCTTGCCGCCGAACCTTCCAACTCAACAATCTACCAAAACTTTCTCCAATGTTTCATAAACCAAACAAAATGCCCTCCTAACTCATTAACCAACGTCGTTTTACCGCAAACCGCAGCCGCTTTCACCCCAACCCTACGCGCTTACATCCGAAACGCGCGTTTCAACACTTCCGCGACTCCGAAACCCGCGATCGTAATCGCGGCGCGTTCCGAGGCCGACGTCCAAGCCACCGTCGTCTGCACCAAATCGCTAAACATCCAGCTGAAAACTCGAAGCGGCGGCCATGACTACGAAGGCGTTTCCTACATGTCCAACGTTCCTTTCTTCGTCCTCGACATGTCCAACCTCCGTAACATCACCGTCCAAGGCGAATCCGCCTGGGTCGGAGCCGGCGCTACGCTCGGCGAGGTTTACTACAGGATCTGGGAGAAAACCAAAGCCCACGGTTTCCCCGCCGGAGTTTGTCCCACAGTCGGTGCCGGAGGCCACATTAGCGGCGGTGGTTACGGAAACATGATCAGAAAGTACGGACTCTCCGTTGACTACGTCACCGACGCCAAAATCGTAGACGTTAACGGACGTGTTCTCGACCGGAAAGGAATGGGAGAAGACCTGTTCTGGGCGATCAGAGGCGGAGGCGGAGCCAGCTTCGGCGTCATCTTATCATTCAAGATCACCCTCGTCCCCGTTCCTCCGACCGTCACCGTTTTCAGGGTGGAGAGAAACTTGGACGAGAATGCCGTCGACATGGTCCACAAATGGCAGTTCGTTGCACCCAAGACCGATCCAGGTCTGTTCATGAGGCTGTTGTTGCAGCCCGTGACCCGAAACAAGATGCAGACGGTCCGAGCGTCGGTGGTTGCTCTGTTTCTTGGAAAACAAGACGACGTCATCTCTCTGCTAGCCAAAGAGTTCCCTGAGCTAGGCTTGAAGAAGGAGAACTGCACGGAGCTTACTTGGATACAGTCAGTGCTGTGGTGGGCGAACAACGATAACGCCACAGAGGTCAAACCCGAGATCCTACTGGACCGGAACCCGGATTCGGCGTCTTTCCTGAAACGGAAATCGGATTTCGTGGAGAAAGAGATCAACAAGGAAGGGTTGGATTTCTTGTTTAAGAAGATGATCGAGGTCGGGAAGATTGGTCTAGTGTTCAACCCGTACGGAGGTAAGATGAGCGAGATAGGTACAACGGAGACTCCGTTCCCGCACAGAACGAAGCTTTACAAAGTCCAGCATTCGATGAACTGGAAAGACCCCGGAACCGAAGCTGAGAGCGGTTTCCTAGGACAGACAAGAAGCTTCTACAGCTACATGGCTCCTTTTGTGACCAAGAACCCTAGACACGCGTACATAAACTACAGGGATCTGGACATTGGAGTTAATAGCCATGGCCCAAACAGTTACAAAGAAGCAGAGGTTTACGGGAGGAAGTATTTCGGAGAGAATTTTGATCGGTTGGTTAAAGTGAAAACTGCCGTGGATCCCCAAAACTTCTTCAGAGACGAACAGAGTATACCTACCTCGTCTAGCAAGTAATCTACGCAATTTAGTTTACTATACTATAAAGTATAAGCTTTATAGACATAAAGTATAAACTTTATAGACACACACAATGATTTTTTTGGTACTTGCAAAACTTGTAATATACGATATCATATCTAAAAAATGATGTTTCATTTTTGTAATAAAAAAAATGAAAATTTCATTTTGGTAAATTATACAATTGTTTTCAACAACGGCCTTAGAGCCTCGAATTTTTCAGCAGAAACTAATCCGCTATTGTGTGAATCTTTACTCTAACTCGGGTAAAAATCATACAGAATGAAGAGCTTCTATAGCCCTAAGAACATAGAAAACTAAAAACGGTACAACAGAAGAAGAAGGGGATGCTTTTCAAGATCTTTTGCAGACAGCAGGAGCATTTCAGGCAACTCAGAAAACTTGCCTGATGTTTATGTTGATCCTCGAAGTTTTGATGTACTCTGCGACGAAATGTCCACTTTCACGGGACAGTTCTGATTCAAGTGCCCCAATATCCGCATTTTCTTCATCCGTGAAGATACGGGGTACGCCTGCAAAATCAAATGAATATTCTCAGACCAAGCTGTTCATCAACTGTTTATCAATCAGAGACAGGAACATGGCCAACTCAAGAGCTTCTTTCTTCCATGGAGACTGTAAATCTACAGTGCCAGAGCAGAAATACTATGCAAAGTGAAGCAGGTTACCGTGAAAGCATTCCCTGGCTTCTCCAGCCATTAGTACAACATCTCCACTTCTGAGATACATAGCATGAGGAGGATCATCTTTTGATTTTCCGCCTAAGAGAAAAATAGCTTTACATCCAAGGCTGCGTAAGAGTGATTATACAGTTACACACCGTTGCGCTTCAAAATCAATACGGTATTACGTTTTGCTAAGGAAGAAAGGCAAAGGATATACCTCATGCTCACTATGGGTTTACTCCAGTCAGCTTCCATGTCATCAAGGTGGCCTCCAAGGGTATCACCTAAAGAGTGTGTTAAAACGTTTTTCAAAGTTCAACATCTCTTAAAGATTTAACCTTTTTCCAAAGCAAGAAATACAAATTTTAAGGTAACTCTACCTAGGCCGAAATAGTTTACAATCGCACCCTCTGGACGAAATTCCTCTCCGATAGGCATTGCAATGGCGGCGTGTGTCTTAGCTAGTTGACAAAGTGCATCAGGGATTTCGTTATGAGGGAGAGAAACATCATAGTTGCGCTGGAAAACAAACCAAAAAAAAGGCAAAAGAATCAGTATTCATTTTAGATTGCAATAGGTGCTAATATCTCATCAAAACACGTTCCAAGATTTGACCTTGGACCAATCAAATTGTAAACCGAGTGTGCTCCATCGAAGCTTCCTTAGAAGAAGTGAAGCGGAAACTGATTTGCAACCTCTTCGTTTTGCTTTCGCGATATCTTCTTCATCGTCATAGAACTTCCATCTGTTGTGGTTGATACAAGTTTCGGATGCAGGATCCTCCTGAACCAATACTTTGTTTTCTTTAGCTGAATCAAACAAATCAGCAATGGGACCATAAATTGCATTGTGGTTAGTTCTATTTGGAGGCTGTGGAAAGTTCTTCAAGCTCTCTTTGATCCATTTACATTGTTCCTCCAAACTCAATGCACCAGGGATAAAGTAAAACCCTGTATGACAGACAATCTCACTTCCATAAGTTTCAAACATTGCAGGCAAAAATCTTCATACCCAGAACTGGATTCAAGTGCAAAAGCTGAGTCTTTTGGATCTTAATTCAACCATGATGATTTGAAATTTGGGGGTTTTTTTACTTACCGGGGCGATTCTCGATGCAGAAAACCGGGGAATCAGCTTCCGCAACCTTAATTCCGTCTGGCAAAACACCATTCTTGTAGAAATTTTGTAAGATCGAATCGAAATCGAGCAACGCCGACAAATCAACCGGTTTTGGAAGCTTCTTCCTGCGCGAGTTGAAGTGAATATAAGCGGGAAGGATACACAACGAACGCAGTGAAGGGGGGATATAGATTGTGCTTACTTTCTAGAGAACTTTGAATCCTGTTCATAGTAAAGCTTGTATTTTTTCTCTGCTCGCCGAAAAGCCGTACGATCTGCGTCGTCGGGGACGTTCGCCGATTCATACATCCTCACCAGTCGACGGATTAATCACGGGCTCCGGAATTAAGGAAGCCGACTTTAGAATATACTTACTCTTTTATTTTAAAATTGGCTATATTTTAGTTTTAATTTGTTTTTTTAACTCATTTTTCATTTTAATACAGTGGTTCTTCTTAGAACTTTTCATATATAATTAAAGATAAATTTCGATAAATACCCTAAAATCTTTAATGAATTTAAACAAAAAAAAATATTTATAAAATATAATTGTATTAAATTAAATTAAATTTTTCAGTTTTTAGAAAAAACATATTATATATAACTAGTGGAAAGTATTTAGTTTTAAAATATAATTTATTGCATTACACCTAAAAATTATACAAAAGAGAAAATATTTTATAAAAGAACCTATTGTAATTAATGAAAAGTATTTGATAAATTACAGCTAATTTGTCAAAGTTTTATAAAAAGAGAAACAAATCTACATTACATTTTATCATGAACAGCTAATTTGTCAAAGTTTTACAATGTGTATTACACCTAATTTGTTAAAAAAAGGAAATAATTATAATATTGAATGTCCTATTTAGCTAGTCAACATTAATCTATGTAGTTATTATATTTAGCTAGTCAACATTAATCTATGTAGTTATTATATTTAGCTAGTCAACATTAAAAAAATCCATGTGTCAACAAAACAAAATAACTTAACAAACTATTTCTTTCTTTGTGGGCCAACTCACGAAATTATTTACTAGTATAAAACTATGTGTGTCAATGAATGTAAGTAACGTCTTCCAAGTGTTTCTCCCTTGAGTTTGCTCTTCTCTCTGAAATAAAGCAAAAACAAAAAAAATCCAGACTTTTTGTTGTGACTTGATGTTATCACAATCTCTATACTTTCTTACCAAACCCATCTCTCCATTGACACTTTTGCTGACTTAATTCATCGGAATTTCTCTTTCACATTGCCGGCTTTCGTCGTCTCAGAAATATCTCCCCACTAATTCCATGGCCCTGAGGTGTTTCCCCGTTTGGGTTTGTCCTCAAGCGACTCATCGTTCTCCTCTCGTGGGTCCCGCCGAATCAGACGCCAAACGCCGTGGCTCTTGCCTTTGGGAGTGCTCCTCCTCAGCTACCCAGAGAGCCGTCACTGCCATTAGAGGCGAGATCCCGTACGGTCGTGAACTCAAAAAGCCCTCTGATGAAATGGGTCTGACTCAGGCCACCGAGTCGGTTACCTTTCACAGAGACTTGAGTATGCTTCCAAGTGAGTCATCTCGTTTCTTTTTCCCTTTCACACTCACAGTTTCATCTACGATTCTGATCGACATGTTTGTTGTTTTAAATGGTGTTTGCGTGGGAATGTTGATTGCTTGTTTGTGTTTATGCGATCGTCCACTTTCGAAAATTGTAAACTTTGGGGCCTTGTTAAAGCTGAATTTTGATTGTGTGGAGGATCCTTAGTTTAATCTAAATGTCTTTTGACCTTAGATTCCTTCTTTTACCATAATTGGGCAGACTGTCTTAACAAGTTTATAGAGAAGCAGACAGCAACAGCAACAACATGGACGAGTGCGTATATCGTTCCACTGCCTTACCAGACACTGTGTCATTGCCCCGTTGCATCCCATACGATCGAAAAACTCACAGAGCCGGTGAAGGAGATGGATCTTTTCACCGAAACCGCGAGTTTCTCCATCGTGTATCGGATCCAACGGAAGCGACACAATCTGGGATCATGGCAGAGGACCGCTACGACTAGCTCATCCATATTGTTGTTGTTGCTGCGCTGCTTCCTCAGATTCTTGTTATTTCGGCTGATACACCGAAATGGGTGGTGTGTTTTGTCAATACTAGATTCCTTTTTTCTATATTAAGTAGTTGCATTTGATGTTTCTGATTCAATCTTTCTTGTTTTGTAGTCTCGTATATATATATATATTAATCATTGTGATTTGCATTGGGACATAGGGCTTGTGACTTGATATGTTTTGTTAATACTAGATTCTTTATTCCACATTAGTAGCTGCATTTGATGTTTTCAGATTTCGATCTTTCCTGTTGTGTAGTCTCATGGATCAATCACTGTCATTTGCATCGAGCCATAGGACTTCTGTAATCGATCTATTTTGTGTGAGACTGTATTCACTTTTCCTGAAATATTATGAAACTCAAATGCATTGGCTGTCATATCCTACACTTATTTATTAGAACTTATTACTTTTTATTATCTGTCGGCATTGCAAGCCCTAACACTTTAATGTTGATTACAGAACCACTAACTGCAAACAATCTTTACTCTTCTGCTGGCGATGATTCAAAAGTTCGTATTTCGTTTCAGGTGAAATACTACTACGCTCACGTAACTGCAAATCTGTGTTCTTCTTTCTTTAATTTGCTTAATGTGTTTATTTTTACTCCTTTAATTTTCAGGGCATACCAGGTGCATATAGTGAGACAGCAGCACTGAAAGCATATCCAAATTGTGAAACCGTGCCATGTGAACAGTTTGAAACTGCATTCCAGGTTTTGATATATTGGCCACCTCTTAATATATTCATTCATACACCCACACAAAAAGTATGGTGCTTTTACTATGTTTTCATATGATTGATTGATTGATTCTTCAGGCTGTTGAGCTTTGGTTGGTGGATAAAGCAGTATTACCTATCGAGAACTCAGTAGGTGGAAGCATCCACCGTAATTATGATTTGCTTCTTCGTCATAGGCTTCACATTGTTCAAGAAGTCCAGTTGCCTGTGAATCATTGTCTCTTGGGAGTGCCTGGTGTTGCAAAAGAAGATATTAAATGCGTTCTAAGTCATCCTCAGGTTCTTCTGCTCCCATTTTCCTTTCAGGCGCTTCTGAGTTCTCTGATGTTGAGTCCTTTTCTATCTTTTTTTTCTTTCTCTCCAGGCGCTTGATCAATGTATGAACTCGCTTAACAATTTAGGCATACAGAGAATTTCTGCAAAAGACACCGCCACTGCTGCTCAGGTGACATAAATGAGTATTTTTTTTTAGCTCAATTCAGAGTGATTGTACTTACTAACCGAACGTTAAGCGTTTCTTCAGAGTGTTTCTTCAAGCGGTAAGAGAGACGTAGGAGCAATCGCAAGTGTTAGGGCTGCAAATATATATGGTCTAGATATTCTTGCCGAGAACATACAAGTAATTTAGTCTCCATCCTCTACTTTGCTGATAAATTTGTTTCCTAGGAGAGATATCCATATATTGAAATGCTCATCATTGGATAGAAAGTTAAATGATTTATGACATAGAAGGAATGTGATTAAACATATCAGTTATCTGCATTCTTTACGCTGATATTTTGTTCTTTCTGATGGGGTTTTCAGGATGATGCTAACAATGTGACCCGCTTTCTGATACTTGCGAGAGAGCCTATGATTCCAGGAACAGATCGACCATATAAGGTAATTAAAAATCACATCTTTATAGACTAACTAAATCAGCTGAAACTTGTAATTCCTGATAGTGATGCTTCTGTTCCTCTCAGACAAGTATCGTGTTCTCGCTAGAAGAAGGTCCTGGTGTGCTGTTCAAGGCCTTGGCTGTTTTTGCTTTGAGAAGCATTAACTTATCCAAGGTGAGTTTTGAGGAAAAGCTGTATACTATTATTATCGGTAATACATTCATAAAGTGGGAATATATGACGTAGCTTTCGCTCTTTTTTAGATAGAAAGTCGTCCACAGAGACGAAGACCGCTAAGAGTAGTTGATGGTTCTAACAATGGAAGCGCCAAGTAAGTAATTTCCGAACATACGTATCATGAACACAGGACATCAATTATCTAGAACTAGTTGAGTGATCGTCTTGTGATGATGACAGGTACTTTGATTACTTATTCTACATTGATTTTGAAGCTTCCATGGCTGAAACACGTGCTCAGCACGCCCTTGGCCATCTACAGGTCTCAATCCTCGCAACCCCCATAGTTTTTTGTGGCTGGTCTTAAGCCTAACCGTATCTAAAAGATCTTGCCTTTCGGTTTTTCAGGAATTCACAAGTTTCATCCGTATCCTTGGGTGTTATCCAATGGACGTAGTCAGTTAACCGGGGAAAATCTTCAATGGATTTCATGTTACCATACCGTGCAGAATCATGTGAATATACCCAAACAGAAGAACCAAGTCTGTGGCTTTGCTATATAACCGCAAGACTTTTCTTTTACCATTTTCTCATCTTAGAAGTTTAGCTTCAAACTCTTCATTGCTGAGACAAAAACAGTTAATCTAGCCTATTGTTAAGAGTATGTTTTGTACATTAAACAGGTTTCTCAGTTAAGTTCAGTGAATAACTTGGTAGCTGTCTGAGACTAAGCTATGTGATACAAAAACAGTAACTCTGATTAATTTCATAATCTTCATTACAAAAGCTGGCCCTCTGTAGAACACAAGGCTGATCTCTTTCACTTCCAAAAAGTAAAATGAGGACTTTCGAGAAAAGTCAAGGAAATAAAAAACCTAAAACCAAGATACCGTTAATACGGTTTTTATTCTAATCATAGAAGTTCCACAGGGGAAAACGGAACTTCGAGCTCCGATTCGTTTGACATCATTTTGGCGAAAGGGTCAAAAGCAGACCGAAATGGTCACTAGGCAACACTGGAAGCTCTAACTCCTTAATCGCACCCCTCACTTTCTTCTCCTTCACATAGGATAAACCAGGAATCGCCTCTTTCCCCACCATCTCGATTCCGCCAAGCTTGTAATCATCCAGACGGCACATAATCCGGTCCAACCGTTTCTGCAATGCTCGGTTACCTGACAACATTGGGTTTGCCTTGGTGTCGTATGTAAAACCGATATCACCTGGTTTCAGAACCTCCCAAGCATCGACCCACTTGTCTGGCAGAGGAAACTTCCCATCTAGCTTGTCGTCCCAGTTCATGTCTCCACCGAATATCACGTTGGGATTAGCTCCGAGAATCTCGATCGCCTCATTGGCTTGCTCAACGCGTTCTCGGCTAAACATTTGGTCCCATTTCGGAGGACCTGGACATGGACTCTCGAGATGGCTTGTAGCCAGAACAAGCGGCTTTCTCCCCGGAACTTCAACCTCTGCAATTGACAACTCTCTTCCCATTATCGAGTTCCTAAAGCTTTTGCAGCTGAAAGATTTCACCCCAACCTTGCTCAACTGCAGATTTACACATAAGGGTCAGTTACAAAATCACAGGAACCCGCCAAATTTTAGAAGCTAAGAGCCTAAGGCAAGCGTGCGCGAGCGTCACCAGCATGCAGAAGTAGGCTTTTGATTGTGCCACATCGAATGAGACAGAGCAAGAATACGCTTTCCACCAGCTCGACTTGCGGAAGATATCATATATCTCAGGAGTAACTTCCTACAATGCCACATTAGAAAACAGCATGTCAGAAACCTGAGCTGCATCTACATTCTGCACATAGAAATCACTATATGGTAAATTCAAAAAGTGACCTGAAAACAGATGAGATGAGGAGAATGGAGCTGAATAAGGTGGCCGATCGCTTTCATCCGAAGATTCAACTCAAGATCTTCACGGAACCAAACATTGTAGCTCAACATCTTCAAGCAAGAGAAAGGTGCTCCTCCTGAATCAGAAGCTACCTCTGCAAAAACAAGATTGACAAACAAAGTGTAGGACTTTAGAATCGAGCAATATAAAGCAACCAATAACGACGATTACACATCATCAAGTTCAACGAGCAAAATTTAGTGACAATCAAAAACCCATATCAAGCCAAGCCTTTGGTGAAATACACATCACCACAGCAACAATCTCAAGTATGAGCTACAATCTATAGATTAATTAATCCGAGAAATTAAAAAAAAAACTCACAAACCTAGAACCCTAGGGAGTTTAAAAATCAGACCTTTCGTATCAATTTCTTTGTTCTTCTTCATGACACTCAGCGATTCAGAGCGAACAACAGAACCACCATCAACCTCAACGACGTCATCATCCATGGCCTTGCGCTTACTACACCGCCGCAGGGGAAAGAAAACCGACCCGACGGAGCAACCAGGGTTGCTGTTACTTTCGAGACCCGAATCGGTCAGGTCGTCGAAGCCCAGGAGAGAAGAAGACGAAGGCGATCGCGTTCCGCAGATATCGCAGACTGAGTTCTTGTACGTGTTCAAAAAAGTGCAGCCTTTGCACGCCCATTTCGGTTCATCGCTCGAGGAAACTGAGATGGAGGAAGTGACAGGTACGGGATTCAAGCAGATCATACACTTGAGTTTCTGAGACGGAGAATTGAGGAAAGTACATTTGTTGCAGGACCATGATGACGAGGAAGACGATGACGACATCGCGAGGGTTGTGAGGAGTCGGAGAAATCGGGTTGTTGACATTTTACCCTAATTTTACTTTAATAATCGATTTTGACCTTTGACATCGGTTTCCCGCCTATCGCTATGTAACGACGTCGTTGTGCAGTTCCCGATGAAAAATTGGTTTTCAAATTCAAAAGGTGAACCGTAATCAAACCGAACTCATGGTAACCTAAACCAGACAGAAATCAGATGCTGGGGAAGACAGATTTTATTATACAACCCAAACCAAAAAAAATTCAAGAGACTAAAATGGTCTACAAATAACACAACGAATTACAAAATTTTGATAAAGTACAATGTTCATGAACCTAAAAACTGTAACTCAACCGTGGAAAAAAATGAAAAATCACCAGAAGGGTAACAACAACATAGAAGAAGTTACAAGAATCATAATGCTGACGCAGAAGCCTCTTGAGAGACTCCTTGAGGAGGCTTCGCCGGCCGCGACTTCAGTCGAATTCACCACCGTCTGTGTCCGATTTCCTACCTTCTTGCTGCACAAATTGAGATAAGAGCAAGTAACTATAAATTGTACATAATTTATTAAAAAGATAAGAACGAGTTTCCAAAGCGAAAACTTTCATACCTTCCTGGGAAAATGCAGCTTCCATGACCTGAAACATACGCGTTTTTTCGATTTAGAAACTTTCATAATGAAAAACGTGAAAATAAGGAGAAACTTTGAATCTATATAGAATTTGGGACCATGTTTTACACAACAAGGATAGGATCTTGACAAATCTTTTCTTGTTATCACAGTAGTAACATGAAGAAGAAAAGAGTTGAATACGATGAATGAAAATGTACAAGCAAGACAACTATATTTTCTTTGGATTTCCAAAAACACTCACGATTTTAATGAATTTGATTCAAGATTCGATATCGCAGTTCAGTAACATTCAAAATTCATGAACAAGAGACAACTTTCTATGTATGGCTGCAAAGTTTTGTTAATCACTGGTGTATGACATATTATATTGCTTCCATCCAACAGGAACCGATCCGAGAATGAACATGTTTTTAAGTCAGCTAATTTTTAGGCTTATAGCATATAATTAATTACCAAAACTCTGTTTTTAGCTCCTAACAAACTCAGATACTGTTTCTTGATCGTCATATGTCTTATACTATAGGTCTTCAAACTTTAAACCGTAACAGCAAAAGAAGAAAAGAGCTTACTTGGGTCTGTGGTAGTGATCATAGCCACACCTTTGAAGTCACATGAACCAGAAGCTCTTCCTTCCTTCTGGTAATAACTATTGAAAGCAAAAGAGGCATGTCCCTTCACATTATTCGGCTGATAACAACTCTCCCCAGGTTGAATCTCACTACAATTAGCTCTCCCTGGTCCACAAGCCCAGTCCAACGCAGCCTGAAGCGTCTTTACGTCCACACTATCCATAGCAATGCAGTACGTCTGGTTCGTTGTATCGTTCGCCAGGAACGTTCCGCTTCCAGACACGTGAAGCAAGTAAACCGGCGTAGAGTTCCCATAGAACAAACCCCAGCTAGCTTCACTAACCGGAGGCGCCCTTAAATCCTCGTTAAACAGCTCATAAATGTAGACACTTGGCGTCATCTCAGGGTGCAAAGGAGTACCGGCTCTATCGAATATGTGCTTGATCAGATTGGAGTTATACGTATCAGCATTGTCGATGGTAGCGTGCGGCTCTTTGGAATCGCCTCTCGAAGGCCACCCGGACTCGGTCACAAGCACAACCACATCAGAGACGTTCAGGTTTTTCATCGAGACGTAAGCAGCGTCGACCATGGCGTCGAGGACGTTCGTGTAGTGCAGCAGAGTGTTCGGATCAACCATTTCTTTAGAAGGGGTCAAGGGCTCGAACAAACAGTTGTCGAGAGGAACCACGCCTTTGTTCTGCATGTAGACGTAGTAAGGATAGAGATTCATCATCAGAGGAGAGCCCGTCTTCGACAAGAACTGAAGCAGAGGGACCATAATCGAGTGCCAAGACTGGTTAAAGTAAGCTTGAGAAGGCGGGAAGGTATCGAGCATTATTGAAGCCGCGTGAGGCGTGGAGACCTTGATCTGAGTGTGGAGATTCGAAGCAACGAGAGCGTTGTATAGAGACTCGATTGCAGGTAAGAGCAGAGGAGCTGAAGAAGGCACAGTGGTTAAGACCTCATCTCCAACGGAAATGGCTGTGATTAGTGTCTCGGGGTAATAAGCAACCACGTTTCGACCAACCCACGACGCAGCGGTGCTGTTAGAGGATCCGATTGCGAGGAGCTGGTTGTTGGGGACGCTGATAATGACCCGGATCTTGGTTTTGGCCAATGCCCTGAGCAAATCTGGATCAGCGTCGTATAAACGGACATGGTTTACTTTCTGGGTTTGCAGGAATTTGACCAGTTCCGTCGGTGAGAGCAAATTGGAGACATCAGTGCCAATGTTGAACCCAACAAAAGGGTCTTTGTCTTGTTCCTGAATCTTAATATCTTGCGATAAGGACGACGAATTTGCTGCAGAAGTTCCCACATAGAAAGCAAGAAGCTTGTTAAGAAAAATAGAAACTTGGCAAAGGTTTTTAACAAAAAAAGCTAAGATGTAATAAGTAAAAAGGGTTTGTTTTAGACTTTGGATTCAATACAAAAGTAGCAATTTCCTGATACGAAATAAATCAAATCATCAACAGTATCGCAATTTCAATTTGGGGGGGATTTGAACTGACAAAATGAGCTTACCAGAAATCAAAAGGCTGAAGATTGCAATGAAGAGGAAAAAGAAGAAGAGAACAGGAACGGTGGGAACCATGTTAGTGACAGCCATTGAAGAAGAGCTTGACCTTGAATTGATTCTGCAACTCTTCCCCTTCCGATTCAGACTCAGCTACAGATCCTTGCATTATCTTCCTCCTCTTTCAACGGACTTGTTTAGGTTTCTTGCTGTCTGATTGAGACAAGCTGGAGAAGAAGAAGAGGAGAGATTAGACATGTTTTTAGGGGTTTTGGACTAAAGATTTATGTCTCACGTGAATAAACTCTGCTAGTCTGCTCGCTCCTCCCCACACAACTGGTTGATTTTCAGACCAAACCTAAAATTACTATAATGCCCTTCAATACTGAAAGCAAGCACACTTCTTCACTAGACCAAACCTAAAGGCGTAGTAATAAATTTTCAAACTTTTGCAACCTCTCGTATTACTTTAAACATTTTATATATCTGAAGTCATTTTTGGTTTTTGGAATGTTGGTGTTGACACTTGACCGCATGCGAGAAAAAGTGGACAGATGAAAGATAATAGCAATGCCCTTTAGTGGATTTCTACTATTACATCAGAGTTTTCTCTATTATATTCGGTTACTGAAATGAGAGAATACAACCCCATCCATGATCCATGCATTTGTTTTGTTGAGTAGCTAGAAGATTACATTTACTATACTGGCCCATTTTATTTATTTGTTGGCAACACACATTCCTTCATTTCAACCAATATAACTAACTGAATAAATGCTTTTACAAAACTAAACAGGTAATGTTGTGACAATTTGTAAGTAAGTAACAAAATGTTGGCAAAGTGTAACGTTCTACATACATATCCTAATCTAGAATCCTAGGGTGGTGCATAAGAAATTTATAAAACAACAACCCGACAAAACTAATTTGTTCGCACAACATAGAGATGCATCTGCAACTCTTAAGATAATAGCAAGCAAACAGAAATGACTCAGAAAAAGAGGAAAGCTTTCTAGGGGTGACGTTTAAATTTGAAACATCTTATATGAGATTCCCTCGTTTTGATCTTTCTTTATCTTATGTCTGATTAAATATTTCATAAAAACAAATATTCCTTGAATCATGGAATCACACAGGATGATTATATATGCCCATGTGCTGGAACACAGTTTATTTATCTCATTAATACAGAGTTTAAAACAATTTTATCTTAATTATAAGAAAGCAAATAAACGGATTAAATTTTCACAGTACACCGCTACAGGATGTTGAATATAAGTATATAACTGTGGTCGTTGAAAAATTCAAAATACAGAAGAAAAAATACATTTAACTATATTTTTAACCTAAACTAAACCAGGTTAAACTCTAACTCAACTTGAAACAAATTGAGAGTAACATTATGTTAGTGAATAATGTACTCATAATTGTTGAAAAACAGAGCTCTTATTACTGTTTTACATATTGACTGCGAGTGTGCGACGCTTTGACAAAAAAAAAACGAATATCTTATCACTAACAGTTTCCAAAAACTTAAAAATAAAAATAGACCAAAAAAATCAAGAGACAATGAACCGTGACACTTTTTTGTCAGTTTCCCGCAATTATTAATTATGCAGCTATATCAATCATTTTTTAAAAAAGACACAAAATACTTGGGCTTCGTTCATCGCTGAAGTTCTTCGGTTTGGCAATATTTTGATGAAATTAGGAGAGGGTATAGTTATCTCATACCAATTTTTGTATATTATATATATATATATATGTATACGATTTTGTGAGATGACTTAAATAAAATAAAAATAAAGTAGCTAAAAGGTTTTGACATGTAAAACATAATGAAGTATGTGGCACATGTTGTTGATAATTACACATTCCTGCTTTGCATAATTATTAGTCAATTGGAAATTGGTTATACAACTCCCCCAACTGTTAGCCGATTGCTACGTTGTTAAGAGATTTGTATAAAGTTTGGCGAAATGGTGAAATAATTAAAAATAGATTTTTATTAATAAACAAAAAAGTAATACAAAAATATTTAGAGGATAATTGTGATATAATGTTACTTGAATCAAAGAGATTGTACATGATTATTGACCAAACCAACCCCTTCATCATTATTATTGTAGTTTCTGCGGACCCAAAAAGGTTAAGAGAAAAATAGTTTCTATATGAGGAAATTAAAAAAAGTTTCGATGCGACCACGTGTAACACATGGCTGTTACCTTTGAACCTTTAACCTGAGCATCGTTCCAAAGTAAATTAATCTATCGGTTGCAATGCGTCTGTGATGATCTTACTATATCACAGTCAGTGTACCTAAGAAGTTGTCGGTCACTGAGAAAATATTTTATTTTAAATTCACAACCCTATTGCTTTTTCTACCGGAATTTATCTCGAGTCCAGTGGGTATCATTGTTCGTTCAGGTGATCACTGTTGCAGATAATCTGTTTTTTTTTTAAAAAACATTTCGATGATTGTATCTTTGCTTAATCGCGTTCTATTTCAATGTGATTTTTATTCTGTTTCTTCGAATCAATTGCGGAATTTCGTTCCTGCAATCCGATGTTTTCCGGATCTGATTTGTTTTTGTTTCCCAAAAGATGGGTACTTGTGGATCATCATTCCATTAATCGTATATGCGCGATTCATAGAATCTAACTGTTCCTTCGATGACCTTTGAGGAATTTGTTTTGCGTTCGTCCTGGTTGATCGTTTTTGCGATTGAGAATGGTGCTAGTTGATTTTCAATTTGGTGTAATGGTAGGCATTTCGTAACTATGAGATTTTATCTTGCTGGGTTTCATGTAGATTCAAATTTGGTTGAAAATGGATATTGAGATTAGGAAAATGATGGTTGGTAAGGTTTTGGTCTGTACGTTTGAGTACTAAAGATTGGTTTTTTTATTTTTATATAGAAAAAATGGCTGAAGCTTCTGCTGAGTTGTTGGATTGGCCAAAGAAGGATAACCGTCGATTTCTCCATGTTGTCTACCGTGTTGGTGATCTTGATCGCACAATCAAGTATGTGTCTCTCTTTCTTGTTTCAGTCTTACATTGTTCTTCATTTTCTGCAGAAAGGAGTTGTTTATTTTTCGTTTCTCACCAGGTTTTACACTGAGTGCTTTGGTATGAAGCTGCTGAGGAAAAGAGATATCCCGGAGGAGAAGTATTCTAATGCTTTTCTGGGTTTTGGACCTGAAACATCCAACTTTGTTGTGGAGCTGACATATAGTATATGCCCTTTTAGCATTGATTCATTTTTTCAGATTTTTCCCTTGGTTCTTATGTTTAAATGAGTCAACATTTTTTGTGTTGCAGATTATGGTGTTAGCTCATATGACATTGGAACTGGATTTGGGCATTTTGCCATTTCAACTCAAGATGTAAGTCTTCCTACTTTGATTTTATATGTCAAGAATCAATATATCCATGTCAGGCCCTGAACTGGAGAGTTTTTGTTCTTTAAGGTTTCGAAAATGGTTGAGACCGTCCGTGCCAATGGTGGAAACGTCACCAGGGAACCTGGTCCGGTCAAAGGTGGAGGCAGTGTCATTGCGTTTGTGAAGGACCCTGATGGTTACCCTTTTGAGCTCATCCAGAGAGGTCCGACTCCTGAGCCTCTCTGTCAAGTCATGCTTCGTGTTGGTGATCTTGACCGCGCCATCAAGTTCTATGAAAAGGTAATGCAATGCAGTGAAAAGGTTTTGTCTTTATGTGTAGTATTCATTAGTTAACATTACTGTTTTCTAGAAAGCTTCCATCTTTACCTCACTTCTAATTCCCCATGCAGGCTCTTGGGATGAGACTCTTGAGAAAGATTGAGAGACCTGAATACAAGGTAAAGTAATGTAGACAAGTAATTTAAACCTTTTTGAGCTACGTTGGTGACTTACGGAGTTTTTTCTGTTTTGCTGGATAAAACAGTACACCATAGGCATGATGGGATATGCTGAGGAGTACGAGTCGATAGTTTTGGAGCTGACCTATAACTACGATGTGACTGAGTACACAAAGGGCAATGCATATGCGCAGGTTCGGGCTTACTCATGTAACTGTTGTTCCTCTGTTGTCTTTAAACCGGTTCTAGTTCATTCTTTTCGATGATTAAATGGTTGAATGTAATAAACAGATTGCAATAGGGACCGATGATGTGTACAAAAGCGGTGAAGTTGTGAAGATAGTGAACCAAGAGCTAGGAGGAAAGATCACTAGAGAGGCCGGACCTCTTCCTGGACTCGGCACCAAGATTGTCGCTTTCCTCGATCCTGATGGCTGGAAAACGGTTAGTAGCCTATTAAAAACAGTTGTTGCGGATTTTCTTGCATCCTAGAGAGAGAGAGAGAATGAATCTGGTCTTGTCCAATAATTATACGGAAACCAATTTAGCGACTTGGGATTTAGATTCAGGTGTCGGCTTTGTTTAAAAGATTTGGTTGTTCAAATGACAGGTTCTGGTGGACAACAAAGATTTTCTGAAGGAACTGGAATAAGGAGAGAGATGATGATGGTCGAGGTCACGACGCTAAGAAGGAACCATAATGTGATGATAATAAAAGAAAATGAGACTAGTAGTATTTGATCTAGAATAAGATGTGGTTCAGTGTGTGTCGTGCTATGTGGTCGACCCTTTTGTCTTTGGTTTTAACTCTATGAGTGAGTGGGTGTGCTCAATAAAATATTTCCACCATCTGCTTTTGGTGTTTTTCGGTTATGGACGGTTTAGTAAAATTTAATTTTCCCATACCAATCGGTTTACTCCAGTGGGGATGGATCGATCTATCTACTTGAACAAAGGACAGTCACAACATAGTGTTGGTTAACGTTTGTTGATTAAATTTGATACAGTACGTTGCTCAGAATATCATAAGGCAAAAATAATAATAGAAACCAGCATTAATCTGATATTAATTTTTCAAGCCAAAATACTCTAATCATAGCGTCATCTTTTTAAAATTTAGATTTTATTGAGCTAAAACTACACTTGCGTATATCCAATTTGATTCCTTCGTTTGATTGTGTTAATGATCATGATAAAATGACATGATTCTTTTACTCCGTTAGTTTTCACAATTATGCAAGTCCGACAACTTAAAATCCTTAATTAGTTTTCACAGACTAAGTCTCCAGGAAGAAAAAAATAGATGGCGTCCATTAAATTTCTAATTTTTCCTTCTTTTATAACCGATTTGTAGGCATTTTTTACGAACTATTTATTTATTTCTTCTTTTTTTTAGAAATGAATAATACTCTATACGTATACACAGTAGGTTGCCGACGGGGTATATACATAAACCATTCAATTTCAATCAATTGGAAAAAGAAAAAAAAAACCAGTTAGGAAAAAAAAAAAAAAAACATGTTCAAGAGTGAAACTATGGTTTCTTTCAATATATTTTTAGTGATATTTTTGTTGACTTCGACAGCGACGATAGGTAATATACAACATATATTATAAGCCTATCAAAATCATTGATTTGTTTGTGTTTGTGTTCGTGTTTGTAATTCTGTAATCTGAGCTTAACAAGGGGAAAATTTGAAATTTGCGTTCGTTCTGGTTGATCGTTTTTGCGATTGAGAACGGTTCTAGTTGATTTTCAATTTTATAAGCCTCTCAAAACCATTGATTTGTTTGTGTTTGTAATTCTGTCATATGAGCTTAACAAGGGGAAAATTTTAATTTTTGCGTTCGTTCTGGTTTATCGTTTTTGCGATTGAGAATGGTGCTACTTGATTTTCAATTTGGTGTAATGGTAGGCATTTCGTAACTATACCATTTTATCTTGCTGGGTTCATTTAAATTTGGTTGAAAATGGATATTGAGATGAGGAAAATGATATTTTGTAAGGATTTGGTACTAAAGATTGGTTTTTTATTTATTTTTTTATATAGTAAAAACGGCTGAAGCTTCTTCTGCTGAGTTGTTGGATTGGCCAAAGAAAGATAACCGTCCATTACTCCATGTTGTCTACCGTGTTGGTGATCTTGATCGGACAATCAAGTGTGTCTCTCTCTCTCTTTCTTGTTTCAGTCTTACATTATATTCTTCATGTGTTATTTATTTTTTGAGATATTCTTTGTTTCTCACCAGGTTTTACACTGAGTGCTTTGGTATGAAGCTGCTGAGGAAAAGAGATGTTCCGGAGGAGAAGTATACTAATGCTTTCCTGGGTTTTGGACCTGAAACATCCAACTTCGTTGTGGAGCTGACATATAGTATATGCCCTTTTCTACTCTCTGTCTTTTGTTAGCATTGGTTCTTATGTTTAATGTGTCTAACGTATCTATGTTACAGATTATAATGTTAGCTCATATGACATTGGAACTGGATTTGGGCATTTTGCCATTGCAACTCAAGATGTAAGTCGTCCTACTTTGATTTTCGATTTCAAGAATCAATACAACAACCATGTCAGGCCCTGAACTGGAGAGTTTTTGTTCTTTAAGGTTTCGAAAGTGGTTGAGACCGTCCGTGCCAAGGGTGGAAAAGTCATCAGGGAACCTGGTCCGGTCAAAGGTAGAGGCAGTGTCGGTGCGTTTGTGAAGGACCCTGATGGTTACGCTTTTGAGCTCATCCAGAGAGGTCCAACTCGTGAACCGCTCTGTCAAGTCATGCTTCGTGTTGGTGATCTTGACCGCGCCATCAAGTTCTATGAAAAGGTAATGCTAATGCAGTAGTGAAAAGGTTTTGTCTTTTTGTGTAAAGCTTCTTGTTATACCTCACTTTTAAAATCCCCGTGCAGGCCCTTGGGATGAAACTCTTGAGAAAGATTGAGAGACCTAGTAACAAGGTGAAGTAATCAGTGATACAATGTAGACGAAGTAATTATAACTTTTTTGAGCTAACGTTGTGACTTGACGAGTTTTTAATTTTGGTTTTGTTTCGCTGGATGAAACAGTACACCATAGGCATGATGGGATATGGTAAGGAATCCGATTCGACAGTGTTGGAACTGACCTATAAACACGGCGTGACTCAGTACACAAAGGGCACTGCATATGCGCAGGTCCGGGCCTACTCATATATTTTGTTGTCTTTAAAACCGGGTTGTGTTCATTCTTTTGATGATTAAATGGTTGAGTGTAATAAACAGATGGCAATAGGGACCGATGATGTGTACAAAAGTGGTGAAGTTGTGAAGATAGTGAACCAAGAGCTCGGAGGAAAGATCACTAGAGAGGCCGGACCTGTTCCTGGACTCGGCACCAAGATTGTCTCTTTCCTCGATCCAGATGGCTGGAAAACGGTTAGTAAAAGCATTGAAAACCTTGGAATTTAGATTCAGGTTTTGGGTTTTGCTTAAAAGGTTTGGTTGTTAAAATGACAGGTTCTTGTAGACAACAAAGATTTTCTCAAGGAACTGAAATGAGGAGAGCGTTAGTGATGGTAGAACTCGAGATCACTAATCTAAGAAGAAACCATAATAATAAAAACGTGATCATCATAAAATAAAGGAAGAAGTTTTTTTTTTTTTTTTTTTTAAACTTTAAGAACAGTAGTGTGTATATTTCTTTTGTCTTTGAGCTTTAATCCCCTGAATAAAAAATATATCCACCACCTGGTTTTGGTATCTTTCGGTTATGGACGGTTTAGTAGAATTTATTTTGCCGTACCAATTTGGTTTACTCTCGATTGATGATGGAGATCTTATGAGAGTTTGGATACGATGTCTTTAATTAGCATTCTTTCTAACTACTACACATCTTCAACGGCGTATGTCACATGAATCTCAGCCACTACCGCTAAAAAAAGAAATCATATTAATTAGCTATGTTAATGGATCCAACTACTCAGTACAATAATCATTCCAAAGCCATTTACGCATTTATAATATACATTCCATATCGAGCCCTACGCACTGCGTGACCGGTTCTAAAAGGTATCAATCCTAAACCATCTCTCTCTCTCTGACCCTATCTTCTTAGGTCTCAAGGATCATGTGTATTTCTTTGGCCTCCCATTTAATTTGTCCATAGAAATGCGGTGGAGTTGTTGTTCCTTTTTATGTTCTTATTTACCTAACCATCACGGCATCTCTATCAGTAACGTTAATATGAATATTGATTTTTGTTAATAGCTGTGTTTAAAGCGTCAGTATTGACTGATTGTAATCCGACCATTTTGCAAAATTGAAAATTTCGGTAAGATTTATTATTCAAACCTTTCAAATTTTGAGTTACAAATAACATTTCATATATGTCTAAATGGCTCAACATTATATTTATAACATTTCCATGCACAACGTTTAACGTTTTCACGATCTAAAAAGTTGATTGATAATGATCTATATGTTTAACCTTTTTAGGATATAACTACATTTCGTTTGACATGTACATTTAGACTAACTGATGTAAGCTACATTGTGCTCATACATGGTCCTAAATCCCAACCTATCGCATTTATTTCGCACCCAAATTAGATATGTCTATGTATATATATAGACCTACGTATGGTCTTGTAACACAACTCACCATATAAACAAAAGAATCTCTAGCAACAAAGCATCAACATGAAAGCCACTTTCACTCACGTGCTTGTGCTTCTCGTCATTGCACTTGTTTGTGCAAATGTCGGTGCTAGGAAACTTATTTCCGGAGATACTCAGTTCAAGGATGAAAAGTCCTTCCTTGGCGGTGGCGGAAGCGATGGTGGCCTAGGGCTTGGCCTTGGCGGAGGAGCTGGTCTTGGTGGCCTTGGGATTGGGGCTGGGATCAACGGCGGAGCTGGACTAGGGTTAGGTGGAGGCGGTGGGGGTGGTGGTGGACTTGGAGGAGCCGGTGGTGGACTCCTAGGTGGAGGTGGTTTTGGCGGAGGATATGGTGGTGCTGGTGGTGGTCTTCCTTGAACGAATAGTCTAAGTGTTTGATGTGTGTGAGAGAGCTCATTCTCAGCTTATTATACTCTACTCAAGTCAATTTCATTGTCATAATAAATTTAGTCAGATTGAATTAGTCACATTTTCAACTTTTATGTAAACTTCAATATTTTAAAATAAGAGTTGCAAGAACCAAATCATATAATCGAAACTATCATAGTTCCATATCCTCCCCACTCAAAATTAATTGATTGTAGATAAATTTATTCATATCCTTTATAGACCAGTTTATGTTCTACATCTTATTCTAGATGTGAGACTCCTTTAGCTACCAAAAGTCTTTTGAAAAAATAACGTGTGTAAGCATTAGTATATGCTCGAAAATGCCGATCATCACATGATACATGGTTGTAGAGAATTACAAGATCTTACCAAGCAACATAAAGTATAAATTAATTAGCTTTGATTGTATCATATTTTCCACAGTAGTCACATTCTAATTTTTCTTTGTTTTGTGTTTGCCATAGTGGTTCTAAATAATGTTAGTAAATTTTTTCAAAGTGGTTCTAAATGTAGTTTTTTTTTCTGTCATAACCATTCAACATAAAGAATGTCTACAACTCCAAAAAGTGCAAACAAGAAAGTGGTATCAGAAAATAGTATAAGTAATCTGCAATACTTATAGAAATGTATATGTTTATTTTGATTCTACAAAATTTAAAAAAGAAGAAGATAAAGAGAGAACAATACTTACCACTCAATGGGGATGTGGTTGCATTGGCCTTTTCTTCGTTTGGCTGATGATTCCTCTCCTCCACCACCAACCCTTTCTTTATTTTTTCCTCATTTTTAATTCCCACATCCTTTTAAAATATTTTTAATTCAATTTTTTAAACATTTTTAATCCCAAAAGAATATAAAGTCCCTTGTGCCACTGATACCGATATTTATTTATTTATTTGCGAATCATCAGTTTATTGCAAAAAACACACTTCAAAGTAGTATCAGGAATCTGGGAGAAGCTCCACAGGCAAAAAAGACTCAATCTTTGTAAGGTTTCTACGCGACCAGTTTCAGTTTTTCTTTTCTGGGTTTATGTTTTTCTTCTTAGAATCGCGGATTATATCGATTGGAAACAACATCTGTTGATGTTTTTTTCTTCTTCTTCTTTGTGAAAATGGAAGTTCGATCTCATTGTTGATGATTCAGATGTTTCTCATATATAGAGATTCCGAATCTTATAGTTGAAGACTTAAGGATTAAAAATGTTCTCTTTGTCACTAGATTGTTTTGCTTTTTATATGAATCTACTTTCATCACTCACAGGTCAAGAGTTTTTTTTTTAATCAGTTTTGAATTGGCTTCGAGCAAATTATCAATGTCAATCCACTGAATAATACTTTGGACTCAATCTATATTCATGGTTTTGGATTTTGATTATTGTTGGATGAAACTCTTGTGTAGCTCGAAGAGAAGATGAGAGGTGGGAGTCTATGGCAGCTAGGGCAATCCATAACCCGTCGTCTTGCTCAATCCGACAAGAAAGCTGTGTCACGCCGCTACTTCGCCTCTGATGCTGACCTGAAAAAAACCGCTCTTTACGACTTCCACGTCGCTCACGGCGGAAAGATGGTTCCTTTTGCTGGTTGGAGTATGCCAATTCAGTACAAAGATTCGATCATTGACTCAACGGTTAACTGCAGGGTTAACGGGAGTCTGTTCGATGTTGCTCACATGTGTGGTTTGAGCCTTAAGGGCAAAGACTGTGTTCCTTTCCTCGAGACGCTCGTGGTCGCTGATGTGGCTGGTCTGGCTCCTGGAACCGGGAGCTTAACCGTGTTCACAAACGAGAAAGGAGGTGCCATTGATGACTCTGTGATTACCAAGGTGACAGATGAGCATATCTACTTGGTGGTGAATGCTGGTTGTAGGGATAAGGATTTGGCTCACATTGAAGAACACATGAAGGCTTTCAAATCCAAAGGCGGTGATGTCTCGTGGCATATCCACGACGAGAGATCTCTTCTCGCCCTTCAGGTTTGGCTTTGTTGATCTTAACCAAAAGATTTGTTGTCTCTGTTATTTGCTGTGTGCTTTGTAGTTATAGCACCTTGCGATGTGTATAGGGTCCTTTGGCTGCTCCGGTGCTTCAACACTTGACTAAAGAAGACTTGAGCAAGCTTTACTTTGGGCAATTCCAGATTCTGGACATCAATGGTTCCACGTGCTTCCTTACCAGGACCGGGTAAACTCTCTATGTTTCACTAAACGTTATAGTAGACAAAAAGTTCAAGAGGAAGAGTTCTGAAGATTGTAATGAATGGGGTCTGTTTTGGTTTTTCAGGTATACAGGGGAAGATGGGTTTGAGATTTCTGTTCCATCTGAGAACGCAGTGGATCTAGCGAAAGCAATCTTGGAGAAATCTGAGGGAAAGGTAAGGCTTACGGGTCTAGGTGCAAGAGACAGTCTAAGGCTAGAAGCAGGGCTTTGTCTGTATGGAAACGACATGGAGCAACACATCTCCCCTGTTGAAGCTGGTCTCACATGGGCCATAGGGAAACGTAGGAGAGCCGAAGGAGGGTTTCTTGGTGCGGATGTGATCCTCAAGCAGCTTCAGGACGGACCTACGATCAGAAGAGTCGGTTTTTTCTCCTCGGGACCACCAGCAAGGTCGCATAGCGAGGTCCATGATGAGAGTGGTAACAAGATTGGAGAGATCACTAGTGGCGGGTTTAGCCCGAACCTGAAGAAGAACATAGCCATGGGGTACGTGAAATCGGGTCAGCACAAGACCGGGACCAAAGTCAAGATCTTGGTCCGTGGGAAACCTTACGAAGGCAACATCACTAAGATGCCGTTCGTGGCCACCAAATACTACAAGCCATCATGATATGTGTGTCTCTTCTTCGTCTTATGACCTGTGTCTCTTGCTTTTGTTAAATGACTTCTGTTTTCTTTTTATTCTGATTTGGCCTGAAAATGTACCTTCTTTTGCCATTTCACTGTTATCGAAATAAATTTTTAACACATCTGAAAGACCAAACTATGAGTGTGTTCACATAATTGAACATCTACGAGTTCTTTGGTTAAGCAAGCAAGGAACATGATCGTGTGTACAGATGAAAGAAACTTGTACTAGGACATTTCACAAACACCGGTCTAGATGTCGAGAAGAAGCCTACGCGGATCCTCAACGACGTCTTTGATGCGACGAAGGAAAAGAACGGCCTCTCTTCCATCTATCAGACGGTGGTCATAAGTCAGCGCGATGAACATCATTGGCCTTGATGCCACTTCTCCTTCCACAACCATCGGGCGATTCACTATCGAGTGCATCCCGAGAATAGCTGACTGTAAACGAGAATCAGTAGACTGAATCACACAATAGCACTGAACCAGAGGTAAGAAAATACTGAAAGGAAAGTGGGAGAAAATTCAAAACCTGAGGAGGGTTTATGATTGGAGTACTCAAAAGGCTTCCATAGACGCCACCATTAGAGATAGTGAATGTGCCTCCAGCCATTTCATCGATGGAGATTGTTCCAGCTGTTGCTTTCTTAGCAAGTTTGTTGATCTCTTTCTCAATCTCTGCAAAGTTCATCTGCTCTACGTTTCGAAGCACTGGAACAACGAGTCCCTATGTAGATTATATGAACATGCTGGAATAAGTTTTAACTTCAGATTCAGCAGAAAGCTATACAAATGAAATGAAAAATGGCACCTTTGGTGTACCAACAGCAATGCTGATGTCGACGTAGTCTCTGTAGATAATGTCTTCTCCATCGATAACAGCGTTCACTACTGGTTGATTTTGTAGTGCGCTGATGGCACCCTGGAACAAGAAAAAAAAAACATGAGCTTTCATTGGTTTGATGATGGAAAAGTAGTAAAGTTTATACCTTTATAAAACCAGACATTAATCCTAGTTTGACACCATGCTTGTCAAGAAAAGCGTCTTTGTACTCTGACCGTAATTTCATCAGATTGGTCCTGATTCCGGGAAGTTAAGAATATAGAGGTATAAAAGTCAGAAACATGGCAGTGAGAACAAACTACTCATAAGATAAAGGGCCGCCTCTAATATATAGATTGTCATCATAAACCACAAGTGACTTTGACTATTCTCTGATCTATGGACTGTCACTAGGAAAGTTTGAATCTTACATGTCTACTTCATTGAAGGTAGTAAGTAGCGCAAAGGTGTTCTGAGAGTCCTTGAGTCGTGTAGCAACACGTTTCCTGAGTCTTGTCATAGGAATCTGTAACAACAAGAAGCATGATTTTCTAAAACAAGCATGCAAACTGTTGATTCTAGTATGTTATACCCTTCTTTCCCGGTCCTTTGGAGGAAGTTGGGGCTCTCTTGGTGACGGTCCTGAAACAGGTGGAGGAGGAGGAGGAGCTCTAGACTTGTCTTTTGGAGGTGAAGGAGGAGGACCTTCTGCTACAGGTTTTGGCTTCTCTTCTTTTTTCTCTGGTTTAATCTCCTCAGGCTTCTTCTCTGATTCTTTAGCCTGAGTTGTAGCTCCACTAGATTGAGAAATCACTGCTATCTTGAAACCAGGCTCCACTGTATCACCTTCTTTTGCAAGGATCTGCCAAAAGAGGGATAGAGTTCAATGCAGGAAGAACATTTCGAGTATGTTTTGCATTTTGAAGAGAAAAAATTTCTTTTACCTTGTCAATAGTTCCAGAAACAGGACTAGCAACATCGATAGTGACCTATGTCGTACAGCAAAATAGTAGTACAGGTGATGAAACTTCAAGAATAGTAGCAAGTTAAAGAAAGAATCCCCCAATAATAATAATACCTTATCAGTTTCTATCTGAGCAATGGGCTCATCAGCTTCCACACGGTCTCCAGGTTCTGATTCAAGTAAATAAACAGAGGTTTCACATACAGTAGGTGATGCCCTTTAAGTTCACTTCTCTGTAGACCTTTATAAAAGTCTACTTACTCTTTAAGAAAGTGGCTAAAGTGCCATCAGAAATAGATTCTCCCATGTATGGAACAACAGCATCCACAGACCCACCTTTCATCATCAAAATGAATTATTTCATCATCAATAAACAAACCCCCATCATTGACAATACTATGGATTTTGTGTTTATATCATACCCTTCTCAGAGGAAAACAACCTAATACTAGTGTTGGATGTTTGGATGCATGGCACAGTTACCCTGCTTAAAGACAAACAAAGCAGTATCACTATCTTATTCTTTCTGCGTTTAAGTAAAAATTCAATAGCATAACCCACCTCATAGCATTTGAGCTCAAATGGGAACCTACAAATCAAGAAAAGAAAAAGGGAGGTCAAGCAATTAAAAAAGGGATGTCTTTCTCAAATGTTTGGACGGAGTTGTACCTAGAGAAGAGCGATGACTGAAGGAGTTCACTATTTGTGATCCTCTTGCGACAAGTGAAGTCTGTAAATTCAGTGTTCAAGATGCTGTGTAAGTGTGAGGAATAGCAGGGGAACAAGAAGATCAAACGAAATCCATTGAACAAGAAGTGATCCAAAGAACGTTTCAATGGATTTAATCTTTTGAACATCTCAGAAAAAGCAGATTAATAGCTTATAAGAACGCCAAAAGGCTAATTATTTTCAACACTAACTCAGATCAGGGAGAAAGAAGAAATGATCAAAAAGTATGGAGATATGACCAAAAAGATACCTCTTTTGCAAGAGCTCCATAGTACCGGGGATGAGATGCCGTCGCACGTGTGCTCTTCCACGACTGTCCTAGAAGAATCTGAACATTAAACGGACCATTTCAAACTACTGCACAGCTTTAAAAATACCCAAATTGGCAAAAATGAATGAGTTAAAACTGTATGAATATTTTTGGATGAAAAAACTTCTGGAAACTCACTGAAGAAGCAGACGAGTGACCGCCATTAATCACCTTCCTCCGAACGATAGACCAAATCGCCATGCCTTTCTCAGCTCAAACAGTAAAGCAAAATCACAAGTAATGTTTTTTTCTTTCCAGATTTTGATTTCGGTTCTTCTGCGAATTTTATGTATTGTGTCACAAGGATAATGCCAAAACACAGTGGAAAGGAAAAGAAAAGAAAAGAAACTTCTTCCTTCTTCTCTTTCACAAGGAAAATGCCAAAACACAGTGTTACAAGCGTAGCAACATAAATAAAACAGTGTTATGAATTATATCATACAGTCTCTGTGGTCATCTTTGACGGCCACGTCAAACGTAGCTTAAACCACGAAAACGGTGCCGTTTCCGTTTTCAACACGAATCAAAAGCAACTACGTGGCGAGTTGGAAGCCGACAGGCAGACCTTCGCGTACCGGAGCCGCCAAAAGACCTCCGCTGACACGTCATCACACCGCCGTAACGTCGCTGTCAAACGCCCCTCCCTCTCTACTGTTTCCATTTTCTCGCAGAATAAAACGACAACGTTTTAATAAATCCGCAAAAGAGCAGAAGATAATAATTAAAGGGAACGCTTTATATACTTTAAATCAGTCCGTCGTGTCTTCTGTGCTCAGCAGAGAAGCTCCGGCGATGGGTTTACACACATTGAGGCTCGCTACAGTTCCGATGACCCAATTCTCTTCTCGCCTCTTCCTCAAGCCATTTCCCAATACTCTTCTAACCCTAGGATTCTTTTCCCGCCATGTTCAACCGCGCAAGCCTTTCCTTGTCAGGGCCTTCTCCGCTTCCGCCGCCGTACAAGATGTTCCGGCCACGCAGGCCTCGGATTCCTCCGGTATTCCCGTTTTTTGCTCTCTTACCTTGTCGAATCGTACATTGATATGAATGTGTCTGATTCGTTCTGGCGGTTTGCGAGTTTTAGTTGCGAGGCCTCAGTGGAAGGCGGCGATTGATTTCAAGTGGATAAGAGATAACAAGGAAGCAGTGGAAATCAACATCAAGAACAGAAACTCGAATGCTAATTTGGAAGCAGTGCTCGAGTTATACGAGAACATGGTCAATCTCCAGAAGGTTATCTAATCCTCTACTCTACTCGTGGGAACTCTTTATCCCTCTGTTACACAGTTAGCTCAAATTCGAATTTGGGGTTCTTAGTACTGGAAACATGTGAAGTCAGCTAATTTGAGAGATTGAATTACATCTGTTATTTTTGTTCAACTCTATGTTCAGCTAATCAACGATTGCAGATAGCAGGAAGTTGAGGGGATTCGTGAGGAAAGAAACAACGTTGCGAAGAAGATGAAAGGGAAGCTGGAACCATCAGAACGTGAGAGACTCGTGGAAGAAGGTAAAGCCAGGAGGACTCCATTTTTGTTTGTCAGTCTGTGTTTTTTATTAAAGATGATAGAGCGTTTCGCCTTCAGGTAAAAACCTCAAGGAAAGTCTTGTAACTCTGGAAGAAGAGCTCGTGAAGCTTAGAGATGAGCTCCAACATGTAGCACAGTCGATACCAAATATGACTCACCCTGATGTTCCTGTTGGAGGAGAGGATTCATCGGCTATAAGAAAAGAGGTTGTTAGTTTATTCATATGCCATTTTGCTGCATCATTGTGAAAGGCTTTTTCTAAAAAAGTATTCATTACTTTCTTTTGTAGGTTGGTAGTCCACGTGAGTTTAGTTTTCCGATCAAGGATCATCTTCAGCTTGGGAAGGATCTAGATCTCATTGATTTCGACTCTGCTGCAGAGGTATACACTTTGTCTATTTAAAAGTTGTCATTTTTAGAGTTGTCGGATTAACGTTCTGGCTTTATCTGATGTGTTAAGATCTCATCAATAATATGCATTTATCCTTTATTGAAACACATTGAGTACAATTTCCCCTGTAAATTGTTGGAGAAATGTGAGCAGCTGATTTTTTCCATATGTGCAATTGTATTTAGGTTTAAGCATGTTGAGTTCGAACTAGTGGAGTTCACTTGAGTGGGTGAATGATCATTTCATTGTATGAAGAAGCATTAGACTGATGATGACCAAATTTTCAATTTTTCTTGTATATGAGGTGAAGTAACTCCCTTCTTGCTTTTGCATTCTTTCAGGTAAGTGGTTCAAAGTTTTTCTATTTGAAGAATGAGGCAGTGTTATTGGAGATGGCCCTCCTTAATTGGACATTATCAGAAGTCATGAAGAAGGGTTTTACGCCCCTAACGACCCCTGAAATTGTTAGATCTTCTTTAGTTGAGAAATGCGGTTTCCAACCTCGTGGAGATAATACACAGGTTCCTGCAATACTTGTGTGTTTGCTCTTATTGATAAGTCAATTTTTTTGTTGGTTGCCACTTGCCAATCCTGTTTCTATGTTTCTGGATAGGTTTATTCTATAGATGGCACTGACCAATGTCTCATTGGTACCGCTGAGATTCCCGTAGGAGGAATCCACATGGATTCTATTCTTCTTGAATCAGCATTACCTTTGAAATATATAGCATTCTCTCATTGCTTCCGTACTGAAGCTGGTGCAGCTGGCGCCGCTACTAAGTAAGTTAGTAGAATGAGTTTAGTCCTTGTTGCATCTCCCTGTTCTTGGCTTCTTCAGTAGACTCATAAGTCGTACTATAAATCCCTACTTTCTTGATCCCGAGCAGAGGTCTTTACCGGGTTCATCAATTCAGCAAAGCAGAAATGTTTGTCCTATGCCGACCCGAAGATAGTGAAACCTTCCACGACGAACTCATTCAGATCGAAGAAGACCTGTTCGCTTCTCTAGGGTTACACTTCAAGTAAGATACTGAATCCAAATCTGATGTTTTCTCACCAGAGTTTTTGTGTTCCAGAGATCTAACTTTGTCAGTGCAGAACATTGGATATGGCCACAGCAGATTTAGGCGCTCCAGCTTACCGCAAGTTTGACATTGAAGCATGGATGCCCGGTTTAGGACGATTTGGCGAGGTAAGCAGATCAAACTCATATGTTATATGTGTTTGACACTAGAACCGAGTTTGAGCCTGGAGTTTTAACTTCTGAGCTAGGTATCGAGCGCGTCGAACTGCACTGATTACCAAAGTCGAAGACTGGGAATTCGTTACCGCCCATCTGAGCCGCTTCAGGCGGAACCTAAGAAAGGCAAAGCGAATCTTCCGGCTCCCAAGTTTGTGCATACTCTAAACGCAACGGCGTGTGCTGTCCCGAGGATGATGGTGTGTTTGCTGGAGAATTACCAGCAAGAAGATGGATCCGTGGTGATCCCTGAGCCCCTTAGGCCTTTCATGGGAGGTATTGAACTCATTAAGCCCAAGCTTAGATAGTTCTTATGGTTAGCGTTTATGCTAGTCTTGTTGTAACTCATGATTTGAGGTCTGTTTAAGCATTATACAGTCCACATGCGCTGAGTTTTGTCTTATCTTTTTTTTTTTTCTCTCTCAATAGTAATGGAAAAGAAAATATTCTTTGAATTACTTTTTGATTATACTATTTTCATTTCATAATATTTGGATGCACACCATAGATTATCTCCATCTCATAATATTCTAATACTGTAATGAAACGGTCGCCTGAAAGTCGAATATTTTACAAAACAGCCAAAAAGATACATTTCAATGTCTTGTCAAAAGAGATCACAGTGAGCCCATAGCAGAGCAAAAAACTAATCCTAATTGGCAAAAATCCTTCATGAACAACAAAACCGGTTGCTTCTCTGCATTTACATTGGGAAAGGTAAACCCACTTCTTGTTTACTCTGACAAAACATCAAAGATGCTGATAAAACCTCTAAATCAAGTGAATGGATAAAAGTTGGAGAAGAGAAGAGTGCCGAGAAGGATATAGGCTGCACAATATGACCATATCAAGTATTCCCATTTACTATGTTTAGGAGATGCAATCAAATGCGATGCAAACCAGTAAAGAGGAGGGCTCGCTGACAAGAACCGTGTTGCAACCTGTAACCAAAATACACATGTGATAATCTTCTATTCTCAAGAGTTTTTTTGCCACTTTAAAGACTACGTTAATTGAGGATTGTAACCTGAACATGCATGACGAAGAACGCTGTGGCTGCCATTAAACCCAAGTGTACGACAAATGGGAATACATCAGCTGAAAAATATCCCGACTTTTCCGGCGATATAGAATCCGCAACCACATCGGTCACAGTCACATCCTTCTTTCTGCAAGATTTCCGCTGCCTAATGTCACGGTTTCCTATTCGGGAAAATGTAGAGAGGATCCATCAACGTCTTTAAATTTGGAAGAACTATATGACACAACGAAGAAAATGATACCTTCATTTGATGAAGTTTTAACATCTGCTTCGACCGCATCCTTCAGAGAATAAAGCATTGCACCAGATCTCTTTTCTTTCTCGGTAGCTTGAAAACCCAGCGAAATGAAGAGCTCAGGCCGAGCCTTCATGTAACTTATAATTGAACACACAGCTAGAGACAGAATCGGGGATGCGAGCAGAAAGTTTGGGAGCTGTTTAAACTGAAAGTATCTAAGAAAGCCTACTCCCCTGTCACAATTCATGTCATCAAAAAAATTAAGGCTCGAAATCAAAAAGGAGAAAGAAACTTGCAAGAACAAGAAAAGGCTATCGTTCAAACTTACCAGTAATGACTTTGAATGAAGTTGTACAGCAAAGGTACCCTTGCTTTGCACCAAGGCCTCAATTCATCAGGCTTATGTCCATGACAGAGGTTATAGTATCCGTATGCTTGAAATGCGACAAAAGGAAGACAAATGCATACGCATCGAAGAAGTCCAGTAACTAAAACCTGCACAGCCAACTGCGTAGAGAAACAAATCACTATGGTACCTGTAACCAAGGCAATACCAGCAAAACACTAAGTAGGATCCCGATGAATGAAATATGTATAACTCACACAAACACGCCTTTTCTGATATAAAGCTTCATATGCTCGATGCATCGTCTGGAAACAGATGTAACCAGCATTAAGAATTCCATTGGACCTTGCACAGCCAGAGAGAGCAAACCAGAGAACGGCTACATTGCTGGCACCAGATAGCAAGTGATACAAGCCTCCAATTGAAAAAAGAGCATACAGACTTTCTGAATATCTGAAACTCACATGGAAATAGTTCGATCTTCAGTTAGTTACCATAAAATTTTCTCTTGAAAAATGAATTTTGAGAACATTGCTTGAATACGTTACATTGATGAATAAAATATGGACGCCGGATTGAAACAGAAGATGATTGAAGCTCTAAATGATGCTTCAGTGTCCTTCAAGATAAGAACTGAAACCCTGTTAGCAAAGACTGATGTAAGACATTTCTAAAAGAACTTAAAATTGATGATTGCATACGCAACAAGATGTTGAAGCTGCCAGTACCTGAATAGATAGATTGCAGCAAGTACGAAGGCCAAGTTGCTGACGACGTAGCCAGACAACACCATTACAGCTCGAAGACCAATCAACGGAACCAAAGGCGCAAAAACTGAATCAGGAGACCCATTTTTTCTCATCAGTGAGAGCTCGAAGATACGGAAATGAAACAACAAAAGTAGGGAGTCAAGTGGGTAGATGAGATCTGATTCCAAAACCTGTGCGAGAGAGAAGCGAGATGAAGAAGGGAAGCAGAGGCAAGAAGGCGTAAGTCTGCTCGTACTCGTACCCACACTGCGTGATTCGGAGAAAATACACGCTGTCCCAGACGACGCTGTTTTCAAGGGTCTTCGAGACTGCATTGGCTACAAGGAGCGGAGGACAATCTTCGGTGACGTTTCTGTGATGCAGGCACGGCGGGTCGATTGCGGCGGATGTATCGTACGGTTGGAGGAAGCTCCGCCACAAAATGGTTAAGAACAGAACGAGGAGTCGCGAGAAGATGGCGTATTTGATCAAGATGCTTTCTTTCCTGGATTTCGAGTTTGATTCCATGGCTTTCGCCATTGATTACGTGATCCTCTTCGAGAATTCCGATCCCGGAGAGAGTAGCAAAATCCTCCCTTTGGAATACTCGAACCGGAGATAAAATCAATACTACTCCGACAGAAATTGAGCTCCAGCAGAAATGGAAGACGAATCAAGCTGAATAAACAAAGGTAACATTTCGATTTCTCATCTGAAAGAGACAAAAGAGGAAGTCGTGACAGAATCCGGCGAAAGATGATTCAGTTTGTGATTTTGAGCAGAGTGGAGGGAAGAAGAAACTAAAAGAACAAAGCTCGACGGAGAAGAAGAACGACGGATTTGAGAAAAGAGTGCTCGATTTAACTTTCGAACCGGCCGGTCCAATCATAGAGGCAGGTCCCTGGTTTCAGCCGAGTTTTTCCGGTTCCTTTAGACTTTTAACTTTTAAGATCGGACCAATCGGTTCGGGTTTAAGAGGCGAAATTTAACGCGCCATGTCATCAAAGCCATGTCACCAAAACGCGTCACAAGCCCAATCACCTGAGGCTTGGTATCATAAACGTCGATCGTCATAAATTGTATTTCGTTCGAACAACAAAAAAAAAAAAAGAAGGAAAAAAAAAAACAATAAAGGGACCATAATTAAATCACCCCCTTGATAAACCCTCCATTAAAAAATTAGTACTTCTCTTTCCTTCGATCATCGGCTTCTCCTGGTTCTCAGATCTTTGAATCGAGAGGAACCATTTTAATGCTCGTATCAGGTTTGTCTTTATCCTTGCTCAATTGTAGTTTTCCGTCATATAGCATGGAGAATTTTGTTCAGTTTTGCAATTTTTTTGAGGATTGCTTCCGTTTGGGATCGAAACTTTGGGACTTTCTGTAGATGTCACTGAGTTTGTGTCTCATGGATCAATTGTTCGTTTGAAACCTGTAATGAATTTTGTTATCAGATCTCTGATGTGTTTCGAATTTGATTTTTCTCTCAGGTTGTCGATTCATAGTTTTGTCAAACATAGATTATGCGGAATTTGTGATAGATTCTGGATTTTATTTCACTGAAGCTTAACGTGTTTGTTTAAAATTGGCGATATGATGATCTCGTGGAAGTTAATTGCCACAATGTGGAAAACGGAGGCTTTTGATGAAACACAAGCTAGGATTAGAGTTGACTGCCTTACATCTAGAGTCTTGATGATAAATATTGAATTGCGATTTTGGGGAGTTGTAGGATTCATATTCTTGTTTGGAAATTTATGATAATTGCAGTGAATTTGTTATTGGAGAAGAGATAAGGCAAAGATGGTGAAGATGACATTGATAGCTCGTGTTACTGACGGGTTGCCTCTAGCAGAGGGGCTCGACGATGGACGTGACTTACCAGATTCGGACATGTATAAGCAACAGGTCAAGGCTCTGTTTAAGAATCTTTCCAGAGGTCACAACGAAGCTTCAAGAATGTCGGTTGAAACTGGCCCTTATGTTTTCCAGTATCCTTTATTCGCCATGTCTTATCATTTCATATTGTCCTTGCAAAATCTTGATGATTGATAGATTTCATATTGATGTTTGATTAAGAGTTGCATGTAGGTAATTTACATCCTTAGTACTATATTATTATTGATAGTGCAGGAAGTTGACTGGCCTTCTAGGTTTTTTGTTCAGGCACCAGTTTCAATCTTATGACACGTTTTAATCCTCTTGCATTATGTTTGAGATGTCGTTTTAATGCTTGACTAGTTCTTGCTTGTGTGATTATTTATATATCCTGCCTTTGTCATATCTGTACGCTTTTATCTTGAAAGAAAGAACCAGATTATCTATGCTCTTCCTTGACCAGACAATCTTTAGTTACATCATAGAAGGACGAGTTTGCTACTTGACAATGTGTGACCGCTCTTACCCAAAGAAACTAGCGTTCCAATACCTGGAAGATCTTAAGAATGAATTCGAACGTGTCAATGGGCCTAACATTGAAACAGCTGCTCGACCTTATGCCTTTATTAAATTTGGTGTGTGTACTGTAGATTCTCTTCTGTATATATTCAGTATCTTGGAAACATGCATTCCCGGGTTTCTCACTTTTTTTTATCCCTTTGTGTTTATTTTTTTTGTAGATACCTTCATACAGAAAACCAAGAAACTGTACCAAGACACTCGTACGCAACGAAATATCGCCAAGTTGAACGATGAACTCTATGAGGTTCATCAGATAATGACGCGGAATGTGCAGGAAGTACTAGGTGTTGGTGAAAAGCTGGACCGTAAGCCACGTCTATTCTTTCTCCTATGATCAATCATTACGCTTTTCGAATCAGTGGAATCACTTCCTCATCGTTTAATCATTTCCTCTTCTTGTTTCTTTTAATGCAGAGGTGAGCGAGATGTCGAGTCGGCTAACATCTGAATCTCGTATATATGCTGATAAGGCTAAAGATTTGAACCGTCAGGTGAGTTTGATTGTATATTTTCCTTTATTACAGAATGCAACATTGATCACACGTTATGATCATGTTTAGTTTAGTTTATAGCTCATGGTTTTGAAACATTTGATTTGGTATTGCCAGGCTTTGATCCGGAAATGGGCACCAGTCGCAATTGTGTTCGGGGTGGTTTTCCTTCTTTTCTGGGTCAAGAACAAGCTATGGTAAGAAAAGAGGCACCTAAGGCTATTTTCGTAATTTAGCAGACTTCTCCGGGGATACATCGACCGCCGACGCAAATCTCCTGATTCCGGCACACAAAATATCTTCTTTCTTTCAAAAGAGATACTTTGACACATTTTGTACTTTCTGTAGTAAGCAAAATTTATGCGACTCGTCATATTATCATCCATCATACTCTTCAAACCTTGATTGTCATTTTCTCAGGTTTCTTCAAATTAAATCAAAACCAAAATCATACTAACCCCTACTGTGTTTTGATTTCGTTACATATTCCTAACAAAAATGATATATATTAACGAATAGCTGGATAAAAAAAAAGGTTTTTTTAGCGTCTATATGGTGGTCTCAAGTGTCGTTTAAAATCTTGTGGACCTGCCAAATCTAACGAAGAACTGTTCTTCAACTCATCCGAAAGCTGCAACGCCCTCTGAAACTCTCCCGACTTCTTCAGACAATCGATCAATGCTCGGTAGACATAAACCGATGGTCGGATCCCTCGCTGTTTCATCTCATCGAAAAGCCTCAACGATTCCTTAATGTTCCCCGATCGACCCAAACTGTCTATCACCGCGGTATAACTAAGCAGATCAGGTTCAATCCCACGCTGAACCATTTCGTTGTATAACACCAAACACATGTCGAACCTACAAGCTTTCCTCAACCCGTTTATCACCGTGTTGTACGTAATGATGTTTAGTGATACGTCGCAATCTTCCTTCATCGATGACAATAACCTAAGCATCTCATTCACGAGTCCAGCCCGGCCCAAGATGTCCAAAACCGAGTTGTATGTGATCACATCTGGTTTACACTCCCACTCTCTCATCTGCTCAAGTATCATAAGGACCTTATCGATCTGTCGAGATTCTGCAAATGCAAGGATGGTTCTGTTTATCACTATTAACCTACACGGAAGAGAAGACTCTGCTACTTCTTTGAGAAGACTCAACAAGTGTATGCAATCATCGGTGTTAATAAAGGCTCTCGCGAGGTTGAGATAACAGTCTGAGCTCAAAGGCTTACCCGCTTGCATCAACAGCTCTCTGAAAGCTCTGCAAGAGAGCTTCATATCGCTCTGCTCACCCGCTGCTGCAAGAAGGCTCTCGAAAACCGAAACAGGCAAGCAAACGTTCTTGTCTTGTAAAGACTGCAACAAGTCATCTGCAGCAGAGAGATTTCCATCTCTTCTATACTTCTCCACAAGTTTCGTGTAATCGATTTTGCTGATGAACTTGGAACCGGTTTCACTATTGTCAGCGGTTTTCTTCAGGAGTTCTTCGTCTTCTTCTCCTGTGTTTATCAATGAGTGCATAGCTGAGAACGAGCAGCTCCAGCTCAACTCAGCAGGAGCTAACACCATATGTTTCTGCGAATGCGAATACACAAAAACCAAAGAATTAACTATACTGAATTTGATTCGCCATCTATCAACAATCTCCGCAAGATATGACCTAATAATGTAGGCTCCAAAACTACAGCCGATCAGAATCGGGAAGAACAAGAAGTTTTCGAATGTTCGTGTATCTCTATCGAACCAAACGTTTGTAGAAAAAACTCGACGAGCACAGAGAAAAATTACGAGAGAGAATCATCAAATCGAACAAAACACGAATCACGAAAGGTTAGGGATTTTCTGGAATTCGTACCATAGAAGTGAATGAACCTCCATAGACGGGGATTCTCTTAACGATCGACCACTTCGCCATCTTCCTCAGTATCTACCCCCAGAGAGCTTGTGACATTTCCAGGTTCAGGTTTTTGGTTTTGAGGGAAATTGATTGGGTTACGATGACACATTCATTAATTTCTAGGCCATGTTTGTAATAAATTTTAAAATTTAGGGACTCATTGGTAAATCTGTAAACTTTTAAAATCAAAGGGAAGAAAGATGACACTTTTGACAGACACAGCCTCTTTCCTTACCGACTTCAACTTTTCTTCTTCGTATTTTCCGACGGGGAAAGTTCTCGATCGCTGCTGCATTTCATTTTAGCTGAAATTTCAAAACCATAGACGATCACGCTTCTCTCTTCCGATCAATACGATGCAGCATTTACTCTTCGCCGTCGTACTTTTCGAGGTCGCGGTGATAATGGCACTTTCTTTTAAGACGCCGATTCGGAAGCTATTGATCATGGGCCTGGATCGTGCGAAGCGTGGCCGTGGACCGGTGGTGATTCAGACGGTTTCGGCTACTGTTTGTGTGGTTCTGGTGACGAGCGTGTACAGTATAATGAAGATCCAGAATCGCTGGATCGAGGACGGTGCAATGAACCCAACGGATGAGGTTATCATGGCCAAGCATCTCCTGGAATCGACTCTCATGGGTAAGCTCTCTTCGCTTCTCTTCTTGGATCCGGTTTCGCTCTTCTCTCGTTTTAGGTTACTCTGAACCAGAATTACTGTTTCCTAGTAGAGAATCCGAGATCCATATATTGTTTTAGAAACTAATCTTGTTGAGTGTATCCGAGTCACAGTCTCTTGAAATGTTTGTGATCACTGTCTTGCTAGAGTGATGGTTTAGCTCTTGAATTTTTCAATTCATCATCGCTTTTTCCTCCTCGGATTCAACTTACTTCAATCAAATTAGCTGTGGTTGGATCCATATTTGGTAAATATTAGTTGCTAGTGTGATTGATTAGCTCTTCTTCCTCCTCTGATTCAACTTACTGCAATCAAATTGGCTTTGGAGGGATTCATATAAGCCTTTCGTTATTTGAAATCGGCTCTCAAAAGCTTCAGTTTGGTTTCTTCTTCTGTGCCTTTGGAATATTCTTCCTCTTGTGCAATTTGGTGAAAAAAGCTTAGTTGTTGTGTATTGTTTCCAGGTGGGTTTCTGTTCCTGGGGCTAATGATAGACAGGCTGCATCATTACATGAGAGAGCTGCGCATAAGAAGGAAGATGATGGAAGCTATAAAGAAGGAAGGAGCGGTTTTGGAAAGTGTAAAAGCCAGAGCTTCTGATGAAGTTAAGAGCTTGAAAGAGGAAATAATGTCGCTGAAGGAGAGGCAGAAGCAGCTGGCCTCTGAGTTTGAAGCAATTTCTAAAGAGATCCGTACTGAAAAAACCAGTGGGATTGCTCTAGAGAAGCAATCTGAAGGTTTCCTCACTGAGTTTAACCGGTTGTTTGACGAAAACCGGGATCTTCGAGCGCAATTGCACACTGTGGATTCGAGAATCTCGCGTTCAAGCAGCAAGAAGAATACTTGAGACTCTCTACTCCCAACAATTTTTTCAAAACTTCCTTTTGTGATCTGCCGTTTGGATAGTTTGGGTTTGGAGTTTGTGAATACTGGGTACTTTGGGGATTTGGTAGATCGCATCTTGTTCGGAGGGAACAAAAAATCAGAGAATACAAAAGCAAAGATAGGTTTTGATTTCTTGTTCTGATTGTTGGCTAAGAGTAGAAATGATCAAATTCTATTATATCCAAGGAAACTGTAACTCTCGGTTGCAAGAATTGCATACACTCGCAGAAATCATTGCTTCACATTGCATTAATATGTGTGGATCTTCAAAATGTAGAGAACTATACAATTATATTGAGCATCAGGACGGATATCTGAATTGACTTTCTTATAATTATTGGTTGTTTATTAGTTACATGTCATAAGTAAAGGTAAATAGTTCATTGGCGCACACAAAAAGTAATCTAAATTATTCTTAATAAATGATCCAAAGCTATAATGATATTTACAATTGTCATTGCATGTATTAGAAAATGTTATAATTTGATTAAGTGTATTTTTTTCTAATTATTTTTACCATAAAATGAAAGACCATTGTAACTCTAATGCACTACCACATATATGATTAATTGATTTTAATTTACTAACCAAAAAAATAGTACACTAAATTCAGACAAAATTATTTTTTTAAAATCTGAAATTTTAGTAAGTTTTGCAAAATTATTGTTAGAAATTTTAAAATCATTAGTAAAAGTTTCAAACCATCTGAAATTTTTTAAAAGTGAGACTTTTTTTTAACTTGCTAAAATAAATTAAAAACAAAATGCATGAAATTTTTATTGAAGAGAAAATTTCAGATAAATATATTTTAAAAAAAATCTAAGATTCAAATAAATCTTGCAAAATTATTGTTAGAAATCTTAAAATCATTAGTAAAAATTTCAGGACATAGACAAAAACACAGAATTTATGAATTTATGAATGTGGATCTGCTTTAGCTTTTTTGACAAGGTTGTATTGTTAAGTGAAATTTAGATTAACAATTTTGATTTAAACAGTACTAACATAACTGAGAAAAACAAGAGTTTAGAGTTCATTCTGGAGAATAGCTTGTGAATCGTGAATAAGATAGAGCATGAAATCAGGTTTACGGATCACATTTATGGGTCAGATTTTTTTCTCGGTCAGATTGGAATTAGTTTCTCTTTTGATTTTTACGGATTTAGTCTCTTTTTTTATTTATAGATATAACCCATAAAATTTAATATTACGTTAGAAATAGATAGATAGCTATTACTTTTAATAAATTTTCAATAGAATACTTATCTGCCCATCAATTTTCAGAAAATTAGTTCATCTTACTTATTCTCCTTCAAACCATAAAAGTTAAATTTATGCACATTTTTTTTCAAACATTGTTAATTTATCTATTTTTTTATTTATGGGCAGATCTTTATTCATATAATTAGAAAATCAATTTTCATTTAAAAATAAAAATTAAAATTAATATAATATTTTGCTCATAATCAGAAATTAGGAAATATACTAATTAATTAGAAAAAAACAACCAATATTGACCAAACTTAATAATATCTTATAAGTATGCTTTTCCATAGTCATTGTTCAACATTTATTTATTTCTCCATATTCTGAATTTACAGAAATATACATTTCCAAACAAAAAGACAAATTAAAATCAAAATTTAAAATTATCAATACATCTTAAACTTTACACAAATATATATTTTCTAATTAAAAACAAAATTTATCATTAGTAGGTTAGAACCATAACTTAAAATTATTAACAAATTTTAAACTATATAAAAATATATTTTTCATATAAAAATTGTTACGAGTTAGCTAGAATTTAAACTTAAAATAATTAATATATCTCAAACTTTATTTAAATATATTTTTTTTACAAAAAAAATGATTACATGCAGGTTAGAATTTAGACTTAAAAAGTTAAAATCATCAACACATCTCAAACTTTATTTAAATATATTTTTCATAAAATAAAAAACATTTAAAAGATAAAAATATAATAGCAACTTACAATGCACGACAAATAACAAAAACAATAATTTTATACTTATCATTCGTAGCTGATAGCAAAAGACTTTAAAAAGATAAAGATAAAAACTTTTTTATAGATGATAAGCAACTCAAAACTATCAAACAATTTTTTTATTAACATTTGACGGGTTAATATGTTAGAAATTAACATATAAATAATAAATACCAACAATTAAAATAAAAAGTAAAATGTTTTGTGACGGGTTAATATGTTTCAATATATGTTCGCTTAAATTTATCCGATCCAAAGTAAATTAACCAAGGCTATGTTAACCATATGTATGAAAAAGAAAACATTTATAGTCCTAATCATCGCAATAATAGCTGCTGTGAATTATATAAAAAGAGTTTCTGTACAGCTTTTTACATTTTTTATTATAAAAAAAAACTGAATAAAATCTGTATTTAAACTGAGTTAAAATTATTTAGGTTTAGGTTCATTAAGTTCTACAATTTGAAGATTTCAACAAAAAATTATTTTTGTATAAAAAATTGAAACTTTTGATATACACCAAAATCTCATAAGAAAATATATAATCAGTATAAAATTTACAAACATCAGTTGAATGAATTATTTCTTTTTAGTTTCAGAGATCTACCCGTTTATAGTAATTAAGTTTCATTTCTAATCTTTAACAAAAAAAAAGTTCAAATTCTGAAATATATTCCTTTTCTTCTAATTTATGAACATGAGAGTAATACATTGTTCTTTATTTATTTATTAAATTTCTTTTGTTCGTTTTCGTGTGATATTATTAGATGCTTTCAAGAAGGCCGACTTCATTATTTCAAAAGATGGGATTGATAAGTTTACGATCCTTAAAAAAGCTGTAAAATAACAACAAAACGTGATTTGTGTATATACGACAAAGTCGTAAACATTGCGGAGGAAAAAATAAATTCTTCATTATAGGTGAGGGCAGTGACTCAACCGTTTTCACGAAAAGTTTAAACGCTAAAGATCGTATTATTAACTTTTTACCAAAAGTTTTAAAATATGTATTTACTTATTTTTGCTTTGGTTTTTCATTACTTTTACTTATTTTTTGCTTTGATTTTTCATTTGTTTTGCTTATTTTTTGCTCTGGTTTTTCATTTGTTTTGCTTATGTTTTGTATCTAAAAAATAATTATTATATCTCATGATTGTGCTTCATAATTTTTTATGTTTATATAAATGATTGGTATATTCTATATTTTTGAGCAAATTGTAATATGTGTGGATCTTCAAAATGAGGAGAACTATACAATTATATTGAGTGCCAGGACGGATATCTGAATTGAGTTTCTTATAATTATTGGTTGTTTATTAGTTACATATCATAAGTAGAGGTAAATAGTTCATTGGCACACACAAAAGAGGTAAAAAGGAACATCGTCTATTATTTTTCTATGCATGCACTTCATTATACTGATATTGATTTATATATGCAACACAAACATTTTGTTTTACGTATAGATGTGTATACACACACATGAAAAGATTTGTAGTTATAATATTTTGTGTATACATGCTATTTATAATTTTATGAGAAAGTATATAAAAAAAAGAAATAGACACCCATATATAACCAACAAAATTAATTGATATAGAGAGTGTGTACGTACGTAGCCTTTATCTTTATTGGAGAATATTAATGAATAAGGATGGAGAATAAGAATTTAAGACGATTCTGTTCTTCTTCTTCCGTTGTTACTACTCTCATCATTATTTTCTCCCAACTAACCGCTTAATTATTTCCTTAATTTTCTTGGTAATATGTATATATTTAATTATATTCCCAATCAATTCTATTCTTGGTTGCTTTCCGGATATTGAAAACAATTTAAGTTGTTTTCTGCATTTCCGCTCAATTATTTCCTTAAGCTTTCTCTAGATGTAGTATATTTTGGTTTCTTGAATTTTTTTCCTTTTTCTTTCATGAGTTTCTGCATTTCCGCTTAATTATTTCCTTAAATTGTTTTCTATATCCGGAAAGCAACTAAGAATCTGCATTTCCGCTTAATTATTTTTTTAAGTTTTCTCTAGATGTAGTATATTTTGATATCTTGAAACTTTTTTTTTTTTCTTTCATACTGCATTTCCGCTTAATTATTTCCTTAAATTGTTTTTTATATCCGGAAAGCTACCAAGAATGGAATTGATTGGGAATATAATTGTATATATTCCTTTTTGTTATTTGTAAAATATTCATTTTTGTTATTATTCTCTAAGTACGAAATAGTTAAATTTCGACCCACGTTACCATCCAACCGTGTCTATAAATGACACCATAGTTCTATGAAGAAAAAAAACATAAATCACAACAAAACCTTAAAAAAAAAACTTTCTCTCTCGATTTCTCTTTCACTTCAGCGAGCGATTAAGAAGCTATTTCTCTTTCTCTCTTGATTTCACTCTCCTAAACAATGGAATCACTCACTTTCCAACGAAGGCCTCTCCCTAAATCCTGCCTCGCCTGTGGACTCGACCACACCTAATCCTGATGAGCTTTCTCTCTCCTCCACAACGCAGGTACCCACTAACTTCTACACAAATTTTTATATATTTGAAATGAACGAGTTTTTCTATATTTTAAATGCTTACGCGCAACAAGACCGAAAAGTTGGAAAATATGCAAAATACAAACAAGACATGCCTTTAGAAATAATTAAATATGCTTTTTTATTTTTTAATCAGTGTAATATATGTTCGCTTAAATTTATAGTAGGCCGACTCCGTTGTTTCAAAAGACGGGACCGGTAACTTTACCACCCTCAAGAAGGCGGTCGCGGCTGCTCCTGATAACAGCAAACAGCGATTCGTCATTTTTATGAAGAAAGGCATCTATGATGAAGTTGTAAACATTGAGGAAAAGAAGACAAATCTAACCATTATAGGCGAGGGCAGCGACTCAACCATTCTCACGGGGAGTTTAAACGCTAAGGATGGTACCCTCACCACCTTCCATACCGCAACGCTAGGTAATCTCTCCCTCATTAATTTTTCGTCTTTTTTTGTTTTCGTTAATTTTTCGTCTTTGTAGATGTTATTGTTTTTATTTCAAGCTATTATATTTTGAAGTATCCTAGACTAAAGCCCGTTTGATACAACCACAGGCGTCGATGGAGTTGGGTTTATGGCCCAGGACATATGTATCCGGAACACCGCCGGGCCAGAGAACGGACAGGCAGTGGCTCTCCGTGTGAGCGGCGATATGGCAGTCTTCTATCGTTGCCGAATCGATGGGTATCAAGACACACTCTACCCTTATTTGGGCAGACAATTTTACCGTGATTGCCTCATTACCGGCACGGTGGACTTCATATGTGGAAAAGCATTCGCTGTGTTTCAACACTGCGACATTGAGCCACGAAAGCCGAAAGAAGGACAAGCCAACATGATGACGGCTCAATCAGGCGACGATCAGGAGCATAGGTCGGCGTTTGCCTTCCATAAATGCAACATAAGGGCGAGTCCGGATCTTGCTCCGCTCAGAGGGACAGTTAAAACGTATCTAGGACGGCCGTGGGGTGTCCTCTCAACGGTGGTGGTTATGCTTTCCTTTATTGATGACCTCATCGATCCGGCGGGTTGGTTTCACTGGGAGGACGATAAAGAACCTCGCCTATCCACGTTGTTCTACGGCGAATACGAAAACAACGGTCCGGGAGCTGACACAACCAAAAGAGTGAAGTGGCCGGGATAAAAAATAATAAACAACCCGGAAGAGGCTGCAAAATTCACGGTTGGACAACTTCTTCTAAGAGGAGGTGGAGAAATGTGGCTTAACTCCTATGGAGTTCCTTACGAAAATGGCCTTTGATTGCATTTTCTTTGATGTTTTTAGTTAATTATGTGTTAGATAACTATGTGTTAGTTAACAAGAACTTTTAAAATAATTATTATGAATTCTAAACTAAAGATATTTGTTGTTCATCAAACAATTTCATCCACCGTTAATTGAAGTCTCAATCATATAGGTTTCGTCTTTTGAAGTCTCAATCATATACAAAAGGTTTCGTCTTCTTTTAAGTCTCCTATCTTGATATCGTTTGTATATATTATTTCTCGAACAATATCACCGTTTCTATAAATTCAGTATGGACGTTGACTTAAAACAATACAGCTATATCAATTATGTAATGTATTTTTTTTTTAATGAAACTACTTATTGCTTATAAAATATGTATAATAATGACTATTTCAATTTATAAGCTTTTCACAACCTGTAAAAACGGTAACATTATATATTTGGGTTATTAGTCACCGTAAAAATACAAATTTAATACTTAAAATGAATATTCTTTTTACTATATGACTTCCGATTTGAAAAATTTTGATTTTTTTGTTTGTTTGTTTATATCACTGAAATATATAATTTCAAAGCTATCATATACCAATTTAAAAGAAATGAGAATCTCAATTACAAAAAAAATTACCAAAACAAAACTTATTTAAAATAAAACTATTTTGTTTTATTTAGTGTCAGGAAAATAATTTATTACCTAAACTAAAAAATTTGCACATTTTATTCCATAAAAAGTTATCTTTTTGACATTAATGAAATCTGCAATTTAACTTTAACTAAAGAAAGAAAACTACAATTCGTGAAGTTATCTAAATTACCAAAGAAACATTAATTGATTTGACATATTGCGAATATTCAGTATATTTTAGTATGGTAAAAAATCTGCCAAGCATTTATTATTTTTTACAAAAATAAAATTCAAAAATATGTTTAAGCCTTTATAAGTCGTCGACGTCTCATATTCAAGCATTGGAGACAAACAAAAAATGGTTGCATACGTCAAAAAAAACATTTTATTAGTTCTTATACTAGTTTTATCCCTTTTTGTTGACTCATCATATGCAAGATTTAATATGATGATTACAAAAGGTGAAATCGACGGTCTATGCACCAGAAAATATACCAATACTTCACTTTGTTTTGAGGTTTTAAAACTTATTCCTGATATTGCGTTACAGGATTTTGCAGGTGTGGCCAAATTTTTAATCAATTACAATTCTAACAAAACCTCAGAAATGTCGAAGCGATTCCAGTCACTCACGAACAGCACAACCGATCGCGTTACTAAAGAAATCTATCATGTATGCTCACACACTTTGGACCTTGCTATTGGTTCTTTTGATACAGCCCTCGAAGTTTTAGAAGCTAAGAACTATCATACCAGCTTGGAAATCAACATTGGTGATACGAGGACTTTGGTGGGTACGTGTAGATGCGAGCTATCAACTGTTAAGCCTAGTCGTCCAGAAGAACTCATAAAAGAAGCTAATACCGTCTATAAGCTGTCTGGCATAGTCTTGTCGATTATAAATTGTTATTTAAGTAAAGAAAAAGGACAATGTGTTACGAATAATTATGTGGATGCCCATTATAAGTTTAATCTAGTAGGAGATCCTTGTCTCTAGGTTTTACCTTATTACTAATAGTAATAATAATATTTGATTTTATGTTGTCAAGTTGTCGATATTTCTTTTTAAGTTATAAACAGTTTATTATATATATACAAAATAGTTATATATATAGTTCACCAGGTCTTAATATTCTTTGTAAACTCTTTGATATTAATATAATTGGTTTGCAGAAAGAAAAAAAAGTTATATGATATGTGTTATTATTATCTTAGTACAGTATACAAATATTGATATCTCAAAATTACTAATAAATTTAATATGGGTCACTCATAAATCTGACACCCAATTTCTATTAAAATTTATATAATAAAATATGGTCTGAATTTTGGGTTGGTTAATTCGGTTCGCATCGGTTATTGCGGATTGAACATCCCTTAAAGCGAGACCTAAGCAGGGCCGGTTTTGTGAAAGTCTTCTCCGATCTTCCGAAAATGAGACTTATGACACCGGCCGCCGCTGAACTATCCCGACGTGGGGCTCTTGATGCCAGATACCTCCTAAACCCTAACCACGTCAATCTAAGTGTCACATCTTCCTTCTCTAAACCTGAATCCAACATGAGATCGCTGTGTGATTGTGAGAACTCAAATCCTCAGCTTAAGAACGCCGTTTCAGCTTTCCAGCAAGCGGTCGACTCCGGTGGCTCTCTTTCCTTCCCCGGAAACAGTCTCATGGCAGCGCTGGTACGTTCTAGGAACCACGAGCTCGCATTTTCCGTTTACCGCAAGATGCTCGAGACGAGTACCTTCATCAATTTCGTATCGCTGAGTGGTTTGCTCGAATGTTTCCTGCAATTACATCGTAACACCGGATTCGCGTTAGGTGTTCTCGCGTTGATGTTAAAGCGTGGGTTTGCTTTCAGTGTCTACAATCTCAACATCCTCTTAAAGGGTCTCTGCAAGAATCGCGAGTGCGGTAAGGCTATGAGTCTGCTTCGAGATATGAAACAGAGTGCTCTGTTTCCTGATGTTGTTAGCTACAACACTGTTATAAGAGGTTTATGCCAAGTGAAAGACTTGGAGAAAGCGTTGGAATTGGCTAACGAAATGCAATCCAGTGAGTGTTCCTGGAGCTTGGTGACTTGTGGGATCCTCATTGATGCCTTTTGCAAAGCAGGTAAGATGGAAGAAGCCATGGGATTTTTCAATGAGATGAAACGTAACAAGGGTTTAGAGGCGGATCTTGTTTTGTATACTACACTTATTCGAGGCTTCTGTGATTGTGGTGACTCGGAGAGAGCTAAGGAGCTCTTCGATGAGATTCTGGAGAAAGGCTTCTCTCCCTCTGCAATTACCTATAACACTCTTATTCGTGGTTTCTGCAAGTCAGGACAGTTGAAAGAAGCCTCGCAGATGTTTCATCTTATGATGGAAAGAGGAGTTCGTCCGAATGTTTATACGTATACGGTTCTGATTGATGGCCTTTGCGGAGCAGGTAAGACTAAGGAAGCCCTTCAGCTTTTGAATCTCATGTTAGAGAACGATGAAGAACCAAACGTTGTGACGTATAACGTTATTCTTAACAAGCTGTGCAAGGACGGCCTTGTGAAGGATGCTTTAGAGGTTGTGGAGTTAATGAAGAAGAAGGGTACAAGACCTGATACCATAGGATACAATGTTTTACTGGGAGGGCTCTGTGCCAAAGGTGACCTTTACGAAGCAAAGAAGCTTCTGTATTTGATGCTGAATGATAGGAACTATGCGGATCCAGATGTTATATCATTTAATGCGCTAATCCACGGGCTGTGCAAGGAAAGCCGTCTTCATGAAGCTTTAGATACTTATGATTTGCTGGTTGAGAAATTGGGAGCTGCAGATATAGTGACTACGAATATATTGCTTAATAGCACACTCAAGTCTGGAGATGTAAAGAAGGCAATGGAACTTTGGAGACAGATTCCTGATTCCAAAATTGTAGCGAACTCAGATACCTATTCTACTATGATTGATGGGTTTTGCAAAACCGGCATGCTTAATGTTGCTAAAGGACTGTTTTGTAAAATGAGAGGGTCTAAGCTACGGCCTTGTGTTGTCGACTACAACTGTCTGATGTCATCATTATGCAAAGAGGGAAGCTTGGAACAGGCATGGAGATTATTTGAGGAAATGCAGCGTGACGACATACAACCAGACATTGTTTCTTTCAATATTATGATTGATGGAAATCTTAAAGCAGGGGATATTGAATCTGCAGAATCACTTCTTGCTGGGATGTCTCAAGCTGGTCTTTCACCTGATTTATTTACTTATTCGAAGCTAATAAATAGGTTCCTGAAACTTGGATATTTAGACGAGGCCATCAGTTTCTTTGACAGAATGGTTGAGAGCGGCTTTGAACCTGATGCTCATGTTTGCGATTCTGTGTTGAAGTATTGTATTTCACAGGGAGAAACAGACAAGTTGAAGGAACTTGTCAAAAAGCTGGCGGAGAAAGATATCGTCCTCGACAAAGAACTAACGTGTACAGTCATGGAATTCATGTGTAGCAGCTCAGCAAACATGGATCCTGCAATGCGGTTGCTAAGAGTAGCAGATGATAAAAAGGAAGGTGATAAGTAGAGGACATAGTCAGGCTAGCTTGAGGAGTGAGGACTGTGAAGTTGGGAGAATGGTTGTGCTTTTGGAATGCTCTGCGGAGACATGCTGTAGAATAAAGTGACAGAGGCAACCAAAGCACGGCTGTGGCAGACCAGGAAGGAAGGATGGTTGCAAAGAAATTCTGAGACTAAGTAGCCACTAGCGAAGTATTTATTCGTGGTGGAACACAACACAAGCTGCAAATCTGCTATAAGCTCATTGTTTGGGAAGGCAATAGATCCCTAAGCATTTGAATGATGGGTAAATGCAGTGAAGATGATTGGATACAATACAATACAAGCATCTAGACCAATGCAGTATGACTCTCTTCTGCTCCCAGCTCATAATCTCAGGGAGAAATGCTTTCCCTTTTGTGATGATGTTTGCAAGTAAGAAACGTATTGAAGAAATGTGAATGAAATAAAAGTGTTGAAGAATGATTTTTTTGGTACATATGGAATGAATGTGGGATTGGTCTCTCTCTATGTAGTTGGTATTGTTGACAAAAAGGGTAAAGAAGCAGTAACCTCTCATCTTATCATGACTTTGCTATTTTTCGTGAGAGATTAGAAGAAAATAGATTATTTTTTTAAAAAAATGGAGTTTATAAGAGAAGAGGAGTTTGCATATTTGGTTGTTTTGGTATTTGGGATTTTGGGAGGAGGAAGAATTGAGAAATCTGTTTCTGTAGAAAGGTGGAGGGTGCCCAAACTCTTCCTCCTCCTCCTCTTCTTCCTTATTGGTTTGTTTATGTTTTTGTAAAATATGATATAGTTTATTCTTTCTTTTTATAATTTTATTGATGTTTTTAGGTTCAATGAATCTTTTGTTTTTGGTGCCCAGATCCGATTCTCTCTCCTCCCACTGTCCTTGGAAATCCCAATGACACCAACACCAAGTAGACCTTTTTAATAATTCTCCTTATTTATTTTATTAATTAACAAACCCTTCGGCGTAATTAACACTGTCTTTGCGCATTAATCACGGTTTTGTTTTGTAAAAATCGGATTTTTATAGATAAAGGGTCTTCTTTCCTGTAATCTGGGTTTTTGTGGGTCCAAGTCTCTCTCTCTCTCTCTTGATTCAACTTGGCAACTTCATTCAACTTCGAGTTCCCAAAAGAGAAAGAGAGAATAGTTTATTGTTTTCATGAGTTGGTTAGGTAATCCCTCAATCCCAATTGGTCACATCTATCTATCCTCCTCTCCTTTCCATTTATACTCTCTCAGAAACAAATCAAAAGGCAACACAAACCAACAACTACAATAATATTATTACTAATTTCTGTCTAAATGCTTCTTTACTTTCTCATCTCTTGTCTCTCTTTCTTTTTCTTGTCCAAATCCTTATCTCTTCCTCCATGGGCATCTGAATCCAGAACCTTGCTCTCTTTCTACTTCTCCAAGAATCCCTTCATGACCACTCTACATCCAACCACACCTGATCCAGCAGCCTCTCCTCTGCTCGACCAAATGTCGGTCCTCGACCTCCCTGAGCTTGCCCTCGACCACATTCTCGACCTTCTTCCACCTTCCGGGCTATGTAGTATGGCTAGGGTTTGTAGCTCCATGAGGGAGAGATGCGTGAGTGATCATCTCTGGGAGAAACACTTGATGACCAAATGGGGCAAGATCCTTGGCCCTGCTGCTCGTAGAGAGTGGAAATGCTACCTCTCTTCCTCGTATCATCTTGATTCTCCTCATCGCCAAACTGGTCATCCGCTTGGGTTTGACAAGATCATCTCTTTGATTCGATCTATTTCCTCTGTTTTCCGAGATGGTGATAAACAGAGGAAGAGATATGCATCTTCTCTGCCACTTGATTCCACCATGAGCTGCTATCTCTCTCTTGAAACTGGTCGTTTTTGGTTCCCAGCTCAAGTTTACAACCGTGAGGTAACCAAATTCATAAAATTGGCTAGTTACTCGATTTGGGTTTTTAAAATGATCTCTGGATTTGATTAAAAGTAGTGAACTTTTTGGTGTATGAGCAGAATGGGCATGTAGGGTTCATGTTGTCATGCTATGATGCGGAGCTCAGCTATGATACTCACACTGATACTTTTCAAGCCAGGTAACAAAATATCTGATCTTTTTCACATTTGGCTTATTCTTCATCGCGCAAGTCATAAAAAGTTGACTCTCTCTCTATTGGGGATTTTTAGGTACCCACCACACGGTAGAAGAGCAGTTGCAATTGAAAAGGGTGTGACATGGGATAGGCTAAGAGCAGCTCCCATTGATGCATCTCCTCATCATCTCCATGTTTCGGATTCTCTAAACGAGTTGAAACCTGGAGATCACATCGAGATTCAGTGGAGAAGGAACAAAGAGTTCCCTTATGGTAAATTATATAGTCTATGATGATTTTTGTGTAAGCTTGGTTTGAGCAGAATCTGATTCTGAAACAAAGCTTGTGTGATGTTTTGTTGGTTTAGGATGGTGGTATGGTATCGTTGGCCATTTAGAATCCTGTGATGGGAATCTCAACCATTGTCATTGCCATCTTAGTGGTGAGTTCTTCATCTCAGCTTCATGTTCTGTTCGTAGAAATGGCTGTCACATTCTTGCTTTATCTACTCATTTCATCATCCCACAAAGTCCATTAAGTTCCCACAACTTAGTTGAAAAGGGTGAACATTAAAGAGACCCAATCCGAGTTTTGGTCCCAAATAAAAGACAAAATGATGATGATTATGGCGATATTGTCTTGATTTTCATAGACATTTTGATAAATGTGTGTCTTGAATTGATGTTGAAAGCTCTACTTATGTCCTCATCGTTGATATCTATATAACCAAATGGTGGTGGTGGGGCTCAACAATGATTCTTTGTCTGTTTTACACACCAGAAAAATCTTTTCTCTTCCTCCTCTTGTTGGCTCATCGCATCACCACAGAAAGTAGAAAATCAATTAGAAAAAGATAAGATTTTGGCTTTTTTTAGCCCACTTGCATCTTAATTATGTACCTAACACCCCTGATCATATGGAATAAACCGTTTTATAATCTTATGCTAAATGGTATATGGTGAATGGTGAAAACAGAGATGGCAGTGTTGGAATTCAACCAGTACACAGTGGGATCGAGGTGGAGAAGAACGATGATTAACAAGAGAGATCATAGAGAGGAAGGGAACGAGGAAGACGGGTTCTATGGAGGAATCCGAAAGCTAACTTGTAAACAAGAGATTGCAATGTGGACACGTCTCTGGCCATCCTCCATTTTGGAGTAGGATGATGAAGGATCGATCAAAACACTTTGGGAAAGAGATTAAAACACAACCACTGTGCGGACGACAGTAGGATGTTTAGATGTGTATGTTTTCTCTTTTATCCAATGTATGATTATTGATCGTTGATTATATTTATTCAGAAAATAGTCAAAATATACATGAATCCCACTATTGTGTTCAACAAAGATAGGTATGCCTCTTGTTTTAGATCTAGATTTAAGTAAAAATTGATCAGTTTCTATTCTACTCTGATCCAATTTAGCGGATGTGAAATAATCACAAAGCAAAATAAACAAAGGTGAATCCAGAGGCAGAGACAATTTATTCAAAGTTTTCACCATAGAACTTACTTAGAAGAAGAGGTATTTACAAAGCCAATGCCTTCAAAACTACAAAGGCCTTTCTTTTTTTTTTTCGTTAGGAAACCCATTAAAGATAAAAAGTAGCTGCACCACCATTTCTACTACGACTCAGTCTTTTAACACCAGAAAACATACAAACAACACTTTGGCGACACAGTTTGTTCACATAAACCCAACTAAAACCATGTTTTACGCCGCCTCTGCAAACCCGACCTGCTCTTTTCCAAAGTCAAACACGGTGTGGTATTTTCCCATGAACACATCTCCAAGGATCCTGCCACATTTTTACCACAATGATTCGGGTTAGAAAAAGATGGGAAACAAAGAGATGAAACTACTGCGCTGCAGAGTGTAGAAACCAATGATTTACCAGAGAGGTCCACGAGGTGGAGCAACGTCGAGTGCGATAAAGCCACTGATGCACTGTGCCGCAGGGCCTTCACCAACCTTGAGAACATACTGCTCATACCATACACATGCGAAGATATTAGATGGGGAATAATATTCAAGTGACCACTACGAGATATGAATCTTGTTCTCAATCATACTTCCTCTGGGGTAAGATCAAAGACTTTGCCTCCAATGGTGAGTGAAACAGTAGGCATGGTCGAGAGCTGTGCACAGTCCACTGCAGACTCTCCCATTGGGCTGGGAAGGCGCTCGCATAGCTGTCCACGAAAACCAACAACATTAGCAAATGAACAAAACCAGGACAAGAATGGTTCCACAGATTTTACCGAAAGTGTTGTAATGGACACTTGTTGTTTTACCTCGTTGGCGTAGTCCAATATGCGCTCCTGAGTCATGTTCTGCCTCAATTGGCTCTGTATCCACACAACTGCCATCTCACATGCGGAACATGCGGCATCTCCGACACCATTGGACGACTTGGCGTTTGCCTTGTCCACCACCGACTGAATGCCCATACTAAACGATAAAAGAAGAATGTAAAAATAAACACCAGATCAAAGATGAAGAAGACCTTGGACTTAATTGCAATCTACAGCTTCTCTGTAACATGAGCGAAACCACTGGAAATTTACCTGACACCACGGTTACCATCGAAAGTGCACACACCAATCTGCGAGCAGATTTTCTTTGGTTGGGTCTGCAATACGCAAGAGAACAGTATGTCAATATCGTTTGCATAATAAGAGTTGAGTTGCACACAGATTTTGTTAGCTAGACCAATAAGCATACTTACCTCAGACAAAAGCAATTCCAAAATGGTCTTCCCGTACTGATCCACAACAGTTTTGCACTGCTGGCTGACAACTCCAGCTGCTCCAATAGCATGGTTTATCATGGTGATTATGGTCTACACAAATAAAGAGTGCATTAGAATTTAGAAATACTAATTTTAAGAAACCACTACAACCCCTTCAGA